TGCTTTGAAGGAAAGAGTGTGCTTCTGAAGGGGCTTTAAAGGTGTAGTGTGTACACAACCATAGACAACAGGACTCATGGTCAGAGATGCTGGGAGCTATAGTCCAGGACATCTGAAGGATACCAGGTTGCGGAAGGCTCAGATTTAGTTCTTTGTCAATTCTTTTGGCATTTGACAATTTTGCAACTTCTTTTCATGCGCATCAGCCTAAAGTTTGGCACACTTTCAGCTTAGAGCTGCAAATTTAAACAAATAAGAGATGTTATTTGGTAAAATACGTATTTTGTCATATTAAAGAGTTTTAATATTCATAAATAGTAATTAAATTATATGACTTCTGATGGCAGATTATACCATGACGAACATGTCAGACCAGCTGACTGGCCAAAAAAACCCACCACTAGTGGCTGTTTCTAGATCAAGTGCATGTGGGATCATTTCATTTTTTTATTATTATGATTTCAGATCTGGAAGTGGCCTGGTCCTCTCTGGACCTCTGAGAGAGGGTGCTTGGGGATGAAGTGTGCCTTAGTGGTGGTGGTGGCCTCTCAGTCCTTTGAGTTGCAAAGTCTTTAAGACTATCCAGGACTGGTTCAAGACATTTTGGCACCTGAGGCAAACCATGAACTGTTGCGTCCCCCTCCCAGCAGAGAGGAAGGGGTGAGTGAAGATCAACATCAGGAACACAGAGGGAATAAAGATCTAGGACCCACGTACCTACAGGACCACCTCTCCTCGTATGCCCCGCAGAGGATATTAAGGTCCACAAATGACAACATTTTGGAGGTCCCAAGTCACAAGGTGGTTAGATTGGGCTCAACTAGGGCCAGGGCCTTTTCAGTACTGGCCCTGACTTGGTGGAACGCTCTGTCACAAGAGACTAGGGTCCTGCACAACTTGACATTTTTCCACAGGGCCTGCAAGGGAGAGCTGTTCTGCCTGGCCTTTCGTTTGGACTCAGTCTGCCCCTTATGTTTCCCTCCCGTTATGGTTTTGATCTATGGGCTACTTTTAAAATGAGGCTGCATTTTAAATTGCATTTTAACCTGTATTTTAAATTGGTGGTTTCCCCCCCATTTATGTTTTTACTGTAATTTTACTGGTGTTAGCTGCCCTGAGCCCGGCTCTGGCCAGGGATGGCGGGGTATAAATAAAATTTATTATTATTATTATTACATCCGAAACAAGTGGGGGAGTCAAGTCAACCTTGCCTAGTGGCACACTGAATGGGTGCAGCACCCAGGAGACCCAAGAGGGCCTCCCCAGCCATTTCTACTCCAGGGGTGGGAGGAGACCAGCAGATCCAACCTCCAAGGTGTGTGCCACAGCGTGGCAGTGCCAACAGCTGTGGGCCATGCATTCCTTGGTCAGATCTGCTGCCTCTGTGGATCCTTCCACCTGAGTTGGTCACCTCACCTTGCCACCTGAGTGTGTCAGCCAGCTACTGCCACAGCGTAATTTCTTCAATCAGATTTCGGAAATTGTTGGTTTTGATTTCTGCCCTGGCGCAACAGCCCTTGGGCAGACCTGAGCAAGTGGACAGAAATGCACAGATGTGTAGATTCAGGGGAAACATAAGGAGAAATTTCCTAACAGTAGGAGCTTGTGGTGGACAGAGCAGTAGAATCTGTCTCTGGCGGAGGGTGGCTGTCCTTCACTAGAGCTATTTTAACAAGGGATCTTGGGGGTGCTGTGCTTGTTGCAAGATTCCTGCACTGAGCATGAGGCTGTATGATAAACTTCTATGATTCCCTGATGAATCAGCGCAGGGAAATGCAGGGGTTTGTTGGTGGACCTGGTGGTTCTCAGAATGTCTTTCTGTGCTGTGCTAGACCTTGTTATCAGAATGCAGCCACGGGATTATATTTATTTTTAAAAAAAACCAAAAACATTTATTTAGTTGAGATAGATAGATAGATGATGATATAGATATCGATATGAATACACACACTAAATAAATGTTTTTATAATACAATGTAGTTACGTGTAGATCTTGTGGTGACATGGAATCCAATGACCTTTCGAATTCATCGTGATGAAATTAAAAGCCGTTATGAATAGTCATGGTTGTTAATTCCCATTGATTTGCCTCCCTTGTTTAGTGCCAGAGTTTCCAAGTTTCTGGAAGGTTGGCTTCAAGACCACGGTTCTTCTGTTCCATTTTCCTGCTACCGCTCTGCCCTGCTTCACTTAAGACAACAAATAAAAAAGGAGTCTGCAGTAACATGGTTTCTAAAATAGTTATTGGTGTTTTTAAAAAATAATTAGACAAAAAGTGTGCGCCCAACGTGGGGCTCGAACCCACGACCCTGAGATTAAGAGTCTCATGCTCTACCGACTGAGCTAGCCGGGCAGTTATCGCAACCATTCTCCTCACTTCTTTTAGCCTTCTGCCTGCTCAGTCTAGCCTCGATAGTGCCGTGTATTTCTTCGCCGCCGCCAGATATCCAGCCTTACCCATGTCTTGAAACAGTAGCCAGGCTTCTTCGTTAACTTTATTTTCATATATTCTACAACATGCATTAATTGGTGGGAGGCAGAAACGGCACTTTTTGTTTCTTTGATTCGAAGCGGCGGTAGAATTCTACCGTCTACAACATGAAACCAAAAAGGGTTTTTTAGGTGGGAAGTTTCATTGATTGTTCAAAGCAAATGTTCTTAAAAGCAGGAAGAAAAACGGGAATGTATAAAAAAGCAAAACCCTAAGTCTTCCTGAACGCTGTGAGATTTTCTTCCAAGGCAATATACATATAACAGAGGATTAGCGGTGCCGTTAAATTGGAAATCGTAGCGAAGGAAAAGGACACTTGGCAGCGGTGGGATTCGAACCCACGCCTCCGGAGAGACTGGAGCCTAAATCCAGCGCCTTAGACCGCTCGGCCACACTACCTTAGATGCTGGTCTATTATTCCGTTGACTTCCTACTGTTAAAGTGTCACTCCGTTTCATTCAAGTCCTTTCTTTTCAGGACTAAACACAGGTGGTCAGTAAAGATTCAGATCTTTTGGCTGGTTTCGAAAGAGGGCTTTCCGGATATGCTGGCATAACACCTCTCCCATCACACCGGTTTACTATAACTTAATAATATTCCTCTCCAAATGAGCACCAGCAGCAGATGGGTGAGACCAGAGGGCTGTTTTAGTAACCATAATAATTTTACTCCCTCGTTTTGTATAATAGCATTCACGTGGACTATTGTTATGGACTGTACTTAAATGAGACTGTCATTAAATGATCAGGATCCTTAACGAGAACAGACTCCTGTGAACTCTGCAGAGTTTTAAAAATACAAATGCTACTAGCAGCAGTATAGTATAGTGCTGGTTTGTTATTTATTTTATTACTTCTTTATTTATTGAATTTATACCCTGCCTTTTTCTCTAAAGAGCTCAAGGCCGTGTTTTCTCCCCACCTCCACCCCCATTTTACCCTCAAAACAACCCTGTGAGGCAAGGCAGGCTAACAGATGGGCCCTGGCCCAGCATCACCTAGTGGGCTTCATGGTAAATAGCCCCCATCTAAACAAAAGTTTGAAATAGAGCGCAATCAGGAAACTCTACAAGGCGCACCACCCCAATCTTCAAGCAGTGTGAGATTCCAGGGGTTCATGAGTCCTTTTGGAAATGAGGTACAGCAGAGACTGTGGTGTCTTTAGGATCTATGGCATGGGTAATTGTAATTTGTAATTTTATTTATACCCCGCCCTCCCTGGCCAAGACAATTGATTAAAATACAACTTAAAAACAGGATTAAAGTACAACTTAAAATGCAGCCTCATTTCAGTGGAAGCCCAGATCAAAAACTGTTTGGGGGGAGAAAACGTCAAATCTTCACCAAGGCCAACTATCCAGACTGGTCCTACGTGGGCCAGAAAAAAGCCAGGGAAGTCCCCAAATAGGGGTTCCATCACAGAAGGAAAAGGAAAGAGGGGGAGGGGATCAGGCTGATTCCAAGCCAAAGGCCAGGTGGAACAACTCTGTCTTACAGGCCTTGCAGAAAAAAATCAGATCCTGCAGGGATCTGTCATGAGACAGAGCATTCCACCAGACCAGAGCCAGTGTTGAAAAGGCCCTGGCCCTCGTTGAGGCTAATCTGACTTCCTCAGGGCCCGGGACCTCTAGAGTGTTGCTATTTATGGACCTTAAGGCAAACTAAGGCCCGGGGGCCAGATCCGGCCCAATCGCCTTCTAAATCTGGCCCACAGACGGTCCAGGAATCAGCGTGTTTTTACATGAGTAGAATGTGTGCTTTTATTTGAAATGCATCTCTGGGTTATTTGTGGGGCATAGGAATTCGTTCATTCCCCCCCACCCAAAAAAATATAGTCTGGTCCCCCACAAGGTCTGAGGAACAGTGGACCGTCCCCCAGCTGAAAAGGTTTGCTGACCCCTGATCTATGGTTTATTTACACATATATACAACCTGAGCCTACGATGGAAGGGCTCCCAGCATTAACACCCCAAGAGGGTCTTGCTTCTCCCCTAGCCACAGCCTTGGAGCCAGACACCAGTGATCATGCTTTGACCCTCTCTCCAGCTTGCTGCCTTTAACAGCAGGCAACCCTTTTCCCTCTAGGTCCCATCATTGTTGTTGTTTAGTTGTGTCCGACTCTTCGTGACCCCATGGACCAGAGCACGCCAGGCACTTCTGTCTTCCACTGCCTCCCACAGTTTGGTCAGACTCATGTTGGTAGCTTCGAGAACACTGTCCAACCATCTCGTCCTCTGTAGTCCCCTTCTTCTTGTGCCCTCAATCTTTCCCAACATCAGGGTCTTTTCCAGGGAGTCTTCTCTTCTCATGAGGTGGCCAAAGTATTGGAGCCTCAGCTTCAGGACCTGTCCTTCCAGTGAGCACTCAGGGCTGATTTCCTTAAGAATGGATAGGTTTGATCTTCTTGCAGTCCATGGGACTCTCAAGAGTCTCCTCCAGCACCATAATTCAAAAGCATCAATTCTTCGGCGACCAGTCCCATCATGGCCAACCCTAAAACTCTTCTTCAAACTCTCCCTTTGTCTTCTAACTAACTCTAACTGAGTTGAGGGAGGGGCCCCTCCCATTTACACAGAGCCCCCTCTCATCACTTTTCTTTTTGTCATAGATGCTTTAGTTGAGATTCCTGCAATGCAAGTTGTTGGTCTAGATGACTCTCGGGGTATCTTCCAACTCTACAATTCTATGTAGTCAAGCAACATCTAGAGGGCCACAGATATTCTCCCAGAAGCCCTGCCCTACATATTTCCAGGTAACAACAATCTGCCTATCACAAAGTAACTGCAACGAGCTCCCCATCTTCTTCCTCAGTGGTACAAATTGCTAGGCAGAAAAGAATTTGTTATTTATAAAGCATTTTTAAGGCCACTTCTGCCAAACCACATGGTGATCAAATGGGATTATAATAAATGTCGAGTATGGCCTGCCAAATTTGTAGTCAGCGATTGCGGAAGCTTATGCCACAATACTCCTGTCCTCCTCTAAATTAACCCTGCCTAGCATGGTTGGCACCAGAGTAGGGGGGTAGGGAAGCAAGTGCCCCAAATAAGGAGCTCACTCCCTGCCACACACACACACACACACACACACACACACATAAATTTTATTTATTTATTTCAGAGAGCTTTCTTTACCTGTGGGACACAGCTCACCTATCTAGAAATAGACTTTGTCCCTTCTGTCTGTTCCCCCATTCCCCCTCCCTCCCCGGTGCTGCCACTGCTGCCTAGTAGCCGCCCCACCCCATGTTTTGGACTAAAACTCTTATCAGCCCCAGAGAAGAGATATAACCCAAAATATTAGGGTACTGGGGCTGGGAAGGCTATGCTAACCATTAATTGCCAACAAGGTGGAAAGGTGAAACTGAGTTATTTGAAGAAAACAATGATTTCTATCTCCTAATGAGAAAAACAACACGCCTGAACAGGGACTTGAACCCTGGATCCTTGAATTAAAAGTCTGACGCTCTACCAACTGAGCTACCCAGGCCCTGGAACACTTTTTTTAAGTATTACAGTGGTACCTCTGGTTATGTACTTAATTCATTCCAGAGGTCCGTTCTTAACCTGAAACTGTTCTTAACCTGAAGCACCACTTTAGCTAATGGGGCCTCCTGCTGCTGCCGCGCTGCCGGAGCACGATTTCTGTTCTCATCCTGAAGCAAAGTTCTTAACCTGAAGCACTATTTCTGGGTTAGCGGAGTCTGTAACCTGAAGCGTATGTAACCCGAGGTACCACTGTATACTGTTATGTATTGGGTTTAACACATTTTATATTACAAGGCGCGTTCTAACCAATCATATAAGCCTTGGTAGACAAACGTTCTAATGGCAAGTAAGCGCATGCACTTTCAACTGTCAACTATCAACAGTCAGCTCATGCTTGGATTTATTATTGTGCTGTCCAGTCAGTTTGGTTCTTGTGTTCCTATGAGTGAGCTGTTGTCACTGACAAATGTTGAAGAAACTTAGTTGAGGAACATATACTGCCTTGAGCTTCTGACTTTTCCCGAACATTTAACATTGGCGACGAAGGTGGGATCGATGAGCTCCCACCGGCTGCCAGAGGCCCAAGACCGCACCGCAGCACCACGCCTGCCGCCTCACAGTAAGCTCGACCTCACCGCTACGCTGGACTCAGCAAATAGTCCTGGAAACGAGACCCCACCTGCCGCATCTTCGCAACCACCCACAATCACTGGGACCTGCGCCAGCTGCGGAGAAAACCACGAGCGTTGGACATGCAGGTTTCGGGACGCCACATGACGCCACTGTGGGAAGACTGGGCACATTGGACGAGTCTGCCACTCCAAGACCTCCAAGACCTCCAGAGCACGACCCAAGCAACGTGTCCACAAGGCCTACATAGAGGAGGAGTTACAGTCCACCTCTCCAGCCAAGGTACTTCAACTTCCGTCCCCGGGGCCCAATAAGTTTAGGGTACAACTCAAGATAGAGGGAAGCCCATGCACTATGGAGTTGGATACCGACTCATCCTACTCCATAATATCTGCTAAGACTCTGAAAGAGCTTTGCCCTAACGGCAGTCCTCCTCTTCGTCCGGCCCCCGTAGTGCTGCAGGACTTCCAGAGAAAAAGAATCCAGCTAAAGGGGATGGGCACCTTCAAGGTCCAGTTTAAGAAGTACACCAAGAATTTGAACCTCATCATAACTCAAGGCCCATTCACTAGCCTTCTAGGCCTAGCATGGTTCAGGCCATTGTTTCAGGGCTTAATCAGATTTCCCCAGGGGCAGATTTCGAATCAATCTGCCAGGAGTTTCCATCAGTCTTCAATGTAACCCTAGGCCTGTACAACGGATCCCCGATTTCCCCACGACTCAACCCCACAGTGTAACCCATTCGGGTCAAGGCCTGTAGAGTCCCGTTTGCGCTTAAACCCAAGATGGATGAGGAGCTTGATCGCCTAGTTGCCCAAGGGGTCTTAGAGAGGGTAGCTTTGGGAACCTGGGAAACCCCAATTGCCACACCGGTTAAGCCGGACGGCTCAGTCTGTGTCTGTGGTGATTACAAACGCACCCTGAACCGGGCCTTACAGGACCACGCGTACCTGGTTCCAGTGGTGAGCCATGTGTTAGCAACCCTGGCTGGAGTTAGCATGGCCCCAGGGTTATTTCAGAGCCTAATGGACCATCTCCTTAAAGGCATCCCCGGAGTTATGCCGTTTTCCCACGATGTGCTGATCACCGCATCGTTGAGAGAGGGCTTTGCCGCCAAATTACGGATAGTGCTCCAACTCTTTCAGGTGGCAGAGCTTAAGGTAAAACAGAAAAAGTGTCTGTTGGGATTGAGCAGTGTGGATATCTTGGGGTTCCGGGTTGATGCGGGCTGCCTCCATCCAGAAGAGGACAAAGTGCGCACCATTTGCGACGCCCCAGAACCAAAGAGCAAGGCAGAGTTACAAGCCTTCTTGGGACTTCTTAATTTTTACCATGGGTTCCTGCCGCACAAGGCAGCGCTATGGGTCTGGAGCCCTCAACAGGCCAAGGCATTCCAAGGGGTCAAAGACTTGCTTGTGTCCAACTCAGTGTTGGCACACTTTGATGAAAAACTCCCGGTGGTGCTGGCTTGTGATGCTTCCCCTTATGGAGTGGGTGCAGTACTGGGCCACCAGCTTCCGGATGGGAGGGAAATCCCAGTGGCTTACTTCTCCCAAACTCTCACGTCGGCGGATGTCTGATCAACAAGGAGGGTTTGGCAATAGTTAAGGGAGTCAAAAAGTTTCATGACTACCTTTATGGTCGGCCTTTCACTATCGTTACCGACCACAAGCCACTCCCAGTGGCGTAGCGTGGGGGGTGCAGGGGGGGCCGGCCGCACCGGGCGCAACATCGGGGGGGCGCTCGCACTCGAGTGCTAAAATCCACGGGTTAGGGGGCGCAAATTACTTGCCTTGCCCCGGGTGCTGACAACCCACGCTACGCCACTGGCCACTCCTGGGACTCTTTGCGCCCAACCACCAGACACCCCAGATGCTTTCGCCACGAGTATTGCACTGGTCCATTTTCCTGGCCGGTTACCAATACTCGCTAAAGCACCGACCCAAGAAAGTCATGGGACACGCAGATGCACTCAGCTGCTTGCCGTTGTCAGAGAGCGGCCCTGACCCTGCTCCTGCCCACCAGATCCTGCGGCTGTCAGACTTCCTGGACCAGCCCTTGCATGTGAAGGACATTGCCACTGCAACCGCGAAGGATAGGCTGTTGTCCCACGTCTCAGACTGGGTGGGGAGTGGGTGGCCCAGGAAGCCGGGTCCAGAATTTTCATGCTACACAGCCCGCAAATATGAGCTGTCTACTCACCGAGTATGCGTGTTATGGGGTAGCCATGTCATAGTTCCCCCCAAGGAAAAAAGTCTTAGAAGAGCTGCACGTGTCTCACCCAGGAATTGTCCGGATGAAGGCATTGGCCCATAGCTATGTGTGGTGGCCAGGCATAGATGCGGAGATAGAGGGCTGGGTGAAACGTTGTGAGCCCTGCCAGGTCTCCCGGCCGGATCCACCTAAGGCACCAGTACAGTCCTGGGAGTCCACACAGTCCCCATGGTCCCGAGTGCAAGTGGATTTCGCGGGGCCTTTTCAGGGCCAGCATTTCCTAACAGTGGTCGATTCTCAGTCCAAGTGGCTTGAGGTGGTGCCGACCTCCACAGTGTCCGCTAGAGCGACTATACACACATTCAGGAAGCTATTTGCGACACACGGCTTGCCAGACACACTGGTGAGTGATAATGGGGCCGCTTTTACTTCGACAGAATTTAAATAATTTGTAACCAAGAATGGAATTCGCCACATTTGTTCCGCTCCTTTTCACCCGGCCACTAACGGCCAAGCTGAACGCATGGTCCATACTACCAAAGATGCTCTTAGGCTCATAGTGCATGGAGACTGGACACTCTGGTTAGCAGAGTTCTTATTGGCCCAACACATCACCCCAAGCGCAGTGACCGGCCAGAGCCCGGCAGAGTTGCTTATGGGGAGGAGACTCACTACCCTCCTTGATCGTCCGGGCTCTTGAGCAATGGCCATCCACTGTGGTGCGGGGGGGGGGGGCTCCAAGAGGGTTCTCCCCGGGGGTCACTGTGTACGTCTGAAACTATGGGCCCGGACAGGGTTGGGTCCCTGGTATGATTGCCCGCTGTACAGGTCCAGTTTCCTACGAGGTAGGGTTGGAGGGGGGACTGGTTTGGAAGTGACCTCAACCAGATCAGAGCCGGGGCACGTCCAAACATGAAACTTCAAGCGGAACCAGAGGACAGAGAAATGGGTACTTCGGGGGATTCTATGCCCAGGCCAGGGTGGGAACCAGACGGGTTGCCGGTGACTGAGTTACCTCAGCAGGGTGACTTCAGGCCAGAATCCTCAGTGGCTCCATTGGCAGTGACCCCTTCGGAGCTGGCCTCGCTGACCGCCCCACTCAGACTGTGGGTACCGGAGGAACCTCCTGGGTCACCCACTCAGGCACAGGAACCGCGATGGTCCTAGCTGGAGCGGAAAAGGCCGGCACACCTTGACGACTATGTTTGTTCCTTTTTTTAGGAAGTTGGGGGGAGGAGTGTTCTGTATTGGGTTTCACACATTATGTATTGGGTTTCACACATTGGGTTTCACACATTATGTTACAAGGCGCATTCTAACCAATCATAGAAGTGTTGGTAGTCGAATGTTCTAATGGCAAGTAAGCACATGCACTTTCAGCTGTCAACGGTCAGTTCATGCTCAGGTTTATTATTGTGTTGTCTAATCAGTTTGGTTCTTGTGTTCCTATGAGTGAGCTGTTGTCACTGACAAATGTTGAAGAAACTTAGTTGAGGAACTTATACTGCCTTGGGCTTCTGACTTTTTCCGAACATTTAACATATACCAAGTAGATTCAAGAGTAAATAGTGTTATTTGCACTTCCAGCCCGCTGCCTGCTTTGTTTCAGATTTGCAAGCCATCAGACGAGCCTTTCCCAGAACTGCAAACGGTGCTGATCAAGTGAGTCCGTCTACACAACCATAATCATAAAAAAAAAATCAAGTGGAACTAACACAGCATGAGAACTAGCTTGCCTGACATGCTTGAGCCAAAAGTGTGTCTTAAAAAAAATTGAACCCACTTAAGAAAATAAGAAGAGCGCCACCGGATCAGGCCAAGGCCTATGCAGTTCATCATTTTGTTCTCCCAGTGGAGACAAAACGCTTCCTAGAACTCCTTTTAAAATTTGTGTTTCTGTTTGCACTATCTTAAGTGCACCACGGAGACAAATTACACTCAGATTGCGACACATGCATATGTGGGAGAGTTTGCACAGAGGAAGAGTGTACACGCTTGATTGCAGCCTGCCTCTTTTAAAATTTGCACTCAGCAAAGGTCTTGGAGCTCTACAGCCATCGAGAATTTTCCATTTATAACTACATAAAAGCCTCTAATTTCTATGCTTTCTCTCTTATATATGTGGGGTGCCATGGCTTAGTTGGTCAAAGCGCCTGTCTAGTAAACAGGAGATCCTGGGTTCAAATCCCAGTGGTGCCTTTGCATTTCTGAACTGATTCTTTTTTCCTTTTTGGTCATGATCTAAAAGTCTTGCATACAACAACAACAGCAAAAAGGATGATGTTAAAGAAAGCATGCACACGCAACAATTACTGTAAAGCAGGAAAACATTCATTAAAAGAGTATTTTAAAAAAATAACACTTTCATGAAAAAGAGCTATTTGGGAAATATTTTTATTATTTTCTTAAATAATGTGGAATAAAATGAAATGCAGACAGGTGTCTTTGGAGATGGATTGAAAGAGAAACAACTATTTCCTTAAACTATTACATAAAAGGTATATTTGTTTTTTAAAATGCAGTTTAATTAATTAAAGGTAAAGGGACCCCTGACCATTAGGTCTAGTCGTGGCCGACTCTGGGGTTGTGGCGCTCATCTCGCTTTATTGGCCGAGGGAGCGGCGTACAGCTTCCAGGTCATGTAGCCAGCATGACTAAGCCACTTCTGGCGAACCAGAGCAGCACACGGAAACGCCGTTTACCTTCCCGCTGGAGTGGTACCTATTTATCTACTTGCACTTTGATGTACTTTCAAACTGCTAGGTGGGCAGGATTTAATTAATTTAATTAATTAGGGACATGGTTATTCCGGGTTCCCAAAACCTATTTCATCGATAAGACTAAGACTACTCTCGAGCCGGCCAAGGAAAAAGAAAGAGTTCTTCTGAACATGTACAACGTTCCTTTCTTACACCTGTGCCACAATCACAGTCTGCTGAGCGTAAAGGTAAGGGTTTTCAGGTGAAACGATAACATTTCCAAGCTAGTCTGGGGCAGTGAGCCCAATATTGTATTTTAGAAATTAAGCAAGGCACAGATCAAGCCAAAGGTCAGTGAGCAGTCTGCATCTAAGTTTAGCTAAGCAGCACTATCTATCTTTCACAACACCCCCACTCGCACATTAAAGATTAAGTTAGTAAGACTTCATACATATACAGTACTGTAATTCAAATCCATATCACTTAGTCTGTAGCGTTATAATTGCTTTTGAAAATGGAGCATTTTTAGTCCCTCCGTCCCCCCATAAGTAAATAAGAAAAAAAAAATCACCATCTCCCCGTCGGGGAATCGAACCCCGGTCTCCCGCGTGACAGGCGGGGATACTTACCACTATACTAACGAGGACCTGGTTACGTACGGGCTTTTCACAAGGATAGAAATAGCTGCTACAAATGAAGTAGTTTACAAACTTTTATATTAACATCATATTTTGCCATGGTTCAATTATCTCCTCAAAACCATGCATAGTTTTTCCAATCCTGAGCTTCAACTTACCGTTACGCAGAACTGCAAGAAGTTTTTAATCAAGGAAAAGACTCATTCAGGAAAGAAAGGAAGAAGGAAGGAAGATGCTGCAGAGCAGGTTGGATAAAAATTTGCCCATGCATGCACATTCTTCTACAGAAATAACATATAACCTATGCTCCCTTTTCATTCCTCTTCTTCCTTTATTCCCTGAACAGAAAGTTTAATAATTGTTTTGAGAACGAAAACTGGAAAACAGTATTTTAATAGTTTTTTAAAACAGCCATAAAAATAAATTAAAATTAAATTTAAAAAAAGGACTCTCTGCGTTGGCCGGGAATCGAACCCGGGTCAACTGCTTGGAAGGCAGCTATGCTCACCACTATACCACCAACGCTTACAGAGGAAACATTCGTGAGTTATCCCTGCTATGCAGCATACCTCAATTGTGACCAGCCATGAACGAGAAGCAGATTGACTTGTCTCCCTCCTGCTGCACATAAATTTTGTGCGTAAAGTTAACCAACGATTTCTCAGGGCAAAGCGCAATGTGAGGTATGTTCAGGTAACCAGACTTCAGCCGTATTAGGTCCTGCGAAATTTAAACTTCCAGGAGATAGTGTATCATCTAAGCATATAAAAAATGCGTAACCCTTACCAGCTGAAAAACAAACAAATCCAGCACCCAAGTTTGAAGGGTTGATGAAACTTTTTCTTTTTCAATCGCTTTCACGTCTGCTTTTCAGAAATTAAAATGTGAACGACTGAATCGACCAAGCGGGACATTGAAAAAGTACACACACCACCATCGAGGCTGAATCCATTCTTTGAAACACTCTAAGCGACAGGAACAGCAATCCCAGTTTCTCTAACCCGTCTATCGTGAGTGTTGCGCGGTTTGTGTAAAATGACACAGCTAGCAAACAGCAGGCACCATTTCTCCAGCCCAAGGGTCGGTTACCGTGTGAAAGTATTATTTAAAAATGGAGGAAACCACAACAAAAGAAGCGAGGTTTTAAAGATCCCAAAACAAAAAAAATTACGTATCGCGTAGTCGGCAGGATTCGAACCTGCGCGGGGAGACCCCAATGGATTTCTAGTCCATCGCCTTAACCACTCGGCCACGACTACGAAGTGATAAACAGCCATGCAACCTTTCATACTATGGAAATAGCTACGATTTCAGTCTGCTTCTGTGCAAGTTGATGTCACGGAAGGTGACATTTGAGCTTAGCAATTGAGACCATACTTAATAACTTCCAGTCGGTACATTTTCCTCGCCGAACACCACAGGACTGTGTTTTCTAAATTAACCCAAATCATCAGCCTGCAGAGAGCTTCCTCTTCCATCACTATTTTAAAAAGACTAACACCGTGATCGTAGGAACGGGCCAACAAAGTTACGGCACACCTTTGATCCCCGCCACATCAACACAAACGCACGATGGATTTCTCAGTCCAGCCAGTTTACGCTGCTCAGTGGCCGGTCATCAAACATACCAAAAAACAGATAATGTACACTTGTGAATGCTTCTTGTGTGAATCCTGAGCAAGTGCCCAGTAACCACGTAATGACTTTGCACGTGAGAACCAATCCGTAAAACGGGCAGCACTCTCAAAGGCTTCCATAATATACCTTGAGACAGCACCCTTGAAGTTCCTTAAATTGTAGTCGCGCAGCTGGATGTACTGTACTGTATAGCAATTTATTGCCTTCGTCGATGAGGGTGCTTCCTTCGTAATCTTATTGAAATTCGTACTTTGAAGGTATACCTTTTTAAAAAATGAATATATGATGATGCAATGATAAAGCATAAAGGTTTACATTATTATAATATGCCAAAGGTTTACATTGGGAAGAGGGAGAGGGGAGAATGTATTACTGTAATCTGCAAATACGTGGGGGGGGTAGGAGTTCAGAAAGTCAGGATGGCCGAGCGGTCTAAGGCGCTGCGTTCAGGTCGCAGTCTCCCCTGGAGGCGTGGGTTCGAATCCCACTTCTGACAAGATTTACTTTTATTACATCGACTTCTGTTAGTACAGTACTTCTGCCATTAAAAAAAATTCTGCAGTTTCAAGGACAGGGGCGTGGAGTTGAAGTGCTCACGTGGCTTGGATGCTTCTACTCTTTCAAGCTACTTTCTGAACACGCCCCTTGACAAAGAGTTCTGTGTAGCTCGAAAGATTACCCCGTGCTTTTAAAACATAATCCTTTTTGAATGCTTATTCCAACTTAACTGTCGTGCTTACTCCGGTGGATGTTCTGTGGGGCAAAACCACTTCCCGGGGCGGCCTGGTCTTAAAAAGTCAGGCGCACCAAGATGTGATTGTGACTTAAGAATACTTCAGGAAAATCTTTCCCATTTACTTTGAAATCCTTGCTACGCATGTCTGTCCTTCATTAAAATAAATAAGTTGAATTTTCTGTGCTAGATTTGTCGTTTAAAAATTTTTTTACACTACTTTCGAAAACTTTGAGAGCCACACAAGGAAAACTGGGCAGAGGGTTGTGGAGCAGCGGCTCCAGTGGCGCAATCGGTTAGCGCGCGGTACTTATACAGCAGTACTTGTGAAAGCAATGCCGAGGTTGTGAGTTCGAGCCTCACCTGGAGCATAAATTTTACTCCCCAGACCCTTCAAGGGTCCTTGTTCCGTCCTGCGTCCCAGATCAATAACCGATGCTTTCATTAATCTTAGAGAATTAGCAGAGGTGCTTAAAGATTGGAAGTTGAGCCATGGAACTAGAAAAAAACATTTCAAAAAGGTGGCTCGGTGTGTTTCGATACTGAATTACCATTCGAAAGAGTTTTAACTTTCACTATAGTTGTGGAGGTGTAGAGAAAAGGATTCCCCTCCCCCTCAAGGAGTGAAATTTGAAAAACTTCGACATAAATGCATGATGCGACCCATAACTTTCAAATCCTTAGTGGATGGCGCCACCATGTGGAAACTCAGAGGCATAACTAATAGGATGCTTAGCCACAAAGAATCAGAAAATAACCACCTTTACACCAAAGGCGTTGGTGGTATAGTGGTGAGCATAGCTGCCTTCCAAGCAGTTGACCCGGGTTCGATTCCCGGCCAACGCAGTTATCTGTTTTAGTTTTTTCAAAGCTCATCTCTACGTTTTGGTTTTCCCTTCTTTGGTTTCTACATACTGCATTACCAGGTTAAATAAATGTGCAAAAACAATGTGTTCATTTAATCACAATTGTAAGATGATTTCTTTAAAGAAGAACAAGTCCAGAAGCTTCCTAGATATAAGCAACTTTATTTCTTATGCCATATAGCTTTCATGAACCTATTTTGCAGGATGCTTGTGGCCACAACATTTCTACCATGCAGGAATGATCTGACAGTCTTTAAGTTGCCACAAGCCTTATTGCTGTTTTTCCTGCAGTAAAATAACTTTGTTCTGCTTTGGATTTTTTTTTAAGAAAAAAGAAAGGTACTTCATTTGGAAAACCAAACAACGCCCTGATATATTAGCAAGACACTTCTGCAGCTGTGAAGCACACACACCTGAAATTAATCTGCAGTTAAAGTCCTGCTGGAGTTTGCAAAGGTATGTCAATACTGCTTTGCCTGGGATGTTTGAAAAAGGCCTTAAAGGTACCCTGAGTGCACTTTAGGTTCAGAGCATGCTCAGAGGTATCCTGGCTTTTAATTATAACCAAAGGCCCTTCCCTACTAGAAGAGTTGAACTGAGGGTAATTAAGGAGAGGGCCTTTTCTGTGGTTAAGGATGAAAACAATATTGAGGAGTGCTTTTGGAATCAATCTCACCCCACTGAAGAGAAGCCTTATTTATTTCACCTGTGTTTAGGGGGGAAATGGGGTTGGCTTTTACAGTCCAACTCTCTAGGGTGTGGCTTATCTCCTGTTTCACAAGGTCTTTGATAATGGCCACTGATTGCATTACCTGCCAAGTCAAGTTTATTCTTTTGAGATGGTAAATACCTTAGTTCTTGAATCCAGGTCATAGGCCTACCCTATTCATATACAAAATCTTCCCTTAAAACAGAATTTGCAAATTAAAAGAACCATAGGGGGAGGTTTATCCAATATATTTCCTTCTGCATAATAATATTTGGCATCTTTAAGACTCAAGATGGCTTCAGGATTGCTCTCCTGTACTATTTCAGACATGTGGTTTATGCACTTACGCATGTGTGTTTACCTTGTGCACTTATGAACATTCATTTTATTTACAACACCTTCGATTTCTTATAACATAAGCATTTACTGGACTGTCAGATCTAGCAACCAAGTCTTCAAAATCTACTAAACATTACTCTTTTAATGTGTTGAGGGTTTCAGAGGCCGCATACTGAAGCATCAAGATTCATCTGGCCCCAGGAAAGACTTTCAGATTTGTTTGCTGGGAGGCCAAACAAAGTTGTTTCAAATCAAGTGTTATCCTGCACTTTCTAGTGCATTGTCTCATTGCAGGTTTGTTGCACAAGACCTCCCAAACAACTTTAAATGCACAGCCTGAAAATGCCAGTATCTTATTGAACCACACCCAAAGATAAAAACAGACTGGGAGTGCCCATTGATGCAACTGAAGCAAAATGACCCAGATTAGATTGCCAGACAACCATTACTATTAATGCATCATGAATGGGGCAGGGTGTGGATGTCATTGTCTACTCACTGGGAATGTAACCTGAAAGAGTCTTTGAGCCCAAAAGGGTGACCTTAGACAGAACATCTACATAAGTTACACAGTTATCTTTCTTTTTCAGCTTCTCTTTGTAAAATTTTAGATTGTAAGGGCTTTGGAGCAGCAACTTGCCTCTGTGTCAGCTGTAAAAGTGCTATGTATACGGGTGGTACTAGCTACCTAAACATATATAATGTTGCCAATTTTCCTGGCCATTGACCAGGTGGTACAGTGGTACCTCAGGTTACATACGCTTCAGGTCACATATGCTTCAGGTTACACACTCCGCTAACCCAGAAATAGTGCTTAAATAGTTAAGAACTTTGCTTCATGATAAGAACAGAAATCGGGCTCCGGCGGCGCGGCAGCAGCAGGAGACCCCATTAGCTAAAGTGGTGCTTCAGGTTAAGAACAGTTTCAGGTTAAGAACGGACCTCCGGAACGAATTAAGTACTTAACCCGAGGTACCACTGTACAATGTGCCCTAGGATCAGTGTTGGGACCTGTGCTTTTTAACTTGTTCATCAATGATTTAGATTTAGGACTGAGCAATCAAGATGGCCAAGTTTGCCGATGACACTAAATTGTTCAGGGTTGTTAAAGTAAATTCATGTATGTTGGAGCAAAACAAAAACTTAATTTTACGCACGCATTCATGGGGTCTGAACTGGAGGTGATGGACCAGGAGCAAGACCTTTGGGTAATAATGTGGTAGATGGCTTAGTGACCATATTGACCCAGTTGGCAGCGGCAATGGAAAAGGTGAATTCCATGCTAGGAATCATTCAAAAAGGAACTGGAAATAAAACTGCCAGTATCATAATGCTGCTATGCAAATCTATGGTGGGGCACTGTGTACAGTTTCACACCACCTCAAAAGGATATTGTCGAGCTGGAAAACATTCAGAAAAGGGCTACCACCATTGTGACTCTCCTATGAAGAAAGGATGGAATGTTTGGTACTTTTTAATTTATAGAAAAGACAAGTAAAAGGTGAAGTTTATAAAGCTATGCAAGTGGAAGTAGAGAAAAGTTTTTCTCCCTCTCTCATAACACCAGCACTTGTTTTTTATTTTGTTTTGACAAGTAATCATAAATAATTAAGAATAAAAATGTGCACCCCACCACCGACACCATCCAACCTCCCAAAATTTCAACACCTCTTGCAATGGTTTGACTCCTTTCCATTTTAACAGTACAAATTCTGCAAACACCCTCCATATCTCCTCAAAATCATTTCTCCTGTATATTCCCCGTCTTACCTTAATGGCACATGTTAATTTACCATTGATAACTATATCCCACAGCTCTTTACACCATTCTTCCATTTTATATTCTGCTTGTCCCTTCCACTTCCTAGCTATCATAATTTGTGCAGCTGTCAATAAATTTGTGAGTAAGTCCTTCACAGCCTGCGAACCTTCCACCCCATCGTAAATTGATAATAATGCTACCTCTGAACTTTTGGTCAGCTTTAACCCAGTGATTTCTGTTATCTCCTTAAACACCCTATGTCAGTTTTTTTAAAAAACATGTTGACATCCCCACCACATGTGAACGTAATTCCCTGTTTCCTGGCATCCCCTCCAACATAACACTGAATATTCCTTGTTTATTTGATTTAATCTGACTGGTGTTAAATGCCATCTCCAAATGAATTTATAATAATTTTCTTTTATTCTTATGGACATCCTATGGAACTGAATGTTGGAAGATTTAGGACCGATAAAAGAAAGTGCTTCTTCACTCAATGTATAATCAAACTATGGAACTCACTCCCCACAAGAGGCAGAGACTGTCACCATCGTATTTATTATTATTTTATTATGTATCAAATTCCCTGGATGTCTTTAAAAGAGGATTAGACCAATTCATGGAGGAGCGAGCTATCAATGGCTACTAGCCATGATGGCTATGTTCAGCCTCCACATTTGGAAGCAGCAATGCTTTTGAATATTGCTGGAAACCATGGGAGGGGAGAGGGCTCTTGCCTTCATGATCTGCTCTCACTGGTTTCCCACAGGCATCTGTGAGAATGAGGGTGCTGGACTAGATGGGCCATTGGCCTATGGTATTGAGCATTATGACAGTCTATCACTCAAGTTCTTAAGATGCCTCAGCCAAGTAAGTAGAAATTGTGTAGCATAGGCTCTTTTACAAACTCCAGGTTCCTATGTCTCAGGGAAGCTACTATCAATCACCCACCCAGAGATGCAGTTTTGGCAGCTGTTCCACAAATGAAAAGATGTACTGTTTTCAATACTCCCCAACATCTTCAACATTCATCGGAAGAGGTGAAAGACTTTTAAAACATCTGATTTGGGCTTTTCAGTGCCCTAGTATTAAGCTTGTTGTGAGGACAGCAAAACTAGTAGCTTCTCTGCAAAATATTTTCCCCTGCTGATTTAGCATTAAACGTTATTAACACATTTAGCAAGATGTATAACTTTCTCCAGAATGCTCAAATGCTTTGGGTTAAAGTTTGGGTCAGAAAGGCCTCACTTTCCATTGGAATATATGCTCAAGTTTGCCTTGCGACGCTTCACATACATAAAATACAATGTTGTGGCCCGTACGGGGATCGAACCCGCGACCTTGGCGTTATTAGCACCACGCTCTAACCAACTGAGCTAACCGGCCAGCTGCATGTTGCTCATTCTTTCCATGTGGAAACGCTCTACATCCTGCGCATTGTTTTTTATAAATCACATCACAAGGCGGCGCCAGAAGACAAGGAACAAGGAAATTGGACGCCTTTCAGCAGGGATACCAGGAATATTTACTGAAATTGCCTCGAGTTCTTTCACGGAAAAATAAAACACTCCAGTTACGATGTGCAAAGAACCTAATAATCGTGCTCCCTCCCACAAGTAAGGTCTCTAGCAACCTTGTTAATCAAGATAGTATGGCAGACCACACAACAACGTGTTTTTTGTGTGAAACAAGATCAGGGCTACTCAATTTGCGGGCAATATATACCTGGGGCAGACCCAAACTAGAAGGAATTAATCTGCAACCGTCACGTGTTGCTGTAACTCTGTACTCCTTGTAAACGTCTCTGGAGAATAGAGCTATCCATATGTGAATTTATCACTGCAGCGCTTTTCCGTAACACGGAAGCGTGACATTGAGACCTCATCAAATGAAAGGATGAAAGACAAGAGGAAGGATACGAATTTTTCAAAGCGGATATGACTATGTCATAAGCACAAACGTCTCTAACCAAGCCTAATTTACTGGGTTGTCAAATAAACTGGCCCTAATGCTTCTTTCTAGGGTTGGCAACTTACTGCAACCATGGTTAAAGAGACAAAATGCATTTTAAACGCTGTCTTAGGCTGCTCCCCAGCAACTTGGATTTAGAGACTGTCACTGATGCGGAAGTGAAGTAGATACCCTTATCTGCCATTAATATAGCCAAATAAGAAGGGTCTGTAGTATATTAACTGCAACATTAAATTCGTTCAAGTTGCAACATAGCCTAGCTATAAATTTGTAAGGAGGAATTTAGAAATCAGCTCATTTTTTAAAAATGAGAGGGACAAAGTCTCGACTCTCACTCTTAAAACTCCTATTAAGATATTAGCCAAGGAACTGTGGCACAACACTCCTTAAAGTCTTCGTACTATAAGGATACGTTTCAATACTCCCATAGTAGTAACTCCTATCTTTGTTCCAATGCTGCCCTCAGGCTCGCCCGCCACTTTTGTTACTTATCTTGTTTAGGCTGCAGGCAAAAGCATACCTGTTTTTTCAGCCCTTTGACTAATGAAGCAATCTATGGCCTTTAAAGCTTGGGGCGGAGCACTGCTGGTTACCCTACTATATTGTAAACCACCCTGCAGTTTAGAAATGCAAAAAAAATAAATGAAGAACATAATTAAAAAATACGTAGTCGCAACAGCTCTTTTTATGAAAAAGTGGGTGGCTCTTAAAAGAGCCTTTGGGTATGTGAGGAGGCGAAATTCACTTGGAGCTGGTGTACTTGGTGACGGCCTTGGTGCCCTCGGAGACGGCGTGTTTGGCCAGCTCTCCAGGCAGCAGGAGTCGCACGGCGGTCTGGATCTCCCGGGAGGTGATGGTGGAGCGCTTGTTGTAGTGCGCCAGGCGGGAAGCCTCGGCCGCGATGCGCTCGAAGATGTCGTTGACGAAGGAGTTCATGATGCTCATGGCCTTGGACGAGATGCCCGTGTCCGGGTGGACCTGCTTGAGCACCTTGTAGACGTAGATGGAGTAGCTCTCCTTGCGGCTCTTCTTGCGCTTCTTGTCGCCCTTCTTCTGGGTCTTGGTGACGGCCTTCTTGGAGCCCTTCTTGGCCGCGGGAGCGGATTTCGCTGGCTCAGGCATGACGCTGTACTCCCTCAATCACAGGCGAAACAACCGGAAATTCGAGAAGAAATGAAGGCAGCTGCTGAGCGTCCTGTATTTATACGGCTTCCATGCTAATTGCAGGATTGAAACACTCGAATTCTCATTGGCTCAGAAACCAGCGACGCCTATTGGACGATTAGATTGTTACATGCAAATAGTAGAATTCTAAAACTTTGATTTCTATTGGATGGCATAAATGTCGTCTGCCTATTGGGTAGCAAAGAGCACCGGCCTTCCAATTGGACAGATAGGGTGAAACTCGAAAGCTAACCAATGGGAATGCGCACTTACAATCCGCAGGACTGAATAAAAGGCCGAGGAGCGCACTTGTTTCTCAGCTTGTGTTCTGTCTACTAGGAATCGTGAGATTTATACTCTTTTGAAACTAGCATCATGTCTGGACGTGGCAAGCAAGGAGGCAAGGCTCGTGCCAAGGCCAAGACTCGCTCTTCTCGTGCCGGGCTGCAGTTCCCCGTGGGTCGTGTGCACCGTCTTCTGCGCAAAGGGAACTACGCAGAGCGCGTCGGAGCCGGAGCGCCCGTCTACTTGGCTGCTGTCCTGGAGTACCTGACTGCTGAGATCCTGGAGTTGGCCGGCAACGCTGCCCGGGACAACAAGAAGACCAGGATCATCCCTCGCCACTTGCAACTCGCCATCCGCAACGACGAGGAGCTGAACAAGCTTCTGGGCAAAGTCACCATTGCTCAAGGAGGCGTTCTCCCCAACATCCAGGCTGTGCTGTTGCCCAAGAAAACCGAGAGCCACAAGGCCAAAGGAAAATAGATCGCTTTTCATCGGAACTACAGCAGAAAAAACCCACAAAGGCTCTTTTAAGAGCCACCCACAATTTCATAAAGAGCTTTGATCATATGAAACCTTTAGGTTTTTTTTAGTGTTTCCGTTTGAAACCGTGCGTCCTTTTCTTAAGCAGGTATTTCAAGGCCAATACACATGATACAATATAAATAATGTGATCTGTGCTACTTCGTTGCAGTGAAAAAAAGTTACACCTATATAGGCTTCTGATACATCACATGTCACTCTTAAAAGTTACTAGAACGCTGTTTTAAGTGAGAAGGATAAAATGTTTCTGAACTTGCCACTTAAATTCTCCCTTCAATGAATATTTTCATTGATGGTCCAATTTCATGAGCGTAGTTGCAAACCTAACCCATTCCGCTGTGAGTAACCTGATTAAACTCGGAGATTTTTATGTTGTGAAACTGCATAGAATTGCACAATTACGAGACGAACACAATTGTGAAATCCATGTTTGAAAGCATAAAACCGCTGCGGTTTTGGCGGCAATTTCAAATGAAAAACCCCGCGGGATTTTGAGGGCGGGGCCCTTGACTAGCCAATCACACGTTAGGGCGCGTCTTTCAAATTATCCGTTGGTTAACAGAAGTTACATTATCTGGCAACTCAGTTTGTTTAGTAAGGCTAAAGGAATTCTTAGTCTTTAGAAGGAAATGTCCGATTTCAATGGACTTTGTTCCCAGGAAAGTGGGTATAGGGTTACAGACGAGCTGCAATAAAGACATGGAGCCCGATCCCATGAATGTCTACGGAGAAGTCTCGCTCAGCCCAGTGCAGTTTACTCCCAAGAAAGCGTGCAAAGCAATGCAGCAGCCTTAACCAATTTATTAAGGCATCCAATCAGTCTTCGATGTATGTTATGCAGTGCCCAGTATTAAGCTTACTCTACTGAAATTCACTGTAGTTTAACATTCAGGGTCCTACAGATCACCTATTTTTACGGCTAAGTGCTGCGATGAGGTGGGCATTTGTTGAAAACTCTTCCTACTTTTATTATGTTTTCCGAGGGCGGGGGGGATGAACAGAATAAACCACTTTAATCCCTATATTTCTTATAGCATTGCATTTCCATCTATCTAGGAAATAAAACCTTGGGAAGGAGCGGAAGAACGAAGGGCGGTGCTGCAAAGTCTATCCAATCAATGCCGAGCCCGGGAAATTCAAATTCTGCAACGGTCCCCTGACCTCATTCAGCCAATCAGGATGCAGCCGCTGGCTATAAAAAGGCGGTCCAAATACCCCTTGGCTTCATTTCTTTTTCCTTTCAGACGAAGAAAGTTCTATCTGCGCGAAGAGGAAGATGGCCCGTACAAAGCAGACGGCTCGCAAGTCGACTGGCGGGAAGGCGCCTCGGAAGCAGCTGGCGACCAAAGCCGCCCGCAAGAGCGCGCCGGCCACGGGCGGAGTGAAGAAGCCTCACCGCTACCGGCCGGGCACCGTGGCGCTGCGCGAGATCCGCCGCTACCAGAAGTCGACGGAGCTGCTGATCCGCAAGCTGCCTTTCCAGCGCCTGGTGCGCGAGATCGCGCAGGACTTCAAGACGGACCTGCGCTTCCAGAGCTCGGCCGTGATGGCTCTGCAGGAGGCGAGCGAGGCTTACCTGGTGGGCCTGTTCGAGGACACCAACCTGTGCGCCATCCACGCCAAGCGCGTCACCATCATGCCCAAGGACATCCAGCTCGCCAGGCGCATCCGCGGAGAGAGGGCCTGAGAAGCGCCCGCCTGCGTCCCCAGAACACGAATCCTGTTTCACCACAAAGGCTCTTTTAAGAGCCACCACATGGTCTTGGAAAAGAGCTCGCACGATACTAAATTATCTCTTGCCGCTGCCGAATATCTGTTCGATTCTTAATCTTTATATGTAATAATTTGAATAATCTGCTAGTTTTCTAATGATCTTTAGTAACTACACTACATTGAAACTACGTTTAGGAGTTTTAAGTCTCCATGGAACTCTTAAGCTAGTAAGTTCCACCACCCTACTTTTTCCATTTTTATGTTCTGCACACAATACTTGAAGAAAAGGCGCTAAGCCGCTTAATTGCAGGAAGCTAAATAATCGGTTATATAACTATCATTGGCTCGGGGTAGAAACGTTGCAATTTTAAAGCAGTTCCTGGCTCTACTTCCCCACCCCAATGTAGATTTGAAGCTGAAGGCAGCCTCTTTTTTCATAGGCATGTCAAAAGTACTCATGGGCTACTTAAAAACTGCTGTAATGCCAGCATTTCTTTCCTTTTAGAGGGCAGCACACACATTGCTCTCATGAAGTGATCCGGAGTTTTGTACGGTAATGTAACGCAGGGAGAAATGCCAGGTGAAAAACAGTATATCGGCCGCGAAATCTGACCAAGAAAAGCTAGCTTGTCAGAAGTGGGATTCGAACCCACGCCTCCAGAGGAGACTGCGACCTGAACGCAGCGCCTTAGACCGCTCGGCCATCCTGACTACTTAAGAAAGGGGGTTTCTTTGTTGAAGAAAGTGTATTTCATTATAACGCATTGGTTTAAGAAGTTTAGTGAGCCATGTGTAACAACAGTGAGGATCAGCTGATAAATCAACTTGTTAGCAGGAATCACCCTCAGTGAAAACGGTCTTTCTTTCCCCAGTTTCCTTTCCCCTTAATCTGCGGAGGAGGCGGCGGCAGCCATTTAGTCCCTAGCGTGGGGAGGTGAAATCTATCGCAATCAAGGAAATCTATCGGCCACACGGTGGCGCTGTATAGTTTAAAATGCCTTGGGATGGGTTACCGCTGAAGAAGCAGGACCAGGTTCTACCCTGCTGCAATGCATGTAAATAAACATGCGAAAAGTTCATTGGTCATGTGCAGAGGACTTTTTCGTCTTCATAGAAGAGAGGAGAGCATCATTCATTGTCACCCACAAACTCGTGAGGAGGGGGCTAAGGATAGTCTTTCTAAGAAGCGGGAGAGTGTTAGGCTGCCACAACTTTCCGGAGCTGATAAGAATAGCACAGACATTTCGGTGTGAAATAAAATCGAAGCAGGGCTGAAAGAGGAAGAGGTCGTTTTAAGTGCATTGATGGTCTACAGGGTAAAGGGGAGTTTAGCAAATTCCTTATAGCCTTTGACGATGACTCATAAATTCACACACGATTTTGAAGCTTGAAGACAAGCCTGTGAATTGCAACAACTTAAATTCATCCAATTTTTTCTTAAGTAAAAAATACTTTTAGCAGAGGATGGTTTCGATCCATCGACCTCTGGGTTATGGGCCCAGCACGCTTCCGCTGCGCCACTCTGCTTGTGGAAGTAACGTTCCTTAGACAGCCTTACAAAGTCATGACGTTTGTTTGTGTGCGCGGCGGCAATTTGAAAGGCCTGTGCACGCAGTTTATTAGATTTCTGTAACATTGCGGGCGCTGCGGGACGTCATTTCTCTATCGTTTCTCCATTAAAGAGAAGCTCTGCCTGTGTAAAAATCCCATCTTTGCCCTTGCCTTTTACATTCACCGTTGAAGATGTCGATCTATTGCTATTGTGATGGTTGCTGCTTTTATTAAATCACACCATCTCCACGTGGTTGTATCTTTTTAACTTGCTATGATCTGGGCTCCCTTGGAATCGAGGGATTATTATTATTATTATTATTAATAGTTATCATACTTGCAAGGCAGAGCAAGAGTTTGAAAACTGCATTTGCGTGATGCTTGCTCATGCATGATCAACAGAAGTCACAGCTGCGCTTAGCAGTTGAGGTGAGAAGTTCTCTGAGCACATACAGAGAACTGTAACAACCTTGGTTCTCCAGTTGTTTTCGGACTACAATTCCCATCCCCCACCACTGGTCTTGCTAGTGGTCTTGATGATGGGAGTTGTAGTCCAAAAACAGCTGAAGGCCTGACGTTGGGAAACAGTGTCTTTTTTGTAGACATCACTGCCCAAATAACGAAATTTATGGGAAGGGAAAATCATATCACCACACACGAAAACATCTCTAACCTTTATGTTGGTTTGCTTAAGAAAGTCGGGGCGGGCGGGAGCTCAGAATGGTTTTGCCTGTGGGAATGACAGACAAATGAAAGAAATAGCAAAAAAGGAAAAACCAGCGTCGACGAAGGTGGGATTCGAACCCACGCGTGCAGAGCACAATGGATTAGCAGTCCATCGCCTTAACCACTCGGCCACCTCGTCTCTTCCGGTAGGAGTTCTCGGGATGCTTCCTTTTGCTCAAAACAGCCGCGTGTTTATTCTAAGGTTGTGTCATTTCTTTGTGATATACAGTACTGTATTTGATATCAATTGGGAAGCCTGTTTACTAAATCAGCTGCTACAACTTTGCAATCATCCCTTTTAAAAACAGTAACATTTCTTATAAGTAGGAAAATACCACCTTTATTCCTGTCGTGGGTTCCATAGTGTAGTGGTTATCACGTCTGCTTTACACGCAGAAGGTCCTGGGTTCGAGCCCCAGTGGAACCAAAGCGGTGTTTTTTTAATTGAAATTGATTGGAAAAGTCAAAGGGGATGGAAGATTGAGAAGTACGTGTGGAAGCTACAAACAACGACTTCTTTCTGCTTTTCCAGTTCCACAGCAATTAAAGGAGGTGGTATAATGCACGAGCGACACTGTTGTTTGGCCAGAATTTTATGATCTAACTCAAAGCGACGTGGAAGAAACAGAATATGCAATAGAAAAAGAGCAACAATCTGTATGCAGTACAGTATTCTAGATTTTAGGACGATGAACCCCAACGCTCCGATTCCTTCTTTCCTCACTTTAGTGCTTACCAGGACCTTTGGAACTGCATCAGAGGGTACAACTTCCTACTGTGAAATGACGAGAAAGTTCATAAGGTAGCATTTTTTATTTTAACAAAACGGTAAATCACAGCTGGCCCGTACGGGGATCGAACCCGCGACCTTGGCGTTATTAGCACCACGCTCTAACCAACTGAGCTAACCGGCCACTTGCGTTTCGAAGCTTCCCTAACTACATACTACAATATACACACTCAATGTGCTTAGCAGTTGCAAATATTTTTAGCAGCGTAAAAGTCAGACGGCGGTGCGTCGGTTGAGCACGCTTGGATCCTCCATCCATCGCCTATGAGGGTCCCTGCAGAGGTCTGATTCAGTCAGATTAGGGAAATAATGGGTTTATAATGTGGTTTTATTTTTATTTCTGGCCTGCTCTCAATATTATTTATTCTTCTAGGGGAGAGCATCAACCTCACCCCTCCTTTTTAAAAAAAGAACCCTTAAGGTATTTGCAAATAATAATAATAATAATAATAATAATAATAATAATAATAATAATTTATTTGTACCCCGCCCATCTGGCTGGGTTTCCCCAGCCACTCTGGGCGGCTTCCACAAAGACCAAAAATACACTAAGGTGTCACACATTAAAAACTGAACAGGGCTGCCTTAAGATGTCTTCTGAATGTCAGGTAGCTGTTTATATAATTTCAAGGCACTTTGAACTGGTGTTTATTTCAATTGTAGCCCATCTTTCCTCCACGATTATAGTGCTTCTCCCTGATTTCATCCTTAAAATAACCCTGTGAGGTACGTTAGGGCTGAAAGGTCACCCAGTGAGCTTCATAGCCGAGTTGTCTCTTTTGCTCCTGGGTGGACGGCATTCATCCATGCTTGTCCAACCCTCAATTGCCTGCACCGGCCCTCTCTTCCATTAGTGGCTCCTTGTTTTTAAAAAAAAAACCCACAAAGAAGTCAGTCAAGCATCTGCAGAGGAGCAACTAGTCAAGGCCGGAGGCATTAAGGGGTGATTGGTCCAAGGCCTTTCAGTGTATGACTAACTGGATTTCTTGGGATCTCAGTGTCTTTGCTCAATGTACATCTGGTTTATGAGATCAGAAGCTCTGCATGAAATTGAGGGCTTTTGTCCTTCAAAGGCTTGGTTTTTTCCTTTCTGAGCACAGGAACAGCAAATAATATGAGAGAAGAGCAAGATTCCTGTATAGAACCTCAAAAACCTGTGGTCAAATGCCAACAGACATTAGTGGAGGACTGTTGCCATCACAGCCTCCTCATGAGCTGCTAAGTGGCATGGAAACATTAAGAAGCTGCCTTTACACAGAGTCAGACCACCATCTAGCTCAGTATTGTCCACACTGACTTCTTGGGACTTCTTGCATGCAAGGAAGATGTTCTACCACCCTTCCTGTTACATCTGACTGGCCACAATGGAAATGGAGTTTTAGACTAGATGAATCTTATTCCTGATCCAGTGCAGCTATTCTTATGTTGTTAACAAAGGAGTGCCTTATAACAGATCCAATAAATGGCCTCTTTGGACTTCAGCTACTATGCATCTCACTGTAACATTGCATTTTCCCTTCTTCAGCATTACTGATTTTTTAAAATGTGTTTTATTTAGTTTTATTTATTTGGTAATTTGGGATTTATGCCTTTTCCTATATTAAAGATTTTCCCATGTATTTTGCCTTTGGGAGTGAGAAGTAGCCAACAGCTTCATTTTGCCACTTGACTTTCCACCAACCTTGACAATATCCTTTCAGAGGGTTAGACTGTTGCATTGAGCGGAACGGGGGGAGCCCTGTGGCTAGAAGACTGGGTTCAAATGGCAGAGGGCATGTTAGCCTGTATACCTTGGTTTATTAAACATTAAATTTAATATATATTTATTTACAGGTAATTAACTAATTAATTAATAGATGTATGCTGTGGACCACTGGGCAGTTAACTCAAGTAAATGAAACAATTCAGTACACTCATACTCACATCTGGGATTTTCTTTCCTAGTTTACAAAGGAAAACAAAAACAGGCCACAGACACACAGGTGCGTATTTCTAAATTCAAATTTGCTTTTATTGGCAATATAGAAACTCCATTGGTCCCACGTTGTTCCACAATTGGATTGGTACAAACCAACTTATTTATTGCACAATGTCACCCCCCTGTGCCCACTGGAGGGACTGCACATCCGTTCTTCCTTGACCCCTCCCTAAGTTCATTCAAATGTGTGTTGCGGGTGTGGGGGCTAGGGACCTAGACTATGTATGAGGATAACAGCACTGGAAAGTTTTGCATCCACACCACAGGGACCGTGTCTAATCTGGTCTAGTCCAGCTTGCAATTGATGGTGCAGTGTAGCTTGTGAGTGGGTGTAGAAAGTTTTCAGAAAGGCAGCGGAAAGCAAGGTCAAGGCTGGCCCTGGGGATAGCGCAAGCACCACTCGCAGGCGTTCTGGAACATGCGGAGCCACGGGGAGACCTTCAGAGACTGGCGCCAGGAGGCGGGCATCCAAGGCCACTGCCAGGGAAGGACACATCGCTCAGGGTGAGGCATCATCGCCAAGTGGCGCCCATCGGGAGAGCAAATGCCCGCAATGCCCAGTGGAGACCCATTGGGATTCATAGGGTACTCCTCAGTTGGCAGACCCTGGTCATCCACGTAGCGGAGAGGCGCCAAGCGAGCAGAGCGCACCTGGGCCAGGACTTCATCTGAGCGGAATCGCATCCGACCTGCAGGAAGAGGGAAAAGGTGAGTGATGAGTCGTGGACTCTCACAATATTTATGTGGCAGCCTCTCTCCATTGGCCAGCCTAGATTACTCTCAGTCCAGTAGGAACTTGCAAATGCGCCCACAAAGCCACATGAACAAGGCAGTTTTCTCAATGCTTTGTGCTGAATTCTAAAAACAAACAAACCAGGGGGGGATTTCTTACTGGAATTAGAATCTTTCCCAGGAGAACATGCACATGCACGCAAGGTCTGGCAGTGGTGTTAGCATAAGTCAGAGGGATCACTGGACTTGAAAAAAGGTTTCTTTTCTCTTAACCCCATTCCCAATAGCTCCTCTTGATAAAGAGTGTGCATTGTTTAGCTTCTTGCATTTTGAGCTTTATGTCTTGGTTTTTTCATATTTGCATGCTTCTGTGTTCTCTTAAAAAATAGAAATGTTTAAAAAATGAAAAAGGCGGCCTTCAGCTCCCAGTACTGAAGCTTATTAATTATTGTAATTATGTTATTAAAAGTCAACGCTGTTACATGCACCAGAGCTCTAAGGGCAACATATTGAATACATTTCTTCAAACATTACAGAAAGCCAGTTAAAACTGCAAACATTTTTTCTATCAATCAAGCATGTTTAATTCCTGTCTCTAAAATAAATATAATTTGTCATTTTACATATTAGTGTATAACCCCTTAATTTTTTTTATGCCTTTCAGAAATCACTGGTGCTTTATTCCCATTTCCAGTTACTTGCACTGAAGGTTTTTCTAAACCTAATTATGAACCCTCTCCCCACCCCACTCAATTTTTTAAAACAAAGATTACCTTCTCCATGTGCCACCCAGATGCCCAGGGTAGAACCAGCCATGCCCCGGAACATCAGTGCCGGACTCTCCTCGATGCCGACGCTCACAAAACGAGACTCAAAGCGCCCAGAATTGTTGGGACTCAGCAGCACACCTGGCTGGATGGCGCCACCTGGAATAATAACCAAGATCAAGAAAATTTTTATATCTCTTTTTTTTATTTCATGTGATTTACATACTGCTTGGTTGTAAAAAAAAACACCAAACAAACCTCAACGGGGTTTAAATAAAACAATGACATTGTCAGTAAAAACAGCCGAAGCAAGTATTTTAAAAAAATCAAAGAATGATTAATATCAACAATAAGCTGAAAACATTAAAACATGTGACCTACCTGGAGAGGCTTGCCAAAGCAATTAAGTTTTTAGCAGGCCAATGTTTCCAAGGATCCTCAAACTAAGGTTACCAGATTTTTTTTCAATGAATCCGGGGACACTTTTCAACTTCAATGGATTTTGTATGGGGACTGATTTGTAAATCCGGGGACTGTCCCTGGGAAACGGGGGCGTCTGGTAACCTTGCCTCAATCCACCTTTGACCAGAGCAGCATTCAGGGTGCAAAGCAAGCATACCCTTATTCCAAGTTTCCTGGAATCATGAAGGGTCCCCTAACCCAAACCCCCTGAAAAGCAGGAATCACAACTTCAGTGGTACCTTGGGTTAAGTACTTAATTCGTTCCGGAGGTCCGTTCTTAACCTGAAACTGTTCTTAACCTGAAGCACCACTTTAGCTAATGGGGCCTCCCGCTGCTGCCGCACAACCGCCGTGTGATTTCTGTTCTCATCCTGAAACAAAGTTCTTAATCCAAGGTACTATTTCTGGGTTAGGGGAGTCTGTAACCTGAAGCGTATGTAACCCGAGGTACCACTGTAAAAAGCCCCCAACAGATGGCCATCCAATCTCTGATTCAACGCCCCCAGTGAAGAAGAGGGCACCATCTTCCGAGGGAGTCCATTCCACTACCAACTCGCTTACCTTCATCTTGCACATCAGCGCTCTTGTTCCCCACCCAGCCTAGCAGTCCCATCAGCTGGCAGCCATTGCAGATGCCCAGGCTGAAGGTGTCTCTGCGCCGATGAAAGGCCTGGAACTGAGCCTGCGCCCTGCGGTTAAAGGTCACCGAAGCTGCCCAGCCTGCAAGCAAGAAAAAAGGAGATGAATTGTCTGGATTTTGCAAGCCCTTCTGAACCACATGCCAAAGACCCCCACAGCTATCATGGCATCAGCGGCAACAGCATCTCCCAAAGAGCGTGAGGCAGTTAGGAACCCCCTGCCCAAACCCCAGCAACAAGGCCGCCATCCCTTGCCACAAGATTGGGTGGAAGCTTTCTCCTCGACCCGAGGCAAGCGGACGGCCCCGTTCCTTGCAAGAGGCAAGGCTGACCTTTGGCAGAACCCAAAACATCTGCGTAGCTGAACCCTCCGACAAACACCAGGCCGCGGAAGGAGTCCAGCGTCATCTCGCCCGAGCACAGGTCTTGCATGGTGAGGTCCCAGACCTGAAGTGAGGGCGGAGAGAAGACAATAAAGAGGAGGCCTTTCAGGAAGGGAGGGGATCGAAGTGACAGAAACATTGCGGGGAGGAGATCCAACTCCTTGCGTGAGGTTCCTGTTCCTTCAGTTTTTCGGTGATATCCAATGTTAAAGTCCTACTGAGGGGAGACCCGCTGAAATGACTTACAGTGGTGCCTCGCAAGACGAAATTAATCCGTTCCGCGAGTCTCTTTGTCTTGCGGTTTTTTCGTCTTGCGAAGCACGGCTATTAGCGGCTTTAAGAAAAAGGAAACAAACTCGCAAGAACTCGCAAGTTACGATATTGAAGCAATGCAGCCGCGAGCTGCTGGTAGCTTGAAAACAAAACATGATGGAATGTTGGGACTGTTCCGTGGGAAACAGAGGGACAGTCAATTCACAGTGCAGAGGGCACCGGAATTAGATCAGAGTGTAATATGAGCTGGACAGGGAGTGTTTGTTCTCTCTCGACTGCAGGAGTATGAAGAGAGCAGTCATTTTTTCTGTAACGCTGCAAAGACAGAAATAAAGGCATGTAAATACGTTTCTGTCTATCTCTTTCCCCTGCCCGGGGGGCAGGAAAGAGGAGGTGTGTTCTTCTCACGCTGAGAAGGATCGCCTATTGCGACCTAGCCTGTATCCTGCTGGGAATGCAGACAGGGAGGTCAACAGGAGATCAAGCTGGGTGCCTGGAGAGTGGCCAGTTTCTCCTGATAAAGGCTTGATTTCCAACAGTTTCGTCTTGCGAAGCAAGCCCATAGGGAAATTCGTCTTGCAGAACGACTCAAAAAACGCAAAACCCTTTCGTCTTGCGAGGCATTCGTCTTGCTGGGCACCACTGTACGTCCATTAATCTCAATGAACCTACTCCATATTGTGTGGCATAGTGCCAGGCTATGGCCTGGGAGACCAGGGTTCAAATCCTCACTCAGCCATGAAGCTCACACTCAGCCTGGTCACTCAGCCTAACCTGCCTCACAGGGTTTGTTGTGAGGATAAAATGAGGAAAGAGGAGAAACACGAATACAAATCTTGAGCTCGTCAGAGGAAAATATGGTACAGTCATACCTCGGGTTGTAGTTGCTTCAGGTTGAGTGCTTTCAGTTGCGCTCCGCGGCGACCCGGAAGTAACAGAGTGTTACTTCCAGGTTTTGCTGTTTGCGCATGCGCAGACGGTCAAAATGACGTCACGCGCATGTGCGGAAGCGGTGAATCGTGACCCGCAAACACGGATCGTGTTCACGTCAGGATGCGAACGGGGATCCGGAACGGATCCTGTTCGTATCCAGAGGTACCACTGTATGTTAAGTGTAATAAATAACTTAAGACAGGGGTCAGCAAACAAATTTAGCAGCAGGCCGGTCCACTGTCCCTCAGACCTTGTGTTGGGCTGGAGAAGTGGCACTGGGGGGGGGCTGGAAGAAGAGGCATGGGGGGGCAAGTAGTCCTCCTCCCCACCCCCACCCGCTGCACTTACCTGCCCAGGGGCTACTGCCACAGCTGCTGCTTCTTGTGGGTAGGCAGAGTGAGCTCGTCCGCTCCGCTCTCTGGCCCACAGGAGCACCAGGGTGGTGGCGGCGACGGAAGGAAAAGGCCGAGTGGTGGTGGTGGCTCTGCCAATCAAACACCACGCCTGGTTTACCTCAGGGCAGCATGAGGACATCTCTGCCAATCAAACACCACTGAGTTAACCAGGCATGGCGTTTGATTGGCAGAGCCACCACCACCACTCGGCCTTTTCCTTCCGTCGCCATCACCGAGAGTCTCAGCTTCACAGCGGGTTCTGGCTTCGCATCACGGGCCAGATACAGGACCCAGGGGGGCCTGATCTGTCCCGGGGACCTTAGTTTGCCAACCGCTGAATGAAGGAATGATCGCCAGGTGTGGAGCACACTTCCACCCGCAGACAGGCCTCAGCTGTCTGAACATCATGCCCTCTATCTAACCTTTTGCTCTCTTAGTAGTCTGATGACCTTTGTCTCTTTCGATTAAACATTGTGCAAGGGGGAAATGACGCGGTGGAAACAGGTGCCAAAATAACCTTGTACCACCCCTTGATCTCGGGATTGGACGATGTGTAAAGGTCACAGTCCAAAATGTATTTGACTGGTTTTGCATACTGTGCTAATAAAGAGCCTCCGCAGAGGTAGCTGGCAGCTTGCTTACGCACAGTTCACCTGATGACCAACACCTGACTCGTGCCTTCACTTCACTAAGACACAGTTATTCCACTTGTCAATGGCCGAGATCCACCTCCAGTGCCAGAGATCATTTTATGCCTCTGAGTGCCATCACAAGAGGGGAGAGTGTATCTGCTTGGCCGCTGTGAGAACAGAATGCTGGAGGAGTTGGACCTGGGGCCTGATCCTGCAGGGCTCTCCTGACATTATTAGGTTAGAGATCTTCATCTCAAAGCACTTGTGGGCGATGCCTTCACTAAATCCACATTGGTCTGCTCACCTGGAAGCCACCCATGAGGAGCGCCGCCACCATTTCACGGTCCCCGTTACTCCCTTCTTCACGAAGGATGGCGACACGGGGGGCAGGAAGGGCTGTAGGGAAAAGACACACGGTTTGTTGTCATCCCTTCACGATTAGGCTGCAAGGTTTTACCATGAACAATTAATCGATTTCACAATTCAAAATCAAGTCAACTAAAAAAAGTGGCCTTACTGATTAAGTCAACTCAAAAAGTGTTCTTGATTAAGTGGGCAGGGTTTTTTTAAAACGTAATTTTTAATACAGGTACAGTCAAACCTCGGTTCCTGAATGCCTCTGTTTTGGAACATTTTGGTTCCCAAATGCAAAAAAACCGGAAGTAAACGCTCCGGTTTTCGAACATTTTTTGGAAGCCAAACGTCTGACGCAGCTTCTGCTTGAGAGCAGGATGCTCCTGCAACCAATCAGAAGCCACACCTCAGTTGTCGAACATTTCGGAAGCCAAATGAACTTCCAGAATGGATTACGTTCAACAACCGAGGTTTGACTGTACTTACAAATATCACATCTCAGAAAATGAATCCCCCATTTGCTCTCGCAAAAGGATGTCTCTCCTAAGATCATGCCTACAGCGGCTCATGCATGTTATCCAAAGCTAATAAAGTATACACTTCTCACTTCATCGCCACTGTTTTTACCCAAATGCAAATGCAATCAATTTATTTGCTAAAATTAATCTGCTAAGAGGTCAGGCAACAGCTCTATTTCCTTTTTCTCAGGGTGGTATCTTGCACTAGCCCAACTCAGAGTAGACCAACTGAAGTTCAAGTTGCCTAGCTAATTGAGGCTCCTTCCTTTCAAGGGGTCGACAACCTTTACTTAGGTACCAGGCGGTGCCCCACCCCTTTCCCCACCCCTCTTCTTGGCCCTGGTCTGCCCCATACCCATTTCCTGCAGCAGGGGAAGTTCTTCCTGGGGGTTAAAGGTCAGGGTGTAGCTGGGCTCCGTGCGCTTGGTCAGCCCTGCCTCTTCTTGGGCCACACAGTCCGGGTTCGCTTGCAGCCTCTCCAGCTGGAAGCTCGTGTCTTCCCACCAGCCGCGCAAGGTGGACACTTTTTCTGCCAACACTTCCTGGCCGTTCACGGTGACCTGGATCTGCAAAGCGTCACAACAAGGCAGCAAGTTAACAACAACAAAAAGCGGGGAGCATTGGGAGATGGAAAAACCGTAAAGAGGGGAGTAAGTGGACTGCATTACAAGCTACAAGAATTTGCTGAAATGGCTCAGTTAACAAACACCCTGAGAGGCAATTCGAAACAAAAATTTATGGAAAAGTGGGATAGATATAAAACATATGTTCAAAAATACAGTAAAGTTTCGCTATCTATGCTGGCATTTGATTGACGTTGGAGTGAGACTGAGTTGAGAAAAAAGACTAAAAGCACATATTGATATAGGAATGTATTAGATAAAATGCAAAGAAATATACAATAATAAGAGTACATTCATGTGTAAAAAAGGAATATACAACGGGATAGATAGGAAATCTAGTGTGTTGGTATGTATATGATTTTTTGGGGGGGAATTGTTTTCGTTTTTACTTTTTGTTCCTTTTTTCATTTTCTTTCTAGGTATATAAAATTTGTATATAATTTTTGTATACATGTTGGAAATTATATTATAGTAAGTCCTGTAATGTAATATGACAACGTTTACCGATGTAATATAAGAATGTTAACAAATAAATAAAATGCAAATTAAAAAAAGGAGGGGGAGTAAGTGGGAAGACCAAATTCCTGCTTGGCCATGTGGTGGACCTGTAAAAGGGTAAAAGAGTATTGGGAAATAATTTATAATGAATTGGAAAAAAAATGTTTAAAAGCACTTCTCCCCCCCCCCCCAAAAAAAACCACCAGAGTCCTTTTTGTTTGGGATGATTCAGATGGAAATTCCCAGGTGTCAAAAAAGGTTATTTATGTAGGCCACTACTGCCGCCTGTGTTTTGTTAGCCCCAAAATGGAAAATGAGTGAGGTCCCAACTAAAGAAGAATGGCAACTTAAGCTGATGGAATATGTGCAGCTTGCAGACCTAACATACAGAATAAGAGAACAAGAAGAACATACGTTTAAAGAAGAATGGAAAATGTTTATTGAATATATGGGGGGGAAATTGTGTACACTTGAAAACGTTGGCAGCATTAGGGTAAATTCAATAGTGTAAATAAGTTTTGATGGAAGTAATAACGGAATACTGAATGGTTTCATTTATATAAAATATGCAGGGATTTATGGCATGCAAAATCAACCATGGAAAAAGAAGAAGGGAAGTCATTGATATGTTAAGGTTGTCTAAATGCATATTCTAAATTGTAAAACAGAAAAGTTAATAAAAATTTACAGATACACACACACATATACATATATACATACATATATATATATATATATATATATACACACACACACACACACACACACACACACACACACCATCCAAGTTGGTGGCCATCACTGTTTCCTGTGGGAGTGAGTTCCATAGTTGAACCATGAAGCTCACTGGGTGACCTTGGGCCAGCTACTGCCTCTCAGCCTAGCCTACCTCACAGGCATGTTGTGCAGATAAAAGGAGGAAGAGGGGCAGAACCATGCACGCCGCCTCCTCAGAGAAAAGGGGTTGGATATAAATGCAATAAATAACTAGAAAGGGTTTGTTTGTTTTTTTACTCGAAAGTTGTGTTTGTGTGGTATCCTTTGTGAGCTGCCTCGGAGCGTCTTTCTTGGTTGAAAGGCGGTCTGGAAATAAACTCTAACAGCAACCCTTTAAGCAAGTCTTCCCGCCACCAGCCCCACTGCTGCCCCCCAGGGCTCACGTCCACACTCACCATAGCATTAGGGCCCCGGGGGCCTGAATGCCCAACTGGCACACACCGCACGCCAGCCCGCCGGTACCGTTGGCAGACGTCGGCCGCCGCCGCACGGGGCACCTCTAGCACCAGGCCCAGCTCCTCAGCAAAGAGGACATCAAGGGCTAAGGGAAGAGAGGAAGTGTGACTGCGTTAGGGTGAGGGAACCGGAAAAGGACAAGCAAAACAACAATGGAAGGTTGCAAGGAAGGGCGCTAGTTAATTTAAGGGGGGAAAGGCAAGTAAAGAGGCTAGGACATTATAGAGGACAATGAAAAGTCCTCCTCCTTCTCACAATCCAGTGGAGGTCATCCAACGGAGCTGTGAGGGACTGGGCAGAGGAGGAATGGTGGAGACTACCTCCCCATCCTGACCCTTCCAGGGAGGACGAAGAGGAAGACACTATAGATTTACAGCAGGGATTTGAGGGAGGTCGCAGCTCAGAGGCAGATGAGGAGGAAAGCTGGGAAATCACGGGAGAGCCAGAGCAACACCTGGCTGACACATTGTTATTAGAAAGCATTCCAGACCCTCCATCTCTCAGAACCCGGCAAGCCTTAAAAGTAGGAGAGCAAAGAGCTCAAAGACAGAGGTACCCGTAGAGGAGGAGGTGGTGATGATGATGATGAAAGAGGAGGTAGGAGAGACGGGAGGATAGAGATTCACTCAGGACAATGCCATTATCCAAGAGGCTGGATTCTATAGCCTCTCTCTGTAAAGATTGAAGAAGAAAAATAGACTGTAAGAAACTTTTCCTTGTCTTTATACTTTCCTGGGCAACCAGCCGGGAGCTGCTGGCACCACCCTGACAGGAGCTGAATGCTGGAAGATTCAGAAGAGACACAATGCCTAGTCAAATAGGGCCGGCGCGACCATAGGACAAAGGGAGGAAACTGCCTCAGGCGGCAGAAACTGAGGGTGGCAGCAGCACCTCATTGGCTATTCCCCTCAAAATCAGGAGAGCATTGTACCCCCTAACCCAGCCAGCAACCCTTAGATGTGGTGCTGCTCTCTTGTTCCTGGAGCTGAAGTCTGAGTCAGCTCTCGATTTTCTGAACGTCGAAGGGGCGCCATCTTGTCCTTTGCCCTAGGCATCAAAGATGTCTTGGGCCAGAGTCTGATAGTCAAAGGACGTGATTCACTATAGCCACAAGAAGTGGCGACGGCCATCAATTCAGACGGCTTTTACAAAATGAGTTTTGTAAATTTCAGGGAGCATAAGGCTACCGGTGACTGCTAGTTAGGATGGCTGGTATATACCACTTCCAAGTTCCAAGGCCTCTCTGAATGCCAATTGCTGCTACACCTATGGCCTGCAATGACTACCAGTGCCTCCTCCTTTGTCTTAGCCTTGCTTCTTGCAGAACTCAACAGGGAGGCAGATGGGAACAGAATTGGCTCTGCCTGCTCTGGGCTCTGGCACCACCTGCTGTCGGCTCCCAGCTTTCCACCTCATCAGACCCAATGGACAGCAGCTGCAGCTGCATTCTCAGATCCAGGTCAAGGAAATATTTTCATCCTTCTCCACCCAACGTTCTCCATGCCCTTCTTTTCTTTGTTGTTGTTGTTTAGTCGTTTAGTCGTGCCTGACTCTTCGTGACCCCATAGACCAGAGCACACCAGGCCCTCCTGTCTTCCACTGCCTCCCACAGTTTGGTCAAACTCATGCTGGTAGCTTCGAGAACACTGTCCAACCACCTCATCCTCTGTCGTCCCCTTCTCCTTGTGCCCTCCATCTTTCCCAACATCAGGGTCTTTTCCAGGGAGTCTTCTCTTCTCATGAGGTGGCCAAAGTATTGGAGCCTCAGCTTCACAATCTGTCCTTCCAGTGAGCACTCAGGGCTGATTTCCTTAAGAATGGATAGGTTTGATCTTCTTGCAGTCCATGGGACTCTCAAGAGTCTCCTCCAGCACCATAATTCAAAAGCATCCTTCTTCTCTACCCCTGACCAACTCTCCAGCTCATGCTTTGATCTCAAGGCACTATCCCAGCTACCCCTGCCCTGCACATTCATTTGCCAAGGACTTCCCTTTGACGCTCTCTCTCTCCCCACTGAATATCTTGTTCCAAATCAGCCAATCTCCGACAGCAACTCAGGCTCAGTGCCACCCTCAAACTCCCATGCCACAACTCCTCTTCTCCCTAACTCACTGACCATTGACTCCAGGCGCCCCCAGTTCGATGTGGGCACCGCAGTTCCCGGCAAAGGCCATTTCTAGCATGCAAGTCAAGAGGCCGCCGTCGCTCACATCATGCCCTGCGGAAATCACTGCGTCTGTGGGAGAGAGAAATAAATTCATCTGTGTGACAGAAGAAATTTGTCTGTGTGGCCGAGTGCTGTCCTCAGCTTTGTTAAAAACACACACAAGAGAGACTTTGCTACTGGAACAGCAGCTTCTGCAGTCCCAAGAACCTATGTTTTATTTAATTTGAAAAGGAAGTTTCTAGTATAGATAGGAAGCTGGCTTGTACACAACACTGGGCAAGGTAAGAGCAGGATCTGTAGAAGTCAAAGAGCTTGACTTCGTAGCCCTGCAAAACTTGTTACCCCTTCCTTTTATTTTTATTTTTGACAAAGTAATAATAATAATAAAAAAATGTGCACCCTACCCTCAAGACAATTCCATTGTAACTATCTAATCTCCCAAAATGTCAAAACCTCTTGCGATGGTTTGACCCCTTTCCGTTTTAACAGTACAAATTCTACAAATTGCCCCTTCCTTATGGCAAACAGAAGCAGAATTACGCATAATAATAATAATAATTTATTATTTATACCCTGCCCATCTGGCTGCGTTTCTCCAGCCACTCTGGGCAGCGTCCAACAAAAGATTTAAAATACATTAATAAGCACATACATGCACCTGTGCTCAGTTTACCCAGGTCACAGAGTATTCCTTTTTCTTTGGTGTAGAGTTCAGATTACCCCCAAATCCTCTTTCCCATCACAGAAGTATAAGGGACCTGCTTCTTCTTTCCACCTTCCGCCTGCCTTCTGCCATGGCTCAGAGGTGGAGTGCTTGCCTTTCATTTAGGTGTGTTTAGAGTGCCTTTACCCAATGGGGAATTATAAGTAAATATTTAGGTATGTCGTACCAGGGACTGGGGCCAGCAGCGCTGGATCTGGGGGTGGGGGTGGGCAGGCCAGGGGTGACCCCGTCCTCGTTCAACGCATGCTTACCTTGTAGCAGACTCTGGGTGACTTGGAAGCAGGAAACAAGGGTGCTGGGATTATCCAGGTCTGGCGAAACGTCCCCCAGCTGAGAGAAGCACTGGGCCAGAGCGCTGCCCCCCAGGCGGTGCCGATCAGGACAGATTGCCACGTGAAGAAGGGTCCCTGAAAAAATGCCCAAGAAATCAGCGAAGAGGACAAAATGATTGTCTTGGATTTTTCCTCTCTCCACTGCAAAACACCTACAAAAAGGGGTCGGGAAGAGATCTAATTGTTGTCAGCACTTAGTACATATTATCCTTTATGGTGGGAAGGCAAGTTGGTGCAGTGTTTTTGGAATTTGATTTTGACAGATATGTTAAATATTGCTAAAGAAGCCATTGCTTCTTGTCTGAAAGGGATGTTACTGGATATTTTGGATAGATCCGCTGCCAAAAGAATTGGCCTTATATCTGATCTTAAGAAGGAATTGCAAAAGAATGGAAAAGAAGCCCAAAATCTTACACTAAATGCTTGGCATCACACCCTCTGGAATAGCTAAAATAGAGAAAACACTGCAGTTCGTTCGACTCCTGAAACCGTTTGAAAACCAAGGCATGGCTTCCAATTGGTAACAGGAGCTTCCTGCACTCAAGCGGAAGCTGCGTCAAATGTTCAGCTTCCAAAAAATGTTCAAAAACCGGAATACTTACTTCCGGGTTTTTGGCATTCAGGAGCCAATTTGTTTGCCAACTAAGCCGTTCGAGAACCAAGGTTCCACTGTATTAGCAAATATTCTACAAGTCATTCTCTAAAGCAGTGGTTCTCAAAGGGTGTGACGAGCCACAGTGATGAGGTGGGAGAAGATGGTGAGTGTGGCAGAAAGATGTTCTTCTCACCAGCTCTTGACTTTACCTTTTCCATCTGGACATTTGAGGTCAGGGGTCACCGTAGCAGTGATATCTGGACAGACAGCATAAGCTGAGATGACAAGTGTTCCTGGGGAAAGGAGCATAAAGGTGGAGGGAGAAGAGTTGGAATGGAGAAAATATGCAGAGTGTTAAAGCACATTTATTGAGAGCTAGGAAAACATCCAAAGTCGCCTGCAGTCAAGCTACAAGGTGCCTGGGGAACAGCTTGTTAGGAAATAACAACACCCTCCTTCCCCCTGTCAAGGGGACCAAAAGTGAAGCAGCCACAGGGGATTTTTCTGAGCTTGTTTGACAAGGTGCAACCACAGGGAAAACTTAGAAGCTGCCTCTAGCTCCTGTGTTTTTGACAGAATGTCCCATCAGCCCAAGGAGCGGGGAGATCTATTTCCCGGGAGACTAGACAAAGCTAGAGCCTAACCTTTTTCTCTCCCTTTCAGAAGTGTTTCTGCAGACCTGGGTTTATGCCTCTCTAGTTACAATCCACATTCAGTTGATTTGGAAAATGTTTGTGCATCTGTGCACATATGCGAAACACACACACAGAGAGAGACACACAGACACACACATATATATAGCGCAAGCACACTGGCAACCTCATACCTGGCATTGCTCAGAAGTGCTAAGATTTATTTTTTTTTAATCTGCAGTTTTGAAGTCAGCAGTTAAACTGGTGCAGTTTCAAAACGTTAAGTTCACTACTTTTACTCAAAAGGGCTTGCAATTTTATCTCAACGCTGATGAATATCTGCTCCTTGAGCTCAGGAATCACCCAGCAAAATTTGGTTACAATATCTTAAAGGTTGTCTGAATGCCTATCAGAAGCCGCTCCTTCCAAAATAAGTAGCAGAGATGGCTTGGAAAGGCAGCAAAAATATGAAAAGGGCAAGGGAGGAGTTGAAAATGAAAAAAAAAGAGAGAGGACAAAACAAGCCTCAGATCCTCAGATAAAAGAACCCTCCGAACTTGAGGAGAGCATTTTTATTTTGGAGGAAGGGGGCAACCACCCCATCCCTTGGCAGAAGCTTTTCTGTTCCTCACCAGGTGCCTTAACGGTCTCCGTGCCAACGCGGGCTGCCATGCTGAGGGAGTCCTTTCCGCCGTCCACAGCCACGCCCAGCTCACCCATCACAGAGCACATGGCCCTGCAGGCCTCCGCCAAGGCAGCCCCCTCGCCAGGCAACTTGGCTGCCCACATCCAATTCCCACTGCATTTCACATCCTGGAAGGACACAAATGTCGCCGCCACATAGACAGAGAGGTTAGGCAACAGTGGGAAGGAGGCGGTTGCCCGTACGGCTAGCCTCCAACTCTAGCACACAAATTAATGTTTTATATTTAAACCGCTTAGAGGTTTCATAAGAGAAATGCGTTGATTTCAGTGAGGGTCCTACACAGAATATGATCAGAGACTAGGGCTGGGCGATATCTGGTTTTCAACATCGTGATATGTCACCAAGCTAAACACCACGATATACTGATATATCACCATGTCTGGAATAAGGATGGAGCTGTGTAGAGGCATTGGCTGGCGTCACGGTTTCCCCCGTTTAAAAATGTTTGCATAACACACACATCACGATTCGCAATTCGCCAGGGCAAAAATTATGAAACCGATATGGACTTCAAACCGGTTTGGGACAATATGTTGATATATCACCCAGCCCAATCAGAGGCAACCCATTATCTGAGTGTTTGTGTATTATTAAGATTTAACACATCTTTGCCAACCTGCTCCCCTGCCCACTCTCCTGAGATGTTGTAGACTACAACTCCCAGCCAGTATGGCGCAAATGGGAGTTGCAGCACAAAACATTTGCAGGGCCTCAGGTTGGCCAATTTAACAGATATTAACATTTCCTGGCCCCTTTAGGCTAGTGTGCAACGTAAAATAAAGTAATATGATAAGTAGTAAAGAAAACCAATCAGCAGTCATGTTGGTTATTGCACAAAATTATATAATGAAAGCAGCCTTTCTTAAAACTGAAAACACCACAAAATACCACAGCTTCTAGTAAAATGAGGGCATTGAGAAGACTTTTGCAGAGTGAAAAGCTAGTCACCCTCTCTCAGCCTTAGTCCACCTTGGATAAACTGAGAGGAGGGAAAACTGAGATACAGTGGTACCTCAGGTTAAGGACTTAATTCATTCCAGAAGTCCGTTCTTCGTGCCACGCGATTTCTGTTCTCATCCTGAAGCAAAGTTCTTAACCCGAGGTAATATTTCTGGATTAGTGGAGTCTGTAACCTGAAGCATCTGTAACCCGAGGTACCACTGTATTAAGGCAAGAAGGGAAAATGTCAGGGGTGGGGTGGGGTGGGGTGGGGTGCAGACTGCCTCACCTTAAGGTCAGTGACCCGAGCGAAGACCAAATTGGTGAGGGCCTCTGCCACAGACAATCGGGCACCAGCTGCAGGGTCAATGAGCCCTTTGATAGGCTGCTCCCCAATGGCCGTGGCTCCTCCCACCGTCTCAAAGGGGGAGAGGGCCACCACGGCAACGTCCGCCAGTGGGGTGTGAAGGGGGCCGACGCACTGTTGTTGAGCCACCAGGCCCGTCACTGAGCGATCGACCTGTACCAGAGGGAGAAGGGCAGAGGGGAAAAGAGGAGAAAATCAAATCAGCAGCAAATATACCTTCCCTCCATTTTGAAAAAAGATGGCTGGGTTAAAAGAACCCAGAGGCGCAAATCTGAGAGGCATTTACCTTGTTGGTCAAGTAGCGCTTGCTTGCCACGGATGGGAGCCTGAGCACACGCTGGAGGGCGTCTGACACACTAAGGCCACGGGGAAGAGATAGAGGGCTGAGGTCTCGGTGGACACGATTCAAAACAAATTCCTGGTTGGCAGAAATCATCACCATTGTTTGTTCATTTACGACACATCCTCACCACTAAGAAAATGTCTCAAAGCAACTGACAGGTCCGCAAAACGGCTTGAGAACGCATTTTTTAAATAAAAACAACAACTCTATATCAAATACAAAAGAACAAAGTTCCTGAAAATATTCGTCCAATAAGTATAAAAGGGACAGATCCTAACCAGCTGAAGGAATTAACAATAATGGACACAGGATATTGGAATCCAAGCCAGAGCATTTTAGAGAAGGGATGGGAGGGTGGTGACACGAGAATTGGCTTTTTCTGTGGCGGCTCACCTGGTGCCTTCACTATAAATCTTTAGGTGCCAGGCAAAAAACATTTCTCTTCAACCAGGCATTTGGCTGATTAACATTCTATGGCTTTTCAAATGTGTTTGTGGGAGAGGGATTGGTTTGTTTTGCTTTTCCTTTGCATTATGTATTTTGTGTTTTTGTCTCACGTTTTTATGCTGTGAACCGCCCTGAGATCTACGAATGAAGGGCGGTATACAACTTTAATAAATAATAATAGTATCACAGATTCAAAGAATTAAGATCTACTGCAGGAGGGGGGCAACCTGTGGCCATCCATGTCTTTGGACTCTGATTCCCATCAGTCCCCAGGCAGCCTGGCCAGTGGTAAGGGAAGATGGGAACTGTAGTCCAATGTCTGGAAGGCCACAGGTTCTTCCACCCTTGGTCTACTGGGACACCTTTAAACAGATGTTTTACCAAAACTTTTCTTTGGGGATGGCAGGGCAGGGGGAGGACACACACACACACACACACACACATAGGTGTGCCATACCTTGCGTGGCATCTTGCCAAGGACCCATTCCAGCATCAAGTTCACAGGAGTGGCTCTCCCTCCAACCTGCCCCTTCTCCAGCTCCACGTCGCTCGCCGGGACCTTTGTGTCGTCAACTAGCACGATCTGTCAAGGAAGAGGAGTCACTTTTACAGACCACCTGCTTCCCAAAGTGTTCAGCCTTCAAACCTTCCCAATCCCTTCTCTCCCTTCTTGGATTTTGGCACTCAACTTTAACCTCTCCCCAGTTTCCCAGGCCCGAACAATGTCTGCCCCACACCAGGAGCAGAAAACCGATCATCGCAGTGAAGGTTTGCACTCCTAAAATCTAGCGCTATCTCTCTCTCTCTCAGTGGTATCTCTCGGGTTACATACGCTTCAGGTTACATACGCTTCAGGTTACAGACTCCGCTAACCTAGAAATATTACCTCAGGTTAAGAACTTTGCTTCAGGATAAGAACAGAAATCGGGCTCCGGCAGCGCGGTGGCAGCAGGAGGCCCCATTAGCTAAAGTAGTGCTTCAGGTTAAGAACAGTTTCAGGTTAAGAACAGACCTCCAGAACAAATTAAGTACTTAACCCGAGGTACCACTGTATATATATAAGGTCAAGGTTTGGACAGAATGCTAAACTACGTCCATGAAAAAGAAATACAGGACCCCAAGATTCTCGGCTGCAGCTAGTTCCCACAACTGGACACTAGTGGCCAGAATTGTGGAAACCTTTTGGGGAAAGTGTATTTCCGAGGTTTGATGGCTCATAACACCTGATTGGCTCTCTAAACACTCCTGCTCACTGGCTACATTCAAATGAAGGAAAGGTACTGCATATCAACCTAAGCAAGTTGTGCTTCCTTTTTCTGGTTATTTGGCTATAACTTTTGATAGAATACAGACAATGGAACAAACCTTGTTGCATTGCATTCTTCATTAAATTATATTTCCATTGATATATAATGTTATGGCATTACTCAAAAGTGGTGTTATGAGCCATCAAACCTCAGAAACAAACTTTTTCCAAAAGGTTTCCACAATTTTGGCCGCTAGTGTAGTTTATTGTTATGTCCAAATAACGCCCATGGTTTTCTGCACAGGCCTTCCCACATCAAAGCTTGGTTTGTTTCAGCCATTCTCTCCACCCCTTTCCCTGCTCCTGCTGTCTTACCCGTCCATCGCCACTGATCTTGCCCACGAAGTCGACAGGGCACCTCTCACGGCGGGCAAGACGTCGCAGGAAATCTGCATGGCGCGGGCGTAGCAAGAGGGCATTGGATTCTTGGTACTCGGCACCCCAGATCTCCAGAACACTCAGCGTGGGGTCTCCTAGCTGGGAAAAGGAAGAAAGAGAGAAACTGAGGGACGAAGAACTGACTGAGAAGGCAGAGGGCCTTCTTGGTGGTGGCGCCCTCCCTTCTAATGTCAAGGAGATAAAAAACTACATAACTTTGTTTTTATATATGCTGTAAGAGTTCATGGGCACATTCCAACCAGGCAAAAACACTCAAGGAGGGTGCTAAGCCAGATGCACTGGGTGGGAAAGAGGATGCAGCCCAGACAAATACATCTGGAGGGCCACCTCTAACCTTCAGGTCTGAGGTTCTCCACCCAGATGTAGATTTAATCTGGGATTTTCCCAGATTTTTGTTTGCATAGGTTTGTTTTTAAATCTACTGCTCCCTGCTCTGTGCATTTAGGAACAGGGAACCATCTATGGGGAAGTAATCAATAGATATAAAGGACAGTAGATCAGAAGACAAAGAGCTTGGTGTCTGTAAAAGGTAAACGTAAAGGGACCCCTGACTGTTAAGTCCAGTTGCAAACGACTCTAGGGTTGCGCGCTCATCTTGCTCTATAGGCCGAGGGAGCCGGCGTTTGTCCGCAAACAGCTTCCGGGTCATGTGGCCAGCATGACTAAGCCACTTCTGGCAAACCAGAGCAGTGCTGGAGCGGTACCTATTTATCTACTTGCACTTTGACGTGCTTTCGAACTGCTAGGTTAGCAGGAGCAGGGATCGAGCAACGGGAGCTCACCCCGTTGCTGGGATTCGAACCGCTGACCTTCTGATCAGCAAGTCCTAGGTTCTGTGGTTTAACCCACAGCGTCTGTAGGAAAGTCATAAATGAGAAACAGACCTGGAAGCGGCTTGCGTAGATGACAGCCCCGGCTGGCTCGCTCAGTTCCTTCAGCACATTCCCTAAAATAAAAGCAAAGAGTTTCTTTGGAGGCCTCTCTCACACACACACCCAAATCCTTGAAGGTAGCAGCTACTATAATTCTTCCAAACTTATTATCACCCAGAAAAGCATCCGTCAATGGCCTACTGTTCGCACCCAGCTCAAAACATTCTTATCTCATGTTCTTCAACCTTGGGTCTTCAGATACTGCTGGACTACAACTGCCATCATCCCAATAGATAACACTAAAGATCAGGAATGATAGGAATTGTAGTCCAACGACATCTGCAGACCCAAGGTTGAAGAACACTGTCCTTATCCATCCAGGTAGAGTTGACCATCTCTACCTTTGGAGGTGGAGGGAATGGTTAACTGCAGCCATTCATTCCCTGGGGGAACCCCTGATGGCCAAAGACTACCTTCTCATCTTCCATTTCCTCTTCCTAGAGCATCCAGGCAACAAAACTATTGCTATTCACAAATCGTTTACTGCCGCTTAGTTAACGTAATTTCTTTGTAGCAATGTAAACATAAGAAGACCCTGCTAGCCAATCAAATCCAGCATCCTGTTCTCACAGTGGCCAGCTAGAGACCTGTGGGAAACCAGAAAGAAGGATTTGACCCTAGGACCTCTTGCACCCAAAGCAAGAATCAAACCCTTAGGCCAATGAGCCAGTTAATGTACCAAGCAGGTATAGAATTCTTATAGTGAAGTTGGCTATGCTACAGGGGATGGATTGTCTTAAGGTCTTCCCATAACCTTTGTGGTCAAATGGGACATTTAGGGATGTAGGGACACGGGAAACTGCCTTCTACCGAGTCCAAACTTTGATCCATCTAGCTCAGTCACATCCTTGGTGTAGCTAGCTCAGAATTGTTGTGACAACTCTCCAGGGTTTCAGGCAAAGGGACATCGCTAGTCCTACCCAGAGATGCCGGGGATTGAACTTGCGACCTTCTGCATGCAAAGCAGGGTGTTTTACCTCTGAGCTACGGCCCTTCCCTGGTCCCCCAACATCACAAAGGAATATCCTGTTCAACCACATCTGAACCACTAGAAACCGTTCTGCTCTTCATCCTGCAAGTTTCCCCTTCGCCGTAAGGTCCAAACGCTCTTCAGCTGCGGCATGTGGCCCAAATCAAACCACTCAGGAGGGGAAAAAGCGAGAGCACATACGGCTAAGCCTATAGCCACGTTCCCATAAGCCTTCTCCGAGCCGCTCACCGTTGCCTCCAGCGCCCTGGTCGTGCAGGCTGCAGATGGGATTGCCTTCCCCGTTCTCCACGCACCCTCGCAACACCCGGTTCATCTTCTGCTCCATCTCAGCATCGCCACGTTGCACCGCCCCAAAATCCAGTTCGCTGGCGTTGTCCCCTTGCACCTGCACACATGGGGAGCATTTGCAGGTGTGAAGGGCTTCGCAGAGGGAAGCGGTAGCTTTGTCGGCAACGAGTAATCACCAGTTAAGAAGAAGGCCAAGGAATGAGGCCAATAAGCAGGGCCATCATTGCCTGCTGCCCAGCAGTGGCATAGCAAGGTCACGTGGTACCCGGGGCGGAAAATTGCTTGTAACACCCCACCCCACCCCCGCACATTGGGATTTATTTATTTTTTGCCTGCAAAAATGGTTTGACTTTATTTCATTTTTTTTTTGCAGGCAAAGTTATTGAGCTTTTTACAGCTGAGGTAGAGGGTGGACAGTTTCACCAGAAGGAAGCCTGCGCGTGCCACAGCGTCTCTCACAGACGTTGAGTGTCACACAGCATTTTGTCACACACACCCCGGGAGGTGACACCCGGGGCAAACCGCACCCACCTTGCTACATCTCTGCTGCCCAGGACTCCTAAAAGGTACCTGCATCTCCGAACCTTCGCCTTAAGGCTTTGATAGGGAGATGCCACCTTCACCTGCAAAGGTGAGGAGCAGAAGGCAACGCCCAACTTACCTGGATGGAGGAAGCAGCTCCACCACCAACACCAATTCGATAGACGGGGCCTCCAACCTTCACGACATTCATACCTGAGAAGGAAATGGGAACTTGAGTCGCAATTGTACAGTTGGAAAGAAAGAAAGAATCTAACATCTGGTCCAAATTCAATATTCTGAGAATCTCAACTGTGATTTGTTTTCTTTAAAAAATAAAGGCTCTAGTCCTCATGACTCCTTGGGAGCATCTAGTAAAATATCAAAATGCAAGTGATGGGAGGGTGAGATTTCCACAGCAGCAAATGCTTCAGCAGCTCTTTAACTTCCCCAAGCTCAACAGAGGTACCCTAACACATTTTTGCAAAATAAGCAAGCACTTATTATTATGAACTGACCCGGTTCCTGCAGTCATCATCATCGGAGACCCTTCTCCAGGTGCCCCATTCATGGGAGGTTCAAAGAACGCAAGAACTGGACTTTTCAGTGATGGCCCCCCAATTCTTTTCGTAAGTCCCTTTGAGCTACGTCTTTTTTTAAAAAAGCGAGTAATAAGTTTAATAAATACTACTACTAATAATAATAATAATAGAGTGGTAAATTCATCGCTGTCAATCGATCGATGAATCATTTTTGCATGAGCAAATGCATCAGCGCTGAAGGAATAAACAGCATGTGTATTAGATGCATATCACAGCAAGCGCAATCTCCCAAACAGGCTAAATTAAATAAAAATTACCAGGCTGTGGGGCTTCCTTGCGGACGTGGGCATCTTCCATCGCTCCAATCCCACCACTGAACATGATAGGCTTGATCCACTCGTGCCGTTCGCCATCTGCCAGACGGAGCCCGAAAGAACGTGCAAAGCCTGGAAGACAGGTGATGGGGGGAATTTTCTCACATTTCCAAACACACAGCCTTCCTCGTTCTCCCTCGCTTTGGACTCTCAGATGCCCTAAGTTGTCGCTAAAGGATGCCAGGGTTTCAAAGAGAGAAACAAACAAACCAGCCGGACGCTGAACCTCGGAAGAAAGGAGCCAAAGATCATCATGCCGCAAGTCTCACCTGCCAGAACGGGTTCCCCAAATTTGTTGCCGTAGTCTGAAGCGCCATCGCTGGCTCTGATGGCAACCTCCACAGGTGGGGCAAAGTTGTCTGGATACAGCAGGGACGGATCTTCCCAGGGTAATGTGTATCCTGCAGAGAGGAATGGGAAAAGAACAGGACAGATTTCTCCCATAGCCTAGGGCTGCTTCGAATCACCTTTGTGCATGTACACCTTGCTGCCTTGGTGGGGGCACCGGGTATAGAGGGCAGGAGGGCCTTCAGCCGCCCATATTGAGGGGGCCGCCATCCCCCGCTGACCCCAGCTGAGCACTGGCTTGCTGGGCGGCGCAGAGGGTGATTTTTGCCCTCCATGATCTCCCGCCACAATCACAAAGCACTCTGGCAATCCTCAAAGGGATGCTTGTGCGTCCCGGAAGACGTGGCCCGACTGGGGGACAGGCATCGTGCATGTGATGTCATGCACGTGAGACGCCGCCCCCCCCCAAATGTTAGGCCCAACTCGGCACACCTGTGTCTTGGATTGGAGGGCATGACTGCCTTATTAAGAGGAGCTTCTGGTCTGTCTCAAGAGACTGTCACATGGCACAATTATCTGGGCATATTTTATAGGGCATAAGTAAAAGGATTTCAAATCTGCACAGGAGCAGGCAGGGGTGCTTAGCTGACCTCCCATCACCGACGTCATCACAGCTTACTGGAAGGGAGAAGGGCAAGTCGCCATGGTGCAAACACACTGCCAGGAGCACCGGATAGGTTCCACCGGGGTTATCGCACTATGCCAACCTTGCTGGTGCCCCCACCTCTCTTTCCTGGTAAGCCACAGCAATGCAAGCAGCAAGGGGGGGCAGCTAGCACCCCTGCTCCACCAACTGCTGGTCTTGGTGCATCTTGAGAAATCTCAGCTGTATAATAATAATAATAATAATAATAATAATAATAATAATGTCGTCTCTAGTTCTCAAGGAAGGCACCACATGAAATCTCAGAAGTCAGACAACTTCCAATCATTAGAAAGCAAACGTTCAGTGCTTGGGCTTTGCTTCTCAGCTGGTCAAAGTTATGCAAATGTATTTGATTGGAGTGATTTATTCAGCAGATTCTACCTTCTTGTGGCAAATGGGAGGGATCGCCTCACTGGCATGCAGTAAGCACAGTTCTACTGGTAATAATAATAATAATTTTATTATTTATATGCCTCCTATCTGACTGGATTGCCCCTGCCATTCTGGGCAGCTCCCAACAATTTATAAAACCACAGTAAAACCTCAAATATTTTTAAAAAAACAACTTCCCTATACAGAGCTCCCTTCAGATGTCTTCTAAAAGTCAAGACAGTTGTTTATTTCCTTGGCAACTGATGGGAAGGCATTCCACAGAGAGGGCGCCACTACAAAGAAGGCACTCTGTGTGGTTCGCTGTAACCTCACTTCTCGCAGTGTGAGAAGCACCAGACCCTCAGAGCTGGACCTCTGGGTCCGGGCTGAACGATGGGAGTGGAGACTCGGACGGGAGGAAGGAAGGAATCTGGGGTGGGGGGAGAAACCTGCACAACACCTATCCATTTGTTGCCAAGCAAAACATCCTTCTGCAGCTGCCTTTCCAGTATGCTGAGCCCAAGCCACCGCTACTAACCTGGTATGAGCAGATTGCCGAAACTGTAGCCAGCAGTGCCAGCGATATAGTGGGCCCCACGGCCTGTGCACTGCACATCGCGGATCCGCCCGCCAGTCCCAGTGGTGGCACCGCTGAAGGGAGCAACGCCTGCAAGGAGAGTTTAAAAGCAACGTCAAACCCACACAAATGCACTCCCTCCACAGAGCACCCAGACAGGTTATTCATAGACTCCGTCAATGCAAAGAAGCCTGTTATTTGTTTGAGGCAGTAGCTGTCCACAGGGGTGCCTGCCTGCCAGGGGAATTTACGATGCACTAGAAATAAGCCCCCTGCCCTTCAGACCATGCCCCCTTTCCCATCCACTCACCAGTAGGAAAGTTGTGGGTCTCAGCTGTGAAAATGACGTGCCGGGTGGACGTCCGCTTCTCAAAGGGGCTGGAACGAGATGGGTCGCTGGGCCACATCGAAAGGACCTCTCTCCCTTGGATCGCACTGTGTTGGGAAGACAAAACACACACTCAGCTTCAAGAAGCCACACGGCTTCTTGCCAAGTAAATTGGGGAAAATGTGGTAAGGTTAAAGCTTACTGGGAAATGATATATAATGAGTTATAAAAAGATGTTCAGAATAACTTTTATAATAAACAAACAAACCCCAGAAGCTTTTCTTTTGGGAATTATAGGGACAGAACTACCTAAATTGTATAGAAATTTATTCATGTATGCTACTACAGCGGCAAGAATGTTACTTGCCCAAAATGGAAAGAAGCAGAAGTCCCAGAAAAGGAAGAATGGATACAAAAACTTATGGAATATGCAGAAATGGCGAAACCTACCAGAAGAATAAGAAATCAAGGTAACAAACTCTTTATAAAAGAATGGAAATGGTTCATTGAATATTTTCAGTTAAATTGTAAACAGATAAAAACATTAGCAGGATTAGTGTAATAAACTGCAGTTTTATAAGAGTATCTATTTACAGTAGATAATTAAATGAGTAAATTAAATGAATTTGGATATGCAGAAGGTATGAAAAAATAAATTTAAGGAAACGCAGGAAGAGGGGGAAGGAAGTCAAATTTTGAAATGTTGAATGGATTGTAAAATTAATGAAATGAATAAATTTGGAAAGTATAAATAAAAACTAAAAAGGAAGAGGAAGAAGCCACATGGCCACCGAAAGCCACACATGGGAAGGGACTCCCAGCTCCCATTGACTGTAGCCAACAAGGCCAAAAGTCAGGCACGATGGGAGTTAAGAGTCTGTCCACATCTGGAATGATCAGAGTTCCTCAGCCAGGCCTTAGGAGTTGGCTCAAAAGCAGTTGTCAACCTGGGTCCCTGCAGACAATGTGGGATGCAAACTCCCCTCAGCCTTGACCAAAGGTCAGGGATGATGGTAGTTGAGGTTCAACCGAATCAAGGAGGGGTACAGGTTCTCCACCTCTGTTCTAGGCCTGCCCCATTGCTTATTCTCTGCTCCGGAGACGGCAACAGGGGGTTGAGGCCGCCATTTTGCAGGCCACCCGCTCCTCCCGCCGGTTCCCGAAGACCCCCACCTGCTGTTGTCGCAGAACTTGATGACGTTGTTGGGGTTGCTCCGCTCCTGGGTCTTCATGATGGACTCGAAGAGGGACTCCTTGAGCTCCTGCCCATCCACCAGGAGGCGCCCCTTGAAGAACCAGTGGCGACTGTGTTCGCTGCAGAAAGAAGAGGCGGGTTTAGGGAGACAGGAAGCTGCTGGGCGCCAGGTCAGGCTATTGGCCCATCTAGCCCAGCTTTGCAGGAACTCAACTAGATAAAGATCTTCCATGCCTACTATTCGCCTTTAGAGTCCTACTTTAGTGGCAGGGACTGAAGCATGCGCTCTGTTGGAGCCATGCTCTTATGATCCACCGCGATCAGGTTTATTTTCTTCTACTCACCACTGAACAGCCCCTAAAGCTTTGGAAAGGGGGCTAAGAAAGTCATTTTAATGACCTTGTTAACAGTTCTTTGCAAAAAAAAATATCCCAGGTCTAACCAAAGATCGAGGGTCTGGAAACCAAGCCTTATGAGGAATGGTTGAGGGAACTGGGCATGTTTAGCCCGGAAAAGAGGAGACTGAAAGGAAATACGGTAGCCATCTTCAAATATCTCAAGGGCTGCCACATGGAAGATGGAGCAAGCTGCTTTTCTCCTGCGCCAGAGGGCAAGACTCGAACCAATGGCTTCAAGTTTCAAGAAAGGAGATTCCGACTAAACATCAGGAAGAATTTTTGACATCAAGAGCTGTTCGACAGAGGAACAAACTCCCTTGGGAGTTTGTGGATTCTCCTTCTTTGGAGGCTTTTAAGCAGAGGTTGGAAGGTCATCTACCATGGATGCTTTAGTTGAGATTTCTGCATTGCAGGGGGTTGGACTAGATGACCCTTGGGATCCCTCCCAACTTTACAATTCTATGATTCTATGGTTGAGCATCCTGTTTCCCAGAGTGATGCCTATGGGAAGCTGAAATAAGCCCCTTCCTGTTATCATTCCCCATCAAGTGTTCACCATTTGCTCCTCTGGACTTAAGAGGTAGACAGAGCAGTGGTTTTCTGTTGGGATATTCCATTCCACCTTAAGGAACAGGCATGATTGTTGTGTGTCACATGCCTGTTTACACTCCAGCACAGCTTGCTGGGAACTTCCGTTTGTGTATAGCTTTTGCTTATGCTGTCTTGCTTTGGACACAAAGGGGATCGGAAATGTTTTCCTTTTGTCATGATGAAAAGTAAACGGAAGGGAAGCGGGTGGCGCTGTGGGTTAAACCACAGAACCTAGGACTTGCCCATCAGAAGGTCGGCGGTTCGAATCCCTGCGACGGGGTGAGCTCCCATTGCTCAGTCCCTGCTCCTGCCAACCTAGCAGTTCGAAAGCACGTCAAAGTGCAAGTAGATAAATAGGTACCGCTCCGGCGGGAAGGTAAAAGGCGTTTCCATGTGCTGCTCTGGTTCGCCAGAAACGGCTTAGTCATGCTGGCCACATGACCTGGAAGCTGGCTCCCTCGGCCAATAAAGCGAGATGAGCACCGCAACCCCAGAGTCGGCCATGACTGGACCTAATGGTCAGGGGTCCCTTTACCTTATGCTGAATAAATTGCTTGTAAATATGCTTACACATACTCTCCTGGCACTTCTGTTGCATAGCGTTATCTCTGCTGATTAGAGCGTGCCCTAGCTTTTGAAGTTCGGGTCACTGATTTATGCGGTACCAAGGACTGGAGTTTGTCCGGTACACTGGCTGGTGGGACGGAGCCAGCTGGGGGTCTGCCAATTGCCCCCGCTTCCTTGGTTGTTTGCCAACATTTTCAACCAGTGTGCCGTGGCACCCTGGGTGACTTGAACGATGGTCAGGGGCAACACTGGCCTCTCTCTCTTTCCTTCCTTCCCTCCTCTGATGCCCTCTTGCATCTCTGCTTCCCAAAGGCTTGTACGGCTGCTTGTTCCAGCAGCCCTGGCTACAAGTACCGCAGGCGAATGGTGGCTCTGATACTGGCCAGGGGGTGCTGGTGCCAGGAGCCGAGGTGGCCTCAGAGTGAATTAGCAAGCAAGCGGGCAAGGGAATGGACAGACAAGTCCTAGGCTCTTGTGGGGCAGTGTGGGGAGGCACCTCTTTGGGGCAGGAGGGGCAGCTCAGAGACCGGAGGTGGTGGCAGCGGTTGCCCAGAGGACTCCCAAGCAGAGGGGAGAGGAGGCTGAGGGAACACGTCACAAGGGAGGATGTTCAAAAAAGGGTGAGAGGCCGCCAGCTCTGCAGGCAAGGGGTGACATAACTGGGCTCCTGAGCCCCACATGGGAGCCGCAGAAAGCATGCAGTTTGTCAAGGGAGCTGTGGACTTTTGAAAGCCTCTGGCATAGGGTTACCCAACACCTATTTGTTTTGGGGGTTTTTTAAAAAATGAAGTCACTTTTGACCCAAAAAAGGGCCCTCTCCCACACCCACAAGGCAACTTGCAGTTGAAAAACTTTTACTTTATAAAAACTTTGCATGGTGAAAATCTGCGGGACTCAATGCTGTAAGATGGCCTCCCCTGAGCCTCAAGCAGGAAGGTTTTTCCCAGTTCCCGCCCCACCCCTCTGCACCCCATAGCCAAGCAGGCACCTGTTGGACTGAGCGAGATCAAAGCATTCCACGCTGGTGGGATTCCTCCCAAGTTTCTTGAAGAGGTCAGTGTAGAAGTCCAGATCCCAGGAATCAAAAGCCAGACCTGTAAGGCAGAGAAGTGTCTATAGTTTATCCTAAACACATACACACAAACCTGGCCAAATAAAGAATATTGTTTCTCATAATCAAGGGAAACTGGGACAGAACAGAGTTCCACTTTCAGAGGTAGGGCCAGAATACTCTCTGACTGGGGCGAACACAACTTTATCACCTCCCTCAGAAGGCAGTGGACTCTCCTTCCTTGGAGGGTTTTTAAGCAGAGGTTAGATGGCCATCTGCCATGGATACCCGAGTTGAGATTCCTGCATTGCAGGGGGTTGGACTAGATGACCCTCGGGTCCCTTCCACAGCTCCAAAATTCCACAAAACCCTTTAAGACCAGAAGGCTGAATCCCTCTAGATCTGTGTTTCCCAAGCTTGGTTCTCCAGCTGTTTTTGGACTACAACTCCCATCATCCTTGACCACTGGGTCTTGCTAGCTAGGGATGATGGGAGTTGTAGTCCCAAAACAGCTGAAGACCCAAGTTTGAGAAATGCTGCTCTAAATCCACGTAGGTCTCTGCAAGTGAAAAGGAGAGAAGAAAGGATCCGATGAGATATTTGCCAAAGCTGTGCTCATGCAAGCTAGGGTCAGACAATAATAAGTTGAGAGTTAGCTTCCAGAAACTGGCATTCAGAATCAGAGCATAGCCACTGAAGGTCCTCCATCTCTAGCCAAGCCCAGCTTTGCCCCGCTGCTTCATACCGAGCTGGTTGTTGGCTTCGACCAGAGCAGGTCTCCCTTCTCCCAAAATATCGACATGGAACACAGGCTCAGGGTGGATGGCTATAGCAAAGCTGCTGATGGGTTCTGGGTAACACTGCTCTGTCATCCGATCATACAGCGTAGACGATATGGAGGCCTCCTGGGGGGCCGATGGGCGCTGCCCGCACTGAAAGAGAAGGATGTGGAAGCCATCGGGTTAAACGTTTCCAAATCCCTATGGGGTTCTTGCGTATGTGGTGACATAAGGAATCTAACAGCAGTTTTCTTCCAGTGTTTAGACCCACCCACAGTCACCTTGAAAAGGTATCGACGGGAACATTCGATTCGGTCAATCTTTTCCAGTCCGGCTGCCCAGCACACCGACACTGCATTTGTGGAATACGCAGTTGAGAAGTTCAACCTACAAACATAAAACATTTGTTTCAGCAAAACCTGCTCCTTCCTTTGGGGTGGAGGGTGTTGTTTAAGGTCAAGATTTAGTGTGAATTATTAGCAGACAGTTCAATTTTACTGTACATTCATTAATAGATGTTTTTGTTAGCCTTTATAACTATTTAAATTTTCATATGGCTTATAACAACCAACTATGTGAAATTATTTTGAAGTGGCCTACAAATAAACAACGCTGTTGGTTAAGTAGCATAAGTTAGCAAATGAAAGCTTTCATATAACATTTGATTCAGCTGTAAAGGCCGAGTTTCAGACAACACAACTAATTCATGGTTTGTCTGTTGTGATCAGGCATTGGGGCGGGACACTCCTTCCTACCAACGTACTCTGATTTCCACCCTGCTTCTCAGTAACCAGTTTGCCCTGACATCAAAATCCACAAAACCATAGTTTGCCACCAAGCACAAATTGAAAACCATGGTTCTTAAACAAGAGTTTCCAGTTCTGGTTTGGCAGCAAACCACAGTGATACGTTGTCCTCCCCCCTTCAGATTTCACAGCAAACTATGGTTAGCGTGAACCAGGAAACGAAGAAGGAATCTCAACCAAAGCATCCATGACAGATTACCGTCCAACCTCTGCTGAAAAACTTCCAAGGGAGATGACTCCTGGGGTACCTTTTAACTCTACAATTGTATAAGCCTGAGGTCTGTTCATGATGCCTGAAACTGGTCGATACACGCATTCTCTCTCTCCTCCTTGCCATTATTGTATAGGACATAGGCAGAGTGGCTTTTCCCCCTCAGCTCAGGACGTACCGAGGCCCGACCTCTATCAGCAGATCTGAAGGAGTTGGGCTAAGGAAGGACTTGGGTGCGATGTCGCCGTCTTCAAAAGGGCAACCAAAGATCCACAGCAGCTTCTCCGTCTCCTCAGAGTTTGGGGGTGTTCCTCCTGGCGAGGAAACAGTAGGGAGAAACGATTATAGCTACCCACAATGCAACAGGGCAATCACCCAACAGGCAACTAGCTCTGAGACAAGAAGGGGTGGGGGGCAGCCCCACGCCAAACCTCTAACCACTCAGAAAGGAAAAAAAGAATCAATATGCACACCTCCCTCCATACCTCCCCATTCGTTTCATATCAGAATCCAGACACAGTCCGTGTCCCATTTTCGTACCTGTCCAGTTGACGTTGAAACATATTTCCTTCTGCACCCCTTGGAGGCCATTACCCAATATGGCTTCAGCCGAACGCAGCAGTGTGGCCACTTCAGTGTCCGTCTCGCTGGGCCGCTGGTAGTAGTGTAGGACCCCCATGGCAGAGTCCTGCCAAGGAAAGAAGAGAAAGCAACAGTGAGGGACTGCTTGGGATGGCGTTTTGCAAGGGGCCTCCGTTTTCCTTTTTAAAAAAAACACACAAGATGAGATGGAAGGTTCGATGGCGGAAGGAACGTAAGTCAGTGGCAGTAAAACTGCCTTGCGTGTAGAAGGTTCAATAAGAACATCGGGCCGAACGCCCATCTAGTAGCCATTGACAGCGCTCTCCTCCATAAAAGGTGCCTCCAGGTAGGGTTGTGGGTCTGAAACCCTGGAGTTGCTGCCAGCCAGTGTAGACTACATAGAGCTAATTGGACCAAGGGTCTGACTCAGCTTCCTAGGTTGGTCTACCCAGGCCATGCAGGGACAGGAAGGGTGGGCAAAGGGAGCAGATGCCACAGAACGGCAGGAAGAGACCCATGGCAGGCGAAGGACCACAGTAACGGAGGGAGCAGGGCTCAAGGCATGAAAGGCTGGCCGTCCGGATGTTGAACTCCACGCCCCAGCCAGCGACCAGGGATGGTGGGAACTGTAGCCCAACAACTTCTGGAGGGCCAGAGCTTGCCCATCCTTGGCATAAGACACTGAGCAAGATGCCAGGGGGGTGAGCATACAGGCAGAGCTTACCAGTGTGTGTCTGCCAACAGATGAAGAGGCTCTGGTGGCAGGGCCAGCCCAAGACATTTTGGTGCCTGAGGCAAACCACAAAATGGCGCTCTCCTCACCAGGGAAGAAGGGTGAAGATGTCCATTGGGAACAAGGGTAGGAGAAGACCAATAGCACCTCCTATTTACCAAGAGGCCGCTGTAGAGGTGGCAAGAGCAGTATGCAATGCATTCCTTGGAGGACAGATCTGCTGCCCCTGTGGATCCTGCCGCCTGAGGCCGTTGCCTCACCTTGCCTCATGCATGAGCCGGCCCTGAGTGGGCTGAATCAATCATAGAGTTTCCCACCCGCCCCCTTTTCTCAATGTCCCTCTCCACCCCAGAATCCACCTTGCTCTAATCACAGATGTCCCAAAGGCCAGCTCACTGGAGCCAAATATCCCAGAGATAAGAAGCAGCAAATAGGTCAGTGGCCTCCGAATCACATTTCTTGCTTCATCGTCCAAGTTTCAAAGGCTCAGGGAACATCCCCCAATCTCCACCTCTCCAACGGCAACTGAGAACAAAACAGCAAACCACACACCGCCTGCAACCAGCAGAGATTGGCTCTGTGAATGTGGCTCGATCCTTTATTCTTTTCACACCATCTAGCTAAAGTTAACTGGGACTTCACTGTCACTGCCATCAGTGAAGTCCTGACTAAAGTGTTGATGCTCTTATTGATGATTAATAATGTTCTCATCAAAGCCCCAAGGTGTTTTATGAAGCGCAAGACAGCAGTTCCCTGCCCCCAAAGACTACAGTCTAAAATTCAAGGAGGCACTAGGGAAATGGAGGCAAGTATAATCAAGGGAGGAGGATGCATTTAATTCAGGGATGTAGACTAAGGGTTAGTTAGTCTTGGCTAACTGTAAGCAGATTGAGGACTTCATGCAGTCGCCCATAAAGATATCTAAAGAGAAAAAGGTGATTGGTGCCTAAGGGCCTCTGCAGACATCCTCTTTATTGTGCATTCATTATTATTTGTGCTCATTATTGTAACATTATGCGCTCCCACTTTCAATACTGTTTGCTGCTGCAAAAGGTTCAGCACAGATATTCTGCAGTTTTCCAACTTGCACATGCCCTGCAACTGCCTGCTGAAATCCTGTAACTAGAAAATAAAATTGTACTGTATACTTGCTCACATGTTCTGACTACAGCCACAACCTGCGGGTAGACACTGTCTCTCCACGTGCACAAGCATTTGTGTGAAAGGGGGCACACGGGCTGATTTGTAAAAATGATCGTGGGCTGGCCTCTTCTAACCCCCCCTTTTTTTAAAAAAAAAGTCGTGTTTGGATCACATGTTGCTCTCTAGGCACAGGGCTGAGTCGGCGTGCCTCTGTTCACCAGCCCTTTCTCCAAGCGAGGAATCATCACGTGTGGACAACAACCCACACGCGGGTTCGGTATTATTTCTGACTGCGATGTGAAAATTAACATAAGCAGGAACAAAAAATAATAAATCTGTAGCACCTTCAAGATGAACTGTTGCAAGAGCTTCCGCGGCCTGGAAGCAATCCCGGGAAGGATTGGATTCAGCCCTGCGAAGTGGAAACTCACCAACAACTTCCGCGAGCCACAAATAGCCTCTGCTAGTTATACCCAACATGTCCGCAGCGGTCTAGAGTTCGAATCCCGCGCAGAAGCACTTCCTACCCCACTAGATCGTACCGCGCGGCCGCGGAGCAAATGATTGGGATCCACGCGCCCCTGGATCTCGCCAGCCAGCCTTCCCACGCTGGTTCCCCGCGTGGCATCGAGATAACGATTACCTGTGGATCTCGCGGGGTGCCCCCTCTCTCACACGCTCTCTGAGCCCCACAACAGCGCGATCTTCTACCCCGGCGGTCCCTCGATCACGCGGCGAAAAGAGGAGCGCCTGCCTTCGCTGCGCTAGGGGGAAAAGTTTGTTGCGCGCAGCCCCTTTGGTGGGAGGAGAAAAGGGGGACGATCCGCGGGGGAGGCGGCGACTCGAGGCAGCGCCCTCCCCATTGGCCGATCTCCCTGCCTCCCTCCCGGCCTTGAATGGAGGCACGTGGGGGCGATGGCCAAACTTTGTTGCCGGGGGTGGGGGAGAGGGCCGAGGGAAGGTAAACCCAGGAATCTTGATCCCCTTCCTCCGTACGATTTCCCCATAGAGAGTCATTATCTCCACCCCTCACTTCGACATTTTGCCTCCCAAATGCAGTCCTTACCCCCAAATAACCTATTCTTGCGATCGGAGCCAGGAAGAGAACCCAGGAGTCCTAGCTCATTCTCCTCCCCTCCCGCGCAGAGAATGCGCTCTTCTCCCCGCGCCCCTTGTTGAGCGTCGTTCAGAAACATTTTTGTCTTTTTCTTTCTTCAAACCACTTAACTCTCTGGAGGTTACGAGGTAGCAGAGCCAGGTAGCTAATTGTCTCGTAACCAGAGAAATTTCTTGCGTAAGGTTCCATGGTGTAATGGTTAGCACTTTGGACTCTGAATCCAGCGATCCGAGTTCAAATCTCGGTGGAACCTATTCCTTGGTTTTTTTTTTGTGAAGACAAGGAAGCTTTGTAAGAACCCTTCTGGGCACCCACGCTTGCAGGCAAAATGGGTTCAGAATCCATCATTGGTTGTCCGAGATTTATTATTGATTGCTTGATTGAGATCCAACAGCAATGGCAAGAGACTACAGAAAGCTGCTGCTGCCAGCCAGTGCAAGCAGTCCTGGCTTAGATGGACAAAAAGTCTGATGCATTACAGTATATGGCAACTTATTTCTGTTTCTTTGGATACAGACTAGCAGTATGCCCAGAGTAACTATATAATGGACTCAGCTACATTCGTAAAGATAAAGCACTTTATATGCGTTATAACACTGTAACACCAGATGGTTGTCTTTCGCCAGTGGGATTTCCCTGTATGAAGTTTACAACCTGTTTAACTGATTCACATTTTTGATGTGTCTACATTCAGCCTGTAACAGGAGTGCCCAAACGTTTTTCAAAGACGGCCAGATTTGATTATCTGAACATGTGTGAGGGCCAACCAAAGTTGAGCTTTTTTAAGGATTGAAGTTATTGAGCTTTTTTTTTGAGGATTTAACCCCCAAGTTGTTCAACTTTTGAGCTTTTTGAAGGATTTTACCCCAGGACATATGCTGCAACGGGAGCCGGATTACATCGATCGGCAGGCTGGATTAGGCCCCCGAAACAGACTTTGGATGCCTGGCCTATAACTAGGGATATACACTAGTAGCTAAGTCTAATGCCACGAGGGGGAAGCACAAAAAGAAAGGAAAATTCCAAAGTCCTTATTAGAGTGACAATTTTATTAGAGCAACCAAAACCGTAGGTCGATTACCTCGAAAACCTGACCAGGGCACATCCAGAATATTGCTGTTTTCTGGTGGGATTCAGTCACATACCAACAAATTAAGGTATTGCAGTTAAAGTCAATCAGGGGTGCTGGGTGATTTGCACAACGAACTACAGTGATATGTTGTTGTGCCGCCGCCCCCCTCTTCAGATTTCACAGCAAACGATGGTTAGCATGAACCAGGAAGCACAGGAAATGGACTCTCCTTCCTTTGATGTTTTTAGGCAGAGTTTGGATGGCCATCTGTCATGGATGCTTTAGTTGAGATTCCTGCATTGCAGGGGGTTGGACTAGATGACCCTCGGGCCTCTCCCAATTCTGATTCTAAGTTACTGTAGGATTTGGCTTCTGCTGCACACAGTGCCTTTACTGCGCTCTTATTAGCCAGAGCTATTGCTTTAATAAATAAAATAAATGGGTGTTGTACTTACCCCTCTGCTCTGCTACTTAAGTCGCCCAAGTTTAGGCTCTGCCACCCGCGGCTCCCTGTAGCTTGTGGAGCTCCTTCCCTTCTCAGCCCATTCTAAATTTATATGTGCACATTGTGACCAAAGTTCAGATTTGAGCCAGAGTGTGCATTTCGACATCCAACCACAAAGGCACTTTTACCATTCTTTAGAAATATCGCTCCCAGCCACATCATGATCAGGTTTAAACTAGCTAAGACAAGACCCAGGTCTCCCAAAATTAATTGGGGTTGGGGGGATGGAATTTATCATTTTTACCTTTGTGGAATTCAGTGACCCTCCCCAGGGTGGATAAGCAGATGCCCTCCTGTCATTGAACCTTTGGCGTGTCAGCGATTAACAGTTCCCAGATCTATTATTAACCAGCTCCTGGTGAATACAGAAAAAGCCATCTGGGATCAGACCACCAGTCTGGTTCAGCAGGCAGCAGAGTCCGGAGGCAGCAGCTCTGAAAACGCTGTTCTTTAGCCACACCAAATAAATAAATAGTTACAGGTACACTGCCTCTGAACATGTCAGTTCCATTTATCCATAATGGCTGATAGCTATGGATAGGTATGACTTGGGCAGAGTCCCAAGGGCCAGCTAGAGACTTCTGGACACAATGGGTCAGTGTGTCTTGCTGTTAACCAGAAGATTAGTGGTTCGAGCCCATCCAGGGACAGCTGTGGGCAGGATTCCTGCATGGCAGGGGGTTGAGCTAGATGACCGCTGGGGTCCCTTCCAACTCTACAATTCTATTATTTGGGCCCTAGGCCCGAGTTTCAGCAACTAACTATAAAACCAGCCTCCGACAGTTAGGGTCCAATTCTCTCTATCCAGGGCCTTCTGCCAGAATTGCTTGTTTCTTTTACCAACTGAAGCTCATCTTCCTTCTTGACAGACAGACAAATGAGGTACTGATGGGAGAATTATTACATTAGACAGATTCATGCAGGATAAAGCTGTCAGTGGGTACTAATCTTGGTGGTTGGGTTTTACCTCTGCTGCTTCTGAATACTTTTGCTTGTTTGCTTCCAGCAGGAGGAAGGCACTGTGAGAATGGGATGCTGGACCAGATTGGGGCACTGGCCTGATGCAGGCGGCTTCTTTTCATTCAGGACAAGCAAAAGGAAGAGATTCTAACAATGCAAACTTTAGCAGATGGGGTTTGTCTATCACACTGCTGAGGTGGGAGCCAACAGATCAGGCTGGATGTAGGGAAACTTAACAGCGGAGGGTGGTCGTTTCCTGTACTTTTTATTATTGAAATATACTCTGAGTCAAGAGTGGATTTCATGCTCTTTATTCAGCTCATAGTGGTGAGGAGGAATGGAAGTTCACTCAGAATGTCTGCCTTATATACATTACCGTATTTTTTGCTCTATAAAACTCACTTTTCCCCTTCCTAAAAAGTAAGGGAAAATGTGTGTGCGTCTTATGGAGCGAATGCAGGCTGCGCAGCTATCCCAGAAGCCAGAACAGCAAGAGGGATCGCTGCTTTCGCTGCGCAGCGATCCCTCTTGCTGTTCTGGCTTCTGGGATTCAGAATATTTTTTTTCTTGTTTTCCTCCTCCAAAAACTAGGTACGTCTTATGGTCTGGTGCGCCAGAGCGAAAAATACGGTATTTACACAATGGGCCCCACGTGATTGGCTAATTCCGGGATTCTCCTGTAGGCCAATCAGGTTGTGGATTCCCTTCCACCTGGAGCTGGATTGGGTGGCTCCAGGTGGACTGGGACCAATCAGACTGCTGCATTCTGAATCCTATTGTTCTAGAATCAATCAGACTGCTGCCTTTTGGATCCTATTCAACTCAGTACATAACAATTATCATTATTATTCTTCACTGATAAATTAGAAGCACACAGAGTAAGACAAGAAACAAGAAAGAAGAAACAGGAAATAGTACCCACGTAGAAAACAAAACAGAGAAAAAAGATAGTGTACATTACCAAAAAAAAAAGGGGGGGGATGTTACTGTAGTTAACCTAATGTGGCATCTATATAAATGAATTCCCATACTTGAAAGCTCCTGAGCTTGCTCAACCAAAGCCTTCAGCAGAGCAAATGTGCAGCTACTGCTACCTCTCCTTCAGTTGCTCTGCTGACGTCATAGCAGCAGCAAAATGCCTCATCCAAGGCCATGGGTGTGTGAGAGGGAAGGGGGTGGGGACGCCATAACCCCACACACCATCCATGGGCCTCTTGTAAGAGCCCAAACAGGCCAAATCAAGCCACTGTAAGCATAAAGCTTTTTTTTGGCAGCTCAGAGTGTGTTGCAGAGAGTTTGAGGACACTGTGTCCCAGCCAGGGCCTAAGATGAGCTGACTGGCAGGCCAGCAGGAGTCTGGGGCTGTGCCAGGGAGAGGGAATCTGTGGCTGCTTTCACATGTTGCTGGACTCCCAGCTCCCCCTCAGGCCCAGCCGGCATTGCTAGCCACTGGGCTGGCCTTGCAGGCCTCCCCATTTGTCACGCAAAGGCCTGTTTTCACGAAGTCACACCCAATGCGATGCCAAGTAGAGACACAGCAGCAGGAAGCTGGAGTGAACATCCCACACGTCAGTTCAATCCTGCTTAGGGCAGCATCTCTGCCCCTCCCCATGGGCCAACTTTGACAGGTGGGCAGGAGGACCACTCACCTGACAGGTGTGTGGTCCTCTTGCCTGCAGGGATGGGAGAAAGACCTGGCTCAACAGATTATGGGATTTGTAGTCCAGCAACATTCAGAGATCCATCAGTTCAATCCCTGGGTTATGTGACCGTCTCCATAGAGCAGAAGTAGCATGAAACAGCTTTGTATTCAACAACATTGCCCAAAGGCAATATGGAGGGCAGGCAAGTCAATCTGCTCACCTGCCTTCAATTTGCAACTAGCCTGGCACCCAAGCTACCTGCCCCTGTATGGTAGGTGGCAATATTTTTTAACTAGCTTGCTATGAAGCTAGGGGCTTGCATTTCCATGTTGCTAGTCTTCCAGCAGGCTAGTAAATAATTTTGCGGGTTCCTTATGTGGGCTTGTTTAGGATATGTATTTGATGCCATCCACCACTTTCAGCTAAGATTGAGTATATCCACACCTGTGGCTACTTAGCCTCAAGTGAGAGATTTTGGAGAGGTATGTTGAAAGATGATTAGGCACGTGCCAAGGAAGTGGTGCAGATTTCCAAATCAATTTGTATATTACTGTAGAACAACACAAACATCCATACCCGTAACAGCTGGCTACTAGCAAGTCAGGAAGGAGGATTCTAAGACGAGCCTTTTCCCTGACATGCTGATTTTCTACATGCGGGGATTTGGTTTGTCGTCCCATAGTTGAGACCTATAGGCTATACTGAAAAACTCCAACTCATAAGTCGTTTGAAGCCTTTTATTTGTTTTCTTTTTGGATATGTAACATTTTCAGAATATTGTTTTTAACAACCAATTAATCCAACAGGGAGGATCATGCCGATTGCAGCAGCTACCCCAAACAAAGCTATGGAGATGGCTTTTGCAGCTGCTCCTGCAACAAAGGAACAAGGAGTTAGTGTCTACTGAGCCGACTCAGGGCCGCAGAGGCTTTGCCCTAAGAACATAGCAAGTGGTCTTATTATACTTGAAGACAGACTATTTGTTCATCTAGCCTAGTGTTGTCAGGTCCTGCTAGCAGCAGCTCATCTTAGGGCAGAGGATCTTTGCAATCATCACCTGCTCTTCAAAGCTTTAAATGGAGACAGAGACCAGAGACTGAACCTGCTTGGGACCATTGCGCATGCAAAGTGTGTTTCTCCACACCACTGAGTTCTGTTCCCTCCTCAATGAACTATCATGAAACACGAGCTCTCCAAAGTTTATACGTCACCAGTTCCAAGTTGTATTATTTGCATTTACTTTACTTTTGGGGGTGACAACAGTGGTGGGGTTTTCGGAGTGTGTTTTTATTCTGTTTTTAAAGAAGCAGATTTTCAGCATGCCCTGATTTTAAGTCAAGCACCCGCAGACAAGGCTGGTTCAAAATTTCAGCAGCCCATGGGACAAATGCGTGTCGCCCGCAGCACAGAGCTCTAGCTGCCAGGTGGGAAGCTTGGTATCTGCCTGAAGATACCAACCCCCCCTCCCCATCCCGCCTTCTTCTCTCCACACGGTCTGGATCCTTGGTATCTACCCAAAGTTACCAACCTCCCTCTCCCGCAACACACAGTCCCTGCTGTGATATCTGGGCCAGTGAAGACCAGGTACTTATTCCTGTCAAAGTGGCATTCCACAGGTTGAGATGATGGTCGAGGCTTTACCTGATGAAGAGCGGCCTGCTATCTGGGATACAGCATGGTGATCTGCAGACCTCTTCCGCTGATATGCTGAAAGACAGGCACACCCCAGTTGTTAGGAAGCAATCAAACATTACACAAGAGGAACATAATGGAGTTGTTCCTACACCCACCACCACAGATGATGTGTGTTAAGTCCACATTACATTCTAGCACATAGGTAGGCAAACTAAGGCCCAGGGGCTGGATCCAGCCCAATCACCTTCTAAATCCGGCCCGCAGACGGTCCAGGAATGAGCATGGTTTTACATGAGTAGAATGTGTTCTTTTGCTTAAAATGCATCTCTGGGTTATTTGTGGGGCATAGGAATTCGTTCATCCCACCCCCCAAATATAGTCCGGCCCCCCACAAGGTCTGAGGGACAGTGGACCGGCCACCTGCTGAAAAAGTTTGCTGACCCCTGTTCTAGCATAACACTTTGGGGTCCTTAGAAATGGGACCATTATTTGAGCAGAAGCCATGTTTTCAAGAAGTGGGGAGGTAGAAAGGTTTTCCTGTATCTCTGGGAAGTGAAAACAGCCCTTTTCAAGTCCAGGGGTGCCAAGTCGAATAAAATATGGGGGGCAGGTAAGCCCCACCCCACATAACCACAAGATACAGCACACAATCACCATTTGAATGGCAATCTCCATCCATTTTAGGGAGGCCCGGCCCTCTCAAATATTATTTGGGGGTGCACGAAGGTACCTCAGCCCTTAGGAGTTGACCAAAGGCATCATCAGGTCAAATATCTTGTTCTCTTTTTCAATTACATTTTATTAAGTTTCAACATTTTTAACATGTACAATCAAAACAATTTCGACTTTTCTTTTTCTCGACTTCCCACTCTGTTTTCCACAGAGTTGTTGCTTCTCCTCTTCTGCCGCACCCTTCTGTCTATTATATCATAACCACAGTATTATAATACAGTGGTACCTCGGGTTAAGTACTTAATTCGTTTGGGAGGTCCATACTTAACCTGAAACTGTTCTTAACCTGAAGAACCACTTTAGCTAATGGGGCCTCCTGCTGCCGCCGGAGCACAATTTCTGTTCTCATCCTGAAGCAAAGTTCTTAACCTGAAGCACTATTTCTGGGTTAGCGGAGTCTGTAACCTGAAGCGTATGTAACCCGAGGTACCACTGTACTGTGAGTTCATCATACCATATACAAAGCATCCTGTTCTCACAGGCCACCCCAGATGCCCACAGGAAGCCCCCAAAGCACAGGAACATTCTTCCCAACTGCAATTCCCAGCAACAGGTTTTCAGAGTTTTTGAGTCACTCTGACAGTGGAGGCCAAACACAGCCATTGTGGCAAGCGTACAGCCACATCCCTCCACGAATTTGCATTCGCTGGGATGCCACCGAGGTTCTTGCATTACAAGGGAGAAACACTTCTCCCGGATAGGCAGAATGCCTGCCTGATCCAGGAAGGACATGCCAACAGTGTGAGTGACCGGCTTACCTTTGGCTTCAAGAGCGTAGGGTTGAGATGTCACCTGTCCCCCCTGCAGCTGGCGGGCCCATACCCGGAGCACCTCGTTGAGGGGGTAACGGCAGCGCAGGGTCAGCCTGGAGAGAAAAGCCGGACCTGTACTCTTACACAAGCCATGTGGTCCATTCCACCACCACCAGAAGAAGAAGAAAAGGACAGCATCTCTTCTGGAACATTTTAATCACGGAGCCGCCTCACCTGTACTGGGAGTCCCTGGTTATAACTGGACTTGCTTCCGGAATCAACTCTCTCCTGAAGGTCACTTCGTTCTCGTATACCAAGTAGTTACCGTCAAACTGAAGGGCAGAGAAGAAATTCAGTGCAAGGGGGGGCTCCATAGTTGGGGAACCCTGAGTTGCAGATTTGTCTCTCTTACAGAGGTGTGTCTGGCCCCGTCATTATGTTGTTTCCATCTGAAGACGCACCCCTTTACACCCTGGTCTCCTGACTGTAGGCAATTTTATTATTGTTGTTGTTGAACTCATAAGCCACCTTTCTGCCAGCCAAGGCGATTTACACTAAAACCACTCAATAAAACGAAGAATGACGAGAGTCCTCCCAGGCCAAATGGGAGCCAATGGTATGTGTTTTCCTTGGCCTGCCGCTCCTTTGCTTCTGCCACCATTATTGGTCTTTAGCAGGTCTTTAGCAGCCCCAAGGAAGGTGCTAGAGGAGCTGCCTCAACATTGGTGGCGGTGGTTAATAATACTGTTAATACTATTACTACTAAATAGTATTATTACTAAATACTATTTTGCTACTAAATTTGTTACTCGCCCTCCACCAGTGGGTCCCAGGGCAGGTTACAAATTTACAATTAAAAGCAATTTACATGGATTACAGTGACAGGAATTGAAAACATGTGTCTCAAGTGTATCTGGCCCAGGTAAAGAAGTGTGTCTTCAGCATTTGTCCAAAGCTGTAGAGTTCTGTCAGGAGCTGGTGGTACGGGTGCTCCCTGCCCTAGGAGCTACCTACCCTCCTTGTGGTGCCACAAGAAGCCACTGGGAAAGAGAAGAGGGCCTTGGACTCATCAGCAGCCACTGGCCCACAATTCTTGTCCCGTAGGTGGGTTTTCCTGGGGTCCAAATCCGGCTTCGTGTCCAGGCCGAGGACCGTGGCCATTATGGTTCCATTGGGGAGACACACTGCAGGAAGAAAGAGAAAATGCAGCAAGCTGTCTTTTATTGAATCAGACCATTGGGTCCATCTGACTTAGCATTGTCAACACTGACCCTCACGCCTCAGACAGGGTCCTAGAGTCCTCCTGTCTCCTTCCCAAAGCCTAGTTAACACTTGCCCAGCTTTGGGATGGAGGAAGAAGGGGTCTAGGACCCTGCCAGAGCCTTATGCCTCCTTCCCAAAGCCAGACACCTCCTCTACCTGGCTTTGGGAAGGTGGCATGAGGACTGGCCTCACACAGGGCACTATTTTACCAAGCATGGGTGTAGCCAGAATTTTTGTTAGAGAGGGGTCAGCCAAAGTTGTTGAGCTTTTGTGGGGAACATCATGAGGGGCAGGGGGATGCGGGTGGCGCTCTGCTGTGGGTTAAACCACAGAGCCTAGGGCTTGCTGATCAGAAGGTCGGCAGTTCGAATCCCTACTATGGGGTGAGCTCCCATTGCTCGGTCCCTGCTCCTGCCAACCTAACAGTTCGAAAGCATGTCAAAGTGCAAGTAGATAAATAGGTACCGCTCCAGCAGGAAGGTAAACGGCTTTTCCGTGCGCTGCTCTGGTTCGCCAGAAGCGCCTTAGTCATGGACTTCCGGGTTGGCGCCTCTGGCAATGGAGGATTTCCTCCGATCGGGAGGAACCCGCTCCGTGGAAAACAGGGTCTGAACCGCCACAGGGAGAAGCCTGTGGACGTGGGATTCGGCTGGCACCTTTGCGCCCCCTCCACTCGCGGGGAAACCCTGTTTTGGGGATCCGGAGCGACGTGGGGTGAGTGGCGCGGTGCTTTGAATCGACTGCTTCTTTCACAGAGTGAAGCCGCATTGCTGTTGCCGGAGAGCGCTGACTTTTTCCTGTGGACAATTGGATTTCAAACAACTGCCCATGAGTAGAACGGAAAATTGGACTGTGAAATTTCTTAATTAGGCACCGAAAGCGGGAAGGTCTAAACAGGAAGTCCGCCTTCCGCTTTTTGTAGATAGATTGAAGCAAAGACACGGCAAGCTAGAATTCAGAAAGTCGTTTGTAAAGGACTAAATTTTCATCATTTAAAACTACTGAACCCCCCTTGGAAGCAGGAGAAGAGGGGGGAATCTTTTTTGGACTGTTTAAACCTGCAGAAGAGAGAGTAAAGAAAGGTAATTTTCCACCGTCTTGAACCTGGGAGCGGGGTGTCAAGACAGACGTTTTGGAGAAGCCCATTGACTATGGACAAACGTCTTTGACAGATAGTTAAAAGAACAGAAGCATATTGATTCCATTGTTCCCTTTCGCTTTTAAAAGGAACAAAATATTGACAAAATATCCGAAAAAGGAAAACTTTGTTGCTAAATCTGCCTTTAAAAAAAAAAGGGAAAAAAGATGGATACAAATAGAAATTGTCTCCCCTAGAGGGAGCTTGTGAAACTGTTATTAAAGTCGAACTGGGGAGTTTTTGCAGCTGTAAAAGATTAAGATCGTGGGACCAGACTTCAACCTTGAACAAGAATGTGCTCAGAGGCTCTGGTGCTTGCCTTTTGGAAGACAAGTGCTTTATTGGAACAGTTACATGACAAAATGGATTTAATGACAGTTGCGATAGGAAATTTTGGACAGGCAGTGGGTACCTATATAGAACCCACTCAGGAATTAACCCAGGAATGTGCTTTGACAGATGAGATGAGGGAGGAGGCTGTTGCTGGACCTCGGGTGGCAGAGATGGAAGGAGCTGTGGCCCAGCAGGAACATGAGTCGTTGGATTTGATGAATGAACCTGGAAAAAGTCAGATTTGGAGAGACGGAGATCTGCTTGGTTTGGAGATGGGGGGCTGGATGGACCCCCCTATGCAGAGATGTTTTGATTTTTCAAGTCTGGCTTTAGGCCGGGGGGAGCTCGGAGTTGTGGGGGCCCCTAATTTTGGAGGGGCCTTGAAACATGCTTTTAAATACCACATGGATTTCAGTGTTGACTATGGAAAAGGGGCTGACTTGTCGAGAAGGGACAAAAATATTGTCAAGTTGGAGTCTCCCAGAGTGAAAGGAGCAGAAGACAAAGTAAAGTACAGGTATAAACATGAAGAAGACCTGCGGAAGGGACATGGAAAAGACTTAAGAGCCTCGGATATAAGGTCACCAGGTTGATGGACTAGATGGATGGGATAGAAAGGACTGACAAAACCCGAGACCAGGAGAAGAGACGATGGATGAAGATTGGAAGAAAGTTTTAAAAATTTATTTAGAAAAGTATCGCAAAATTAATGAGTAGCAGAAAAATGTTGGAATGAAATTAATTGGCTTTAGCAGAAATGTTAAAAATAACATATTCTTATGTTATGGTTAAAAGAATTTGGTATAAATAAGATTTAAGTTTTAAGGTTTTTTATGGTAAGATAAGGTTAAAATAGATCAAGGTAATTTAATGACAGAATATTGTGAAAGATGGAAAGGATTTGCTGAGATAATTAACAACTAGAATACAAAAAAGGGAGGTGTGAGGAGGCCGATGAAATAAGTTAATGAAAGTTAAGGATTTGGGAATATTGGATTTGTTTTTAAATTTGTTGTATATTTTTGTTTCTTGATTGTGTTGCATTGTGTGTTTTGTTTTTTCTTTTTGATTTTGGTTTGTATTGATTTGTATTGTTTAATTGTTTTTTTATCTATTCCTTTCTTTCTTTTTCTCTCTTTCGTATTTTTTCTTTCTTTTTTCTTTGTAACTTTAAAATGCTCAATAAATATCTTTTAAAAAACCAAAAAAACAGAAGCGGCTTAGTCATGCTGGCCACATGACCCGGAAGCTGTATGCCGACTCCCGTGGCCAATAAAGCGAGATGAGTGCCGCAACCCCAGTTGGTCACGACTGGACCTAATGGTCAGGGGTCCCTTTACATTATGAGGGGCAGAACCCGGCTCCCTGCCCCTGCTGCATACAGGGCAAGCTAAGGTCCATCTCCAAAATTATTGTTCATCACTTTCTACAAGAAATCTCTCCACTTTTGCCCCTGGCCCTGCCTGCTACAAGCCCACCCCGCTTCCATCAGGGAATGTGCGCCTTGGGTTGAAATAGGTTGCCAAACAAGTCTTACTCCACACAAAACGGAACCGCCATGCCAAATTCCTTACCAAGCAGTTTTCCGGTGGGGAAAATACAGCCAACGCGGAACGCTACCAGTACCGCTGACGTCTTGTTGTCCCTCAGGGTGAAGTCGAGCCGGGCAGTTAGTCCTTGGAGGGAGATATCCTGCGGCAACACACACAAACTCACGTCACACATATCTGATCGGGTCGGCTCCCGCGTCAACTCAAGGCCAAAAGTGGTGGCAGGACCCTTCCCCAACTCAGGCCTACCTCATACACCAAGCCAGGTGCCAAAAAGGGCACTGAGAGGTAGTAGTAGCTGCCATCATCCTGCACAGTGTAGTTCTGCGATGCGGCCAATTCATTTGTCAGCTGCAAATTCCCCACGTACGGGACCCAGTAGCGATCCAAGTTTCCGTGGGTCATTACCAGTCCAATCCTCCCCGTCTCACAGAAGCCTTCGAAGGTTGGAAGAACTGAAGAATGGTAGGTGAGGAAGAGGGCATCACCAAATATATCTTGCTACGTATACAGAAGATGTTACAAGGCACAGCCTCTCTCAAAACACACAGTTTTGCAACGACTGAGATCTACTGGCAAGAGAGGCCATCTTCTCCACAGAGATTCCAGACTTAATTGAATACATTTCATTAGGAATCTTTGTGGTCTCTTTCAGTGATAGGCAACGTGGACACCCTCAGGACGCTGTCAACGCCAGCTCCTGTGGCTCCTGACCATTGTTCATGCTTGCCAAAGAGTGTCCAAAATCTAGAGAGCACCATGTTGGGTATCCCTAATCTATTATAATGCTTGCAATTACGTTGTGCATTTTTTGGGCACACCTGCATAAAATAACTTAAGAGCAGTTCTGCAAGGTGAGGACGCCAGAGGCCCCTATTCTTAATTCAAGGGCTTAAAACATACAGATGATAAGCACAAACTTAAAAGCAAAAAGGTTTCATATGACGGAACAAGGCTGTCACTATACATTTAAAGGCTCCCTGATAGAATCCTGGGAACTGTAGTTCATTAAGGGTGCTGGGAAATGTAGCTCTCGGAGAGGGTGAGCTACAGTTCCAAAGACTTTTTGGGAGGAAACCACATGCTTGAAATGTGCTTCAGACATATGGTGTGTACACAGCTCAAATATTTCCAAACTATTGCTTATTTCTAAGAATATCTGTACAGATGTAATTTACACTTGATAGGCAATCGTACTGGATTGACTGAGCAACACTGCATTCCTTCCCATGTATATATTTTAAACTGCTTTGAAAGACAGATACTTCAAAGCCCCTCCCTCTGCTCAAGCAGACTCACCAACATCAGGGACGTCACATTCAATTACCCCAGGGTAGGTGAAAGGCTTGCCCTTTGGGTTCAGGTTGAAGGTGTATTCTAGCCGCAGGGTGTATCTTCTGATGTTGTCATACAGGTACTGGAGAAGAGAAGGGCCCGTTCACGGCACAATGAAAGCTGGAAGCCCCTCCACCCCAAAGGTTACGAATTCAAATCTCCCATCATTCTCTCCATCCAGCTTGTTATCAGCGTGACACTATTTTTTTTTAACTGTGATGCACTCTACATGGGGCCACCTTTGAAGGGCGTTCAGGTGGCGCAGAACAATGCAGCCAAAATATTAACCGGGACTGGTTTTATAGGGAGCACAGTCGTACCTCGGAAGTCGAACAGAATCCGTTCCGGAAGTCCGTTCGACTTCCAAAGCGCAGCCTCCGATTGGCTGCAGGAAGTTCTTGCAGCCAATTGGAAGCCCTGTCGGACGTTCGGCTTCCAAAAGAACGTTTAAAAACCGGAACAATCACTTCCGGTTTTCGATGGTTTGGGAGGCAGAATGTCCGACTCCCAAGGCGTTCGGGAGCCGAGGTACGACTGTATGACTTGCTTGCTACAGTAGCCTCACCGACTACTGGCTAGTTCCCAGGCACGATTCAGATTATGGGTTGTGAGCTCTACAAACACAATTTGAGAACAGGTTATTCGGAAGACCGTGTTCTCCCATAGGAGCCTGCCTGGGTTTAAGCTGCTTGGGAGAAGGCCATCTTTTAAATAAATAATAATATTGCCTCTCCCACCAACATCTGGGGCTCATTTGGCAGGAACTCAAGAGAGGACGGGATGCGGGTAGCGCTGTGGGTTAAACCACAGAGCCTAGGACTTGCCGATCAGAAGGTTGGCGGTTCGAATCCCCGCAACGGGGTGAGCTCCTGTTGCTTGGTCCCTACTCCTGCCAACCTAGCAGTTCGAAAGCACATCAAAGTGCAAGTAGATAAATAGGTACCGCTCCGGCGGGAAGGTAAATGGTGTTTCCGTGCTCTGGTTCGCCAGAAGCGGCTTAGTCATGCTGGCCACATGACCCGGAAGCTGTACGCCGGCTCCCTCGGCCAATAAAGCGAGATGAGCGCCACAACCCCAGAGTCGGCCACGACTGGACCTAATGGTCAGGGGTCCCTTTACCTTTACCAAGAGAGGACCCTCTAAGTGGCTATTCTCAGGCTCCGAAACTCCTTGCAATGGAGAGGCTTTGCCAGCTCAGTCATAGGAAGTCGCCTTATACTGAGTCACACCATGGTGCCATCCAGCTCAATACTGTCTACACAGTAGCTCTCAAGGGTTTCAGGGAGGGCCCTACCTGGAGATGCCAGGATTTGAACCAGGGACCTTCTGCATGAAAAACAGTTACTCTGCTGCTGACTTAAGGCCTTTCCCCATGTCTTCTGCTACCGGGCAAATACATGTTTGTTTAAACCAGTTTTTGGGCCATAAGCCAACTTGTAAATAATATAGTTGGTTTAACTTCTTTTTAAACCATGGTTATGGATAGCCAAATTACAATTGGGAAGGTCTCTTGTTTGCTTGTGTGATGGAGAAGTAAGAAATGTAAGATATTCTAGAAAAGGGGTGGGAATCCCAGGTCCCCAAGGCCGAACGTGGCCCTCAGCAATCCTCATGCCACATCCTTCACAGGCCTTATACCCCAAGCACTTTTGTCTGGCTGGAATATCCCACATTAAATTCTGCTTTCCTGGATAGATGACAGGTGGGGGGTAGTAGAAACTAAGCTGCTGTACCAAGGCAAAGTTTACCTTCATCAAGATTGCTCAGAAGGAGAATGCTAAAGGATAAGAGCCCAGAGTAAATGCAAACAGATCCTTGACTACCTTCCCTGAATGGAAGAACTGCTACACCTCGCCTCAAAAGCCCAGCAAACACACACATTCTAGTCTTTCTGTTTCATAAGACTGTAATTTCCCTGCTCAAGCTCTACTTTGCAGCAATGAGGACTAGTCTCTTATTGTGGCCTCTGAAAACTATACTCTGCACACACACCCCGGCTGCCTGTGCAACAGAAACAATCCTTCAAAGCTGACGGCAAATTAGGCCCCTACCTCCTGCTCCACCAGGGGGTCAGTGAAAGGGACCTGCAGGATGAAGACCCTCGTGTTGTTGGGGTTGGGGGCTTCGCCCAGGCCGAAACCACGCCCTTTGAGCTCTGCAGGCATTAAGGGCTTGCCGCCAACTGCAATGGTGACCAGCTCCAAGTCTGGGAGGAAGTTGCCTAGGCTGATGTCAAAGTAACCTCTCTCAGCGACTGTGTCTGGAAGAGAGATGGTGCATTGGGTAGTAGATGGCGTCAGCTGAGGCGGAGACAAAAGCAGCATTCGAAACTCCCATTGTCCAGCGCATTTTGTGACAAGGAATCTCATTAGTGTGAGCAGTTTCTGAGCTCTAGGCGCAGTGCTGCGCCCAAGATTTCAGATTAAAACTGCAGAGTGGAAGGAAAGGGGGAGCTTTTCCTGCCTCCCCACTTCCAGCTACTTTCTGAAAACTGGAGAAGAGACCTCCTTAAGAATATTAGGGGAGTGGGCAGGGGAAGGACTATACCGTGTGAAAAATGAACGCAATATTTTAGCTGCAGTTCATTCATTTTCAGCTTTGTATTCTTGTTATATAAAAAAAGTGTACCTAGACATTCCGTTGTTGTGCCTATAACCTAGCTTTAAGGTGCCATTTAGCTCCTAGCTTTCATATTCCAGTTTTTTACACTGGGCAAAATTGTCCCCCACAGCTCCACTTCCCCCAAGAGAATGGAAGTTTGTAAGGGCCTATGACCAACGGTAGTCAACATGGTTCCTTCAGATGTGTTTTATCTTGTGATGGAAGACACAAGATTTACCCACCCGGGAAGAATGGCAGATGAAGTTGATGGACTATATGGAACTGGCGGAAATGACTGGCAGAATCCGAGACCAGGGAGAAGAGTCGGTGGAAGAAGACTGGAAAAAGTTTAAAGACTATTTACAGAAATACTGTGAAACTAATGAATGTTAGAAAAACGTTGGAATAAAGTTACTGTATATGGCTTTAGTAGAAAGGTTATAAGGAATTAAGTATAAATAGATTAATAGAGTATTAAAGGGAAAAATAAGGTTAGAATGTGTTAGGATAATTATAGGAAAGAAAACAGAGGAAGATGGAAAGGAATTGCTGAAACAATTAACAGAAGTGGAATACAAAAAGGGAGGTGTGAGGAGGTCGTGGAAATAAGTGAATGAAAGTTAAGATATTGAAATTGTTTTGTGTCTTAAATGGTTTTTGTTTTGTTTTGTTAATCTTATGTGTTAGTGTTTTGTAGTGTTTCTGTACTGTGTTGTATTGTTTTCTTTTCTTTTTTTTTCTTTTTCTTTTTTTTTGTAGTGTTGTGTTTAAACTGTTGTAAAATTAATAAATATTATTTAAAAAAAAAAACAGATGTGTTTTATTCCCATCAGCATGGCCAGTCCTCAGAGCCAATAGGAGCTGAAGTCAGGATGGGTGCCATGTTGGCTGGGAATATTCTAGAGACCTTGCCAAGGCCCATTCTTTGTACTAGAATGTTCAGTGTTTCCCCCGTGTACATATTGTGGGGGAGGAGAGCTGTAAAAGAAAGAAAGAAAAGCATATGGCAACCAATGCGCCCCTTTGGTTTCAGATAGTACAGTGGTACCTCAGGTTACAAACACCTCGGGTTACAGACTCCACTAACCCAGAAGTAGTACCTTGGGTTAAGAACTTTACCTCAGGATGAGAACAGAAATCGTGCAGTAGCAACGGGAGGCCCCATTAGCTAAAGTGGTACCTCAGGTTAAGAACGGACTTCGGGAACAAATTAAGTTTGTAACCAGAGGCACCATTGTACAGGGGTACAAGAGTCTAAAAAGCCCGGTACACAAATTTTCACAGCCCTCTAGCAGCTATGGGGGCTCATTTACCAGAAGTATTTAGTGTTACCTCTGGAAATGCATATTACTCGATTCTGACCAAACTAAGCCTCCTAGATCAAAATATACGTCAGGTGGTGTGCTAGTTGTGAAATATACTGGCATTATTTTCAGCTCTCCTACCCCACCAATAGGGTTGTATCCACCTAAGCTAGTGTTTGTTGCCCCACTGGAATTAATGGACCTATTTGAGCCATAGCCATTCATTTCAACGGGCCTACTCTGAGTAGGGCTAACATTGACTACAACCCCACAGGGCTTCATAGCATGGCATATAAACATCATGTCTGCCCTCAGGCTTTTGCAGGTGCGAACAACATGGGCTTGAGTATAACCACCCCGGTGCTGTCATGAGTGCGGATCATCACGAATGCACAGTAAGAAGGACATCTGGAGGGGACCTCTAAAACTGCATTGAGTATGGAAGAATTACCAACAATCGAAGAATGGAGGATGAAGTTAATGGACTATGCAGAATTAGATAAATTAACAGAAAAGATTCGAAACTGACGGGACCAGAAATTCACAGAAGACTGCAGTAAATTTACGGACTATTTGAAAAGTATTTGTGAAGATCAGGCGACGTTTGTAGGTTTGCAAGAAGTTTTGTGAGGAGTATTATTGGAATTATTACAAAAATGGATAAAGGGGAGGATAATTTGTTAAGAGACTTAAAGGTAATATAAAATTGAGAAATGCAGAAGAAGTGATTACAACGGTGGATTTTTAGAGGTGCTGATGGAAGTCTAAAAAGATTGTATAAGTGATAAAGTTGTGTGGTACATTTTATAATTTATATGTTAAAATCAATAAAAATTGTATTAAAAAATAAAATAAAACTGCACTGAGTATGGATCGGTGCATTCATTTTATGTGGTGCTAAGGCATTGGTGCATTGGCTAAGGCAATGTTCAGGTTGCTAGGACGCAAGTAGGATTTCAGATGTGAACGCGATTTCTCTTGCCTAGACAGGGGCGTATTTCAAGCTCCAAGAGGAAGGAAGAACAAGGCCTGAGCTTACTGTCAGTCAGCACAGGTACATGAGGAGCAAATGGTGTGCGGATGGCCTTGAAGCTGCGGTGGCGTGTCCGGTCACTCTCGTCTCCCTGCCACCTGCGGTCCAACAGCAGCTTTATGCTGTAGGTGGTGCCGTAGTGGTTGTCAATCACGTCGCTCTGGAAGGAAAAAGTGGGAGGAGGAATGTTTAAAATGTCTCCTGCTTGAAACGCTAGAGAAGATGCTGCTGCCAGTCAGTGGGAACAATATTAAGCTAGATGGAGTCTGGTACCAGCTCTGTATAAGAAGCAACCCTTTAGAAGCAACCCTAGCATTAATCCCCCCACCCCAGAGTCTATTAACCTCCCTACTCACCATCTGCAGATAGACTTGCAAAATGCTGCAGGGACAGATTGCTGCCAGACATTAGGATAAACATTTTAACGGTGAGAGAAAGTTTAAGGAATGGCGTAAGAGCAAAAAGAAGTCTTCCTTGGAGGGCAGCCAGATTGCCTTCATTGGAAGAATATTAGCTAGGGCTGTGTCAATAATAATAAATTCTCCAGTTTCTCAAAAAGTTATTTCTTCTGCAAAAGGGGAGATGCCAGGGATTGAACCTGCGACCTTCAGATGCTCTAACACTGAGCTATAGCCCTTTCCAAAACAGCAGATACTGACCTCCATGAGACCTCCTGGGGCCCCAATGGGCACTGTGATGCTGAAGAATTTGGTGTCCGCCAGGAAGCTGTATCCATTTGTCAGGATGGTGGCTGCGTCAATCACACGCCCATCCAAGCCCATCTCAACAGCTTCATCTCTATACAGATGTGGGAATCTCACCAGGGATGGCAAGATCCGGGGGGTTCCCCACCTTAAGGTGGTGGTGGTGAAAATAGGGAGATCTGCAAGAGACAGAGATTCCCCTTGTTATTGGCACTACATCACCTCATGAAGGGTTCGACAAAGACGTGAGCCAAATTTGAAAGGTGGGAGGGACCTCGCAATCACCTGGTGTCACAATGGGGTCAGTTGATTGGACGCTTTGAAGTCCCCCGAAATTGGGACTTCAAAGCACCCCACAGGGCTTCCAAAGAGCCCTGCATGATGCTTTAAAGCAGGGTTTCCCAAACTCAGGTCTCTGGCTGTTTTTGGACTACAGTTCCCATCATTCCTGACCACTGGTCCTGCTAGCTAGGGATGATGGGAGTTGTAGTCCAAAAACAGCTGGAGACCTGAGTTCAGGAAACACTGTCTGAGTCTGCTTTCTTCAGATCATCTGCTGTGCAGAGCAAGTTTGCCTTGGGGGAAATTGCTAGCATGGTCAGTCCTCCAGGTTGTGTGATCCTGTGGGGAATTTGCTCACACAGCTCGGCCAACAGGCTTCGGCTCTAACATCCAAATGGATTTCACTGTCCCCGTATCCATTGCACCCAGATTTTGATGCCACTGCAGACAGAACACATAGTCACAGCAAAATGAGAATCTTCAGCAGCATGTAAAGGAGAGGTAAATGCCCCGGAATCGATGCCAGACGTTAAGAATAGGGACAAGTCTATTGAAAAAGAGTGCTGTCATTTTTAATCCATTAAAACAGAGCTGGGCAAGGGCCGCATTCCCTTATATATCACCTTCTGGGGGCCAAATGGGGGGGGAGACAGGGGGAGACAGGACTAGGAGGAGCAGCAGGTATAACTGTGTTTTTTGCCACACACACACACACACACACACACACACACACACACAAAGAGGTTTACAGGTACATATATATCTCCATAGTAGCAGGCAAACAAGAGGCATCACTGCTCAAGGATACTTCCCATCCCAGAAAAAACACACGAGGCAGCTGGTAAGAGGGGCATGACCTGCAAAGAGTCCCCCAAGGGCCAGGTAGGAAGGCCTGGAGGGCCAAATCCAGGCCCTGACTAAGTCCCAGCGTTAAATGTCGAAGGCAATGCAAAAGCAGAGAGACTCACTGATGGGACAGGCAAGAGCGGTGTCTACCATGAGGATCATCCAGGCCTGCTTGTAAAAGACTGTGGCCCGTGCCACCTCCACTTCCAGGCCCTCGACCTGCAGAGGAAATTGACAATAAGGATGTAAGGTTAAAGCTCCAGCACTGAAACCCAGCAGGCCAGGCAGGCAGCAACACCATTAGGGAAGGACTTCATTTGTCATTATTATCTTCCTCATTCCCCAGTCCCAGGGTGGGTTACAGCATTAAAATCAAACATTAAAAATGGTTTAAAACAACCTTTGACCTTCCAGATGCCAAGTTCTTAATCGGCAGCACAGCTGGGGAACCTGCAGCCCTCTGGACATGACTGAACCACAGCTCCCATCAGCCCCAGCAAGCACGGCCAATAGCCAAGGATGAGCAGAGTTGTAGTCCAGCAACGCTTGGATGGCCACAGGTTTCACACCCCAGATCTGATAATTGTATGGACTCACTTAAAACCCCCAAAATGCTTTATATATATAATTTGTATTAAATTTTCTGTTTTAGAATTTAAAATACTCAATTTACACCCTTAAGATATAAATGACTTCCCTTCTCTTTCTATGTTTCATTTTACATATCATAAGTCCCTGCATATTTTACAAAATATCTGGGTTTTTTGTATCATTTTTACAAAAATGATACAAAAATGGAATACCATTCAGTATTCCATTATTGCGTCCATCAAAAACAGTTGAATTTACCTTAATGCTGCCAGCATTTTCAGCTGTATACAGTTATTTCCCATATATTCAATAAATGTTTCCAATCTTCTTTAAACGGATGTTCTTGTTTCATTTTGTGGGGGGGAAACAAAGTGCTTTAGAGCACTTGCTGCGCTCTTTTGCGAGTGCATGGCTGATGCAAGTTAAGTGGAGAATTATTTCACAGTGCCCCAGAGGGCAGGGTATCCAAGCTAGTCTGGTTCTTTTCACAAAGGAAAGCCATCCCCCTTCTGGCTCCAAACACTGAGCACCACACCATAGTTAGGCAGTAAGGTTGGTAGCCATTAATCCTTCCCAACACAGACACAGACGTTTTCTCTCTCTTTCTCCTTACCAGGGAGACTTCGGTCTGCTGGGTTCCGTAGGGAGTGCGGAAAAGGACGCGGGTAGCCGTGGTGTTGACGCCGTAGCCCAAGGCATGTGCTTCGGTGGCCATCATGTTCTGCAGGGAGCCGTTCTGATAGTGGAAAGCCACCTGCCACACCTGGTTCACAGCCCCTTGGGCCTACAGAAGGCAAACCCACGAGGGGAGAGTTTAAACAGAGACTGGAATCAACCCACTTGCCTTCCCAATGACACACAGGGCCTCTAGGTACCCCAGAGAGGTCACTTTGGTGTTGCTAATACAGCAGTTGGCTTTCACCCCCGGAGGCGCACTCCATTGTCTCTCGAGAGCCAGCCACAACTCCCATGAGGTTCAGCTAGCTTGGCCAATGGTGAGGGATGATGGGACTTGTAGTCCAACATCTCAAGGGTCCCCCCCCCATACCCAGTGGGAGAGAGCCAATGCAGGACATTTTGGTGTCTAAGTCAGAAAATAAGATAGTGCCCTCCCCACCAAAGCTGACCAGTTTGACTTTTCAGCTGGGCTGGGGAAAGGGCAGAGCCATTCACTGCCCCAGAGGGCATCAGAGCTGGCTTCGAGGGTGCATGGCCAACAGCCTGGCACACACAGAGAGCTCTGTCCTCCAATACCCGAAATTGCCCGAAAGAGCAACTACCTCACTTGGTCTAATGTTAGGGCTGACCCTGGACAACACAAGCTCATTATTTACTTCCCTGAAGCAATCCATCCAGCCTTCTCCTTCTACTTCCCTCTTATCAAGAATATCTTCTGCTGCCCCCTTCGTCCCTCAAAATCCTTACCACAGGCCACACTGCAATCCAGTCTTCATTCAGAGCCTCGCTAGCTATTCCTGGGACTGCCCGTCGGACGGAGACCTGCAACCACAGCCCTGTGTTAGGTGTTAAGTCCATAAAAGCATCCGGTACAGCACTCTCAAGGTGCAGTTTCCAAGAGCCACGACAGAGATGGTCAGATTCAGGAGAGGTTTTGCAGCACCATTCTTCTCTAGATCTGAAAGATTGCCTTCGCTAACACATCCCCTACCTGCACTTTTACGAACAGTTTTGCCCTGCTCAGAAGCCCAACTGCAGGATCAAGCAGCTGTGCAGGCAGGAGATGGGGCCTTCTTGGTGGTGGCCTCACTTTCAGTGGTTGCTGGTGCCCATTTGGAACCAGTAGGGCAGAAAGCAGGGAGGCCAAGAATAGGAGAAACCAGAACCAATGATAGAAGAGCCAACCAATTCCAGTTTTCATAGAATTGTAGAGTTGGAAGGGGGCCGAGAATCAGCTTGTCAAGCCCCCCGCAGTGCAGCAACATGCAGTTGCCCCATAAGGGGATCGAACCTGCAACCTTGGCATTATTAGCGCCACGCTAACCAGCCGAGCTATCCAGTTTCGTTCTCTGTGAGTTGTACAAGGGCTGTACAGACTAAGCAGCATGAACTTCCTCTCAAGCGATTTGCACACGGTTACTTCGCTACCGGCTTTCAAAAGGGTCTTGGGGGGGGAAACCCTTTTTTTCTGGGTTGAAATGCTTTTTCTTAAAATGGCAGCAGGAAGCTCACAGTGGTATGCTGCAAGTCTGTGCGCAGCGCTTAAGCTGCTGCTTTAAATGATTGTTTATTGAAATGCAATATACTGCATTTCTAATTACCTTATGCAAGAGCTTTGTCCTTGCGATACTTAAAACTATCAATAAAAATAGATAGGCGCAAAGGAGCCAGCTCAATAGTTTGCCACTCAAAACAAATCTTAATTCATCGGTTAATTGGTTAACCTGATCCCACCTCTCTCTCTCTCTCTCTCTCTCTCTCTCTCTCTCTCTCTCGTCTAGAAAGATCCTCAGCATAGCCACCCCCATGTTTTGGGGTTCCTGCCAAACCTGCTTTGATACACGAAAAGGATGCAGTTTTTTTCTTCCACCTCCACTCACCTCCATGTAGTTTTCCTCACAGACGATCTCGCGGGGGCTCCATGGGGCACCAAGGGGGCAGTTCATAAAGACGTCGTAAGTGGCCGTCAAGTTCGCTGGACTGGTTACCTCCACCTGGAGCTGGAGGCTGAACTCCTGGTCAAACTGGACAGAAAGGAAATCTCATTTTCTCCCCCATTTTTCAAGTTCGTCCCCTCAGTAGCATTTGCCTGCCCTAGGCTGCATCCATACCATAACATTCAAAGCATCCTGATACCATTTTAAATGGCCACAATTTCCCCCAAATAATTCTGGGAGCTGTAGCTTGTTAAGGGTGCTGAGAGTTTTTAGGGGACGCCTCATCCCCTCAAAGTACTACAATTCCCAAAGCGGTTTAACAGTCAGAACCTCTTCACAGGAAACTCTGGGAATCGTAGCTCTGTGAAGGGAACTACAAATCCCCGAATTCTGTGGGTGAAACCACGACTATTTAAAGTGGTATTACAGTGGTACCTCGGGTTACTGTACATGCACTTCAGGTTACATACGCTTCAGGTTACAGCCTCCGATAACCCAGAAATAGTGCTTCAGGTTAAGAACTTTGCTTCAGGATGAGAACAGAAATCGTGCTCCAGCGGCGCGGCAGCAGCAGGAGGCCCCATTAGCTAAAGTGGTGCTTCAGGTTAAGAACAGTTTCAGGTTAAGTATGGACCTCCGGAACGAATTAAGTACTTAACCCGAGGTACCACTGTATAGCGCTCAACTTGTATGGTGTGAATGTGGCCTCAAACTCTTGAACTTTTTATCTCCTCATGAACGACAAAAATCACCATTTTGGGCACTGCCATGTTTTTTTTAAATTGTTATTAAGCTTCTGTGTTACAAACAGTGCTATTTTTCTAGAGAAAGAGGTGCGAAAACTCACCATGAACACCTCTTTCTCTTAGAATGGCAATGGCACCCACCTGAGACGTGCCAAAACTGAGTTGCGGTGAGTTCCCCCTGAAAAAAGCCCCGGTTACAAATGTAAATTTCACCTTTCTACATCAGGCCACAAAGACCCACACTCTTGTTCCTCCATCCAGGAAGAAACATTACAAAGTTTAAGCACATTTCAGCCAGGCGAGAATGCTCCTTAAAAATGGCTGATCGGTGGTGGTGCTCTGGGGCAGATAAAGAGGATTAAAGGTAAAGAGTAAAGGGACCCCTGACCATTAGGTCCAGTCGTGGCCGACTCTGGGGTTGCGACGCTCATCTCACTTTACTGGCCAAGGGAGCCGGCATACAGTTTCCGGGTCATGTGGCCAGCATGACTAAGCCGCTTCTGGCGAACCAGAGCAGCGCACGGAAATGCCATTTACTTTCCCGCCGGAGTGGTACCTATTTATCTACTTGCACTTGGACGTGCTTTCGAACTGCTAGGTTAGCAGGAGCAGGGACTGAGCAACAGAAGCTCACCCCGTCACGGGGATTCGAACCGCCAACCTTCTGATCGGCAAGTCCTAGGCTCTGTGGTTTAACCCACAGCGCCACCCGCATCCCTAAAGAAGATTAGAGAGCCGCATTTGGACCCTGGGCCTCACCTTGGCTTAACAGATGGGAAATGGGGACAAATCACATGGCAGGTTCAGAGGTGCACAGATTCTCTCCTGCCTGCTGGCATTTGGCACCAGCAATACTGGACCAGGGTTAACTTTAGCCACACCCAGCAAAGTGCTTATTAGGCTGCACAAAGAGAGATGATGGCAATAGGATGAAACCCAAGCCTGCCCATTTTCTGCTGCCAGTCAGTGTCGACAACACTGTATTAGATGGAGCAACGGTCTAACTCGGAATAAGGCAGCTCCCTGTCCTATTTTGCCATGATCGCATGACCCCTGCCCCTTCCGAAGGGTTTAGCAGCATAGCCGATCCTGTAACAGAGTTTTCCTGCCTGCCATCCAGGCAGGGCCAGAATGAATTTGAGACCACCTGCCTGGGAAGCAGAGGACTAAGATTTAAAAAATAAAAATAAAGTGCATGATGTATCCTGCACCATTCGTTATGCCTCAGCTGTCGCAAGATTTAAGCATGCCATTTTGCTTTTTAAAGACGTTTACAAGGACACCATTAACAAGAAAGCGAATCATCTGCTTACCGAATTGCGGACCGAACAGGCCAGGAAGGAAACTCTAATCTCAGGGTTGCCATACAAGTCGGTGCCACTGGTGAAGCCACACTGAGAGGCAACATGCCCCGTTACGGGGATGCGCTGTCTCTGCTCATCTAGGGACAAAAGGAAGCAGGTTAATTCTATCAGGTAAAAAAAATCAGAACACACACACAGACACACAAACACCCTCCCAATAGACCTTCCTGCATCATGCTCAACTTTCCTTGCAGCAACTGGATCTTGGTTACCCACCTCAGCAGGGATGCATGAACAGAGTACCCTGTTTCAGGCATCCAACAAGGATGGGTAAACTTTTTGAGTCTGAGGGCAGCCGCAGAGCTGCCTTCCAGGGGCCACATGTGAGTGGAGGGCAGGGCCAGAAGTAAGGGTGGGTGGAGTAAAGAATGCACATTCTAGCTCTGAAAGGTAGGTGAATTTCCACACACCACTTCTCTATGCTCCATCCAGGAAGGCAAGAGGCATTGTCAGAATTCAAGGATTATGAGAAAATAAAGAGGGAAAGAAATTGCTGAATTAATTAATTAATTGAACTGGAATACAAAAAAGGGAGGTATGAGGAGGTCAGGGAAACAAGGATATGAATGTAAGGTATGGAAAAATTGATCTATTTTTCTTTTTTTCTTCTTTAAGTGTTTTTTATTCTTTTATTCTGTACTTTGTATCTTGTATTTTTCTTGTATTTTTACTTCTGTTTTTTGTTTTTACTTTTCTTGTTTTTGTGTAATTCTTTTTTTCTGAAAATTTAATAAATATCATTTAAAAAAAAAAAAGAGGCATTGTCAGAATTCAGTGCCAGGCAACAAACACTCAAGGAGGGTACGACAGAGGGGAGGGGGTCTGGGGAAAGCCCCAAGGGCCAGGCAGAGATGCCAAGAGGGCCACATCCAATTCCCTGAGTCTGAGGTCCCCCAGCCCCAGTTGACACTGTTTTCAGCAAGAAAATTTGCACTGGCAGAATTTCCTCCTCTTGTGCTGCCAACCAGCCGATTCAATCTCTTGGCAATCCACTGGGAGAGGGGCTGATTCCATATGGCAGAAGTTACTCTGGTACCCCAAGATACCACTTACTTGTGATTTCCAGGGTTCAGTTTCAGCCACTAGTTAGCTTGGGGGGAAAGTAAAGAGTGCCTCTGAGCATGCGCAGACAACTCCTTTCCTACCGCAGAGAAATCACAGCCAGCCTCTGTGTTCCTGGGATCAGGAGTGAACCTTTGACCACAGCCTTCCCCGGTATTCACTCCAGATGTTTTTGGACTACAACTCCCAGCAGCCATGCTGGCTCAGACTGATGGGAGTTGTAGTCCCAAGGACCCAAAGGCACGATATCAAGAGACGGCTGCCTTAGCACTTCTCCTTTTCAAAGGAAACACTCCGTACTTACTGAAGATGCTGTAATGCCACAAATTCTGGCCCAAGGCAGCCTTGTCCATCCATATCCAGAAATAACGGCCCCGACATTCTGTCCGCGCAGCACCTTCCGGGAAAGAAAATGTTTCTCTATCAAGGAATCCCAACTGCCCTTCTGCCCCAACAAGCAGGCAAACACACTCCTCCCTCACATCCGCTTTAGGAGTGGAGTTCTGGATCTGGTCAGTAGGCTGGATCCTGATCTCCCCCCCACCTCCACAGACCACTTTGACAACATCGCAGGTCTCTCTTCTCTGCTTTAGACACTACCCCCAGGGCTGTACACATAGGAATCCAGTCACAGACCAGCAGATCCAAGTGCATACGGGTTGACAGAACAGTATTGAAGGGTACTGAATTCCACTAACGCTAACTGTTGCATTAGGGAGCTGTGCTGTTCAAGAAACGCTGAGCAGACATGTTGGGGAGATGCCCAAAGTAGCTTTTTCCCAAAATACAGCCCGTGTTTCTCAAACTTGGGTCCCCAGCTGCTGTTGGACTACAAATCCCATCATCCCTGACCACTGGTTCTGCTAGCTAGGGGTGATGGGATTTGTAGTCCAACAACAACTGGGGACCCAAGTTTGAGAAACACTGAATATTGAAGCCGATATTTGCACCACACAAAGGAGATGGTGAGAATGAAGGACACTTGCCGACCCACCCACACCCTCTCTCTTAGTTTTACTCTCAAGCGCATTGGCAGAAAGACCTGATGCTCACCTGGGGGGAAGGGGATCGACTCTACTGCTTGAGACAGACACATACAAAGCAGGGCTATCCTAAATAAGGAAACCAAGAGACAGAAATTGAATCAGTTTGGCTTTTACTTTAAGACACAGGAGAGAGGTTATGAGAGCATCACACACCACAGCCCCATTTGAGTAGGGACTAAGCAATAAGATCTCTAGCTGTATGCATGTGTAGCCCCCTCTAACCTATGGAAAGATCCAAAGATCTCAGGACAGCAGGAGAGAAGAGGACAAAATGGTATAAAACAGACTTCTCCCAACCTGGTGTCTTGCAGATCTTTTGGACTACAAGTTCCATCAGCTGCAGCCATACTGCTGCTTGTGGCTGATGGGAGTTGTAGTCCAAAGCAAAAATCACACCTCAGGCTGGGAAACTTTCAGGTTTAAGGTTCAAAAAGGCATTCAAGCTTCAAGAAAGAAAGAAACCTTAAAAAAAAAAAACAACCCAACAGTTTATTTCTAATCGCCCTTCTCTAGAGGAAGAGTTGAGCACAGTATTGAAAATGCCAGGTGTCCAAATCTCAGAGTATTCAAAGAAGAGAAAGACTGTAAGCAACATTTTGAGATCTCAAGACCTGGACTAACCATTTCTCCCCTCAAATAATTCTGGGCACTGTAGTTTTGTTAGGAATGGCAATACTAAGATGCTAACTACCGTGCCCATAATTCTTTGAGGAAAGTAATGTGCTTTAAATTTAATGTGTGTACACAGCCTTGGAATAAAATCCCATTGAGAGAGTCAGCTGTGATGGCAGGAGTTAGAAAAGGCAGGGAGGGAAATAGAGAACTATGTACATATGGGATATAAATACAACAATAAACTGAGTTCAGTAGGAGTAATTCCCCAATGGATATAGATTTGCAGCCTCAGCGGCTTTTCTTATTGCCTTTATGAAGTGTACAGCTTAAAATGTGATTTGCAGAAGCCCCTTTTGTATTGCAAATACATGTCTTCCCATGCACTCTGAATTTCCTGTATAATATCTATTTTTAAACTGCTAAAGAGTTAGAGAACACGCCCGCCTCATAATGAAAAGCCCTCTCCAACAGAGTCAGCTGAAATCATATGACAAGCATGCATGTCAGTAGGAGAGTATATTTCATGATTTCAGCTTTGCTGAATAAAAGGATTGTTACGTGCATTTCTTGTACTGAGTCAGACCATTGGTGCAGCTAGCTCAGTGTTGTCTACACCGACGTGGGGTTGCCATACTTCCAGAAATTCCCATACATACATGGAATACTGTAGTTGGAAGCAGTGTCCGGGAGGAAATCGGCAAAATGTCTGGGCAAATCAGGACATATGGCAACCCATGTCAGTAGTGTTGTTTTTGCCGGTGTTCCTTAAAAATAGCTCAGAAGTGTCTTTTTTTTTTTTTGCAATTTTCCAAAAAAACCCCAAAACTCAACAACTTTGGCTAAAAAAGCTCAACTATTGTGTCCAGATCATGCTCGGGGTCTCAGGATGCTGACCTTGTCTAGGGCAGGGAGGGGGTAGACAGGGGAGAGGAAGAAAAGACAGAATATCTGAGTGGGTAGAGAATGTGACTTATCTGAGAATTGTGGGTTCAAGCTCCACACTGGGCAAAAGATTTCTGCATTGCAGGGGGTTGAACTAGATGACCCTCCTGGTCCCTTCCAGCTCTACAGTTGTAAGATTCTATGACTAGGAAATGCAGCTCAAGAATGCTCTGATCCACAGTACAACCTTTTTATTACAGACCCGTTCTGTCTCTCCCCGCAACAACCCCCCCTCGATTCAGTGATGTGATTCTTTACTTAACAATATGGTTGTTTCCAAGGAGGCACTAGAAAACTTCTGGGGTCAAGTGAGCAGATTTTCAAATTCCATAGGAAACACATGAAGCTGCATTAAAGTAAAGGTAAAGGGACCCCTGACCATTAGGTCCAGTCGTGGCCGACTCTGGGGCTGCGGCGCTCATCTCGCTTTATTGGCCGAGGGAGCCGGCGTACAGCTTCCGGGTCATGTTAACTAAGCCGCTTCTGGCAAACCAGAGCAGCGCACGGAAACGCCGTTTACCTTCCCGCCGGAGCGGTACCTATTTATCTACTTGCACTTTGACGTGCTTTCGAACTGCTAGGTGGGCAGGAGCAGGGACTGAGCAATGGGAGCTCACCCTGTTGCAGGGATTCGAACCGCCGACCTTCTGATCGGCAAGTCCTAGGCTCTGTGGTTTAACCCACAGCACCATCCGCGTCCCAAAGCTGCATTATGCAGAGTCAAAACCTTGGTCCATCCAGCTCTGTAGCGTCCACTCTGACTGGCAGAAGCTCTCCCGGGTTTCAGGTAGGAGCCTCTCCTAAACCTACCTGGAGGTGCCAGGAATTGATGCTCTACCCTTTCCTCATAAAATGAAACTGGCTTCCATTGGGCTCACATCCCAAACCCACATGTAAAACAGGCATGATAGCCACTATACTACAGCACCCACAATTTCCAGGGGGACAGGAACTCCCCCCTAGTTAGGCAGTTAAAAGACTACATGAGCATAAAAAGTTTGGGAGTTTTAGAAGACCCTCCACACTCCCTAACTGTCCTCTCCCTACCGATAGATAAGAACCAGTAGGGCAAAATGCTGTTACACCAGATAATTATTTACATAACCTTTCTAATCTAGAACACAACCTGACTCTTTTTACAATGAAGACCTCTCTTACAGAAAACAAACAACACTGCCCCCCCAGGCCCAAAGACACACTAAGAAAAATAAAATTGACTTACCCTGCAAAAGATGGGGAAGACATGATTCTATTACTGTACTCTCTCCCCTAAGAGTTTCCCCTAGCAGCCTCCCACCCAAGTTGCCTCTCCCTTGCAACAGATGAGAACACTTTATATTGCTTCTTGGTTCCTGGTATCTCACCTGCTCCTAGTCACACCATCAGGAGCTGTTAGGGAGGTTGTCCTAATTTCATACCTTTTGAGCTAAATGGACTAACAGGATGCTGTGAATCAAGAGGAGATCTGTATGGATTTACATTTTTACACGTTGTGTAATTGGGTTTTATAACTTGCGAACACCTTAGATGTCTATTTTGACTTTAAGTGGTAAAAGTAGTAATTGCCTTCTCCTGTTCCCACATTCTCTACTTCTTTTATTCTTCAGGAATTTACAAAACTTCTGCTTGTAGGCTTGTGACCTTTTCTTTTTCCTCTCCCCAGGCACCTCCTGCCCTGTGCCTTTCACAGACAGGAATTCAGCAGGTAAAGTTTTTCCCCTGCATTGAGATGCAGCTCCAGGAAAAGCTTCTGCTGCTGAATTTCTGTCTATTAAATGCATGGGAGTGCTTATGAGGAAAAGAAGTTGGCTTACAGAAGATAAAACTGTAACATCAAAAAAAGTTCACAGCTACTTCTAACTGATTTTATCTTAATTGTGGCTTTTAAACTTTACTGTACTGACTATGGTGTTAAGCAGCATATAAATTGCTACAATAAATCAGTAAGATGCTTAAAAATATTAGGTTAGTATTAGCAGGCATCAGCTCTGTGCCTTGAATAGTGGTAAGACAGTCAGACATCCAACAGGCGCAGTTTTGTTATCTCTGTGATGGCAAAAAAGCAGCTCCGGCTTGACACTTCTATATATCACATGCAATAAATATTAATTAATTTATGTATGGTGCTTTTCAACTGTGCTTCAGCTTATAATTGCAACCTGGTTTATAATATAAAACCAGTGGGTAAAAATAGCAACAACACATAGCATCTTTAAAACAGCAACAATTTAAAAATTAAATGACCCGTCACAATAAAAATTACACTGGCCAGGTGGAAAAACAAGAAAGAAAAAGAAATAAGGGCAGGGAACCTGCTTCTTTAATAGTTGTCCAGAAGAAGAAATTCCAACAGGTGACACGCTACATTTACTAATTCCAGCTTCTGCATGACTGTTAAAGGTGCAGTAGCCCTGGCATTAAAAAAAAAAAAAAAATCACGCCAAAACCATTCAGTTAAAGTTAAACCAAAGAAGCCACATTGTGCGTAGCTACTGGAGTGGGGGTGGGGAATGATATGGAAATGAAATTACTCCTAGATTTATAATAATGGATATGATTCTACAATATAGAATTATTTTTAATACATCAAAGTAATCGCTTCCCCGTTAAATACGCAGAGCAATCCTCTATGTGACTACTCAGAAGTTAGTCCCATTGACCCAGGTAAAAGGGTAGAGCATTGCAGCCACAGTTTTATCAACGTTAATGATTTTTAAATGAAATAGTAAAAAAAGGGAAAGTATCGTAAGAGATAGGATTGGGCAGGAAATGTGTCAGCTTCTGAGTCACACAGAGCGCTTCTCAAACAGACACAAGTGGAAGCTCATTCATTCGTTGCTACGCGTATCATTCACCGCCTTTCAGAGCGTCACTGGAATTAGGCGGGGCTTAGATTGCTAGAGCCAGTCGCTCGAAACCAGTCGGCTACATCGGCCTACGCGATTGGACGAAGAGCATGTCAGTCACACAACCTTCTGCGGACGTCACAATCGAATGCACGGAGCGAAGGCGCGGCAGAGTCCAATCCGTAGTTTCTGATTGGTTGGTTTGCCTGCGAAACCTTCCGCCTTTGGGCGGGCAATTCATTCGCGGGGTACGATTTAAAGGGGAAGCAGCAGCCGGAGCCCTTGAAACGAACGTGTCTCAAAGGTGAGCCTGGCCGAGGGAGAGTGGGCCATCCCAATAATCAAGCAGGGAGCCTTAAAAATAATAAAAGGAATTACTTCTTTCCCACCCCCCGTGCAGATTTCCAGGAATTCCCTCTTTTCCATGACGTAGCTACGAAGCGACCTGTGGTCCACGGAAGCTTGCGCCCTATTAAAGTCGTCTCTCTTCCATGTGCCACTGGACTCTTCGTCGCTCGTCCCCATCGGCCTGCCTTGCCCATCTCTTCTCCCGTTTGGTATAAGCACTGCCCTTTTAGATCCGGCCAAAAGGCCGTCTAGCCTCAGTCTCCTGTTTCCAACTGTGGGTGGTCAGATGATGCTGGACACGATTGAAAGCAACAGCCCTCCCACCGCCTTTCAGGAGTAGCTAGAGTGGTGCCCGCCACATTGTTCAGTTCCAGCTCCCCCGGCCCCAGCCAGTGTGGCCAATTGTCAGGGATGATGGGAGTTGTAGTCTCACAAGCTCTAGGAGGGCACCACATTGGCCATCCTTGTTTTGAAGGATCAATAAGCTACTAGTTAACAGACCCTCCAGATTCAGGGATACCGTGCTTCTGAACCTGGAGGGTCTACTAACTCTTCAATCTTGGATCTCCAGATGTTTGCTTAAGGTAAAGGTAAAGGGACCACTGACCATTAGGTCCATTCGTGGCCGACTCTGGGGTTGCGGCGCTCATCTCACTTTATTGGCCAAGGGAGCCGGCATACAGCTTCCGGGTCACGTTGCCAGCATGACTAAGCCGCTTCTGGCGAGCCACAGCAGCGCATGGAAACGCCATTTACCTTCCCGCTGGAGTGGTACCTTTTTATCTACTTGCACTTTGACGTGCTTTCAAACTGCTAGGTTGGCAGGAGCAAGGACCGAGCAACGGGAGCTCACCCCGTCGCGGGGATTCGAACCACCGATCTTTTGATCGGCAAGCCCTAGGCTCTGTGGTTTAGACAGTGCCACCCGTGTCCCGAGGGTGATTCTTCAACCTTGGATATCCAGATGTTTGCTTAGCCAATGGCTAATTGGTGGTGATTTGAGTTGTAGTTCAGCAACATCTGGGTACACAAGGCTGAAGAAGTGGTGTAAAAAAACCTGCCCATGATGGATTTGTCTAACCCTATTTCAAGCTGTCAGAGTCAAGGGCCACATCCGTGTTTATCTTGATGCCATCCTCATGTTCTTAGGAACATCCTTGTGTTCTTTACCAAGTCACATCACTTAGCTCAGAGCTGCCTACACTGCCTGGCAATAGTTCTCCAGGGTTTCACCTGGAAAAGCCAGGGATTGAACCTGTGACCTTATACGTTCAAAGCAGATGCTCAGCCACTGAGCCACAGACATTCCCCAAACTATGGTCCTTCCCTGTGTACATTTTTGTAGGCATCTGCTGTAGGTTGTGTGTGTAAAAGAGCGAGAATATGTAAGAAGTGAATCCATGGCTGTCGGCATATACAATGTTTAAGAACTGGTGTCTGAGTTTGATTTTTCTTCCTCTTCCCTCCTTTTCCCCTTTTCCTTGTGTGTCACGTCATCGTACAGCTTTTGTCCTCCGTATGCTGAAGAGTCACCGCTCTATATCCTGACCTTGGATGCCTGAGTTATATATTAGGACTCGCCTCTTCCTGTGACGGTGATTTGTTTTAAACTGTTTTTAATATTGTTGTACTGCGCCCTGGGATCTTGTGGCGAAGGGCAGGTAAGAAATCAAATAATTAAATACTATCCGAAGAAATTAAGCTGGGGTATTGGAGGTGATGACACCTGTAATGTTCAGCTTCAAATTCTTTCCAAAAAATCAGTGCACTCAGGTGAATCTTCCCCCCACTTTTCTTGCAGGCAGAAGGCCATGGACAATGAGGTGGGTCCACAGCCGCAAGGCCACCCGCTCTTTGGAGGAGCCTTTTCTGCTTTCCTCCCTCCTGGAAGCCTGGATGTCAGGTATGTCAGACCCTGGGGGCAGCAGTTTGATTGAGGGTATCCTCACACCTAAGTTCTTCCAGCAGGGAGTTCCCCTTTGCTTTGCCCCTAAGCTAAGAAAAGAGGGTGATAGAGGGAGGTAAATTCTTTCCTGCATTCCCTTGCATTTTTTAAAAATACAATACACGATTAGCTTGTGGATTTAATTGGCCTAAGAGATTGTGCTAATTTATAGCTTATATGTCTCTCCCTCCCCTTGCCATCTTTTTAATTAAAAAAAAGGATTGGATGCAATCATGGAAGATTATGAGGAGGAGGATTTTATTTATACCCTGCCCACCTGGTTGGGTTTCCCCAGCCACTCTGGGCAGCTTACAGCATATATAAAACATAGTAAAACATCAAGTATAAAAAAATCTTCCCAATACAGGGCTGCCTTTCAGATGTCTTCTGAATGTTGTGTAGTCCTTTATCTCCTTCACATCTGAAGGGAAGGTGTTCCACAACTGAGAAGGCCTTCTGCCTTGATGGGCTTATCAATGGCTATCAGTCATGATTATGATAAATGGAGCATCCATGAGCAGGCGCAGTATACCTCAGATTACCAGGTGCTGGGAGGAAGTGGTAAAGTGTGGCTGTTATCATTGGGGTCTGCTTGGGGCCATCTGGTTAGGCTCTGTTGGAGCAGTTCTTTATCTTCTTGACATCTACAGGGAGAGCGCCACTACCGAGAAGGCCTTCTGCCTGGTTCCCTGTAACTTTTCTTCTCGCAGTGAGGGAACCAGCAGAAGACCCTCAGAGGAGGACCTCAGTGTCCAGGCTGAGCGATGGGGAAGCCTCATAAAGGGTGCTGATACCTTTAGCCCACCTACACAACCTTAACAAACTCAGGCCAGTCTTACTTGATTCTCCCATCTGACCCAACTTTTCCCCTTCCAGTGAGATGCGCCAGGTCCCTGATAACCAGGAAGTCTTTGTTCACCCCAGCACGGATCAGAGCTTCATCGTAGAACTTCTGGAGTACCAGGCAGATGTCCCCGACGAAAATGCTGCCAGGTTTGTGATGGGAATTGCAGTCCTTTTGTTGCGAAACGGAGTAAAGTTTTGCAGGAAGAACCCTAATCCTAAACTGACTAACTGAGATTTAAATACAGTGGTACCTCAGGTTACATACGCTTCAGGTTACATACTCCGCTAACCCAGAAATAGTGCTTCAGGTTAAGAACTTTGCTTCAGGATGAGAACAGAAATTGTGCTCCGGCGGCACGGCGGCAGCAGGAGGCCCCATTAGCTAAAGTGGTGCTTCAGGTTAAGAACAGTTTCAGGTTAAGAACGGACCTCCGGAACGAATTAAGTACTTAACCCGAGGTACCACTGTACACACTTCACCTGCTCAGAGAAATCTCTCTTATCATCACACGTAGAGAGGGCTGATTCCCAACACTGGTGTGGGGGAAAACCATGAGTTTTGTACTTGTATATCTTCCTCCAGACCTTCATAAAATGTTTTCTCCCTTTGGGCATTTATCTGATGTAGTTCTGCATGAGGTTTAAAAAACAAACAAAAAGCAAGCAGGGAAGCCTATTTATTTCATTCCACGCAGGAATTGCTTCCCAGGAACCGTCTCCAAGCAATTTTGCAATAATAAATGCAACAATATGTCGGGCAGATCACCATGCAAGGCCACACTTAGCCTGCAGTAACAGAGCAAAGACAGGAGAAGGGGATGTAGCTCAGTGGGAGAGCGCGTGCTTCGCATGTACGAGGTCCTGGGTTCAACCCCCAGCATCTCCAGATTTTTTGAGGAGGGAAGAAACATCTGCTCTTCAGCACAGCTTTCCTGAAATGTGCTGCTTTTTCTTTTTTTAAATCCCTTTTTAAGACTTTACTAGGGCTGTGTTTCTTCGTTTAAAGCTGAATCTTATCAAATCTGAAACAATTTGAGAACGGAACACAGCCATTTTTTCTGGACTTTGCGATGCAGTTCTCTAACCAACCGTCGTTTATGGAAAATGCATATATATGGGGAAAGTGTGTGCATACAGAGTCATGCATTAGATGGAATTATGAAAAGAAATGCATTCCGTTAGGGAAAGTTGCTCTCAGAAATGTTTCCATTAGAACTGCGTATGAAAAACAGACTGGAAAAATGAGAAACGAAAGATCCGAAATAGACCAATCTTCCCATCCCTGCTCTTAACGTGCTGTTTTGGAAATGCTAAAACATTTCCCTTCTTTTTTCTCTGCACCTTTGGATGGTTATTAAGGCAGGACAAAAATGGAGGTTGTCCATGGCATCTTATGCTCTTCTAGCGATTTATTTGAACTGGGGGAGAGAAGAGAATGATTGTGAAAACATCCCACCAGCAGGGAAGTATAGGTCACATCCACACCATAGATCTAAAGCACTCTAATGCCGTTTTAATTGTTGTGGCTTCCTCCCAAGGAATCCTGGGACTGCTAGTTTGTTGAGGGTTCTGGGAAATGTAGCTCTGCGAAGAGTATCCTAACGACACCTTAGCGCCCCTAACAGACCAATAATAAGAAGAGTGACCATGTGGTGGCACAAATCAACCAACCTGAGAATGGGCAGCAGGTGGTGAGCCAGGGGATGTAGCTCAGTGGTAGAGCGCATGCTTTGCATGTATGAGGTCCTGGGTTCGATCCCCAGCATCTCCACTTTTTGTTACTCCTTGCTGTGCAGGGAATTTGTTATTTATACACTGCCCATCTGGCTGGGTTTCCCCAGCCACTCTGGGCGGCTTCCAACAGGATATTAAAAACACAGTAAAAGATCAAACATTAAAAACTTCCCTAAACAGGGCTGCCTTCAGATGTCTTCTAAAAGTCAATCAATCAAATCCGTTTATTGTGAGGACCATGCCTGTACACAAACATTAACATAACAATAGTTAAAAAAAAAATATTAAAATTCATTACATACTACGCCAACAAAACCTTCATCCCACAAAATAGAAAGAGAGGGAAAACGAGCAACGAGTTAAACAGACGATGAAGGGGTCTTTACATTGTCATCCATAAGTCTTTCCCTGGCTTTCATGGCCTTCATCACAAAAACCGCTACCACATGGGTAATACGTGGGTTTGCATCAACTAACAAAAATTTTACTCTATCTTCAGGATTGGTTATAGAGTTGGGTATAATTTGCAGCAATGCGTCTCTAAAGCCCGAGTAGATGGGGCAATAGAGGAGGTAATGTGTAAGATCCTCTTTAATTTTCATTAGGCAAGGGCATAAACGATGTTCTACTGGGGTTTTTGTGAATCTACCGGTCAGATATGCAGTTGGCAGTGTTTGAAACCGTGCCATAGTGAAAGCTCTCCGAAGGGTGGGATCAGTGATCTCCACCAAGTAGTTGGCACAGATTTTAACTGCTTTTACTCGGGGAAACCAGTAGGAAAACCCAGAGTTTTTATCTTTGTGGAGTCCAAAAAGGCGTCTTTTTCAAAGATCCATTCCCGAACTTTATCAGGGCTCCACAATTTAAGGGTATTAAACTCAGGTAGATTGTATCTGGATAGGATATCTAGTAGGTTTTTATACCAAGTAGTATTATTTTGTACTGATACAAAGGCTTGTTTAGCCAATAAGGTGTTCGGGGCATCTGTGAGGTTGATGAAAAAACGCAGGAATCTTAAGTGGGCCCTGGCAGACACAGAAGGTAATCCTACTTCCACTCTTAGGAGAGCTGCCGGAGTACTCTGAGGGAGGCCTAGAATTCTTCTGAGGTAAAAATTTTGGAAGATTTCAAGCCGTTCTAACAGCTTCTGATTCCATCCCCAGAGTTCTACTCCATATAGCATCTGGGGAATCACTTTTCCAACAAAAGCTTTTAATGCCGGGATCACCAGTTGCCCTCCCTCGAATAAAAAAGCTGAGCAAAGCACCGATTGTCCTACGTGTTAGAAGGGCTACAGTCTTGAAGTGGGCAAGCCAGCTAGATGTAGCTTGGAAAGTGATACCAAGATATTTAAAAGAAAGACACTGTTCAATTTTGTGTTCATCTAAAGACCATCTAAATGTGTGGCGAGCTCTAGTGAATACCACAATTTTTGTTTTGTCATAATTTATCTTTAGAGAGTTTTGGGAACAATAAGCTGCGAGCCCCTCCAGCATGCTATGTAGGCCCCTTCGAGTAAGTGCCATGACAGCCATGTCATCAGCATATAGTAATATATTCAGGTGTTTGCCTTCCAGGGCAGGAGCTGATGAGTTATACTTTGCCATATGTTGAACAATGTCATTTATATAGAAATTAAAGAGGAACGGCGCTAACAAACAGCCCTGTTTAACCCCTTTCCCCAGTGGCAGTGGGTCAGTATAGTTGCCTGACATCCCAGTTCTGATTTTAACTGTGGTGTCTGAATGTAACTCTCTAAGTATTTTGAGAAGTCGTCTATCAATATCTGTTTCATATAGTTTTTGCCATAATTTGTCCCTACAGATTGAATCAAAAGCGGATGTGAGATCTACAAAAGCCACAAAAAGTTTGCTCTTATGTACCTTTGTATACTTATCTATCATTGTCTGTAGTACCAAACAATGGCCTGTTGTACTATGGCCCTTTCTAAACCCTGCCTGTTCCGGATTAAGCAGGTTAGAGTGGTCAGCCCAGTCAACCAGTTTATTTAGCAAGTAGCGAGTATAAAGTTTATACACAATGTCCAGGAGACTTATGGGGCGATAGTTTGAGGGGTCTTGGGGGTCCCCTTCTTATAGATGGGGGCTACCAGGCTCAGTTTCCAGTTTTCTGGGATTTTGCATATATCATTTATTACCGTAAAAGTTGGGCCAAAATAGCAGCCCACCACTGGGCATTTAGTTTAAACACCTCAGGAGGAATCATATCCTCACCGGGAGCTTTGCCATTCTTGAGTGTTTTAATTAGCTGTAAACATTCTGATTCGGTAACAGGATCCCAGCCCATTAATAGATCGTTTTTAAGAGGAGGAAACTGGCTCGGTTTAGCAATGTTTGGAGCTGTGTATAGCCGGGAAAAATGTTGGTACCATAAGTTAGGTGAAATACTGTTGGTTACAATTTTCCCTTTGGGTGAAACTCCCTGGGCAATTATTTCCCAGAACTTTTTGTCGTCCCGCAATTTGATCGCTTTGTCAAGTGCCTCCCATTGTTCCTTTCTGTAGAGGGATTTCTTAAATTTTAGAGTATTTTTATAATGAGAACGCCACCTGTGCAGGTTTTCCAATGAGGACAGGGTCCCTTCCTGTTTTACCTTATTTTGTAATTTCCTAAGCAAAGATCTTAGATTCCTACAGTCTTTGTCGAACCAGGCCCTCGAGTTGTTTTGTTTTTTGGGAGGGTTGGAATTCGTGAGTAGTGGGAAGAGCGACTCTGAGACCTGCTGAAATGTTGAAAAGGGGTCAGAAATAGATGAGATACACTGGTCTCTCAAGGCCAGTAAGTCTGATGAATGCAGGTGTAATTTGATTTTAGATTCCAGGTCGCTGTTCCATTTACGCCTACGAAGGGCCAGAGTTGGAGGTGGGTCTGCACAGTGATTGCGGTATTGCGGATCCTCCACACCACGGGAATTAGTGAAATTGATATAGGAAGATGATCACTCTCAATTCTATTGAAAGTCCTGAAGCCCTGTGACCTCTCCAAGAGTTTTGGGAGACCAGGATATAATCAATAACGCTCGCACCTCTAGGTCCAAGAAAAGAAAAGAAACCCCCTGACCTGTCCATATGGGTACCATGCAAATTATACAAATTATGTTTGAAGGCAGTCTCCATTAATGTAATGCCTGCCTTATTCAAGACCTTATCGTCAGAGGACCAGGGAATAAACCAATCTGCCTCTGGCAGGAACTGAGATTTAGAGCAGTACGTATTAATGTCACTTCCTATCCTGGCGTTGAAATCACCTGCCAGCAGGATATCCATGCCAGGGAGTTCTAGTTCAGCCTTCTCCAAACATAGCTCTAAATCTTCCCAGATTTGTGACGACTGGGGAGGGGTGCCTATGGGAGGGATATATATATTAAAGCAAAGGAAATCTCCTCCTTCACTGCTAGAAATAAGTAAGATTTGTAAATTGTTACTCTTCACCCACTGCTGTTGCCGGGCCTTGCACTTTAGCTTGGTAGAAACAAAGTGACTAAGCCACCACTAGGTCGGCCTCGGGATTTTGGTTTTATCGCAGGGGTAACAAAGGCTTCATATCCCTGTAAAGAGGGGACATGGAGATCTAGACACCATGTCTCCTGTAGACATAAAATCTGAAATTTTGTAAGGAAATCCAGAAGGTCGACGTCACCCTGCTTAGATAGCCATCCCGCCACATTCCAGGATAGAATGTGGAAATAGGGTGATGGTGGAAATAGTGGCAGTCAATCTCTTTTCCGATGGTTTGAGGCTCCTGAGCTGGGCTCCTCCTCTATCTGCCCCTTCTAAAAGTCAAATAGTTGTTTATTTCTTTGACATCTGGTGGGAGGGCGTTCCACAGGGCAGGCGCCACTACCGAGAAGGCCGTCGGCCTGGTTCCCTGTAACTTGGCTTCTCGCAGTGAGGGAACCGCCAGAAGGCCCTCGGCGCTGGACCTCAGTGTCCGGGTAGAACGATGGGGGTGGAGACGCTCCTTCAGGTATACTGGGCTGAGGACGTTCAGGGCTTTAAAAGTCAGCACCAACACTTTGAATTGTGCCTGGAAACATACTGGGAGCCAATGTAGGTCTTTCAGGACTGGTGTTATATGGTCCCAGCGGCCAGTTACTGGTGTTATATGGTCCCAGTCACCAGTCTAGCTGCCACATTCTGGATTAGTTGTAGTTTCCAGGTTACCTTCAAAGGTAGCCCCACGTAGAGCGCATTGCAGTAGTCCAAGTGAAATGACTGAGGGGCTGTTAAGGAGATCAGCCTAACAAAGGGAACTGGTCTGACCGGTTCAGCAGCTGCTTCTACTAGATTCCAAACCTCACCAGCTACAGAATCACAGGTCTGGAAGTGACCCACAGATATCATCCATGCTCTTCCCTAGCCTTTAACGCCCCCCCCCCCCATCTATCTGTATCTCTATCTATCTATCATCTATCTATCTATCGCCTGCATTGCAGGGGGGTGGACTAGAGCTACAATTTCCAGAACTCTCAACAAACCAGTGGTCTACAATTCTATGATTCCAACAGTAGGTATGTTTTGGTAAGTGACAGGTTTTAAACTATAGTTTCCTTTTTAATGCAAGTTCAAGCTTTTAAAAAAAATCATTTCCTCACCTAGTTGGCAGCAATGTGTTGTCAGAGGTTTTCTTTCATTTCCTTTAGTGGTAGATATTTTAGTGGAGACACTGCAGACCCAGGAAGGGGATGTAGCTCAGTGGTAGAGCGCATGCTTCGCATGTATGAGGTCCTGGGTTCAATCCCCAGCATCTCCAGGGTGGTTCTTTTCCCCCTATTGCTGGGTGGCTTTGTGTGCATCCAGTGCGACTGGAACACAGGAATCATCTTCTTTTTTTAAGAAGATACTCTTACACGCTACAGTGGTACCTTGGGTTACGGATGCTTCAGGTTACAGACTTCGCTAACCCAGAAATAGTACCTCGGGTTAAGAACTTTGCTTCAGGATGAGAACAGAAATCACGTGGCAGCTGAGGCGCAGCAGTGGGAGGCCCCATTAGCTAAAGTTTTACCTCAGGTTAAGAACAGTTTCAGGTTAAGAACGGACCTCCTGAACGAATTAAGTTCTTAACCCGAGGTTGCACTGTATTTTTTTAAAAAAATAAACGCTTTAGCACATACACACATGGGTGTAGCGAAAATCAAGTAAATAAATAAAAATACTTAACTAAAAGCAGAAATTGTAGAAAGGTTTTGACAGATTTTTCTGAGCACTTGGGGTCCAGAGAAAGGTAATTTTGGCAAGACATTTCATTCTGAATCTGCTAGACAGAGCAAGGCAGAGGATGATGACAGGTGAGTGTTTAGTCCCCGCTGTCCCGCGCCCCCCCCCCCGAAACGTAAATCCTGGCTATTTCCATGCATACACAGTGTTTCTCTGCACCCCTGGAGTGGTGGCCATTAAAGACAGAACAGAAAGCGATCCGATTTTTAACTGCTTCTAGCAAATATGTGCTGCAGAGTTAAGAAAGGATTTACAGTGCGGTCCTTGGCAGGTTTTCTGGGGCGTACGCCGGACTGCGATCGGGGGTGCTTTTCCCCAGGGGAAGTGTCCCTATGCAGGACTCCAGCCTTAAATATGTTTAGGCAGGGAGAAAAGCCTAAAACACATGGAAGGAGAGGTGATGCTTAGAACTGCTCTAGAGGTCCTTAATGCTAGAATTGAACACAGCCAGGATGGAGGCTCTTTCTCTGCTTCGATAGATCCTGGAGGCTACATTCTGTCTCCACGCTCAGAGGCAGTAATGCTTTTAAATGCCTTTTAAATGTGTTTGTGGGTGGGTGGGGGTTTACAGTTCAGTTGTTTTTGTTTTAACTATTTGTGCTTTTGTCTCTGTGAACCACCCTAGATCCTCCGATGAAGGGCAATATATAAATCTACTAATTTATAATAGTAATAATAGTAACAACCAGAGAGTACTCAGCAGCTGTGGAACCAGGGGATGTGGCTCAGTGGGAGAGTGCATGCTGTGCATGTATGCAGTTCTGGGTGCCATCTCCACTTTTTACTCCTTGCTCTGCAGGCAAACGAGAAATGTAAGGAAGGAACTGCACAAGAACCTTCATGTGAATCATTCAGTCAGTGTTAGAAACTGATATATGAAGGCTAGGAGCTAAATGGCACCTTAAACCTAGGTTATGGGCGCAACAATGGAATGTCTAGGCACGCTTTTTTTATGTAACAAGAATACAAACCTGAAAATGAACCAACTGCAGCTGAATTATTACGTTCATTTTTCACATGGTCTAGTCCAGGGGTCAGCAAACTTTTGCAGCAGTGGGCCGGTCCACTGTCCCTCAAACCTTGTGGGGGGCCGGATTATATTTTGAAAATATAATAATGAACGAATTCCTATGCCCCACAAATAACCCAGAGATGCTTTTTAAATAAAAGCACACATTCTACTCATGTAAAAACATGCTGATTCCCGGACTGTCCGTGGGCCAGATTTAGAAGGCGATTGGGCCGGATCCGGCCCCCAGGCCTTAGTTTGCCTACCTATGGTCTCTAGTCCTTCCCCTGCCCACCCCTCCTGATATTCTTAAAAGGGTCTCTTCTCCAGTCTTCAGAGAGTAGCTGGAAGTGGGGAGGCAGGAAAAAGTTCCTCCTTTCCGTCCACTCTGCAGTTTTAATCTGAAATCTTAGGCGCAGTACTGCACCCAGAGCTCAAAACTGCTCGCACTAATGAGATTCCCTGTCGCAAAACGCGCCTAGAACAATGGGAGTTTCGAACACTGCATTCAGTTGGTGGAATCCAAATTTGTTGAAACCTAAGAGGGTAAGTGAATGTCAAGCATAAATGAGTTTCTGGATCTGTTTGTAGCTAGGTGTGTCCCACTGCCTAGGTAGGTAGGTAGGTAGGCAGGCAGGCAGGCAGATAGATAAATATGCTCCTTCTGCTTTGATAAGAGACAGATGCTAATTTCTAGCTTCCTGTTTTAATGTAACCTGAGGCTTAATGATCCCTTCCTCACCCAGCTGGCAACAATGGGTTCTCAGAGACACATTTAGTTCCTTGAACAATAGATGCTTTGGTGGAGGCCTCATAGAATCAGGAAGGGGATGTAGCTCAGTGGTAGAGCGCATGCTTCGCATGTATGAGGTCCTGGGTTCAATCCCCAGCATCTCCACGTTCGTCTTTCCTTTTAAAAAACTGGTTCCCCCCCCCCCCAAAAAAACAATTACAGATATAGAAAACTAAACGTATGGTCTTCTCCAAACACGTGCCACCCCCCCCCCCAATTATCCAGATTGCAGTATGAAAAAAACACAAAATGGTTGGTAGCATACAAATGAACCAGGTTTGTGGGCAGTCTTTGTCTCACAGGCATAGAAAAGTACAACTTTAGTTTTAGGGGCTTTCCTCCTACGATTTGGGGGTTTGCACAGAATTCTTAACATGGGGTGCAAAGAGGATGGTGGTTGGACTAGATGGCCCTTTGAATCTCCTTTCAGCTCCACACTTCTATGATTTTATGCCTTCAAGCTTGCAGGTTCTACTGTTTTACAAAAACCCCAAGATCCATCAACTGGGTGGATAAGACGTAGCCTTAATAACACACACACACACCAGGATTTGTTTTGAGTACCGGTACTTAGAACTGAGCTGAGCTCACAGTCCCTTCACAGAATAACCCCATTCCTGGTTATTGTTTCTTCTTTTCAAGAGCAACCTAATCTGAAAAAAGGTGGGTGGAGTTGGGCGCTGCCATTTGTTCCTGCCCTTTTAAAACAATTGGGAGTCAGGCATCCTTGCTGATCTGTAGCAAGCCACCCTGCTCCCCACTCCTGTTCTAGATAACATCTAAAGAGACAGAATGAAGAAGAGCAAACCCCCCGTTTTCAGTGTGTGGACATTTAACATCCAGGGACCAGTGGAAGAATTTTTCAGGCTTCCAGTTTTCAATTGCTGTTCTTCAGTGAAGGACCTTTAAAGGGAGGCTCCACTGCGAAACAGCTGAAATAGAACTTAACAGGAAGTTTGATTTTCATAATATGGGCATGAATTGAGACAATGGTCTCGCTATAAGTATTAATCATCTTAGGGTGACTGAGTTATTACCAAAATGGCTGCTGTTGTGGGCGGTACTTTGCATAAGTTTTATCTTTAATCGGATTGTTCTTTCTGCATTTTATCGCCCTTTGATCGTCACTGCTTAGAACTCTTCCCTCTATACCCATTAGGACAATAACACACTGTTGCCATATTATGAAAGACTTAACGATTTAGTTTGTTTCTGTGCAATTTTTCATTTCACCTTGACTCTCTTTTGTAAGGTGAGGAACAAATGGAACGAACCATGAGAGCGCTTCCAGCCTGCAAGAGCAGGAAGTGGGGATGTAGCTCAGTGGGAGAGCGCATGCTTTGCATGTATGAGGTCCTGGGTTCGATCCCCAGCATCTCCAGTTTTGCCGAATCTCTGCCTGGGAAATGCTGGATGGAGTGTGAGGCTTGATCTCTGCTTACCTATAAGATACTGTAGGTCACCTGTTGGTCTCTTTCCATGACTGAGAATGGTGTTCATATCTTTCCCCCTCTCCCCTTTTCCAACCAGGTATCACTTTGAGGACATAGCTGGTGCTTCTGCCAGCGCTGAGATTTTGAGCCAGGAAACGTTTGCTCCCCATCTCCTAGCTCTGGAAGGCTGCAGCAGCGCCTGGGGCCTCATCGCCCGCCAGCTGGTGGCCAAGTTTGATGAGGAGGTGGGTATCAGGGCTGCCTGAATAGAACTTATCAGGAACTTTGATTCTATCAGTATAGGCTTAAATAGAGACAGACGTTTCCCACCCCAATTCAGGTATAAATTACCCTAGCAGTGTTTCCTGGTTATCAGTTGGGAATTTTTCTCTCAAGGATTGCTCAAGTTTTCTCCAAGGTCTGCTCAGGGGGGCAGAGGGGTTGCTTATTTATTTATAAAAATATATCCTGCTTCGTCATTAGGGGGTGGGAACCAAAATGGCTTACAGCAAGAGTATTTATATATAATAAATAAAAAGCATGCAACAAGTTGAAATTAAATGCCTTCTGAATTTTTTTCCATGCCATCCAATTTATGTAGGCAATCAAAAAACATAGTTGATGAACTATGTTTTTAAATTGCCTACATAAATTCAAAGGCATATAAAAATTTCCAGCAGGCATTCAGTGGTTAAAACAGAAGGTGTCTGCTTAGAACTCTTTTTGGAAGAGGGACTCCAAACTTTGTTTCCTCCTCTTTCCCCTTTCTCTTTCTTTTCACTAGAGGTGGGATAGGGAACTTGTGGCCTTCCAGACACTGCAAGACTCCCATCCCTGATCACTTGCCACACTGGCTGTGGCTGATGGGAGTCCAAACAGCAGCTGGAAGGCCACAGGTTCCCTGCCCCTCAGCCAGAGCCTAGGTAGCTCAGTTGGTAGAGCATCAGACTTTTAATCTGAGGGTCCAGGGTTCAAGTCCCTGCTTGGGCGTTACCCGTTTTTGTGACTGAGTTCAATCCCCAGCACTGCCAGAGAAGGCTAGGATTTGGAAGGACTAATTTTTAGAAGCTGAGAGAGAGCGCCTTCTCTTTTCAACGTTCCTCTGCCAATTCCACCTGCAGTTTGTTACGGGTGTGGGGAATTGTAGCTCTGCGATGGGTAAACTACGTTTCTCATGTTTGTTTGTTTTTTACACTCTCATTTTCTTGAGTAGTGTCTTTGCATTTGGAGGTGGGGGGAGGGTGCTAGGTGATCAGAAAACAGAAGGCCGTTCCCAAGGGCTTTGATGACTCCCTTTTCGCTTATAGGCCAAGAACGAGGTGACTCTACATTTGGTCTTGCTGCGCTTGCCCCAGTACGGGACAGACCTGCTTCTCACCTTCAACAACCCCACCTTTATCCAGTGAGTATTTGCAGACTGAGGACCACATTCGCTTCTCCCTCTTCTTCATCCAGGCAAGCAAGGACGCATTGACCAGCCGAGCAGAAATACTTGAGGGTTTGACTGGGGAAGAGTCTCAAGAGCCAGAAAGAGAAGCTGGGAGGGCAACATTTGGCCCCAAGGAGGGCTGAAGTTCCCCACCCTTGCTGTAAAACAGATACAGTAAAAGCTCTGCTAGGCAGGCTCCTGGTCATAGCTGTCAACTGTCCCTTATTTGGCGGGAAAGTCCCTTATCCCAGCGCCGTGTCCCGCTGCTGTCCCTTAAATTTCCCGGGTTTCAAAGGAAGCAGCTCCTCTCCCTCCCTCCCTGCCGGCCAGGGAGGAGGGAGGCTCCAACTGTGTTGCTTGGCTGCGTTGCTCACCCAATAAGGAGTCTAAGAACGACTGGGGGGTGGAGCTTGCATGCCTTGTGCCGATCAAATCGGCCACGTTGCCTGGGGACTCGCCTTTGCTCAGCGCTTCCCAGCGGAGAGGTGACGGTGGTTTCCCTTGCTGCATCCCCTTTGCCAGGTTGCTGTGCTGTGGGAACCACCGCTTGAGGCTTCGTTTGGCTGCTGGCTGGGCTTTCTGCCTTTGGCTCGGAGGGACTTAGAAGCTGAACATACCTGTGCTTGGAAAATCCCTAATTTTGGCTGCTGATCCCTTATTTTCGAGGCTGCTGGTCCCTTATTTTCAAATCTGTAAGTTGACAGCTATGCTCCTGGTGCAGGGCTTTTTAACATCTTAAAGGAAATGTGCCAGTCCTCATGGAGGAATTCTGCATTGCTTCTTGAACACACGGGCACAGCAGAAAGGCACTTTGCAGAGGTGGTAAAGAGGCAGAGGCTGGCTGTCTGTGTGTGTGTGTGTGTGTGTGTGTGTGTGTAAGAGAGAGAATGAATTTGGAGTACTCCTACAGTAACACCCCCCTTCCCTTTTTTCCTTCGGTGCCAGTCCTCTAAGCAGCAGCGCAGCCCCAGGAACAGAGGTTCCAGCTTCTCCTTCTCAGCCTCCGTGGACAGTGGAGCATTTCCACACCTTCGTACGCAGCGTGCGGCTCCTCGACCCCGGCATCTTTGGTTAGGACATCTCCAGGATGCAGCCACTTACCATCTGTTCTGCAGTCCCAGAATCGTTTGGGTGAAGACTCTTAAAGAGGCTACTTCTGGTTAAATGTCTGGATCATCCATCTGCTGCTTCGGCTCTCTGGACATGGACTCCGATTGCCCAAAGGACATTTGCATGGCAGAGGGCGGTTTCGTGGCACCTCCGCTCCCAGAAGGTGGTTTCAGGTCTCCCCCTGCCTTTGGACGATACTGGCCTGCTGTTCTTCCATTTGCCTTTGGAAGGGGGTCTGTTCCTCTCAGCTCCAACTGTACCCCACCCAGTTCAGGGAGGGGAGCTGGATTTGTCCTTCCAGGTTGCTGCACCTGTTTGCCAATGTATCAACCACCTTCTCCAACCTGCCTTTTGAATTTCCTGCAACAAGGGTGTTTTGGTGTATCAGTCCGTTAGAACAAAATTCAGAGTCAATTAAAAAAAAACCAAAATGCCTTTTATTTGGACCAACCAATGTTTATAATATGGGGTATAAGCGTTTAGAGTCATACATAGTAAATTCTTGGGTTTGAGGACCAAAAGCAGATGTTTGTGTTTCTTTTATTTTTCTTTCCTACACATCCTCATCCCCCTGTTGTTGTCGATATTTCAACTAAGGTGGTTCTTTCAGACTTCTTTAGGTTATATATTGCCCTGTGCTAGGGTGTCAAGTTGCACAGAGGCATGCTGGGAAAAGGCCGTAACTGACCATCCTTTGAAAATATATAAAAAAACGATATACTTCTAAGCCTTGCATTTAAAACCCAGTCATATATATTGCTCAGTGCTAACTGGAATTCATAGGTCCATTTTTTAGGAATGATGCGTATGGATTGCAAATAAATGTTACTCCAATGATAACTGGAATAAAGACCTTGCCGCCTCTTCTTCCCGGGGCAGCAGCTATTAGAGCATGAGTTGAGCTAGATTTACACACCCTGCCTTGCCATTAGCCATGCTTGCTGGGGCTGATGGGAGCTGTAGTTCGTCAACATCTGGCGGACCAGAGGTTTCCCACACCTGTGGTAAAAGCACTTTTCTTAGCGTTTGTGTGGTTTGTTGCTATACAACGGTGTTTAGTCACAATCGTGATAAAACCCTGGATCTCCTACATCTTTGGACAGCTGTCACTCTCTCCCCCACCCCCTCAGCAGATTTGAGAGGATGGAATCAAAAAGTAACCTGAATTGCCATCTCCCGACAATTGAATTTTAATTCTAGCTGAGACTGGGAGTAGTGGAAGGAGAAATATTGCACTCTAGCGCCACCCAGGGGCTGGCCTATTGCAACTGGATTCTCATGGACACAAGAGGCCTATGAGGCCTACCTACTACAATGGTTGCTATGGAAATGCCTTGTGAGGCTCGGCAGGCCTCTTTGTCTAAAAAACGTGGGGCTGGCCTTGCCAGCCACAAATCTTTCTTTGATTGCTTCTTGCTTGGGGCTGTTGGGCAGCTGGCCATGGACTTAGCAGACCATAATAAGCAACTGACAGAAGGCTACCTTCACCTTGGTGGGCTGGCCTGGGGAAAGGGGGCTGCTTTGGGTGCAAAAATCCTAAAACATGCTCTTCATCCGCTCACCTCACACAATCGTCTCCTCAGTTGATAAGCTACGGCCGCAAGCTTTGCTATTTGGGAAAGGGTTTTGTGGGCATATATGTGTATATATATTTATATGTATGTATATAAAGCATCTTCCCAAATGTGCAGCCAGCGAAAGAGAGAAAGGTCCAAGCTGGTGAGAACAATCACGGGCAAATTCAGCTGCCGCGTGATGGGTTGCAATGCTCACCGTGGCCCCGGAGCCAAGGTCAGAAACATCGCAGGAGGACCACCCTGGCCTTGCAGATGCGAGGGGAGTTCAAGCAGGCAGCCGGCAGCGGCCGCCACAGCTGACATCATCGCTTCTGCTGTGTCCAGCCACTGTAGGACTGGCGTAGCTGGTCCCAAAAGAGGAGGCTCAGGATGGTGTGAGGACCGATCCGGAAATAGGAAGCGCCTAGGCCTTTGTAGATCCCAAAGAAACCTTCCGAACGGATGATTTTGGAGAGGCAGTCAAAAAGGCCCTTATACATCAGGCCCTGCAGCAGAAAGAGAGAAGAAAATCAAGCTGTGTTTTTATTTTCCCCCTTTCTTATAAAACTCGCTGAGGTCTCAATCCAGACTTCAGCTTGTGTTCTCCCACTTTTCCCCCGGGGAAACCCAATCTTTACAGCTGAATTGCAGGAAACATCAATTGGGTTTCTCCCTCACTCCCCCAAAGGATTTTGGGAACTGTAGTTTGTTAAAGTTGCTTGGAATTGTAGCTCTGCGAGGGGTAAACTATAACTCCCGAGATTCTTTGGGTGAAGCCTTGTGGTTTAAAGGTACGGTTTGATGTTACCGTGGTGGCACTTGCAAAGAAACTGTGGGCACCAGGAAACTGATCAAGACAACAGCCAGGGTTGTTTTTAAAGGCAAAAAGAGAGTACTGGAGACGGAAGGAGTTGATTGTGTATGGATAACAGGCAAATATTGGTAGTTTATAATATCAGAAGAAGGATTTTCAAACAAAATCCGTTTTGACACTGGATCAGAAGCTTGCTTATCTAAATTCAGGTGGATTTGGTTTACGAATTCAGTAGGGGAGAGCTTTCACACTACTTTTGAAAGGTTGGACTTCAGTTTCTGATGAGTGAATGTTTGAAGCGCTCAATTGGTTAGCACTCCATGTTAATGACACCAAAACTCTGGATTTGATCCCTGTATAGGTAAGAATGTCCCCAGTCTAAAACCCTGGAAATCAGCGATGACAATATCAGTGGTTTGATTCGAGATACAGTCAGCTTCCTAAAAGATGTAACTGTATGCACTTTTCCCCACAGAGGGATTTACTTCCAAATAAACATGCATAGGATTGGCCTGCAAACTTATTTTCGCTTTCAGTGAAATCCAGTTTTTAAATCTTAATGGTAATCTTATTAATTCTAAAATGTTAATGAAAGCTTTCAGCTTCCGGGGATCGACTGGGACATCTGAGATGGACAGAGAATGAATGGGGTGAGTTAATAGTGGATCTGGGGGCAAGCTGGGATCCAGACCATGTTAGGTCCCATTGAAATCAACAGGACAGGTGACTCATGAAACACACACTTAAGCCCCACTGATTTCAATGGTGCATAAGTGCAACTAATTTAACCTGGATCCTTCCCATGGTCTCCATCTTCGCCCTTGTCCACCCTGCCCCTAAAACCCACCAATAGCTCATGCTTTCTCACCATGTTTCTCCCAAGGCATGCTTACCTCACCTCGGGGTCCTACAGGCTGATTGTAGAGGCGGGTGCTGGCCACATCAAAGGGTGTCATGGCGACAGCCACAGTGACACTGCTCGTCATTCCAGCACTCAATGCCAGCAGCCAACTGTCCTTAGGGAAGATCTGGGGATGGGAGATGGGAAGGATATGGGGTGAGTGATCAAGAAGGAGCAGGTGGAAGGGCCACAGCTCAGAGGCAGAGCTCTTGGCAAGCAGGAGGTCCCAGAATCAATCCCTGGCATCTCCAGCCAGGGCTGAGAAAGTCACTTGTCTGAAACTCTGGTGACCCACTGCTAGTCAGTGTAGACCAGAGGTGAGGAACCCAGCAACCAGGCCAGATGTGGCCCACCAGGCTATTTCCGCAAAACTGTGCCAACCTGCCATTATATGTGATGACAGGTGTGTGACAGGTAGAGATGTGGGCTGATAGGATGCTCATGCAGCTGGTCCCTCCCTGCAGTACGGAGGATTGAGTTCTCCATACATCTGCTGATGGGCAGATCAGCCCTGCTTAGCTGCTATCTCCTCCACCGTGTTGGCCAACTCTGGGCTGGTCCACCATGTGTCAATCACATCATACAATAAGAGCTGTTCAAAGGTGGAATGGTCTCCCTTGGGAGGTGGTGGACTCTCCTTTTTAATCTTTTAAGCAGAGTTTAGGTGGCCATCTGTCACGGATGCTTTGGTCGAGATACTTGCATTGCAGCGGATTCAACTAGATGATCCTCTGGGGGACACTTCCAACTCTATAATTATATGATTCTATGCTGCCAGATTATTAGGAGGTGGGTGGTCCCACCCACCTGTCAAAGTTGGCCCACGTGATGGGTGGAAGGGGGCTATAAAGAACTGGCCCACCAAGACCAAAAGGTTCCCCATCCCTGGTGTAGACAGTGCTGAGCTACAAGGACCAATGGTCTGACCAATGTGGTCATGAGCTCTAGAAGCAGGAATAGTGCAGGAACCATCGGCCGAATGCTTTATGGGTTTGCAGCCCATAAACTCAGGGATTTAAACTGAGCAGAGAATGAGCATTCTGAGAACCACATGCTTTTATTTTGAAATGAAACATGCACACCCTTTCGGACCTGACCACCAAGCGCAAAGTACCTGGTGGCATCTCAAAAGCAGAGAAAAACTTCCAGTAGATGAGGGAGGAAGAGTTTCAGCATCTTACTCTGCTCCTTGGCACCAGAGCCATTTTTTCTTCTCCACAACAGGCAAAAGTAGAATAAATTTACACAAAGCAATCACACAGATGCACATTTCTTTTGTCTACATTATGTATTCAGTTTACAGGAGGGTTTTTTGGTATAAGATTTGAACCAATGTATTAATTATCTTTGGGACGCGGGTGGCGCCGTGGGTTAAACCACAGAGCCTAGGACTTGTCGATCAGAAGGTTGGCAGTTCGAATCCCCGCGACGGGGTGAGCTCCCATTGCTCGGTCCCTGCTCCTGCCAACCTAGCAGTTCAAAAGCACATCAAAGTGCAAGTAGATAAATAGGTACTGCTCCGGCGGGAAGGTAATCGGCGTCTCTGTGCGCTGCTCTGGTTCGCCAGAAGCGGCTTAGTCATGCTGGCCACATGACCTGGAAGCTGTACGCCGGCTCCCTCAGCTAATAAAGCGAGATGAGCGTCGCAACCCCAGAGTCGGTCACGACTGGACCTAACGGTCCCTTTACCTTTACCTATTAATTATCTTTAAAATGGGCAGCAGCACACACAGAATCCTGGCCTCAGCCGTCCTGAACGCAATAGAGAATCCACTCGCAACCTGCTCTCCTGGCACAAATCAAGCCCGACTCGTAATGCAAATCACAATGCAAACACAATTAAGCCCTCTGGGAAAGGTTAGCAGGTTGACATCATATGTACAACAAAACCACCAAACAAACAAAAACACACACTTGTATTGATAGATTCTGAAATACACTATTTGAGCTTGAACGCTCAGAGGTGTGAGGGGAAAGAGCAATGTCATCATGACTTACTTAGGGCAGTTATGAGGAACCTTTGCCCCTCCAAATGTTGATGAACTACAACTCCCATCAGCCTCAGCAGAAAAAAAACAGCCAACGGTCAGGGATGATGGGAGTTGTAGTTCAGCAACATCTGGAGCACTCAAAGTTCCTTCACACCTGACTTAGGGAGTGTGAGTTCAAAATAAACCAAAGATGCATACCAACCTAAATTTGTCAGGTGTGGGCTGCTATCTTGCACCTATACAACAACCAGCATCTATATCCATCAGAGCAGAGTAGATCCCCAAATCCCACCAGCACCATTGCAATCCAAACCCGGGATGCTGTTGCAATTGCTATGGTAACACACAAAAGCCCAGTCACCTCTACATCTCTGCACCCTCTTTACCTCAAGTCGGCTAAAGAATTCTTTGGAAGAAGAGAAGGTAGCAAGTTGTGTAGAAGAGCCAACCATGACACGAGGTGCAGCTGAGAGCGACCCGCGCCACAGTCCCAGCACGCCGTGCTCTTTGTGGATCATGGTCAGAGCATGGAGCATCCCCTGAGCATGGGAAGAGAGAGAAAACGAGAACCAAATGTCCCCATTGGTCAGTTAGGACTGAAACATGCAGCCAGTTAGATCGTGTAAAGAGCTTGCTACATCAGGCCAACATCCTGTTCTTACAGTGGCCAACCAGAAGCCCTGGGGAATCAGTTAAAGATATTGTGATATATTGCGATGGGAGCTGCAATTAATTGGATACTCAGTTTAATGATTTCCAATACAAGGTCTTGTACTGTTGGACTCCAACTCCCATCAGCCCCAGCCAATATGGCCAATGGTTAAGGATGATGGGAACTGCAGTCTAACATCTGGAGGCCCAGAAGCTCCCACCACTGGCCAAGACATTTCCAGCATGGGAATATAGAGACTTATTCTGTTGTAAGGCTGAAGGAACACCATCCATTTAAAGCACATGACTTCCCCCCCAAAAATCATAGGAACTGTAGTTTAAGGGTGCTGGGAATTGTAGTTCTATGGGGGTAAACGACACTTCTCAGGAGAAATCATGCCCTTGCAATGTCCCTTAAATGTATGGCAGGCACACAGTCTAAGTGTCTTATAAAAGGCATAGACATTCCGTCGTTGAGTGTGTAATGCACGGTTTCCCAAACTTGGCCCTCCAGAGGTTTTGAGATTACAATTCCCATCATCCCTGCTCAGTGGTCCTGCTAGCTAGCAAAAACATCTGGAGGGCCGAGTTTGAAGAAGCCTGCTCTGGTGTAACACAACTCCATCCTGCAATACACATTTTTGCCATTGGGGGCAGCCCGCTGAGAACAAGATACAGGTGGGCAACCTGTGGACATTTTTGGGCACCAACCCCCTTCAGCCCATGTCCATAGAGCAAATGGCCAAGAACTATGGGAGCTGGGAGTCCAGCAACACACAGAGGGCTGCAAGTCCCCTACCCATTTCCACATGATTACCTGAAGTATGCGAATGTGAAAAGAGAACATCACCTTGTCTCTCTGGAACGCAGCCATCCTCTGTGGCCGCTGAGTACACTTCATCAACGGTGTTGCTGGCTGTTCCTGGTAGTGACCCCCACGGGGAGGCCTGGATGCTGGGCAACCCTGAGGGTTGCCAGGGTAATGAAATCTTTTCATGGGAGATACTGTCCCCTTGGTACAAGCAAGCTGGGACTTCTTAAAGGGCCAGCCTGCCTGGCTAGGTCCCTGAAAACTATCATCAATGCTCTTAAGGAAGGGCCTTAGCTCAGGAGCAGAGCTCTGCATGCAGAAGGTTCCATGTTCAGTCCAGGAAAACCGCTGCAAGCCAGTGTAGACAACGCTCAGCTAGATGGACCAGCAGTTTGACTCTGGACAATGTAAAAGACCGAGCGAGCCGCACATACCTGGTGCTGGTATTGGTGCCCTACAGCGATCTCAGCAGCGGACTGAGCCTGGATGTGGGTCTTCACCTGCAGTGGAAATGGAAGAAACGTCTCATCACATCATAAGGGGCCTATTTATAAAAATGAGGATATGCCTTCCTACAGAGAAATGCCATCTCCGTAAACCAGAAACAACACTTCCATTCCAGGGCAGGGAAGTGTTTCTCAGGTGGAATTTTGTTCATGAACCAGGGCATTCAAACGCCTACATTCGAGGCTGTCTAAAATTTCCAAGTACAAGAAAACAGAGTGCGTTACTTAACACTTATACAAACGCACACACAGGCTATCCTGTAGCATCTTGCTATTGGCCAGTGTTGGCCGGGAGGAGGATGCAGGAATGGATGGACCACAATGACAAGATGTCCAGAAAGTCAACATCTGACACTGTGTGACAGATAATAACAGTGTTATGATCTCAGGGACTTTAAGACCCAGTTGGTTGTAAATGAGAGAAAAATAACAGCTGTGTGTGTCTGTCCCTCTCTGTGTTTTAAATGCTGAGGACTGGTGTGGCATATGTAGCAGTTAAAGGAGAGTCTTTTCAGCCTAGGCACCGTATCCCCTCTTGACCAAATCCCCAACAGCTAGCAGCTGTGGGTGCTGTCAGATGGATAAAAAGGGAGCAATTGGAAAGTCATTTTTGACAAGACTGTCCATGAACTTAAATTGGCCTTAAGACCAGTGAGACAAATCAAGACGTACGTCTTGAAGGGAAACTGGGACTTTTCCTATGAATGATTGCGTTGACAGAAAGCCACAGAAGAACTTCAAGTTGGAACTCAGTGATAAATATATATATACATGCCATACCAGCAACAGAGGCTGCTGGTCCATTCGAGCAAATTGGGCACTGTGCCACCAACCCCACTGGCCTATTATTCCTTACAACCAGCCCAAGGCGTGGCATTGCCCATCAGCTTCCTCCTGAGTCTCAGTGTTGCTTTTGTGGGACTCAGCAAGGGGCAGATGGGGAGAAAACTAGAATCAGTGGGCTCTGCTTGCCATTGGTTGTGGTGGTGAACCTACTACTGGTCTCCCTGCCTTGCACCCTACCAGTCTCCATTGCACATCAGGACAGACACATGCAAAGTTTCATGCACCACCCAGTTCTACACAGAACACAAACCTGACTTTCTTGCCACTCAGATTGCAGAATTCTGGATTTGGGAGGACGGAATTCCACCCACCTACCCAACGGCTTGCAACCCCTCCCCATCCATGCCTGTACTGATTCCCCACGCTTTGTGACCCACCATATAGATGGGGCTGCTCACGGTGGCACTGACCACCCCGGACAATGCCCCAGCCACGGTGGTGCGCAGCAGGCTGATGCTCCCGTCGGAGGCGTGAATGTAGCCCGCCGTGTCGGCGATCCCGTAGAGGCCCAAGCGGAGTCCGTTAAAGCCAAACTGGTAAAACAAGGCGGGCAAGAGGCCCCGCTGGAGAGCTGACAGGCCGTCCACCCGTCCAATGGTGTAGAAGGCATGGAAGACGTTGCGGTAATGGCGGGTGTAGGTCCCCGGAGCCCGGAGCTCTCCTTGCAGCTGCATGCGGGTCTTCACCACCTCCAGCGGGTTGGTAAACAGGCAAGCCCCACAGGCTGCCACCCCACTGAGGAGGAAGTCCATTGTTGGGGAGCCGAGGGAGAAAAAAATACGGTTGGGGTGGGTGAGGAGAAGGCAGGCGATGTGGGTTTTCTATGGAAGAAGACCAGGTGTTATAAGGAGTTGGGGGAGGGGGACAAGGGACCTGGATGGATTAGGGGGATATACAAAAAACACTGGACCTTGGTTATAGGTCTCCAGAAGGCCCAAACAGCAATAGCGCTGGCATTAGCAGATGAGAAATGAAGGGAAACAGATGCTGTGAAGGATGGAGTAGAGACATTTATGGAAGCGTCAGCTTTGAGCAAGGAGGAAACAGGCAATCTAAAAGGTCCCAGAAACTTTCAGGCGCTAAGGGTTCAAAAGGGGTGGCAGGCAGAGGGGTGACTGACGATTTTAGATTTCCCTTTTTTCCAGGATGGGCGCCAGGTGGGGAAAAATGATATTCAAGGAATTGGGAAATTAAGGGCTGGAGGAAACAGGTTTGAGAGGTTCGAAGCTAGAATCTGAAAGGGGTCCAAATAGGGGCATAATTTGGGTTTGGCGAGGCTAGCAGGGGAAAATGTTATTTTTAAAGCAGCTGATCAGTGGCCAACGGATCCCAGGCTATTTGGGATCCAGTCTCTGGGGAGGATTCTGCTGCACAGGGGGTTCTTTTTTTGGTGGTGGGGGGTAAGGAGAATATGGTGATGGATGCAGAGAAAGGAGCAGGACCACTAATGGGAGCCGGGATGGAGGACTGCAGAGAAGCCAGGGGTGGTGTTGGCGGGCAACCTTCCAGGGAAATCACAAAATTAAGGACAGGGTGGGGGGCATTGGGTGAGAAATCTGGGGAGATGCGGGGTGGGGTCCGCTGTCAGATGGGAAGCGGGATCCCCGGTTCCTCACGTGGCCAGTGCGCAAAGGCGGCGCTCCCACCAAACATCTTCGCCCTTCGCCTCCTCCTCTCCATCTGAGCCGGCGCCGGCTTTGCCGGGAGGTAATACCCGCAGCGGCAGCGATGGGCCACGCCCCCAACCGGCACAGTTGTCCAACGGCCGGCCACTTCCCACGACGTCTCTCCTCTGGCGCACCAATCGGGGAAGCGATGCCTGACGCGCCCCCTCCTTTTTCCTTCTCTGCACAGCCGTGGTGGGCGGGGCCTGTTTAGCCCAGCCTGACCTGAGCGCTCCAAGGGCTTATGAATGAAAACCTGGCGGGTTAAACCAGGACAGGCGGGAGGGGAAATGCGATTTTTCTTGGAGGGGGGGGTGTGTCCGTCTTTCCGCGATCATCTCGTAGTAGAAGCTACTGTGCCAAATTCAATTTCTGCAGAAGCGATGCGGGTATGAGGACAGGCAGACTTGCTCCGGAGTCAGCCCAATGCCGAATTATTCTTATTAGCGCGTAGGATCAGACCCTAAAATCAAAATGCCAAGACTTTCCTTGGGGCGAATGACGATGCAGGAGGGCTGAATGCAGCAAACATCCCGAGTGTGCACCTATCTGCGTCGCTTTCAAGGGCATTGGTGGGCGTGAGTAATTAAACTGGATTAAGTTTGCAAGGCGCGCTTGCAGAGGGGCACATGCCCTTTGGAGTTCCGGAGCGATGGACAGGAAATGCCGGGGCCTGAATCCCCGCGGCGGAAAGGTGGAACCGAGATCCGCCAGGGGTAGCCAACGCGGTGCCCTCCAGATGGTTTGGACCACACTTCCCATCATCCCTGGCGGTTGGCCATGCTGGCTGGGGCTGATGGGAGTTGCAGTTTAACGAAACCTCTGGCTGGCGCCGCATTGGCTCCCTTTGCAATCGCTCTCCCGGTGATTCCCCGAGGGCTGGGCGAAATACAAAACACGCGCACGCATGCAAAGCGTTTACAGTATAAGCAGGGATGGGGAGCCTGCGCAGCCCTCTTGGCATTGCTGAACTACAACTCCCATCATCCCTGATCACTGGCCATGGGGTCTGGGACTGATGGGAATTAGGGTTAATCCACAGAGCAGGTCCAAGAGATGTTCTGCTCGATGCATTGCTGCCTGCAGAGCTGACGAGCGCCTTCTACCGCACAGGGCCCGGAGGCACGTGTGGCAGGAACCGGCTTGCGGGCACCTCGCTCGGAGAAGCGTACCCCCGATGTGTCCCACCCCGGACTTGCACGTAACGAGATACGAAAGAAATCCCCAGACTTAAGCCGCCTAGTAAGAAACGTGGCTGTTTCATGGATGACCGCAGGATCTGAACTCGGCTCCACTCAAGATCCTCGTCTGTTGGAAACATTTCTCATCTTTGTTCTAAATGCGGGGGCTGATCTAATTTGTCATTTTTGGGTACCGCACGCACAATTTCCCACCCACTTTCCGAAGTTCAGCGACTGGCCGGTTAGCTCAGTTGGTTAGAGCGTGGTGCTAATAACGCCAAGGTCGCGGGTTCGATCCCCGTACGGGCCAAGGAACGTTTTTGGGAAAGGCCATTAGCTCTCTTAGAGCATCTTCTTTGAATGCAGAAGTTCGCAGGTTCACTTTCCAGACTGGGCTGGAACAGTGGAGGGTCGCTGCCCGCTACTCTACTAGTCTTTGGAAGGAAGTGGATCCTGTTTTGCTTAGGACAGCGATCCACGCTGGCAGCGTATGAGCAACCCAGCTGCTGCTTTGCTAAACAAATGGCGAAAGTGGGCTTAGCCCGGCTGCTTTAAACAAATCCCTTGGCATCAGTTATCTTAAGTTCTTCCCTGCATACTTGGTTCCCAAACTTTAAAGGGAGTGGCAGGTTTGGTCATAATTTAGTTTTTCTCCTGGATAAAGTTTTAAATGGAAAATGCTAAGGTTTCTGTGCATTCCTACCTTTTGCAGTACAGAACTAGCTGCTTTTAGGTAGTGTATGTAGTAAACATCTGTTCTGAGAACATCGAAAAAAATAATTTGTCCCTGTGTGCATTTGTATTTCAATAAAGGCTTCTCTTTTCACTTGGAGCCTGCATCTTTTACCTTTGGGTTTTTGTGAGGGCAACCTCCAGTCTTTTTTTTTTTTGTTTAGTCGTTTAGTCGTGTCCGACTCTTCGTGACCCCATGGACCAGAGCACGCCAGGCACTTCTGTCCTCCACTGCCTCCCTCAGTTTGGCCAAACTCATGCTGGTAGCTTCAAGAACACCATCCAACCTGTTGAATGGTTTCTTTAAATGTAAAGGTTCATCACTGTTCCACCCGATGTGTATGTCTTTAAGGGGCCAAAGCAAGGGCCAGAGCAAGATAACGAGACCCAGCTTTACAGCTGTGAAACATAGCAGGTGCTGCCGAGTTGTACTGATTAAGCTGTGTTGGCAATTGGGTGTAGGAGCAGCACCTAGCTCTCCCATTACCCTGGGGGATGGGTTGGTGGTTGGGTCATGTTTGTTTGTTAATGCATTTAGTGTAAAAGGAGTTTTTGTTTTTCTTATTAAAACCTTGTTTAAATTATTTTTGAGTCCCTTTTTAATGCATGGTCTCCCCAGCAAGCTCTCTGCAGCGCTACCATACTGCAAACAGCCAACACAACCATCTCATTCTCTGTCGTCCCCTTCTCCTTGTGCCCTCCATTTTTCCCAACATCAGGGTCTTTTCCAGGGAGTCTTCTCTTCTCATGAGGTGGCCAAAGTATTGGAGCCTCAGCTTCACGATCTGTCCTTCCAGTGAGCACTCAGGGCTGATTTCCTTAAGAATGGATACGTTTGACCTTCTTGCAGTCCATGGGACTCTCAAGAGTCTCCTCCAGCACCATAATTCAAAAGCATTGATTCTTCGGCGATCAGCCTTCTTTATGGTCCAGCTCTCACTTCCATACATCACTACTGGGAAAACCATGGCTTTTACTATACGGACCTTTGTTGGCAAGGTGATGTCTCTGCTTTTTAAGATGTTGTCTAGGTTTGCCATCGCCTTTCTCCCAAGGAGCAGGCGTCTTTTAATTTCATGACTGCTGTCACCATCTGCAGTGATCATGGAGCCCAAGAAAGTAAAATCTCTCACTGCCTCCATTTCTTCCCCTTCTATTTGCCAGGAGGTGATGGGCCCAGTGGCCATGATCTTTTTTTTGATATTGAGCTTCAGACCATATTTTGCGCTCTCCTCTTTCACCCTCATTAAAAGGTTCTTTAATTCCTCTTCACTTTCTGCCATCAAGGTTGTGTCATCTGCATATCTGAGGTTGTTGATATTTCTTCCGGCGATCTTAATTCCGGCTTGGGATTCATCCAGCCCAGCCTTTCGCATGATGAATTCTGCATATAAGTTAAATAAGCAGGAGACAATATACAGCCTTGCCGTACTCCTTTCCCAATTTTAAACCAATCAGTTGTTCCATATCCAGTTCTAACTGTAGCTTCTTGTCCCACATAGAGATTTCTCAGGAGACAGATGAGGTGATCAGGCACTCCCATTTCTTTAAGAACTTGCCATAGTTTGCTGTGGTTGACACAGTCAAAGGCTTTTGCATAGTCAATGAAGCAGAAGTAGATGTCTTTCTGGAACTCTCTAGCTTTCTCCATAATCCAGCGCATGTTTGCAATTTGGTCTCTGGTTCCTCTGCCTTTTCTAAATCCAGCTTGCACTTCTGGGAGTTCTCGGTCCACATACTGCTTGAGCCTTCCTTGTAGAATTTTAAGCATAACCTTGCTAGCATGTGAAATGAGTGAAATTGTGCGGTAGTTGGAGCATTCTTTGGCACTGCCTTTCTTTGGGATTGGGATGTAGACTGATCTTCTCCAATCCTCTGGCCACTGCTGAGTTTTCCAAACTTGCTGGCATATTGAGTGTAGCACCTTAACAGCATCATCTTTTAAAATTTTAAACAGTTCAGCTGGAATACCATCACTTCCACTGGCCTTGTTATTTGCAGTGCTTTCTAAGGCCCATTTGATTTCACTCTCCAGGATGTCTGGCTCAAGGTCAGCAACCCTCTTTTAAATTTCTCCAACACTAGCATTCGGGGCTTGCTTCTCCCCAAACAATGCAGGTGGCTTGATCCGGTTGGGCCAAGAGTTCCTTTGGGGGAAAGGGTTTCCTTGCATGCAAAATTTCCAGGTTCAATTCCCATAATATCCAGGCAGGGATGGGAGAGACCTTGCTCGAAAACCCTGGAGAGTTGCTGATACTGAGATAGATGGATCAAGAATCCAGCTTCCTATGTTCCAGAAGTGGAACTCAAATGTTTCTTTTTGGCTTCCACCCACGGGGTGTCAAAAGATGAACAATTAACGGTTCACAAAAATCTCACTAGGTGTGCTCCCAGGTAAAAGACTTTTATTGAGCCTTTTCCTTGATTTGCATGTGGGGAGGGAGGTTAGGCAACATAAAGCGAGTGTTATCCCCACCCGTTCCAGAGATTTCCCCATCTCTTCTCTTGTTGCATGAAGTCTGCTTTATTGGGGAAAGATTGGTTGAGTAAGACCTCTCAATAAAATACAACCTGAATTTGCTGGGGTGTGACTGAATCCCACCCAAAATAGTGTGCAGCTGGAAGTGCCCCGAGTCAGTGATATGGTTTGTTTCCTCCCAGCTCAGCAACAGCAGAGTTCAGGGCATTTGGGCAATTCACAATAGAACTTGCTTGTCCGCAGGAAGCCACCGTTGTATCCTCACAAGCCGGTCCACTGTCCAACTCTGCTCTCATGACCAGAGTAGCTGGATCCTGGATTAAGAAACTAGAATCTTAACCAGTATTTCTACATAGAAAACATTGTGGCAATAGCAGCACAGGAGCTGCTGATAGGCACCTGTCAATCTAGCATGCCACTGTGGCCATTCTTTGGGAGTTTCTGCAGGCTAGTGACACCAACCAGTTAGCTTTGATAATATTAGCAGTACACTATCAATTCCCTGACTACTTTATGTACCCCACTGTGACTAAGTGGTATATAAATTGCTAAAATAATAAATACAGTAGTACCTCAGGTTAAGTACTTAATTCGTTCTGGAGGTCCGTTCTTAACCTGAAGCACCACTTTAGCTAATGGGGCCTCCTGCTGCTGCTGCGCCACCGGAGCACAATTTGTTCTCATCCTGAAGCAAAGTTCTTAACCCGAGGTAATATTTCTGGGTTAGCAGAGTCTGTAACCTGAAGCGTATGTAACCTGAAGCGTATGTAACCCGAGGTACCACTGTATGCCATTTTTTTAGTCCTAGCCATAGCAACCAAACAAAACTATTTACACATCTCTGCTGCTATGAATTGGAAAACAAAGAATGTTATTCATCTCCTTTCTCACCCTAAACACAGCTGTGTTTTCACAGCCACAGGTGCCTAAAGGAGATTTCTCCCCCAATTTCTAGGCAATTTTAAGCACCCAAAAGACAGGCAAGCAAGGGTTCAAGGGGCAACCCTCGCCCCAAGCCTGACAGCTGTCGAGAATACTTGCCAGAAGTTTTGATCTGCTATGGGACACCTGTGCCCAGTGAACCATGCGGTGTTTGAATGTCTGCAGATAAAGCTTTGCTAAGCCATCATCTCAATTCACGGTATCGTGTTACTTGCTGCATTCCTAGTTGCACAGCGGAGGTCCCTTACGACTGTAAACACACAGATCCAAATAACTGGTGGTGGTGGTAGCAGTGGGAGGGAGGTCTCCAATTTCATAGTAATTATTTGGAAAAGAAAAAACAATTATGGATCTGAAAGGCTCCAGTATTTACTGATCCTGTAATTGCAACCTATATATTATATGGATGCATGTAGAATGCCTGCAATGGTTCTGTAGCCCAACAAAGACCGCTTGGGAGAGACAATTCGAAGTTGAACTGAAAGGTCAGCAATAAGCTGAAAAGGTATTTCTTCACCAGGGATGGCTGGTATTTCTAAAACAGTAGATCTGGGGAGAAGTTAAGCAGGGTAGCTATTGCATAAGGCTCTTGTTGACCTCTGCCTTGTCTCAGTTCCGCAGGCCGACATGGTTCCCATACACACCTAACTTAGGAAACGAAGTGCAGTGCAGATACCACCCTCCCCAATCTCAAAATGATGGAAAACTGAAAAGCCAGTGAGATGTGATGATCTCACCTAGGTTAAAGGTGTGGGATTTTGCAAGTTTGTTATGGGCTAGGGCTTTGTGGATTTGCTGTCAAAGGGTTGTGAAGCTCACATGGTGGTTTGGAAAAGTCCAGTCCGTACCAAGGGAAAAGCAAATTACCAAGTTAGGGCTCATCTCCTAGCCCCAAGTTCTCAGCCTCCAGTGTTCTCTCCTCTTCCGCCAGCAACACCGAACAGAAAGGGAACAGAAGTTTCCTGCAACTGGTTTGAGTTCTCAGCCTCCTCTAAAAACTCATCCAGATGTTCCTTTTGCCCATCCTTTGGAACCTGCATCCTCCCCGGGACCGCCAAACACATAACTTTCTCATGCCGAAATTGCCGCTCAGTTTTTCGCTCCATTTTTATTTGGAATTAGAAAAGTCCACAGTCACCATCATGTGACCTACAGAGTTTGCATATTTCCTTAAACATTAAGTTCCTTTCCCCACCCCCTTTTACTCTCTTTTGTTTTTCTTCTTTTCTTTTAAGGCCAATAGTGTTCTCTGCCATTTTTATTTTTGTTAAATTCTCTTTATTTCTCCCCAGAAACCCTGCCTTCAAAAAGAAACAAAACAAAAACTTGGTTACGTTGCTCCACTATAGCTTTTCTTATTTTTTTGCCTTGTCATGTTGACACAGCAAAAAAAGAAAAGAAAAAAAAAGGGGACGGGGGTTAGTTGGGTCGGTGGAGCCACTAATAAGCTCACTCGCATCTCCACCACACACACACACACACAATCACTCACGCAGACACACACAGTCCAGAAGTCACAGTTTAAAAATCTGGAGAAATTGGATGTGGACTAGAAACTGAATGAGAGAGAGAGAGAGAGAGAAAAGAGAAGAGAAAGAGCTTGGCTCTTAAACTTTCTCTTTTGTTCAATGTTGCATATTTCCCCCCTAATGTTTCAAAGCAAGTGCATCTTGAGGAAGAGACGAGGGAGGAGAAAGAGGAAAAAGCGTCACAGAGAAAGGGAGGTTGAAAATGGAAAGAGAAGAAAAGGAGCAAGTCGTAACAGACTCAACACCGGCTTTTGCCAACCTTGGCTGGCGCTCCTTTCCCCCGATGTTTCAGCCAGCAGCTCCCACCTGGGTCAGAGCTGCTGTCCAGAACATCAGGAGGGAGCCAGGTTGGCAAGGCTAGTCTACACTGTGCCATGGGATGAGAAATACTGGGTGGGGAAAGTGGGGGTGGGAGAGGAGACAAAAGACTGCCGAGTGCCAAAGTTTCTAAGTGCTCCCTGCTTCTGAAGAGCTCCTTCTGGTCACAGGAGCCAGAAGTCTCCTTCCAGAGGTCCACATGCACAGATTCCCGCAAACCTGTCTCTATGGTGCAGCTCAAATCTTAATGGTTTGTCGCCCGGGAGAGGGGCTATTTGCAAGCTTGGAGGAGAAGCGATTAACAGGCAGGCTGGCTGGCTGGCTAGGGGGAAGGGGGATGCGATCAAGTTAGGGGTGGCAGTACAAGAGATCTGCCTGTCCTTTGAGTCCCCCTAAAACATTCGGCCCTTCCCCTTGGTTCAGGTGTGTGTGGACAGTACGAGAATCCTACACCTGGGAGGACAGAGTCAGAGACAGGGAAGAAAGGGGGTCCTTGCCTCCTCCTTTTTCAGCCGGGAGGGGTAAGTAGGGGTGTTACAGCCAAATTTGGCCAGGAGAGACTAATGCCCTGAAATTTGGCATGGAGAGAGAGAGAGAGAGAGGGGGAGAGAGGGAGAGAGAGAGAGAGAGAGAGAGAGAGAGAGAGAGAGAGAGAGAGAGAGAGAGAGAAACGAGTTAGTCACATGAGGCTCGCTTCCACTTGTGTGCTTACAACCTGGCCTGCTTTGGCTCGACGAGGAGAAGGAAAAGGGGGGCGGCAGGGAAGTGGAAAGGGGGCTGGCTATGGCTTTTGATTGGTTAATGGATTGCACAGAGTCACGGAAAGAGAGAGTGCAGGCGGAGGAGGAGGAGGAAGAATCTGCCACATCCCGACAGCAAGAGGAGTTGATGGCGTGAGAAAGCCGCCACGATGCCCAAGGAAGGCGGGAGCCGTGCTTGGCTGGCAGTGCGTCGTCACCGCCTCCCGCCGCCTCAGAACTTCTTGGGGCCCCAGACGGACGTCTGCTTGGGGACCACGCCGGTGCCGAAGACGGGAAACTCTTCGGCGCTGCTCACATCTGGGGCCTGAAAGGGGAGAGGGGGGAGATGTATTTCCTGTTCTAAATGGGTAGCACATGCCACAAAGACCCTCTGCCTTTTGAAGAAGAAGAAAAAGAAGAGTTTGGATTTGATATTCCATCTTTCACTCCCCTTCAGGAGTCTCAAAGCGGCTAACATTCTCCTTTCCCTTCCTCCCCCACAACAAACACTGTGAGGTGAGTGGGGCTGAGAGACTTCGAAGAAGTGTGACTGGCCCAAGGTCACCCAGCAGCTGCATGTGGAGGAGCGGAGACGCGAATCCGGTTCCCCAGATTACGAGACTACCGCTCTTAACCACTACACCACACTGGCTCTTTGAGCAAGCTGGTTCTGCTTTTAAAAGGACCCCAAGGCACTAGGCCTCATGGGTCTTGAGGTTTTCTTAGCCCCTTCTTCACATGCAGTGCTTCTTAATATTGGCCAAAGCGGGCAGCTTCTAAGGCAGACTCTGTGGCGATGACGGACCCAAGACATACCTTGTTCCCAGACGCGTTCCAGGGGGCGTCGCGCACCACAAAGCCCTTGGCCGGGCCCCGGGGCTCCTCCTCCAAGCGGGACGGAGGCTTCATATACGCAGCCATCGCTTCGGTCTCCACCACGTCCATCATCTGTAAGGAGAAGCCTCCCGTTAAAATTGGAGGGTGCTAGCGGAGTCTTGTGGTCAACTCGAGGGCCTCTCGGGATGCAAGACAGATTTTAAAAAACTGGAATAAGGAGCAGTAGCTGCCCTCACCCCCTCAAACCACCAACCAAACCCACACGCTACTTGTGCAATTTTGCACAAGCGAGGCAAAGCGTCAGGCACTTCAAAGCACCTTGCAAAGCTCTCTTTTTTTGCAAGTCCTGCTGGGACTTCAAAGCGCCCAGTCTTCTGACATCATTGTTTTGTTTATTTATCATTATTTTCCTTGAATTTTTATTAAAGCTTAAGAGAACAAAGAAAGAACAGTATAGAAACATCAAATATCAAGCATTTCTTAAACAGAAAAATTAAAAGGAAATAAAGAAAAGGAAAAAGGAAAGGAAAAAACTTCCGATTCTCCATCTATCAGCTTTAAAAACTGGCGTAAAATTCTTACTTCCTAGTAACATTCAACTCTCCTACTTTCCATAAACCAACCTTCAGCTCCACCCCCCAAAGTCTTCATACCCTGATACCACAAGTTCACTTGTGCAGAAAACCCGTAAGAGGTTTCCAATCATTAATAAAAGTCAACAGTGATTATTTTCCGATTAAGCAACACCAGCTCTGCCAACCACCTGACATCATCATGACATCAAGGTGACCTGACAGGTGGGCAGCCCTGGCCACCAGTCTAATTTGGCCCACGCACCCGTGACATGGCCAGAATCTCGCCCATGCTGTCTCTCAGACGTGTATATATAGCTAGAAGGAAGCTCCCCCATCCATCAAGCTGCTTGAGCACCCCTCCCAGCCATCTCCCTCCTCCTCACATATTCCTCTTCCAAGTTGAGCATGTGGTCTATAGCATCGTCCACGTTTTCCGGCAGCCCTGTGACCGTGACTCTGTCAGGGTCACTGGAACCCGGTTGAGGGAAGCGGATGTCGACCTGCCGGGGCAAGAAGGACAAGGTCACAAGATTACACAGTCCAAAGGGCATTGATTGGACGAGCAAGAGCCTGGCCATCACGATTTTGCTTGCCCGCCATTGTTGGTGGGGCAGACTGCAGAAGGGTCAGGCAACTTCTGCCCCTCAAACACAGAACAGCCACTGGCAACCCTCCCCCTTACCCGAAACTCCTCCATAAGCTTGCGGATGGCTTTGCCCCTCCCGCCAATGATACGGGCGTGAACCCGGTGATCCAAGCGGACATCTTCGCTGACCATCTCCTCGAGGTCGGCCACAATTTTCAAGATGGCGTCCCGGGCCCCCTCGGCGTTCTTCTCGTAGCCGGTGATCGTGATGAGGTCCTGGACCCGGGCCGGGGAAGGAGAAAGACAGAGATAAAAAGACGGCGGGACTTATAGAGAAGCCCCATTCCCTCACCACTACAGATTGAGGGGGGCAGGAGGCAACCCCACAAATGGGCATCACTTTGACCAAATAGGTTTTATGCAAAGTTAGGAACATGGAAATCTGATTCTAAGTAAGGCTATTATTTATCAAACTTCTTGCTCGCTTGTTACTTCTGGAGGTCTCCAAGCAACTTACATTTGAAAAGAGAAAGATAAAAATATATCATACAGTGGTACCTCTGTTTTCTAGAATCTCGGAAGCCAAACATTTCGTTTTTTGAATGCCGAAAACCCGGAAGTAATTGCTTCCGTTTTCAAATGCGACTCAAAAGTCGAATGGCTTCTGCTACATGTTTTTCAATTTTCTCCATAGACTTTGTTGACCGTCCTTGGTGCCTCAGTTGTTGAATGTTTCGGAAGTCGAACAGTCTTCCAGAATGGATTATGTTCGAAAACTGAGGTACCACTGTACCATAAAGGTTAAAGGACATACAAAGTGTTAAGATTTTCAAAATGTTCCTTTTAAACGTATTGTGGAAGGAGGGTTTATTGTGTTGCCTTTGTTTTCATTTTTATTACGTATTTTGTGTTTTTCACATTGTGATTGTAGGTTGTGAACTGCCCCAAGATCTACGGGTATAGGGCGGTAAATAAATTTAACAAATAGAAATAAAATAATTAAAAAAACAAAAACAAATTGCAACTGTACTTACAAGCAAGCATACACAAGTTTTATGAACGTGGTGGAGCATTATGGAGCCACTCTCTGGGTCCCATAATCCCCCTGGGTAGAGGGGGCCAGCGACACACAGCAAAAGAAAGGAGAGAGACTCACCTGATTCTCATCCCCCTTATCCGGGAACTGGATGGTGACGTCATGGTCCTTCCGGATCTGGGAAATGACCGCCCCTTTTTTGCCAATGATCTTTGGGTGGTATTTGGGTTCCACGCTCACTGTCAGCTTGAAGCCACGCAGCGCCTGGGGAGGAGAGGGAGAGGGAAGCCGGGAGTTACTGGTTGGCCTCAGGAACCCATCCCTCAGTACTCCACGCAGAGCTCTGGCGGGTGGAAGCGGTGCAGCTGGGAAGCCAGTGGGTTGGGCGTGTTTATGTCTTGAGGTGCTGGGCTCTGGCAGTTACCCGGTCTTCCTGCTCTGCCTGCAGCTCCCTGACCCTCTCCAGGAGGCCGGCCCTGGCCCGCTCCACATTGGGGACCAAGCCTGTGATCTTGATGACGTCCGACTGCTGCTCAGGCTGGGGCACCGAGATGTTCACCTGAGGAAAAGGAGAAGCGTCGCTGTCTTTAAAAGAAAGGCGGTGCAGGCTGCAAACCCGTCAGGGCAGGGGACCTACGGCCTAGCGTCATTTCCTACCTTTCCCTTCAGATAAATTTATAACCCAGCCCAAACAACTGTGTATACAGAACATTTAAGTCAATTGCTAATATGCAAATATAATGTTCCCTGCTCTGGGACGAACGGCGCATCTCAAAGGCTCCCATTAGGCTTTCGAAGTGTTCCAAGTTAGATGCAATGTTCCCAGGATCCTTTGCAAAGGCCTGCTCTCAGAGTGGTTATGAAAGTCCCTCCCTCAGGTGCTCCACAGAGTCCTTTCCTACAAACTACTTTCTGCTGCTGCCACTGGAGAAAGCAGCAGGCCTCTCCCTTCACATTATTTCTCAAGTACAATTACACCAAACATGAGTGAATTATATAAAAATATATGCATGCCTTGGAATCCACCCAGACTAAAACAGGCAGCTAAACACATCTATAATTAAGTAGCATAATCTTCAGAACAAAAAGCCTTTACAAACACACAGTTCTAGTTTCCTGATCTAGCTTAACTGCCCATTAAGTTTTATTCTTTTAAATATCATTTACACTGCATAGAAAATGCAGCAAGATGGAAGACAAAATACAAAAACAACAACATAAGACCACCACCACCACCATGAACAGCTTGGTTTTGTTTTTTTAAAAAGTCCACGTCCCAAAGGTCTGTCTGGACAGCAGCTTTGAAAAGGTGCCCTAATGGAGGCAGAGAGGAGCCCTGCCAGACGTCTCTTTGGCAAAGAAGAAGAAGAGAAGGAGGAGTTTGGATTTGATATCCCGCCTTTCACTCCCCTTCAGGAGTCTCAAAGCGGCTAACATTCTCCTTTCCCTTCCTCCCCCACAACAAACACTCTGTGAGGTGAGTGGGGCTGGGAGACTTCAAAGAAGTGTGACTGGCCCAAGGCCACGCACAGCAGCTGCATGTGGAGGAGCGGGGAAGCGAACCCGGTTCCCCAGATTACGAGACTACCGCTCTTAACCACCACACCACACTGTGCCTCAAGGCAGGGTCTGCCACTAAAGGTTCAGTCCTGGTTCAATGCTGGCCAAACAAAAGGGTCTCCCCAAAAAAGAGGTACCTAGGTTTAACATTCTAGTGTTGGGTAACTTGGTAAATTACAGATGATTAATGAGCCAACTAATTTTTTTTAAAAAAGCTCTTAAATCACCCACCAGTCCTCTTTAAATAAGTGCTCAGCAAACTATGTACCTTGGAAAAGCCGCTTGCTGTGAATTGGGCCCAACCAAAATTTTCCCCAAAAGGGCTTTCTACATACAGTCATACCTTGGGTTAAAGTTGCTTCAAGTTGAGCGTTTCCGCGACGACCGGAAATTAATGGAACACATTACTTCCAGGTTTCGCCGCTCACGCATGCGCAGATGCTCAAAATGATGTCACGCGCATGCCCAGAAGCGGCGAATCGCGACCCGCGCACGCGCAGACACGGGTTGCGTTCTGCTCTGGATGCGAACGGGCTCCGGAACGGATCCCATTCGCATCCAGATGTACCAGTGTACGACATTTGTTTGCAGTGCCCCCTTGTGGGCAGTGCCCTCTCTGAAAGCAACAGGACAGCATTGCTGGCGACAGACACAAACACACATTTTGCAGTGCGCTTGTGTCTTCATCCCTTCCCCTCCTATTCTCATACTTCCTTAGCTGTGGCAGGGTTAACGTAGACGTGCTGCTATCGTGGGAACCTGATCTGTCACAGGGAAGCCCAGGGCTGCCACGTGAAAAGCAGAGCAAGCTTGTTTTCTCCTGCTCCAGGGGGTAGGGCTTCAAGTTACAACTTTCTGACAGTAAGAGCTGTCTGACAGCAGAAGGGGCTCCCTCAGGAGCTGGTGGACTCTCCTTCCTTGGAGGTTTTTAAGCAGAGGTTGGGTGGCCACCTACAATGGATTGCTTTAGTTGATATTCCTGTATTGCAGGCCGTTGGGACTGGATGACCCTTGGCATCCCTTCCCACTTTACGATTCTGTGAGTCTATGATTTGGCCCCCTAGCCAATCTGGTTGCAGACCGCTGAAGCTTCCTATACCATCGACAGCGAACCCAGAACACACACACAGCATTTAAAGGAAAAGGTATGCCCAGTGCTTTTTTTCTTTAAAAAAATGTTTAGGGGCACTCTCATTTTGACTCAAGGAAATCACCATTTTATCGTTCAAACCAGCAAAAATAAATATACAGTCACACCTCGGGTTACAGACGCTTCAGGTTGCGCGTTTTCGGATTACAGATGCGCCGAAACCCGGAAGTACTGGAACAGGTTTCGGCGCTTGCGCATGCGCCGAAGCGCTAAATCGTGCTTTGCGCATGCGCCAAATCGCAACCTGCGCATACACAGATGTGGCGCTGAGGGTTGTGAACGTGCCTCCCGCACGGATCACGTTCGTAACCCGAGCGTCCACTGTACAGTAAATGGACAAAAGTACAAAGATTCACAAAATGAATCTGCACCCCCCCCCCCGAAAAAAAGCACTGAGTACGCCAAAGGCAATGCTGAGGCCGCACACAGGGCTGGAAGGAGGACCACGTGTTCCTACCTCGTACTCCTCCATCATCTTGCGAATGCCGGCCCCCTTCTGCCCAATGATGTAGCGATGGAGGTCAAAGGGGACTTCCACGTCCACTGTGATGGGAACCAGAGCCTGGAAGGATAAGGAGAGTAAGGATTTCTGCAGGGAGCTTCAGAGTTGTTTTGGTGCTCCATGTCTATAGAGGCTCCTTTTTATTTTATTTATTTTTATTTATTGAATTTATATACCGCCCTATACCCGGAGGTCTCAGGGCAGTTCACAGAAGTGAAAAACCAACTGAGCAAGGCTGGAGAAACACATGCAGGCTCACAAGCCTGGATCAGGCCCCGCCTCATCTCTATGGCACTTTTGCACCTACCCTACCCATGTATTTGTCAGGAGCTTGGCCTACACTCAAGTAGGACCCTGGCAGAGACACATGCCCGACTGGCATGTTCTCTCCCTCCTGGTCAATCGTTCGGGAGCTTCAAAAGCTTTCTTCAGCCTGAACATCACAGCGACTGATGCCAACAGGCACACTTAGGGATCCGCAGAGTTTGTGCATCATGCGTGACAGACCTCAGCAACTCAGCATTTTGGCTAATCTACGTTATTTACATATAAACACACACGGAGCAGTGCAACATGGCTCCCTCTCTCTCTAGCATCAGACAGCAAAGAGAAAGAACAAAGGACAATAGTCCCACTTCACGGAACACAGTAACACAAACATCCTGTCTCCATCACTTCCCACTCTGTGGAGTCAAAACATAACGTCATGTGAAAGACAACAATCCCATGACTGCAATCATGGAGCAGGAATTCTAACAGTATTAGGTAGGGAACACACCTTGTGATCTCGCTCCCTAAGAACTGTGGAAGGCGGGAACCCAAATGGCGAAAAGCACAAGGGATCATGCCATCTCCGGGTGTTGGGAATCGCACCCAGCTTGCAGTCTTCCCAGAGGCAACAGGTCGGCCTCTTTGAGAACAGGAGGCTGGACTAAGTGGGATGTGGGCCTGACCCCAACAAGGCTCTGCTTACACTCTCACGGTGCCGAAGGTAGCACAACCGAGCAAAAAAGTCCAAATCAAAACACTCCCTATGGGCAGGTTGCCCTGACTGGGCGTCCAAAGAACAATAAGGTCCCCAATATTTTGCCTCTTTCCTGCAACTGTATACTCAGTTCAGGGCTTGACCAAATTCCTCCCCTGCCATGAACCTGCCTGGGCCTCTGTATTCTCAGCATTGCCCAAACTGATGCACCTTACAGCTGTTGCTGGACTGTGATCCCCCTCTCTCCCCATCATCCTTGACTATGCTGGTCAGGACCGATGAAGAGCTTCGGTCCAAAACATCAGGAGGGCAGCAGCTTGGAGAAAGCTGTCTTAGGACTTAGATCAACATCAGAGGTCCTCCTCCAGGTACTCCCCCCACCTTCTGAGGAAGGTCTGAAGGGGGGTGACCAAGGAGAGGGCCTTTTCTATACTCGCCCAGGACAGAGAGAGAAGATTCCTACCAGCAGAGCTGCCCGCGCCGCCTCGCATTTCTCCTTGCGCCCCGAGATAAGGATGATGTCACATTTGCGGGGGGCAGAGTCCAGGTCGGGGCTGATGTCGCCGTTTTCCTGAGACTGTGCTTCTGAACCTAGAGGGGTGGGGAGAAAACCAGGTGAAAATATTTCCCTGCATGGAATCTCCCCTCCCCTCTACCTGCCATCCCCTCTACCGGAAGTGTCATCTCGCTCCGGGAACTTGATCAGCACGTCGTGGTCCCGAGTGATCTGCTGCACCTTGTAACCTTTGGCTCCCATGACAACCCGGTGGAAGCGCTGCGGGATGACGCACTCGAGGACCACCTGGGCTTCCTGGAGAAGAGATGGGAAGCAAAAGAAAAAGAAAAAAGTGGGACGGGGCGAGCAAGGCGAGTTAAGGTTGCGGGGAAGGGGCATCGGGGCTAAGCGTGCTTGTGATGACTTTGAAGCCAACAGAGGTGGAAAGGGATTTCAATCCTGCACGGTCATGGGGTGGAGAGGCACGTTAGCCCCAAGGATCACCAACCTGCAGCTTAAGGTATCGTTCTCATCTTAAAAGAGAATTACAACATGACACATATTGGAAAGAGGGGGTTGTTGTTGTTTTTGCTGTTATTATTAATATTATTATTAATTGAATTTATGTACCGCCCTATACAGGGGGTACAAATCAAGATATTAAACCACAAAATACCTAATGAAAATTAAAACAACCACCCAATAGCCCCCCCCCCCAAAAAAAACACATTTTAAAAGGGCATAGGATGTAAATCGGATCAACCAAAGGCCTGGCTAAAAAGGTGTATAATGAAGGCGCCAGGTGAACTTCCCTGGAGAGAGCATTCCACAAATGGGGAGCCACTGTTGAGAAGGCCCCGTTCTCATGTTGCCACCCTCTGGACCTCTTGAGGAGGAGGCACACGAAGGAGGGTCTCAGAAGATGATCACAAGGTCCAAGTAGGTTTACAGTGGTACCTCAGGTTACATACGCTTCAGGTTATAGACTCCGCTAACCCAGAAATAGTGCTTCAGATTAAGAACTTTGCTTCAGGATGAGAACAGAAATTGGGCTCCAGCGGCGCCGCGGCAGCAGGAGGCCCCATTAGCTAAAGTGGTGCTTCAGGTTAAGAACAGTTTCAGGTTAAGAACGGACCTCCAGAACGAATTAAGTACTTAACCTGAGGTACCACTGTATATGGAAAGAGGTGGTCCTTGAGGTATTGCGGTCTTGAGCCGTTTAAGGCTTTATAGGTCAAAACCAGCACTTTGAATTGGTCTTTCCAAACGCCCTTTCTGACCCAGACTCCAGAAATGGAGGCCTACCAGGTCGCTGATGATCTCCAGGATGCGTCTCTTGGCAGCTTCCACGCAGTCCTTTGCTCCCTTGAGCATCACGCGGTCGCTCTGGACGCCCGTCCGAGGGAAGCTCACCGCAACCCCGCCGTACTCTTCCGCAATCTCCCGTAGCACGTGCCCCCGGCGCGCCACAAAGTGGCGGTGGTACTTGGGGTCAACCATCATGGAATCCTCGATGACGTTATCCTGGGGGGCAGGAAGAGGAGGTGGGGGGGAAGGGCCCTGTAGCCTCTCCTTCCACGGCTACAGTCTCTCCCCCAAATCATGGCCAATGCGGAAAAGGGACGCTATCCAGCTTTGCGCAATCTCACTCTCCAAAGGTTTGGGCTCTTTCCGGACGACTAGTAGTCCTTTGGCAAGGAGATTGGTGGCCATGAGCTTTATGGAGGTTTCCGGGTGGAAGTCAGCCTAGTATTGCTGCTCACGTTTATTGATTCATATCCTGCATTTTTCTCCAAGAAGCTCAAGGTGGTGGGCATGGTTCTCCCCCTCCTCATTTAAACCCCACAACAACCCTGAGAGGGAGGTCAGGCCGAGAGGAGGCCCAGGCTCCCCCAGGAAGCTCCGTGGCCCAGTGGGGATTGAACCCTGATCTTCCAGGTCCAAGTCCAGCACTAACCACTACGCCGCGCTGTGCCGCTGAATGCTACCAACTCGACAGCTAGTTAGCGGCTGGTGGCTAAGCAATTGCTAGGCTGCCGTTCACCCAAACCAATTCTAGGGGTGCTGTATGCTGGGCATGCATATAACCATCCAAACCAGATGCAAATGAAACAGCCGAGCACCCACACTCATATATAAATATATACCAGGTTGCAAATGAGGCTTTCCAGTTCATGCTGGGCTTGCCGCACCGCATCTTCCTTCCCCACGATGGCGATGATCTCCTGGTCCTTGTCGTCGGGGCTGGGGAAGATGATGCGGGCACCGGTGCGGTCCCTCACTCTGCGGATGTTGGCGCCCCCTCTCCCGATCAGGAATTTGTGGTACTCTGGCTTGGCGTGCAGCTCTGCCGAGTGGTTGTTGATTTGCTGCGGGTGGAGAGGGCAGAGGGCGGATAGCTGAACGCTTGCCAAGGAGCACCTTGCTCTGTGGCACAAATAATTACTCCTGCCTCCTAAACTGAACTGTAGAACTCGCTGCCAAAGGAAGCACTTTCCTTACAGTTTTCTATGCAGCCGATCCAACCCGTGGAATCGGCACGCTACTTATTCATTTAAAAAAAACATTTCCATGCGCAACAAGTCTGTGTGAGGATGTTAACGTTTTACAAGAATTCTGAATTTGTGGGGTTTTTTGGGAATGTCTGCAGATTTAAGTCAGCTGGAGACCTCGGCAACGTGGGACTGATCAGCCTAATCGATAAAAATGGCAAACCACCTCTCATGTCAAATCTCAAGGCGGTGTACAACTATGTCACAATACAAATAAAAACATTAGAAGTGTGGAAAGGAACGCAAAAACTAGGGCAGAGTTAAAATTATACTGTTAGCTGCAGCAGCCTCAAGCACAAACCACTTCGAAAAGGGGGAGGGGTTTTGTCTCATAGGAATTATAGGCGAGATAAGCCGCAGAAGAACTCCTAAGATGCATTTCCACTAACTGCGGCCAAGACAGATAGTTGCTCATTATTTTTTTAGCTGCTCTGTGTGGCCATGAATGCTCCAAGCTCTTCGTGCGATGGACCACAGTTTTAAAATCCGGCTGTTTTTCTAGGGATTATTTCCATGTCTTTGATTTATTACATTTAAATTCCAGTCCTTCCTTCCATCCATCAAGGAACCACAGCCAGATTAAAAGGGGGGGGGGGTAAGCAGGGTGACCTCCCATCCAATATCTGACCTGGGAGGGACATACTTCGCTTCAAACCATATTGCGTGCCTTTGAAATCATGCCTTCATAGGCTAGTAATTTAGGAAAGCAAATGGAGCTGCAATATGGAGTTTTAAGGCCACATTTGCACGCTATTTAAAGCGCTATTATGCCACTTTAAACGGTTGTGGATTCCCCCTCAAAATCCTGGAAATTGGGAGTTTGAGACTTGTTAGAGGAGACCCATCTTCCCCTTTCTCTGAGTGGTTTGAGAGCTGTACCTCTGTGAGGGGGAAAAGGGATTTAGCTGAGATTCCTGCATTCCATGGGGCTGGACTCCCAACTCCACAATTCTATTCTAACAGCTCTCAAGCATCTTTAACAAATTACAGTTCCCAGGATTCTGTTTTTTTGGCGGGGAAGCCGTGACTGATTAAATTGGTATAATTCTGCTTTTAAAGGTGTGCTGAAGATGCAGCCCATGGCTCAAAGGAAAATGGGGAGGTGTGAAAGATGCCCTCTGTTATCGTAGCAACTTGACTGCCAAAGAACAGCCGTTTTCTCCCCACGCTCTCCCACTGATAACACCGGGCAACCTCCGATGTATTTGGTACCTTCTCTTCCGCGATCTGCAGCAACTGCCTTTTCGCTTTCTCCACCTCCTCGCCAGGCCCTCGGATGGTGACCTTGTCGCTGCCCGACCCCTCGGAAGGGAAGTGGATGTGCACCCCGCCACACTCCTCCATGATGGAGCGCACTAGCCGCCCCTTGGCCCCGATCAGGGAGTTATGTAGCTTGGCTGGTATAGACACATCCACTTCTTTTATGTTAGCCTGGGAGGGAAGGGGTGGGTGATAGAGACAGAAACAGAGAGAGACAAGGTCTACAAAACCCTGTCTCCAAGGCCAAAGTTGGCACTTGCTTCCAAAGCAATTGCCGTAAAATTTTAATATCCTGCCTTTCCTGTAAGGTTCAAGGCGAGCAAACAATTAACTAAGATACAATAAACTGCTGAACTTGCATCCAATCGCAGAAGCAAGGGATTAAAATATCTGGAAACAGGGGTGTCCCAAGAGCAGCCCCCCATACAACATGCTACAGATTGCCTTTCGCCCAATCCAAACAGTCGTCACCATAAACCATGGCTTATTGTGGAAAGAACAAATCTAGCCTTCCCCTAGGCACTGAATCTCCCCACTTCCACTGGCACGGCAAGGAAAACAATTGAAGCTTTTACTTCCAGCGCTTAATGTGGAAGCTTTCGGTTCCAATTTTCTATTCATTGCAGCCAGACCTAAAACTGTAGTTAATCCTATCTATGGTTTGTTGAAACAAGGCAGTTTCCTCAAACCATGGTTAGATGTTGCCTTGGTTTCAAACAAGCCAGAGTTAAGATCAACCGGTCTGTTAAGGTTTGGATAACATACCAAGCCACGGTTAATCTAAAACGGAAGCTGAGAACTTCTGAGCTCATCTCCAAGGTGATGGAGTGAACATGCACCCCTGAGGAGAGGCTAGGCTCACTCCTGTCACAATAAACTGTGGTTTGATAGCGTGACTTCCAACTGCAGCCGTTGTGTTAGAGACTGGAATGTCCAAGCCATTTCCTTGGGATCTGGAAAGACTAACAGGAGGAAACTGCTTCACACACCCACCAGCTCCCTCTGGATGGCCAGGATGCGGTCCCGGGCGCACTCGCAGTTGGCCTTCTTCCCAGTGATCAGGATCACCTCCGAGTTGCTGTTTTCTGTGGGGAGGTCAATCTTGGTATTGGTTTCCTCTCGAATCTATTGTGAAGAGATAACATCAAACCCAGACCCTCAAGGCTAGGCTACCGTAAGGGACTCTACAAGGAGCAGCCCTTGGCAACGGCTTGGAAGAGGGAGGCAGGCAGGTGAGCAGGTAAAAGGTAAAGGGCCCCTGGACGGTTAAGTTTGGTCAAAGGCGACTGTGGGGTTGCGGTGCTCATCTCGCTTTCAGGCCGAGGGAGCCGGCATTTGTCCACAGACAGCTTTCCAGGTCATGTGGCCAGCTGGACTAAACTGCTTCTGGCGCAACAGGACACCATGATGGAAACCAGAGCGCACGGAAACACCGTTTAGCTTCCCGCCGGAGCAGTACCTATTTATCTACTTGCACTTTGATGTGCTTTCAAACTGCTAGGTTGGCAGGAGCTGGGACAGGACAACGGGAGCTCACCCCGTCTCAGGGATTCGAATCAACAACCTTCTGATCGGCAAGCCCAAGAGGCTCAGTGGTTTAGACCACAGCACCACCTGCAGTGACCAAGTGAGCAGACCGTTGTCCGACAGCAGCAGTTGGTTAGGACCCCTCAGACCAAAGCTCCAGAGGTTTGCATTGGTTCTTTACAACATCAGAGGCGTCAGGCCAACATGCTGGAACTGACTCTCTGATTCTTAACTGGCTTGGACCTCTATCCACAGAAACTATTTCCTTCCTCAGAAACTGAGACACTACCACCCCAAGCCCAGTTCTTGGGGGACGGGAGGAAATCGGAAGGAGGAAAACCCCCCCACACACACTTTTACCTTTTTGATGTTGGCGCCTCCTTTCCCAATAATGTTCTTGTGGAACTGCTTGAAGATAGGGACTGGAATAGAAAAACTGTTTTCAACCTAAGGCAAAGAAGAAGAAAATCCATGAAGTTAAATATGGTGCCTGGAGGAGTGAGACAGACAATACTGGCGAAGAGGAATGGAACCATTGATAGAGACTTTCAGAAGCATCTTGAGATGGCAGAGATAGAGCTGAGACAGAAAGGATCCTGGGTACAAGGGCAAAAGGCAAACTCAGAGGACAAAGCCACCAAGCCTCTGGCAATTCTCCTGGAGAAAGAATGGAAGGAGCAAAAATGGAAGGGACTTTTCTTTTTAAATTAGGGCGGGAAATCGTGGGCAACAGGAAACGAGATCGGAAGATATGGAAATAGGTATGAATTAATGAATATACAATAACTAAATAATTATGGATTATTATTCCAACAAGGAATGAGACAGGGCCTTCTCAGTGGCGGTGCCGTTTAATGGAAAACCCTCCAAACTGAAATATGTCAACCTTCCACATTAGCTATATTTAGATATGTTATCACCTATTTATTTGTCCAGGGCTTTGGAACCTGATGTAGACACTGGCAGAGTTCAGGCCTAGTTTGGCTGTTTTTACAATGGTGGTATGTTTTATTCAGTTTTATTGTATCTTTTTTTGTACGATTACTGTTGCGTGTTGCATCGCAAGCTGCCCTGTGCTCCAACCTGGAGGAAGAACAGGGTGTATAAACTACTAAATAATAAAAATAAAGTAAGTTTTCTTGTATCCAACCGAGCTTCCTTTGCCTGCCAGTTATCTCAGGCCACCACTGTGCTACCCCCTTTCCGATCACATGAGGTGGTACATCCCAAGGCCACCTGCCTGGGCAAAAGAAGCACGCCTGGTAGAGCAGCAACACTTCAGCAAGACACTGGTCGCGGCAGCAGCAAACAGACACCCTTCCCCTCCTCTCTCCCTTCCCAAATAGCCCAGTTCTTGGGGAAAAGGGTGGGTTTCACCCCAATGGGATTCCGTCACATTGAGAAAAAGGGGGTGGGGGGCCGAGCAGCAGCCCTGTTCATCTGCAAGCCTAACCGGGTGGGACTCACCAGCTCTGCAATGACTTTCTGGAGATACTTGGCGCACTTTTCTACTTCGTTCTTGGGCCCACGTAGCTGCACGATGTCGCTCTTCTGAGAGGGGTCTGGGAAGTTGATGATAACCTGTAGGGGTGGAGCAGTTATCAGTACGCAGAGTCACGGGGTAAGCACCTAGAGTCCCCTTCTTTCGTGGGGAGGGATTAAACGAGGACTGGGTTAAAAAGGTGAGCTTCTAAGCAGATCTGCAACTCTGGAGATCGTGCAGGGTAAGGCTATCACAGCAGCTACAAGTTGCCTTGCATCTTTAACTCGGCTTTCCCTCTCTCCATGCGCAACAATGAGTTATAACAAAGGGCACAGAGTCCTCATCCTCTGACTTTCAATCAGGTATTGCCCATACTTCTCTACAGTCAAACCTCGTTCTGCGTCCGCCTCCGCTTCGGCGAACGTCTGCAGCAAACCCGGAAGTACCGGAACAGGTTACTTCCGGGTTCACCACTCGCACATGTGCAGACATGTCGCATCGATGAGCATCATTTTCGGGTTGCGGCGGGGCCTCCAGAACAGATCCCCGCCGTAACCCGAGGTTCCACTGTATTTCGTTCATATATATAATTTTTATTAAATTTTCAGTTTTACAATTTTGAATACTCATTTAAACATCCTTATAATATCAATGACTTCCCTTCTCTTTCCATGGTTCATTGCACAACATACATCCCTGCATATTTTATATAAAGTAAACCATTCGATATTCCATTGTTACATCCACCAAAACTTATTTACACTGTTGAATTTATCTTAATGCTGCCGAAGTTTTCAAATAAACACAATTTTCCTCCATATACTCAATAAACATTTTCCAATCTTCTTTAAACATATGTTCTTCTTGTTCTCTTATTCTATATGTTAAGTCCGCAAGCTATTCCATCGGTTTAAGTTGCCATTCTTCTTTAGTTGGGACTTTGTTTTCGTTTTCCATTTTTGGGCTAACAAAACACGAGCCGCAGTAGTGGCATACATAAATAACCTTTTCTGAGACCTGGGAATTTCCATCTGGGTTATTCCCAACAAAAAGGACTCTGGGGTTGTTGTTTTTTGGAAAGTACTTTTAAACATTTTTTCCAGTTCATTATTTTGTTCTAAAGGACTACTAACTTGTATTTAAAAAGCAAAACGAAATGAAGACGAGATTCTCAGGAATTACGAATTTTGCCTTTCACACACACTTTGCTTACATCGCTAACTTATGATAAGGTTTCAGAAAAACAGAAGGTCCAGCACAGACTCAAGTTTTAGCCCCAACCTGTTGTCAGGTAAGAGATGCAAGACATTTAGTGCTCGAGACTACCGGAACCACAAAGCGGACAATGATTTACCATGCGCCAAAAGAATAGGTGCTGCAGAGATAAAGCATCAGCTCCCCACTCAAAAAAACCCAACAAGCTCTCAGCAACTCCTCTTTATTTGCAAGCCGCCTTGAGTCCCCTCAGATAAAAAGGAGGGGTAAAAATGGTCAGTTTGCATTTCTTAGTGCAGAAAGTATTGATCTGACGTGCAGAGATCTTTCCTATTCTAATTAATTCAAGAGGTTTCTGGAAGCTTCTCTGTGTGAAAGAAACAAGCAGAAGGTTCATGATGTTTGGGTTATTCCTTCAGAGAAGCAGAGTACAGTTTGCTTAAACTGGTTTTCTTATCTTTTTCTGTCAAGGTCATGCTGACTACAAAAGCAGGGCCGGAAGGAGTCTCAGTTTCACTTTCTCCTTCTATCCTTCTATCTCTTTTCCTTCTGGTGTACAGTTCTATATATAGCATTAATGTTTTAGACTTATTATAAGTTGTTCTAAGTTCAAGTTAAGTCTGCTGCAACTGGATTTCCTATGGACAGTGCCAATCCTGAATGTATTGGATTTGTGACCATTCTGCTCGTTTGCCTTCAGTAGCAGTAAAGCTCTGCTGGATGAAATATTAATTGCCTCTGGTCCATTTTTGGGGAATCTTGCAACGTGTTTAAGTTTTCACTCTGCTAACTATACATTGGAATCTACTCTGGATCAATATTGAGTAGACTTTCATGACAAATATATATATAAATCTAATAATTTTTCTTTCCTACCTCAGGAAACTTGTCACGGATCTCCTTGATTTTCTCGCCTTTCTGCCCAATGATGGTCCGGTGGAAGCGCTGCTCGATTATGAGGTCCTTCGTGCGTTCGTTTTCCTAGGACAGAAGCCCACACAACCAGTCAGCTGCATCCGCCCCAAGAGAGACTCCTTCCTGCGCAACGGGACTGCTACAAGCACTGCCCTTGTACAAAAGATTCTGGGAGGGGATCCACGAAGAAGCACCCAGAGTCCTGCCTCCTTTATCTGCCGTATTTTTTCCCTTTCTTTTATTTGATACATTTCTATCACACCCTTCCTTCAAGGAGCTTCAAGGTGGAATACATGGTTCTCCGCCCTCCCCGTTCCATCCTCACAATGAAATTGAGAGGAGGTGGCTAGCCTGAGGTCACCTTAGTGAGCTTCACGGCCAAGTGGAGATTCGAACCCTGCTCTCCCAGGTTCCTAAGCCCAACTTTCCAACCAATGCACCTCGCTATGTGCTGCTCTGACTCTACGGAAGGCAGAATATTTCCACTTTAAGAGGCTCTGGTTTGCATGGAGCAAGATCACTGGTCAAATTTAGTCTAATCTTGCCTGCTTTGGCAGAAGCTGACAATCAGCGCTGACAATCAGTGAGGGCTTGGTGGTGGTGGGGGTGATGCCTGGCTGGAAATTTACCAACAGGGCCTTTTCAGTGATGGCTCCACATTTGTGGAACACCCTCCCTGATGCGAAGCGTCTGCCACCCTCCTTAAGGGACTCCCAGAAGGAATCTAAAAGCATCCCTGTTGACCCAGGTGTTTGATGTCTGAAAATCACTGTTCATGGCATCTCTTCAAGCTGAGAGTATATTTTAGAACAATTTTTAGAATGCTCTTTGAAACAGAAATAGAAATCACATTTTACAAGGACAGGAAGAAACATCACAGAGAGAATAATTGCCGCACACAGGAAGAACAAGGATATAGTTTGAGTGTTGTTTTATAAATCATTTAATGTGTTAACATGAATAGATGCTATTAATATTGCAGTTGTTGTATAAAGGATTATTATTTTGACCGGAATGTAATAGAAATTAGTAAGATTTTGGAACGCAGAAATAAAGAAAACCATCAAACCAGCAATTCTAGCATGCGGGGGGTGGGCAAGGTGGCACCTAAATTATATAATTCAGTATCTGAACGATTGGTATTAGTAAATGTATTATAATTTGGCGGTGTTAAAAACAAGGCTGTTATTGGACTGTAATTGAAAACTAATAAAATTATTATCAAAATAAAATAAAAGTAAAATAAAAAGAAATATAGATGTGTTTGCTGGCCTGGGCTCCTTTGGGAGGAGGACGGGATACAAATTGAAAGAATACTGAGCTATTAGCTCTCCATCTCTGCCCCCCACCAAATAAGATCTCATTCACCCCTGTAACCCCTCCAACCTCACCCACCCCCACTGCCATGCATTTCCCCTTCCAATCTCCCCTTCCCTCTTCCTGATTGGCTCCTTCTTCTTCTTCCATCCTAACTCCGGCTTGGGGAGGCTAAGCGAGAGACGAGGGTACCAGCCGAGATGCTGGTCTCTCCCTTACCATGCGAGCAGCCATCTCCAGCAGCTCCTTGCGGGCCAGCTGAACCCCTTGCGGGTCTCCCTCAATCCGGATCAGGTTGCTCTTCTCGTTGTCGGGCGGGATTCGGACGGAGACTTTGTGCTGTTCCTTGATGCGGTTGACTGGCAGCACGCAGAAGGGAAGAGAGAGAGAGAGAGAGAGGCAGTATCAGAGACACAGAGGCCAGCACCAAACCTTTGCAAGCGTTGCCTGGCAGGTGTCCTCAATTGTCACATAGCCGCCACCCACCGCAACTTCCCCAAGACAAGACAAATTGCCCAGCGCTTGTGTTGGCACACCAGGACTCACTGTTGGCTCCATTCTTCCCTATCAGGTGACGATGGAACCGCTGATCGATGAGCACTTCAGTGTAGTCCATTCGGCCGAGCTGCAAAGGAATATTTTGGGGATGGCAGGAGGGAAAGAGAAGATGGTGAGCTTGCCTCACGGCCGCCACCCAGAGTGGTTCTGTTGCAATTCTACTGTGTCCTCAGGAGATATGGACTCCCTTGCAGAAAAGCATTGATGCTATTTCTGCCCGGTCTACTCTCAGCATTCTCCTGACCCGTCTGCCAGGATTGGTTTTATCTGCTTTTATAACTGTACTGTTGGAACCCACCTTGGGACCTTGTGGAGAAGGGCAGTTAGAAAATAATAATCTAATTATATTCCTAAGATTTGGTTTCCATCTCGTATGTTAATGGGGGGCACCTTATTTACCCCCACCCTGTGGAACACCCTCCCATCAGATGTCAACGAAATAAACAACTATCTGACTTTTAGAAACAAAATAAAAAAAATTCCTTCCAGTAGCACCCTAGAGACCAACTAAGTTTGACTTTTAGAAGACATCTGAAGGCAGCCCTGTTTAGGGAAGTTTTTAATGTTTCATGTTTTATTGTGTTTTTAATAATTCTGTTGGGAGCTGCCCAGAGTGGCTGGGGAAACCCAGCCAAATGGGTGGGGAATAAATAAATTATTATTTTCATTATCATTATCTTGGTTCTCAATATACCAAGCCCCACCCTATGCTGGGGGGCACCTGCGAGAGCGAACTTTTTCACAAGATGGTGAGATTTCGGTTCATACTCCTGCGACTGGGCCAGCAACAGACAACTCTGCGGCAAGAAGCTGCAGCGGCTCACCAGGTCCCGAATAATCTCCTGGATCTGCATCTGAGCCAGCTCCACCTCTTCGGTGGGACCTTCCAGCGTGATCTTCTCGTCGCCGTCCGTGAATTCGATGTGAACCTGAAAGGGGACAAGCAATCAAACTTCTGATATGCCCGATGAAGAAAAAAAAGATGACCCAAGTATCCCCCCAAAGGCATCTTTTTAAAAAAAGTTTACATTTTTTATTTCAAAACCAAAAAAATTCGCAAACATCAAATTCAAAATCCATTTTCATTTTCTAACATAAGCCTATTACATAGATTACCTAAATTAAAATATATCTAATTGCTCTAGGCGTCCCTTTGCTATATGTAAATACAACACAATTAACAAATTATATTATAAATGATATTATAGGTTCCCATATACCCCCCAATCCCTTTCACCCATGCGGGATCTCAATATTTTACTTCTTCCATCTTGTTGTGTTGTTATAATCCCCCCAAAGGCGTCTCTTATGTCCTGCATGCCTAAGGCGGGTTGGCAAACTGCCACTCTCCTGCGGCGAGTAGTCATTGCCTCCAGGTGACCACCTCACGATGCTAAAATGCAAGCTGAATAGGCAAAAGGATGGGCAAAAGGAAGAACGTCTTCACAAAACATGTAGTTGAACTATAGAATCTGGTGGTACACAATGCAGTGGCAGCCACTGACTTGGACAGCTTTAAAAGGGGGATTAGATGAGAATCCCCCATGAAAGACTAGCAAAAGCTACTAGCCGTTATGGCTACATGCTACCTTTAGTATTAGAAGCAGCCTCTGAGTTATCAGCTGCTGGAGAAACCCATGGGGAAGAGCAACCTGCTTGTGAGCTTCCCAGAGGTGTGTGGTTGAATCCTGCGTGTAACAGGATGATGGACTAAGTAGGCCTTTGGCTTGATACAGGATTCTCCTTATAGACTTAAGCCTTGCTCCTTGAGGCCAGCAGTACACCACAGGTGACTGGCCCTGGTCTAATGGGTGGGGCACGTAGTAAAAACTTGTGGACTAGTAACTTGCAGGTTTGTTTGCTAGCTGCCCCTTCTATCCGTCAAACAGGCACATCAGAACACCCAAACCAACCTAGCCCACGTCTTGCTGCTTGGGTATCACACCCAGCTCTTCCTCGGGCTTCAGGGATCATACGTCATGTATAAAAATGGAAACACGGCAAAAATACATGCGGTTTCACCCCCATTACTCCAGTCTCTTGCACAAGCGATACTTGCCTTCGGAAGCTGCTGGGTGATCCTGCCAATGTTCTGTCCTTTCTTTCCAATTATAAAACGATGTAACCAGGCTGGGGCGGTTACTTCAGCTACCATCACACTCTTCGCCTGGTGGGGTGAGAGAAGAGGGAGAGTTTTGTGGTCAAATCACAGTTTCCCAGATTTCAACACGGGCATCGCTGTTCTAGTGCAGCAATGACTGCGTTCTGTCTCTAGGTGCCGCCATAGTACCATTTCAAACATCCATCTCAAGTCGCAATGCTTAGCAACCCAGGGAGAACAGGGTTCGAATCCCCATTGAGCAGCGAAGCTCACTGGGTGACCTTGGGCCAGTTGCCATTTCTTGGCCTAACCTACCCCACAGGGTTATTGTGAGGATGTACACCATGTACGCCACCTTGTACACCACCTTGAGCTACTTGGAAGAAAAAAGTGGTATATAAATGTAATAATACTCAGCTCAGAAAGGACTGTCTCTCCCCATACAAACCAACCTGTGCTTGTCATCTGAGGCCCATTATGTACACACACAAACACCTCCAAGAGGTCTGAAGGGTGGTAACATGAGAATGGGCCTTTTCTGTGGTGGCTCTCCGATTGTAGAATGATCTTTCCAGAGACACTCGCATGGTGCCATCTTTAGGGGCCTGGCAAAAACTTTCCTCTTTACCCAAGCCTTTTCCCATTAAATAATCCATGGCCTGTTAAAGCTGTGAGTGGGTGGGTGGGGGACTGTTATTACGATTATTTTGTTATTATTATGACTGTTATTATGCTTTTTGTTATGTTTTTATCAATGCTCCATAAAATGTGTTTTTAATGTTGTACACCACCCTGGGATCTTTAGATAAAGGGCTGTATAAAAACTGAATAAATACTAAATAGAGTTGTACCTTGGTTCTCGAACGGAATCCATTCCGGAAGTCCTTTCAATCTTCCAAAGCATTCGGAAACCAAGGCGCGGCTTCCGATTGGCTGCAGAAAGCTCCTGCAGCCAATCAGAAGGCATGTCAGATGTTTGGCTTCCAAAAATAGTTTGCAAACTGGAACACTCACTTCCGAGTTTGAGGTATTCATGAGCCAAAATGTTCAAGAACTATGCTGTTTGAAAACCAAGGTACGACTGTAAATAAATCCCAACACAGGTCTAAAACCTGCGATAAAAGAGAGACAAGGTGCAGTCTCTTGAACGGCACCATTATTTTTCTTTTACTCCGCTAAGTAAAAGCTTATTTTGGACAGAGACGGGGGAGCAAAGAGCCTCCTATGAGAAGATTACTCTCTACAGTTGCGTAAGACAATTCCCACTAGGTGCTTTTTAAGACCTACATGGTTGCAAGGAAGAAAACAAAAAAAATCAGATTACATAAACTTGCTTCAAAAGAAATGGTAAAGGCCCCCCCCCCTTTTTTTGCAACAGCAATAAAACTGCCAAGCCACTACAGATGCACCTTCTTGAACATCCTTAGTGGTGCAGTCAAATCCACCCTTGGTGTTCAGGTGGCCCACATGGTCCAAACTGCGCATAAAGAGGACCAGGCGGTCCAGCACAGATGCTCGGAGCCCTTTACCTTGGCGTAGACCTGAGTCAGAGCGGGACCCAGCTTGTCGGGCTCCCCTCGGAGGATGATTGTTTCCGAGCTGCTTTCCAGGGGTGGCATCTCTACTGAGACTCCGGTGGCTTCCAGGATCTCCTGCAGGGTGTTGCCTTTGGGGCCGATGATGTACTTGTGCTGGGACTTCTTCACCTCCACCGAGATCGTGGTCGTCTTGCGCTTCTGAGAGAGAGGGAACGGGAGGGAGCAGCAGCTGCTTCACAGCATGGAAACGGGCAAAGGTGCCAAAAGCCTCCCGGCACGCCCAGAGAAAAACAGCTACTACCAAACCTTCCCCGCTCATCCAGCCAAACCAAGTTGGGGCGGCTGACCGCACGGCACTCAGGAATAGGGTAACAATTAGGGCTGCAGGATTTATCCTGCAAATGGGGTGATGGCAGCCCTGTAGGTGCTGTGTGCAGACTCCAGCACCAATCAACCCCAACCAACATGGACCATGGGCCAGGGATGATGGGTGCTGCAGCCCAGAAACATCAGAAGGATCATAGAGTGTCTTCACCACATCGTTCAGCCTGGACACTTGAGGTCCAGCACCGAGGGCCTTCTGGCGGTTCCCTCACTGCAAGAAGTGAGGTTACAGGGAACCAGGCAGAGGGCCTTCTCAGTAGTGGCGCCCACCCTGTGGAACGCCTTCCCATCAGATGTCAAGGAAATAAACAACTATCTGACTTTCAGAAGACATCTGAAGGCAGCCCTGTTTAAGGAAGCTTTTAATGTTTGGTGTTTTTAATATTCTGTTGGGAGCTGCCCAGAGTAGCTGGGGAAACCCAGCCAGATGGGAGGGATATAAATAATAAAATAAAATCATCATCATCATCATCATCATGGACTCCCCATCCCTACTTTATCCTGTTTAATGGCTCATGGGAAGTTATAAGCATTCTGGTGTCTCTGATTAACGAGGGGGCAGATTTTTCTCCTGCACCTTGCAAGCGCCGTTTTCAAAGGTGGATTCCCTCCAGTCAACAGGGAGGAAATGCTTTTAAGAGGATTTCTGCTGCAAAACACATGCAAGTTCTCAAAAAAAAGGGGGGGAATGTTTCTTTTTTCTGCTGCTCCTTTGCAAATTTCAGCAAGGTGACGGCCCCAAATCCACCCATTTCATGTAGAAAGTGCATGTAGAAGTGGCCACTGATTTCTTTAGGGCAGGTTTTTGCCAAACTGGTGCCAGCTAGATGTCTTGGCCTGTCATTCCCACCCGCCCCAGGCAGCGCCGGGACCACCTGCACTCAAAGGGGCTGCTTGATGTAGCTGACACTCCCTTTCTTACAGAAACTGCCAGCTAAAACGCTAAACAACAGAGCTCTCTACAGATTTGGTGCTTCCGTCAAAGTGCCGTTAAGGCCGCCTTTTGCAGGGACAGGCAAACCCACCCACCTTATCCTCGTAGATCTTGCGGATGCGCAGGAGAGCCTGGGCCACGGGCTCCTTCTCGCCGGTGATGATGATCTCGTCTTTGTTGACGCTGGGTGGTGGGATGTTGATGCGAGCCCCGGTCTCCTGCATGATCTCCTGGACCACCTTGTTGAAGGCTCCAGCAATGAAAGGGTGGAAGGCCTTCTCCAGGTTCAAGCGCTCCACGGCCCGCTTATCCTGGAACACAAGGGGAAACCTGCTGATCCACGTGAAGAGGAGCAACCTCTGCTGGATCACAGGCTGCCCTGGCCTGGTATATCCAAAACCTGTGGATCAAGTCTCAGTTCTTAACTATTCAGCCCCTCTCCTGGAAATAATGGGGAGGTGAATCGCTCACTGTATGGTTTCCCCCTTCCAGTCAATCCCCCAAGACTGATTTCTTTTCCCCACTATGACCTTCCTTTTGAAGAAGGGAGCTGGGACACAGAAGCTCCTGTCCATGAAATGCAGTCAAGGCCAATACACAGAGCCTGGAGAGCAGCCTTGGCTGGATCACACGAAAAGCTACTTAGGCGTTCTAAATAAACGGTATTGTGTATCATCCTGAAAACTGTGGGATGTATCATCACTGAAGCAGTCAAATGCAACACTTCCTGTTGCCCAGAGTGGACACACAGGGGGATGTTACTCCAGCCAGGAGGACTTCCTGTCACACCTGTCTGGAGCATCCTTCCCCTGTGTGTGACCAGATAGATGGGCATGACCCTGGCAGAGCCTATAAAAGGGCCGGTCACAGAGCCATCTTCCTCTTTTGCTCTTTCCTTACAGAGGATGGAAGCCACAAGGTAGAAAGTCTGAGGCCAAGCTCAGACTTCTTTTCTCTACAAATGTAACTGTAACCACAAGATAAAGGCTGTCTTCAAAATACTACTGTGGACTGAATGTAAGTAAACTTTATTTTTAATCAAGACTGCTGTGTTATTATTCCAGAGGGAAATAAAAGGGGAAACTTACCAGGAACAAGATAGACTGGAGAAGCCGGACTAGAATGCTTAGCTTAAACAATTCTAACGACTCCATCAACTAGCTTTGAGCAATGTGCACAGGAATGTGCTTGCTCACTAGCGTGAGTGAGGAGGGATAATATTTAATCAATATATGCTCTCCTACTTTCCTCGACATTCCCACAAAAATAAACGCAAATAGCTCTGCATCCTGGTTGTCACAGTGGTCAACCTATGGGAAGTAGTCAACTTATGGGACGCTTGCAAACAGGACAGATCGCAGCAACGCTCTTCCTGCTTGCAATCACCAGGAATGGGTACCTCTCAGGCAAACTGTCTCCAACAGCCAAGGGGAAAGATAGCCATCATGCCTAGTACCCCTTCCTAGCCTTCCCAAAATACCCCATTGAAGCTGGTATCCCAGATTTAGCAATAAAACCTGGCCGCACCATATTGTGCCCTGCATAAAACCCCTCCACGTTGTGTCTAGAGCCACAAAAATTCCAGATCTTCTGTTGGGCGGCTTGCTCTAGCCATGGAATGCAGTGTGGCAGAGTCCACTGCAAAACCTCCTCGCTGGTTTTAAATTGAAGAGGAGAAGCCACGAGACAGGCCACCAGAAGTCTCTTGCGCAACTGCTTCCCACTCCCGCTACTTTCCGCCTTTGGAGGTAAAGGGTGGGGAGTTGCGACTCTCTCCCCGCCCCCCCCCCCGGCTCACCTGCTCTGCCGAGATGAGCAAGATCTCGTGCCGCGCTTTCTCGATGCCTTCTTTGGTGCCCGTGATCTTGATCTGGTTGCTGGGGTCCTCGGGCCGTGGGATGTTGATCTTGGTGGCCGTCTTCAGCTCGAGCTCCTGTAGTTTCTCGCCGTTCTTGCCGATCACAAAGCGATGGTGTTCCTTGGGGATTGTGACAGTAGCTGAAGCCTGTGGAAAGGGGAGGGGACAGCGGCGTTGCTGGGTTTTCCAAATGCAGTTTTAACAAGGGCTGGCTTGATATAGAAACACGGGGAGCTGCCTTACTCATTTGTTACATATATATCCCACCCTTCATCAAAAGACCTCAGGGCAGTTGGCAGAATAATAGCTGCTTGCAGGAAAGCGAGAGGTGCTGGGGTGGAGGGAGACGCACTTTGGGGCGGAAGGGCTTTGCACGCACCTGGGTCTGAAGCCGAGCGACTATTTCCTTCCGAGCTTTCATGACGGAGTCCAGTTTGCCGGTCACCATGATGGACAGGCCCTGGTCCTTGGCCAAGGAGAGCTCAATATGAGCCCCGGTCTTCTGCATGATGTCCACGCACACCTTGGCCTCGTCACCTTCTCCGAATTGGCTGTTGTCCTTGTAGCGTCGCTCTTCCAGGGGGACGTGAAACACCTGCCAAGGAAGGAACACCTCAAGGGCCGTGTCTACATGCTGCAAAATGTCTATTTCCAAATGCAAAAGCAGTTAATGCAGGACCGGACCAATAGGATCATCCAGGAAAGAATCTCGCTTCCCTCTGTGCCCACCAGGCATTTCCTGGTAATAAGGCCACAGACTAGGCACAAATGCCCCCGTTGTCCTCCTGCACATGGCATGGCACAGTGCCTCAGAACATGGGAGGTTCTGTTCAGCTCTCAGCCCACCAATGGCTACTTGCAAACATCTATCCTGCATGAGAGCCAGTGTGGTGCAGCGGTTAAGAGTGTTGGACTAGAACCTAGGAGACCAGGGTTCAAATCCCCACTTGGCTGTGAAGCTCACAGGGTGATGCTGGGTCAGTCACTCCCTCTCAGTCTAACCCACCTCGCAGGGTGGTTGTGGGGATTAAAAGGAGGGGCAGCAGGAGAACCACGCCATCCACTTTGAGCTCCACAGAGAAGTGAGATATAAAGGCAATAGATAAATATGTGCAATCTCCTTTCAAAGCCAACCATGGAGATTTAGCATGGAGCAGTTTCTCTTGCTTGCCTCTCCCTCCATTTTCAATCTACTTAACTGGACGAATGAGAGTTTAAAAAAATATACTTTTCAAGTTTGTACATTTCACTAATTTTACAATCATTTTGACATTTCAAAGCTTGACTTCCTTTCCCCTCTTTCTGCGGTTCCTTAAATTTTTAAGATCTTTTGCATATCCAAATTAACTTGATTTGCTCATTTACTCATCTTCTTTAAATACCGTATTTTTTGCTTTCAGCGCACCCGGCGCTCTGGGAAGCAAGCTGCTATTCGCAGCCTAGACAGCCCTGCGGGAACTTCCGCAGGGCTGCCTAGGCTGCAGATGTCTTCCTGAAGCCTGGAGTGCGCACCGACCCCTCTCGCTCCCCAAGCTTCAGCGAAAGCCTGCATTCGCCCCATAGGACGCACCCAGATTTCCCCTTCATTTTTGGAGGGGGAAAAGTGCATCCTATAGGGCGAAAAATACAGTACATACTCTTATGAAGCTGCCAGTTATTACAATAATCCTGCCAATGTTCTTATCTGGTTACAATTTATCTGTAAATATTCAATAAACAGTTTCCATTCTTTTATAATAAAAGAATGTTTTCTTGGTTTCTTATTCTTCTAGTAAGTTTCGCCATTTCTGCATATTGCGTAAGTTTTTGTATCCATTCTTCCTTTGCTAGGACATCAAAAGGCCCATCTAGTCCTGCATTCTCGTTATTGCAGCGGCCAACCAGTTGCTGTGTGCTGTGTGCTAACATATATTAACACCCCCGTTGCATCTTGTGGCCCCCGCCACACCACAGGGGCAGCCGGTGGGAAGGGACCTGTGCCCCGGGGAAGGGAAATCTAGCTTCAGAGGAGCTACCATGACTTGGAAGGGACTACGAGGGTCATCTAGTCCAAAGCCCGGCAATGCAGGAATCCTTTTGCCTAACTGGGGCTCAAACCCACGACCCTGAGATTAAGTGTCTCATGCTCTATCAACTGAGCTATCAAGCAGGATAGGAGCACAACAGCACTCTCCTGCTCACCCTCTCTGAACTGGTGCCCAGAGGCCTCGGATACTGGAGGCGAGACAGAACAACCATGACAATGCTCTCCTAATAAGAGAAGGATGCATAGAGGCTTTTCCGCACAGTCGCTGCCAATCCTTTGCCTAGCGTACATCCAAGACACTGGTTTTGAACGAGGCAACACAAGTACTTCAGTTCAGCTTTACTGCTTCCAAGTTCAAAACCATCTTTCTAGGTCTGCTGATTATTTTGGCTACGCATCCAGCAATGAGATAAACACTTCACAATTAACATCTCCCATAGGGAAACCTCTCTCCCTTGCACACACACACCACACACACACAAGGTATTCTGCGAAGACATGCCAGCAGCAGAAGTGGAACTCCCTGTGCCCGGCCTCTGCACACTCACCTGGGTGATGACAGAGGATTTGATAGGCCGGATTTTGTTCCATACTCCCGTAAGCTCACTGGACTTTTCCCCCGGGGCTCCCTTTTCTGGGAGTGGCGGAAAGGCTTCCAAGTAAGTGGGGATGTAGGCCTCATCCTCTGGGACACCACCTGCCCAGCAGACAAACATAGAAAGAGACAGCAAGATCACACACGCGGGTGGGGAGGAATCCTGGTTTAGGGAAGGGATCGTGCAGGCAACAGAGAAGACACACCCAGGCTTCTGATCAAATTACTTTGTGGACTAGAGACCACTTAATCAGATGCATCTACTCCGTATTTTGGAAAGTTGTCCATTCACTGTGCATTTGAACCCAGCAACAAAGAGGCGGCATCTCAAGATGCTGTGAAAATGAGGATGTTATTTTCAAAACAGCCCAATGTCGTTTCAGCCACTTATTGCCTAAAGGCGTTTCTTCAGGGGTCAAATTGAAGAACAGCCTGCAGAGATCTTGCCAGATGTATCTCCTGTTCACATGAATTGGCAAATGGGAGGTAATATCTAACAGATATTATCTCCTAAGGCTGCTTTCTCCATGTGACCCCACCCCCCCAAAGCACTGGGATGCTTTGAAAATAAAAGGTTCATTTTCACAGCATCTTGAGATACAGGTTTGTTTTGGGGTTCATTTTGGATGCTCTCTGTTTTTTGGGGGGGGGGAGGGGGGCTTTTCTGTGATCCATTTGGACACCAAACCTTGCGCGATGATTTCTGAGATCAGTGAGCAGGCTTTCATATATGATTGGATGCAATCGTACGCCACTTTTAATCAATAAGGCAGATGGAACCTTTCAAAACTGCACTGATTTTTTTGGCTTTATTAGAATTCCCGAGCAATGCCTGCAAGTGAAGCATAAACCTCAGTTGGCAGGAGTAAATGCACACAGTGGTGTAGAGTAAAACAAAAATTAAGCAGCGAGGTCCACAGGGGAATGAAATGCAATGTGGATTGTGACCACCATGCCACAAGCTTGAAATATATTATGTAAAATAAGTGCAGCCGGCTGTTTACAAGCCAATGTTGATAGCACAAAGCACCCTGCCACTGATTAGCCAATAAGGCACTTGTACTTGTAGTGGCATAAGAGGCCATTATTTTGATTCAATTCACAGGTGATAGAACTGAACTTTTGACAAGCTTCCATAGAGCAACTTGACCCTAGAGTCTCCCTTCTGAATGACAACTTTAGGGCCGGTAACAAAAGCGTCCCAGGAAGAGTGAAAGTTTCTTCTACCGGTGTCTGAATATTTACCTTTCCAGAGCATGTTGGTTTATTAGTTCCGCCAATGGATCCCACTCTGGCTTCTACCCAGCCTTACCCATCATCAAACACACATCTCATTCATTGCGTGAGCAGCAGCCTCACGACACACCCACACCAAAAGATTCCTGCCCATCTCACCTCGTGTTTCTTCATCCCTCAGCCCGCTGCGGTGCTCAGCAAAGCTTTCGGGTGTTAACACTGCTACCGAGCTCATAGCTTCAAACCCAGATTTGCGCGTTTCCGGTATTCCACTGTTGGAGTGACGAGAGAGAGAGAGAGAGAGTTAGGTCAGGAGTTGGCAAAGCTATTGTGACTCCTTTATAAAGAGCGACCACATCACTTAAGTCAGCCTGCCAATAACCTGGTCCCTCCAGGTGTTTTGCTGGCTGGGGCTGATGAGAAATGTAGCCCAAAACATCTGGATGAGCCCAAGATTGTGCAGAGGTTGCTCTAAGTGCATTACTCACCTTAGATCAACCATGTATTATTATCCAATGTTCTTGGACTTCCCAGTATCAAATGAGCCATGCCTGAACAATAAACTCATCAGCCCAAGGCTCCCCCTTATATCTCACTACCAACACCACTGTTTGAATTCAGGTAGACGACCAAGAAAAGTGGGATTTTTTGAGTTGCGCTGCCTCATTTGTGGTGCTACTCATGCATCAGGCAAAAATTTTTTTTGAAATGCTCTGTCCTTGCCAAGTGTCAGATGTTGTTGCATCAAAGCAACCATCAAGAAGAGTCAAGCAAAATATTATGGGTCCCCTGTCCCTCCACTCAGACTGGTTGTGGAGGAGCGATGAAGGAAGCTATTTTAAATGAGACTTGGAGAATGTGATCTGTTTCAGGTTTGAGGGAGGATGCAACCTTAGCTCCTATTTTCTGCTGCTTTACCAATGCAATCACCACAGTAATATTGAGGCATGAGAAACAGGCGCCATATATTTTCAATTGTTTTTGAATTCTTAAGCGTTTTGAGCTGCATTAATCGCTCGCTGGATGGCTTATTTCCGCTTTGCTTACATATTATTCCGTTTTTGGATAGGATGACATCGTCGGCAATGTCGCTTGCTAATTTTTAATTGTTGTGCTCAAAGTTGTTAATATAAATATTTCTATATTAAAGCGGTTTGCGGCAATAAAAATATAAAATCAAACAATAAAACCTTAAAATTGTTCTTAAAAACCAATTAACTATTGTGGAAGGATGTATTCTTAATTGCCTGTGTAGGCCTGGAGGAATAGAAGCTTTTAGCAGGTGTTTTAGTGTTGCTGGAAAAGCGGCACACACATGTTAAATCAAACCAAACACATGCACAAATACATTGCCGACCCCATGGAGCAGATGGGAAGGATGTACCCATGCTTTCCACCTTGGCAGAGGCTCCCAGGTCCCCCTGTTGCACCTCACTCTTCCCTTTTGCTGGATGTGGGGAGAGGGAGACTCACCTGCAAAATGGTCAAGTGCCAGAAGGGTCCGTCCTGAACGAGGCTACCTGTGGCGCTTCAGCGTGACGGCTGCTTTGGTCCTGAAAGAAGGATTAAGCGCTGTCAGGAGGACCCACTTACGAGCAGGGCAAGGGGAGCCCCTTCCGCCTGAGCTTGGAAACAAACTCTTCAACACAGCCCTGTGCCACAACGCAAAGTAGGTTATCCCTGCAAATTGTGACCGGCTGTAAGAAGTATAAAAATGAAATTAATACTAATACATTTTACCATTTGAAAATGGCACCTAGACATTCCATTGTGGCGACAGCAACCCAGGTTTAAGGTGCCATTTGGCAATTAGCTTATATATCTAAGATTCTAAGACAGTGTACAGAGAGAGAGAGAGAGAGAGAGAGAGAAAGGGATATCTGCTCCATTTTGGAATGTTTTTAATGAAATCATTTTTGGTTTTAGAAATATAAAATTATAACAATTGAAATGCTTATTCATATATAGGCATTACTCTGAATCTCGAGCCTTCCCTCCATCCCCTCCATGGATCCTATTGTCAGCATTTACAACTGTGTATTATTCTACATTCCAGGGGTCAGCAAACTTTTTCAGCAGGGGGCCGGTCCGCTGTCCCTCAGATCTTGTGGGGCCGGACTATATTTTTGGGGAGGGGGGGAATGAACGAACTCCTATGCCCCACAAATAACCCAGAGATGCATTTTAAATAAAAGGACACATTCTACTCATGTAAAAATACGCTGATTCCAGGACCATCCGCGGGCCGGATTTAGAAGGCGATTCGGCTGGATCCGGCCCCCAGGCCTTAGGTTTTCCTACCCATGCTATATTCTATATCAATCCATATGGTCCATAATATTTGTTACATTCGAAGCAGAGTAAAATCTGCTTTCAATGGTCTCCTAAATAATAGATTTTAAAAAATTTGTCCTCTTGGTTCCTGCACAGTCCATCATCTTAGCTTGCCATTCATCCCTGGTAGGGACTCTTTCTTCTTTCCATCCCTGCGCTAGTAGCATCCGTGCAGCTGTTGTCATGTACCATAAAAAGTCTTTTCTGGTCCCATTTCGGGATAGTTTTATTGTGTTTCATAACTGTAATTCTTTTGCCTGTGCATATAAATCTACTGCAACCTGTCATGGGACTTTCTGGAGAAAGACAGGTGAGGAAACCTTATAAATAAATAAATGTCAAAGAATACGACCGAGCTCAGGTTAGGAGGCACCTAACTGGCAAACGATAAGGTCTGTGGTTTAAGAAAATAAACAGCGGGCCTGCAGGATCAGCCCAATGTCCCATCTAGCCCAGAACCCAGTCCTCATCTTCCCTTCCTGTCCATGAAAAGACGGCTCACAACTTGCTGCAAAGGTGTTTCTTGTGCCCTCGGCTTCCCAACCCCCATTAAGAAAGCGAGGCGGCGGCAGCAGCGCTAAGCTCTATGGGGAGGATTTGAGAGAAATCCTCTTAAGGCAACTGTAAAGGAAGGAAGAACGGAAGAACGAACCTCCTTGCACTTGGCAGGGGCTGCTATCACCTCTGTGTCAAAGCTGCATCCAGTATAGGAAAGGTTGCTGCAGGAAGGGAGAGAGATTGCTAGAGAGAATCCCCCCTCGGTGCACATGGCCTGTGAACTCCTAATCCCCAAACATCCTTAAAGCAGCACAGCTGAAGAAAGAGCCTGCCCCCCCCCCCCAGATCCTGCCCCCACACAACCTTAACTATCTTTTAGGGAGCTGGATATCACTTAAGCAGAATTTTATTCTATTTGTTTTCCTTCCAAAAAGCAGGAGCCATGCGATGCCAGCCTTTCCAGGATTTCTGCATTTGGCTGTGCAGAACTTGCACTTACACTTGGTATTATCTTGTTTCCAAAAATCAAGAAGAAATAAAGAGACAGATTGTGTTAGATTGCTAACATTTCTTTTTCTTCTATCTGTCGTAGCTCTAATTTTAATGTATTACAGTAAAAGCTCAATTTAAAAAAATAATAATTTTAAATGAATATTTTTAGAATGTTGAATTATTTTGATTGTTGTTAGCCGCCCTGAGCCCAGCTTCGGCTGGGGAGGGAGGGATATAAATAAAAAAATTTTTTAATTATTATTATTATTATTATTATTATTTAAAAAAAACATTTATCAACTAACAGAAGCAGGTATGTTTAACACATTTCCCCCTCTGGGTTGTATCCGATGCTAGTGCTACTCATCACACTTGTAAGCAGCTGCCTTACAGAGGGTTGGACAATTGCTCCATCTAGCTAAATACTGTCTGCACTGACTGGCAGCAGCATCTTTAGCAAGGGCTCTTTTCCAGACCCACATGGAAAGGCCAGCAGTTGAAATTGGGACCTCTTGCATGCAAAGCATGGGCTCAACCATAGAACTATGCTATCGGTACAGCCCCAAAGGAAAAGAATCATAGAATTGTAGAGTTGGAAAGGACCGCAAGGGTCATCTAGTCCGATGCCTGCAATGCAGGAATCTTTTGCCCAATGGGCCCACTAATAATAATACCCTCATTTTGCTCCAGAAGGCGCTACGGCTCAGTGGTGGAGCACCTGCTCTGTACACAGAAAGCCCCACACTCATCCCTGATGGCACCTCCAGGGTATGCCCTCTTTCTCTGTCCGAGACCTTGGAGAGCCACTGCCAGGCAGCGGACAAGCTAACCGGTCTGACTCTGCAAAAGACAGCTTTCCAGTGTTCAAAAAGTGCACCTGTTATTTTGACGGACGCAATGAATGCATTTTGGCACAGCTTGAGCACCGTACAGCAAAGTTCAAAAGAACACACAACTGGAAGGGTACCACAATCAGCACATGGGCCCATGAAGTATGGATTAAAATTCATAGAGGGCAACATCCCTATTCCAGCATTGCCTGCCTCTGCCTTTCGGTCTCTCTGATACCTGAATTCCTCTCCTGGGACACAGCGATCAACCCCACAGATCTGCCTAAGCTAAGCCGTTTGTGTGGGGAGAGGCAGTCCAATCCATCACGCTGCCCCGACAAAGACGGATGGGCAATGCCTTCCTACCACAGCACTGCCATGTTCCCTGGGAACTGGCCCCCGTTTGCCACTCGCCCCCCTGTGGCCGTGCGTCCCCTCGCCCCCCCACTGCAAGCTCCCGGCTCTGCACCGCACGGTGACCGAGTTGCAACCTCTTCTCCTTGATGCAATCCGACAGGACTGCGGCCTCTGGCCATCAATAAATAAAGACGGGAGAGAGAAAGAGCTAAAGACGTAAACAAGGAAAGCTGCGGGAGAGGCAGGGGAAACCCAGCGCTGAACTGCAGGAGCCTGGCCTCCCAAGATGAAAAGAGGACACCTCCAGAATCTACAGAACCAACAGCTGCTTCTTTTAAAGAAAAGTCAAGGCGTGGCTCTAGCCCTCAAGGTGTTAAGGAGGCACGTGCATCTGAAAGCAAGGGAGATTCCCCCTAGCAGGTCAGGGGACACAAGAAGCTGCCTAATGCGGAGTCAGACCACTGGCCCATCTTGCGCAGTGCTGCCTATACTGACTGGCAGCAGCTGTCCAGGATTTCAGGTGGGGGTTTCAAGGAACCCTACCTGGGCATGCCAGGGGCCCGAAGCTGGGGCCTTCTGCTTGCAATTGGTGTTATAAATTAGCCAGGTGTGTTTTGCGACTGGCACAGGTCCAATTGCAACCACATGGAGATCTCTGGATGACAGGTTAGCAACTGACATCTCCATCTGACTGGCCCCTCCAGCTTCCTTAAGCAGGTAAGCAGAAGAACTTATGTACTGGATTTATAACCCACTTTTTTCTGCAAGGATTACATGGTTCCTCCCCCCACAGCTAATCCTTACAACAACCTTGTGAGGGAGGCTCAAGATCACCCAGTGAGTACCATAACTGATTGGGGATTTGAACCCTGATCTCCCAAGCCCCAGTCTGACATTCTAACCCAGAGATTTCCAAACTTTTCATGTTGATCACGCTTTTTAGACATGCATCATTTCGTGACACAGTAATTCAGTTTTACTAGCAAACCAGAGGTTAAACTAACCCCTTATAAGAGCACGGGGAGCGTTTGCGTGACACAACTACACACTGTAGATGACACACTAACGTGTCACGTGACACACAGTTTGGAAAGCTCTGCTCTAACCACTACACCACACTGGCTCCCTAGAGTCCTTCTGCTATGGGGCAGCTCTATAAATTAAGTACGTAAAGAAATGTGGGGAAACAAAATGTCACTTAGAGAAGGATCGGAAATATTTTCTTTGAAGACTTAGTTTGTTTTATTCTGGATTGTTTTATTTGAAGTTGTGTGTTGTAAGCCGCTTTGTGGTTTTTTCTTTTAAAATATAAAGCGGTATAGAAACGAAATTAACAACAACAAATTTCACCATAAAAGGCACCTAGATAGACCGTTGTGGCAACCATAACCTAGGTTTAAGGTGCCATTTGGCAATTAGCTTATACAGTGGTACCTTGGGTTAAGTACTTAATTCATTCTGGAGGTCCGTACTTAACCTGAAACTGTTCTTAACCTGAAGCACCACTTTAGCTAATGGGGCCTCCCGCTGCGCCACTGGAGCACGATTTCTGTTCTCATCCTGAAGCAAAGTTCTTAACCTGAAGCACTATTTCTGGGTTAGCGAAGTCTGTAACCTGAAGCGTATGTAACCTGAAGCATATGTAACCTGAGGTATCACTGTATATCTGAGTTTCTAACACGACCTGCAAGGCAGGTTCTCTAAGCTGTGGGGCTATTCATACAGCCGTTCTCTCTGCCTTGCGAAATGAGACCAGAGCGATGAGGCTGAGTCACAAGCTGATAGTCGACAAGCAGAAAGTTCACCAGGTTGAAGAGAGTGACACCGTATGGGAGAGGAAGCTTTCCAAGTTCCCTGTCCCAAGTGCTTACTGTCTGCAGAAAGTGGAACACCACTGGACAGGAAACGTCACCTGTGTGTTGATTCATCTGTGGGTCTGGTGGGAAAGGAGGGGAGGACAGACACATCACCGGTAGCAAGAGTTCTGAATGAGGCATCTGAAAATAGATTGTGCGCCCTGCCAGCACAAGGGAGAAAAGGGAGAGGTGTTTGCAGGCAGGGTGGAGAACAGCTGCTTCTGTGCAGGCTTAAGTCATCTGCTGTTTTGCCTCTGGTTGAACTTTTCAACCTCCAGCTTCTTGTCCTGCCATCTTGCCTCTCTTACTCCTTTGCACAAAAAGAAAAATAATGCAAATCTGGTTCTCAAAGTGTACCAAACTAAACATTTCTCCAAGCTTCCCATTTCCTGCGCTGGCTGGCCAAATTCTCTGCCAGAGTGGAAGAGCAGCGCATAAAGGCCACAGGAACAAGCTGGGCCGGCTCCGCTCCAGTTTGATTACAGAAGATGGCTGGGCTCTGGCTTTTAGCCTGGCCTCCAAAGCAGCACAACTTTATTCACTGGGAAATCTCTCATTTACCCGGCTGGCAGCACAAGCAGAGCTGTGCAAACACCAGGAAGGCCAAGGGGACGGTGAGGGCCAAAAACAGCCGAGGACCAAAAACAGCCGTCAGCCACGGAATGAAGAGATATGCAGGCCAAGCAAGCAGTTGCTCTTTTTTTTGGACTCCGAAAAGAACGGCAGCCGATCAAGGCTGTGTTGGCGCTTGAGGATAAGTACAAGCCTCTGGCCAGAATGGGAAACCTCAGCCCCAGGGGTCAATGCAGCTCTTCTGATAGCCTCCCCCCGCATTGTTTGCATGCTCCAGTACCCATGAAATTTGGAAGAACCTCGGCTGGGGTAACAGGAGGCAGGAGAGACATGCCTTTCTGAGGTCTTGGCTGGCAAATGGGGCAGGAGAAGGCACATAGCAAAAACCATGGCATTCACTCCTACGAGATGTATAGCTACCAACCTGGAAACGTTAGACAAGTTCAGGGATGGGAAGTCCATCTTTTCGCCATGGTTATTTTTGACCTCCATAGTCCAAGACAGGATGTTTCTGAATGCCAGCTGCTGGGGGATGGCAAGGAAGGAAAGCACAGTTGTGCTCAAGTCTTGCTTGTGGGCATCCAATGGGCATCAGCTGGCCTTCACCAGGGACCTAACTTTTAGCATGGCAAGCCCTGCCAGCAGCGTTTCAGCAGAACCACCCCCCACCTTCTTTCAGACGCCTTCTGAAAAGGAGATTGTTTAGACAGGCCTTTGCAATATGAGCTTTCTCTTCTTCACCAACTGGCATTTACTGACAAGTTTTCAGAGATGCTTTTTGTGGAGTTTGTTCACTGTGCACCGTATATCACCTTGACATATTTTAATAGAGGTGTGGATTACAAATACGTAAATAAAATCTGGCTGGCTGCTGTGGGAACAGGATGCTGGGTTACGTGGGCCTTTGACCTGATCCAGAAGGCCTTACCTTACGTTCTTAAGACATTAAGCCTGCAAACTGAGAAAGCCAACTGCCTCCCCATCCGTCCTGGACTCCTGGCATACGGTGATAACAAATGGAGCTGGCGCTCTCCAAGTTAGCGTATTTTTCGCTCTATAGGACGCACTTTTTCCCCTCCAAAAATGAAGGGGAAATGTGTGTGCGTCCTATGGGGCGAATGCAGGCTCCTTGGCTTGAGCGATAGCAACGCGAAGCCTCCGAAGCGCAGAGGGAGTGCTCCCTCCGCGCTCCGGAGGCTTCGCGCTGCTTTTGCTTAAGCCAGGAGATCGCGAGGGGTCGGTGCGCACCGACCCCTCTCGCCCTCCAGGCTTGAGGGATAGCTGCCTGAAGCCTTCGGAGCGCAGCGCAAGTTCCCGCTGCGCTCCGGAGGCTTCAGGTTCCTTTCGCTGAAGCCAGGAGAGTCTTGCTCTCCCAGCTTCAGCAAAAGGAACCCGAAGCCTCCGGAGCGCAGGGGAACTCGCGCTGCGCTCCGAAGGCTTCGTGTTCCTTTTGCTGAAGCCGGGAGAGCTGCGCAGCACCCCTTCAGCCAAGCGGGAGGAGAAATGGAAGGGGCTCCGTTTCTCCTGCCGTTTCGCTGAAGGGGCGCTGAGCAGAGAGGGGGAGAATTTTTTTTTCCTTGTTCCCCCTCTAAAACAAGGTGCGTCCTATGGTCGGGTGTGTCCTATAGAGTGAAAAATATGGTATATGAAGGAAACGGTTGCCTCAGAAGCAGAGGTTTTAATAATGCCCAGTACTGGCAGCCAGGCCTGCCTTGCTCCCTAAAAGGAACCATGAACAGCAATTGTCACCCAGTCTACAGACCAGTCTCTGTATTCCAAGCTCCAAAATGTCTTTTGAGGAAAGCACCCTCCAAGGGGGGCTGTGCTGCTAACTCTGGAGCAAATGCCTTGGGATCTCATTAACTCCAACTGAAAGTTTCAGAGTGTTTTTCTCGGCCCAGTCCCATTGTGCAGATGCGTTCAGGAGTGTTTCTCAATCATTAAGGCTAAAGCCGTTGAGATGAGAAGGCAGGAGAATGGGTTTCACTTTTGCCAAACCCTAGTCAGCTGCTCAGCGCCAACTGGGCTGGCATACAGTTCCTTCCCCTGTTTTTTTATTCCAGTTGTGTAAAAATCTGTTTTGGAGGGACCTTGGGGGTGAGCAAGCTCTGAGTAGTGGCTATTCATACCCAAACTGTCTTCCGTAACCGTGAGGACCAGAGCAATTATACATACCCTCTCCTACTACGCACGGGTACAGAAGACTGTCTGCATACCAATAGCCACTGCTGAGGTCCTGCGTGGTTAGGAAGCAGAGGGTGCAATAACACTGCAGAAGCTAAGCAGGTCTAGGTCCAGTCAGTGTTTAGACTGGAGGCTCCCTAGGAACCCTACGTACAGTCTTGAGATCCATGGTGGAAGAAATAATAGCTGTGTACTTTCCAGGCAGGTTTGACCGCAGCAGCTTCATTTTAAAAGTGGACCATTATGCAGAGCATTATATTCAGACTGTGGAGAGAAACATAGCCGTTGTGGTCAGGGTTCGAAATTAGCAGGGTACCAGGCGCATTTCGCACCTAAAAATTCTCCATTTGCAAGCACCTCTAAAAGTCTGGGTGCCATTTTTTGCACCTGGCTGACACTCAAGGATCACTGGAATGTATGTGCTTTGAAGCCTTGAAGTATATGTTAAGGATAAACAATACGTTTAGCAATAGTAGAGTGTTTTGAAAACTGACGTATGATACCAATATTTTTATTGTAAACACCAAATTAAACATGCATTCACAATTTCTGTTAAAAATGTGATATTAACAATATGCTTATCAAAATAATAAAAAGTGTTGCCGATCTCCCCAAATGGAGACTAGACCTTCTGTTTTGGTGCCCACAACCCAGGTCCCAGGAGCCATTTGGCTCCTAGCTTTTCTATCCCGGTTTCTAACACTGATGGTAAAGTAAAGGTAAAGGGACCCCTGAGCATTTTGTCTGTCCTAAATCTTCAATTTCATTGGGTGGTCTAGGTCCTAGTATTATGAGGAAGTGAGGAAATACATATCCCTTCCCACTTTCTATAAATCATGCTATGCCAGATGTCAACCAATTTGCACAAGACAACAGGTGACTTAAGGAACAGTAAGATACAGGCAAAGTGACTGACAGGTCCCAGCTACCAAGCAAGCTGAGGCGGGCTTAAGAAATGAAAAGGAAGCAACCATATGCGGTTATTGTTCCCCAACGTCGCTGACTGAAGACACAGCAAGACACTGGACTGTACAGGAATAGGTTGAACACTGGCAACCAGTTGCCTTTCTCTGACCTGGAAGCAACGGAAGGGAACCAGTGGCCCTTCAGATGTTGTTGGACTCCAAATCCCATCAGCCCAAGCCAGCATGGCCCAGTGATCAGGGATGATGGGAGCTGTAGTTCGGCAGCAACTGGAGGGGAAGAGGTTCCCCATCCCTGGCCTAGAGCAAGCCTTCTGACCATGAGCAAAGAGACCTTCATCGGGGTTGCTAGGCAACAGCACATTGACCACATCTCAACTACCGCAAGCCAGGAAAGAGAGAAAGAGTGGCTGAGGAAGGCATTAAGTGGGATCTTGGGGGGAAAACATTGCTGAGATGACAACATGAAGCATACTTATCACAGGGCACTCTTTAGTCTTTGATCTGAAGTTCTGGGGTTGCTGCTTCCTTCATAGGGTCTTCAAGGAGGAAAGAGATAGGCCCAGAGATGTCAAACTGGGGCACAGCTATGACTTACTATGACTGACTGCCTTCCTTGTTACCATCAGGCTGAAAGTGACAGACTAGGCCTGCTGAGTTTTCTGGGAAGGGAGGGAGGCTGAAAAAATAGTAGACAATTGCACAAGTTTCCCTACATAAGTTTGGGGGGGGCGGTCGAAGGCCTTTGCAATCCCATGATAGTAATTCTTAGGAAAGGGGCTGAAAACAGATTTGACAGCATCATCCCAAGCCCACCACAAAAGACAGTGGTAAGACCACTCACACATTCATAAAAAGGGATACTGTAGAGATGGAAAATGCACAGCAGGGGTGGGGAGTGGGGTTTCAGTCTGGAGGCCACCTTTCCTCAAGGAGAACGTTCTGGGGGGGCTCCATGGAAAGGGTGGAAAGAAGTTTGTGGAGAAACAGGTGAGATTCTTCCCTTTATACAGTAAAATTCAGAGGTTTACACGTACAGCCACATCTCCACTCACACCTCCTGAACCTCCACCAGACAAGCGAGAGGCAGTATAACTGCTTGACCCATTCCAGCCAGGAAAAAGGACTCAAGGAACACAGAGCAGAGTGGGAAGAACTACAGGGGCCAGGTAGAAAGGTCTGGAGAGCCACACACCTGATGTACAGTGGTAACTCGGTTTTCTAACTTAATCTGTTCCGGAAGTCCGTTCTTAAACCAAGGCATGCTTTCCCATAGAAAGTAATGGAAAATGGATTAATCCGTTCCAGACAAACAACCCCTAAAACAGCAATTTAACATGAATTTTACTATCTAACAAGACCATTGATACATAAAATGAAGGCAATAATCAACGTACTGTACTATAAAATAAATAAGACAGTATTGTAGATTATAAAAATTAAAATTAATTTTTCCTCTTACATGCACTGATGATAGTCATTGTTTGGAGGGGGGACTTTTATCCATTTCTGCAGTCATACATACAATCAACCAGTAGCTGAACTGGGTTCCACAGTGTCACAAAAACAAGTCACAAAAACGAAGACACAAGCCACAGTCACAAGTCAGTCCCGTAAAACGAAGAACAAGTCATAGTAAAAATAAATAAATGAAAAAGCCACACAAACAAAACCGCAACAAAATAGCAAAAACAAAAGCTCCAAATATCACACCTCTGTGTTGCGTGGGGGCTCAGGACTCAACAGCCGACAGGCTTAACAGGAAGCCTCAGATTAGCAGCGGGGGACTCAATTTACAAATGGAACACACTCAACAGGAAGCGGAACATGTTCTGCTTCCAAGGCAAAGTTCACAAACCAAAACACATACTTCCGGGTTTGCAGCATTCTTATTCCAAGTTGTCCATAAACTAAGCTGTTCTTATACCAAGGTACCACTGTACAGGAAAGGGCAACCAATATCACCAGCGGGCTGAGGCACCTTTCCTACGACAAGAGGCTAAAAGGGGAATTGGGGTGTTGAATTAGCAGGCCTCTAGCGTGGCCAACATTGGCTTTCCCCAACCAGGTGTTTTCCAGATGTTGTCTGACTCCCATCACCCCCAGTCAGTATGGTCTGGGATGACGGGTATCACAGTCCAAAAAAACTTCTCAAGGTACCAGGTTGGGGAAAGCCAGCTTACACCATTCTAAAATGAGTGTTGTGGAATTACTGGTTGCCGAACATGGCCCCAGGTCCAAATCTCTGCTTTTGGGTCCTTTCAAGCGGCGGCAAGCGTAGCCGGAGGAACAAAAGGACTGAAACGCAGGCGTTGTTTTGCAGCCCCATCGCCTGCGATTGTTCATTCAGACTTCTCAAGAGCCTTTAATTGGGCTCCGCAGCGACTCTCTGGGTCTCGGAGGGCCACGCAGGTGCAGTGCTAAAAGCAGCTCCTATTTTCTTATCAGTGGGAGTTGCCGTTTCCCCCTTGAGTTGAGACAAAGAGAGCACTTGGCGAAAAGCGAGAGGTTGTGGAGGTGGGGAGGGAATAAAGCTTTTATTTTGTCTTAACACATTTACTGGTGTATGTAAAGCCACACCTATTGTACTCTCAGCACTATCATCCAATGATTATGCATCGTCTCTGCCCAGAATTCAATCTTTCTCCCCATCACTCATAAGCATGTGCCAGTGGAAGAGCTAACCCCCTTTTCTAGCCAGGTAGCAGAGATGTTAAAGCAGGGAGCCAGCAACCTACACAGCCTTGCAGCTGATATCACACAGGTGGAAAGAGAGTTTTGCATGCAGAAGGTCCCAGGATCTATCCTCAACATCTCCAGGATGGACAGGGAAGACCCCCCTCACCTGGCTGAAGCAATACGGAGCTACACAGACCATTTGCCCAACTCCATAGAAGGTAGAGCATCAGTCTAGCACAAGGCTGGCCCTGGCATCAATCCCTGGCATCTCCACTACCAGACTACCAGTGAAGGCAATACTCAACTAGCAAGACCAAGGGTCTGACTTGGTAGTTTCCTCTGTTCCTAGAAAAGGGGTCCCCAGCCAAATTTGTGGCTTGGCTTCTATGACTGCCACCACCCCACTCCAAAATTACCGAGGGAATGCAGCTGTCGACAAAGAAGATTTCCCCACCCTGGTGTTTAAGCATGTCGAGGAACATAGTTTGAAAGCAGCAGACAGCACCATAGGGCAGCCCAACATTTGATGGGAGTGGCCCAACGTAGTTTTGAAACCAAGATTAGACTGTAATAGAGGGGACTTTGAGTGAGATGTTGCTTTTTGCTACAACAGGGATGGGGAGCCTGTGGCCCTCCAGATGTTGCTGGACTCCAGCTCCCATCAGCCCCAGTCAAGCATGCTGGGATTGGCAATTCGGCAGCAATCTGGTTAGCATTACTTTCTGGTTAGTGGGAAACAGTAGTCCACTGCAGCCAAACCATGGTTTCCGCTTCACTCACCAAACCATGGTTTTTCATCCATGAGGTAGGGTTATCCGTCACCAACACTTTCTGAATGGGGCTCTAGATGATTTAGAAATGTGACCACAGGAAGTACGATGCAGTGGCTGACTTAACCGCACCACCTCTCAAAGCTGCTACTTAAACTTACTTCTTTTTTTGCCCCTCAGCAAATGTCATTTGGCGACAACTCTACCACCCACATCTATTCCCACTAAATCAGGTGAGTGCCTCTTCTCATCCCCTGCAAAGACGTGACATCTAAACTAATATTTTCATTGTGTATTGTGCACTGTTAAGAGGTGTGCGGAAAGAGAATTCACCTGATGTTTCTGCACATTGCAAGAAAGGTTCAGATGTTCTGTGGCTGCAGCAAGCGTAAGCAATTGACCCTGCAGACTGATCAGGAGGCCAAAAGGAACCAAAACCATCTTATAAAACTAATCGCTACACCCTAGTCAGCGGGAGATGGAAGCCAGGAATTGAGATGGGGTCGGACTAGTTAGCTACTGGGGCAAACAAATAAGCAGCAGAAACGACAGCTTTCACTGTGTGCTATAAAAACTGTATTGGACTGTGAATGCAATGTTCAAGGAGCTGGGCCACACAGATGGCCAGCCTGTGACCTAGTCAGCACAGCCAGCCTTGACAGCAGGGATGTACTGCATGGCTTGGCAGTGACTAGGAGGCCAGATGACTACGTATTGCCAAGCTATTCCAGGAGAACTCTATAGATTTACTCAGAAGCTTGTCCAGGCTTCCCTAATGGCCCAAGAAACATGCCAGGAAAAGGAACTCCCCCACTACGAGCTACCTTCCACTCAGTGTTAGGAAGTCAAATATGTAAGCTAGATTTAAAAAGCCTAGAAAAATAAGGATAGGCACTAAGCAGGAGAACATTCCACAATTGCGGTGCCACCACGGAGCAGACTCTACCAACTCATGAGAACATAAGGAGAGCCTGTTGGATCAGGTCAATGACTCATCTAGTCCAGCATCCTGTTCTCACAGTGGCCAACAAGGTGACTGTGGGAAAGCCACAAGCAGGATTTGAGTCCATGACCACCCACTCCTCCTATGTTTTCCAGCCACTGGTATTCAGAAGCATTGCTGCCTCCAACTGTGGAGGCAGAGAATAGCTCTCATGGCTAGAGGGAGCCACTGAAATCGTCTTATCCTCCATGAATTCATCTAATCCTCTTTAAAAGACTTCTAGGTTGATGCCCATCACTGCTTCCTGTAGGAGGGAGTTTCATAGTTTAGCTATACTCAGCCATCATTATACACCTTTAGGTGCCAGGCAAAAGCATTCCTTTTTAACCAGGCCTTTGGTTGATCTGATTGACATCTTAAAAGGTAAAGGTAAAGGGACCCCTGACCATTAGGTCCAGTCGCAGACGACTCAGGGGTTGCGGCGCTCATCTCACTTTACTGGACGAGGGAGCCGGCATTTGTCCACAGACAGTTTTTCCGGGTCATGTGGCCAGCATGACTAAGCCACTTCTGGCGAACCAGAGCAGCACACGGAAATGCCGTTTACCTTCCCGCCGGAGCAGTACCTATTTATCTACTTGTACTTTGACGTGCTTTCGAACTGCTAGGTTGGCAGGAGCTGGGACCAAGCAACGGGAGCTCACCCCGTCGTGGGGATTCGAACTGCTGGCTTTCTGATCGGCAAGTCCTAGGCTCTGTGGTTTAACCCACAGCGCCACCCGTGTCCCTGTGATTGACATCTTATGCCCTTTTAAAATGTGGCTCTTTTTTGGGGGGGGGTTATATACTGTGGTTTTTAAGTTGATCTTTTCTGTATTCTGCCCTGAGACCTCCAGGTATAGGGCAGTATATAAATTCAGTTAAATAATACTAATGCTACTACTACTACTAATAATAATAAATCATCAACTCTTTTGTCTGTCCTGAATCTTCCAACATTGAGCTTTGTTGTATGTCGACAAAATCTAGCATTATGAGAGGGGAAGAATAACTTTCCTATCAATCTTTTCCATGCTATGCATAATTTTATAAACTTCTGCCATGTCACCTCTTAACTCTCCTTTTCTCTGAACTAAAAAAAGTCCCTGACGCTGCCACCTTTCCTTTGATCATTTCAGTTGCGCCTTTTCTAACGCTACCATATCCTTTTGGGGGTGAGTAAACTCATCTCCTGCTCCTCATGACATACGCGTGGGCCAGCCATTGTGCAAACCAACTCCCCACTCCCACCCCATGCCTTACAGATGTTATGGGATTGCAAGTCCTACAGTCCCGGCCATCATAGCTAGTGGTCAGGGATGATGGGGAGTTGCGCCCTAAAATGTTGGGGAGGATACCAGCTTGGCAAAGGCTCCTGTGAGCAACAGCGGAACAAGCAGATGTACATCTTGTGTGGAGCAAGCAAAGCATATTAGGATAAGACAGGTATTTGGATGCAGTGGCCCAGAAGCCCGCATTTCCCCCCAAAACACTCCTCAGCGCTCAAGCACAAAATCAGCAGAATGACTACCCACAATGGACTGAAAGAGATGCCAGCAGTTAGCTGGCAGGTGTCAATGCTGCCAGAAGAACCCATTTATCCAAAGCCTCAGAACAATTCTCTGCACACTAGCCTATGGGCACAGGCCAGTTCAGGCTGTAGAAACACCATATGCCTCTATATCACTCTTTCCAAAAAAAAAAAGGCTGCGATTTACTCCACACATTAACTTCAGCAGTAAAATACTTCACTTTTGTACTGTTTGCACAGCTGTCTAGCTAAGGATTCCAGTCTGGCTATTCCCTCTTTGCTTTGACCTCATGCCGAGGGGGGGGGACGACAACAGCTATTCCACCTTCAGACAGTTATTTTCTTACGTTTTTATCCCACTTTTTCCCATCATGGAACCCAAAGTGGTGTAAATCTCTCTTCCAGGCACTGACCAGGCCTAGACCTGCTTAGCATCAACAAAGCGGTGGCTTCAATTGTCTTGAGTATGAGGGGCCTGAATCCCAGTTTGCATCAAGCAGCAGACTCCAAGTTCCTAGTCCATAGGGATGTACCATTTCAAGCTTGAAACGGAGAGAAGACTGGTAAAAATTCAAGGCAGAGTGGTGGAGATTTATCACAATTTTGACTTTAGAGCAGGCCCCATGCTCTACAACTAGCAGAAAGTACAGTGGTACCTCGGGTTACAGACTCCGCTAACCCAGAAATAGTACCTCAGGTTAAGAACTTTGCTTCAGGATGAGAAAGAGAAATCGCGCCACCGTGGCAGCGGGAGGCCCCATTAGCTAAAGTGGTACCTCAGGTTAAGAACAGTTTCAGGTTAAGAACGGACCTCCAGAACGAATTAAGTTCTTAACCCGAGGTACCACTGTATTTGTTATTCAATTGAGCTTTCAAATCCCCAAACAGCATACAGAAGATATATAGCTCTGAAAGTGGAGGAAACATCTTTAGGAAAGGGTACCCAATCCATTGCAACCAAGTAACACTCTAAATATGGGAGCCATTGGGGACTGGGGAGAAACAACAGTCTAAAGCCACTACTTATAACTGGTTCAGCTCTCCCATTATTGCGTACTTCAAATTCTCCAGTTGGGCTACAACTGCAAAACATCTGGAGAGCACCAGGTTGAGGAAGGCTGGCCTAAGACTGCCAGCAAGGAGGTTTCCCCCCAGCTCATCTAGCTCCCCTGGTTCCTACCCCCAGAGAGAGGCAGCCTCACTTTATAAGGCACTCAGAATTCCCATCAACAAATTACAAGGACACTATCCCAATCTCACCTAACCTTATTAGCAAACAAAAATGAGCGGCAGGCTTCTTCAGCATCTTTGAGGAGGTCTGCGCAAAGGTAACAAGTCCATGCTGGGATGGCACATCCAGCAGCTGCCACAGCAAATATAACATTGCCTAAGAACAGGGATCTCCTCCCCACCCACCCAGGATCCCCAAGAGGACACTTTGCAAGAGTTGCCCATGGATACGTACCCAAGAGAAGCTTTCTGAAGCAGACACAAGGTCCCTCCAGTTCAGCATCCTGCTCTCGCGGCAGCCAACCAGATGCCTATGGGTCTCCCATGAGCAGGACAGCAGCACTATAGGCCTTCTCCTGCAGTTGCTCCCCAGCAACTGGCATTCAGGATCTTGCTGCCTCATGGTCCTGGAGGCTGTATTACAGTAACCACTGACTGCCTTTTCCTCTGTGAATTTGTCTATCCAAGTCGGTGGCCATCACAGCCTCATGCGGGAGTAAATTTCACGGTTTAACTGCACACTGCATGAAGTGGTACTTTCTTCTTGTCTGCCCTGAATCTTCCAACATTCAGCTTCAATGTGGGTCCCTGAGTTCCGGAATAATGAGAGAAAGAAGTCTCCCCACCTGCTTTCTACTAGATCAGGGGTCAGCAACCTAAAGCCCATGAGCTACAAGCGGCCCATGGGGGTCGTTTAACTGGCCCCCGAGCCGCCCGCTTGGCAAGTCCCCGCATGCTGCACTAAACCAGCGCAGCACAGCACGGGAACTTGCTTCCGCGGCGCCGGAAACCACGTCTGCACATGCACAGACACCAGAAATCACAGGCACACGCTCTCACGTGTACGTGCAATCCGCCCCCCTGAGGGATTTCCACTGGAGTGAACCGGCCCAGGTAAGGTAAAGCTTGCCAACCCCTGACCTAGAATATGCCTAATTTCACACACCTCTATCATGCTTCCCTTACATACCCACCTTTCTCCTAAACTAGAAAACCCCAAATGTTGTGTGACCTTTCTTCCATGGGCCTCCAACCTGTAGATCATTTTTGGTTCCTCTTTGCTGAAAATTCCTCTCCAGCTCCTTCTAAATGAATGGTGACCAGACATGCATGCAGAATTCAAAATGCAGCCTCACCACAGATTTGTAAAGTCAAATAGGGAATGTGCCTTTTCCAGAGCTGCCGCACACTGGGTTGACATTTTCATCAAGCTACTCAACACTGACACACCCTCAAGATTCCCCCTCCATGTCAGTCACTGCCAGCTCAGACCCTACTTGTGGATATACTGGGTTGCTTATATAGAGATAGGGGAACACCAGATACCACAAATCAAGAGGAACTATACTTTAATCCAGGTAGCATTTCCCAAGCTGATAATTAAAAAAAAAATCCCATGTCCACACTTCCTTCTTCCCATGATATTCAGGGCTCTGAATATCCACCCCATACATTCAAATCACTCTTATGCCACGTTAACAGCCATGAAGGATCTCAGGAACTGTAATTTAACAAACTACAGTTCCCATAAGCCTCCTAACTGTTACAGTGGTACACTTTAAATGTGTAGCATGGCTGGGACCATCTCTCTGCAATTTAAGTGAAGGTGAAGAACCATTTGGCCTTTCTTCTCCCAAGAGAGCATCTCTCCCTGGCTTGTTTTTCCACCACTGGATCTCAGGGGAGGATTCCGCGAGCTCCAGCCACCGATTAGACTAGGCCAGAGAGCCTGCTCCAATTCTAGCATCTCCCACAAGTGGTTTCCACCTCTGCAGCTACCCTCTATCCCAGAGGCCTAGGTGGAGCAGTGGGAGAGCAGGAGGTGTGGCAGAACACACAAGATGACTTAACACCTGACTGCCAAAAAAACCCCAGAAACCCTGACACACTATCATGGCCATCTTTGAATCACTTCTAGGGATCCGTGATCTCCACCAAGCTCTGCATATCAGAGCAAAAAGACCTGCTTCTGTTTCACAATAACTCCCATCCTCGAACAAGCAGAGTCATATGCCAGCCCCTGCACATCTCAAATGGTACAGCAGTTACGGTCGTTCCTGGACCAAGAGTCTGATCGAAGTAGTACAGGAACTGGTGACTTCAAGACTGGACTACTGCAATGCACTCTATGTGGGGCTTCCCTTGAGCTGGACCCAGAAGCTGCAGCTTGTGCAGAATGCCGCAGTGTGGTAGTTGAGAGGAGCGAGGCCCTGTCTGCATAGTAAATATCAGCCTTTAATAGGTAAAGCCCTAAATAGCTTGGGACTTTACTTGCAGGGTCGCCAGGTCCAAGATATAACCACTTTTCTGCTTTGATCTGCAAAACTGGCACTGTTACGGGTGCTGCATAATACTTGGTTGTGCATTTGTAAGAAATTTATCTTTAAGTGTAGCAGCACATACACTTTGGAACTCCCTGCCAATTGACATCAGGCCAACACCTTCCCTGTACTCTTTTTGGCACCTGCTTAAACATTTTTGTTTAGGCATGCCTGTCCAGACATTAAGTTACATGTGCTTTATCTCTTTTCAGCTACTGTTGATGTTAACTATCTTCGGAATGCTCTTCAATAATGTTTTTAACTATTTATTGAAAATTGTAGTATTTTATTTACTATTTTTGTAAACCATTTCAACTTTTTAAAAAAATCAAGCAGTGTATAAATCTTCTTAATCATAGCATATAGATATAAGTTAATGGGAATGAAGACTTAAGATCACCCTCACGCAAGAGGCACCTCATCCTGTACCTTTGAGAAGTGAATGTCGAAACCAGTGCTGCACATTTCAGAACTCAAGCTTGTCTTAATAGTTTGTCTCCAGCATTTTGCAAGTCCCTCCACACTCAGGTGAATTTCTATGTCCCACCAAGGTTTTTATTTCCACGCACATTAGCTTTTGCCCCATAGAGATAGACGATAGCTGCATATGAAATCGGGGTATGAATTACAGCAATCCATACAGTCAATCTTGACCTGAATGGGTTACAAACTACAGTAACCAACACTAAGAGTAGGCCAAAGCCATCCTCGGAGTAACTGCAGAACTGTTAAGGCAACAGGCATCAAATTTAGTAGTTATCGTAACAGTGAAAGAGAGAGAGCTTGGCTTGGCACTATTCTCCTCCATGCATTTTCCAAGACAGTTTATTCCCCCATTCTTCTAGTCCTCTTGATGGGAGCAGATAAAGTCTACGATCGCAATAGCAAAGAGGGATGGGGAACCTCAAGCCCAGGAGCTGAATGCAGTTCTCCAGGCTTTCATCAGGCCTCTAGTACAAGCCACACCCACTCACCATCCATGCTCTGCGCCTTCCTTGTGCACTTCTGCCTGGCTTGAATAAGTCCTCAAATTGTGACAACGCTTCTCACTTGCCTAGATGGATGCATGAAAATGCAGAAACCTCTGGCTTTAGTGTAGCTTGAACGAAGCCCATTGCATGCCAATGTATGGTAAAAGATGAAGAAATGGGCCTCCAGGTGCATGTTAGGGTTAAAAATGGGTGCTGGGCTTGAGAAGGCTGAAGATACCTGCATTATGCTGAAGGATAAGGCCACAAAAAAGCTTATTCATCCTCTTAGTGAAGTCCCCACATTCCAACTGTGCAGTCAGCATCTTATTCCCCATTTTATCTATTCTTGTTTCAAAGCCAATCTCTCACAACAGCCTTCAAGGGACACACCACCACCTTAGGGCCCCTTGCCACTATTTTAACAGCCATATCTGAAATGCCCTATCATACCTCTCTACTGCCACAATCCATTTCCCACAGCTTAAAAAAACCACCCTATTTTATGCAGAGTCAACCTAAGCCTACATTATCTTCCTTTCTTCCCAATGGTGCCCTGAACCCCTCACCATTAATTGCCTGCTCTCTCACACATGCACACGCTTCTCTCAGCATCCCACTGTACCCCTGAATCTGCTGTTATCGCTCTCGGGTGAAGAACCCCCTCACCCAATGAATGATACCCCAATATCACTGCCTACCCTGTTTCCATCACCCTAATCTCCACTTACCTGAAGCAGTTTCCCCATATCAGATCTCCCTTTAACTTTAGAGAAACCCCAATCAAATCCCCCCCCTCACCTTTCACCCAGAGACATCTGTAAAAATGTTAAGGGGGCAGGGGGCCAAAGCAAAACACTGACAGTGGGGCAGGGTAGTTTCTCACACACACAAAAATGAGGGGAATCACGCTTTTACGTTTTGCCTCACACCCCAAGGGTCAAGAAATGCTGGAAACTTCCAATATTTTTTTAAATAACTTAAGAATCCTGGGAATTACAGCTCATCCACAACAAACTGCCCTCCCCTTCGCTGCAGCTAGCCATGCCAACACCTCTGTGCATCCCAATCTCCTTTCAGCCCTGGCTGCTTAAGAAACCCCCATAATTTCTTAGTGGGGCTCTCTGATCTAGCCTCCCCATTCTCCTGGACCCCCTTTCCAACACCACAGCCCCCTCTCCTTTCCCATTAATTCCCTCTACACCTCAGTCAGCCCATACCATCCTCTATATCCCTTCAACCCCACCTGCTCGACAGGCCCGCACTCTCTCCCACCCCATTTTAACGCCCTTCAAACCTCTCCGAACCTCCCTGGTGGGCATCGCTACACAGACCCCCCACCCACCCCACATCCCTTTAGTCCCCTCTCCGGTGGAGACACCCAAAGCAGAGCCCTCCGCTTTCCTTTCACCGCCAGCGCCACGCCACCACTGGCCCCCTACACCCTTTCGAGGCACCCCACCGCCCGCCCACCCCACATCCCTTCAAGCCTCTCTGCTGCTCATCCCTATATCAGACCCCCAGATATCATCCCCACCACACCTCTGCAATTTCCCTTCCACCTGCTCTTGCAGAAGACCACATACAACGAGCATCCCCATCTCTCTATTTTTTTTTCAAGGGAGCCCCCCCCACCCAGACTCACCCCCACCCCAAAATCCCTGGCTGCCCTGCGTGCTCCCTGCAGCCTCGCTCCCCTCGCACTGCATCCCTCGGCCTCTCTGCGGCCAGGCCCCGGCGGAGGGACCAGGCTCTTCCCCCGCGCCGCCTCACCTGCGCTGCTGCTGCTGTGGCGGCGGCGGCGAGTCCCGCTGCTGGAGGCTCAGCGTGGCGGTGGCTGCGGCGGCCGCCGCCGAGGCCGGGAGGAAGAGGAGGAGGGGAAGGAGAAGAAGCCGCGAGGGGGAGGCGGGTGGTGGAGGCTGCTCCGACTCCTCCACCGCCGGCGCCGCTGCTGCTGCTCTTGCCGCAGCCTCCGCCCCCTGCCGCTTCCCGGCGCCGACTGACAAGGAGCGCGGCTCGGACACGCCTCCCCGTCCCCGCCCTCCGAGCCTCCTTAAATAGTGCACCGCCTCCTCTCCCCGCCCACTTCGCCGCCGGGGCCAATCCGCGGTCACGGCGGCGCGAGGACCGCCCACCTCTGCCCGCGGCTCGAGTCCCAGCACGCAGGCGCGAGCGAGCCTCGGGTTGAATGTAGGCATGCGCCAGGTACAGAGAGGGCGCGCGCTCCCGGCTCTTCTTCGGGCGCCCTCCCCTCTCTTCCCCCCTCCCAACGCCTAGAGATACGGAGGAAAGTTGGCGCGCAGGCTTGACTTCCGGCGTTTTGCGGTTCCGAAGTTAGCCATATGCGGGGCAGGAAGCACGTGGCGGGCCGCTAGAGAGGTTGCTATGTGTGGGGACAGCTGATAACGTGCCTAAAGAGATTCTGAGGGGAGGCGCCACGGGGTCTATTTTGAAGCTTTTGAAAGTCTGTGGGGGAAGCCGCTCTAGCCCTAACGGTTGGCTTTGCCATGGTAGCACAGCGTGCTCAATTGGGAACCAGAAGTGGCGCGAGGTGGTTATTGGGAACTTGTCACATTCTATTGCGTCACTGTGCCTTCTGTGTAGTGTTGGGCGCTTTGAACACAATTTTCTTTAGTGCACAAATTTAAGGGGCCGGCCCTACCATTAGATGGAGTGAAGTGGTTGCTTCGGGCAGCTGGTTTTGGGTGTTAGGAAACGACAGCAAACCGCTAGCCATTTAATCTATTAATATTATTGGCATTATTTTCCAAAAAAACGTGGTCGGCCTTCAGACCAACTCCTGCATTCTCCCTGATATTTAGGATCAAATATTAACTGCATCTTATTATTAACCCTGCCAGATGGTGCAAGACACTGAATTACTGTGTTAGCTCTTTTGCGCAAATGTTGTGTGTGTGCGTGATAATTTCATCTCTTTACCTGGCCATGTTCAATTTTTCATTCTTTGAAGTGGTGGAATATTTCATTAGTTCTGTTATATGTTTAAGAAAGAAAGGAATCCACGATACGTCTGGAGAGTTTCTCTTTTCATTCCTCTCCTGCCCTCTGAATGCAAAAAGACAGAACCATTTTTTCCCCCCGGAGGACAATATATTACCAAGTTATCTGTTTGCACTCATACAAACCTACTGGATCCCTAAGATCACCACCACCTGTTTTCTGACCTATCATTTGTTAAGATCAGATTGGCAGGACCTTTGGGTGATGGCACCAGAACTGCATGTTTCTGTCTTGGGCAAAATCTACACCCCATCTCTTCCCATTGTCATACAAATTTTAAAATCCTTGTTATTTCCTCAGACATGTTAAAATTGATTTTATTCTTTTTGTAGGCTCTCAGATGAGATATTTACTGCAATGCATTTTTAAAAGTGTTTCATATTGCACAATATAAAATTGTTTTCGTTTACCCTGAGAAATGCCTTGGGAGTGGGATACTATGTTAACTAAAATGAGTATTTTGTGCTGTACGCAGAACTAAGCCCCACTAGGTACAATTTTCACACTTACCAACCAGCTGCCCTGAGGAAGGTCATAAACAAGACAAAACGATAAGAGCTGCTGCTTTGTTCCTCCCATCAGGAAATCATAGCTATGCTGTTTGTAAGTACAGAGGCTTCTTGCTCTAATCATAGCCAACTGGTCCTTAAAATAAAGCCTATTATGGCGGCAGCCATAATCAAATCCTATAGCAGTGAGTTTCACAGAAACTGCATTCAGTGGCAGGGGTCATTCTTTGACGTAATCATGAGAAAGGTAATGCCCAGATGTTGGAGAGGGTGATACATTCAGGCTAATGATGGCTTCCTATCATCCGTATCACTCCTAGCACAATCTTGCAGCATTGCTTGTGCTCCAGAAAAATTTCTAGTGATTCATATTTTTTAATGGAACACAGTGACACCTAGAGGCTGTAACACAACCCTGCAGCCAGGGGGAAACCAGCAGCTGAATTAGAGGGAGCAGTCACCAAGCTGAGGGGAAAATCTGGAGAAATCTCTAAAATCTGTTTGTTTGTTTGTTTTCAAATAAAGGGGTGGCCACAGCTCAGACGTAATGCAAACAAGTCATGTGATGTGTTGGTGGCCTCACTGAGCAGGTGGGAAACTAGGGAATGAGGAAATGCAATGAGGAAGTTTCTTAGGAAGATGACAATGCTGGAGATTAAGAAAAGGAGGAGGAGAAAACCCTGAGGGTTTTCCTCAAGGAAAAGTGTTAATGTAAATGAGGACAGTCTGACAGAAGGCACTCTTCCCTGGCAAATATAACCTCAGCTCTTTAGGCTGGCCCCAAAAAAGACTGTTACAAGTTTGTTTGTTTTTATTTGATTCAATTTACGAATTACCTTTCTGTAAAATATCTCCAAAGCGATTTCACAGTAAAAACAACAAAATTGATCCCCCCCCACATATATACAGTTTTTTTAAAAAAAAATCCATATAGGAACACAATTAAAAACAATTTCAAATTCAGAACAGATACAGACACATTTCGTTTTGTTTATTGGTTTTATTATATTTGTTCGTTGCTTTTTCTTGCACAAGGCAACTCAAAGCTACTTACAGCAGGACCTCGGTTTTCAAACGTAATCTGTTCCGGAAGACCGTTCGAGTTCTGAGACATTCGAAAACCCAAAATTCAATGCGGAAGCCTCAATACGGAAGCCACGTGGCATGTTTGACTTCCGAGGCATGTTTGAAAACCGAAACATTTACATCCGGGTTTACAGCGTTTGAAAATCAAAATGTTTGTCAATGAAGAAGTTCGAAAACTGAGGTACCACTGTACAAACAAACAACAAAACAACATACAAACAAAAAACACTACATAGATACATTAAAACCAAGGGGAAAATGTATAAAAAAATCCCATTGACACTAAAAGGCCACAGGCGGTTAGAGGCCAAGGGCCTGATTATAGGGGAAAATGTCTGTCTGGTGCCTAAAGATGATGGTACCAGGTTCCCCCAACGGTGAACCAGAAAATGCCACCCTCCAGAATGCTCATAAAGAAGAGGCTCCAATGACGATTGCAGGATCCAGGTTGGCTAATATGGACAGATGCGGTCTTTGAGGCCTGAGAAATGCAGGCTCAGAACGTTCACATTAAGATGCAAACCAAATTCATTTCTTCCCTCTGCTTAGTTGGAGATGTCAGGATTTGGAACCTGGGACCTCCTGTAATCAAAGCATAACACTCTGCCACTGAACTTCCAGAGGTGCTACGAGCTACTACAAGTTCAGCCACGTGGATGAATATCCCAGGATCTCTGGGAACAAAGCCAAGCACCCTTCTTGGAACCAACTTGCAAGATGTTGACCAACCCAATCCTACTCAGAGTAGGCCTATTGATGAACCTAGCCTACCTCAGATTCATTAATTTGAATGTGTCTGTTCCAAGTAGGTCTAGTGTTGGACACAAACCATTAACTTATGGGGTAGGGAGACCAGGATGAACCAAAGAGTTCATAGACTCATAGAATCATAGAGTTGGAAGAGACCACAAGGGCCATCGAGTCCAACCCCCTGCCAAGCAGGAAACACCATCAGAGCACTCCTGACATATGGTTGTCAAGCCTCTGCTTAAAGACCTCCAAAGAAGGAGACTCCACCACACTCCTTGGCAGCAAATTCCACTGTCGAACAGCTCTTACTCTCAGGAAGTTCTTCCTAATGTTTAGGTGGAATCTTCTTTCTTGTAGTTTGGATCCATTGCTCCGTGTTCTAGGTCATATTCTATCTACCTGGCAAAAGGAAATGACTTTATGCCAAGTAAGGCCATTGGTCCATCTGACTCAATATTGTCTACAACAGGAAAGGGCAACCTGTGGACCTGCAGGCATTAGACTACAGCTCCTATAAGCTCCAGCCAGCAATGGTGAGGGATGATGGGAGTTGTAGTCTTACCAACATCTGCAGGGCTACACGTTCCCCATCTCAGATCTTCCCTAATCCCTAGCAGCTCTTGATGGTTTTCAAACAGGGGTTCTTCCCAACCCTATGTAGAGATGCTAGAGACTGAACGTGAGATCACCTTTGTGATACCCAGCCCTTGGAACCTGCAAAATCTAGTGACTCCCCTTGCCCCATCTTGTGGATTAGGAGCCTGAGGATCTCAGGCATAGCAACACCCATGGTCTGTGAACCAGCCAGTGGTACTTTCCAGGCTGAGATTTATTTGTTTACAACTGCAGCCAACCTTCAGATTCAGAGCTTAACTGTGCTCATCTGAAGACTCTACTCTGGTGAGTGAGGGAAGCGGTCCAAATTTGTGAGCGCGCTCTGATCCCATTTATCTTAAAGCCTTTGATGTTTTCTGTAGCAGAACTGAACGCCCTGCCTGAATTTTCCCGTAAGACTCTGGGCTCAGCTATACAGCCGCAAATAAGTGCATTTTAAGTGCATTATACAAATGTGGCACTAGATAGCACTGATGAGCTCATGGTAATAATAATAATAGTAATAGTAATAGTAGTAGTAGTAATAATAATAATAATAATAATATATTATTTATACCTCGCCCATTTGGCTGGGTTTCCTCCACCACTCTGGGCGGCTTCCAACAAAAGATTAAAAATACATTAAAACATCACTCATTTGAAACTTCCCTAAACAGGGCTGCCTTCAGATGTCTTCTAAACGTCAGATAGTTGTTAATTTCTTTGACATCTGATGGGAGGGCGTTTCACAGGGCGGGCGCCACTACCGAGAAGGCCCTCTGCTTGTGCCTATACAGTGGAATATACAGTATATATGTATATGCCTGTGCATATACAGTGGAACCTTGGTTCTCAAACAGCTTAGTTGACGAATGAATCGGTTCCTGAACTCTGAAAACCCAGAAGCGTGTGTTCCGGTTTTCAACTTTTTTCGGAAGCCAAACATCCGATGTGGCGGTCGACTACTGTTTCCAGGGCACCTGCACCAATCAAAAGCTGTGCCTTGTCTTTTTTTGAACGTTTGGGGAGTCAAACAGACTTCCAGAATGGATTCCAAGGTTCCATTGTATATGTTACAACGTTTTTAAAAAAAGCATTTTCACAGCGTTTTTTATATCTGTGTAGATTCAGCCTCTGGCTGTATACGTTTAAAGCGTGCACACCCACAAATCCTAGGAATTGCAGTTTTTTTGAGGGATAAACCTCAGTTTTCAGGATTCGTGGCGGGGGAGGGGAGGTGAACCGTAAATGTACGGTATGTACACAGCTTTATTCTTAAGCATGAGGAGGGTTTGACTCAGCGCCATCTGCTCTCCATCATGGAAGAACTGAACCCAAGACTTGGCAGCCTGAAGGTGGAATCCAGTTTGGCGTATGGCTCACGCGTCGCTTGGTCACCTAACAGGGCCTGTAATTAAACTTCAGCCCTGAGGGGAGATGGGAGCTGCCTGATAGCAGCCTATTACATAACCCAACAGGGCCTGGGAATCCTGAGCCAGGAATAAGATAATGACTGTTGACGCTGCTGTGTCGCCTCCGTAGGCCTAGGAGGACTGAAGGGAAGACTTCCAAATGAAGGGGCAAATGCACATACACAAACATTACACACTCACGCCCTGTTGTTCACTGTCTGTTAGGGCCTGAGGCGGCCTTTCTAACTTTCATTTCGTTTCCATTATTCTTATTCTTATTTATGTATTCATGTATTTACGCAGCGGCACGACGGCAAGACCAGTCACCAACCCTCAGCCTAAACCTGCCTCTCAGGGTTGCTGTGAGAATAAGGAATATAAATAATATGTAAATAAATTTTTATTTATACCCCACCCTTCCCGGTTCAGAAAACCGGGCTTAGGGCAGCTAACAACAAATTTAAAACACTTAATTGATGCAACAAAAAACAGCATAAAATACAGTAAAAAACGTGAATAACAATAAATTCAGAATTCAAAAATCAATTTAGGGGGGAGAGCCATCCAATAAACATTAGATCAGGGCTAGCTGGCTAAATTTGGGCCAGCGCGGAGACCAGGGGATTAGGTAGATAGTAAAGAAAGTAGATAGATAGATAAACAGATAGAATACAATGAAATAAAACCGAAAAACCAAAAAATGTGGGTGGTTTAAATAGGCCTGAAAACTGCCACATCCCCATGGCATCCCAACAATGCCTGCTTCCCTCTTCTTCTTTTTTTCAGGGTCCCTTATTTGTTCCCGCTCATTACTGTTAAAATCGCTGCTCCTGCAGTCCTATTTTCGCTTCCTTACATTCCCTTTGCCCTCCAGGGAGTTGCTCGCTTTGTTTATTTATTTCGTGCATATTTTAAAATTTCGTTATATATTGCATATAAAACGGAGAGAACAATTACAGCAGCAGATGGAAGAGAACACACGAAAAACAAAGCCATAAAACAGGCAGGCAGGGTGAGAGTTGCTCGCTTTATGGCTCTTCGGAGTTCGGCACCAGGAACACGGCAACTTAAATCTTTGAGCAGGCAGAAAGGTGAACTGTGGCTGCATCATTTTGTACTAAGTACAGCTTTCAGATCATTTGTGGGGGAAGCCCCACTGTTATGTACTGAGTTGAATAGGATCCAAAATGCAGCAGTCTGATTGGTCCTAGAACAATAGGATCCAAAATGCAGCAGTATGATTGGTCCGCAGGAGTCACCCAGTCCAGCTCCAGGTGGAAGTGAATCCACAACCTGATTGGCCTACAGGAGAATACCGGAATTAGCCAATCACGTGCAGCCCATTGTGTAAATAATGTATATAAAGCAGATATTGTGGGGGAACTTCCATTCCTCCTCACCGCTATGAGCTGAATAAAGAGCATGAAATCCACTCTCAACTCCGAGTATATTTCACCCACATAGAACAACTGGAATTAGACAGAGCAGAGGAGGTAGATTGTTCAAGACTGGCAGGACCCTGGGGATATAGGGCAACTAGGCCCAGCCCCAAAGCCAAATGTCGCCCCAAGCAAGGAGCATCAGGAGGAATCTGGTTTCTCCCCTTTTAATGTGAACCACCAATTTAACATTTCCTGAACCAATATGCAGCTGAAATAAAGGGCTCTCTTTCCAAAGTGACTCTTCTATAAATTTCATGACGCTGTTCTCCCACCTAAGAATGCATGCAAAAATGCTTATTGTAGTGAAAAATGGAAGCAAAAATATTAGTGCGACTACATTGTACAAAGATCGCATTCCTTTAGGTGGAAATTCTCATGCCAATTTTTCCTCATATACACATCTGTGTATGTACTTTTCCCTAGTGTATGCATCTACTAGGCGGAATGGCAGATAAAAATGCATATATGAGAACCTGAAATGAAACTGTATATGAATGTTCATATATAATTTTTTTAAAAGTCACAAATATGGAAACAGGGCAAACCAAATTTAGGACTGGAAAAAAGGAGAAAATGAAACTGACAGATTTGCCCATCTCAATCTCCATCACTCCCTGCCTCCATTTAATAGAACTGTAGAGTTGGAGGGTCATCTAGTCCAGGGGTCGGCAACCTAAGGCCCATGGGCTGCAAGCAGCCCATGGGGGTCGTTTAACCAGCCCATGGACCCCCGCCACCCGCTCGGCCGGCTCCCATGTGCCGCGCTAAACTGGCACGGAGCGGAGTGGGGACCGCCTTCCGTGATGCTGACCGGCTTCCCATTGGCTGCAGCAAGCTCCTGTAGCCAATGAGTAGCTGCACACGCCTCCTCCGCGCCGGAAATAGCGTTTGCGCATGCGTGCGTGCATGCACATGCACACACACTCCGGCCCACCGTGGTGTCTGCGGAACCGTGAACCGGCCCAAGCCACAAAAACTTTGCCGACCCCTGATCTAGTCCAACCCCCTGCAATGCAGGAATCTGAGCTATAGCATCCCTGACCGATGGCCACCCAACCTCTGCTTAAAAACCTCCAAGGAAGGAGAGTCCGCCACCTTCCAAGGGAGTCCTTTTCCGCTGCTGAAAAGCTCTCACTTTGGAACATCTTTTATTTTTCACTTATATTTAGAGCCCACATAGTGATTCTGGTGCATTCATGATTTATTCTTGCCATACAAGAGATTAAGTCTGCATGCATAGATCTGACTGCAAGCGTTCTCTCTCTCATCCACCCACCCACATGTACGCCCACACCCAGCTTGTTCAACAGACGCCGATGCTGCCAATTTTCCCGTGCATTAAGAAGAAGACATAGTTAACCCAGCAGGACACAGTTCCCAGCTTTTACGAGTGAAGATGAACTGTTTGTATGAATCCTTTTTTACTGTTGCATTTATGCACCGCTAGTGCTGCTGCCCCGGGGGATCACCTAAGGCTGCATAGACGCCATACATTTAAAGCTCATAACTTCCCCTAAAGAATTCTGGGTACTGTAGTTTGTTAAGCGTGCCGGTCACTGTAGCTCGGTGATAGGTAAACTACAGCTCCCAGAATTCTCTGGGGGAAGCCATATGCTTTAAATATAACAACAACAACAACAACAACAACAATTTATTTATACCCCGCCCATCTGGCTGAGTTTCCCCAGCCACTCTGGGCGGCTCCCAATCAAGTGTTACAAACAGTACAGCATTAAATACATTAAATGCATTAAATACATTAAAATATGTACGCAGCTCAGGTCCCTAAGCCCATCGCTGTGTGCAACCAGCAAATATTGCTTACTCAGGGGGCCCCATGCACAGGGTTATCCTTGGGAATCCTGCTGCAGCCCCAGGCAGAAGTTGGAGAATGTGGCGGTGGAGAGCTGTCATCTAATGGCCCTTAAGCGGCGGCTCATGTAAAGCTTTGTTTGGTGAGTCCCTTCCTTTCCCAGATGGGTACATTCAGTCTCATCAACTCCTGCCCTGGAGTGACAAAGCTGGGATGAGAACCAAGGCAGCGAGTCGCTGCCTGCCCTGCATGGTTGCCCCGTGATTCATCACTTCGCGCCCGACAGGAGGTACAAATAGGAGCTTGATGCTGGTGTGCAAAGCAGTGCAACAGTAGTCTCCTTACTTTGGACATAACCTCCAGCGATATACCGGCAGCAACGCATCTCTCTAACGTAGCATCTGTCCATCTCCAAATGGCTTTGTTGGTGCCTCCTGAAGACCTTAAGATGAACGGGGACTTGGAAGAGACATGGCCGCTCTTCAAGCAACGTTTCCTCCTCTACATGAAAGCGACGGGCGCGGCGCAGTGGCCCAGCGACCAAAAAGTGGCCCTCTTCTTGACGGTGGCTGGGCCAGAGGCCTTGCAGGTCTACAACTCCTTCCAGCTGGACCCGGCGGAAGAAGAAGACTTTGAGGTGGTGCTGGCCCGCTTCGAAAGACACTGCGTGCCGCGCCGCAGCGAGGCCTACGAGCGCTTCCTCTTCCGCACCCGCTTCCAGGAGCCCCACGAGTCGCTGGAGGATTTCCTGGCCGACCTGCAACGCAAGTGCCGTTTTTGCAACTTTGGGGCCCAGCGGGAGTCCCTGGTGCGGGATCAAGTCGTGCTGGGTTGCCAAGACGGCCTGGCCAGGCAGCAGCTCCTCCAAGAGGACGGGCTCACCCTGGAAGGCGCCGTCCGGATCTGCCGTTTGGCCGAGGAGGAGAAGAACAAGGAGGCTCAGACGGAGCTGAGGATGGCTGAGAAACGCAGAGGCCAGGTTTCCAAATGGAAGGTACGCCGTGTTCGGAGTTTGGGCAACAGGATGGACAGCTGCTGGCAGCAGCAATGCGACGACTGCCTCAGGAAGGAGACGTTCAAAACATATGTCTGAGCCAGACCTGTTGTAATTAGACACTGAACTGAATCCTCTAACCGGTCAGCCATTTTCTTCTGCCATCTTGGATTGGACCATTGGGTCTTCTTGGTCAGACAATATCTCCTGGTGGAATGTTGGACAATAGATGGCAGCAAACAAGAGAAACTCTGGAAGAAAGATGGCCTGTATCTTTGACCACCTAAGAAAACAGCATGGTTCTTGGCTAGGGACTACCTAGGTCAACCTCCTGCGCTCCCACTATCCCTGACCATTGGCTGTCTGACTGGGGCTGCTTGGCACTGGAGTCTAACAACACCCAGAGGGGATGAAGCAGGAGAAAGTTGGCCTAGGTTTACTGCGAGGCCTCGGGCAAGTCATTAAAGCTCAACGTTGATAATGGTTGATCACTGATTTTAATCAGAAACGGGGGGAAAGGAAAGATCTCCAGCAGGGTTGCCATGAGAGCAAACCCAACTAGAGTGGCCAAGCAGGTCCAGATACCACGATGTGCTAGATTTCCAGTAGAAAGGTTATCTGGGGAGAAATCCTCAAAAGTTGTGTATTTGCGTGGAAATGATCCACACAGCTAAACGTGAGTCATTTCAGATTCTCAGGTCTGTGTATGCGCATAACTCAATCCAAAGTGCTCAGTCAGAACTTGTAAACTCAGGGGAATTTAATCCACGTGTTGGTTTGGGTTTCTTTTGCGGAGGGCAGGGAGGAGTCGTGGGTTGAATGTAATTTTGTAGTTGGCCGCTGTGTGAGTCCATGATACCGTTGTTTCGGTGATGTTCACTGTGTTTTCATTGATATGTCTGTAACCTCCGAACTGAGCTGAAACAAATTGTGGGGATGGAAACTCTCTGAGCTCCCAAAATTCACCCCAGATTGAACAGATACTCAGGTGTCTTCCCACAGACCTTTGCAAACAGCAGACGCTCGCACCCACATTAGTTTCTGCAACAAAATCATTCTCTTATCGTTTGGAGGTGGTATTGCTGTTGCAATTCTCCTGTATTTCTCCTACAATGAGAATGAAAAGCAACAGAGATCCCAAACTCCTTTCCACTGAGTAGAAAAGTATGAAGGATTTCTCCTTTTCAAAGGACACTATCAAAAAATAATACTCCTTGCTGGGGGAGACAAAAACCCAAAGCTGTCCTTGCTCTTCACATGGCAGTGACTTAAGTTTAAGTCACTGAAAATTGCCAGTTTCCACTGTGACCTCCCCTCACCCTCCAAGGCTGGAGCCAAAGGGAAACCCCATAAGCCGTTTCCCTTCCCCCAGCTGCTAATTTGCCTTTTAATCTATTGTTGTCCTCCGCATCTTTCAAATGTCCCAAATCTGGTTTCCCCCGACTTAGCCTGGAAACTATTCCAAGACTTGTCCACAGTGGGAAAGGATATCTATTTTTGTGCTGTTGTTAAATGTTTTTAATTTTGCATTTGTTAAATTATTCAGACGGGTTGGGCCCTGTGTGGCTCTGAACAGTCGTGTATTTATTTTATTTATTTATTTATTTATTTATTGTCACCAATAAAGTTTGTCTTACTCTATCGTGCTTTGTCCCTGCTGTGTTTCCTTTGTTCTTAATGAACGTCAGACTGGATCTTAAGATGACTTAAGGGCGTTCGCAGGAGGAAAGTTTCCTGCCAGCTCTTAACCCCTTGCAATCCCCTGTTCACCCCCCCCCCAAAAAAAAATAACGTTGAATGCTGCATTGGGGTGGAGTGACAGTCACCTAACATCAGTCTTGGATCCTAAGAACACAAATAGTAAAGCTGTGTTGGCCCATAAGAAAAATCCCAAAATCCATATTACGACGATGCCCTTATTAGGTGAACCAACATGTCATAAGAACAGAAGCAGAGCCCATCTAGACCAGCATCCCGTTCTGGGAGAAGGACTGTAGTAGCTCAGTGGTTGAGCATCTGCCTTGCATGCAGGAAGTTCCAGGTTCAATCCCTGGCATCTCCAGGTAGGGAATATCCCTTGTCTGAAACCATGGAGAGCAGCTGCCAATCAGTGTTGACAATACTGAACTAGAAAGGTCTGACTCGGTTCCTATGTTCTCACAGTGACTAAGCAGATGCCTATGGGAAGATCTGGGAAGAGGAATTAATGGTTAAGCCACTCTGAGAATTCTCATTCTCTGTGTGCTGGGCCCAGGGTTAACCCAAGAACCGTGGTCCAGGTCCGGTCCAGAATCCATCGGTTCCGCTAGGAGTCAGTCCAACCGGCTCAAGGCAGGAAACCAGGCAAGTTCAGGTACAGGATCTCAGGCAGGGTCTGGCATACGGCAATGTTGCTCCCGTGACCTGCGGCAGGGTCTGACAGCCTTTTATGTTTGTCGGGGTAACAGACGGTCCTGATCCCCTGGTGACTCACCTCCCTGTTTCGCCCAGAGGCAAGCACTCCTCCTGCGAGTACTCAGGTCTCTCCTTCTCTCAGACCTTAGTCTCTGCAGCTCGGGAGATGTTGGTGGGTTACTAGACCCAGGGGCCACCTCAGCCTCCCCTGACCAAACCGGTAGTGGAGCAGCTTTAAGTGATGGCCCAGCTGAAGGCAACGAGGTAATCCCCGCATCGGGGGCCAGGGCAGGCTCAGGCCCCTGACTCGGCCCAGCTGGTGTTTGTTGCGGGGGAACCTGTGCAGACTGGGACTCTTCAGGCTCAGGCCCCAGACTTGGTTCAGATGATGCCTGAGGCAAAGGATCCAGTGCAGACTGAGACTCCACTGGTTCCGAGTCCCAGGCCATCACACTCTGGGGGAAACGGGGGTCTCAGAATCCTTAGCAAACTAAATGTAACGTCTATGATAGATCCATTTATTGATCCAGACCAGGATTCCAGAATGCCTAAGCCTAAACCAGTCCACTCCAGGAGAATTCTGGAAAGGAGAAAAACCATCACAGGTACAAGGGAGGCTCATCTGAAAGCCCAGGAGAAGGAACAGGCATAGACCAAGACAATGCTGCTGGCTGGGGCAAAGGACAAGGCGGTTCTCTGCTCCAGCACACAATATCACCTACAGAAGATGAGTTGTCTGATTGCTGATTATTGCTTCAGCACTGCGGTGTATGTTAGGGTAGGGGTAGTACTTCTGATGGGGGCACATTGTGCTCCTTCTGGGGTAGTTTGCCCACCTTTGGTGCCCACCCTGTGCTCAGCTCTCAGCTGTGGCTCCTAGAAGCTGTCACCATGCGACAATAGCCACACAAAGGAAACTGCTTGGACTGGACAGCTAAACCAGGTGAGGGAAGCCAATGGGTCTCAAGCCCTCAGTGAGTTAGGGACTTCCCTTCCATGCAAAGACAGGCATGAATAGTGAATCCAATAGTGAATCCAACAGGAAGAGGGCCAGAACCAGGCACAGGGCCTTCTCAGTAGTGGCGCCCTCCCTGGGGAACATCCTCCCTTCAGATGTTAAGGAGATAAAAGAACTACACAACTTTTAGAAGACATCTAAAGGCATCCCTGCATTGGGAAGTTTTTAATTCTATGTACAGTGGAACCTCGGGTTGCGAACGTGATCCGTGCGGGAGGCACGTTCACAACCTGACCATTCGCAACCCGCAGCGCCGCGTCTGGTGCATAGCATGATTTAGTGTTTTTGCGCATTTGCAAGCGCTGAAACCCAGAAGTAACCCGTTCCGGTACTTCCAGGTTCTGCGTGGTGCGCAACCCAAAATCGCGTAACCTGAAGTGTCTGTAACCCGAGGTACCACTGTATTTATATATGCTGTAAGCCGCCCAGAGTGGCTGGTGAAACCCAGCCAGGTGGGTGGGGTATAAATATTATTATTATAATTATTATTTACAGTCAAGAAGGCGGTTTCTACCTGTGCTGTAGAGGGAAGTGAGGGGTCGATAAGGCTCATCAACTTGAAAGGTAGTCCATCTAGGAGACGGAAAACTCTGGTCCCAAACTTCCACTGCCTTGTGAGATATCTTTGGAAGAAAAGGCTAAGGAGTAAACCCTACACAAATCCAGAGTGGAGTCCCTAAGATGGTTGGATGGTCCCTTGTACGACTCCTTCCGGCAACTCCTGAAGCCAAGCTAGTGCCAAACGTCTTGCTCTACTTTCCTTTGGACCACATCGGGAAGGCTGAGACGGAGGGTCTTGTCGTCTGAGCAGCCCAGGCCCTTCATTTTTATGTATATTTATTGATTTTGTACACCGCCCTATACTCGCAGGTCTCAGTGCCCTGGGCAGGGGTGCCAACTTGAATAAAATGGGGCAGGCAAGCTCCGCCCCACATAATCTCTCACAAGACACGGCGGACACACACAATTTGAATGGCAACACCCATCAACTTGGGGAGGGGCTCAAATATTTTATGGGGGGGGCCCAAAGGGACCTCAGCCCCTAGGAGTTGGCTCCTATGGCCCCAGGGAGATTGCTTTGGTGCTGCTAATGCAGCGGTTTGACTTCACCCCAGAGGTGCACTCCATTGTCTCTAGAGACAGGCAGATGCCAACTGAGAAGAGGACAAGAGCCTCCAGGGCACCGTCATTTGCACCAATGCATTTGCATAGGTTATTTTCACTCACGCATTCATTTATGGGCAAACTTCTACCTAGCAGTATACATTACTCGCCCGCAGAACTGCACTGCAAAATTCGGAATTAGTGTGAATTCAGGGGGGTGATTTTGTTTCAGTCTATGCACTGAATTAAAGTGTGAATTAAGTAGGTTACGTCTTTAAACACAACGTGAATTGTATTTCTCTCCCACTTCCACGGGTCAGGGCAGGGTGGGCAAGGTAGAAGGTGGAACGAGCTTAGGAGCGCAACTTTGGGATCCAAAATGCCTCGGGAAGCACTGCCCTAAGGGAGATCCATGCGTGGGAAGCTGGAAGCGATGCTTGCTTAGGCCATTGCCGTGGCATGAAAAGATTCCGCCTGGAGCTGGTTGGGAGAATTATCTGTAGCGGCAGGATAAGTGCTCCCTGGCTGAGTCTGCAGGATGTGCTGAGCAGCACATGCTTCCTTCAAGACGGCCTCCTGCCCTGAGGAGCTGGACCAGCCAGGCGTGTAGGAGGCTCCGCAAATCATTATCAGCTTTCTAGTCATCATGAGGTCTGGCTGGCAATTAACTCCAGGAAGATGGAGGAGGGGTGAGCCAAGGGTTGGCTCCCAGGTGGGAAAGGCGAAAATTCGGAACAACTGCACCTGGATGTGCCCGTTGGCTGGTTGTGGGGAGTAAAGGTGGAGGAGAAATTCAATCCAATTCTTATTTAAAAGTCAACCTAAGAGATTTGCACTTCCTGAAACAATATATGAACCAAAACACCACCAGCCTTTGAAATGCGCACTTCTCAAAATGTCTCCAGTCAAGTAATGTGTGACAAAAACTGCATTTTATTATTGCTGTGGCAGCCCAGTCAGATGTGTGGGGTACTACTACTACTACTACTACTACTACTACTACAACAACGCTTGCCTCTCACCCTGAGGCCCTAGGGCGAGTTACAACAATTAAAACAATGTTAAAGACAAGTTGAAACAATCACAGAAATTAGGCGGGTGCTAAATATATACCTCAAGTGTCAAAAGCCAAAGTAAAGAAATGTGTCTTCAGCATTCAAAGAAAGCTGTATAATGAGGCACCTCTGTGGAAAGTTCCACAGCTTTTACTAGGATAAAGTCTGCATACACAAGCATATATTAGTGAGGAGGGCATACAACTGTGCATTGTATTTGGGATAATTGTTTTGCAAGACAGTGTGTAGAAAAATATATTAGGAGAAACGGGCAGCTAAAATGCTGGTGGGTTTTCATGGGGACTTTAAAAAAGATCACAAACAGATGTGTCAATGTGGAGAAATTGAACTTACCGGTAAGATGTATCCTGCCACCCTCAGGTCCTGCTTGTGGGTTTCCCATGAGAAGAAGAAGAAGAAGAAGAAGAAGAAGAAGAAGAAGAAGAAGAAGTTGTTGTACCCCGCCCATCTGACTGGGTTGCCCCAGCCACTTTGGACGTCTTCCCACATATATAAAAACACAACAGAACATTACAAAAGGCTTCCCTATACAAGGCTGTCTTCAGATGTCTTCTAAGGATGATCTGGTTGGCCACTGTGAGGGAAGGATGCTTTGGCCTGATCCAGGAGCACTCTTCGTCTGTTCCTATGTACCGTTGACTTCTACGTGGCTGAAACTTTGCTTATTGTACGAAAGTAAGATGGGCACTGAAGGGACGTGGGTAGCGCTGTGGGTTAAACCACAGAGCCTAGGACTTGCCGATCATAAGGTCGGCGGTTCGAATCCCCGCAACGGGGTGAGCTCCCGTTGCTCAGTCCCTGCTCCTGCCAACCTAGCAGTTCGAAAGCATACCAAAAAGTGCAAGTAGATAAATAGGTACCGCTCCGGCGGGAAGGTAAATGGCGTTTCCGGGCGCTGCTCTCGTTTCGCCAGAAGCGGCTTAGTCATGCTGGCCACATGACCCGGAAGCTGTACGCCGGCTCCCTCGGCCAATAAAGCGAGATGAGCGCCGCAACCCCAGAGTCGGCCACGACTGGACCTAATGGTCAGGGGTCCCTTTACCTTTACATTAAGATGGGCACTGGTTGCTCCCTGCATGCCCATGCCCGGCATGTCCTACCGCAAAGGTTGCCCCTGAGGGACGGTGGCCCTCATACTGAAAAAAGGCCCTCCCCCCACCTAAATGGACAAAAACTTTGTGGCTGTTTTTAAAACCGCTGCTCCAGACGCCACCTGCACAACCGTCACTGGACTAGAAGAATGTGTTTCTAACCATCCCCATCCTGAACAGGCCTCTCTCAGGATGGAATGAGATTTATGTCCAAAGCGGGACACTCTGGGCTGCCGTTTTAGCATCCGTCATTGGTGAGAGAGGGAAGCTGCCTAAAAGGTGACCAGGCTAATCATTAGATAGCACATGCCTGCCCGTCTCCTCAGGGCCCAGCATGATGAATCACGGTCCTTTGATGGTGGGTATTTTGGATATGACTCAGACACTGCATGTCTGGTGAGGTTTACAGCCTCCTCAAGCAGTGGCCAGTTCCTGTTTCAAGAGCTGCAGTCCTAACTAAGCACACTTGCACTGCATTTTGTGGCTTTATTTTGTGTTTCTATGTTGTGAACGGCCCTGAGATCTTTGGATGAAGGGTGGTATACAAATTTAATAAATAAAAATAAAATAAAATAACATTAGGGACGGGCAAATGCCCCCATGCCATCATGAGCACAGATCACCATGAAACCTGGAGAGGTCTTTAGAAAGCAAGGTTGGGGTTGCATTGCAAAAGTCTCAGAGCATAGAAGGAAGCCATGCCCCCACCCAACAAACTTAGATTTATTTATTTTTGAGATTGGACTCCTCAGATCTGTTCATATAATGGGGTTGGCATCCATTGTCATCTTCTCCTCTCCAGTCCTAGGAAGTGCTTGAAAATATGGTGGAGTCAGAACATCTGCTTTACAAATAAATTTAAAAATCTACCCCACCTTAACATTTCTTTTAAATCTTTTGAAAAAATTAGGCAGCTTACAATCAACACTCAAGTAAAAGCAACAACACAACATTTAGAACAGGCATAGGCAAACTCAGCCCTCCAGATGTTTTGGGACTACAATTCCCATCATCCCTGATCACTGGTCCTGTTAGCTAGGGGTGATGGGAGTTGTAGTCCCAAAACATCTGGAGGGCCGAGTTTGCGTATGCCTGATTTAGAAGCTTAATTCAAATATGACCCGCTCCAAAATGAAAAAGACACATAAAAACAGCAGTAACACTAATGTTTATGAATAAGAGAGACCTAAAACAGCAGTAGCAACTTTACCGATTTACAATATTTTACTGATTTATTTCTTGGAAACATTTATACAATATAGGGAAATAACACTTCAAAATCCCCAAACAGCTTAACAAAAATTAAAACGATGTACAATAAAACACAAATCCATCTTTTCAGTGAACAATTTTCTACATGGCTGGAATTCCTCTGTGTAAGACATGCGCTTCTTAATAGACGTCAATTATTATTTATTATCGCCATCATCCTCAATTACATTTCTTACTCATCCTTCTCCATCAGGTCTCAGGGCAGGTTACAACAACGTAAAACTATTAAAACCCATTAAAAGCAATTTACAATCAGGAGACTAGGGCAGGTCCTAAGATACACATAGTTCTCGGGCGTGAAAGATCACAGTGAGAACAGGTATGTCTTCAGCATATAGTGAAATATATATATTAAATCTGCCAGACACACCTTCATAGGGCCAGACACAATTCTAGGGACCCGAAGTGTATTGGGAGGTGGGTTCCTGTAGAAACTATTAGTTCCTGATTCATAAATGTGGCCTGGGGTCATCATGCGTTAAAGCACATTTTGTGAAAACAAGCATTCTGACTAGAGAATACAGGTGTATCTTAAGAGGACAGTGTGGTATGAGATAGCTGAATTGGGATGGGGAGGCAGAGGCATCTAAAGTTTCTTAAAGGTAAAGGTAAAGGTAAAGGTACCCCTGCCCGTATGGGCCAGTCATGACCTACTCTGGGGTTGCGTGCTCATCTCGCTTAAGAGGCCGGGAGCCAGCGCTGTCCGGAGACTCTTCCGGGTCACGTGGCCAGCGTGACGAAGCTGCTCTGGCGAGCCAGCACCAGTGCAGCGCATGGAAACGCCATTACCTTCCCGCTATAAAGCGGTCCCTATTTATCTACTTGCACTTAGGGGTGCTTTCGAACTGCTAGGTGGGCAGGAGCTGGGACCGAACGACGGGAGCTCACCCTGCCGCGGGGATTCGAACCGCCGACCATACGATCGGCAAGTCCTAGGCACTGAGGTTTTACCCACAGCGCCACCCGCGTCCCAGTAAAGTTTCTTACTAGGGCGCTATTCAGATTATACATCTAAAGCAGTTATCATGCCACTTTAAAAAGTCATGGCTTCCCCCCAAAGAATTCTGGGAACTGTAGTTTGTTAAGGGTGCGACTGAGACTTGTTAGGAAACTCCCTATCCCCCCCCCCATAGCTGCAGTTCCCAGAATCCCCTCAGAAGAGGGATTGTTTGCTAAACCACTTTGGGAACTGAGGGCAATAGGAGTCTCCTAACAACTTTCAGCACCTCAAACAAACTACAGTTCCCAGGATTCTTTGGGAGAAGTCACAAGTGTTTCAAATGGCATCATACTGCTTTAAAAAGCTATAATGCAAGTGCATATCTTCCAACACCACAAAAGCAAAATCCAGGACACCATCTTCCTGGATGCCATATTCCCATTTTTTTCCCCTCACGAGAGCACGGTGGCCATTTGGGGAGCCACGATCAAACGCGATTTCACGCTGCAATTTTCCACTGAAAAAAGTATCTTTCTGAGGGGCGGGGAGCATGTCACTCGAAAATGCATATTATGGGGCACTGCACAAGATTGTGGCTTTGAACAAGAGTTCTCTTTTTTTGGAGGGGGACAGAGGCACGAAATTGCGAGAGATCGTGGCTCCCGAAATGGCCGCTGTTCTCTCACGAACAACATGGGGTATTAAGTTGTGGGTGAACATATCAGACGACACAGCAATTCTTCAGACAGCTCTTGTTTATTCACAGGCCAGAACAGAACTTGGCTGAAGGGTTCAGCCAACCTACTTATATAGAGCTCAACTACAAAGCAACAGTAACAATTTTCTTTAACTATCCAATCACTGAACCTCACTTTCAATTCCTTATTTGCATATGTGGACCTGAGTGAAAACTATCTATAGTATCCCCCTGCTGGCCCAGGGTGAGAACTTCAGTACATAACATGGGGTGTTCCGGCTTTTCTGGGACATTTGTGGGGTATGCAAGTGGGGTCTAAGTCTACTGAAAGGAATGAGGAATAAGGAGCCGGGAAACACTGTGGAAGTTTTTGATGTATGTGGCTTTCAGATTTATGAATCAGCCATCATCGCCTGGTCTAAGTACATTACGTGCCAAGTGCTTTACGTTAAAAACATTAAAGCAGGAAGTCGCTTGGTGGTAAAGAGATTTAAAAAGACTTAAAGCATTTTTCAAGAGCAGCTAACTATTCTGTATGCGCTGGCGCCCCCAGCCGCAAAAGGGCTTTGTCTCAATTTAAAGCACTTTGCATGGCGAGTTCCCGGCCCCCCCAGTGGAAATCATGACACAATTATTAAGGTTAATGGGCTAAATGAGGCTACAACTTTTATTGGTTACAGGTGATGAGCGGTATTGGCTTAGGCATTGACCCTAACCGACTATATCCAACTTCAGTCCGTCCACTTGAAGGGTTAACCACCAGTAGGTGAAGTCCTAGGAACTCCCCCGGGGTCACCACTAGGGGGCGTGCCTTAGGCCCTCACCTCCTTAGGCTTCGGACAGGGCCACGCCCCCCAGAATCCTTTACCAGACTACCCTTCAATATGCGGGGCAGGTGATACTGTAACTTCCCCTCTTCCATCTACAGAGCAATACCAATGCCTAACCACCAAAACCAAGAAAGTTGTGACGATTTGCTACGAGGTAGGCGAAAACCAAGTGGCTGGTGCCGATTTGCCAAGTGGAAAAATTCCTACCAGGCCCCTCAACGTCCAAAGCAAGGTCAAAGAAGGAAAACCTTATAGGGTGGGAGGGTGGGAAAAGCAGGAACAGCTGGAAAGAGGCAAAGAGGGAGATCCCTGGCCGCGTCCTGCCTTAAATAGGGCAGGCCACACCCTCAGAGTCAGCCGATTGGCTGGCCAGGAGGTGACACGGCCGGGAATCCCCCCCCGTTGCGCGGGGGCTGGGTTCCAGCCGCAGCGCGTGTGGTGGGGCTGTGAAGACCACAACTCCACCTCCTCCGAAGGGCAGAAGTGGCTTTAACTGAGCCCCATATAGGTCCACCTCTAGCTGTCAACTTACATATTTGAAAATAAGGGACCAGCAGTCTCGAAAATAAGGAATCAGCAGCCAAAATCAGGGATTTTAGTCAACCAGCAGCCAAACGAAGCCTCAAGTGGTAGTTCCCATAGCGCAGCAACCCAGCAAAGGGGATGCAGCAAGGAAAACCACTGTCACCTCTCCGCTGGGAAGCGCTGAGCAAAGGCGAGTCCCCAGGCAACGCGGCCGATTTGATCGGCACAAGGCATGCAAGCTCCACCCCCCAGTCGTTCTTAGACTCCTTATTGGGTGAGCAACACAGCCAAGCAACACAGTTGGAGCCTCCCTCCTCCCTGGCCGGCAGGGAGGGAGGGAGAGGAGCTGCTTCCTTTGAAACCCGGGAAATTTAAGGGACATCATCAATAAGGGACAGCAGCGGGACATGGCACTGGGATAAGGGACTGTCCTGCCAAATATGGGATGCTTGACAGCTATGCCTCTCGGGCTGGATGGGGTGGATGGACACTGTCTGGCGGGTGAGTTTTGGGGAAGGACTTTGGTGCAGAGACAGAGTATTTGCTTTCATTGCCGAAAGCCCCCGATTCAACAACACCCAGCCAGACCATGTAGCCCAATAGTGCATACACTGACTGACAGCGGGAAACCTACCACAGAACCAAGGTCCTTCACCAAAACTCACCCACTAGACAGTGACTGTTATCAAGGTTGGCCCAGCTGTTAGATGGGGTGAGGCTGCTGCCTCAGGTGGCAGAAGCCCCTGTGACAGTATCCCCTGCCACCAGCACCAATTTGGGGTGAGATCTCACCGATTTGGGGCAACCTCACATGGTTTCTTGCCCAGAATCGACAAGCTGTCACCTGAAACCGCGTTAACTTGAGGTGGTAACCTCAAGTGGCCAAACAGGATGTGCCACCCCAGCTATTATTGCTGCTATTATTATTAGGAAGTTAATTTATTAGTTGCCTTCTGAGCTGCTGTCTCAAGGTGAAAATAGTTAAAGACAGTCAAAGAAAAAAAAACAGCAACTACATTTAGAACAAGACCAAACAAGCTTATTCGGAAATGATTTAGAATGAGTTAAAAAAATGTTTAAAATAACTTTTGTTAAAAAACCAAAAGCCTTTTTATTAGGAATTATAGGTGCGGAGATAGCAAAGGAGCAAAAAACACTTTTCATGTATGCAGCGATGGCGTAGCCCAGAGATGGAAGGAAGACAAGATTCCTACAAGAGTGGACAATAAAATTGATGGACTATGCTGAGATGGCCAAATTGAATGGAAAAAACAGGAACTAGGGTGAGAAAAACTTCAAAAAGGACTGGGGAAAATTTGAACTTATTTGAGAGAACACTGTAAGCGGCTTAACACATTGGCAGGAATACAATAACTCTTGCAATGTGAAATGAACTATGGATAGTTTTATGGACAACTAGAGAACGTTATGATATGCGGTGAAAAAGGATTATCAATGGACTCCACAGAGGGGAGGGAGGATGTCAAATAATTCAGAGAATTCTTAATGTTTTGATTACATTTTATTGTAAAAAAACCCCAATAATAATAATAATAATAATAATAATAATAATAATAACCAAAACCCTAACCGGCGCACGCTTGTGGCAAAAAGCCATTTATCTAGGTGGGGAAGCCTAAGGGCCACAGCTGCTTATATCCCCAAGAGGAAGGAAGGGAGAGCAGGATCAATGAGATTCGCAGCATGGAGGACTACAAGCTTCAGACAAAAGCTTCGGCTCCTCCTCCTTGGAATCTCTCGGAACTTGTAGAAAAGGCAGCCACATGCAGCATGGAAAGATGGAGAGAGGCAGAGTTCATTCTGGCAGATGCTGGGGCTGGTCCAGGAGCTCTTGGGGGGCAGCCAATAGGAGAGGGCAAATTAGCATCCGAGGTGGGGAAGGCTCCAGCTGGCAACCCTCCTCCTCCAGATGGCAGCTTTGCAGAGCATCCCATCCCCTTCTGCGACTCGCCAATTTAATTAAGGCAGGAGGAGTAATGATGGTCATTTAGCATCGCCCCAGAATGGGATGCTGGCGCACACTCTACAGGCGAGGGGGGGGGAAATGCCCGATGCTGACCCCTGGCGGAGATAAGCAGGAGGCCTTGGCTCGGAGCTTCTTCACATATCACATTCTTATTTTTTTAAAAACAGGCACAGTGCATTGAGAGATGCGTGCTGAAAAAGGGGCAAATCGATTCTTTATTTTAAGGTTTAGATTAGAACGACCAAGCAGCGATACGGAACAGGAACATATCACTGTTCTTAAACTGTTAATAATTAGTTTTGAAAAGTAAAAGTCAAATTAAATAAGAACGACAGCATGTTTTCCTTAGAGGGTACCCCAAATCGTAGGCAAGCAAGCCCACAAAATTTACAAGCATGCGATTTTATATATTTAAAATTTTATATATGAATATATACATATATATCTTCACTTTCCTTCTGGGGGCTGGCAAATGAGAGACAGAGTGATGCATTTATTTATATGCTGGGTTCCCTTCGCTTGCAGCCCACTTAAGTTTCTACATCAGTGCTTGGAACAGGGATGAGTATCCCTTAGGATCAACCTAGCATACAAGTGATTCATAAGGAGTTGGTGGTCTTACCAACTGGCATGGAAATTGCTCCAACGCGGAAGCTGGCAGCCAATTTTTCCCTTGCAGGGATGGCTGGACAGGGTGTTGGAAACGGCCGCGTCTGAAAAAATTAATGCACCACTGCGGAGTTGTTTGTGGGCTGTCTTGGAAAGATAAAATCCGGCTGCATTCAGTTTCCATTTCTCACATATGTTAACAGAACAATGCTGGTTCTTTCTCCTCCAATTACCTAGTTATCCTGATGGAGAGCTTTGATAAGTCACGGTGGGTAAATTAGGCTTCTTTCGTTTTTTAATTCATCTATTACATTGCAGCTGACTTGGCAACTACTTTAATATGTCAGGTTTCCCCTCTGAATTATACTCGACATGCTTGTTCTTTGGTTCTTGATGTTTACTTTCTTATATGCATTACTTAAAACTAATTTTGCTATATTTTATTAGCGAAAGGTAATAAAAATATTAGTAAAAACTAAAAAAAAAATTAATTACATTTATATACTGCCCTTCATCTGAAGATCACAGTGTGGTTTACAAATTTACAAGGTGTGACCGGAAAGTTCGGTGAATGGTCACAGAAATCAGACAGCGAGAAATATTCAAACATACAATTGGCATTGGAAATGCACGAAACGCTCACAATTGTGTATGGAGATGAAGCTGTAACTCGAAAGACAGTGTGTGAGTGGTTTAAGTGTTTCTGTGAAGGGCAGCAAACCATCAAAGATGACCCTCAGTCTGTCAGACCGTCAACGAGCAGAACGGCGGCAAATGTTGACAAGAGTTTGTGGGATCACCGTTTGTCTGTCCGAATGATGGCAGAAGAATTGTATATTCCCTGTGAAATCATTACTGAGGGTACCGAGTTGTCCTGCCCTCCATATTCTCCCAATCTGGCCCCATCGGATTTCTTTCTTTTTCCAAAACTGAAATCTGCACTGAAAGTGCACAGATTTTTTAACATTTCACATGTCCCAGCTGCTGTGATGAGGGAACTGAAAGCAATATGAAAAGAGGACTTCTCCAGAAGTTTCCAACACTTCTACGGACATTGTCAACAGTGCATTGTATCAGAGGGGGCCTACTTTGAAGGCCTGTAAGGCAGGTACAGTACGTTCCAACATTTCTCGTTGTCCGATTTCTGTGACCATTCACCAAAATTTCCAGTTACACCTTGTATATTTAGAACGCCAAATGCAACAGTCTTAAGTTTATCAATTTGGTCTTCGAGACTCTCTCCACAATGGGAGCATAGAACACTGCCTTATACGGAGTCATAATATTGAGCAAAGTGTTCTCTACACAGGCTAAACAAAATATTTAAAAAATTCCTTCCAGTAGCACCTTAGAGACCAACTAAGTTTGTTATTGGTATGAGTTTTCGTGTGCATGCAGACTTCTTCAGATACACATGTGCATGCACACGAAAGCTCACACCAATAACAAACTTAGTTGGTCTCTAAGGTGCTAATGGAAGGAATTTTTGTTTGTTTGTTTCGACTACGGCAGACCAACACGGCTACCTACCTGTATCTATACAGGCTGGCAGTGATGCCACAGGGTTTCAGAGAGGAGTCATAGCGCAACCTGGAGATGTCATCGGGGATCGAACCTGAGATCCCCTGCCCACAAGGCAGATGCTCTACCACTGAGCTACAGTCCTTTCCCCAAGGAGACAGTGGCCACCAAAAGGCCATGGTGAAGGGAGGGAAATGGCTGCTTTTCAGGCTGGAGGTGTACTGAGAGATGCCAAACTGGGAACAGTGCCAGGGAGCTCCTCCAGCTGGCACCCAAGCTTGGGAACAGCGCCAAGCAGTTCAGTGTGGGAGCTGGGCCAGTTGGAGATGAGCAGGGCTTGTGGAAGAGATGATCTAAGGGAGAAATAGCCAACTGGTGGCAGGGGGGGGGGGAGGAGAGAATTTAATAGTCCAGGCAGGTAAAGGGGTCTTACAGGAGCAGGGAGCCTAAATGCTGTTTATTCTCATGTGGAAGGATGATGTCGTAGTTGGTTACTCATTCCTTATCTGCATGAAAACTGGAAACACAACTCAGTGAGAAAACTCTAAAAAATATTACGTCCCACAACGCCAAAATAAGCATCAGTCTATATATTTTATCATCATGTGCACTGTGTAAACATGCCAGTTTTCATCCTATGCATGTTTACTCAGAAGTAAGCCCCAGTGTTAAAAGGGGGTAAACTCTTGCTTATTTGAGATTAAGCCCCTTTAGACTCAACGGGACTTACCCCTGATGTACTGTTATGTCAATTAGTTAATCAATTAAATTTGCAAATGGGTAGAAACAATGGGTGGTATTCAATTTCATAGGATGCCCATGTTTTGCAGAAGGGAAGTAGGAGCTGCAACCAAATGTTGCAGTGTGGAGTCTGCCAGTCTTGCCCCCCTCCAACACGCTCCATTTCCCCTCCCACCTGGTTTGCTGTATTCTGCCACCCCCCCAGCAGCCAGCCAGCATTCTGTGGCCACTGAGCATGCTCAGATCTCATTGGGTATGATGTGTGGCCACCCCCACATTTATGTTGCTAATATATATATTGGAGGATGGATGGCGGCTAACAGATTGAGGTTGAATCCTGACAAGACAGAAGTACTGTTTTTGGGGGACAGGAGGCGGGCAGGTGTGGAGGATTCCCTGGTCCTGAATGGGGTAACTGTGCCCCTGAAGGACCAGGTGCGCAGCCTGGGAGTCACTTTGGACTCACAGCTGTCCATGGAGGCACAGGTCAAATCTGTGTCCAGGGCAGCTGTTTACCAGCTCCATCTGGTACGCAGGCTGAGACCCTATCTGCCTGCGGACTGTCTCGCCAGAGTGGTGCATGCTCTGGTTATCTCCCGCTTGGACTACTGCAATGCGCTCTACGTGGGGCTACCTTTGAAGGTGACTTGGAAACTACAACTAATCCAGAATGCGGCAGCTAGACTGGTGACTGGGGCGGCCGCCGAGACCATATAACACCGGTCTTGAAAGACCTACATTGGCTCCCAGTACGTTTCTGAGCACAATTCAAAGTGTTGGTGCTGACCTTTAAAGCCCTAAACGGCCTCGGTCCAGTATATCTGAAGGAGCGTCTCCACCCCCATCGTTCTACCTGGACACTGAGGTTCAGCACCGAGGGCGTTCTGGCGGTTCCCTCACTGCGAGAAGCCAAGTTACAGGGAACCAGGCAGAGGGCCTTCTCGGTAGTGGCGCCCTCCCTGTGGAACGCCCTCCCACCAGATGTCAAAGAGAACAACAACTACCAGACTTTTAGAAGACATCTGAAGGTAGCCCTGTTTAGGGAAGCTTTTAATGTTTGATGTATTACAGTATTTTAATATTTTTTTGGAAGCTTCCCAGAGTGGCTGGGGAGGCCCAGCCAGATGGGCGGGGTAGAAATAAATTATTATTATTATTATTATTATTATTATTATATACTTGTGCAAATTGGGAGATCCCTGAGTCTGCTGATACCCCCCCTTGGTGCATGGGTGCTGCTGTTTTGGCTGCATTAGCAAAGACACCCCTCTCTCGGACATAATAAATAGTCTAATAAATTGGTCTAACACAGGGGTCTGCAACCTTTAAGACAAAAAGAGCCACTTGGACCCGTTTCCGAAGAAAAAAAAACTGGGAGCCACAATCGGGCGGGAAGGTGACGTCGGGACGGTGCGTGACTAACACACGCACCGCCCCCATGCGACGTCACAGCCAGTACAGCGCCCGCCACAGTGGGGAGTGTCGGGGCGCACAATGCGCCTCCTCCCCTCGCTAGTATCCGCCCCGGAGCCGTGGCAAAGGTGTAAAAGAGCCACATGCGGCTCCGGAGCCGCGGGTTGCTGACCCCTGGTCTAACAAAATCTTATTAGTCCCCATCTGCACTATCCAATTAAAGAAGTATCACACCACTTTAAACCATCATGGTTTCTCCCAAATAATTCTGGGAAGTGTAGTTTGTTAAGAGTGATGAGTTTGTTTTTCCCCCCGCCTGCAGTTTTTGTAAAGGCTTGTATTAAGAATAACAGATCATTATTGTTAAAAAATGCAAACTGCTGCTTAGTTCATCCAGGAGGAACTTTCTTTTATTGTCAATTAATAGATTTATTAAGCACTGCAGCCCTATTTTGGGCAGTGTATGAAGTTTACTGTCCTATGCACATTTGCCTAGGAGTAAATGCCATTGATCAAAGTGGAGTAAACTTATTGTGGGGTTGGATTTGTTATATCATTTTAAAGGAGGGACTCCCTAAACATTTACAGGCATTGAAAAATAAAATACTCCTTTTTTTGCCACACTGCTAGGAGCAGACACACTTTGGCTCTCTTTTAATAAGATCAGAAATGAATAACTGTCTTGAGCTTCAACCCTAAACGCAGTTACTAGATCAGGGTTTCCCTTGGGGTCAGTGGAACTGTGCAGGGGGTGAATAAAGACCTAGGAAGAGGGAAAGGGCCTAGGGTGGAAAAGAAGAGCACGGCGCGTTTTTAAGAATGATGGTCAGAGTTGGATTCAGCCATGTTGTCGATCTTCTGTACAAACAAGCAGGCGGAAGCGAACATTCTTAAAACGCGGTGACCCAAGACTCGAACTCACAACCCTAAGGCCCAACAGTCACATGCTTGTTAAAGCTTTATCAGCCCAGTCCATCTCAGAGAGGAGATTAAAAAGCAGGGCGACCTCATTATTTTCACTAGTTTTACTTTTCTTTTTTACTTTATGATTCCTGGCAATGGTGGTTGATGATTAATGAACGCTGATTGCGTACGGATCTTTCTTGACCTCCATTTACATTCCTAATTGGGCTGGGGGCGCAGACAACTTGATAAGCTCACCCGGAGAGAAAGAGAGTGCGTTGCAACGGCTGCAGCGCCATCCTGCGCATAAGGAATTCATAATAATGTTTGCAGGGAAGCAAGACCCACCGTGCCCAAGGGGCAGTGGCGGTACCTGAAAGTGGAGACCTGTTCTTCGGGGGGTTGGACTAGATGACCCTGGGGGGTCCCCTTCCAACTCGACAGTTAACTATGACTTCTCCCTTAATCCACCCACCCCAGCGTGGCTTACCCCTTAGCAAACATGTTAACAGCAGGGGCCCGGATTGCGCGTTACGCGCGACCCGGAGCGCCCCGGGGTGGGGCTGGAAGCGCCGGGCGGGGGCGCCGTCTCGGTGGATCGTCCCCCTCGCCCTCTTCGCCGGCTCCTCCTCCTCTGGTCCGGGTCCCAGGCGAGGGCGGGGGCGCACATGGAGGCGGGTCCCTGAGCCAACTGCGCCCTGGCGGAGGCGGCAGCAGGCGAGCGCGGCAGCCGGCTGGCGGCATGCGGCGGGCGGGACAAAGGAGGACGGCCGAGCCCAGTTCCTGCGGGAGATCGGAGACCCGGAGCGACCGAGGAGGCATCGCCAGCCTCGCCTCTGCTCGCCGAGGCGCAGATCTGCGATCCGGTTTGGCCGAGCGTCCCTCTCCTCGATCGCTCTCGCCGGATCGTGCCCGGCTCCTGAGCTGCTCAAGGTGAGAAGGTGAGGGAGAGGCTCTGGGTTAAACCTCTGGTATCTGACGGCTGGATCTCCCATAAACCTGATCCGGCGGCTGGGTGGGTGATCTTGTAGAAACGCGCGCGCACCTTTCCCTCTGCGCCCCTGAACCTTTTTTTACCCCTTCCCAAGGGCCGGGCTCCACTCTACAACGCGTGAAGAATATATATGTATATATGGAGAGAGCGCGCGTGCAAGTGTGTGAGAGTGTCATTGAACATATGCAGAGTGCCTTTTGCAACCCCGGTGAGAATCGGCGACTCCTTATGGGGTTTTTAAGGGAGCGGCTCCCAGCAGGGCCCCCAACACTTTTCATGTGGAAGAGCTGGACTTATGAGAGCATTCAAGTTTCTTACGTTGAGTCGGATCGTGGGTCCACTGTTGCCTTCTCTGTCTGGCTGTGACTCTCCAAGGCATGGAGCGGTGGGCGTCTTTTTGCCACCCTCGCTGCCAGAGATGTTAAAACGGGAGACTGCCGGAGATTTGAGCCTGACGCCACATATAAATCATGTGCTCTGCCCCCAAGGTATGTACATGTATTTAGGAGGCGAAAGGCTACACGAATTCCTGTGCATGTTTACAGGCGGCTGAACTCCGTGGCATTTATTTTTGAACAAGCGTGCTCCGGATTGTGCAAAGCGGGACTAATTGTGCATAGCAGCGCATTGTTAGAACGGTGCCCCACAAACAGTTTGTACCCTCTGGTTTTATTTGGATCTTCTTAATGCCTGCGCATCCCCAGGTACAGAGGTTAGAAAAAACTGCAGCTGGAGCTCCGACTATCACCTGGTTTTGGATAACCACAATGTAGCTCAGGGACATGGAGAGTCACACTGGCCAGGAAGTAAGCCCCATTGGACTCTGTGGAATTTTCTTTTGAGTACATGTGCATAGAATTCTACTGTCAACGAATTAAAGGCCATATAAATAGTCAGGTAGCGTTTTATTTAACCGTTTGCTGTTCCTAACGTGTGGAACCAGCAATAGAATGTGGCTGTGTATGCCGTATTTTTCGCTCTATAAGATGCACCAGACCACAAGACGCACCTAGTTTTTGGAGGAGGAAAACAAGAAAAAAAATATTCTGAATCTCAGAAGCCAGAACAGCAAGAGGGATCGCTGTGCTGTGAAAGCAGCGATCCCTCTTGCTCTTCTGGCTTCTGGGATAGCTGTGCAGCCTGCATTCGCTCCATAAGACACACACACACATTTCCCCTTACTTTTTAGGAGGGAAAAAGTGAGTCTTATAGAGCAAAAAATACGGTACCCACATTTCAGCAAGGTTTCGGTTCAGGGTTCCAGCCTGCTTGCCCTCCTCCAGGACACTCCATTCCACCTACACCCAGTTTTCCTTTTCCAACTCGGCATTCTCTACCAACTGAGCAAGCTTGGTCCTCACTGATGTTCAAGTCCTCAGGATGTTCCCCTGAGCATGCTCATACTCCCTTTGCGTTCCTCAGCGGCCCTGTCTTGGTACAGTCCTGTCGGCACGCACCACCTGAGCTTGTTATTGGAGAGAGTGATTTATTGCTACCATTCCAGAAACACCTTCTTGCCCATTTCCTGCTGTTACAGAGAGTGGCCACCAAGAGCACCTCATTTGATCACCTTGCGGTTCAGGTTTGCTACCTGGAGGATACCCTTCCAAAGACATTGTCCATCGGGCGACCTCTGGACCAAAGACCAACACAATCCTCCTCTCGCACATCCGCAGCCGGATGTCGCAAATGACAGTGCTCAGTTTACCTGGCTGCGATCTGTGCTCAGGCTATTGCAACCTCCATTTTACGCACAATCTTAGTGCCTTGGGGTGAGTTTCCATTGTGACTTCACTGTAGGGCCCCAGATGGAGCGACTGATTCCAGGTTTGGGGGGTGGGGAGTAGACGAGGGTGAGGCTTCTACAGCTTGGGGCTGAGAGATCCTGGCTTCTAATCTGATGAAGGTGCAGGAAACCCTGGAGCAAAAGGAGTGAGTCAGTTTCTCCAGTCACAGGCAAAGGGAAAAGCCCCCAGCTCTGCAGGGTTCCGGGTGATGCCTGATTCCTGAGCAGAGGGCAAAATCAGGAGGCTTTCTGGACAAAGGGCACTTCCACACACTCCTCCTGGCTGTTGAACAGTTATCTTGATTTGTTCGCAGGGTGGTTAGACGATGTGTCAAGCAAGTGTTATTTCACACGTTTGCATTTTGCTTTCCTTGTTGCAAAAGGTCCAATATTTTCAGCAAGCGGGTTTGTCGTTCAAGGCACACCCACCCAGTTCAACTCTGATTGCGCAATCCCGAATTTGCTAGTACAGTGGTACCTCGGGTTACATACGCTGCAGTTTACATACGCTTCAGGTTACAGACTACCCAGGCTAACCCAGAAATAGTACCTTGGGTTAAGAACTTTGCTTCAGGATCAGAACAGAAATCGTGCTCTGGTGGCGTGGCAGCAGCAGGAGGCCCCATTAGCTAAAGTGGTGCTTCAGGTTAAGAACAGTTTCAGGTTAAGAATGGACCTCCGGAACGAATTAAGAACTTAACCCAAGGTACCACTGTATGGGATTGAAAATTGTGACAATCCAGAAGGGCTCGCAGAGAACCGGGGGGGGGGGGGGACAGCGAGGACAACTGCCTTACGCCGAGTCACACCATTGGTCCATTTACCTCAGTAATGGCTGCACTGATTGGCAGCAGCTCTGCAGAGAGTCTTTCCCCAGTCCTACCTGGGAGGTTCTATTGAGCCTTCTGGGGCCTTCTGAAGTAAAGCAGATGTTCTACCACTCAACTACAGACCTTTTCCTTGTCACCCACAAGGTTTGCTGGGTTAGAAATGGGAAAGGTGTGCCCTGTGTACGAGACAAGGAAGCTTTATACTGTACTGGTGAGATGAAATATGGAGGATCTGTCAGCAATTGTCTTTCCATACAGAGACAGCTGGGAGAGGAAAGCCTTGACACATGTGTGCCTGTGTGCCTAAGACAGGTGGCTTTGTTGCCAGGTGCCTTTGCACTCATGCACTTAGCGGGCAAATGATGGGGAACTTCCAGCTCCCTGAGCCTCATGTTTCAAAGGGAACCCACTGGGGAACAAGCTTCATCCGCACCCTGGCAAGTTCATGGAATTTGGGGTCCTGCTCTTGGAGGAAGTCACGCCTAGTGGTTAGAGCAGTGTTGTGCCAAATCTCCGGTGCCTAAGGGACCCTTTGTTTTCATCTGAAGCAGAATGGGAAGTGTGTTCTGGGTGAGCGGATTTAAATTGCTGCGGGGACAAAAAAGGCCATTTTAAATAGATGCCTTGTGAAGGAACTGGCAAAGGTATGGCAGTAGCAGGTGTAGCTTCAAACAGGTGGCTTTAAAAGGGGATCAGACATTCATGAAGAAGGAGGGGTTTTTTTACCAACTATTTTTTAGCTGTGGAGACTGTAGAGAATCTCCAGGTGCTGAAGGACTGAATGTGGCCCTCCAGGGCTTTTTATCTGGCCCTTGGAATGCTCTGCAGGCCCTGCCTTTCACCAGCCCTTCTCTCCCCTCTGAGTTGTTTCCCCCGGCTAGATTGCATCCCTGAACTCTGATAATGCTTGTCTGGATGGGAGACCAAGAAGGGGGTTTGTGCTGCAGAGAAACTAGCCTGATGCTCCGCCCACTTGCCTCTGGTCCCACCCACCATGGACATGTGATCCTTGCCAGGTTGCCCCAAAGGGAATGCATCCCTTGGTTTGAATGCCGCTTACTGGAGAGTAGCAACCAAAGAGTACAGTTGTGCTGACGTCCTGCATGTTCGCCTTTCAGAGCACATCTGGTTGGCCACTATGTGAAGCCGGATTCTGGGCTAGATCGATGTTTGGGGTTCTTCTTAATGGGATGATTTAACTCCCTTCCCCCCTTTCTCTTTTTTAATGCACATACTCTCCTGAACATGCGTGCAGCCAAGCTGGTGGTTTATATAACCACAGAATTATTTCAGTTTGCAGCCAAGCAGAGCATTTATAGAGCCTAGGACCATAGTCCAAAAACCTTTGGTCGTGCACGACCCCTGCGGCGGTGAATTATATCTGCGTAGAGATAATGCGCAGGTTTCTGATAAGCTTTTGCTGCGCAGCTGCAAAGATGTGCAGAGTGAGATAAACGTGTTGCTTGGAAGCTGAGAGTGCAATCCTGGAGTTGCATCATGGAGAAGAAGGAAGTCTGGTTGGACTCAGTGTGGTGAATCTGATGGGCAGGAGGCCTTGTTTCTCCTAGCTTGTGTCCTCCAGATGTTGTTGGACTACAACTCCCATCATCGTGCTTGTTGGCCACGCTGGCTAGGGATGATGGGGGTTGGAGCCCAATAACATCTTGAAGGCTGCAGGTTTGGAGGTCCACAGGTCCGCAGCTCAGTGGTAGAGCATTTGACTTGCAGGTTCAATTCCTGGCATCTCTAGGTAAGGACTCTGGGAGGAGCACCTGTTGAAACCCTGGAGAGCTTCTGCCAATCTGTGTTCAATACTGAGCTGGGTGGGGCAATGGCCTGATTCGGTATTAGCAGTTTCTAATGTACCTTATATCTCATATTTTTAAATAAAGGGCCACTCTGTTCTGGTTGGCAGTCTGAATCGGGGTGGGGACTTATCTGAATCAGATAAAGGCTGGAGATGCAATGAGGTAGAGCAGGTATGTCCAAAGTCTGTTTTTGGGGCCTAATCCGGCCCGCCGGTCAGTTTTATTTGGCTCTTATGGCAGTTTATCTCCTGGGGTAAAATCCTAAAAAAAAGCTTAACAGCTTCAATCTTAAAAAAGAAGCTCAACAACTTCAATCCTAAAAAAAAACTTTGGTCGGCCGTCACGCATGTTCACTTCATCAAATCTGGCCCTCTTTGAAAAGGTTTGGGCACCCCTGAGGTAGAGGGTATGTTCTTTCACACATGGAGGACCTATAAAAGGGTAAAAGAGTATTGGGAAATAATTTATAGTGAATTGAAAAAAATGTTTAAAAGTACTTTTCCAAAAAAAACACACCCAGAGGCCTTTTTGTTGGGGATAATTCAGATGGAAATTCCCAGGTGTCAAAAAAGGTTATTTATGTAGGCCACTACTGCCGCCTGTGTTTTGTTAGCCCCAAAATGGAAAATGAGTGAGGTTCCAACTAAGGAAGAATGGCAACTTCAGCTGATCGAATATGTGCAGCTTGTGGACCTAACACACAGAATAAGAGAACAAAAAGAACATACGTTTAAAGAAGAATGGAAAATGTTTATTGAATATATGGGGAGGGGGGAATTGTGTACACTTGAAACATGGGCAGCATTAAGATAAATTCGACAGTGTAAATAAGTTTTGATGGATGTAATAATGGAATACTAAATGGTTTAGTTAATACAAAATATGCAGGGATTTATGTTATGCAAAATGAACCATGGAAAGAGAACCAAGGGAAGTTTTTGAAATTTTGTTGTTGTTGTTGTCGTTTAGCCGTGTCCGACTCTTCGTGACCCCATGGACCAGAGCACGCCAGGCACTCCTGTCTTCCACTTTGATATTTTAAGGTTATTTAAATATGCGTCAAGTGCAGACCTTCATCCCTTTTCTGTCTGGCCCCTGGGACTCTTCCCAAGCCATGGCCTTTGCTGCCTGTGCGCCATGCCCTCCTGCAACGCTGCTGCCCGACTGGATGGATGATGGTGATTTGAGTGTCTTTGAAAACCAAAGATTGATATGTGGCTTGGATGTAGCCCACTGTACAAAGGCCATTTGTGGCTTTTACTATTGTTCCCTCTGGCCCCTGAAGGGCTGCCTACAAGGACATGGGTCCCTGGACCTGAAAATAGTTGCCCACTGCTGGTCTAAATGCTTTATAAGCAGGTTGGGGGGGGGACCTTTGGCTCTCCAGCTACAGCTGAACTATGACTCCCATCAGCCACAGCAAGCCTGACCAACGGTCAGCCATGATGGGAGTTGTAGTTCCGCAACATCTGGAGGACCAAAGGTTCCCCACACCTGGTTTATAGTTTGCCTGACAATTCTAACAAGCTGGGATGGCTCCGTCGGTAGAGCATGAGGCTCTTGATCTCAGGATCGTGAGTTCAAGCCCCACATTGTGCAAAAAGACTCCTGCGCTGCAGGGGGTGGACCAGATGACCCTCAGGGTCCCTTCCAGTTCTGCAAATCTGCGGAATCTATGTTTCTAACCTGTTGCAACATACGTAGTGCTTGATCTCAAAAGGGCTTTTTTTTGGCACGATACCATCAGTCAGATCTTTGGCTGCGGTTCTGTAGTTAATTGCCTTTTATTGATATGTTTACCCAGGAGCAGGTCCCATTGAAACATTATTGCCGTGTAGATGCGTAGAGAATTAGACTGTTGCCTTTGGGGCACTTTTCGTTTCATTCCAATGTCGTTAGTTGCCTCAAAGAACTCTTGCGAAAATGGATATTGAAATGATACAATAAATATATATCCTTACAGCATGTATGTAAAAAATTGTAAAACATCGCACTTTGAAAATATATACAGTACATCTGTCTCTCTCTATCTGCATTTTAAACAGCTGCATATAAACATCTGAATATATTTTATTCAGGTTTATTCAGGTTTGTGTGCAGCCACAGCAGGTACTGTTAATACTCCAATGGTTTAACTTTACCCCCAAGGTGTATTCCTCCATTGTCTCTCTCACTGACGGATGCCAACAGGGGTGTACATCCCCACAGGGACGTGGGTGGCGCTGTGATCTAAACCGCAGAGCCTCTTGGGCTTGCCGATCAGAAGGTCGGCGGTTTGAATCCCCGTGATGGAGTTAGCTCCTGTTGCTCTGTCCCAGCTCCTGCCAACCTAGCAGTTCGAAAGCACACCAGTGCAAGTAGGTAAATAGATACCATTGCGGCGGGAAGGTAAACGGCGTTTCTGTGCACTCTGGTTTCCGTCATGGTATCCCGTTGCACCGGAAGCAGTTTAGTCTTGCTGCCCACATGACCCAGAAAACTGTCTGTGGACAAACACTGGCTCCCTCGGCCTGAAAGCCAGATGAGTGCCGCAACCCCATAGTCGCCTTCGACTCAACTTCACCGCCCAGAGGTCCTTTACATTTACTTTTACATCCCCACATATACGTGAACAATCTCCCTTTAAAACAGAAACACTCCATCATCTTTGTCTTTAAAAGAAGTTGCTGGCTCCCCTACCCCAAAAAGCCTTGTTTTCATCGTGAAGGTCGCTGTTCTCCAACTGAGGAAGTATAATGGGAGACTCCCATGTGACATAAAGGTAAAGGGGACCCCTGACCATTAGGTCCAGTCGTGACTGGCTCTGGGGTTGTGGCGCTCATCTCTCTTTATTGGCTGAGGGAGCCGGCGTACAGCTTCCGGCTCATGTGGCCAGCATGACTAAGCCGCTTCTGGCGAACCAGAGCAGTGCACGGAAACGCCATTTACCTTCCCGCTGGAGTGGAACCTATTTATCTACTTGCACTTTGACGTGCTTTCGAACTGCTAGGTTGGCAGGAGCAGGGACCGAGCAATGGGAGCTCACCCTGTCGTGGGGATTCGAACCGGCGACCTTCTGGTCAGCAAGTCCTAGGCTTTGTGGTTTAACCCATAGCGCCACCTACGTCCCTTTCCCATGTGAAATGAAACATAGCAAAGACGGGGCAATATGGCAATGAGTAGCGGTGGCCGCTGTGCTCGTTTGGTATCCCTTTCCGCTTTAATTGAAGCGTCAGATGATAGTAATTGTCCTGCTCCCTGGACCCTTGTTGTTTACATCCTGACTCAGCGCACACTCAGCGCACACTTGGGCATGTGGACATGCGTTTGCCAACTCATTTGACGGAATGGGCTCCCGTCCATGTGCATTTACGCCACAGTAAATCTGCTAGCCTTTAGGTGTCGCAAATCCCTTTAAATGCTTGCCAAGTCAGGGCCGTGCTTTGCGGAGTGGCCCGTGGAAAGCCTTGCCACGTTTTGTTCTTGCTGCAACAGACCGATCGGGCTCACCCTTTGGGGGAAACTGCCAAAATTTTATATAGCTTGTTGGCCAGATGAAGTGGCATGGATGGATGGAGAGAGAAGGATTTAGAGAGAGAGGATGCTATAGAAATCCTGCAAACACTTTTACCATGGGTCAGTGGTCCTGGGTACAAAAAAGGGTTCACTATACGATATGATACGATATGATACATCTTTATTGCCATTGCCCCATACAGAACAACGAAATTGAAAAAATCTACACCAGACATTCAAAAACAAATAAGCCTGCTATCCCAGCCTGGCTAACCCACTAAAAAGTCTGATACCCCATAATTAAATACAATATACTCCCACAGAGACTACCTTACACTGCGTTTAAAACCAAAATCGCATTTGGATAAAAACTGTTTCTCAGGCAGCTAGTCCTAGTCTTTATAACCATGTACCTTCTTCCAGAAGGCAGAAGCTGGAAGAGATAATTTCCAGGGTGCGTACTATCTGTGCAGTCTTATAAATTCTCCAGGCGCCAGCCAAGTTTTGGGATTGGCACAGGTCCAATTGTGATTTCTGGGTGCCAGCTTCGCGACTGACATCTGACTGGCCCCTCCTGCTTTCTTAAGCAGGTAGGCAGAAAAGCTCATTTATTGCATTTACAGTGGTACCTCGGGTTACATACGCTTCAGGTTGCATACGCTTCAGGTTACAGACTCCACTAACCCAGAAATAGTACCTCGGGTTAAGAACTTTGCTTCAGGATGAGAACAGAAATTGCACAGCGGCAGCAGGAGGCCCCATTAGCTAAAGTGGTGCTTCAGGTTAAGAACAGTTTCAGGTTAAGAACGGACCTCCGGAACGAATTAAGTACTTAACCCGAGGTACCACTGTATATCCCATTTTTTTCTCCCAAAGTTCACTCCTCTCCTCAGTTAATCCTTACAACGACCCTGTGAGGTAGGTTAAGAGTCTGTGACTGCCCCCAGGTCATCCAGTGAGCTTCATGGCCCAGTGGGGATTTGAACCCTGGGCTCCCAGTTCCTTGTCCAACACTCTACCAGGTATGGCCAAACTTGGCCCGCCAGCTGTTTTGCGACTACAATTCCCATCATCCCTGACCACGCCTCCTTTTAGCTAGGGATGATGGGAGTTGTAGTCCCAAAACATCTCAAGGGCCAAGTTTGGCCATGCCTGCGACACCACCCTGGCTCCCTAGAGCCTTTCTGCTATGGGACAGCTCTATAAATTAAGTCGGTAAATAAATATGGGGAAAGCAAAATGTCACTTAGAGAAGGGTTTGAAATATTTTCTTTGAAGCTTGCATTTGTTTTATTCTGGATTTCTTTATTTGATGTTTTGAAGTGATGTAAACCGCTTTGAGATTTTTTTCTTTAAAATACAAAGCAGTATAGAGATCAATAATAATAAACCTCATTGCAACAAAGAAAAAAGGTGTCTAGACATTCGGTTGTGGCGACCACAACCTAGGTTTAAGGTGCCATTTGGTGATTAGCTGATATATCTGAGCTGAGAACCATGAGTCTTGCAGAGTGATAATTGCCAACCCTAGAGGTAGTTGAATTTTCTTGAATGCTCGCTTTGGGAGTGATTGAATGGTCCAATTACATCCAGTGCAAAGGTAGGGAAGAATTTCCTGCTTCCGAGACAGGTTGAAAGGAGGCCAAGGTGATAAAGAGAGTTATGGGATGGACTTTAATTGTTTCACTGTTTTATTTCCCATGAAACACTGGCAGCATGGGGAAATGGTCAGAGTCAAAGTTGGCCTGATGTAGTGGACTCCGTCTTTGGAGTCTGGCTAGGGGAGTTCTGGGTTCAGATTCCGCCTTCAGCTGGGGACTGCGGAACCATAAAGTGCCTTTCGCAATAAAAAAAATTGCCACAGGAGAGATTCATAATAATGTCGCCAGCCAGTGGCAGTTCCCGGCATGCAGAATGCTTTTTACCCGTCTTTTGTGAAAAAAATGGGTGCTCGTCTCCTGCTTTTTGTGGGAGGCCTCAGACCTTCAGATACCAGGGAAACTGTGTCAGAGGAAATGCAGGTAAGATATCAGGAGGCGGTAATTGTGTTTATTTTGCAGAGTGATCATTCAACAGGGGCGGGGGCCAGTCGACTTTCCTGAAATGTTATAATAGTGCATTCCAGGAAACCTATTTTTATTTTGATAGCTCCATAGCGGAAGGCGCTCTGTGCATGCTCAGAACTGCTCTTTCTCTCTCTCTCTCTTTCTCTCTGATCCTGGGGACAGGGTCCATGGCCACAGGTCCTGTTTAAGCTCAAAGCTTGTTCACGGTTAAAATTTTTAAAAAATGCATTCAGCATGCCAAAGATGAAAAGGGGTCGGTGCCTCACGGATTTTGGCTGCTGGTGGCAGTCATTATTTGCCTATATTATTAAATTTTCTGTTTTACAATTTAGAATACTCATTTAAACATCCTTAAAATATCAATGACTTCCCTTCTTCTCTTTCCATGGTTCATTTTGCATATCATAAATCCCTGCATATTTTACATAAACTAAACCATTCAATGTTCCATTATTACGTCCATCAAAACTTATTTACACTATTGAATTTATCTTAATGCTGCCAGCGTTTTCAAGTGTACACAATTCCCCCCCCCATATATTCAATAAAAGAATTCCAATCTTCGCTAAACTTATGTTGTTCTTGTTCTCTTATTCTGTATGTTAACTCCGCAAACTTTGCATATTCCATCAGCTTAAGTTGCCATTCTTCTTTAGTTGGGACTTCACTCATTTTCCATTTTTGGACTAACAAAATACGGGCCGCAGTAGTGGCGTACAGTGGTGCCTTGCAAGACGAAATTAATTCGTTCTGCGAGTTTTTTCGTCTTGCGAATTTTTCGTCTTGCGAAGCACGGGTTCCCATAGGAATGCATTGAAAATCCAAAAGGAAACAAACTTGCAAGACGTTTTCGTCTTGCGAAGCAAGCCCATAGGGAAATTTGTCTTGCGAAGCAACTCAAAAAACGAAAACCTCTTTCGTCTTGCGAGTTTTTCGTCTTGCGAGGCATTCGTCTTGCGAGGTACCACTGTACATAGATAACCTTTTTTGACACCTGGGAATTCCCAGACAGAAATTCCCAGGCAGTCATTGTTTGTGACCTCCTCCAAGGAAAACGAGGTGTCTTGGAGAATTGCAGCCTAGCTGTTGCCCCTAAACACCTAGTTTTCTACATGCATGAAAGTGTTGTGTCTTGGGAAGCATTCAGTTATCTAAGAACCTCCCTGTGCTGCTGCAGGTGGTGCTAGTTAGACACAGGTTTCCCACCTCATTGAGGACTGGTGGCTTGACTAAGTATATTTTTATTTTATTTTTGAGGGCATTGCTTTATCACTTTTGTGTTTGTCTCCCTTGGGCTCTTCCGGGTGGAAGACGGTGATATAAATTTGCTAATAACCACTATCACTATTTCTGTGGGAATTTGGAGCCAAGTGAAAGGGACTGTTAGCATCGAAGCCAGCTCTCTCAGGGTTGGGTGGGGGCACCGTTAGGGCAATAGTCTAGAGCAGCGGGCCAGGGTTCCACACTGCCTAAAGAGCAGGTGGGCTTCCAAATTCAGTGGGGTGGGCATACCACATTTTAGAATGAGGCTGCGTATATATTTGGAAGCACATTGCTAGCCACAAAGAACCATAGAATTGTCAAATTGTAGAGTTGAATGGGACCCCATGGGTCATCTAGTCCAACCCCCGCAATGCAGGGATCCTGGGAACTGTAGTTTAAGGGTGCTAGCTCTGTGAGAGGTAAACAGTTCCCAGAATTCTTTTTTTGAGGGCGTGTACTTCAAATATTTTTTAAATGCATGCTGTCTATGCACTAGGTTCTTCCACCCCAGATGACCATTAAGTCCAGAATCTAAACCTTCCTGTCTGCACCTATGGGTGCTGTTCTTCTTCTTCTTAATTGCTAAAAGGCAAATGGGGCAGGGAGGCGAAAGGAGTGCACTGTCTCTTCATGCGTAGTTGTCCATTGAGATCGCTTGCTTACCGGGCTCTCATTCCGCCTGGAAGGAAGTGTACATTGCGTTGGAAAGGGACAATGGACACAAGACAGTTTGCGGACTGCTCCCCTTTCTCGGAAAGTGACTCATCAGCCTCCTCTCTGGGAAAAGCCTGTGCCAGTTTTCAAAAGTTTCTAAACAGTTGGGTCTCAACATAACCACCCCAAAAAGGGGAGCGGGGCGGGAGGTGGCATTGTAAATCTCATCTCTACAATTCCCAGAGTTCCCTGGGAAGCGGGAGCAATAAACCACTATTCCCCAGCTACAATTCCCAGAACAGCTTAACCATTAATTCACCTTTTCAGGGAACGCTGGGAACTGTAGCTCTGTGAGGGGAATTGGGGTCTGCTGACAATAGTGCCATTATCAAATGGCGGTTCCCAGGATTCTTGGGAGGAAGCCGTGAATGTTTAAAGTAGTAAAATACTGCTTTAAAGGGGCCTGGCATCCAGAGTTCCCAGAATTATGTGTTGGGGATGAAATGGAGTGTACCCCCACGATCACACTTGATTTCCAGCAGGGGAACTGTGTGAGTCTGCTGCTACAACATCAACAGTTTTGCAGCACCTGAACAACTAAAACATTTTATTGTGACATGCATCTGGGATGGGGGGTGGGGTTGGTAGCTGGACAATGGATGTTGCTGGACTCCCATCAACCGCTGACCAGCAGGGCCAGTGGTCAGGGAAGTTGGGAGATGTAGTTCAGGAACATCTGTCAAAGTGTGGGGGAGAGGACTGATATTATGATGGCTATTTTTTTCTTAGACTATCTGTCGGTGTGCTTTTCATCATCTTTTTAGCAATGTTTTTATCATTGATGTTCTGTAATGTGTTTGTAATGTTGTACACCCCCCGGGATTTTTTGATAAAGGGTGGTACAGTGGTACCTCGGGTTAAGTACTTAATTCATTCTGGAGGTCCGTTCTTAACCTGAAACTGTTCTTAACCTGAAGCACCACTTTAGCTAATGGGGCCTCCTGCTGCCTCCGCACCGCCAGAGCACGATTTCTGTTCTCATCCTGAAGCAAAGTTCTTAACCTGAAGCACTATTTCTGGGTTAGTGGAGTCTGTAACCTGAAGCGTATGTAACCTGAGGTACCACTGTATATAAATTGATGCTGATAATAATAATCTGGACCGCCACAAGTTTCTCATCCTTGTCACGAGCCTTTTCTTCATTACAAACCCACCTCATGTGAAGCGTTCTCTTGAGTTGCTGGTGTTTCTACACAGGGCTGTGGATGTAAACAGGCAGAAAAGTACAGACAGCGGCAATTACCGTTATTAATGTGTAGGTGTTGACACAACATTCGGCCTGCTAATTAGCACATGCAGTGTGATTTAAAACACCTTACCTGATTTCAAGCCGCAAGTGGGTTGGCGGAACAGATTTGTAGGTTTCACAACCTTGCTCTTGTGCCCCCGCCCTGGCCCATACCCAGCACACGCGGGACAAAAAATATGTTTGCTTGCTCCTGAAATCTATATGCAGTGCAATAAATCCCTCCCTACCCTCTGTGCTGGAATGCACAAGCGCTTTACAACCTGGGGTGTGCCCAGAGAAAGCTATGCAGATGCCACACGCACAAAAGGGTGTGACTTTGGCAGCAAAGCAAAGCTCCTTGAGATGCTTCCCTTTTATACCTTCCCCCTGGTAAGTTTCTAGTTCTTATTGAGGCCAGCTTGATGCATGCAAGGCTTGTTCAGTCTTGGAAGCTGAAGGGGTGGCTGAAATTTTTTTGAGAAGTCACGGAAGCAAGGCATTTTTGCTGCAGACTGTCCCTTGATATTTGTAGAAACGACGATGCAAAATACGGTGAAATAAGGTCCTTAAATTGCATAATTTGTGCAGGTGGGCAAACCCAAGTTCTTTTCAGGTATAGTTTCTTTTATTACCATTCTTCTTTAGTGCATGGCAATACAGATAGCTTTTGGCACGGGGTGTGGGCGGCCGTGGGGGAAAAGTTGTGCAAGAAAGCTTTCAGAGTGGGATGTCTGGCTACATTTGATTCCCACCCCCTCTTATGTAATAAGGTTCTTTCGCAACCCTCTTGTGCAAAGAAACAGTAACTATGCATGCAGGAGCCTGTTTCTGCACACAGAGCAGATTTTTTAAAAAGGTATTTTTAAATCCTGTCCCTTGAAAAATTGTATTTCTGATTTAAGAAATGGAAGCTTTTTTTTTTTTTAAAGAGTGCAGATCCTGCTGTCAGCAAATGAGGTGTATGTTGTGCACAGAGAGGCCAGGAAGGACGAGGTGGCCGAGTGGTTAAGGCGATGGACTGCTAATCCATTGTGCTCTGCACGCGTGGGTTCGAATCCCACCTTCGTCGTTGTCGAACTTTTTTGGGGAGGGAAAAGGCCGAAGCTCCAGAGAGACGCAGTCGCACTGAGATCTGCAGGGCTCTCTGGATTGCAGCCAAAGTGCCTGGGGACCCCCATCAGCCCCAGGCAGTATGCCCAGAGAACAGGGGATGATGGGAGTTGTAGGCCAACAAGATCTGGAGTACCACAGCTACGGTTTAACAAAGCCCAGGAATGACTGTTCTAATAAACAAGTGTGTTCGGAGATAAGGTCAAGGCTGGTTACAGGTTTTTTTGGGTTTTTTTCTGAGGGGTGGCAAAACTGTGTCTCCCCTTCCCACCATGGGCTTATCAGGTAGTGGCAGGTAGCAGCAATTGGCTTCCATTTTAATTTCCCACAGTGCCGAGGGTTGGTGCTATGTCAGGGGCATTGTGGGTAATTAAAATGGCTGCTAAAAGACTCTTGGCTGAAACCATGGAGCCACTGCAATATTTGATTGGATGAACCAATGGTTTGACTTACATCTCAGTTCACAGTACATATTAACCAACTAGTGCGCATGTAAACATATTAAACGGTGTATATACAAAACATCCTGAATTATTTTTAGACCAATGGTCCCTACACCCTAAGGTGGAGCATCTTAAACAGTTTACACTAGACATATATCTTGCATGATTGATCTTCCACAGCCAATCTTCTCCAGTGGCCAACCTAACCTGCCACGCAGGGGTGTTGTGTGGCTTAACCTGGGGGCAGGGAAATCTTGTAGTCTGCGCTGAGTTCTGTGGCAGAAGATCGGGGTTGCAAAAATGTAATAAATAGATATGCCACAGTCAAAAAGAATTGAGTTCCCAGAATTGTTAACCTCTGTGTATGTTTGCAGGTTTCTGCTTGTAATAACAATGGGTTCTTTTTGCAGTCATTATTTGGCACACTGCATTTTAACCCTGGGAGAAGAAAGCAAGCCTTAACCTGAAAAGGGTGGTGCTCTCTTAAATAAACCATTGGTGTATGCTGCAATGAGTTGGCGTAGCTTAGCCAAATCTCCACCCATATTAACGTTTTGCATCGTTCTGGCCCATCTTTCATGGCCTGTTGGTGGCCATATGAACATAAACACAAGAATCATAGAATTGTACATTTGGAAGGGACCCTGAGGGTTTTCTAGTCCAACCCCCTGCAATGCAGGAATCTCAGCTGAAGCATCCATGACGGATGACCATCCAGCCTCTGCTTAAAAACCTCCAAGGAACGAGAGTCCACAGCTTACTGTGAGAGTCTGCTCCACTGTCAAACAACTCTCGTGGTCAGAAAGTTTTTCCTGATCTTAAGTTGGAATCTCTTTTCTTGTAACTTAGATCCATTGGTTCGGGTCTCCAGAGCAGGAGAAAACAAGTTTGCTCCATCTTCCACGTGACAACCCTTGAGATATTTGAAGATGGCTGTAGTATCTTCTCTCAGCCAGTGTGGTGTAATGGTTAAGAGTGGTAGATTCGTAATCTGGTGAACTGGGTTCGCGTCTCCGCTCCTCCACATGCAGCTGCTGGGTGACCTTGGGCCAGTCACACTTCTTTGAAGTCTCTCAGCCCCATTCACTTCACAGAGTGTTTGTTGTGGGGGAGGAAGGGAAAGGAGAATATTAGCCATTTCGAGACTCCTCCGGGTAGTGATAAAGCGGGATATCAAATCCAAACTCCCCTTCTTCTTCTTCTTCTTCTTCTTCTTCTTCTTCTTCTTCTTCTTCTTCTCAATCTCCTCTTTAGCAGGCTAAACATACCCAGCTCCCTCAACCATTCCTCATAAGTCTTGGCTTCCAGAACCTTTGAAGAACGCTTGAGGGAATTAAGAGCCCTGCAAGATCAGCCCAATGGCCCATGTAACCCAGCATCATGTTCTTGTGGCAGCCAGTCAGATGCCTCAAATTCACAGCCATCGTGGCCAGGAGCCATGGATAGCCTGATCCATGTTTTCCCCTCACCCTCTTTCACAGCCATCCAAACTGGTCGTCCTCGCTGCTGCTTCTTGCAGAAGCAAATCCCCTAGGTCCTCTTGCTTCTTTCCAGCAAGCCCGCTCCATGAATAAGTCCTCTGTGCTTGTCTCCCACCTTTCCGACCGCCACTCCCTTCCCTTCCCAATGAATGAGAAAAAAGGCGTGCTATGCTCTCTCTCTCTCGATTTCCTCCTGTGTGCAAAGGCATCTGCCAATCCCAACCCTTCCCTTCCTGCTTTTGTGCCACCCGGCACCCTCTCATCAGACAAGAGGAGAGGAGGACCAGCTCTTCTTTTTCCTCCCCTCCCTTTCTTTTTTTCCAGCAGCCAACTCAGAAACAAGGAGCGGTTTGATTCTTTTTACGGGCAAGCTCTCTCTGGAGGACCACAGGCAGAGACGGCTGGCGAGGACTGAGTTGCGGCAGGCTTGCAGAATGCAGCTGTTGTAACCATCCTGTAACAACAGAGAGAAGGAAAGAGGACGGTTTTTCCCCACTCTGGAAGCTGGCTTGCTTTTTTCTTTTTGTGTGTGTGCGCGCGTGTGTGTGTGCGAGTCCGCCTCTGGATTTCTGGCTTTTCTCTGAAAACTCAAGTGAGTCCGTGATGTGAAGTTCCCCCGCCTTGCAGGGATTTATTTTTTTTGCATTGTGGATGGTCGACCCAATCTGGCGTGGAAATACTCCGGAGGCAGCCTGGAACTGAAGGGTAATGGATCTTTCTCGTGCAAGGGAGTTTCTGGGAGGGTGGGCTTAACAAAGGGTTTTTATTTCATTTTAAACAGGGCCTAACAAAGGTGTTCTTATTTAGGAGAGAAAATGGTCCCAGTGGGGAGAGGCAACCCAACCTTTTGGAAATCTTTTCCTAAGATGCAGGGGGGTTCCGTCGCTCATTGGAACATCAAAGCCAGCAGTTTGAGGGGGAGGATCCTGTTCAGGATTTTCTGCGCCTTTCATCTCCCCACCCACTCCCTGGCAACCACGTGCAGGGGTGGGTGTAGCTGGGCTTCTTCGTTCCGCAGGCTTGGGAGAATCTCCTTTGGAGAAACGGATCTGGTCCCAGGAGTAGATTGGAAACGGTAGAAGGAATTACCTCTCCATCTTCTCCAGGAAGGACTAGGCTGGGTGGGATCCAGTCTTCCAAGTACATAGGCTTAGAGCAGGGGTCGGCAACGTGCGGCCCGTGGGCCAGATGCGGCCCACAAAGACTGTTTTACTGGCCCATGAGTCGCCCCTGAACTGGCGCAGCGCGGTGTGGGGACTTGCCGAGCGGCACCAGAAATTGTGTCTGCGCATGTTCATATACCAAAAATTGCACCTGCGCATGTCCAGATGCCGAAAATCACTTCTGTGCAGGCATGATTTTTGGCGTCTGGGCATGCGCAGAAGTGATTTCCGGCGCCGCGGACATGTGCAGACGCGATTTCTGGTGTCGCACTGCGCCAGTCCAGCCCACAGACAATCTCCGTGGGAGTGATTCGGCCCATGGCCAGTAAACCTTGCCGAACCCTGGCTTAGAGCAACACTTATAATGTTCTTTTTAAAGGTGGTAGGGAATCTGTGGTCCTTCACACCTCTGGTCTCTCTCAATAATAGGCCACACCCCCTCTCCAGGATTCACCCCTCACCATTCTTGCTGCACACACTCCTCAGGTGCTTTTGCCTGGCTGGCATCTGTCCTTCAGCTGCGATTATGCCTTTTGCTCGCCTGGGTGGAGGGCCTCCTTTGCACACACGTGTGTTTGTGTGTGTCTGTGGAAGCGTCTCTCCTTTGCATGGCTGTTCCGAGATCCATTGCCCCTCCCACTTCTGTCTCTGGCTCCACCCACCACTCACATGTTTCCCAAGAGTCCGTGAGCTGGAAAAGATTCTGCCCCATAGGGACCAATTCCACATTCACTTTCTTGGGAATCCTTTGTCTCCTGATGGTGTTTCCTGCTTGGCAGGGGGTTGGACTCCATGGCCCTTGTGGTCTCTTCCAACTCTATGATTCTATGATTCCTCCCCTTGCAGGCTTAAAATTCAAGTGAAATTGGGGGTGGGGGGGCGAGAAGAGGAGAGTTAACATCTCTGCCTTATCGCTGGCTGGATTACATGTGTTTTCTTAAGCCGCTCCCAAGGGAGGCTAGTTTAGAACTGGGAGCGTGAAAAGTCTTACAGTAATAGGAACGCCCCCACCCTCTCCAGAAATCTGGAGCAGAGGAAAAACTGCAGGGCTGGAATAAATTTGCCCAACTAAAAAAGAACATAGCAGTGAAAGGGTCTTCTCCTCCCCCCAAAATTAAAGGAGGCAACAGGGTATGGGGAATAAAATATGTCCAGGGTTAAAGAATGAGCGTTTCTCTCCCTTCTTCCCCCACACTTGCCAATTTCAATGGTTTATTTACAAAGCTGCCTGCTTCATGTGGTCTCAATTTTGAATGATTCATCTGAGCAGTTTGATTTTTCAAATGAGAGAAGAGCCCATTAAACGAACACAATGACAGGACAGACTTTGGTTGCAGACAGGGAGAAAGTACAGTTCAGAGAGTTAAAAAGGCAGAAATATGTGATGTCATCAAAATAGAGTGCTTTGAATACACGCAGAGTTGCCAAATATCTTGCCTTTTTAAACACACACACACACACACAGTCCAAAAAAGTACAAAGACTTTAAAAGATTACTAAAGTGATTATTGAAATTTCATGAAAGACAAGCACACATGGATAAAGAGAAAATCAGAAAAATGAAAAAAAAGAAGAAAACCCCTATAATATAATTAAACAAACAACAACAACACAACCCAAAAAGTACTGTAGTTCAGCACATTAGGAGTCTTTGGTTAAAGGTAAAGGTAAAGGACCCCTGACAGTTAAGTCCAGTTGCAGACGACTCTGGGGTTGCAGTGCTCATCTCGCTTTACAGGCTGAGGAAGCTGGCGTTTGTCCGCAGACAGTTTTCCGGGTTATGGGGCCAGCATGACTAAGCCGCTTCTGGAGAAACCAGAGCAGCGCACGGAAACGCCATTTACCTGTTTATCTTGTTGCACTGGCATGCTTTTGAACTGCTAGGTTGGCAGGAGCAGGGACTGAGCAACGGGAGCTCACCCCGTTGCAGCTATTTGAACCGTCGACCTTCCGATCGGCAAGCCCTAGGCTCTGTGGTTTAGACCACAGCGCCATCCGCGTCCCTAAGGAGTCTTTGGTTACAAAGCAAAATAATTTAATTGGAGAAGAGATCGTACTGTGGCATAGACACTTCCAGTGCCTTTCTGGTAGCAGAAAAATTGGGTTTGATTCAGGAGCCCAATTTCTACCCAGCATAAGGGATACTGAGTAGTATAACTTCAGCTTTCTCTAGGTTTGATCAAGTTGTGCTCCATTGGAATAATGTAGCTAAATGGACTCTCATCATGTGTTCCTGCTGTAAATAAAGAAGAGCTCTCTGTGGGGGCTGATTTTTTTCACCCTGCTGTAAACTAGGGGAGGATCCTCCTCTGTTAAACCTCTGTCCCACCAACTCCTTATCCTGGTGTGAACAAGGTGGGTAATTCTGCTGGAGCCAGGAAGACTGTGTGCACATTACTGTTTATTCTGGCTTCAGTGTGTTGTTCCCACCACTGGTGTTGGAAACCATGTACAGTGGTACCTCGGGTTACAGACGCTTCGGGTTACAGACTCCGCTAACCCAGAAATAGTACCTCAGGTTAAGAACTTCGCTTCAGGATGAGAACAGAAATTGTGCGCTGGCGGCAGTGGGAGGCCCCATTAGCTAAAGTGGTACCTCAGGTTAAGAACAGTTTCAGGTTAAGAACGGACCTCCAGAACGAATTAAGTTCTTAACCCGAGGTACCACTGTACACATGATGTTAGCCACAGCAGTTCGATGCGTTTTCCCCCTAACCAGCTTCCATCCGATCTGAAAACGTAGGCCGTGTTCGCTTTGCGGTTAAGCTGAGGTCTGTACGTTTGAGGCAGCCATTGCACATGAACAGAGAACAGCACATGCCCAGGCGATGGTGGTTTGCAGGGCTGGGGGGAGGGAACCAAACTGCTTGTGCGCACTGGATGAAGACATGCCTGCTCCCCTCCCGGTCTGGTGTGCACAGCAGCGTTCAAATGCAATATGAATCGCAGGGGGAAGGAATGACCTCACTGTGTTTTTGTAGAATCATAGAGTTGGAAGGGACCCCAAGGGTCATCTAGTCCAGCCCCCTGCAATGCAGGAATCTCCGCTAAAGCATCCATGAAAGATGGCCATCTACCAGTGTGTACATAGCCCAACTGTCTGGCTCCTTTTATTTTAAGCCTGGAGTAACACTTAGTGACCATCAGTGCAATTGACTTTCACTGGGCTCGTTCACCAGGAAACAACTAATATGAGGTCTCCTGAACTAGTTACTTACCCCTTCTTCACTCAGTTGAAATCCTGGGATTTCACCTCTCCTACCTCTTTTCGCTCTGGAGTGAATCGTAAGGACCTCTTTGCAATCATTCCTTTTTGGGGCGTGTAAATTTGGAGTAACTCTGAAGGATAAGTCACGATTCTCACTCTGCCTTTCACCCAGTGCTTCTTCACACAGCATAATTTGCTCCCGCAAGAGGTAGTGATGGCTACCAACTTGGATAGCTTTAAAAGAGGATAGAGGAATTCATGGAGGATCAGACTACCAATGACTGCTAGTCATAATGACTAAGCTCTACCTCTGTCATTAGAGGAGACTGTATACCTCCGAATACCAGGTTCTAGGAATCACTGGTAGGAAGAGTGCTGTTGCACTTGCGTCTTGCTTGTGGGCTTATTTCCACAGACAGCAGTTTGCCCACTATTGGGCCATTTGCCTGTTCCATCAGCATTCTCCTTATACTCTTAGGAAATCAGAAGTATCTGCTTTGCAGCTGATGAATACCACAGCTTTGTGACTCACCCTGGTGTAAGCCAAGAGTCAATGAGACAGATTCTGTTCTTCCTTATTTCCTCCTTTCATTTTCAACTTTGGGGTAAACTTTGGTTTTCAAAAAGAAGAAGAAGAAGGAGATATTTTTGTGGTCTGTGGACAAATCCCTCCCTTTATTCAGCTACTAGGTGTGGGCTGGGAGTGGTTGCAGGAGGCCTGCAGGACAACTTTAAACTAAATACTGAGAGGGAGGGAGACAATATCACAGATGACAGAGTGAAACCTGATACTAGAGATAATACCTTCACTGATATACAGGGAACTAAGGTGGTGCTCCAGAAACCTTCTAAAGAAGGAAGCAGCTGGATAGGATGGCTTATGGTCTCAGTTGGCTTTATACTAATGCCCAGAGAATGGGAAACAAGCAAGATGAATCTGAGCTCTTAATAGAGGATGGCAAATATGACCTAATAGGCATTACGGTGGTACCTCAGGTTAAGTACTTAATTCGTTCTGGAGGTCCGTACTTAACCTGAAACTGTTCTTAACCTGAAGCACCATTTTAGCTAATGAGGCCTCCCACTGCTGCCGCGCCGCCGGAGCACGATTTCTGTTCTCATCCTGAAGCAAAGTTCTTAACCTGAAGCACTATTTCTGGGTTAGCGGAGTCTGTAACCTGAAGCATATGTAACCTGAGGTACCACTGTACTGAAACCTGGTGGGATGAGACTCATGACTGGAATGTAGAAATTGAGGGGTATAACCTATTAAAAAGGAATAGACCAAACAGGAAAGGAGAAGTATGTAAAGGATATGTACAGTTGTGAAGCAGTGTTAGAAACTGAGATATGAAAGCGGGGAGCTAAATGTCACCTTAAACCTCGGTAATGGGTACAACAACAGAATGTCTAGGCACACTTTTTTAATAGCAAGAATAAAAAGCTGAAATTGAACTGCAGCTAAAATCTTATTTTCATTTCTCACATGGTCTAGTCCTCACCTGAAGACTGCAAAAAACAAAGCCATGCTTTACCTGTCTGCCCCCCTAATATTCTTAAGAGAATCTCTTCTCCAGTCTTCAGAGAGTGACTGGAAGTGGAGAGGCAGAAAAAGGTCCTCCTTTCCTTCCACTCCGCAGTTTTAATCTGAAATCTTAGGCGCAGTACTGCACCCAGAGCTCAGAAACAGCTCACGCTAATGAAATTCCTTGCCGCAGAACGCGCCTAGAACAATGGGAGTTTCGAACGCTGTTGTGAAGAGATCCACGAGGAGCTGGCAAATGTGGATGAGGTAACTGTTAAGTGGATTTGTAGCTGGTTGACTGACTGAACCCAAAGAGTGCTCACTAATGGTTCTTCATCATCCTGGGAAAAAGTGAGAAGTGGGGTGTCGCACGGACCATTTATAAACGACTTGGCTGAAGGAATTGAGGGGATTTGCAGATGACACCAAACTGGGAGGGGTAGCTAATGCCTCAGGAGACAGAATCAGGACTCAAGATGACCCTAACAGATCGTAAAACTGGGCCCAAACTAACAAAATAAATTCCAATAGTTCACAGTTCAGGAGTACACTTGAAACTGGCATTGCCCTGGATTGACGTGGCAATAGCTTTGGTCAAGAGTCTGTGTGTGTGCAGGTTCTGCTGGTGTGCTGGCATCACGGCAGATTTTGTCACAATTACGTATGCTGAATCACACTGCCTAGGTAGATTTTTCAGGCCCCTGTCTGTATCTTTAGATGCCAGATAAAAACTTTATTGTTTTAATGTGCTTTTCAGTGTCACAATTTCAGAGAATTCGTTAGAGGCCTAGAAAATAAAGATTAGTAGTGGGGGTGCTGTGCAGAATTGCCACAATCTCGGATGCTGTTTTGCAAATAACAGGTCGCTAGCCCTCACTGATCATGGAAATAAAACTTGCTTGCTTATTTGTTTTTAATCTGATGACAGTTTCATTTTGGTTCTTAGCTGCCTTGCCCTATTTGGGTTCAGAAAGGTGTGGTATTGATATTGCAGTCAGTAACTTGTCCATGGAACTCATTGCCACTGATGGGCAGGGGGACGTGGCTCAGTTCTGTTGGGTTGGTGAAGCAGACCCCTGCAGAGAGCATGACTGAAGTTTCTGCTCATCGGTTGGTAAGTGGAGAGTTCAGTCCTGCTGGGTGCTGCTTCACAAGTACTCTCCGTGCAAGAAATTCTGTCCTGAAGCAGACCCCACCTCTGCAGGTGCCAGGACCGGCCACCTACTGGTCACCTGATGTTGTCATGACGCCAGATGATTGATAAGTGGGTTGCTCCACCCACTTGTCAAAGTTATCTTCCCGGGTAGAGGGAGATAAAGATCTTGTTATGTATTGAAGTTATCACCCTGGCCACCAGGAGTATCATGTACAGTGGTACCTCAGGTTAAGTACTTAATTCGTTCCGGAGGTCCGTACTTAACCTGAAACTGTTCTTAACCTGAAGCACCACTTTAGCTAATGGGGCCTCCTGCTGCCGCCGCGCCGCCGGAGCACGATTTCTGTTCTATCCTGAAGCAAAGTTCTTAACCTGAAGCACTATTTCTGGGTTAGCGGAGTCTGTAACCTGAAGCGTATGTAACCTGAAGCGTATGTAACCTGAGGTACCACTGTATATAGTTTTCACTCAGGTCCACGTCAGTTACTTTAGGCGGGAAACCCTGGGTTGCTGTTGCTACAATGTTGATAGCCGGCTGCCTATAAAAGCAGGCCGGCTGAGCTGTTTGCTGTTCAGTTCTGTTCCAGCTTACAAATAAAGAGCTGCTTTGGAGAAATTGCTGCGTCGTCTGCTATGTCTACCCACTATTCAACAGATCTGGCCTGCTGGGCCAAAAATGTGTGCCCCCCCCAATATATCAGATAAGCACCTATGATTGCATAGATACTGGCTCCTGTTTTTCAATTGAGAGAGAAGTGAGTCCCGCAAATCCTGAGAGACTCTCTTTTCTTCTGTATTGCTTTGCCTTGAGTACTACTTGTGGCTGAGTGGCACTAATAAATACGGGTTTAGGATGCTCTGCTCCTGGCTTTAATAAAGCCCGGACTCGCAACTAGCAGATGCACAGTGTTTGCAGGTGACGGATTTTCTCATCATGCCTTGCTTCTAAACCTGCATGTGGCTTCTTGTTGGCTATTGTTGGAAGAAAGGCGATTAAGTGCATGGCAGCTCTTTCATAACGGCCTTAGGTCATGTCGGGAAACGCTGGAAATCCAGGATGCCCATTTTAAGAGCATTGTGTGGGCTTTTAAAGGGCTTTAAAGTGTTTTACTGAGCGGACCACATCTGGGAAGTGGCCAGAACCACTTGCTCCAGACAGGTTTGATGCTGACAGATAATTTTAAAGCAGCTGAATGTTACGCACACACATTAAGTTTTGTTGGGGTAACACATGCAGTAAAATGAGGGGGCAGAAAGTGGATTATACCAGTTTAGGCTGCAAGCGGGGAGGATTCCCTTTTCCTTTTTAAAAAATGCTTCCCTGGATTTAAGAAAACCCAACAAACCACACACTCAGCACATCTGCATGCAAGTGGAAAAATAGTGTAGCTGGGAAAGCTCAAGTCTGGAACATTTCTCACTGCTATCCTAGGCTTTTTGTTTTTTAAAATAGCAGATTGGTGTGTTTTTTTATAATGTGGACTCCCGCCTCCCTCAGCAACCAACCCCTCCTCTTCACCTGCAGGCTAAGGTGGCACAGTCTATTCTACCACCTCGCTCCACTGCTTGTGGAGAAAGTTGTTTTTTTCGCATTACATTTATTCCAAATTAGCGGAAGCAGGTGAACTGGTTGTTCCAGATTGAAAGTAATGTGCTGTGATGCGTGCATCTGTATGTATATAATCACTCAGAACAGTATATATTTTTAAGTGAGGCGGCCGAGGCCGTACATGGAATTTGGGTCATAGAATAAGAGAATTGTAGAGTTGGAAGGGACCTCGAGGATCATCTAGTCCAACCCCCTGCAATGCAGGAATATGCAGCTCACCCGTACAGGGATTGAACCCGCGACCAATGGTGTTATCAGCATCACACTCTAGACAACTGAGCTATACAGTGGACGCTCGGGTTGTGAATGTGATCTGTGTGGGAGGCATGTTCGCATCCCGCAGCGCCGCATCTGCTCATGTGCAAAGCGCAATTTAGTGCTGCTGCGCATGCGCGACCGCTGAAACCTGGAAGTAACTCGTTCCAGTACTTCTGGGTTTCGGCGGGTCCATAACCTGAAAAAACGCAACCTGATGTGTCTTTAACCCGAGATATGACTGTATATGACAGATAGATTTGTACACAGGAAAAAGTCTAGTTTAGCAGGGGCAAAGAACAGGGGATGTAGGACTTTTTGTTGGGAAAATTGCATGGGGGGGGGATGAGTCGCTGCTCTCCCACACCCTGATGTAAAAAGCACAGCTTTTGCGCATAGATGGCGCTTTAGAAATGATAAGAAAACAATACTCTGGCAGTGCTGGCCGAACAATTGTTGCCCCGTCCCCCTGGTTGTTCCTTTTTTCCTAGCATTTCCTTTCCTCTGCAGTGAGAGGATGCTAACTAAAACCTCCTCGTTTCCTGCGTCCGGAAAGACGCATTTCCCTTCTCCATGGAAAAGGGTTGGAAGGATAGGATTCATGAAGGGGCTGTGGCTTGGAAGAGCCAAGTCGCATCTGCAGGGAGCCTGTCTGCAGTTTCTCCAATAAGTCCTTGACCGAGAGGGGCCAACAGAATTGTTCCAGGTATGGATTCACCTCTCGGCCTTAACTACCCTTTATGATTCTTCCCTGGGGTTCTATCTGGTGGCTCCGAGTTGCCGTACAAGCCTGGGCTGCAACGCAGTGTGCCTGTACGGTCCTGAATAATGAGGACCGGCAACTTGTTATCTGCAAAACGGTATCTTTTATTCTGGCATTTCTGTGCAAAAGCCCCACCCCACGGCCGTTGCTTGAGCCTCTGTTCAAAATGTAGAATCCTGCACCTGTGCTTTGCTTCTGGGAGGGAGGTCTTGCTCCTGCGTTTTGCAATTGCCAGCGATTTAACATTTTTACAGATAATACCAATTTGTGATATTTTTTGCCATGTAAAGTTATCTGGAGTGCCAGTGGGGGTGGAAAGGGGAGGCGTGTTCGTTTCATTTATGTGGAGGTTTATTTCAAGCTGCCCAGGGAAGGGTATATGATGCTCTGCTTACTCGGCTACTTTATTCTTAACAGCAACCCAGTGAGGTAGGCAAGGCTGAAAGAGAGGGGCTAGCACAAAGTCCACCAGTGAACCTCTTGTCTTGACTGACTTTGAATTTGAACCTGGGTCTCCTCAGTCCCAAGCTGCACGAGGAGCAGGAATTCAATAGGCAAAGTTTCTTACCACATAGCATGTGGTTTGGACTTAGGTGAATATTGCAACAGGTTTCTTGAAGGAGGAACATTGTGTAAAGCAGGGTTGGGGAATCTAAGGCCCTGGGGCCAAACCTCCCAAATCTGTCTTTTAATCTGGCCCTTAGGACTCTTTCCAGCCACACCCTCACCTGGTCCTTCTTCAAATCCTCCTCTGGTGTTTTTGCCTGACTGGGATGTGCTCTTGAACTATGAAAATCCCACTTGCTTTACTAGATACAGGCTAGAGATGGGTATGGGAATGTATTTAGAAAGCAGCTGACCATACAAAGGCAAAATTAACTTTCGTTCCTCTGCCCGCCTTTGCCTCTGACCCTGCCCATCCCTGACGTGTGGCCCCCAGAAAGTTTTCCAGAGGTAAGGCGGCCCTCAGGCTGAGAAACTTGCTGCAAAATGGAAGAGAGCCCCCACATTTTAAAGAAAACAAGCCGCAGCTTTTTATTGGAGATGTAACAGAAGAGCTCTGGGTTGAGCTTCCATTTTGATATTTTGAGGATCTATCCCATTCTCAGCTTGTCCCACTTTTTAGGAGCTGCTGCCTTCTGGAGTGTGAACCTCCAGGGAGCTGTCACCTAAACAAGCTCTTGTCACTGCAGAGCTGGCTAGATCACTCCGGGTTTCTAGGGCATAGCCCAGATTTGAGGAGGGCGGAGGGCCTGCTTGCATCGGTTGAAGAATGGCTGTGGGATGTTGTCGGATGAGGGTTGTCTCTGCTAATTGCGGACGCTGGACTTAAGAGTGTCATAAACACACACACACACACATGTTGTCATGCACTCTACTTGTAGGAGGATGCCTGAACTGACTCTTCCTGTCCAGAGAATCTCTGAGCATGCCTAGAATTCATTAGGAAGCTGTATTATACATGAGTCATGCCAGTGGCTCATTTGGTATTGTCTACACTGACTGGCAGAAGATTGTTTTCAGGCAGTGCTCCTGCCCAAACCTACCTGGAGATGCTAGGGATTGAATCTGGGAGTTTTAGCATGCTCTGCCTATGAGTTTCCCTCTTCTCAGAACAAAAGTGCTGCTGTCCAAATAGGGACTTGTTCCCTCAGTTTAAAAGTCTGAATCTCTGCCCAAGCTCTGACCATCTTGCTTTATTTTCTTCTCCTTCGGAAAGCAGGGCTCTCTGGTACAGTGGTACCTCGGGTTACATACGCTTCAGGTTACAGATGCTTCAGGTTACAGACTCCGCTAATCCAGAAATATTACCTCAGGTTAAGAACTTTGCTTCAGGATGAGAACAGAAATTGTGTGGTGGCGGCATGGTAGCAGTGGGAGGCCCCATTAGCTAAAGTGGTGCTTCAGGTTAAGAACAGTTTCAGGTTAAGAACGGACCTCTGGAATGAATTAAGTTCTTAACCCGAGGTACCACTGTATTTAATTCTTAAAACGAGAGGTGTTGGGGTTTACACCCCATAATTGATTATGACTACGTTCTACTACAGTACCTTGTCTTAGAGACTGTCCCCAAAAGCCTGCTGTGTTGTCTGTAGACGGTGCAGTTTTGGCTACCTAAGGATCTTCACAGTTTGCTTTCAGTATATGGGATCATTATTATTATTTCTCATGGGCCAGGATGAGTTCCACAATTAGAAATAGGGTTCTGAGTAGACATAATTTGAGAATTGTGTAGAAGTTGTTAAGTGTATGGTGGGGGCGAGCACCCCCAGAAACGGTTTTTGTTGTTCTTGAGGAAAGAGAAGTTTTTTTTATTGAATGCTTTCCCTCTCTCCACTCCCAAAACATGGCTGTGTCTCTCCTGGGAGCCTGGAATGGGGGCCTGCCACTGAAATGCTGAAGATCAGCTGCAAGGCAGGCAGCTTTGCAGCCTGTCAAGGGAGAGAAGGGAACTATAGCTGGGAGGCGCCTGGCTCCGGCCTCCCCGGGGGACGTTGGCGTGCGGCCGGTTGGCGTTGGATATGCGCTGCTCCTCAGCTGGTCATGCATGCTCTGCCTTCCCTCCCTGTCATCGATATGATGAGCGTGTGGGGAGTGTAAGGAGGGGCTGAGAGCGAGAGTTTTTGGACAGGATCAAGACGGAGGCTTTTCTGGCCAAGGGGGTGGAGAGAGAGGGAGGAAGAAGACTCTGCAGCGTTGCACCGCTGCAGAGAAGAGAATGGGGGCAGGATAGCCTCTCACTCCACCCCAGCAAAGCTCCTGTGCACTAAATGATTGCGAAAACAGCAGGCAGGAATTCAACAGGTGTGGAGGGAGCTTTCCTGTTGAATTTCTGGCCCCTCGTTGTGGCTGCAAAGGCTTGAAAGCCTTAGGTGGGGGCAGCTTAGGTAAGGTACCGGCTACGGGGTTGCCGTAGCAACCGCTGCACTCTTGCGGCCTACGCTCCTGCTGCTAAAGGGAGAGGCCTGCTCTTCTTCCCGAATGGTAATGAAGGAGGCAAATAAAGCAGGTCATCTTTGAACAGAGAAGCAGAAGGGGGAACGTTTCCTTTCCTACTTCTGCCCCCCACCCCGTGGCTTGTACAGGTTCAATCCTAGACACAGCCTAAAGGGAATCTCAAAAAGATGTGAAGATGAAGCTCTGGCTTTGGGGAAGGGAGTCCCGTGGTTTTCGGGGCAGACAGTCTCTCTGCAACCTTTCAGTCCACACTCAGTGCTTTAGATTGTAAAGCAGGAACCATGAACCTTTTATTTCAGCTCGAGGGCCACTTTCCCTTCTGCACGAACCTCCTGAGGGCCACCAGTCCAGGGTAAGGCAGAGCTTAAGGCAGAAGGTGACAGAGCAACAAAGGTAAAATTTACCTTTGTTACAGGAGGCTAGTTTCTACATACACTCGCACACTCCTCCCTTATCCTCCATCCAGCATTATTAGAAAACTTGGATGCATGTAAGGCAAAAACGCTCTGGGGTGTGTGAACCTGGGTTTAGCCTGGGGAGAGCTATGAGGGCCGGATAAAGACCTGGGGGGGGGGGGCACATTCGGCCCCTAGGCCCGAAGTTCCCGACTTCCTCTGCAATCTTATAGTGCTGCCCAGAGGGTGTTTGTGGTTGGTCACAGAGAGAACAAGAGAGGCTTGCAACTGAATCATAGCATTGTAGAGCTGTAATAAGGACGCCAAGGGTCATCTAGTCCAGCCCCCTGCAATGCAGGAATGAGAAAGAGCAGAGCAGGCTGCCTTGAACCCGCCACTGCTCATCCACAGACTCGAGTGCTCCTAGTTAAGGGAGCCAGACAGTCCTTCCCTCTTCCAGGATACTCCATTCCATTCCTGCACCCTCCCTCCCATGATTTTCTCTCTCTTTTCTCTTCCCTTTAGCCCACACACAGAGGACTGATTTTTATTTTCATATGTATGAAAATATACGATTGGGGGGTGGTATAGGGCAGGCCACGTTTTGGGGCCAATTGGGGAGAGGAGCTGTATTCAGTTGTTTTTTGGGGGGGTTTCAACCTGCATGGCACTTTCTCAGCCTCTTGTAGCTGCTGGGGCTAAAGGTTTCTGGCATTTGATTTTAGGGCCCAATAGGAGCAGCAGGCCAAGCAAGGACTTTACACTGGCCGTGTTTCGGTTTGACGGCCGCCGGTTGCCGACCAGTACCCCTCCAAACACACACACATCCTTTCTCTACAGGCCCGTCCCCTTTGCCTCCCTTGCTGTTCTATTTCCTGACAGGCACAAAGCCTGACTTTCTCTACCCACATGGCGGGCCCAAAATACCCAGCAGCTGACATCCTTGCAACTGTCTCCTAAGAGACAGCTGTCCCAAATTCATTCCTGCCTCCTCGCCACCCCACCTCCCCGTCGCCAGTCCCCCGCCATGCATGTATGTGAGTGCATGTTTGCATGTGTTCAGCGGCCCCTCTTCTGCTTGGCCGTGGTTTCGCAGCCGTCAGGTATGGGAACAGGTAAGATGAGGCTAGGAGAACAGACTGCAAGTCTGAAGCCTGCAAAGGAAGAGCATTGTGTGTTGTATATGTGTGCTTGGGGATGTTCGAGGGTGTGTCCCTGTGTGGCAGGGTTTGGAACGTGTTTTCTGGAATCGAGATCTAGGCCAATTTTTTTAAAAAAAAGGAACAGTCGGCCTGGGAATTAAATCTGCTGGGATGCGGGGAGGGGGGATTTTGGAGGGGACGACTGGCACATTCTTTCCAGCCCTGCCCAGTTTTTGATCCAGGAGAGTTTATATGCAGCTGATAAGGGCACTCACTTGGGCTCAGAAGTAAATAGAAGCTGTGGCATTGGATTTGAAATGAAGGGAATCTATACAGGGGTATGTGCTCTCTGTAATAGTACTCTCTGCCCTCCTCCACAATCTTCATTGAGGAATGCCAGAGTATTTAGTGGAGTCGGTGATGCAAGCTTACTGCAGTTGCACTAATAGTTTCTTTGGCATAGTTTTTGTTACCGCTTCTTGGAGGGGGAGGGTTGAGCTATTCTGCCCTTGTTTGGCATCCTGACCATATAAACACTCATGCATTGAGTGCCCACTCCTGTATAACTTGAAATTTCACCAGTCCCTATATTCCTCCCCCCCCCCCCCAGGTATCTTTTGGAAATCATAAGGGCTACAAACTTGACGTGTTTGTGAGGGAGGGAGGGAGATTCTCATGCAAACACAGAAGTATGGAAGATTCACTTGATTGTGGGATGTTTTGGGTATGTTTTTGTGCTAGAGGCAGGGGCAGGGACTGAAGTGGGTTTCACGGTCCCTTTGGGTCAAGTAGCAACTGCTGTTTTGTGAGTTCCTGTAGAGAAACAGAAAAGCCCTGGAGGGAAAAAAGGTCTACAACTTTTACTTGTTGTATGGCGGCGGGGGTGGTTTTGGTAGAATAGCAGCTTTGAGTGGGCAGGAAAGGTTTGGCAGGAAAATGGCTCCGAGTGGAAAGTCAAATCTTCCCTTCCCACAGTCCCAATAAGGACCAGCGTCTACTTCGCTACCATCACTGTAGCTGGTTTTGGTTGACATGTCATTATGCCATGCAGGAGTACTCCTTCAGATGCTGTTGGACTACAACTCCCATAATCCCTGACTGTCAGCCATGTAGGCTGGAGCTGATGGGAGTTGTACTCAGTTATATCTGGGCAGGGGCACCATGCTGGCCACCGCTGATGCAACTACAATGCATAGCGTGGTCATTTTCTTATTTATTTATTGCATTTATATCCCACCTTTTTCTCTAAGGAGGTCAAGACATACATAGTTCTCCCCCTCCTCATTTAATCTCCACAACAACCCTTGTACAGTCATACCTCGTGTTGAATGTGCTTCGGATTGAGCGCGTTCGAGTTGCGCTCCATGGCAACCCGGAAGTAAAGGAGCACGTTACTTCTGGGTTTCGCCACTTGCGCATGCGCAGATGCTCAATGACGTCACGCGCATGCACAGAAGCGGCAAAAAGTGACACGCGCGTGCACAGACGTGCCGTCGCTAGTTACGTTTGCTTCTAGATATGAACGGGGCTCCGGAACGGATCCCGTTCTTATCCAGAGGTACCACTGTAAAGTGGATTAGGCCGAGAGGCAGTGACGGGCCCAGGGTCACCCGGTGAGCTTCATGGCTGAGTGGGGATTTGAACCCTGTTCTGCCAAATCCTAGTCAGACAAGGGCTCTTGGAAGTTGGGCTTTTGTTTTTATGGGTTGTATTCTGCAACACATACCATTGGTGCAATATTAGTGCATCAGTGGTGGATTTATTCTGGACCATCTCCATAAGAACCTGCTGTGTGTCTGCACGTCATTCCACTTTATGAGATATTCTGCGATTCTTGCCTGCCTCGTGTTATTGACTTTATTGCCGCCTAGAAGCCTGCAGGCTTCTCGCAGGCATCTGGTTGGCCACTGTGAGAGCAGGATGCTGGACTAGCTAGGCCACTGGCCTGATCCTGCAAGCGCATCTTATGTTGTTACGTTTGCTCTTGCTCCATAGAGCGACGAAAGGAGGGCCAAAAAAATAAAACCGGAGCATTTGCAGTATGAAAAGCTGCAGGGTTTCCGCAAGATGCACTGAAGTCGTATCTCTGCCCTGAAACCTCTGCAGCCACAAAACAGGGTCACGTATAAACTCTCCAAGCGCAAAACGTCAAGAATGCACAATAAAATGGATGTCTGATCTTTTCCATCCTCATGTTTTACCTAAAATAGGTGGAGTTGCCATCCCCCTTTGCTGCTTGCATCAGGGTCAGACTAACCGCCTCCCCTCCTCCATTTCCTATGACTTGCCTCTTATTTTATTTCCACGTTCCTTGGGCAGCCTCTGGCCAGGCTGAGCAGCCCTGTTGCGGTCAACTTCCCCAGCTGGAAGTATGACAGCCACACCCGGGAGTGCGCTAGCCAGGCTGGAGGGCCTGTTCTGGCAGCTGGCCCTCAAGGGGGGGGAAGCCTTTAGAGCCGGCTGGGCTGCCGCCTGTTTCAGCTCCCCGGAGGGCAGGATGGTCTGCCTGCCTGCGTGCAGAGCAGAAACGAACAAGGTTGTGGAGGCCTAGTCCAAGCGATAGATGACGACAGGGCTTTGGGCAAGCGCTGCCAAGACCTCGCGTATGACTCTGGAATGCTTCCGGAAGGAAGCCTGATTCAACCGGACGCCCAGAACTTTTATCCTGAACCGGGGTTGAGGGGGTGTTGACACAATCCCTCCTTTAAGCTGCTGCTTTTTGCCTACAGGGCTCTTGCCTCAGCCTCCCATGAGCGAAAAGCTGTAGCTCTGTGGCTGAGCACATGTCGTGCCAACGACACCCGTTTCAACCCCTGGGCTTGGGAAAGGCCCTGGGCCAAAACACTGGAGAGAGTCGCTGCCCATCTGTGTGGGAACAGGGGCAGTCAATGTAGTGTCCTCTAGATGTTGAGGACTACCACTCCCATCAGCCCCTGCAAGTGTGATAAGTGGTCAGAGATTATGGGTTTTGTAGTCCAGCAGCGAATGGGAGGGCAACATCTTTGCCACACCAAGTGTGCACACTCCCAGTTGCTTTGCATCCAGTGTGCTCCCATTGGTGGTTTGGAAACGGATGTTAGCCGCAATCCATATCTATCCTATTGTTTCTTATGAAATAGTGTGTTTCCCCTCCAAAACCAGCTTCGATCCGAATTGAGGAAAAGAACCACAGTGGTACCTCGGGTTAAGTATTTAATTCGTTTCGGAGGTCCGTTCTTAACCTGAAACTGTTCTTAACCTGAAGCACCACTTTAGCTAATGGGGCCTCCTGCTGCTGCCGCGCCGCCGGAGCACGATTTCTGTTCTCATCCCAAAGCAAAATTCTTAACCTGAGGTACTATTTCTGGGTTAGCGGAGTGTGCAACCTGAAGCACATGTAACCTGAGGTACCACTGTATCTAGCTGTATGTGTACACAGCCAGTATGATTCAGTGTGATAAGGCAACTTCCCATGAATATATACTGCTAGTAGCCTTTGTGGGACAGTGTAAATTGGGGCTGGTAGACCAGTATGTGCCCCCTCCTTCCCCAAGGGGTCCAGGGCCCCTCCAGCTTCTTAAACTTAGCCTTGACCCATGCCTGTATTAAACAGAATGATGTGACTGAGTCACGAGATGGTGTAATGGACTGTGCTGGCTACAATTGCAAGTGAAATGGGATACCATTTGTGAATCCTTCCCTTATGCTAAAACAAACAAGCACTTTCTGCAAATAAAATAATGTGTGTGCATCGGGGACAAAGGCTCCATTCTAGCCTGTTTCTGACTTTGCTAATTCTCCCGTTTGCAGAGAGGCTTTTGAAAAAACAACACGAGAGAGCATTAAAAAAGCCATTCCCTCCTTCCATCTTAAGTGGCACAGTCTATTCTACTGTTGTTTCAGAAGGATCCCCACTCTATATACAACCAACTGCCTTCTACAGAGTTAGTCCATTGGTCCATCCAACTCAATATTGTCTACTCTGACTTGACATCAGCTGTCTGTCGTATCAGGACATTCCTAGTCATACCTAGGGAAGCCGGGGATTGAACCTGAGACCTTCTGAGTGCAAAACAGATGCTCAGCCACTGAGCTACCACCCTCCTTAAGTGATAGAGCAGGCTGAGCCACTTTCGATGGTGGGGATCCAGTCTTTTGAATGCTTTATGAGCAAAACACACCAGACTTTTCAGCAAACATAGGATGAGCACGGCAGGGAATGGTCTGAAAGTGGTCAATGGCTTCAAGTGGCAAGAAAGGAGATTCTGACTAAACATCAGGAGGAACTTTCTGAAGCTGTTCAACAGTAGAATGGGCTTCCTCGGGAGGTGGTGGGCTCTCCTTCCTTGGAGGCTTTTAAGCAGAGGTTGGGTGGCCGTCTGTCCTGGATGCTTTAGCTGAGATTCCTACATTACAGAGGGTTGCCTTAGATGACGCTTCCAAATGTACAGTTCTATGATTTCATTTGCTTAATGTGAGGAAGCATTTAAAAAAATGCAAGTCGCCCCCGGGCAGCTTGTCAGGCTGAAAAATGTTCCCTCATCCCTGCCTTTATTATTATTTTACTGTTGTTAGCCTTTCTGAGCCCGGCTTCGGCTGGGGAGGGCGGGATATTTTTCGCTTTATATTTTTCGCTCTATAGGACGCACTTTTCCCCCTCCAAAAATTAAGGGGAAATGTGTGTGCGTCTTATGGAGCGAATGCAGGCTCCATGGCTTTGCGTTGCTTCCTCTGAAGCCTGGAGAGCGAAAGGGGTTGATGCGCACCGACCCCTCTCACTCTCCTGGCTTCAGGGATGGCTGCCCGAAGCCAGGAGAGCAAGAGGGATCGGTGCACACTGATCCCTCTTGCTCTCCTGGCTTCTCTTCGCTGGAGAGGTGCTGCGCAGCTTTCCCTCTCTGTGCAGCGCCCCTTCAGCGAAGCAGGAGAAAAAATGGAAGGGGCTCCGTTTCTCCTGCCGCTTCGCTCATGGGGCTCTGCGCAGAGAGGGAGAATTATTTTTTTTCTTGTTCTCCTCCTCTAAAACTAGGTGCGTCCTATGGTCGGGTGCGGCCTCTGGAGCGAAAAATATGGTAAATAAAATTCTGTTATTTGTTATTATTTAGGCTTCTGCTTGATTGTGTCTGCCTCTTGTTCTCCACCCCACCTCAGGAAATGAAGTCGTGGCGGCAGCGCTGCGGATGACCCACCCGCTGTGAAGATGTCCTCCATGGACCCTCTGCCTCCGGCGACCCCTCCGACCCAGAAACCCACGCGCATCATTAAGCCCCGCCCACCCACCAGGCCACGACCGTACTTGCCCCCCAGGCCAGACTCTGCCAGGCTGAGCCGTGGACCAACCCCACCTTTGCCCCCAGAGGGCTCCTCAACTGAGGCTGCCAACGATGGATCCTCCAGGTCGGCTGATCCCCCCTGCAACAGCCAACAGCAGCAGCTCCACAAGCTGCAGAACTCTGGCGCCGTTCGTAAAATCGTCGTGCGCTTCAGCCACACGGAGAAGGAAGAGGCTGGGAAGCCGTCTCAGCCTGCTGTGAACTGCAGCCAGGTGCCTGTCGCTGAGAATGGGGAAGAGAAGATATTGGAGGGGAAGGAGGGGCAGTTGGGTAAGTGAACTTGGCTATAAGGCTATGTGGCTGTTTGTGGCTTCCTTCCCTATTATCGCATTGGCCTGAATATAAGCCTCACTTTTTTTTCCAAATTCTGACCATGAAAAGTTAAAAGTGAGGCTTAAATTCGCTACCTTACAAAGATTGGTTTTTACAATATCGCTGCTGAAACAGACATACGGTAAAACGGAACGGGTGTGAGTGCCTGCAGAATTTTAAGGGAGCGGCTTATATTTGAGTACAGTGGTACCTCAGGTTACAGACACTTCAGGTTACAGACTCCGCTAACCCAGAAATAGTACCTCAGATTAAGAACTTTGCTTCAGGATGAGAACAGAAATCGCGCGGCCGCGGCGCTGCCGCAGCGGGAGGCCCCATTAGCTAAAGTGGTACCTCAGGTTAAGAACAGTTTCAGGTTAAGAACGGACCTCCAGAACGAATTAAGTTCTTAAGCCGAGGTACCTCTGTACTGTCTTTTTTTCTCTCCCCCCCCCCGAATTTTAAAGGTGCAGCTTATATCCAGGTGTGGCTTATATTCGGGCCAATGCGGTATTAAAATATTTATAGATCACACTCATTAGAAAACACAGCAAGGCAGTATACAACATACAGAACTCAAAGTAAGGTAAATAAAAATGTCTTTGGCTGGAAGGTAACCTCTGGCCCTGCAGGCCTTAGGATGCTTCGAAAGCCACGTGCATCCCAAGCTGGAATCTCTGCCCCAAGTAATGGTGAATTGTTTTGCTGCTTGTATAAATTGTGCAAGCAAAGTGTGTTTGAATACCAGCCCAGGCTGGTCCATTAGGCTGAATGGGGTGCTGCTTTGCCAACTTCATTCTGCCCTCAACCACCCCTCTGTCCTTAACAACCAGTGCAGGGAGAGGTGGCCTTAGCTGTTGAATTTCTCCTCTTTAGTGTCAGTATTGCCCTTGCAGGGAGGTGTGATGGGGACACAACTAAAATAGGCTTCATTCACACAACAGTTTATTCCATTTCTTTAGCTCAGAGCTTTCCAAACTGTGTGTCGCGAGATGTTAGTGTGTCGGCTGCGGTGTGTAGGTGTGTTGTGCAAATTCTCCTGGTGCTCCTCCCGGGACTGGAAAGGGGTTAGTTTAAACTCCAGTATGCTAGTAAAACCGAATTACAGTGTCGTGGAATGATGCATGTCTAAAATGTGTGTCACCAACGTGAAAAGTTGGGAAAGCTCTGTCCTAGCTGTTGATTTCCACACTCTACTTGAGCTTTCCAAATTCCACAATCCCTGTCTGTAGGATCCCTGTTCGCTTCCATTTCCGCCCTCCCCCATTCCTCTCATGCATTTATCTTTGAGCCTCAGTGCATGGCAATATCTAAAGCAGTATCCCTTTGCACGGCAGAGGCTCTGTCTTATCTTTGACAAGGCCTCCAGTGTTGCTTCTCTTCTCTTTTTTTAAATTTATGTATTTGGTTGTTGAGATTAAAATTTTACAATCACATATCCAACATACAATATAAAAACAAGATTCCGAAGAATCTCCTGGAATCCCTTGCTCCCCTTTGGGATCCTATTGTTAGCCATTTCCTCCTGCATCTTTTATGATAATCCAAATTGTCTACATCTCCATTGTGTCCAAAATTCACCATTAAACTACAAGTGTTATTCCCATCCTACTAACGATTTTAGCTGTTTACAGTGGTTTTTAAGATAAATTATAAATTTCCCCCATTCCTTATTAAAAATTTGTCTTCCTGATTTCCGACGGTTCCAGTCATTTTAGTCATTTCGGCATAATCCGTCAACTTGATCTGCCGTTCTTCTCTGGTGGGGGCTTTATCTTCTTTTGCTTCTCTCTTTCCCACAGATCCCAGTGAGGATCCCCAGCAGCCCATGTCGCATGTGGTGGAGCAGAACGGCGTCGAGTCGCCAGCCACCTGCCCCTCAGGCTGCCCCTGCGTCTGCCATCAACAGCGGCCAGGCATGGTCTTGGCTTGGGTTCCAGCACATTCCCAGCAGGCCGACTGTGAGGACGGGCCTGCCTCAGACCTTTCGTCCTCTGCGGATGAGGGAGGGCCTGTCTTCCAACACCTCTTGGTGCTCAATGCCCCAGCTGCCCCCAGCCCCCCAGCCTGCAGTGGGCGGCCCCCTAAATCCCGCCGTTCTCCCCGCAGCAAGAAGCCCCCTGACCCACCTCCCTCGGCCAACGGGCACCCCGAAGGCGGTGTGGTCTTGACGGGGTACCGATCCACCGCCGAGCCTCTTCCGCTGCGCTGCCCGCCCTTGATGCCCAAGCCCCCCCGGCGCAGCAAAGCGGGTTCCCTTGCCTCTTTGGATGGCGAGGCCTTGCCCCCCGCCATCCCACCCAAGGCCCCCACAAAACCGCCCCGCAACTCCTTAGTTCCTTTAGCCTACTCTCGCCGGAGTTCCCTGCAGTACCCGCTGGAGATGAACCAAGCTCAAGGCGACACCTGCCTCCTCTCTGCGGTGGAAGGGCTCCTCATGCCTCCCCCCTCAATGCCCCCGCCGCCGCCACCCGTCTCCCAGGTGCAGGCGCCCCTTCCCCTCCCGCAGAACCAGCCCCCCCTGCCCCCTTCCTGCCAGTTGCCCACAACCATGACTCCCCCTCCGCCCTCCCAGCCACCGCCACCATTGCCTCAAGGCCTGCCTCCTCCTCCAACCCAGCCACCACCACCCTTGGGTGAAGGACTGTGTCAAGGTAATGACAGCACCCTGCAAGTGAAAGACATAATTGGGGGGGGGGGTGGCCTGGGAAGGATAAGAAGGGTGAAGTTAAGAGATTTGTTAGGCTAAGATTTATTCAGGATATTCCATGCCTCCTGAAAAGGTCCCAAGGAAATTGGTCAGCAAGGAAAATAATAAAAGACTAAAATTACCCAGAATATTGTATTTTTCCATGTATAAGACGATGCTTTTTGCTTAAAAAAATTAGGCAAAAATTGGGTGTCATCTTATACACGGATAGTGAATGCAGAGGGGGGACGTGCGATTAATGGCAGCAGCAAGCAGGAGATTGGCAGCGGCGATTGGGTGGGTGATTGGTGGCTGCGGAAGGGCCTGCTGGCGATTGGCTGCAGCAGTTGGGCAGGTGATTGGCGGCTGTGGCAAGTGGGCGGGTGGGCTGTTGGCGGTGAGCGGGCAAACAATTGGCAGCTGCGGTGAAGTGTGCGATTGGCAGTGGCTGTGACAAGGGGTCAGCAGTGGCGGGCAGGCGAGTGAGCGATTGGTGGAAGTGACCTCCCCTCCCCCCAAAAAGCTAAACAACTTAATTTCTTAATTTTGGGTTAAAAAAAAGAGAGGTCGTCTTATACATGTTGGTGTCTTATAGATGGAAAAGTACGGTAGTTACCTAAAATAAAATAAAAACGAGTGAGAGCAATACCCTGCTGCCCACACATAACTTTATCTCTGCTCCTTTCCCAATCTCAACTAACTCTGCAAAATTTCTCTCTCACCAGATGGCTGCGAAAATGAATGCCCGACTCCTGGAGACTCTGACGCGGAGACCCCAAATGACGGGTGCGTTGGTGTTCTTCCGCGTGCCCGCAAATTCCTGAATGAAAGGTGTCCATGGGTATTTGTGTGCAAAGAGGATGCTGATCTTGATCGGGGGATGTTGTGATGGGCTTGCCCAGATTTCTGGGTGATTCACAGTGGATATAGGGACATAGGAAGTGAGGCATTATATTTGAGTCAGCTTGCCCCACTTTGGACAAGCCACTGCCTTCTGGAGTGGAGATTGAATCTTGAGAGAGTTGTAACCTAAGCAAAGCAAAGTCTGCACTGTTATCTCTACAGAACTGGTTGGATCACTCCAGGTTTCTAGGGCATATCCCAGCTTTCAGGAGGGCAGAGGGTCTGTTTGCATCAATCAGAGTATGGGGTTGGGATACCGTCTTCTGCAAATTGTGTCTGTTGAAGCAGGAGGCTGGACTTAAAAGTGCCAAAAACACACACAGAGATTGTCATGCATTCTGCTTGTATGATCACTTAGCTGACCTTGCCTGTCCAGAGAATCTCTCAACGTGCCTAAACTTCTACCAGGTCCATTCTAACATTCGTCCATCTAGCTCAATATAATCTACACTGGCTGGCAGCATCTCTCCTGGGGTTTCAGACATGGGACGTTCCTAGTCCTAAACGGAGATGTTGGGTATTGAACCAAGGACTTTCTGCATGCAAAGCAGATGCTCAGCCACTTATTTTTTAAGTGGATCTTACAAGCCTGCAGTCTGACTGCTCCATCATCCTTGGTTCAACCAGTATGGCATCATCTCTTAAGATAATTTACCAGTTAGTTTCTTTCTGCTTCTCCTTCCTTGCAGACACTGCTCGGTGCTATCCCCAAAGGGCCCTGACTGGGGACTTTACCTACAGGATGGTAAGTGGGAAATTGGTGCAGGAAAAGGGTTGAACCTGGATCAAGCCAAAGGCCCATTGAGTACAGCATCCTGTTCTCACAGTGGCTAACTAGGGGCCCATTCTGAGAAGTCAGCAAGCAGGACCAGCACTCTCCTCACTTGTGATTCCAACCAAATGGTATTTAGAGACATAAGGTCTCTGAAAGTGAAGGTAGAACAGAACTGTCATGGCTATTAGCCACCGATAGACCTATCCTCCTCCACTCCTCTCTTTAAAAGCTTTCCAAGTTGGCCATCACTACATCTTATTTATTTATTTCATAGATTTCTATACTGCCTAATACAGCAACAGTGTTGTGGAGCAAATTCCAGAGTTTAACCATACGCAGTGTGAAGAAGTTCCTCCTTTTGTCTGTCACAAATCTCCCGATACTTAGCTTCCATTAGATTGCTTCTGGTTTTCAGGAAATGCTCTGGGGGTTTATTTAGTCCTGCCTTGCGGAACAACAACAACAGCAAGACAACAACAACCACAACAAATACAGTGGTACCTCAGGTTACATATGCTTCAGGTTACATACGCTTCAGGTTAGAGGCTCCGCTAACCCAGAAATAGTGCTTCAGGTTAAGAACTTTGCTTCAGGATAAGAACAGAAATTGTGCTCCAGCGGCAGCAGGAGGCCCCATTAGCTAAAGTGGTGCTTCAGGTTAAGAACAGTTTCAGGTTAAGAACAGACCTCCAGAATGAATTAAGTACTTAACCCAAGGTACCACTGTACAAATAATAATAATAATAATTTATTTATACCCCTCCCATCTGGCTGAGTTTCCCCAGCCACTCTGGGTGGCTCCCAATCGAGTGTTAAAAACAATACAGCATTAAATATTAAAAACTTCCCTAAACAGGGCTGTCTTCAGATGTCTTTTAAAAATAGGATAGCTTCTTATTTCCTTGACATCTGATGAAATGATGCCTAGTAACACAGATCAACTACCAATGCACTATTATTTGATGCGATACAGAATACATCTGCAAAAAAACACACATCAGTCTGGAGGGGCTACGTGTCTCTTTTTGAAACCCTTTTCCATCTCTTCCCTCCTCAGAGCCCCTGTACCAGACGTATCGCCAGGCTGTCATCTCCAAGGAGATCAAGCGGCAAACGGTCCCCCGCAACAGCAGCTTCAGCAGCTCTGACTATGGGGGCCCTTCCCCTGGCGAAGGGCCCGCGGGGCCTCGGGGCCCCATCCCGCACAGCACGCTTTGGCAGGAGCTGCCCGCTGTGCGAGAGAGCGGCCTTCTGGGAAATATCAGCCCCGAAGAGAGGAAGATGCAGGAGGTGAGTTGGCTGTTGTCTTGGGCAAAGTGATCTCCTGCAGTTCTGCCACTGTGAGATCCTGTCATTGGAGATGGGCAGAGACTGAATCTGGGATCTTGTGCATAGTCAGAGCTGAGCCACAGCCTAAGACTGAATGAAGAACTTTTTTGAGCCCAGAACACTTTGAGAACCAAAGACTTGTAGCATTGGAAGAGACCCATTAGTGCTGTTTATTTGGTGTTTTTTTAAAAAATGGGGTCATTTTATAATTGTGCACAACTTTCAAAAGGGTGGCTCCTCATTCACAAATTGCATGTGTTTGTTTTATGTGTTTTAATCGCTCATTCTAAACTTTAGGAAGCAGAACACTTTCAGATGAGTTTGTTCGGTGCTGATCAGTGTTTGAAAAGCATGAATTGATTTTACCCCGGGGCAAACAAAATCCAAACTTTAAATATACAAGTTAATTGGGTTCTCAAGTGGCCCATCATGGGAGATGTGGTAGATAGGTTTGCTTTTCCTGGCATGCCACTTTTTATGGTTCATAGTAATTAATTAGTGAAAGATAAATAGAATAGGTAGGATTAGCTGTGTTCTGTCACATCACACACACGGGCCTGGTTTGCACATCATGCTATTCCAAACCAGAGAGAAGATTGCATCCAATCTGCTCCTCCCTGGTCATTCTGAAGCTGCGCCATGCTGAACTAACAAAGAGCTCGGGTTTGTGTGTTGTCCATACCTGGTTCATGGCTTAGCCCTTTCCAGACTTAACCATGAGCTGCAGCCAAGGTTTGCTGTACGATTTACAGCTTGTGATTTGTCCAGGAGAGCGACACTCCGGCCAAATAATTGCCTAGCTCAGCATGGCACAGTAGCAAAATAGCCAGGAAAGAGTTGAAGCGGCCACGATCTCCCATTCTGCAGCCTGCACGTCCGTGCTAACCATGGTTTGGCGAAGTGCGACAGGCGAAGCAAACCATGGTTGTGATGAGTCCTGCCCATCTCCTCCCACTGATCCTCCTTTCCATGGTTCTTGCCTCTCTGCCATGTCCAGAGCCTTTTTGAGGTGGTGACCTCCGAGGCATCCTACCTGCGCTCCCTGTTGCTGCTGATCGAGCACTTTATGGAATCGCGGGACCTGACAGCCACCATCCTTCTGCGCGAGCACCGCACCCTCTTTTCCAACATCCGCAAAGTCAAGGAGGTCAGCGAAAGGTCAGCTCTGCCTCTTCCTCTTCCTTTCTTCTGTCCCCTTTCCCTATATCGCCATGGGGCTATCCAGAAAAGTAAAGGAAACTGATCTATGATTATGCAGGAAAATAGGAGCCTGCCTTTTATCAAGTCTGGGGACATTTGCAACCCTGAGTTTGAACGTGGGACCTTCTGTATGAAAAGCATGTGCTCTGCCACTGACTTACAGCCCCTTCCCCACTTCTCGTGAATGTCCCATACACACACACACACACTGTATTTTTCGCTCTATAAGACACACTTTTTCCCTCCTAAAAAGTAAGGGGAAATGTGTGTGCGTCTTATGGAGCGAATGCAGGCTGCACGGCTATCTCAGAAGCCAGAACAGCGAGAGGGATCGCTGTGCAGCGCTCCCTCTTGCTGTTCTAGCTTCTGGTTTAGCCGCGCAAAGCCTCTTCAGGGCACGGGGAGCCTTAATCCCACTGCCCTGAGGAGGCTTCACGCGGCTATCCCAGAAGCCAGAACAGCGAGAGGGATCGCTGTGCAGTGCTCCCTCTTGCTGTTGTAGCTTCTGACTTAGCCCCTCTGTCCCTTCCCCCACTTCCCGGAAAAGCCCGCAGGAGCCGTGCTCCCTTTAAACAGCGCGCGGCTCTTGCTGGCTTTTGCGGGAGGTGGGGGAAGGGACAGAGGGCAGCCCCTCAGTCCCTTCACCCACTTCCTGGGAAAGCCTGCAAGAGCCACACTCCCTTTCACGAGGGATGCATACAGGCTCTGCTCAGCGCTCGAGGGATGCATACAGGCTCTGCTCAGCGCTCCCTTTAAAGAATATTTTTTTTCTTGCATTCCCCCTCTAAAAACTGGGTGCGTCTTATGGTCTGGTGTGAAAAATACGGTATATTCATGATGCCAGTCCTTCCCCTTTGGCAGATTTCTGCATGATCTTGAAGGACGCCTGGCCGAGAGCCTGCAGATCTCGGACGTCTGTGACATAGTGGAGACACATGCACAGCAGAACTTCTCGGTCTACATTGACTACGTGCGCAACCAGCTGTACCAAGAGAAGACCTACAGCGGCCTCATGTGAGTGGCAGAAAGAGAGAAGGAAGCAAAAGGAGTTCCGTTGGGAGACTCTTGATAGTTTCAAAGGTCTCTCGATGGGAATAGGGAGCCGCTAGCCAAAGAATCTCTTTCTTTTGCGGTTGGTCTAGCAATGTCGGATTGTGTCTTTGTTTTTTATCTAGCGCATTTAAAAACCATGCTGTTTGGGCTGAAAGGTATTCCAGAGTGGCTTCAGAAAAAGAAAAACAGCATTAAGATGGTCCCTGCCCTCTCAGGCTTAGAATCTAGAAGAGACAACATGAAAGGGAAAAGGGGAGATGAGGGAGGAGGACGAGAACAAGCTCAGGCACCAGTTCTTAAAGTTACCCTTCTAATATTGACCAGCTGGGACGGAGACAGTTCAGGTAGCCCTGTGGAATGGCTGCCTGCTATGTGACGGTTGAGGCAAGGTCAGAAGTGGAGGCACTGAAACAGCCCTTCTTCTTCTTTTGCTCTGCAGCCTGATGGAATAGCTGCTTGCTTGTGTGTTCATAAGAAGCTGCATTATATGGATTCAGACCTTTGGTCCATTGAGCTCAGTATTGGCTACCAATTTTTTATGTTTTGAATGGTTCTTATTTTTATTGGGAAGCTGCCTTGAGTCCTGTGTCAGGCAGAAAGGCAGGGAATAAATATAATAATAATAATAATAATAATAATAATAGATGTTGTTGTTGTTGTTGTTGTTGTTGTTGTTGTTGTTATTATTATTACACTGATAGGTCAGGGCTCTCCAGTTCAACAACATCTGGAGGGCTAGCCCTGGTTTAGGGCTTTAAAGGTAACCACCTGCGCTTTAAATCAGCTCTGGAAATGAACCAGCATAGCCGGTACAGAATAGCATTCATATGCCCCCATCGCTTGCCCCTCTCAAGTAACGAGGCAGCTGTGTTTTGTACCAGAGGAAGCTTCTGAACCACCTTGAAAGGCAGCCCCACGTAGAATGTGTTGCTGTAGTCTAGTCTGGGTGTAACCTGGGCATATATAACTATGGCAAGTTCCATCCTCCCCTCTCTAGGTGGCGCTGCAGCAGGAAGACATAGCCCTCTTTCCTGATCCAATCCTGCCTCCTCTCTTCCTTCTCAGGGAGAAGAACCCCCAGTTTGCCATTGTCGTCACCCGGCTCCAGGAGCTCCCCCAATGCCAGCGGCTCCCCTTCATGTCCTTCCTGCTGCTTCCTTTCCAGAGGATCACCCGGATCAAGATGCTCATAGAGGTGGGGGCTCTGGAGACATTCATAGAACCATAGAATCGTAGAGCTGGAAGCATCTGCCAACCATTATCTATCTTCCCCTGTAACGTGTAGCTGCAGAGGGAGAGCATTGAGAGTTTTCTAAGGCACACTCAGTGCAAGTCTTCAGCGAGGTCCAGCAGAAGTGCTGTTGGCACCTTGGGCAAATGGGAGATGCTCTCCCAGAATCCTCTGCAAATCTCAGAGGTTGTGTGGCAGATGTGTCAATGTGGGAGGGGGTTAAAGGGACACCTGACCATTAGGTCCAGTCGTGGACAACTCTGGGGTTGCGGCGCTCATCTCGCTTTATTGGCCGAGGGAGCCGGCGTAAAGCTTCCGGGTCATGTGGCCAGCATGACTAAGACGCTTCTGGCACACCAGAGCAGCGCACAGAAACGCCGTTTACCTTCCCGCCAGAACGGTACCTATTTATCTACTTGCACTTTGACGTGCTTTCAAACTGCTAGGTGGGCAGGAGCTGGGACTGAGCAACGGGAGCTCACCCCGTTGCTGGGATTCGAACCGCCGACCTTCCTATCAGCAAGCCCTAGGCTCTGTGGTTTAACCCACAACGCCACCCGTTCGTCCAATTGCTTAAGAGCAGAGGGTGCACCTGAAACCCCTCTTCCAGCCCCTTTTCTTCCCCCTCTAACTTTACTTGTTTCTCCTAGAATATCCTGCGTCGGACAGAAGAAGGCTCATTGCGAGAGCAGAACGCCATGAAAGCTTTGTCCTCAGTTTCCAAGGTGAGGATGACACTGATTATGTGAACTTACGAAGCCATCTCAGACCGAGTCAACCCTGCTATTGTGATTGGCAGCAGCTCTGCAGGGTCTTTTCCAGCGCTGCTACCAAATATCATCTCAAACCAGAGATGCCCTCGGTTGACCTTGGAATCTTTGCCACCCAAAGCACCGGATGTGCTATTGAGCCATGGCCTTGTTTGCACTACACTGCTTAATCCTGCTCCTTCCCAATAGTCAGGTGCTAAGTGCCAATGGCTATGTAGCCAGAATGGGGCCGAGGGTGAAGCAAGAGTTGGGGTGAAATCCCAAGTTTCACAGTAGTACACAAAAAAAAAATTGGAAGAAAAACGAACCCAAATTTACCCTGATGAGGACTGAGCATGTTTACTAGCCAAGAAGAATGGAATGGAATGGAGTACGCTGGAAAGGGTGTGGTTGGCTGGAGCACTGCACACTACTGCATTTTGTTGCTGATATTTGCATGTTTGTATATTTTTAATACCGCCTGTTTCCTAAGCATTCCCTTCCCTTTGCGGTAGATCAGCAGTCTCTCGATGAGCACAAGTAACGTGACTCTCTCCTCTCTCTCCTTTTCCCATTCCCTCAATCTCTGACCAAGATAATAGAAGAATGTAACTCTGAGGTGGGCCGCATGCGTCACATGGAGGAGCTCATCCACATCGCCAGCAAGATCGAGTTTGACAAGCTTAAGGTCAGGAAGGCTTCAGCTCTCTGCCTTGCTTTTGGGCTCACTCCAAATAGCTCTTCTCTGATCCTCTCTGCCTGCCTAAATTGTGGGTTGAAAACATTGCTGTGCCTCTTCCTCTTTGCGACTTGTGCTAAGCAGCGTAACAGAGCTCATTACGTTATTTTTCTCCGCTTGGTTCCGAATATCTTCCTCTCCTTTACAACTGTGCCTTGCCCAACCCTTGGAAATAATAAGTCATTTGATTGCGTTCCCTGGAATCAGTACGCTATCTGTGTGATTGGAGCGTTGATGATCTGTGAATTTAGGGTTCAAACCCTCACTCGGCCTTGAAGCACACTGGCTGATCTTGGGCCGGGGTCCCTCAGCCTAGTCTACCTCACAGGGTTGTTGTGAAAATAACATTGCCTATCTGCCGCCACCTTCAGCTCCTTGGAAGAAGAGCAGCACGTAAATGTAACAATAATTGCAAGATTCATGCTATTAATAGACATTGTGAAGATCTTATTTACAGTTAAGCAGTATACACATTCCACTAATTAATTAATTAATTAATTGAGCTAATTAAAACCTTTAAAGCCCTATACGGCCTAGGACCCTCGTACCTACGGGACTGCCTCTCCTGGTATGTCCCACAGAGGAACTTACGGTCTTCAAACAAAAACATCCTGAAGGTCCCAGGCCACAGAGAGGTTAGGCTGGCCTCACCTAGAGCCAGGGCTTCTTCGGCTGTGGCTCCGATGTGGTGGAATGCTCTGCCACAAGAGACTAGGGCCCTGCTGGACTTGACATCTTTCCGCAGGGCCTGCAAGGCAGCTGTTCCACCAGGCCTTTGGTCAGGGCGCAGCCTGACTCCCTCCTTTGGCAATCTTCACAGAACTTTAGCCTAATGGTTGCCATCAATTTGGTTTGAATTAATTTTATAATGAAATGATTTTAGAATGTTTGTACTATTTTATTGTTGTTAGCCACCCTGAGCCTGGCTTCGGCTGGGAAAGGTGGGATATAAATAAAATTTATTATTATTATTATTATTAATTGAGTTAATTACTTAATTAATTAATTGAGTTGGCTTGCTGGTCAGCACCACCCCTTTCGGAGGCAGTGTGCTTCTGAATTCCAGTTGCGGAAACCGCAGGTGGGGAGAATGCTGTTGTGCTCAGGTTCTGCTGCTGAATGGGCTTCCCATTGTGGGCATCTGGTTGGCCAAAATGAGAACAGGATGCTGGACTAGATGGCCCATTGGCCTGATCCAGGAGGGATCACCATATTGTTCTTAATAGACCAGTTAAATATTGCCAGTTGACCATCAACTCTTTGTCAAATATGCCCAGAAACTTTGATGTCAGGGATGCTCAAGAAATTAGCCCGCTGGCCTTATTTACTCACTTAGAACAACCACCTCTTAAAAAAGAAAAGAAAAAAAGTGAGGCTTTGCCATTGCTTCTCTTTCTTTCTGTTTTTAATTTTGGTGTTTTTAGACTTTGCGACTCAAGGCTGACCCGCTTGTTCCAGGATAAAAGCCAAAGAAAGCCCAGAGCCGTTAGTTAATCACTCACAGTTCTGGAAAGTTTACCGTACTTTTCCATCTATAAGACATCCCCATGTATAGGACACCCCCTATTTTGGGGGACTCAAATTTAAGAAAATGGGGGGAGATGGCACAGAGTTGTTGAGCTTTTTTTGCAGAGGATTACCCAGGGTTGTTGAGGTGTTTTTTTTTGGGAGGGGTGCCGATAATCACTCACCCATCGCTAAATCTGCCTCCTGTCTGTCACATCGCCTGCATAAGTTGCCAATCGACCGCCCAAATACGGTACATAAAGGAGCATCAGCCAATCAACACTACCCAGTGTGGTGTAGTGGTGAGAGCCAGTGTGGTGTAGTTGTTAAGAGCGGTAGACTCGTAATCTGGTGAACCGGGTTCGCTTCCCCGCTCCTCCACATGCAGCTGCTGGGCAACTTTGGGCTAGTCACACTTCTCTGAAGTCTCTCAGCCCCACTCACCTCACAGAGTGTTTGTTGTGGGGGAGGAAGGGAAAGGAGAATGTTAGCCACTTTGAGACTCCTTCGGGTAGTGATAAAGCAGGATATCAAATCCAAACTCTTCTTCTTCTTCTACCCATTGACGCAGCAGCCAATAACACGCACAATAGCCGCTGACAACCTTGGCAGCAACCAATCAAATGTCCACCCTATGCACTGCCCATGTATAAGACGACCCCCACTTTTTAGCATGATTTTTAAAGAAAAAAACATAGTCCTATACACGGAAAAGTACGGTGCTTCCCATTGCTTAGAGGAAAGAAAAAGTTAATTTCATTGTTTCACAATGGCCGTTGTTGTTGTCTTTTCAAAAAAAAAAATTAGTGTAAGTGTAAAACCTGTAAATAATTAAAGCACCCTTGTGTTTGATCGGATGAAGTTAATGCTGTCTAAAAAACATTTGACCTGACACTTGAACACACACACACACACGTCAAATGCTCAGCAGAAAGTAATCCAAGTTGGTGGCCTGTTTTGGGGGCTTCAATTCTGCTTTGATTTCTCTTTGATCCAGGCAGTTCCCATCATCTCCCAGAGCCGGCAGCTGCTGAAACAGGGTGAGCTGTTGGAGGTGGTGCACCGGGGCACCATCTTTGGCACCAAGCCCAAACTGGTCCCCATTTACTTGTACCTCTTCAACGACCTGCTGCTCATCACCCAGCGGAAGAGGTGAGCTGAAAAATAGCGAGCTGCCTTACAGCAGAGTCAACCAGAGTCTTGGCCCATCTCCCTTGGTATTATGTGCAGGGGCTCTCCAGAGTTTCAGACAGGAGACTTATTCCCAGCCCTACCTGGAGATGCTGGGGATTAAGCCCTGGGGTCTTCTGCATGCAAGTCAGATGCTCTGACCTACGACTCTTGGCTTATATGGGGTTCAATCCCATGATCTTGGTGGTATCAGCCCCAGGCTGAGCTAACACGCTGGATTTTTTTCTCCTTGGCAAGGAGTGGTTGAGTAGGTTGTGCTTGGCCCCCCAACAAAGGAAAGGGCATGCAAATTTTGGACAGGGTCAATATGGGGAAGGGAAGGGATCTTAAGAAGTGACTCATGGGGCAGAGAAGCAGAATCGGGTAGCTGAAAGCCTGCAGCCTGTGATACATTTATACAAATTTTAAGTCTCAGTCAGTTGCCCGCTTTCCAAACCTGTTGCTGTATTCTCAAGGACTAGAAATTTTAAAAATAATAAGTTCGGTTTACAAACGGAATCCGTTCCAAAAGTCTGTTCTTAAACCGAAACCGTTCTTAAACCGAGGCACGCTTTCCCTAATGAGGCCTCCTGGTGCCCTTTCACTGTTCGGCTTCCATTCTTAGACTGAGGTAAAGTTTGCAAACCGGGACACTCCTTCCGGTTTTGCGGAGTTTGTAAACCGAATCATTCGTAAACAGGACTGTTCTTAAACCGAGGTACCACTGTACAGTCAAACCTTGGTTTCTGAACGCCGAAAATCCAGAAGTAAATGCTCCAGTTTTTGGATGATTTTCGGAAGCTGAATATGCTACTGAACATGCTACCCTATTGTATTGAGGCTTCTGCTTTCAGTTTTCAGTTGTCGAACACTTCAGAAGTCAAACGGTCTTCCGGAATGGATTACATTTGACAACCGAGGTTTGACTGTAATCATAAGAGTGGAGATTGCCCAAGTGTTGGCTGCTTGTGGGGTGTGAACATGGCAAAGCACACACCAGTCTATTTAATTCCACTTTGCTGAAGGAATAGAAGCCATTTTTCAAGATGATGTTTTCTGCAAAGAAATGGGGCTTATACGTGCACATTGCGGTTTAGCAGTCCCTCTGCTATAGGTTTTCTCCTCTGCTTCACCCTCTCCTGCAGTTCAGAGCGCTTTGTGGTGCTGGATTATGCCCACCGCTCTCTCGTCCAGGCCCAGGGCTGCTGCGAATCCTCCACAAGCCACAGCGCGGAGAACAGCTTCTACCTGACGCTGCTGGAGAACCACCAAGGACGGAACAGTGACCGGCTCTGCCGTGCCCCAACACAGTGAGTGGCAGAGATCAGGCTGGGCGTGGGATTCGGGAAGAAAATGACAAGTAGCTAAAGCCCTGGTTCTTACATAATGCAAACCCGTTGTTGATTCAACCGTGGTTTCTTACACCTTGGCTTTGCGTTGCATGCAAACTCTGCCCTGGGGCTTCCCTATGGTTCTGATGCATTGAATCACTTTCCAAAAAAACATTCTTGCAGGACGGCAATTGCCTCACCTCTTCCAGAACCAGCCCACCATGGCGAAAGATGCTTTTCATGGATTTGTCATTTGTTTTCAGGTCAGATATGCACCGCTGGATGGGTGCTTTTCCTCGCCATGAATCCCAGTCGGTTGGCAAACAGGAAACCATCTATGAGGACTGGGGTGAGACACATTGGTTTCATGTACACACTGCCTAAAATCTGCTCTTGTCATTACTACCAGCTAAATTTATTTGCTTTCTTGTTATATTTAGATCCCATATAATATAATACAATAATATAATACAAATACAAGGAGTGTGTGTCCCCCCCAAATTTTTTTTTATTCTCCTGACAACCTTGTGAGATAGGTTAGCCTTAGAGAAGGTGTCTGGCCTAGTATCACCCACCTGAGCTTCACTGCCATGCAAGAATTTGAACTCGGGTCTCCCAGGTCTTGGTCTGAGGCTGTGTACACACTATGTCTCTGGAGTCCATTCAAAGCCTGTTCATTCCCTCAGAGAATTCTGGGCGTCGTAGTACGTTAAGATTTGCTGGGGATTGTAACTCTGTGAGGGGTAAACTACAGGGCCCAGAATTCTTTGAGGGGAAAGAGTGTTCCTTGAATGTGCTTGAAGGGTATGTAGTGTGTATATAGCCCAACGCTCTAACTGCTTCAGAGGTTGGGTTTGAATCAGGATGGTGGTGCTGGGATGGCAGTGGTGGTCAGCCCCCATGTACATTGATTTTCTTGGATTTGTTTATAAAAATACTTGTATACCACAATTTCATTTTTTAAAAAAATACCAAGTCGGTTTACAGCAATTATACACAGCATACATAACGAAAACCACATCGAGATTTAAAATTATAGATCAGCAGCTAACTGTGACAGGAAATGTTTTTCTTCATGGTCTGTGTAAGCCTCACAATTGTAAGCTGCACAAGCTCACCAATATAAAATGATGCCTTCACCTTAGAGCTGCGGTTCCCTTCAATTACTGGTAACTAGTAAGTTATTTCTTTGAGGGCAGGACCCTCTTCCCCTTCCTGGTCATGAACCATAATCCCCAGATTCCCAGTGTTCATTTTCTGGTTTTTAAATAAGAAAAAGAGAGCAAGTTTCTAGTGTTTGTAGAACCTGCAATACAAGGCAAAATGTACTATTCTCATTGTTTTTCGTGAGGAACAGGTCTGTGTCCAACCTGCTCTCAGTGTTTAATTTGCCTCCCCCTGGAACTATTCTTGTGGATGTGTGTTCCTTCCTCCATGACTGTGTGTCCAATTATAGGAAGATCATTTTCACCTATATCTGTAAACCTCCCTGTACCCTATGCCAATGCCACTTTTTCCTTCTTTCACCCTCCCTCCTTCCCTCTTTCCTCACAGACTGCCCTCAGGTGCAGTGCATTGAGACCTACTCTGCTGCCCAGGCCGACGAACTGAGCCTAGAGCCTACAGACATTGTCAATGTGCTACGCAAAACCAACGAGGGTATGTGTGTGTTTAATATCGAAATGCGCGTACGTTTAATAGCGACGTGTGTGGAGTTATCGAATCACTCTGTAAAAGTGTCACTTATCCCAGATAGATAAAGGGGAGGCGGGAGACATTCATCACCTAAGGTATGCCATGTTTAAACATGGAGGTAGTTAAAACTATGGAATTTGCACCCAGAGGCAACATATGGTTCTGAATCCCAGTTCCTGGAAACCGCAGGTGGGGAGAGTGTGGCTGCGCTCGGATCCATCTTCTGGCCTTCTCACCAGGGCATCGTGAGAGAACAAGATGTTGGACAGTATGGGCCATTGGGCTAGTCCATCAAAACTCTTCTTAAGTTCTTAGAAGGCGGTGTTTTTTGAAGTTGAGGCCTGTAGCTACCGAAAGAACGGTCCTCCTTCAGTTTTTGACACACACACACTCCCTGCAATCTAGGGCCCACACACTTTATTGATATGCTGTGTTCTGACCCCAGCCTTCCTGCGAAGCAGCAGGGCTGCTCTGGAAGCTTCTGGAAGCTTCAAACCCAACTCCCGAGAGAACCCCCCCTCCTAGTGGCTTTGAAGGTGAGGAAAGGGGCGGACAGAAAGCGAGAGGCTGACGGGTATCCTTCACTTTTCCTCCCCTCTTGTAGGCTGGTATGAGGGCGTCCGCCTGACCGACGGCAAGAAGGGCTGGTTCCCCTCGCGCTACGTGCAGGAGATCACGAACGAGCATGTGCGGCGGCGCAACCTCCGCGAGCGCTACCGCGTCCTGCAGGCCGCCCGCCAACTCCAGCTGACGCGCACCAGCCACACGAAGAGCAAGTACAGTTCGGCCTGAGGCGGCGGGCACAGAGCCACGGAACGAGGATGTTTATCTCACTACTGGGCTCAGACTAAGAGCAACATCTGCTCTGCTCAGGGCAGGAGAAGCACTGCCACAAAGGGGGGCACCAAAGATGGCAGCAGTAGGTGGCGCTAGAGGGGAGCAAGACCAATATATAGCACATGCCCACAATGCTTCTCGCTGGACGTAGACTGTAATGCCACAAGTGGGCCACTGGAGGCGTCGGAGGCACACCACCCAACCTGCCTGCTTTGCCTGCTGTTTGCCAGAAGAGGGCGGTATTGCCAGCATCTTCAGCTTCATTGCACTGTGCACAGAGCCACTTACGGTTGGTTCAACTACAAACTCGTCCGAACTCTTCAGCACTTGTCCTGCTTGGTGGGGGAGCTCAATGCCCAGGGCGATGACAGCCAACTTCCTCAGCCAGAGGGAGGGGTGGGTAGGTGGGCCGCCTCCAGCAATTCTGCATGGGAAAAAGCCAGATCGCCCCACCCACACCCATGGCATCATTGCCAGGCCAGATGCATTGAGGTAGATGATTCAGGGGCACCCGCAATGACAACTTTTGTCAGCGCAGGGATTATTTTTTCCTGTCTGCGCGGGTGGCGCTGTGGTCTAAATAACAGAGCCTAGGGCTTGCCAATCAGAAGGTCAGCAGTTCGAATCCCCGCGACGGGGTGAGCTCCCGTTGCTCCGTCCCTGCTCCTGCCAGCCTAGCAGTTCGAAAGCACGAAGTGCAAGTAGATAAATAGGTACCACTCTGGCAGGAAGGTAAACGGTGTTTCCATGCGCTGCTCTGGTTCACCAGAAGCTGGCCACATCAGCCAGTAAAGCGAGATGAGCACCGCAACCCCAGAGTCGTCCGTGATTGGGCCTAACGGTCAGGGGTCCCTTTACCTTTACCTCCTGCGCTCAGAGGGTTAAATTTATGTGCTTTCAAAGACTGGGTCCCTTTTTCACACAGAGAGGAGCAGCTAGTTGGAGCCTCCATTTTCCAACGCCTGTTAACAATGCGGGAGGTGGGCACTCCATTTCAAAGCAGGGTTGCAAGTGTAGTCCGCCCCATTCCCAGAATCAGATGCCTGAACACAGCACCTTCTTTGCCAGCAAGCTGGAGCCGGATTTGCACACAGCCCCCATCCTCCTCTGGATACAGAGGGTCAATTCCACGTGTGGGTAAACTGACCCAGAACCTGCCCCACGGCCTCGTGGGCATGATGCTGCTTCCCACGCCCTACCCCTGGCTCTGGAGGGTGCCCTAACTGTGGGGTTGGCCGTGCCTTTTCCTATCAGGCCATGTTAGGAACCTGGGATTTACCTTTTGCAAAAGTGGGGAATCCCTTCCTCTTGGTGCCATCGATCTCTGCTAATATTGCAGAGACTCTCCCTGCTGTTCTTCGCCTCAGGGCCCTCTCTCTACCTCAGCGGCTATGCTCCTTGCCAACTAGCACCCCCGCTTCTCCTTTAGCCCTTGCAGGGGATTGGGGCCTCCTGGCTCTGCCCACTTTTCAGGACTCGGCCGCTCATTTCTTCTCCTCTGGCGCTGGCGTCTGATCTGCTTGCCCCCCCCCCGCCTCCAAATGCATTTCCCTACCGCCAATGTTGCAAGCCTGCCAGAGTTTCCTCGGCCTTTCTTGCATCTTCTTCCCTGCTTCCACTCTCGAAACGTGGCCACGGACCGGCTTCTATTTATTATATATGACAGCCTCTTAACTCCTATATCCTAGAGGAGGAGATTTCTGCACCCCCACCAGCTCTGGTAGCATCAAGGAGGTGCGGACGAAAAAGATGTTTAACTTATTCTGTACCATATTTGCCTGCACTGTTGTCTTTTCGTTTTCGTTTTGTGTTTTTCTATCGGAATTGCTTTTTTAAAAAAATGAAGATGATGGAAGAACATTGTGGCAATGGGCTTTTTCTCTGCCTGCAAGCGGCTCCTTCTCTGGTGTTTGCAGATCCTTTTAAAATACTGGTGACATTACTTTTTCCTACGTCCATGCTCCATCCACATGGGGAGATGAGAACACTGTCTTAGCCAGCCCTGTAGTATCCACTACTGTACCAGTGGCTCTTCTGACCCTTAGGCTTGCGGTTTCCTACATTTAAAGATTCTTCTGAGCTCAAGCCCCTTCCCTTTCCAGACAAACGGGGGGAGGACCTGCTATTTTGGATCCACTAGTCGGGAAAAGGACAAGGCTCAATCAGCCTGTCCCGAGAGAGGCGGCCATTCTGCAATGTCAGCATTGGGTGCTAGTGGATTTTTCAACTCCTTCAGGTGCAGAAACACAGCAGCAGGAGCGGTTGCTTTCAACGGGAGGTTGGCAAGTGTGTCTCTGTGCGAGTTGCTGGACTGGTCTCCTTCTAGCTGGAACAGGCATCCAGATGAGGAAAGCCTATTCTGCTAGAGCAATCTGCTTTTGGTAACCTGCTGCCTGCCAGACGTCTTGGACTGCAATTCCCGTCAGCCCCAGCCAACACATTATTAAAGTGGGCAAGGCTGATGAGAGCTGTCATCCAGGGGGCAGGGGAAGAAGAGGGCCACATTCCTTTGCTGGGGCGGGGGGTGTATGGAGCATAAATGTTGCTGTTTTAATGCAGGCTGTTTCCAAACACACTCCCACATCTTCCAGCCAAGAAGAAAGCATTGTCAAAGTTCTGGCCAGGCAAAAACATTTGGGGCAAAGCAGGACCAGTGAGGAGTGTGCAGTCTGGGGACTGTTCCAGGGGCCAATTAAGAGATGCCTGGAGGGCCACACTGGTCCCTCCCACCCCTGTTGTAGTCCAGAAATATCTGTTGGGCACCCCTAGTGCATCCAATTCACATACTTTTGAAAGTAAGCCAGTGGGGAGGAAGGGTGTGCCTCTGGTTATAATTCAGAGCGGACATTTCCAGATTATATAGACCAGCAGTTGGACTTGACAGAAAGCTGCCTCAGATCTTCACAAGGAAATGGTTCCTTAGACCCCAATGCTCAAGAGTGTCTTTCTCACACATTTGACTGAGAGATCTTAGGCCAAAGCGCTTCCCTTAAAGCAAGGGATCGCCTCTTCCCTCAAATCTGCGGACAGAAAAGAGTCTAGTATAAAAGGTAGATTTATTTGGTGTTCTGTGGAACAGCCACGCCAATAACTTAATGCACGCTTTGTACAGGAAGCAGCCGACGCATGTCCACCCTACCAGCCAGACTAGGGCTGAGGGCCAAAAAGAAAAGCCCACAGGATTATGGGAGATTACGCAAGGCCCCTGTCTCACAAGTGCCAGCCAGGCCTTTCCCTCCTCACCCCAGGGCAGGGGAGCTCCTGGCTTAGGCATGCTGACAAATGGAAAAAACATTCCTCCCTCCCTCCCCCAACCAACCACGTTTTCCACATACTGCTAAAAAGACATTAGTCACACTTTGCAGATGCCCCAAGAGAGGTGCGTGTGTGTGTCTGAGTAGGTGCTGCCTTGATCACAGTGTTTAAAATACTTCAAAAATCAAGCATAAAAGGGACCCCTGCTGCTGCATAAGGCAAGCTCTCCTCTGTTGCTGTTCCACCTCGAGGTTAGGCCACAATCCACACCAAACATTTACAGCACTCTTATACCACTTTTTTAAACCATGGCTCCCCCTCACAAAAGAAACCTAGGAACTATAGTTTGTTAGGGGTGCTGAGAGTTGTTGGGAGACACACACACAGAGCCCCAATTTCCGGAGTTCACTAGGAAGAGGGACTGATTGTTAAACTACCCTGGGAACTGTAGCTGTGTGCAGGGAGGAAGACCACATCTTATATTTAATGCATAAGGGCTTCCACCAATGAATCATGGGAACTGTAGTTTGCCTCCAGAGCTACAATTCCCAGCACCCTCAGCAAACTACAGCTCCCAGGATTCTTTGAGGGAGCATGACTTTTCAAGTGCTATAACCAGCTTTAAATGTATAATATAGGTAAACTTGAAATGTATAGACAAGCCCCTTTTCCCTTCCGTGGGAATTAACAGGTTACCTCTCATTAACTTACTTCTCCCTTAATACTGATTTTACCCTGTGCCTATAGGAAGAGATTTTTCTCTTCATCCTCCCCCTGCCTTTTTTTAAAAAAAATGGTGCAATGAAACGAAGAAACACCTTCCACTTAGATCCTCAACCGCATGCGGTTGGGAATTATAGATGAAAAACACTCTGCAGTTGCATTCTTTCACAAAATGCAGCTTCGGTGTAACAAAGACACTCATATAAAAGGTGGGTGGAGGGAAAGAGTGAAGACCTGGGGCAAAAACAGAACAGCAGCAGTACATATATTTGTAGGAAAAAACCCCAGAGGTGCCTTGATTTGAGCAAGGGACTAAAAAATGTTTAGAGAATGATTGTGCTACTGCTAAAACAACTGTATCTCCAGTTGGCTGGGCCATGCTGAGAGAGGGAGGCACTGAAAACACATCCTGAACAGGCGACATTTTGTTAGAGACAACCTGTCATCTTCAACCCACATATTATGGGGTGGGGGGGAGGTTGGTGGAACGCCACAAGGCAGCAGTGGCTGCTCCCAGCACTAGTAGTGACCCAAAGTTCAGTGCCAGGCAAGGACCGTATCCATCAGCACCGGACATAGAGTTATTTGTTTCCCTCCATTTTCGAAGGCACCAAGGAAGGCAGCAGCCGAGCCGGAGAGATGGACCCGCCTGCATCTGCCCCCCCACAAGTCTCTTCCTGCCAGTGTGTTGACCACCGCGGCCCACTCACTGCCCCAGGACCGGGGGGGGAGCTGGTGTTAGGGGTCCACAAACGAGACCATGATGTAGCGGGTCCCATGGGTGGTGGGCAGTCCTTCGTGGTAGTGGGTGAGGCGTCCGGGGTGCAGCAAGGTCCATCCCTTGCGGGGGGATTCCACTTTGCAGTTGTAGCGGATAAACCGGCAGCCGCCTCCCTTCAGGAGGGTGAGGAGAGGAGAAAGAGAGAGAAAAAGTATGTCACAAACTGTGTTTGAGGCTCGCATGTGCTTGTGTAAAAGGGTGTACAATTGCTGATTTGCACAGCTCAGCAGTTATACGTACAGACTGTGCACTTGTTGAACTATGAACATGCAGTGTTCGCATTTTTTAGTCAACGAAAGTACAGTATTTATACCTGTGTAAGGCTAAGGTACAGGGACGCGGGTGGCACTGTGGTCTAAACCACAGAGCCTAGGGCTTGCTGATCATAAGGTCGGCAGTTCGAATCCCCACGACGGGATGAGCTCCCGTTGCTCGGTCCCTGCTCCTGCCCACCTAGCAGTTTGAAAGCACGTCAAAGTGCAAGTAGATAAATAGGTACTGCTCTGGCGGGAAGGTAAACGGCATTTCCATGCGCTGCTCTGGTTTGCCAGAAGCGGCTTAGTCATGCTGGTCACATGACCCGGAAGCTAGGAAGCTATACGCCGGCTCCCTTGGTCAGTAAAGCAAGATGAGCGCCGCAACCCCAGAGTCGTCCGTGACTGGACCTAACAGTCAGGGGTCCCTTTACCTTTTAAGGTTAAGGTAAAGGATCCCTGGATGGTTAAGTCCAGTCAAAGGCGACTATGGAGTTGCAGTGCTCATCTCGCTTTCAGTCCAAGGAAGCTGGTGTTTGTCTGCAGACAGCTTTCCAGGTCATGTGGCCAGCATGACTAAACAGCTTCTGGTGCAACAGGACCCTGTGACAGAAACCAGAGCACACGGAAACGCCATTTACCTTCCCACCGCAGAAATACCTTTTTATCTACTTGAACTGGTGTGCTTTTGAACTGCTAGGTTGGCAAGAGCTGGGACAGAGCAACAAGAGCTCACCCCATTGCGGGGATTCAAACCACTGAACTTCTGATCAGCAAGGCCCAGAGGCTCAATGGTTTAGACCAGTGGTCCTCAACCTTGGGCCTCCAGATGTTTTTGGCCTACAACTCCCATGATCCCTAGCTAGCAGGACCAGTGGCCAGGAATGATGGGAACTGTAGTCTCAAAACATCTGGAGGCCCAAGGTTGAGGAAGCCTGGTTTAGACCACAGCGTCACCCGTACTTTTACCTGTACACACACACAAAAAACCCCAGATCCAACTCCTGCCCTCTAGGGGGCGCTCACCTCGTAGTCGATCCCTTTGTGGTTCAGCGCAACATTGATGGTGAAAGTGGAGGAATCGTGATGTGGCCGGAGCGAGGGCTGCTCATCCGGGCGGTAGCGGACCATGAAATTCATGATCGCTCGTGCCTGCAGAACAGCAGTGAGTCAAGCATTGTCTTCGGTAGAATGGCAAATTGCACATACACACCCACACCCCAAATAAGAATAGTGGAAATAATTCAGGAAACGCCAGACTTTGCTGCTGTGCCCAGGCTTATAAATAGCCACCAGATGTGAGAAAAAACTTCAAGCTTTCGGGAAACTGGAGATGGTCTGATTATGCTCCTCCCCCCTCTGCTTCCTTCCAAAGCTTAGCACAGTTTCCTATTCATCTCCCCACTTGGGCTCTTTGCAGCGACCCTTTTCCCAACCCCTCAGCTGTGATGCTTCATCAGGCAGGCAGGATGCTCCCCCCCCCCCCACAAACCCCAGGAGCCGGTACCTTAGTGTAGTAGCCGGGATAGAGCTTTTCTGTGACCGGAGCGATGTAGTCCTGCAGGAACTGCAGCCATTCCTTCTCAAAACCAATTTGGTTCATGTGGATATCAACGGTCGGGACATTCTCATAGCCACCAGCCAGCCGGGAATCCTGGGGGAGGCAAAATCGCCGAGGCAAATGGTACTGAGAAACCAGCAGCATACTGGCAAATTCCGCCACTGCCTTTTCTAAGATTCTACGATAATCTTATAATAAAACAATAACAAAGATTAAGGATGTCGCAAGCCACATTTGCCTCCCCTTGCCCAAAATTTCAAGCTGAAACCTCTCCTGGGAGTGTACGGTCCCTTCTGCCAAATTTAGCAAGTAAAGGTATATGAAAGAATACATGGTGCTGAAAAAGTGGATAGGAAGATGCTTTTCTCCCTTTCTCTTAATACAGTGGTACCTCGGGTTAAGTACTTAATTCGTTCCGGAGGTCTGTTCTTAACCTGAAACTGTTCTTAACCTGAAGCACCACTTTAGCTAATGGGGCCTCCCGCTGCCGCTGCGCCGCCAGAGCACAATTTCTGTTCTCATCCTGAAGCAAATTTCTTAACCTGAAGCACCATTTCTGGGTTAGCGGAGTCTGCAACCTGAAGCGTATGTAACCTGAAGCGTATGTAACCCGAGGTACCACTCTACTAGAATTCAAGGATAAGGAACATAAGGAAAGACCTGCTGGATCAAGTCAAGGACCGATTTAGTCCAGCATCCTGTTCTCACAGTGGCCAAGCAGATGCCCATGACGGGGAGCATGCAAGCAGAGCCTGGGGATGTTCAGGGAAGCTGAAAGTTGGTAGAATCAGGACAGAGGAAAAAGGCAGTAACTTCTTCATGCAGTGTACAGTTAAATTATGGACTGTGCTCTCACAAGGTGTAGCTGATGGCGTCACCAAAACTTAGATGGCTTTAGCATAAGATTACAGTGGTACATCTGGATGCGAACGGGATCCGTTCTGGAACCCCGTTCACATCCTGAAGCGAACGCACCCCACATCTGCACATGCGTGGGTCGCGATTTGCCGCTTCCGTGCATGCACGTGACATCATTTTGAGCTTCTGCACATGTGAAGTAATGCGCTCTGTTACTTCCAGGTCGCTGCGGAGCGCAACCCAAAAACGCTCAACCTGAAGCACATTCAACCTGAGGTATGACTGTATGGAGAAATTCAGGGAGGATAAGGCTATCAACAGCTGCTAGGCCAAGATGGCTGTGTTCTCTCCCTTCCCTCTTGGAGGCAGTAAACCTCTGAATAATAATAATAATAATAAAAGGAAAGGACCCCTGGATGGTTAAGTCCAGTCAAAGGCAACTATGGGGTTTCGTCACTCATCTCGCTTCCAGGCCAAGGGAGCCGGCGTTTGTCCACAGTCAGTTTTCCAGGTCATGTGGCTAGCATGACTAAACCGCTTCTGGTGCAACAAAACACTGTGACGGAAACCAGAGCGCACGGAAACACCATTTATCTTCCCACCACAGCGGTTCCTATTTATCTACTTGCACTGGTGTGCTTTTGAACTGCTAGGTTGGCAGGAGCTGGGACAGAGCAACGGGAGGTCACTCCGTTGTGGGGATTCGAACCGCCAACCTTCTGATCGGCAAGCCCAAGAGGCTCAGTGGTTTAGACCACAGCGTCACATGCATCCCTACAACCTCTCAATACCAGCAGCTGGAAACCGCAGTGTGCATGTGTTTGGCCTCTGTGAGAATAAGAAAAAGTGTCAAGGCTAGACGAGCCTCTGGCCTGAACCAGCAAAGCTCTTCTTTATGGTAGTCCCGAAGAAGAAAGGAGGGCTCCCACCTCATGCTTCCCTCCGGACCACTGGCCAAAGTTTTCTGCCTCTTCCACCAGCTCATCACACATCTGGTCGGTGAACACGGGGAACCAGTAAACGTCAGGGCAGGGCTGCAAAAGGGGAGAAGTGTTGGCGTGAGAGAGAAAGGAGAGTTTCCGAGACACAAGATGCACGATGCAAAGGCATGGCAACCGAGAGATGCTTACCTGCTCATAATAGTCTGCCTCCAACACCTGAGTGTAATTCTCATGGATATATTTCTCCTGCCAATCCTAAACAAAAGGGGGTGGGGGACAGAGACATTAAGGGATCCAGGGAGTACATATTGGATTTCCCAAAATGACAAAGAGCAAGTTCCTAGACCTCATGGTTGCAGAGAAATGCTAAAAAATAATAACCCAGCATACAGCAGCAGAGACACTGGGCTCTTAACTGGCACTCAGGCCAGATAAGCACCGTGTGGCCGGTTTGGGGGGCTGCCATTTTTATTTCCCACTGTACACCAGCACGACATCACTTCAGGGATACTAAAAGGGCAGACCTCAGTTGGGCAGAAGCCATTTACGATTTCCCACAATCCTAGGAGAACGCCAAATCAAGACATTGTGGTAAATTTTTAGGTAAGTGTGAAGCTCCGGGGGGGGGGGGGAGACAGTGGCCACAAGATGGCGCTTGGCTAGGGCCCCCCCTCAAACTTGTGGGAAGATGGGTAGCGGGAGGGGAGCCATCACACCCCAGTGAATTGTGGAATGACGGAAGGCAGGAAAATGGACTGCTTCTCACCAGGGGATTCTCAGAGATCTGCCTGAGGTCAGGATATAGGTGAGATATGTTGTATCTGGCAGTGGAAATGAGGCGCCCAAACTCGTCCCGGTTACTGATGTGAAGGAAGATGCCCTGGGGGAGAAAGCAGATAGTTAAAATTTGGATAAGTAGAAAAAAGTTACCACACCTACCGTCCACCCCCAAATACATGCATCCTGGGAGGCCACAGAAGTGCTCCCCCAAACCCCATATACCATATTTTTCGCTCCATAAGACGCACCTAATTTTTAGAGGAGGAAAGGGGGAAAGCCCCGTTTTGGGGCAGAATCAGCTCACAGTTGTGCAGCTTCTTTTGCAAAGGGGAAAAGTCCCTTTTTTGAGGATCAGCTCAAACTTGTTGAGCTAACTTTGCAAAGGGAAAAAATCCTGTTTTTATGGGGTTCAACTCACAGCTCTGCAGCTTCTTTAGGAAAGAAATGTTTCCAGACAGATAATCTAATCAGCCAGTCACATGTCGCTGGGGAAACAAACACCCTCCGCCTGCAGAACATTCAACAATGGAGGCCTGGGCAAGGGGGCGGAGCCAGAAAGGGAGCCAGCGATCGACCACACATTCACTCCATAAGACGCACAGACATTTCCCCTTACTTTTTAGGAGGAAAAAAGTGCATCTTATGGAGCAAAAAATACAGTAATTGTATGGTTATATGTGTTCTGCAACATCACAGAATTTTGCTATTGAGAACATCATTCACGGTGTAGAGAACCTTAAAAGGTAAAGGGACCCCTTACCATTAGGTCCAGTCGTGGCCGACTCTGGGGTTGCGGCACTCATCTCGCTTTATTGGCTGAGGGAGCTGGCGTACACCTTCCGGGTCATGTGGCCAGCATAACTAAGCCGCTTCTGGTGAACCAGAGCAGCGCACGGAAACGCCATTTACCTTCCTGCCGGAGCGGTACCTATTTATCTACTTGCACTTTGACGTGCTTTCGAACTGCTAGGTTGGCAGGAGCAGGGACCGAACAACGGGAGCTCACCCTGTCACAGGGATTTGAACCGCCAACCTTCTGACCGGCAAGTCCTAGGCTCTGTGGTTTAACCCACAGCGCCACCCGCATCCCTTGTAGAGAACTGTAGGTGGTGGTTTTTGGTTTTGGTTTTGTTTTTTTTAAAAAAAGAGGTTTCTAGCCTTTAAGATTGGGCAGACAGAACTGAAAGCCAGGACAGTGAACAGCAGTGAAACTCCCCAAAGTAGGACAGAGCTTCTGTTAATCTTTCGACTTTCCCCAAAAGTGCTAGGTGTAGAATAAATTTATGCAAACCCAGGAAAACATGTCGGGTTTGCACCATCACTGGAAGAGACAGAACACAGCTTTCAGAAGTGCAGAGTCTGGGGAGATCTTGATTCATGGGATGTCTGGGAGGCAAAACGTTCCTTACCTTCTCCCGCACAGTCTTGCAAAAGGCCATGTCTGGGTCCGTGTCGTCCAAGGTGAAGACGTTGCGCTGGGGCAGCTCCTGGCGCAGAGTTTCCCCTCGCAGCAAATAGGCCTGAGAGATGTAGGGGACGTTCCACACTCCGCTGTAGGAAGAGAAGAGGGAGAGGAGAATTCCCAGTAAGAAGGTAAGCGGCCATCGTTTTCTATTCTGCCCTCTAGATGTCGCATGTGGCAGATTCCCTTCCACCGCAGTTCACCTTCTTCCCAAAACTATTTGTTTCACTGGCAGATCTATGTAACTTACATAAGTTATGCAACTATGAAAAAGAAAATTCCTCTTCCCTCCTGTCCCTTCTTTCCTTTTGTGTCATGTCACTGTAAGCCTGTGGGCAGGAACCGCCTTGTTTAAATGAACTGCAAGTAAGCTGCACAGGGAACTTTTTTGCTGAAGAGCTGGGCACAAGAAGAGCCTGCTGGATCAGGCCAATATAATAAAATAATAATAATAATAATAATATTTTATTTATACCCTGCCCTTCCCGGTTCAAAAACCAGGCTCAGGGCGGCTAACAACAAATTTAAAACACTTAATTATAAAAGCAGCATAAAATACAGTATAAAAACATGAATAACAATAAAAATCAAAAATCAAAAATCAATTTAGGGGAAATAAGCATTAGATAATCCCCAGGGCTAGCTGGCTGAATTGGTCCTACTTGGGCCAGCGAGGAGACCAGGGGAGAATTAGCTGTGGGGTCTCAGAGCGGGTGATCTTCATAAAAGGGGAGGGGGAGGGAAGAGAAGGGAAATAAAAGATCAGGCTGAATTCAAATTAAAGGCCATGCGGAATAGCTCTGTCTTACAGTCCCAATGGAAGGAGGTTAAGTCCTGAAGGGCCCTAGTCTCATGGGGCAGAGCATTCCACCAGGTCGGAGCCATCACTGAGAAGGCCCTGGCCTTGGTGGAGGATAGTCTGACTTCCTTAGGGCCCGGGATCTCTAAACTATGGTTGTTCATGGACCTTAAGGTCCTCTCTGCAGGGCATACCAGGAGAGGAGGTCCCGTAGATAGCCCACCTTTGGCCCATCCACATGCTGTTTGGGGCCCACTTCATAACTTTTTTTGGGTACATACCTGTGTTTTGGCTGTGCCGCTGTTGTGACCCACCTTATCTAGGCCGTGACCCAGCAAGGGGTCCCAACCCCCCAGCTTAAAGACCAAAAGCTTTAAATATACGAATGACAATTTTGGGAGCGAAGCAGAACCCTCCTATATTAATACCACTCCAAGATCTTCAGATGAAGAGCAGTGTATAAATTTAATAAATAAACACTAATAATAATTCTTCTTCCCACCCGGTTCTGACCACAACTCACATCCTCTTGCCCTGGACCAATTCCACGTAGTCCTCTGAGCGCGCATAATATTCATCGGGGCTCAGGGCCCCCCAGAAGTTGGACCAAAGCTTGCCGTGGCGCGACATCATCGGAGCGATTACCTTCCTGGATCGCGGAGGGGGAAAGAAGCAAAAGAGAAGTCGTTTATGGGGAGATGGGGGGCAGGAGAAATGCTGTACAAATGGTTTTCTAAAAGGCTCCAGAGGAGGGAAAGGGAAGCATTGCTTACTTGTTCTCCTGGATCAATATCTGCAAGATATCCGGGTTTGCCACGACCACGTCAGCATCCAGGCTAAAGTAGTAGTCACAGGTGGGGTCTTGGCGGCAGAGGTCCCTGTTGCACACGAAGAAATTGTCAGAACGGGTTGAGAACATTTCTATTCTTACGGGAGAAAATTCCACAGTTTAACTACGGACTTTTACTGCCTTGCTCTGCTTTTACTTACATGGCCATGTCTCTTGCCTCCCCTTGGCTCAGCTCCTCCTCTGGACCGACAAGCTTGATGCTCTCAAAGGCCCCACGAAGCTGCTCCCACTCGGCTTCGATGTGCGGCTCATGATACACCTCCTGCAAAACGTTGGGACATGTTAAATGAGCCTCCCTAGCAGGGAAGCAGAGTCTCCCTGGCGTTGCCACATTCTGACAAAGCAGATAGTTCCTGCGCCTTTACATCCAGGCCAGAACAGGAGATCAAAATGCCACAGATGCAGCGGAACCTCAGAATGCCTGGGTTCAAAAAATCCCTCCCCCAACAAACATGTCACATCAGTGCCATACATTTAAAGCTCTCTTCTACCACTTTAGACACTCCTGGCTTCTCACAAAGCATCCTGGGAAAGTGTGGTTTGTTGAGGGAGCTGAGAGCTGTGAGGTGACCCCTCGTTCGCCTCTCAGAACTACAATTCCCCGAGTTCCCCGGGAAGAAGGATTGTCAAACCAGTCTGGGAAACAGATTCAGGTAGGTAGCACTGTTGGTCTGATGCAGTAGAAATACATAAATAATAATAATAATAATAATAATAATATTGTCCTGTAGCACCTTAGAGACCAACTAAGTTTGTTCTTGGTATAAGCTTCCGTGTGCATGCACACAAAAGCTTATACCAAGAACAAACTTAGTTGGTCTCTAAGGTGCTCTGGACAATTTTTTAATTTTTTTATATATTCAATCTGGGAAATGTAGCTCGGCAAAGGAAATAGGGGTCTCCTAGCAATCCTCAGTGTTCATAGCAAACTACAGTTCCCAGTATGCTTTGAGGGAAGCCGTAACTGTTAAAGTTGGTATCATAGTGATTTAAATGTCTAGTTCAGAGACAGCCACCAGTTACCTAGCTTATTAATTTGCCTGGAGGCACTGATACGTATCAGTATTTTAACTCTTCAAATGACTTAAGATATTGTTGTTAATTTTCCTTAGTGATAATTTTATCCCTTTATCGTTTTGTAAACTACTTTGAGGTGTTCTTTTTTTTTTTTTTTTACAGTCAAGGAGCATATAAATTTTACAAAGCAAATAAAATAAATAATTAGGGCATCACATGCAAATCAGCATATGCAAATTTGTGCCATGGGTCCCAAGTCCCAAGTCCTTTAAGAAGCTATGACAGCTCTCCCCCCCCCCCCATGCTGTTTATCTGATGGTCTAATTAGACCTGAGCTTTAGATGTAAAATGAGGATTAGCCTACAGTTAGGGACAGCACAAAATACCTCACCTTTGCAGGGTGTGTGTGTGTGTGTGTGTACACAACTCACGTGATTGTGGATGAAGAGCTGGAGATGAGAGTACGGATAATTCAAGGTCAAGAGACGCTGAAGAAACTGAGGCAGAAAGGGTGTGGGCTGCTCGATGAACACACCCAGAAGCACACGTGGATACGATTCTTCCTGCAAAAAGGAGAGGGAACAGGAAAGGTGAGCTCAAATATGAACCTCCAGAAGCCCACACTCCTCTCGCAGGGACCAGCAAGGTGAGGCAGTTGCCTCAGGCGAAAGAAGCGGTGGAGGGTGTGTGTGTGTGTGTGTGTGTGCCCTTAGGCTTTGCTTCCTGCCTCCAAGTAGACCTACCACCCCCAGATATAGAGGAGGGCATCATCTCATCGACAGCAGCTCAGTTCGCTTCCGTATGAGGAGCGAGAGGGAAGCCATTTTGTCCTTCGCCTCAGGCGGTCAAAAAATGTCTTGGGCTGGCCTTGCCGCTCCCTCAACACCTTCCCCCGCCTCCAGCCTCACAGCTGACTCTTCTGCATCCTGATTTATCCTCTGACTCACCGGCAGGCCTGACAGATCCAAGAGGTTTTCGTCACAAACTTCGCAGCCCCCCTCGTAGGTCCAGGTGTTGGGGATGTAGTTTCCCAGATAGTTCAGCTGCAGCTGCAGGGAAGGAAGAAGGCAAGAACACCAGTCAGCAAGATGAGGGGAGGCAATAAAATAGAGGACAGTTTCCCCAAACACCCCCCAACCTGAATTCTTCTTTGTGGGTTTTGTCACCATGAGGACTGTAAGCTTGGGAGCCTGCTTGCCTTCCCAGATATCAGACAATGTTTCAAGACTGGTTTGGCTACAAAGCCCAGAGGCAAATTGAAATGCGGCATCCATATTGTTTATTTGTGCTTTTATCCCGCTTTTCTTCTGTCTGTTGGCCTAAGTGGGGTCTCCCATCCAGACACGGACCAAGCATGGACCTGCTTAGCTTCAGCAAGCTGGCTGCAGGCTCCCAGCCCCAAGGAATAAGGTCTTCTTCAACCAAGGCGCATGGCCAGGAGAGGAGCTGTTCAAATACCTTGGTGGGCCCGTTGCCATGGATGACAACAGGAAAGGTGTCGTAAGCGACGTTCCGGGCGCGCACTCGGGTCCGTTCGAATTTCAGAACTACCTCGTCTGTTAAGAAGGAGGATGGAATAAAGAGTATGGGACAAACTGAATCTTCTCCCCCAAGCAAACACCATGTTTCCCCTTTCAGAAAAGTCCACCACACGGTGGGAATTATTGCCATCTGCAGCTTGCCTCATGACTATGAAGTTTCAAACATGCAGATCAGGGGAGTTAGGCAGCATTCGCACCATGCATTTAAATGGGAATGTACCACATTTTAAAGCATCACGATACCACTTTAAAGTCATAGCTTACCCCCAAAAAAGCATTCTGGGAAATGAAGTTTGTTAAGGATGCTGAGAAAACCCCTCGTCCCCTCACAGAGCTACAATCAAGCCCTCTTCCCAGGGAATTCTGGGAATTGTAGCTCTGGAATAGGGGCCTCCAAGCAGCACCCTTAGCAAACTACAGCTCCCAGAATCCTTTGGGGGAAGCCGCAACTGTTTAAGGTGGTATCACAGTGCTTTAAATATACGGTTCTGGCTGCCCTACTGATGTGTTCACTCATAGACAACCGGAACACTGCTACAGAAAATATCAACCACTCACCGATGGCACCATTCAAGTTCTGGAAGATTTTTGACTTATGATCCAGCGTGATCTTATGTTTCTCCTAGGGAGACAGGAAGGAGGAGGTAAGAACAGAAGCCTCCCCTTACATAATCGTAATCTTCCATCAAAACACTACAATTACAAAGCACCCATAGAATGCCCCTATGAACACAAATCCAGCAAGGATTTATATGTCCTATCTATTTATAAATGCAGTGTGCTTGCAGTATCAGACTAGGACCTGGGAGAAACAGGTTTCAATCCCCAGTCAGCCATGAGGCTCACCTTGGGCCACTCACTCACTCTCACCCACCCTGTGGAACTCCCTCCCACCAGATGTCAAAGAGAAGAACAACTACCAGACTTTTAGAAGACATCTGAAGGCAGCCCTGTTTAGGGAAGATTTTAATGTTTAACAGACCACTGTATTTTAACACTCTGTTGGAAGCCGCCCAGGGTGGCTGGGGAGACCCAGGCAGATGGGCGGGGTATAAATAATAAATTATTATTACTATTATTATTATTATTATGATCATCATCATCATCACCATCATCCCACCCTACCTCACAGGGTTGTTGTGAGGATTAAACAAGGAGGCGGTAGAACTAAAAATACCACCTTGACCTCCTTGAGGGGAAAGGTGGGATATAGGTGCAACAAATAAACAAATAATAAATGTCCATTGCTTTCCATTGTGACGATGTCCTTTCTTTTAGCAGATCAAGATGATCAGGGGAGAGCAAAAACTGCAAGGGTTTTAGCGGGGGCAATTAGAATAAGATCTATTACAGTTATATCTTGGCTTTCGAACAGCCTAGTTCTTGAATGTTTTGGCTCCCGAACCATAGAAACCTGGAAGTGACTGTTCCTGTTTTCGAACATTCTTTTGGAAGCTGAACATCCAATGCGGCTTCCGATTGGCTGCAGGAGTTTCCTGCAGCCAATCAGAAGTCGCGCTTTGGTTTTCGAACGCTTTGGAAGTCAAACGGACTTCCGGAACGGATTCTGTTCGACTTCCAAGGTACAACTGTATTTGATTATTGACGTAAACCTCCCAAAATGTATTTTCTATAGTTATGTTTTTACCTCTACCTTCAGTTCATTTTATTTTATTTTATTGCTAATGGCTAGTGGCTGATGCAAATAAAGATTCTTCTGATTCTTGCTTTCCATGCGTCTGCTCAGAGCATGATGGGACATTGGATAGAAAGCTTTATTTCCCTATTAAAAATGGGTATCCTGCCTGTCTGTGAAGTGGTGAACAAAGTCCCCCCCCCCCCCGAATTTAGCTCCCAGCTTTTGAGCCAGAGAAATGAATGTGCAGAGTTTTTCTGAGAATCCGGTCCTGCTGCTTTGCAAGGGCATCAGATTTCAGTTTCCTGGCTGCTGCTGAAAGCAGCTTAAGATGGTCAACTCAGAGGCCTCCACGTGTCCCTTCCACAGGCAGCAGGGGAGTCTCTTAAAGCCCTCCAGATTGTGTCAGGACTCCAGCTCCCATCAGCCGCAGGCAGCACGGCCAGCTGTCGGGAATGATGGGAGTTGTAGTCCGGCAGTGCTCTGAGGGCCACAGGGTTCCTCATCTTTATTTCTCAAGGGCAGCAAAGACTCACCCACCCACCCCAACAGACTCACCCGCAAGGCAGGATCCAAGTAAATGCGTGTGTAGAAGAGCTGGTCGTCGTCGTCATCTTTGTACTTCCAGAGCTGGACGATGCGGTTGATGGTGGGGGCGTAGCCAATGAACCCTGAGGCAGAGACACACCAGTTTTGGGATTTTTGAGGGGGTATGTACTGTTTCAAGCCTACCCTTGTAGCCTTAAGGCAGGAGTAGGATACCTTTTTATCCCAAGGGCCACATTCCCTTTTGGCAACCTTCTGGGGGCCATGTCCCAGCAGTCAGAAGCAAAAGTGGCTGGGCCGATCTATGTTACCTTTGCAGAATAGGCTAGTTTCTGTATATACACACAGAGAGAGATACACACACACGTCTCCACAAGCAAGAGGCGTTCTCAGAGCTCAAAACACGTTCCAGCCAGGCTAAATTCCTCAAGGTGTGCCTGAGGGGGCAGTGAGAATTCCAAGAGCCAGGTAGAAAGGCCAGGAGAGTTGCATTTGGTCTCCAGGCCTGAGCTTCCCAGCCCACCTTAAGAACTAGAAACTTTTTTTTCTTTTTTAAAGTAAAGCAGGAATTCTCAGAATGCCACCGCACCACTGGAAGGCAAGCACCTGGCCTGTTGAAAACAGAGTCTTGCTGCTGTTACTCGCAGGGCACTTTCAAAGCACACCTAAGCTACAATCCTGGCTCACTTCCAGAAGGGCAGTAGCAGCAGCATCCTAGCTGGAGTCAACAGGACAGTTACAGAAGCTCCTGCCAGAAGGTGCTAAGAAGCCAGTCATCAAACAGGCCCTGTTACACTCACATTTGCTGTGCAAGCTTGTAATCTAGCATCTAAAAGATAAAGATAAAGGACCCCGATAGTTAAGTCCACTGGGGTTGCGGCGCTCATCTCGCTTTACAGGCCGAGGGAGCCGGCCTTTGTCCACAGACAGTTTTTCTGGGTCATGTGGCCAGTATGACTAAGCAGTGCATGGAAACGCCGTTTACCTTCCTGCCGAAGCAGTACCTATTTATCTACTTGCACTTTTTGACGTGCTTTCGAACTGCTAGGTTGGAAGGAACTGGGACTGAGCAAAGGGAGCTCACTCAGTTGCGGGGATTCGAACCACCAACTTTCTGATCGGCAAGCCCAAGAGGCTCAGTGGTTTAGACCACAGCAACACCCGCGCCCCCAAATCTAGCATCTAGTATAAACTATTAAATAGCTTTTACGCTCAGTTCCCTCTGCTCCAAGCTTCTAGTCCATATGGCTGTAGATATAAGCTTGCAAGCGCGTGAGCAGCAAATAGCTAGAACCTCAAGCAGAAAGAAAGCGGTAACAGTACTTTTCGGGACAGAAGAGTAGGTCTTTATAGCCCCAGGGAGCATCTCATTCCTTCTTCCAATATAATGCTTTCCTAATACAGTGGTACCTCGGGCTACATACACTACAGGTTACATATGCTTCAGGTTACAAACTCCACTAACCCAGAAATATTACCTCGGGTTAAGAACTTTGCTTCAGGATGAGAACAGAAATCGTGCTCCGGCAGTGTGGCAGCAGCGGGAGGCCCCATTAGCTAAAGTGGTCTTCAGGTTAAGAACAATTTCAGGTTAAGTATGGACCTCCAGAACGAATTAAGTTCTGAGGTACCTGAGGTACCACTGTATAATGCTTTCCTTCTTAAGTTTCACCTACCCATCCAAACCCGCACAGCTTGCTAAAGAAACGCTGTATTATTTGGAAACCTGGCACTCGGCAACGGAATATTAATTGTGCAAAACCCATGTGCATCTTTCCATAATTGATTCCAGTGGCAGATTCCAGTGGGCCTTCCTAGCACAGAATTCAAGCTACTTTGCTAAATGGGGAGTTGGAGGGGGACAAGGGAAGGGAAGCTGGCCTTTTACCTCCAGAGTTCAGAAAGCGTTTTCCCACGCCCACCGGCGGGTACTTCTCGGCCAGCGACCACTCTGGCCAGCAGAAGCTTTCCGCCGAGAAGACCACATTGCTCTTGAACTGCAGGAACTTCCAGAGGAGTTCGATGGGGCTCCCTGCCAGGATCACATCGTAGCTGGGAAGCAGACAAGAGGGCAGATTGAGAGCTTTTAGCGAGGGGCCTCCGGTGAGCAAGGCAATGCTTTATCGTGAGGCTGGGACTGCAAGTTCAGCCTGTGGCCGTCTCCAGGAAAAGAGCATGCCCATTTATAATTACTAACAGTACTCATTTAACATTTTATAGAATCCTAGAACTGCAGAACTGGAAGGGACCCGGGGGGTCATCTAGTCCAACCCCCAGAAAATGCAGGAATCAAAGTCTAAAGAAGCCCTGGCAGATGGCCATCCAACCTCTGCTTATAAACCTCCAATAAATGAGAGTCCATCAAATTCCGAGAGAGTCCGTTCCACTGTCGAGCAGCTCTTACCATCATAAAGTTCTTCCTGGTTTTTAGTCAGAATCTCCTTTATTGCAATGGGATCCATTCGTTCGGGTCGTACCCTCTGGAGCAGCAGAATACAAGCTTGCTGCATCTTCCATGGGGCAGCCCTTTAGTTATTTGAAAATGGCTACCCTATCACCTCTTAGTCTCCTCTTTTCCAGGCTAAACATACCCAGATCCTTTAACCATTGGCTATTTGGCCTTTTTGGTTTCCAGACCCTTTATCTTCTTCGTTGCCCATCAATTTCAATAACCATGTGCTTTCTCCAACGAACTCCAGATGGAGGTTGGGATGGAATTCTATAAGCACAACCACCCTGTGAGGTAGGCTAGGCTAGAAGAAACTGACCTGCCCAAAGCTAACAAACCAGCTTCTATTACCAAGTGGGGGGATTTGAACACAGGTCTTCCAATGTCACCTATTAAAGTGTGATAAATCACAAATATCTGGGTGGGAATTAAATGGTCGGCTGCCACTCTTCCCCAGAGAACGGATATCCCCATCCCAAGCTTCAGTTTCCTCCCGTTTCCATGCCCACCCCCTCCAAATGGAAAAGACCCTGACCTCGCCATCACTCCTTTATCAGGTAAAGTGCAACACCAACTTATTTCCTCGTGACCTGCACAGCTAATATATTATATCCTCATCTCACCTGCTCTGAGTTTGGGGGCCCACGCAGGCAGAAGAGAAAGAAAAGAAAAGTAAAGAAGTGCAATGAAATGAACAGATCAAAGATGTAAGTGTTAAGTCTCACAACAACCCTGTGACGCAGGCCTCCCTCACAGTCAAGTTGTTGCGACTGGCACAGAGAGAATCTGTGAGCTCACCTGTCTACAAACATGACAATTAGGTCCTCCTCATTGGCATGTTTTTTCATTTCCGCCTTCAGCCAGCGGACCTTCTGCCCTCCGCCGACCGTCCGCGCAACGTCCCCACCCTTCCAGTCTTCTCCTAGGCCGAGAGTCTGGGGGATGATGACGACACAAAAGCAACAGGGGTGGAAATTCGTTATTTTCTTCTAAAGCAAAACTGTCCCTCGACTGGTAATGCCTCTTCCACCTTGCCTGGGTGGAACAGGGCCGGCCCACTCATGAGGCAAAGTGAGGCGACTGCCTCAGGTGGCAATATCCACAAGGCCAACAGAGCCATCTTCCAAGGAATGGGCTGCCTGCTGCTGTGGTAGCAACGACAACAATGGGACATTTCTTGGAGAATAGATCTGCTGTCTCAATGGCAATCCCACCAATGACACCTCTACAGCGGCCTCTTGGCAAAGAGGAGATGCTGTTGGACCCCACCCTGGTGGCACCATTTTGTGGTTCTCCTCAGGTGCCAAAACGTCTTGGGCCTGCCCTGGGATGGAATATAGCCTACTGTGCAAAGGCAAGAATCTGCTCTGCCACCTTTGCCTCTGTCCCCTCCCCCATCAATTCACATGTGGCCCCTGGAAGGTTTCCTGTAAGGAAATGTGGCCCTCAAGCTCAGAAAGGTTTTCCCTGGCCGTTGCAATACAGTCATGCCCCATGAGGTACCAGAGAATAAGACTGCTGAGGTAATCCGGGGACAGTTAAATTAAGAGCTGAAATTTGGCTCTACATTCTACCTCCCCCCCTCAAATGTTTTTATTATTTTAATGGAAAGGAAATATCTGCTATTTTCAGAGTTTCTCGCACCTTGACAGTGTAGTTGAAGTACTTGGCCGTCCGCAGGAAGCGCTGGTAACCCTCTGTTTCATCTGTGGCAGCTGTCAGTACCAGGAGTTTGCCTGAAAATAGGAACACACATTCCCCAAATAGAGTCAGGAATGGAAACCAGAGGATTTACATATATAAACTGCACCTTGGCTATCAAAGCCAGGATCTATCTCGGGTTCTAAAAAAAGCTAGGTAGGAATTAAGAATGCTTTCCCCCCCAAGCCAGTTCCTCAAAAGCAGAAGATGGCACCATAAGTGCATATTTCCCCTGAAGATTTTTGGAAGCATTCACAGATTGAACAAATCCAGCAATCGTAGAGAATTTAGTAAGAGCTCTTTGTGGAGAGGCGAAGTGTTTGGACACATGAACTTGGAAATTTAATATTGTTAGCCCATTCTTCCCTGGAGGACTTCAGGATTGAAACCAGGCTTTTGGCTGACTGACATCCGATACCCTTTTAAATGTGTGTGGGGGGGGGGGAGGATTTATTGGTTTGTTTTTTATTATGTCTTTTGTGAATTTTATATCTTATTCTTATGTTGCGAACCGACCTGAGTGCTATGGCTATAGGGTGGTATGCAAATAATAATATTAAAAGCTCTTTTTACGCTGGATCCACTTAGGGTTACCCAGCACAGAAAGAGCTTTTAACCCTTGCCTGGGTTTGGATGTGCGGGATTTTCCTGCATACACAGAACCCTTGGAAGTGAACCCCCACCTAAGATGGGATCCTACAGTGTAAATCAACAGTGCAAATTGTGAAAGTGGGTCCCATGTTGCAGCTTGGTGAACATGTGTCAGAGCTGGGCCTTGGTTCTGGACCAGTTGAAGACCACCGCACGACACTATGCCCAGCTTTCACCTCAGGAACCCTCCAACTGAAGGTTTCTAAATTCTTCTCTACTACTGAGAGCTCAGCTTACCAAAGTGTCCCCTCCTCTCTCAGCAGCACAGAGCCTAAGGGCCATCTCCCTCTGTCTACCTTCTCACAAACTATCACATTCCTGGTGATTAAGTGCTGGAAAAGATGCTCTTCTAATCATTGCAGGGAGGAGAGAGGCCCAGGGGGAGAGCAGGGGGAGAGCGGAGGAGATCTACACCACCGGGATCCCTGCTAACAGGAGCGAAGATTTTGCGCGCTCAGGCAGGCAGGCGTGTTTGGATTGGACCCAGATTCAGATCGCACCGGAGCCACGAACTACACGTATTCCGGGCGCCGACTGCAAGCGTGTTGAGTAAGCAGAGAAGCTTCCCAAAAACAACATTGCTAGTAGTAGCCAAGGCCAGGCACGATGTGACCCGCTCTTTCGCTGACTCGCTCTTACGCACCAAAGGAAAGAAAGAATTTTGGTTTGCAGGCCGGCATCTAACCAGGCGAAAGAGATCTGGTCAAATAAGGGTTGTGCATTTGAAAAGCATAAACTTTTCAACGCAGATGTTTTTTTAACCATCAACTGGTTTGCTAAAGAACACTAATTACAAATAAACTCTTGGTTATAGTGCAGCTAGTAGATATGATAATGATTCTATTTGTATTTAAAAGACGGGAAGCAAGGTTTTCCTCTAAATGCAAGTCAGTCACGGGGCCATTTCTCTCCCGGGCTTTTGTGCAGGAACACTTGGGTCGGCCTACAGCAGCCTTCCCAAACCTGGTACTCCCCAGATGTTTTGGACGACAACTGACATCAGCCACAACTGGCCAGCTAGGGCGGATGGGAGCCAAAAACAATCGGAGAGTTTGAGGTTTGGGAAGGCTACCTTACAGGTTCAGGCCTGGATCCAGAATAAGTCTGCAACCCTATATCCTTCTACCTAAAAGATCACTTTGCCCCTTCTGTACCCAATATATCACTGTGAGAAGGCCTCCTGAAGATCTTATCAGGCGGTTTGTTCTTCACAATACAGGAACAGGCCCTTTACTGTGGTTGCACCTTCCCTTTGGGTTGCGTGGGGTGTTACCTAGCCCTATGCGGCCTAGGACCCACATACCTATAGGACCACCTCTCCTGGTATGCCCCGCAAAGGACCTTAAGGTCTACAAATAACAAGACTTTGGTGGTCCCGAGCCTCAAGGAGGTTAGATTGGTTTCAACTAGGGCCAGGGCCTTTTCAGCATTGGCCCTGCAGGACTTGACATCTTTCCGCAGGGTCTCCAAGACAGAGCTGTTCCGCCTGGCCTTTGGCTTGGACTCGGTCTGACCCTTATGTTTCCTTCCCCTTATAGTCTTGATGATTTATCAGCTATTTTAAAATGAGGCTGCATTTTAACCTGTATTTTAAATTGATTTCCCCCCCTCCCTCTCTTTTTCCCCTATTATGTTTTTATTGTGATTTTATTTTATTGGTGTTAGCCGCCCTGAGCCCAGCTGAAGGGTGGGGTATAAATAAAATTATTATTATTATTATTATTATTAGGGACATGTCATGCTCCTTCTGGGGCAGTTTGTCCACCTTTGGTCCCCATCCTGCACTCAGCTCTCAGCTGTGGCTCCTAGAATCTGTCAGCATGCGACAGCTCACACACACCAGGAATGGCTTCGACTGGCTGGCTAAACCAGGTGAGGGTAGCCGGTGGGTCTCAAACTCTCTGTGAGTTAGGGACTTCCTCTGGATGCAAAGACAGGCTCTGGCGGATTGAGGGGATGGGACCAATAGTGGGTCCAACAAACAAGAATGGGGTTTCTGTACGTGCTGTAGAGGGAAGCGAGGGGCAGATGGAAAATAATAATAATAATTTATTATTTATACCCCGCCCATCTGGCTGAGTTTCCCCAGCCACTCTGGGCGGCTTCCAACCAAATATTAAAAACAATACAGCATCAGACATTAAAAACTTCCCTAAACAGGGCCGCCGTCAGTTGTCTTTTAAAAGTAAAATAGTTGTTTATTGCCTTGACATCTGCTGGGAGGGCGTTCCACAGGGCAGGCACCACTACCGAGAAGGCCCTCTGCCTGGTTCCCTGTAACCTCACTTCTTGCAGCGAGGGAACCGCCAGAAGGTCCTCGGCGCTGGACCTCAGTGTCCGGGCTGAATGATGGGAGTTGAGATGCTCCTTTAGGTATACAGGACCAAGGCCGTTTAGGGCTTTCAAGGTCAGCACCAACACTCTGAATTGTGCTCGGAAACGTACTGGGAACCAATGAAGATCTTTCAGGACTGGTGTTGTGTGGTCTCAGCAGCCATTCCCAGTCACCAGTCTGGCTGCCGCATTCTGGATTAATTGCAGTTTTCGAGTCAACTTCAAAGGTAGCCCCACGTAGAGCGCATTGCAGTAGTCCAAGCGGGAGAAAACTGATCCTAAACTTCTGCTGCCTTGCGGGGTATCTTTGAAAGAAGAAAAGGATCAGGAACCCTACCCCAATCTGGAGTGGAGTCCCTAAGACAGTTGGTTGGCATCTTGTACGCCTCCTTGCAGCAGCTTTTGCAGCCAAACTGGTGAAAACGTATTGCTCTGCTTTACTTTGGATCACATCAGCCAGGCCAGGAAGGGAGGTCTTGTCATTTGGGCAGCCCAGGACTTCTAGACACACTGCCCAGGTTTGGGCCCCGGGGCGGTCATTTCAGTGCTGCTAACACAGCAGTTTGGCTTCACCCCTGGAGGCGCACTCCATTGTCTCTTGAGACAGACAGATGCCAGCACCCAAAACAATACATTCCCTTTGAAATTCCCTCCCTTTGCAAATCAGACAGGTGCTGCCTCTGTTGTCTTTTGAGAAATCTGCTTCCTCTTCCAAGGAGGCTTTTAAGTGGAGAACCTCAACCCAGTCACCATCTGTGTTCGAATCATGTTCAAGTGTTTTTATCTGTGGGACTGCTTTTTAAACGTTTGCGTGGTTTTCTGCCCATCTAGCTCAGACCGGCAGCAGCATTCCAGCATTTCAGACAGGGAGTCTTTTCCCAGTCTGAGATGCTCCAGAGACTAAACCTGGAATCTTCTGCAAAGCAGATATTCTGCCATGCAGCCTTCCCCAATGAGAAATACGTCAGACTACTAGCAGAAAAAGAACCTTCACTCTTGTACCTGCTGACAAACAACACTGTAAATCATTTATATTTTAATGTGAGCCACCATCTCAACAGTGGCATTCATGGCTTCATGGAATATTTGACAATTTTAAAACAGCAGCAAAAATTTCCTGGTATTTGTCCAAGCACTAGACTGGTCCCGCCAACCCTATTTTGGTCTTCCACATCTCAACAAACAGATGAATACGGACGCAATGGATTTCTAGGAGGAGAAAGGCTTCTCTCTGCACATGCATGTAAAAAACACACATGCGCAGCCTCTCTTGCAGTGGCGGCTGCAACCCACACAGCTGCAGCATTGGCTCAGAGCATCAGAGTAACTCTGCTGGGACCAATGACTCTTCCTGGTTCCCATGGCATCTTCAGCTCAAACCAGCTGTGAGAAATAAGTCTCGATCCAGTGGTCCATTGCCAGGTTTCTGGGGAGTGGGGCCTAGTGAGTCATCCCACCAACACAGTTCCTTTTGACTCATAGGAATCTCTGTCTTATCCTGCATAAAACCACTGTGGCATCGCAATTCATGATTGGCGATTCAGACAGTCAGTGGCTCCTCCAGGGTTTCAGACGCGACTCTCTCTCCCAGGTCTACCTGGAGAGATCAGGAATTGAACCTGGGCAGATTCTCTATCACTCAGCTATGGTCTTTCCCACACCATATATATATGTGTGTGTATATATATATATATATATATATACGCGTATATATTCACACAAACACACCTTAGAGGCCAACTAAATTTGTCTTGGTATAAGCTTTCATGTGCATGCACACTTCTTCAGATACGAAAGCTTATATCAAGATCAAACTTCGTTGGTCTCTAAGGTGCTACTGAACTATATATATATATATATATATATATATATATATATATAAAATCGACTCCGTCAGACCAACACAGCTACCTACCTGAATCTATATCTATATCTACCTGAATTTCAATTTTACACATTTCAGTAATTTTACAATCATTTTGACATTTCGAAACTCGACTTCCCTCCCCCTCTTTCTGTGGTTCCTTAAATTTGTTTTTGATATATATTTTCTGCCCATTCCAAATTAATTCAATCATTTATTCCTCTACTTTAAATGCACAGTCGTACCTTGGATCCTGAATGCCTTGGCACTCGGACATTTTGGCTCCCGAACTCTGCAAACCTGGAAGTGAGTGTTCCAGTTTACGAACGTTCTTTGGAACCTGAATGTCCAACGGGACTTCCGCGGCTTCCAATTGGCTGCAGGAGCTTCCTGCAGCCAATTGGAAGCTGCGCTTTGGTTTACGAACATTTTGGAAGTCGAATGGACTTCTGGAACGGATTCCATTCGACTTCCAAGATATGACTGTACGCTCTTATAAAACTGCAGGTTATTACAATAATCCTGCCAATGTTCTTATCTGTTTACAGTTTGTGTGTTCAGCAAACCATTTCCATTCTTTTATTTTAAAAAAAGTTTGTTATCTTGATTTTTTATTTTTCCGGTAAGTATCGCCGTTTCTGCGTACTCCATAAGCTTTTGTATCTATTCTTGATTCATTGGGGCTGTTTCTTTCAATTTTGGGGGCAAATAACATTCTTGCTGCTGTAGTCATGTACATGAATAAATTTCTATGGTTTGGGTAGTTCTGTCCCTATAATTCCCACCTCTTCTTATCAATCCATTTATGGAAGATGGATGCAATGTTGTCCCGTCATTTGGGACCAATAATCTCTATTGGAAGAAAATTAGGCTCCAGGGTTCTCTCATGTAGACTAAATCAGGAACGGAGGCGGAACAGAGAATATCCACTGTTTTATTATATTAATGTAAGGCATGACAGGCTGGTAGAAGGGTGCTGAATGGCATGCAGTTGAGGTGAGTACAGCCTCAAGGAAAAAATGACACCACCCCCCCAATGATGAATCAGCCACAGATCTCGCTGCTGTTCCAGAACTGATGGGAACCTGAGCAAAATCCATCTAATGCAATGAGTTCCACAGGCTTCGCCAAACACACACAGAGGCCTCCTATGCTTACATGGCACAATGGCATCCACACATTGGCACAGTAAGCCTCTGTGACCACACAGCAAGGGTAGCGTCACTGAAACCTACATGACCAGAGTGGAAGCCAGCGGATTCTGGTAAATCTCAAGTTCCAGGCCGGTCAATGGAAGCGTCAGAATGGAATTGTAGAATCCTGACCAGGTGGTGCCATTTCAGAATACGAGGGGTGGGCATGGAAAGAGCAGTTTTAAAAATGCACCTGTTGAAAAACTTCTTGCAAAATGAAGAACATGCAGGAAGAAAGGTAGCTGAGCCCTGCTGAGCTAGTTTTCTGTTTCGGGGAGTTTAAAAAAGCAAAATGAAAAACCCCAGGATTCTTTCTAAAATTCCTTACAAGACACAAACGGCTCTGGTCTCTTATTTCCATTTGCTGCTCAATTCCACACTTGGCAGAGAGGCATTTTGCGCCACCTTCACCCTGCACAAGAATGCAAAATCAAGAATACGGGGCATTTATTTGCGTATTTTATTATGTGCACGCCACACCTATCCTCCAAGCAGCTCAAGAAGGTAGACACAATTCTCTCCCCTGCCTCATTCATCCTTCCAACAATCCTGCGAGGTAGGTTAGACTGGGACCGAGTGGAGATTTGAACCCTAGTCCAATATCTAAGGCCATGTACCATGTGGGCAGAGTGGTTTAATAGTAGCAATTATTCAGAGCCGAGTCTCTGCAATCAATCTAATGGCGGACGGAATTAAAATGAGAATAAAAGGCACATTGTCTTTGGAGTTTCCTGAGACAAGAGTGATGGGCAGATATCTTGATGGGCCCTGTCTCTCCTCGCCGTTCCCAGCTATTAAAAACACACACGCAAGAGCTGTGTCTCTGAGGCCTGGCACAGCTAAGTGGTAACTCCATCCTGGGTCCCCTCCGCTCTCCTCCTTTTAAAGCCCTGAGCGTCCCCTTTTGGCTCCGAAGGTCCCAGACAGCGCCAGGGCCTCTGGCTCCTCAATGGGCCTTTCAGGGGATCAGGAATGCAGCCTTGGGGGAAGGCCAAGGCTGCTGCTCTGTCAGGAGGCCTCTGGCTCACAAGAGAAGGTCCCTCTTAGTCAGAGGGTAAAATTTGCACAGAGAAAGCCGTACCTTGGGGAGAAAGAGGACCAGGGTGCTTTTGGTCATCCAGGGAGAGAGAGAGCAGAAGCAGAGGCAAAAGAGGATGCTAAGACTTCCTTAGGAAGCGGCTTTGTACAATGGTACCTTGGTTCTCAAACTTAATCCGTTCCGGAAGTCCGTTCCAAAACCAACGCGTTCCAAAGCCAAGGCACACTTTCCCATAGAAAGTAATGCAAAACGGATCGATTCGTTCCAGACTCTTAAAAACAACCCCTACAACAGCAGTTTAGCAGGAATTTTACTATCTAATGAGGCCATTGAGCCATAAAATGAAATCAATAATCTATGTACTGTATTATAAAATAAATAAAGACAGTATTGTAGGTGATCAAAATTAAAATTAATTTTTTCTTTCTTTCTTGCACTGATGATAGTCATTTTTTTTTACATTTCCGCAGTCACATAATCAATCGATCAGTAGCTGAACCGGGTTCCACACAGTCACAAAAACAAATTAACCGGAAAAGCCTGAAAAACAAAAACGCAAAATAAATAGCAAAAACAAAAGCACCAAACTTAATCTGTTCCGGAAGTCCGTTTGACTCCTGAAATTTCTGGAAACCAAGGTGCAGCTTCTGATTGGTGCAGGCGCCCCAGAAACAATAGCTGACAACCACATCGGACGTTCAGCTTCCGAAAAATGTTCGAAAACCAGAACCCTTACATCCAGGTTTTCAGCATTTGGGAACCAAGGCGTTTTGAGCACCAAGGTACCACTGTACTTGGAAAAAGGCCATGGCTTGGCTATAGAGCATCTCCAGGTAGGGATGGGATAGATACCTGGTTTGAAATCTCAGAGATGGACCAGTGGGTTGCTGACTCAGTCTAAGACAGCTCCCTAGGTTCCTTGTGCAGACTCAGATCACTGCCCCATCTGGCGAAGTAATGTCCGCACGGACAGGCAGCGAATCTCCAGTCTCTCCCAGTCCTACCTGGATTTGCTGGAGACTGAACCTGAGACCTTCTGCATGCAAAGCATATGCTCTGCCAGTCCTTCCCCTAACAGCTACTTCAAGCAAATATAAATGTGCCTCAGCTGATGCAGCTGTCAGTCTGAGAAAAAGGTTTCCCATCTGAGCTCTGACAACAAAAAGAGGCTGCCTTTAAACCAGGGTGGATTTGATTTAAATCACTAGTAAGTAAGACTTGATTTAAATCATATTTTTCACAGAAAGACTCTTTCTTGCCGGTGTACTCTTACTATTTACAACCATTTTTACAGTTATATCAACAATTATTGATTTGGTTATACTATTAGAAATACATATACAGATAATTATGATATTATTGTGAGGTTTTATAAGTTAACTGTTTGTATTTGGACAACTTTTCTGCTGTACTTTATTGGAAGGAGAAATATAATCATTTCCTTAATAACAATTTATTTAACTAAAACAATAACATGATAGCATATGTATCCATGTTTGTTAACTGGTGTGGTTAAACAATTTAAACAACAAAAAACTTAGACTGAGTTTAGCACACATGAAAAACTTAAAACAAATCCTTATTTCCTGATGAATAGCCTTTGGACTATAATGTAACTTAAATAGATAACTATCTTTAGAAATATTTTTCCTCCAAAAGCATTTTATTTTAAAAATCCGTTTTAAATGCCAAAAATCCGCTGGAAAAAATCATTTATTTTTATGCTTTAAACCCAAGCCAAAAAGAAGCCATCCTTCCCACATCAAAACAAACTTCTTCTGAACAAGGGTTTCTCCTCTCAGCTGTCGGCGCCGCCACCTAGCCTGCCAACCTACGATTGTATCCCTCTGGCAATATTTTCCAAGCTACTATTTTTCGCTCCTCAAACTCTGGAAAGTCTGGCGAGAGCCTTCCCAGCCCGTCCCACTCCCTGCGTCGCCAGAGAATTCGAGAACCAACCAGCAACGTCTCAAATTGTCCCGTGCGCTCAGACAGAGAGAGAGAAGCTGAAGAAAAAGGCACCAGTCAGTCAGAGGCAACTGAGAAAGGGAAGAAAGAAAAGTTATTCAGCAGCCGCCTAACAAAACCTGCCGCAGGAGCGAGAATAATGGACGAAAAGAAAGAGCATTAAGAGGAATGAGAAAACGCTATGTGAAGAAGTGGTCAAACTCTGTGCTCGAATATTCCCAGTTCAACAGATAGATTAAGTTAGTGGGTTGGTGCTGAGGGAAAAGTAGCAGGCATGTTAGCTCCATGTGAGGAGGGGAAAACATCTGTGGACTTTCCAGTCGCTGATGGACTACAATACCCATCATCCTCAATCATTGGCCATGCCTCCCTCACCCTTTCCTTCATTGTGAACAGGTCTTGGTACCGTGTTTGCATCAGAGGAAAGAAGGAGCTGGCTGGGAGATTACTCCTGTGGCTGCATGGTTTGGCTTATCACGCCGTCCAAACTGGGTTACAACCAGTTAAAAATACAGTATTAAAAACAGTTAAGCCACAATCAAAAATAGGGTGAGCCCTAAAACACATCTCTCAGGTGTCAAGGCCACGAGAACCAGGTGTGCCTTTACCTTTCTGTGTGGTGGGAACGCCACAGCTCGGCGGCTACCGCAAAAAAAGCCCTCACACATCCTACACTACCAGGTGGGCTCCCTCGGACAATCTTGGCAGCCAAGAGGGTCTGTAGGGACGGACTGCAGTGTTAGAAACTCAGGTAGATAATCTAGGCACCAAATGGCTCCTTAAACCAGGGCTACAGTTGCCAAAACTGAATGCCTAGTTGGCATTCTGGGGCCAGACGGCTCGAAAGTCATATTTTTCGATACGACTTTTTGGATTCTGAAATTCATTCTGATTGTGGCCTTTCAGATATTGGGAGCCTAAGTTGTTTAGGGCTTTAAACGCTATGGCAGAATGAAACCTTAGGCTGCAGGCCTGGTGCTTTAAATTACCTTCCAATTATGCTCAAGCCAACTTATGCTTGCTTCAGTCTGGAATTGTACAAACCATATTTCTCCTCTCCTAAGGATTCAGCCCTTTAGCAATCGTTTAGCCACAGACAGAGAGTGCAGAAAAAGGACATCTGCTGCAACCTAGTAAGATTTAGAACTAGGAATCTCTAATCCTTGAGCCCAAATAGAGAAAATGCAAATAAATATGATAATGTCTTAACCTGGCGGTGTTCCATTCGTGAACATAGCAATACCTCTCAAAAACCGGACAGCTGTCTCCACGGTCCGTATATTTCCTTTGGCAGTCAGTAATATTTCGCAAAGCCGGAAGTCACCAGCCCCATGAAATCCTATCCAGCAACTTCTGTAAAAATAATTACTGGCAGAGCTGAGTGGGGGGCGAGAGAGAGAGAGAGAGAGAGAGGCCATCTCCCTGGAACTCACATTGGAGAGCTGTCCTTAAACAACACTAAGCCACCGAGAAAGATCTATGAAGGACAGGATCCAAGCCAAATTGCAAACTGGGCTGCTCCATCTCCATCCCAAACAGGAAACACAATGTTTGGAAAACAACAAGAGAAGGGACTCACTTTACAGAGAGTCTACATTGAATAAAAAGGTCCAGCCACCCAAATCTGGTCGGCAGTGCGGCATAGTGGTTAGAGCAGCCTTTCTCAACTTTGGGCTCCTAGATGCTGTTGAACTACAACTCCCATCATTCATAGCCAGCACGGTCTTCGGTCAGGGATCATGGGAGCTATAGTTCAAGAACATCTGGGGACCCCAGGTTGAGAACGGCTGGTAAGTGTGTTGGAACAGGACCTCGGAGAGCAGGGTTCAAATTCCCACTCGGCCATGAAGCACCCTGCCTCTCAGCCTGACCTACCTGACAGAGTCTTTGTGGGGATTAAATGGGGTCCATTCATTTCAAATGGATCTTCTCTAGCTGGATTGTTGGCCTAGAGCAGCCTTTCTCAACCTGTGGGTCCCCAGATGTTGAACTACAACTCCCATCACCCCTAGCTAGCAAGGCCAGAGCTCAGGGATGATGGGAGTTGTAGTCCAACAACATCTGGGGACCCACAGGTTGAGAACCGCTGGTCTAGAGGTATGATTCTTGTTTAGGGTACGAGAGGTCCCAGGTTCAAATCTCGGACGATCCTTGTATTTATAGCCTGGATAGCTCAGTTGGTTAGAGCATGGTACTGATAATGCCAAGGTTGCAGGTTTGATCCCCCTATGGGACAGCTGCATATTCTTGCAATGCAGGGGTTGGACTAGATGATCCTCAGGGTCTCTTTCAACTCTACAATTCTATGGTTCTACTCTGAGGAGGCATCCAATCCACAGCCTGCTCAAGAACTTATTCATATATTATAGAGGAAATACATTCAATTTGGGCTCTTCGACACATATGATTTTAAAATTATTATTGATTGATTATATTTGTGTGTTGCAGACGTAAAAAGCCTGTGGGCAACTCACAGATAAAACAAGGCATGCAATGTCACAAATACAAATGCTTTTATAAAAAATGCACAGGCGATAAAGCACCTCGAGCCAAACTGCTAACAGCAAGAGCCCCCGCTTTCAAGCACAAAACTTGCTATACACAAAACCCTTTTCAAGAGGCAACAGCCCCAGCAGACAATACTAATCACCAGCTAAAAAGCTGCTAAACGATAAAATGCTGAAACTCCTAAAATGATGCCAAGAAGATGGTATGTTTCTTTTGTGCCCCCAGTTTTGTTGCTTGTGCCTTGCGTTCTCAAGGGCATGCTTACAACACACAACCCTAAAAATAGGTTAAGTGTGAGGTGGGCTCAAAGGGTGTCCCAATGCATTACTTCCAAGAGCTCACTTTGCTTTAGAGTAGGGATGGGGAACCAACCCTCTACATCTCCTTGGACTCCAGCTCCCATCAGCCCCAGTCAGCGCAGCCAATGGCTGGAGACGATGGGAGTTGGAGTCCTGCAATATCTGGTGGGCCACTGGCTTCCCCATTCCCACTTTAGCAGTTGCCAGCTCTCGACTTCAGAAGTTTGAAGGAACATGTATCTACGGGACCGCCTCTCCCGATATGCCCCGCAGAGGACCTTAAGGTCCATAAATAGCAACACTCTAGAGGTCCTGGGCCCTAAGGAAGTCAGATTAGCCTCAACCAGGGCCAGGGCCTTTTCAACACTGGCTCCGGCCTGGTGGAACACTCTGTCTCATGAGACCAGGGCCCTGCGGGATTTGATTTCTTTCCACAGGGCCTGTAAGACAGAGTTGTTCCGCCTGGCCTTTGGCTTGGAACCAGCCTCTTTCCTTTTCCTTCTGTGATGAAACCCCTATTTGGGGACCTCCCTGGCTTTTCTGGCCCACGTAGGACCAGTCTGGATAGTTGACCTTGGTGAAGATTTGACGTTTTCTTCCCCCCAAACAGTTTTGATCTGGGTTTCCACTTGAAATGAGGCTGCATTTTAAGTAGTATTTTAATTTTGTTTTTAAAGTTGTATTTTAATCAATTGTTTTTTTATCTGATGTTAGCTGCCCTGAGCCCGGTCTTGGACGGGGAGGGCAGGGTATAAATAAAAATAAATAGATAAATAAAAGGCAAGTATTTCAGCCGCAGGGGAACCAAGGCGGGCCAGACCACAATGAGTCACACAAGCCAGGAGCAAGAGAATTGCCACCTTTGTAAATTCAGCAATGCAGTTAGGTCATTTTAAACTCTGGACTTTATGGCCTTATGGGTGGAAAGGGAGCTCTTTAGATGCCAACGCCTGTTTTCAGTTCAAAATGCGGTAAGTCAGCCCTGCTGGAATTGGGGGGGGTCCTCATTCTCGTGAAGAGCCCTTGAAATTCAGCCCTGAAGTCCGGCCCTGATGGACTTCCTAGAGGACACACAGAAACATCTAGTTAGCTACACTAAGAATGCTGGACTTAGATGAACCGCAGTGTGATCCAGAACAGTAAGCTATGACTACTACCGTCCCAATATTACCATAATCAGGAACAGCAGCAGAAGCAAAACAACCATGAAATATTTCTGGGCAGCACTTAAGTTGCAATTTTGCAAATTCTGTTAAGTTGCCGAGTCTGCAACTTTCACATCACAAGCAAAAGGCAGTAAAAGACGCTTCCTCAAACCAAGAAGAAGAGCAGCAGGAGGAACTGTTTTTCTGTCCCAAGGGTAGAGGGTACGATGTTGCAGAAGAGCCACAACAGCATGTCAGAGGATTCATGGATACTGAAGCAGTGTGGGGTATAGACTCAAAACCTCCCACAACCCAACCATGGCGAGATTATGTAGGTCAGCATCCTCTGGAAAAGAATGCTCACAAAGGGAGAATGAACCAAGACAGGCCAAGTCACCACCTGGACAAAGCGCTAAACTCTCTCAACAATACATTCTTTGATTAGCTACAAAGCACTTGTCAGATCTTGGCAAAAATAATAAAAAGACTTGGCAAAAAAGGAAACCTGCATCAGGGGTTGTGGACTGCAGGCTGGTGGGATCTACTTTGTTTTGTACCAGAACTCTGAGATCTACGAAGTGGGATCTGTTGCAAAAGACAAACAGAGAGAAATCCTATGCCTAAAAAGCCGATGAACAGCGGGGCTGCTGCTGCTGCTGCTGCTGCTGCTGCTGCTCTGGCAGAAGAAAGACAAGTATTTTAAAGACTGTTCTGTGCCAGGCTGCCTGAGCTGAAGTAGGGCACAGCCACTGATCACCTTATTCCTAGCTGTCCATTCCTCTCTTGAAGTCATCCAAGTTGGTGGCCATTATTGCTTCTCATCTGACCTGTGTCACAACCTTTCCTCTCTGCTCCCCCGTTACACCAAAACACATCAGTGCATAATATTAGTGCCATGTGTGTCTCTGCACACACATTTTGTAAAGATGGCCCTGGTAACATTTCCCTTCTTCCGCTATCACATGGACTATGTCAAATGCTCTCTCTCTATATAAATACACACACACCTTTCTGATTTCCCTCTGTTCCCCCTCTGCCTGGCTCACTTGGTCAATCACAAGGAACGGGATGTACAAATGGTTATTTGCAGCCAAGAATGTCACTGAACTACAACTCCCACAATCCTCAACCACCGGTTCACACTGCCTGGGGGCTGATGGGAGTCGGGAGCCCAACACCATCTGTAGGGCTACACGAGGCATCGGCAAACTCAGCTCTCCAGATGTTTTGGGACAACTCCCATCATCCCTAGCTAACAGGACCAGTGGTCAGGGATGATGGGAGTTGTAGTCTCAAAACATCTGGAGAGCCAAGTTTGCCTATGCCTGGGCTACACATTTCCCATCACTGCCTTGCTTTCAGACCCGAAAGTGATGCGCTCGCTCCAGATGTTGGGAATGACCTCATCATCCCAGGTCCACTGTCGGGACTGATGGGAGTTGGGAGTCCACCACCTCCTTGGCTGCATACCCGCTCTGAGACCCCACAGCTAATTCTCCCCTGGCCTCCTCCCTGGCCCAAGTAGGACTAATTCAGCTAATGCTTATTGGATGGATTTCCCCCAAATCGATTTTTGAACTTTGAATTTTATTGTCATTCAAGCTTTTATACTGTATTTTATGCTGCTTCTATGTTGTATTACAATTAAGTGTTTTGTATTTGTTGTTAGCCGCCCTGAGCCCTGTTTTCTGAACCGGCAAGGACGTGGTATAAATAAAAAAATATTATTTATTATCATTATTATAGTCCCTCCCGCTTCTCCCAGAAAGCGAAGAGAAAGGCCAGCAATTGTGCAAGGCGCTGGTGCGCAGCTTGCAATTCCCGGGTCGATCCTCTTTTTTCCCTATTTGCCAATATGCGACTCCCTCCTCGTGCGCATATGACACCCCCCCCCCATTTTGACACCCCCCTCCACACTGCAATCTCTGCCTCATTCCGGCGTGCAAACACCCGATCCCTGGAAAGGTCATTCTGCTACCGATCCTGACAACCCCCCACCCCACCCCGATCTCGTCTCGTACCTGGATCGACGGCCTCTTGATCTTCCTCGCTGGTCGCGGATGCGCCCATCAGCAGAGTGGCTAGGATCGCGGCGGCAACGCTTAGAAAGACGCATCTCTGCCGCTTCATGGTGGAGGCAACCCGGGAACCGAGGCGAGAGACTGCGGGGCCCGCTCGGGCTGCTGCTTTTTCAGCTCTCGCGATCGGCGGGGCCGGACCGACGTCAGGCTCCTCCCCGCAGCAGCCCCGCAGCTGGGAAAAAGAAGGGGGAGGAGGAAGGGGAGATCGGAAACCCTCTTACCATTTCTCCCACCTCCACTTTCCTTGGGCGGAATGAGACGGCGGGACCCCGATATTCCCCGCTGCGCCCACCCACAAAACCAGACAAAAAAATAGTATATAGCCCCGCGAGAACCTTCGCGTCTCTTTCCTGGTCATTTTCATCAATGGGAGCCCATGGGAAAAAAAGAGAGGGGCCGCCATCCAATCGCGCGGCAGCTCGGGCAAGGGGCGGCCAATCGGGACGCGGGGGCTCCCCCCTCTGCGGACCAATCAGGAGTCTGGAAAGTTCGGGACGGCGAGAGAAAGTAGTAGAAAATCTGGTCGAAAAAAGTGTTTGGAAAGGGGAGGAAGGAGGGGGAGACCCGCGCTTCCTCCAATGCCACGTTGCCAAGAAAATAAATCTGAGCGCGGGGTAGGTGGGAGATCTGAAAGGGGTGGGGGTCCAGGGAGGAAAGGTGGGTTGCCGTTGATTTTAAAGGTATTAAAGCCCTCGCCCCATGCTGCGTGGTATCACTTCGTGTTTGTCAAAATGATGGGAGCCCAGATGATTCCACGGCAGCCTTAGCCACTTTCATACACCTGCTGAAAACCAGGGCTATGCAGGAAGTTAATGATACATCTTTCTGCAATAGTAATTGATCTCTCTCTCTCTCTCTCTCTCTCTCTCTCTCTCACACACACACACACACACAGGTTTTTTTTTTTTAAAAAAAGAATGAAATAGTGGTCTATAAATATTTTTTATAACTAAATACATATCGCGTGTCTGTTTAGCACTAGAATTCGAAACATTAATTTCACATGCCTTGTACTGCTTTCCCTGCCTGCTCAAAACTTCATTTTGCTCAGGCCAGCAGCAGCCTACCCAGGCGTGTGATTTTGTTTGTGTTAATTTGTTTTAAAACCGCCGATTTTTATCTGACAAATGTTTCCTCTGCTTCGTTTTCAAAGTTTGATTTTATCAGCAACAAAGGACAATGCCCAGCAATCTTTGAGGGCAAAGTCACCTAGCGAGCTTCGTGGCTGGGTGGGGACTTGAACCCTGATCTCCGTGGTCTGACACTCTAACCACTGTACTATACTGCCTTGAAGATGTGGGCAGTGGGATGCACGTACTGTAACTGTAAACAGCTCCGTGAATTATTTCGTGCCTGACGTTCATTTGCCCTCTCAGGCTTCGACAGACAGGGATAGCCCTAAGTGGATAACCTACAGCACTGTCTGCGTGTCAACTTGGCGGCAGAACAAGGAGTAAAAGGTGGAGATGCTGGGGATCGAACCCAGGACCTCATACATGCAAAGCATGCGCTCTACCACTGAGCTACATCCCCTGGCTGAAATAAGGTGTTTCGAAGCTCAGTACTGCCCTTCAACCTGCCAATTGTTATCTCCCAACTTTTTCTATCCCCCACTCCTACATTTCATTGTGCTTGTTGGAGGGTTTATTCCGCCTGCACTCTGCACATGTTCAGAAGAACGCTCCTGTTGAGGTTTCATGATGCTCATCATAGCCCTAAACATTGGAAGAGGAGATGACATTCCTTTGCCTTGGGCTCCCTTTGCCTTCCCTCCCAATCGCCACCAGCCATAAATCCCTGCCTCTCCCTTCTCACAAAAAAAAGGCCATTAGAAAGGCTTTGCGACAAACACAGGCGGAGTTTAGGACCCCGCGAAGTCGCTTCCCCGAGGAATGTGAGCTGGGAGCACAGGCGGAAGCGCGATTTGCCCCTGGTAACATGGCGGCTTGCGAGCTGTTCCACCGCCCGGGGAGATACAGCCTAAACTTCCGGTATTAAAGCGAAAGCTCTTGCCTGAGCGGGATGCGGCCCCGCTCTATCTTTTCCCCGCTCTCTATGGTTGAAAAGCCCTATCTATGCATGCTGCGTTAAGAGAACCAGAGTTGGGAAGCTAGAGCGGTTCGATACCGGAAGTGTGTGGAAGGAGTGTCTGCGGGAGGTTGTGCCTCTTTGCTCGCTCGCAGGATGGTGGAGAAGAAAATCTCAGGTACTTCGCAGTGGGAATGGGAGGGCGGCGGGGCTGCTGGGCGCGAAGGGGGATCGGTGTTCTCCGATTTAAATAGCAGTTGCCAAGAAAATAATGGGAAACAAGGAATGCATGTTTTGCATTGTGCTGAGCTGTGATCAGGAGCAGCCCTTTGCAAAACAAAGGATATTCTGGGAACCCCAAAGTAATGTTATAATCCGGCTTCCCACCTGCCGAACTATTATCAGCACCGTCGTTGGTGGAGGTTTATTCCGCAGGAACTCTGCACATGTTCAGAAGAACGCTCTTGTTGAGGTTTCACTGTGTTCATCATAGCCCTAAACATATTTCTGCCCTTGGCTCGAAGGTCCCAGTGTGGGCTGCAGCCATTAAAACACAATACTGTATTTGAAACAACTTGCAATCGCAGAAGCAAGGTGGGTCCTAGAAGTTTTTGATGTGGACCCGGGCTTAATTTTCAACTAGCATTTAATGGGAAAACCTGCAACTTGTGTAGATGTTAGTTTAGCACCTGGTAATGAGAAAGGACCTTGGTGTGGAATCTGTGGCCTTCCAGATGTTGTAGGACTCCAGCTCCCACCATGCTTGACCATTGGTTATGCTGGCTGGGGCTGATGGGAGTTGGAGTCTTTGGGGGGGGGTTTCCCAATTCCTGCTACAAACACAGTATCCCTTTCATGGGTAGCCAATGGGGATGCTCTTCAGAAGTAGCTGAACTCCAGCTCCCATCAGCCACAGCCAGCATGGTCAGGGGTCAGGCATGATGGAAGTACGTGAGCTTACCCCATGGGAGGGTATCTGAGCTTGAACAAAGTGCCTTTTGACTTGCCACTGATGAATGTCAGCCTCTCTCAACAATCTGGAAATGAAGGGACAGTGTTTCCTATTCGGAAGAAGCTGGCACCAGGCTGCCTCTTAAAAACTGAATCTGTAGGAGAGGATTTATTCTTTGTAATAATTTTTTATACCGTTTTATTTTTCTAAACAAATAAACAAATCTTAGCCATCTTAAAAGAGCAGAACCTTTCAAAACACCTAATTAAAACATTACAGATGAAAATCCAACGCAATAATGATTCACATTTAGAGCAGCATGCTTAAACAGAAAAACAAAATATTCTTGTAAACAACCAAAAAATTGCAGATAAAAATCAAATACAAAAATGCAATACAAATTCCTCCTGTGCTCTGGCATAGCAGCTACTTGTTCCTGCCACAGGATGGTGCATTAGTAGAACATATTCTTGAGCTAAATGTATGTGGTAGTGCGGTCACCGGGGGGGGGGGGGCGGAATAAAGTAATGTGTCTGTTAGACCTCAAGGGTGCTCTGTGATGGTAGGGGGCAATGAGGCAGTTCCTCCCCCACCCCAAATGAAAGATAATCTCCAGATTCCCAGCTTTCTTTTTCCAAAAAAGAGTAAAAATTTTCAGCATTTGTAGAACGTCAGATACGAGGCCAGGTGCGCAGGCGCTATTCTGCTCCTTTGTTTTGGGGAGAGACTAGTCTGCTCTCACCTTTCAGTGGTTTTAACCAATGAATGAAAGCACCAGGGCATAGACAACAGTAGTTAGGCTATCCCTGTCCATTTAGGGGGCATAGCTGGGCCACCAGCTGAAGCTGATGGAAGGCAGTCCTTGCCACCAAGCTATCCTGAGCACAAGGCCACCTGAGCTTCAGTGGAGGCAATTCAAATGTTCAGGGGCATTGTGGAAGGCCCAAGGAGTGTCTCCCCTGGCAGACTGTGGGTTGCTTGGATTGGATGGATTTGATATCCCACTTTATCACTACCCGAAGGAGTCTCAAAGCGGCTAACATTCTCCTTTCCCTTCCTCCCCCACAACAAACACTCTGTGAGGTGAGTGGGGCTGAGAGACTTCAAAGAAGTGTGACTGGCCCAAGGTCACCCAGCAGCTGCATGTGGAGGAGCGGAGACGCGAACCCGGTTCCCCAGATTACGAGACTACCGCTCTTAACCACTACTGGCATCAGACACAGCCCTCTCTCTTTTTCTCTCTCAGCACGGTCTCAGGACCCCAGCCAGAGGCGCATCTTAGACCGGGCCACCCGACAGCGGCGCCTGAACCGCCAGTTGGAGGCGCTTGAGAATGACAACTTCCAGGATGACCCTCACGCCAACATGCCCCAGCTTGTGAAGCGCTTGCCCCAGTTTGATGACGACGCTGAAACAGGTGAGGGTTCGTTCGTTGGGTTGCATCTGTTGACTTCTGCCTTCTTCCTTTCCTCTTGGCGCTCATTCTGTTAACTTGCACCCCTTTGCTGCTGGAGGTGGGTCACAAATTCCTCTCTATTTTTGTAATATAACTTTTTATTGAATTTCTGAATTTTTACATATTAACTTCAAATCTAATAGTTACATTGTTTCATACAGTGGCTTCCCATCCCTACCTCTACAGTGTTTTCATTCAAACTCTTTTCTACTGCATTATATATCGGACTTTTATCTGTTATATAAATCCCTCTAATACAATTACTTTATCATTTTCTTTCCGCTGCTCCTATCTCAAATCCTGCCCGTGATTTCATTTCACTATAGTACTTTTTCAATTAGTAAAAAAGGCCTTCATTCTTCTGTAAACAGTTCATCATTTCGATCTTTTAATCTTGCCGTCAGCTTTGCCTTTTCCACATAGTCCATTACTTTTAAAAGCCATTCCTCCTTCTTGGGAAGGTCACAAATTCACCTTTGAGGGTTGGCCAAGCTGGATGGAGTTGAGCAGATATGATGTCAAGAAAACGGGAAATGGTGGGAGACAAAGGTGCAATCCTGCACTCAAGATCCACTAGCTGAGGGGCTTTAGGATTTGGCAGAAGCCCCACTGATATGGTTCCACCATGATGGATGTGTTAGCTCAGGGGCGGGAGGCCTGTAGCTCTTTAGAAATTGCTGGACTCCAACTCCCATCATTCTTGACTGTTGGCCATGCTGGTTGGGGCTGATGGGATTTGGAGTCCAACAGCACCTCAAAAAACCCCCACAGGTATTCGTATTACAGCACTAATGGAACACCCCAGATATAGATATACCTAACACTGTTCCATCACACTGTACAAATAATAAATTTATATATATTTTTCCTCAGTAAAATTTATTATAGACAGCAGCTAAAGCTTTTTTTAAATTTCAGAATGCTAATGGGTCATTTCGTTCACAGTCCCTGAAAATAATGGATTGTTATTGGCCCTGGGAGTGTAGATAGTAACATTTATCCCCCTACGTTTTAATTATTTTATTTTATTGGATATAACAATGCAAATGTTTGAGAGATGCAGAAACCAACAGGGGCTTGCCTGTTTGATGTCATATGGCCCTCAATTTGAAAAAGAAAGAAACGGATGCAGAGCAGAGAAATGATTATTGAAGAGAGATCGTAACAAGAGCATGAATAATAAGAACGTGGAAGCACGGCAGAGCGGTCAGCAACAAGGAATACTGTCGAATCCAGATAAAATCATACTTTGCGTTCCCTGGGTTTTGTTTTTACAGGGAAGAAGAAGAAGAAAACGCGGGGGGACCATTTCAAGCTGCGTTTCCGCAAGAACTTCCAAGCCTTGCTGGAAGAACAGGTGCCTCTACGCCCTCCCTCTCCCCTTTGTGGGACGTGGGTGAGGCATAAATATTCTATGATTCTATATTCTTTAACAGTTGCTTCACTTATGTACTCCTTCCTTATGGTTTTATTTCCCACCTCACCCTGGATTTAATAGCTCTGTTTAAATATAAATGTTTGAACAAAGGCAGACATTATAGCCAAGCCATTGCAAGCATAAAAGTGCTTTGTTAGTTTTGCGTGAAATATATACATGTCGTTGGATTTGCAGCCTGGAGGCTGTGCTGTGTGTGGAGACGATTTAGTCAGAAAGCTCACTGGCCATAACACCGCAAATGATCCTTACAAGAGCGATAGGCTTGTAATAAATGTTGCGGATTGAATTGGGGGGGGGGTCAGGTTTATTGCAGGGTTGAGATTCGAAGTGGAGATATGCTCAAGGTTCCAGGCAAGCTCCAAACGTTCCTGTTCTTAGGCCGAGAGCAGGGGGCAATGAATGTGGGGCTCTCCAGAGTGTTTTGGACTACAACTCCTATCAGCCCCAGATGTTGTGAGCAGTGGTCAGGGATGATGGGAGTTGTAGTCCCAACAGAATCTGGACAGGAACCATTTTGGCTGCCACGGGCCTAGAGGGATGTAGCGAGGAGGGGACCACTCCTCCCAGAGATGGAAAGGATAACTGTCTATACAACTAAGCGGAGGAATTAAGTTTTTGCCTTTAGCTTGGATTGGGCACCTTTCCATACACCCCAAATAAAAACTGAAGAAGAAGAAGAAGAGTTTGGATTTGATATCCCGCCTTTCACTCCCTTTAAGGAGTCTCAAAGCGGCTAACATTCTCCTTTCCCTTCCTCCCCCACAACAAACACTCTGTGAGGTGAGTGGGGCTGAGAAACTTCAAAGAAGTGTGACTAGCCCAAGGTCACCCAGCAGCTGCATGTGGAGGAGCGGAGACGCGAACCCGGTTCCCCAGATTACGAGGCTACCGCTCTTAATCACTACACCACACCCCAATATATATCATATATACAATATATCACCCCCCAAAAACCAGACGCAGGCCAGTGAGGACTGAGCCAGCTCCATGGGCATAGAGTGTTGACTGAGGGGGAAAGCGATTGCACAGGCAGAACTTTGAACAGTATCATTCTATACTTCAAGGAAGCATTTCCTGGGACAGGTGTGTCCCTTATTATGCAGGCCAGATCAATATCTGCCCTACCCTTCACAGGCCAAATTGGACAGCGAGGCAGGGCTGCTCGCCTGTCAATCACCTGGCACCTCAGTGTCGGTAGGTGATGAGCCTCTTTTCTGTAAGCTGTTAGGGCATTTGCTTTGCACTTCCTTCTCCAAGGCGTGTCACACACAGTTCCCCCCACCCTGTTTAATCCCACGACAACCCTGTGAGGTAGGCTAAGCTGAGAGCGAGCGACTGGCCCAAGGTTGCCCAGTGAGCTCTATGGCTGAGTGGAGGATTTGAACCCAGGTCTTAGCCCAACCCTTACGCCACACTGGCCGCACTTTGAAGCCGCACTCCCAGCGCTCCTTCGGAGAGCCCTCTTCCATGTGCATCAGATGGTTTGATTCTTCCCTATATAATGCATGGCGTGAGGCTTGAGTTCATAGGCGAGTTCATATCTTTTTCTCCCTTCTGGACTCCCCAACAGAACCTGAACGTGAGCGAAGGACCCAACTACCTGACAGCATGTGCGCCCCCTTCCAACCTGCCCCAGCGCCACTTCTGCACCGTCTGCGGCTTCCCGTCGAACTACACGTGTGTATCGTGCGGAACCCGGTACTGCTGCGTCAAGTGTCTGGGAACGCACCAGGAAACTCGGTGAGGCAGGCTTGCAAACAGCAGCTCGCCCTGGTCGCCACCAGCATGGGCTGCTGTTCCGTTTCCTGACCCAAAACCGCAACTACCAAGGGGATTTTGAAAGAATTATAACACAGAACTGTTAGGACAGCAAGTAGCTAATGTAGTGCCCTGGGGTGCTGTTGGCCTCCAACTCACATCAGCCCCTGGCCAGTGGCCAAGGATGATGGGAGTTGTAGTCCAGCAACATCTGGTGTGCACCGGATTGGTTGTTTAGCAGTATTCGTAGCCTGCCATTTTCTCGCTACAGTATTTAGTAGAAACGTAGGAATGTCATTGTGTAGTACTCAGAGCCTGAAGCTTTCTCTCTTTACAATGAAAATGTAAGGATGTTGTCACTCATTCCCCATTGGAGGATTTGCAGTGCCTCCTCACAATCCTGGTTTTGCATAGTGGGGCAGGGGAGCGCAAGTAAAGGCAGGTTGCACAACTGCAGCGGCCATGACATGGGAGCAAGACAGGAGGAACATGGAGAGGGGAAAGTGATGGTTTAAACCAGGGGTCAGCAAACTTTCAGCAGGGGGCCGGTCCACTGTCCCTCAGACCTTGTGGGGGGCCGGACTATATTTTTTTTGGGGGGGGGGAGAACAAATTCCTATGCCCCACAAATAACCCAGAGATGCATTTTCAATAAAAGCACACATTCTACTCATGTAAAAACACACTGATTCCCAGACCAACCGCAGGCTGGATTAAGAAGGCGTTTGGGCTGGATCCGGCCCCCGGGCCTTAGTTTGCCTACCCATGGTTTAAACAGTGCCAGAAGTTAATGGGGGCAGGATGCAAAGTAGGTGAGCAGGTGCAGAGCCCCTACTTCAGGCATTGGCAAACCCCTAGCTAACAGGACTAGTGGTCAGGGATGATGGGAGTTGTAGTCCCAAAACATCTGGAGAGCCAAGTTTGCCTATGTCTGTAGTTGTTGTGGTTTTTTTAAAAAGAATTAAGTGGGTTTTATACAGCTTTTCAGGTGACTCTCACAAAGAGATTCATAAAAGACCATTACAGCAATAAACAGCCGTTAAAGAGAGCTGAAAATGCCTTGTTAAGCTTTCTTCTGAAACTCTCGCTCTCTCTCTCTCTCTCTCACCTGAAGGTGTCTGAAGTGGACCGTCTGAGATGTGTTCTGAGGAACTGCCGTGTGCTGCCTGTGGAAGGAGCATTTGTGTGGCGTACCTGTTTCCTTCGGATGGGTTGGGCCTGGAGCTGTTCCTCGCTTTGAGGCTGAAGGACAGGAAACCAGGTTTCTCAGAGACGGAGAGGAAGGCCGCTTTGCCTTGCGCCATCATCTGTCGCTAGCGTTTTGAGTAATTAAAAAGTATCTGTGCTGTAGCCTTGGGGCTTGGATCTCTTCTTTTGAGTCGCCTGGGACTATTTGTCTGGCAGATTTATATATTTGTACTTGGAAATTTCCAACCCGCTCTTTCACAAAACGCAACCAGGTGGCTCACAACATATGAAATGCTGGGTAATGGGTCTCGGCCTATGAAGCATTTTTAAAAATCATCAAGAGACGTGCTGCAGCTTTGTCTGGTTCTGCTCGTAGCCAGAGAGCTGTTCACACATTACATTCAATGGGTGTACAGCCAGTGATTGCGACAGCAAAGCCGAATGTTGGAAAGATTCGTGACAGACAAAAGAAAGTGCTTTTTCCATGCAGTTCATAATTAAACTACCACGAAAGCCCCTCCCCCAAGCAGTAGCAATGGCCACAAATTTGGAAGGCTTTAAAAAAGGATGAGACAACTTCAATAAGGCGATCGGTGGCTACTAACCTCAATATCTGTATTCTACCACCACTGCTGGAGGCAATTCATTCATTTCATTCATTTATTGAATTTATATACTGCTCTATACCCAGGGATGCAAGTGGCGCTGTGGGTTAAACCACTGAGCCTAGGACTTGCCGATCAGAAGGTCGGCAGTTCGAATCCCCGCGACGAGGTGAGCTCCCGTTGCTCGGTCCCTGCTCCTGCCAACCTAGCCGTTTGAAAGCACATCAAAGTGCAAGTAGATAAATAGGTACCGCTCCAGCAGGAAGTTAAACGGCGTTTCCGTGCGCTGCTCTGGTTCGCCAGAAGCGGCTTAGTCCTGCTAGCCACATGACCCGGAAGCTGCACTCTGGCTCCCTCGGCCAATAAAGCGAGATGAGCGCCGCAACCCCAGAGTCGGTCACGACTGGACCTAATGGTCAGGGGTCCTTTACTATACCCAGAGGTCTCAGGGCAGTTCACAAAAAAGATCGCAATATATAAAATCAAAATAAAAACAATTATCCAATAAGCCCCCCCCCCCCCAGAGCCACATTTTAAAGGGTATAGGATGTTGATTAGGTCAGCCAAAGACCTGGGTAAAAAGGAACGTTTTTGCCTGGTGCCTAAAGGTATATAATGAAGGTGGCAGGCAAACGTCCCTGGGGAGAGCATTCCACAGATGGAGAACCACCGCAGAGAAGGCCCTGTTCTTGTGTTGCCACCCTCCAGACGTCTCGAGGAGGAGGCACACAAATGAGGGCCTCAGAACATGATCTCAGGGTCCAGGTAGCTTCATATGGAAAGAGGCGGTTCTTGAGGTATTTCGGTCCTGAGCTGTTTAAGCTTTCTAGGTCAAAACGAGCACTTTGAATTGGGCCCGAAACTAAACGGTAGCCAGTGCAGTCGGACCAATATTGGTGTAAAATGCTCAAACCGTCTTGCTCCGGTGAGCAACCTGGCCTCTGAATTCTGCAGTGGCTGAAGTTTCCGAACTGTCTTCAGAGGCAGCCATATGTATAACACACTGAAACAATCTAACCATGAAGTTTCTAGAGCATAGGTAGCAGTAGTTAGGCTATCCCTGTCCAGATAGGGGCTTAGCTGGGCCACCAGGTGAAGCTGATGGAAGGCACTCCAGGCCACTGAGGCCGTCTGAGCCTCAAGCGACAGCAGAGGATCCAGGAGTACCCCTAAGCTATGAACCTGCTATTTCAGGGGCAGCGTAACCCCATCCAGAGCAGGCGACCTCCCAACCATCTGGTCTAGTGAGCCACCCACTAACAGTGCCTCAGCCTTATCTGGATTGAGCTTCAGTCTGTTGGTTCTCATCCAGTCCATTACCAAGGCAAGACACTGATCCAGCACTTCCACTGCCTCACCTGCAGATGTAAAAGAGAAATCGAGCTGAGTGTCATCAGCATACTGCTGACAACGTACGCCGAACTTCCAGATAACCCCCGCCCCCAGTGGTTTCATGTAGATGCTAAACAACATAGGGGATAGAATTGAGCCCTGCAGAACCCCACATTGGAGGTTTCACAGGGCTGAATAGCATTCCCCAAGCAACACCCTCTGGGAACAACCATCCAAGTAGGACTGGAACCACCCCAAAGCAGTGCCACACACCCCTAGTTCGGAGAATTATTAACCGGACACATCCAAAGTCTGAATTAGGAGATGCGTCTGAATTAGGGTGGCTTCACCTTTGGTTCTGAATACGTGGTCTGTGCAGAAGAGGGACGGGGAGGAGAAACTAGCCCTTAATAATCTAATGCTGGATTTTGATGAACAAATGGGCTTCAACAACCTTCACTTGAGGAGCCAAAGGAGACTGCCCACCGCAAGCTGCCAATCTGCTGACCTTTAAGGTACGTTCTAACTTTTTATTTTCCTTGTGGTTTCTAGGAGGTTAGAGACTTGGTGTCTATTCCCTGCCCAGGGACTTTTACAAAGGTCTTCAAAACAGCCTGTCCCTTTTCCTTCAAAGCTTGATTTAAAGGAGGGCGGAAAGAGGCTTCAAATTCTTCACCCAGGACCCACCCTCGTGTTTCTCTTTCAAGCCTCCAAGTTTTGAAAGAGAAATGAGTGGTGTGTTTGGTTTGAAGGTGGACCAGAGCTGTATCTAAGGAACAGCCAGGACTTTTATCCTCCTGCCCCACAATCTCCAGGGGATTGGGTTTGTCCGGGAACCGGCGGTGGAATACCTCCACCAGATACCTGTCATCGAAGGCTTCCGTGGGAACCCACGTGTTTTCGGACCCGGGTTCCCCCTCCCAAGCTACCAAATACTCCACCTGGCGCCCTCGTCACCTTGAGTCCAGTATTTCCGTGGCCCTGTGATGGTGTTCCCTTTCTTCTACCTGTGGGTGTGTGGTGACTTCTCCCTCTTGCCCCTGGAATCCCCGCCCCTCCTTATGCGGTGAGAGCAGGGACCTGTGGAAAACCGGGTGTATTTTCATGCTATCAGGCAACTTGAGCTTAAATGCCACGGGATTTACTTACTGTGTTACCTCAAAAGGTCCCAGCCGTCTGGGCTGCAACTTCTTGCACCCCCCTTTGAAAGGTAGCCCTTGGGTGGGCAACCACACCCGGTCCCCCACCCATATGGTCTCCCCTTCCCTGCGGTGCTTGTCTGCCTGCCTCTTGTAAGTTTCCTTGGCCCGCTCCAAGTTCATCTTAAGTTGCTGGTGCAGGGCCTCCATTTCTTCCACAAACTGCTCTGCCGCGGGTACGCTCCAGTTTTCCTCCCCACTCCCCGGGAAGGCCCTGGGATGACACCCATGGTTGGCCATGAATGGACTCATTCCCGTGGACACGTGTTCCGCGTTGTTGTACGCGAATTCAGCCAGCGCTAGTTTTTCTACCCAATCGTTCTGCCTCTCGCTGACGTAGCAGCATAGGTATTGCTGGAGTATACTGTTCACTCTTTCTGCTTGCCCGTTGGTCTCCAGGTGTCTCGCCGTCGAGAAACCCACCTCCACCTGCAGCAAGCTCATGAGCTTCCTCCAGAACCGGGAAGTAAATTGTTTCCCGCGGTCGGAGATAACCCTCAAGGGGGCGCCATGCAGCCGGAAGATGTGCTCCACAAACAACCAGGCTGTTTCCTCTGCCGTTACAGCATGTGAGCAAGCTATAAAATGGCACATTTTTGTCAGTAGGTCGACCACTACCATGACCGCTGTCTTTCCCCAGGACTTGGGCAAATCTGTCATAAAATCAATGGACACCACCTCCCAGGGTTTCCCCGGCATGGGTAAGGGTTCCAGTAATCCTGCGGGGGCAGCCCACTCCCCCTTTGCCCTTTGGCAGCGGTCGCACCCCCGTACATATTCCCGTACATCCTCCCTCACCCTGGGCCACCAGAAGTGCCTGGTCACGAGCATCATGGTTTTGTGCTGTCCAAAGTGCCCAGCTGTGGGGTTGTCGTGGAGTTGTTTGAGTACCTTTCCCCTCAGGGTCTCCCCTGGTACGTACAGCGCTCCCCTATAGTACAGTACCCCTTCCTTCTCCTCAAACCCTTCTTGGGTCCCTCTTCCTTCTCGGAGTTCCCGGATTTTAGTTTGCGCGAACACGTCGTTTCTGGTCAGCCCGGCTAGTTCTCGTTTCCCCACCAAAGTTCCCCCACACACCCATCGGTCCTCGGGGATAACGTGTCGTTTCTCCGGCGGCCCCTCTCCTTCCAAGTACTCCGGTTTACGCGAGAGAGCATCTGCTCTTACGTTTTCCTCTCCGGGCACTTATCGGATTTCAAAGAAAAACTTGGAGAACTCCTGTGCCCATCAAATCTGTCTCTGGTTGAGTACTCATGCGGTCCTCCAGTACTCCAAGTTCTTGTGATCTGTGCAAACCTGGATCTGTTGTTGCACCCCTATCAGTAGATGACACCAACGACGAAAGGCCGCGTAGATCGCCAGCAGTTTGCGGTCATACACGGTATAGTTTTGCTCCGACTTGCTCAGTTTTCTCGAGAAAAAGGCACACGGTTTCCATTCCTGCTTGCCCCTCCCTGGCTGCAAAAGGACCGCCCCGATGGCTCTGTCGGACGCATCGGTCTCTAGCCTCATGGGTTTCTCCAGATCTACGTGCAGGAGTTGCTCTTCCGATGCGAACGCCTTCTTCAGTTTTTCAAAGGATTGCTGGGCCTCCTCTGTCCACACAAACTTCTTTTTGCTACTGAGACAATCCATGATGGGCGCTGTCAAGTGGGCGAAGTTCTTGATGAACTTCCTGTAGAAGTTGCTGAACCCTAGGAACCTCTGCACGTCCTTCCGTGTTTTGGGAGCCTTCCACTCCAGCACTGCCTGCACCTTGCTTGGGTCCATCGCTAAGCCTTTGTCAGACAACTTGTACCCCCAGAAACTCGACTTCTCTGGCGTGAAACTGACATTTTTCCAGCTTGACCCACAACTGGTGCTTCTGCAGCCGTTGTAACACTTCCCTGACGTCTCTAACATGTTGCTCCTCGTTGTCCGAATAAATTAAGACGTCATCCAAGAAGGCTACGCAGTTCTTGTACAGCAGAGACCCCAACACGTGGTGCATGAAAGCTTGAAAACAGGCGGAGCCCGACTGTAATCCAAAAGGCATAACTAAGTACTCAAAGGCACCTAGGGGTGTGAACATTGTGGTCTTCCATTCATCCCCCTCCCTCATCCTGATCAAATTGTATGCGCCCCTGAGGTCCAGCTTGGTAAAAATTTTCCCTTTCCTCACTCGCGTTAAAATGTCATCAATCCTGGGCATTGGGAAGGTCACGGGTTCTGACACCAAATTGACGGCCCTATAGTCCACAACGAGCCTGGGTTTATTTGTGTCCTTTTTGTCCACAAAGAACACCGGACTGCCCCCTACCGCCTTTGATTCTCTTATGAAGCCTCTTTTCAGGTTCTTGTTAATAAATTCTCGCAACTCCTTCATCTCCCTGTCCGACATGGCATACAGCTTACCCACTGGCAGCTGAGCCCCCGGGAGCAAGTTGATCTGGCAGTCAAAGGGCCTATGGGGTGGCAGTCTATCTGCCTCCTTCTCGCTGAAGACCTCCCGCAGATCTGCATATTGCGGCGGCACCTCTCCCTTCCGCTCCACAGCCATCCCAGCCACCCTGGCCACGCTCATCCTTGGGGTTGCTCCTCCTAGACAGTGTTCCAGGCAGTAAGCTGACCCAAAGGTGACTGTCCTCTGATGCCACGCCACCACTGGATCATGTTGTGCTAGCCAGCTCATCCCTAATATTATTGGGGGCCCTGCTAGTGAGGCGACGTGAAAGGCGATGGTCTCCGAGTGCCTGGACACCCTCATTCTCATTGGTGGGGTCTGGTATGTCACTTCCCCTCCTAGAAGCTCCCTGCCATCAATGGTGGTCACTTGCAAGGGATAATCCAAAGGCAGTAAGTGGAGCTAGTGCTCTAATGCAAAGTCTTTGCTGAAGAAATTACATGAGCTGCCTGAATCCAGCATCCCTTTCACCTTGACTGGGTGCCCGTTCGGGAGTTCTAGCACCACTTCGATGGCTATTGCCGCCTTGGGGGGGTCTGGTTGGGGCACTTTTACTGGTGGCTAGCCTGGCTGCTGTGCCCCTTGATTGGCAGCCAAGCGTTCCCGTTTCCCTGTTCCTGTTCCTTTACCACCTCCTCCTCACCCCCTGTGGCTCCCACCATTCCTTGCCAGGCCTTTCTTTGAGGGCAGGCTCTGGCAAAATGTCCTGGCTGCTGGCAAAGGAAACACTTCTTGGTGGTTTTCCAATCCTTTCCCTCCTTTTTGCGCCCTTCGCTGGCGCTTGAAACTTCCCGTGCGCGTGCCCCATCTATTTCCATTGGCTCTGCTGGCGGGGAAGGCTGCCTTGGTATTTCAGGAATGCGGTAGTCATGGCAACGTTGCTCTCTCCCTTCCCGCCTCTCCTGGGCCCGCGCTTCCTGCCGCACGCCAATCGCAAGCACAGCCTTGGTCAGCTGATCCATCCCCTGTGGGCGGGGTGCGCGGGAAAGCTCATCCTTAACCGTTGAGGACAACCCCTCCTCGAATAACATTTGTATGGGTTCAGAGTCCAGTTGCCACCCGAGGCGATGAACTATCATGGCAAAGCGCGACCAGTAGTCTCTAACTGACTGGTTCCCCTGTTTACAGTTCATCAGTTCCCGCTTTGTCACACTTTGTTGTACATCACTGGAAAACATTGCGTCCATTGCCTGGAAGAATTTCCTCAGGTCCTGCATGGCGGCATTCTGCGTCGCCATAAGGGGCCTGACCCATTCCCTGGCCCCATCTTGCAGGTGACCCACAATATATGCCACCCGCGCCGCATCGTCTTCAAAATCGTCATGCTGCAGTTCCAATGCGTACTCTATTTCCGTTCGGAACGCACTATAGTCCTGCGGCTTCCCCCCAAATTTGTGCACCAGTCCCGGTACCTTCCTTGCTATGGGGGTGGGCCTGACCTGTGCATCTTGAGACCGCCTTTCGTCCAGCCGCGCCGTCAGAATGGCCACATGCTGCTCCAACTCCCGGTTCCTCTCCACCAGAGTTTGCCCTCCAGCTGCTCCCTCCTGGGCACTCGCTTCTCCGGGTTTGCTCATGATGCTGCCTGCCTGCTGCTGCGCACGAGCAACTTTCAGGGACTGACGGATTGCTGTAATGAGTATGAGTTACTCGTGCGTAAACTGGTGCCTCTCTAGGCTAATTTGCCTAGTTAAACCTTTCTGACTGCACAGCCCTTTCTAATTGTGACAGCCTCAGTCGATGGCAGAATCCGTCAGTGGGCGTTTCTTGAACCTCTTCCAACATAAAAGTTGTTTGACACCCAGTCTCCTCCTCCTCTCACTGTGCGGGAGTCTTCTGCGCAGGGAGGGCGTGGGTAGCGGAGGACCTGTCCCCTCCTCACTGAGGTCCAGTGAAGAGTCCTGGAGCCCTCTCTCCGATTCCCCCATCTGCCCCCCTTTATCCCTGGTGTTGCGCTGGTTTGCTTCTCCCTCTACTGAGCTGTTTCTCCCCCTGCTGCTGGGTCCTTCGCCAGCATCATCTAGGAGCCTCCCCTTCGCCTCTCGCTCCGATGTCAGTTCCCTGACACGGGAGAATACACAAGCCATTCTCGAGGGTAGGTTTCTCCAGTTACTTTGGTGGAATGAAATAAATTCTTTGAGCAGAACCGGGCTTGGTTTTCGTATGTTTGCTTTGAAGTGGTAAAAAGACCTTCCCAGTGCTGACATTCTGAAGGACCTTTCTCAATCCAGAATGATATTTCCTTGTTATTCAGTGTGGCCCATAAACCTATGTCACTCTCGTCTCTGAAATAACTAGTACCATGAACAATTATTATTTTTGTAACTACGATGCTAGAGTTTTTGCAGAGATCGTTTGCTGTTTTTTCCAATTCTTTAAGGTGCTAATGAGCTTGAACTGCTTCTTTTGATGTAACTATTTCGTGGCATGTTCCTTCATGCCTTGTGTTAATATTTGCCTGTGGGTTCTGCCACGTCATTGTCAATTTCTCCAGAGGATTTTGTACTTGTAGTGGTAGTTACTGTGGTACCTCGGGTTACATACGCTTCAGGTTACATACGCTTCAGGTTACAGACTCCGCTAACCCAGAAACAGTGCTTCAAGTTAAGAACTTTGCTTCAGGATGAGAACAGAAATTGTGCTCCGGTGGTGCAGCGGCAGCAGGAGGCCCCATTAGCTAAAGTGGTGCTTCAGGTTAAGAACAGTTTCAGGTTAAGTATGGACCTCCGGAACGAATTAAGTACTTAACCCGAGGTACCACTGTACTGACAACAGTGCTCCTTGAAAATTTTGGGAGGCTGCTTTCTGTATATAAACTGGTTTGTTCTTCAGTCTGCATGACTGCCAAGTATAGTCTACTTGATTTTCTTCTGCTTATAATTACAGTTGTTCTGTATCTGAGGGCTGTTTCTGCCTGTTGTGCAAAGCCCTTTAAACATTTTGAGTACAGTGCTACCTTGGTTTAAGAACAGCTTAGTTTATGAACAACTTGGATTAAGAACGTGGTCAACCCGGAAGTAGGTGTTTTGGTTTGTGAACTTTGCCTTGGAAGCAGAACATGTTGTGTGTGTTCCATTTGTAAATTGAGTCCCCGGCTGCTATGGGAAAGCAGGCCTTGGTTTAAGAACGCTTTGGTTTAAGAATGGACTTCCGGAACGGATTAAGTTCGTAAATCAAGGTACCACTGTATCTCCTTCTATTCTTTTTGTCGCTTTTGTTTACTAGCACCACTTTCATATCGCTTACTCATTGCTATTTTTGCAAAAAGTCAAAGTGAAATATTATTGTGATTCACAGTGATGTACAAGAATTCTCACTTGTTCTCAAAACACACTAGAATGATAAGACAGTGGTCTGAACACCTGTAATGCTTCGCAGATGACTTTATCATTTGATTCTGAGTAGCTTCAAAACCTCCACATACAGTAAGTACACACTTGTGTAACTGTTGGAGAGTAAGGTTACCATATTTTTTTCAGTGAATCGAGGGACACTTTTCAACTTCAGTTGAAGGGGATGGATTTTGTCAGAGGACTGATTTGTAAATCCAGGGATTGTCCCCGGGAAACGGGGACGTCTGGTAACCTTATTGTAGAGCCACAGACTTATGCATCATGTTTTAATGTTACTAAGCTACTGGGCCGAGGCAGCTTCAACTTGCAAGAAAGGAGATGCTGACTAAACATAAGGAAGAACTTTATGACAGTGTAATAAACAAAATCTGCCCTTATTCCCTTATGGAGGACAGAAGAGCCCTTATAGAGTCCGTTGTAGGTTCTCCATCAGTAGGAGGAAATAACAGAGGCCAACCAGAGAATATTGAGAAGCAAAGCAGCTCGTAAGCCTGATCTTTATTGAACTGTTGCAAGAGGGTGCTCTCCTCACACACAGGAAAGGAGGAGGACCCAGAACCAAGGTGTGCCTGCCCTTATATAGACATTTTAAATTCCCTGCCCTGGAGCTCAAGACCACCCTCCATACATCATACCTACATCACAGATAAGGTAGTCTACAACAGAAATTTGAATGTTGTTGTTTTTCCTGTCTGCCAGGTTATCTGATTGCCTTTCCTGGTAGTCTGGCCATTCCTTTGAGATGGTGATTACCCAATTCCTGAGACAATGGGAAGGCTCCCCCACCCCCTCCCTCCTTGCAGAGAAAACATTTGGTCAGTTGGGGAGTCAAAATGGTTTCAGGGCGGTCCTCCTGTGCTGCTCCAGACTGTTCTGCTCCATATCTATGTACGTGCTTGGTTGGTACATTTATGAACATTTATTATACATAGAAGACCTAATTTTTTTTATTTCAACAGTAAGAGCCGATCGACAGTGGAACGGTCTCCCTTGGGAGGTTGTGGGCTCTCTTTCCTTGGAGGTTTTTAAGCAGAGTTCAGATGGACATCTGTCATGGATGCTTTAGCTGAGATTACTGCATTGCAAGGGGTTTGATGTCTTCTTGGGAGAAGACATTTGCAGGCAGCTGCCCAGTGAGGGTAGCCCTTTTGATCTGCAGGAAGAAGGTCCCAGGTTCAGGCCAACACAGCTGCCTTAGGTGACAGGGGATGGGAGAGATCTTTCTCACTTTGCTTGAGACTCTGCTTGAGATTCAAGGCAGCTTCCTAGACTGTCTTTAGCTGTGATTCCTGCATTGCATGGGGTTGGACTAGATGACCCTTTGGACCCATCCAGCTCTGCAGTTCTATGATTCTAGATAGTAAAATCTGCCTGTTTGTTTTTTTAATGACAAGAGGCCATTGTTGTTGTTTAGTCGTTTAGTCGTGTCCGACTCTTCGTGACCCCATGGACCAGAGCATGCCAGGCACTCCTGTCTTCCACTGCCTCCTGCAGTTTGGTCAAAGTCATGATGGTAGCTTCAAGAACGCCATCCAACCATCTCGTCCTCTGCCGTCCCCTTCTCCTTGTGCCCTCCATCTTTCCGAACATCAGGGTCTTTTCCAGGGAGTCTTCTCTTCTTATGAGGTGGCCAAAGTATTGGAGCCTCAGCTTCACGACCTGTCCTTCCAGTGAGCACTCGGGGCTGATTTCCTTAAGAATGGATAGAAGAATTGATCTTCTTGCAGTCCATGGGACTCTCAAGAGTCTCCTCCAGCACCATAATTCAAAAGCATCGATTCTTCGGCGATCAGCCTTCTTTATGGTCCAGCTCTCACTTCCATACATCACTACTGGGAAAACCATAGCTTTTACTATACGGACCTTTGTTGGCAAGGTGATGTCTCTGCTTTTCAAGATGCTGTCTAGAGGCTGAGTCTCCTCTAAATTATGAGGCCCTGGGCTGCAGCCCACTCAGCCCATATGTAAATCTGACACTGTCTACTCCTTATACCAACGAAAGTTGTTGTGACCATTGTGCGCACTCTGAAATGTGTGATATTTCCTGAGGGCAAAACCACACTTACAGGATGACTGAACGATAAAGGTGGGGCTGCTTACTGAAAGAGATTTATTGAGCCCAATCAGACGTGAGTAACATTTTAACTGAGCTGTTTAAGCAGATATTTACCTACCAGCCTGTCTTCTGGTTTATATTATCCTTTTGCTTAATTTTGTTTACACATCAACACTGACGCAGCTTATTTTAGATACGTATATGCTGAATATAATACAACACTGTTCTTATATTCTTTTTATTGCCTTTGCATTTGCTTCAGGTGTTTCTCGCATTTCTTGTTCCTCATCCTGATGCGTTTTGATGCCTACCTCAGCAGCAGCTGTTCGGGGCACACCTGACGAAGCAGCAGACTCCAGATGAACCCGGGCGACAAACGGTTCTGGTCTCGACTCTGTCTCTCTGTAACATGTCCTTCAATTTACGGCTTCGGAAGCAGAACTTAGCACTGACCGTCTGCGTGGTTTTCCTTGTTAGTCTTACTCTTTCGCTGCTACAGAGGGCAACCAGGTGAGTTATCTGGGTTCTTTGGGAAGGTGGGCTGGGAAGGGCATAGTTTTGAGTGCTTTTTTGAAATGTCAAACAGTATCAGAGATAGCCAGGCCGCCTGAGACATCCACCGAGGCAAGCACCCCCATTTATATATATAAAGTAAAGGTAAAGGGACCCCTGACCATTAGGTCCAGTCGTGACCAACTCTGAGGTTGCGGTGTTCATCTTGCTTTATTGGCCGAGGGAGCCGGCGTACAGCTTCCAGGTCATGTTGCCAGCATGACTAAGCCACTTCTGGCGAACCAGAGCAGCACACGGAAACGCCGTTTACCTTCCTGCCGGAGCCGTACCTATTTATCTACTTGCACTTTTGATGTGCTTTTGAACTGCTAGGTTGGCAGGGGCAGGGACTGAGCAACGGGAGCTCCCCCCATGGCAGGGATTCGAACCACCGACCTTCTGATCGGCAAGTCCTAGGCTCTGGTTTAACCCACAGTGCCACCCCCCCCACATGTTGTAGAGTGTTATAAGAAAACAAACTGCTTTTTTTCCCTTATGGGGTACCCAAGAGCCCGTATAGAGTCCTTATGTAGGTTCCCTATCAGTAGGAGAACACAACAGAGGCCAACCAGAGAATATTGAGAAGTAAAGCAGCTAGTAAGCCTGATCTTTATTAAGCTGTTGCAACAGGGTGCTCACCCCCCCATGCAGGAGGGAGGAGGAACCCAGAACATTGGTGTGCAAGCTCTTATATAGACTTTTGAAATTGCCACCCTGTAGCTCAAGGCCACCCCGCAATACATCATACATACATCACTGAAAGGGCGGTCTACAGCAGAAAACCTGTCTGCCAGGATACCTGATAATGGTCACTGGTTGCTTTTACCTGGGCATCCTGGCCATTCTTTTGTGATGGTAAATACTTAGTTCCTGAATCTCTTACGCATATTGATAGTGTGCTCAGTTTAACAGATATTTGTAGGTGTAAGCCCCTACAGTCCAAAGACAATTGGAAAGCTTTTCCCATTTCCTTCCTCCTTGCAGAGAAATATTTGAGGTCAATTTGGGAGAGTCAAAATGGCTTCAGGATTGTTCTCCTGTACTATTTCAGACACGTGGTTTATATACTTATGTATGTGTTTGCCTTATACATTTATGAACATTTATTTTATATCTTAGACCTTATAATTCTTTTAACAAAAGGAAAACCTGTAGACAATCAGCTCTGAGAGCCTTCTTAAAAAACTTGAGCTGTTTTAACAAGGAAGTGCAAATGGGCTTCAGCAGAGTCTGTAGCAACCACAAGCTCTGAAATTAATTCCAGCGCTGTGTGTGGTTCTTTCCCCCCACAGAGAGAAGACTACGTTAGGACAGTTATCAAAGTGCCGGGAATTGAATCGGTTATTTGAAGTAAGGGAATTCTCTCAGAGGTGAGTCTTTCTGGTTGGGCTGGCAGGCCTCACTGTTGGGCAGAGAGAGGCAGCTGATTTGGGGTGTCATGGAAAGGCAGAAAATCTTTAGTTGTGCCTGGCGCATCAACTTGAGGCGCGCCAACTGAGGGGGGTCAAAGGTGTCAATTTGCATTTCTAAGTACAGAAAGTATCGATCAGATGTGTAGAGATCTTTCCTATTCTGCTTAATTCAAGAGGGCTCTGGAAGCTTCTCTGTGTGAAAGAAACAAGCAGAAGGTTCGAGATGTTTGAGTTATTCCTTCAGAGAAGCTGGCTTAAACTGGTTCTCTTATCTGACTATAATAGTAAGGTCAGAAGGAGCCTGGGATTCACTTTCTCTTTCTATCTCTTTTTGTTGTGACCATTGTGCGCACTCTGAAATGTGTGATATTTCCTGAGGGCAAAACCACACTTATAGGATGACTGAACGATAAAGGTGGGGCTGCTTACTGAAAGAGATTTATTGAGCCCAATCAGACGTGAGTAACGTTTTAACTGAGGGAGGGGGAATATGCAGAGCTGGAGATATGCGCAGATAAGCACATCCTGAGTACCGGTGATGAGAAGACAATGGTCCATGTATGCATAGTCTGCCACCTGGCATTGCCCGGAGGAAAGGCTTGGCAGAGTGATTTGACAGGATTAGGGTCTTCCTGAGAGTATGTGACACCTTGCTTGAGGGATTATGGAGGACAGGGGAGGTGTCATGGAGTCCTAGAGAAATTGAGCAAATTGGCACGTTGATTTTCTATGAATTTTATGGATTTTAGTCCTTTTTGACATTGACAATTGGACTTGGAAATAAATGGATATATTGTAGCGAAGAAGAAGGTGAAGAAGACATGCCCCCCGCTTCCGTATCAAAGTTAAGTCTGCTGCAGCTGGATTTCATACGGACAGTGCCAGTCCTGAATGTATTGGATTTGTGACCATTCTGCTCATTTGCCTTCAGTAGCAGTAAAGCTCTGCTGGATGAAATACAATTGCCTCTGGTCTATTTTGAGGGGGGAATCCTGCAACGTGTTTAAGTTTTTACTCTGCTAACCATACGTCGGAGTTCTGCTCTGGACCATTTTGAGTAGAATTCCACGACAAAAAGCATCTCAGCCCCCCTCTATATTTGCTTGAGACGTCACACCCCGGGCCTCCACAATCTTGGGGCACCTCTCTGTTGTGAGATTTGTTATTGCCAAATTTCTTTACTTCCCTGAAGAAGCATGTCTTCCAGCCCCCGGGGTCTCTTGTGGAGGAAGCAAGCAAAGAAGTAGGACCTCAGAAGATGATCCTGGGGTCCACTTAGGTTCATACGGAAAAAGGGATGAACTCTGAAACTAGTCGTTGGTAATCTCTCTCTCTCTCTCTCTCTCTCTCTTGCTGGCAGTGCTCAATTCAGCAAGACAGCCAGCGATGAGAAGCGGGTTCGTGTTGTCAACACGTGGAAACTTCCTCAAAAAGATAAGGGCATTCTGGAGCATGTGCTACTTACTCAGGAGTGCCCTTGGGAACCCAATCCTGCAGCAATGGCCCAATACAGGTAAAGCCATCCACTCACCTGTTTGGAGAGACACCTGGAAAGACAGACAGCAATGGTTGTATATGCCGTTGTTAGACCCTCCAGCCAGAAGCATTAGCAGCAGCTCCCAGACCAACCCCACAAAGCTCCACATGGAGCATGTTACAGTAATCCAGTCTCAAAGGTTACCGGTGTTCTAGACAGAGGTTTGGGAGAGAGATCCTTACTCACTCGTAGCAGAGTTAGGCACAATGGTGATTGCTCCAAGCACATTTAAACTTGGTTAGATTTTTCACCTGCCCCCCATCCTTTGAACAAACATTCTGCATGAAAATACCTAGGCTAGAATAAATCACATAGATTACTCACAGCATTTCTAGAAGCTACATTAAACAAGTCTTCTATCTGTTGATGGTAAAACAAAGATGAAAAAGGTTCCAAATGACTCTAAAAGAAAAGTACTTTGTTTCTGCACAAAAAGTCTCGTGCAATCTTTGGGTTAGCAAAGATGCAGGCTGTAAAATCTCCCTTTCGGGGAAATTCAGTTCAATTGGGTTGTTGTTGTTTTTTTGCTGTTGGGGGCCTTAGGCACACGGCTCCTTCTTTGCTTGTTCCAGAAAGCATGAAGAGAAAAGGGAAGAATGGGAGGGAAGAAACAAAAGGCTGCAGAGAGCCTGCTAAGCTCTATCCCCACTGGCTATCTGAGCTCAGGTTAACTCCTTCATGCACGGAAGTGTGAGTCAGTAACTGTATATTACAACAAGTGCCTAGACTACCGTAGACAAGCTAGCTTCCTGTCCAAGAATGGACAAAGCTGGTAATAACAACAACAACAATTTTATTATTTACACCCCACCCATCTGGCTGGGTTTCCCCAGCAACTCTGGGCGGCTGCCAACATCATAATAATAATAATAATAATAATAATAATAATAATAATGCGATAAAACTTCAAACATTAAAAACTTCCCTAAACATGGCTGCCTTCAGATGTCTTCTAAAAATCAGATAGTTGTTTATTACCTTGACATCTGATGGAAGGGCGTTCCACAGGGTGGGCGCCACTACCGAGAAGGCCATCTGACTGGTTCCCTGTAACCTCACTTCTCACACTGAGGGAACCGCCAGAAGGCCCTCGGCACTGGACCTCAGTGTCCGGGCAGAACGATGGGGGTGGAGACGCTCCTTCAGGTATACTGGGCCGAGGCCATTTCACGCTTTAAAGGTCAGCACCAGCACTTTGAATTGTGCTTGGAAACATACTGGGAGCCAATGTACAGTGGTGCCCCGCAAGACGAATGCCTCGCAAGACGAAAAACTCGCTAGATGAAAGGGTTTTGCGTTTTTTGAGCTGCTTCGCAAGATGAATTTCCCTATGGGCTTGCTTCACAAGACGAAAACGTCTTGCAAGTTTGTTTCCTTTTTCTTAAAACCGTTACAGTAATACAGGGTGCATTGCTTGAAGAGGTGCAGTTGCGACTTGACTTCGAGGAGCAACTCATAGCACACGGTGTGTTAGCCTTTTTTGAGGTTTTTGAAGACTTTGGTGATTTTTGAAGCTTTTCCAAAACTTCTTTTGCAGCCATTTGGTAAGTTAAACTTTTAAAACTTTTTTGGGGGGGTTTGGATTTTGGGTTGGGGTGTTTGGAATTCAAGGACTTGGTGTTGGGGAGGGGTTTGCAAGAGTCTGGAAGCTTGTGTTTTTTTTCCTGCATTTTTATGATTTTTTTGTGACCATTGGGCCACTCTGCTGTTTTTTTTAAAAAAAATTCTGGATTTGAATTTCTGTGTGGTGGGTGGCTGGGGGAACAGTTGAGGAGGGGTTTGCAAGAATCTGGAAGCTTGTGGTTTTTTTTCTGCATTTTTATGATTTTCTGTGACCATTGGGCCACTCTGCTGTTTTTTTAAAAAAAATTCTGGATTTGAATTTCTGTGTGGTGGGTGGCTGGGGGAACAGTTGAGGAGGGGTTTGCAAGAATCTGGAAGCTTGTGTGGTTTTTTTCTGAATTTTTATGATTTTTATTGTTCCTTCAATTTTTGAATTTATTGTTCCTTCAATTTTTGAAATGCTCTTTACAGTATGTGTGACCTTAAAGAGCACTTAATAAACTCTTGTTGTACCAAATTTGGCTTTGTTTGGACTTTTTTTGACCATAGGAACGCATTAATTGAATTTCAATGCATTCCTATGGGATTTCGTGCTTTGCAAGACGAAAAATTCGCTAGACGAAAAGCTCGCGGAACGAATTAATTTCGTCTTGCGAGGCACCACTGTAGGTCTTTTAGGACCAGTGTTATATAGTCTCAGCGGCCACTCCCAGTCACCAGTCTAGCTACCGCATTCTGGATTAGTTGTAGTTTCCGGGTCACCTTCAAAGGTAGCTCCACGTAGACCGCATTGCAGTAGTCCAAGTGGGAGATAACCAGAGCATGCACCATTCTGGCAAGACAGTCCGTGGGCAGGTAGGGTGTCAGCTGGCATACCAGATGGAGCTGGTAGTCAGCTGCCTTGGAAACAGAATTGACCTGCGCCTCCATGGACAGCTGGTAAAAGTGGCACACCTAGTCGCTGAGGTCACTTAACATAAAACCATCAGAAGAGATCAGGCCAAAGACTCATCTAATCCAGGTCCCTGTTCTCAGAGTGGCCAACCCAATGCCTGTGGGAAGCCTGCAAACAGAATCCTCTTGTGATTCTCAGTAACTAGTGTTCAGAGGCAGAGGACTCCAGGGATGGAGCCGGACTACAGATCTTCAGAAGGAAGGCAACACCATCCTGAGAACGCATAGAGTCCATAAATGATCTCCCCTTGATGAGGCTTAGAGTGACTTCATCTCTTTATATGGGGCAACCCCCTGCCCCACCTGCCACAAAGGGCTTTGGGGAAGCGTAAGTTATTTCCTTCACATCGTCACCCTAATCCACCTCTCCTCCCATTTGCAGGGCAGAACTGGGCCAATGTTGCAATGCTTCCTTCTCAATAGTCTTGACCAAGGAAAACACCCCGCTGGGATCAAGCATCACCTTTGACGGAATGAAAGGAAAGGCGTTTCCGGCGAGCGCTAAGCTGGTGGATTTGCTGCCAGAGGTGTGTGGGGGGGGGTATTTGGGGTGGGGGGAAAGAGCCACAACCCAGAGCACATGCCGGTACAGAAGGTTCAATTCTTGGTCTCTCTCGTTTAAACTGGGCAGAGGAACCTTTGGCTCACAGGTCTCCCCTGGCCTGCCAGGCCTCCCCTTGCGGTCCATACCAACCTGCCCTATATACCTGATGCCACCTATGAACCCTGTTTTTGTGGGGTCATTTCTAGTTAATACATCCTGGGGATGTGCAAAAGATTCTTGCAGTGATGCACTCAACCACCTGCTCATTAGACCCCAGCCAGATAGGTGGGGTATAAATAAAATATAATAATAATTGAGGCTGCATTTTAATGTTGTATTTTTAAACTTGTTTTTTAAGTTGTATTTCAATCAACTTGCTTTTATTATTGGTTGTTAGCTTCCCTGAGCCTGGTCTTGCTGGGGAGGGCGGGGTATAAATAAAATTTATTATTATTATTATTATTATTATTATTAATCCTTTTCCATCCTTACTTATTAAAGCTAGCCAGGGTGGGGTGACTAAAGGGGTCAAAGGTGTGGTCAACACATCCTTGCATGAGGGAATGGCACCTGACACCCAGTCAGATGCGCGGTGTACAAATAATAAAACTATTATTATTATTATTATTATTATTATTATTATTAAGGCCATGGTGAATCTGTTACTCAAAAAGCCCATCGTAGACCCAATGGAGGGTAACACCCATGAACCAGTTGCCAGTATCCCTTTCTTGGCAAAGGTGGTTGTGGAGCTGGTATCCCGGGAAGACTGGGGTTGCCTAGACAAATTTGTCCAAATTTTGGAGACCCAAAGCTGGGGTGTGCGTCTTCCGGGAGTGAGTCACGTGACCTGTGCCTCACTCCCACCCTGAAAAAGTCCTTTTTTTGGTGGGGGTGGTGGCATTTGCACCCAAAATGGCTGCTGCAATCTTGCGTGAAAAAACAGGCTGTCCATTTTTTGCCCCAGGGGCACTTGGCAGGTATGCTACAATCTGGGTTTAGACCTGGTTTTGGAACAGAGCCTTTAGTGTCCTCAACCTAGTCCTGTGGAACTCTCTGCCACGAGAGATTCACCAAGTGAATTATGTGTCAACTTTTAAATGCCTGCTGGAAACTTTTCTGTTCTGCTAGGCCTATGCAGGAAATTCAGAGTGCATCCACCCATAATGGTTTATGGAGGTTTGCTTTTAGTTTTTAACTTTTTATGACATTATTGTTTGGCTTTACGCTTTTATATTATTGTAAAATGCTGTGATATATTTTTATGACACAGCGTCCTATCAATATTTTTATACATGAAAATGATTTCCCACTCCTGAGTTAAAGGGTAACAGAATCCTGGTGATCTAAGCCAATATTTCTTTTGTATGTTTTTATTAAGATTATTTCTCTCCTGCACTCCCAAAAATCTAGAGGTCACCCTTCCCAGACTCCCAGTATAGTCACTGTGCTGTAGTGGGCAATGGTGGGATTCTACGAAACAGCAGCTGTGGTCAGGAGATTGACCGGGCAGATCTAGTAATCAGGTAACTTATTTCTTCTTCCTTTTTGAGGGAAACTGGTGGCACTGCAAACTGGTGGGAATCACAAATAATATGGGGTCCTTTTACAGTGTTTATTCCCAGGTGGCCTTGGTTTTTTTGTTTTGTTTTACTCAGAAGTAAGTAACATTCTGCAAAAACCCTACTTCTCCTTGCAACTAGCCTTTTAACTGGCAGTTTCCCAATTATTTTAAAAGAGCATTTGGGCCGAGTGGTAAAATTCATGCTTTGCATACGGAATGTCCCAGGTTCAGCCCCTGCTATTTTCAGTTTTAAAGCATAGCTGTCAACTGTCCCTTATTTGGTGGGAACGTCCCTTATCTCAGCGCCGTGTCCCGCTGCTGTCCCTTATTGATGATGTCCCTTAAATTTCCCAGGTTTCAAAGGAAGCAGCTCCTTTCCCTCCCTCCCTCCCTGCCAGCCAGGGAGGAGGGAGGCTCCAACTGTGTTGCTTGGCTGCATTGCTCACACAATAAGGAGTCTAAGAACGACTGGGGGGTGGAGCTTGCATGCCTTGTGCCGATCAAATCGGCCACGTTGCCTGGGGACTCGCCTTTGCTCAGCGGTTCCCAGCGGAGAGGTGACAGTGGTTTTCCTTGCTGCATCCCCTTTGCTGGGTTGCTGCGCTGTGGGAACCACCGCTTGAGGCTTCGTTTGGCTGCTGGCTGGGCTTTCTGCCTTTGGCTTGGAGGGGCTCAGAAGTTGAACATACCTGTGCTTGGAAAATCCCTTATTTTGGCTGCTGATCCTTTATTTTCGAGGCTGCTGGTCCCTTATTTTCAAATCTGTAACTTGACAGCTATGTTTTAAAGGCAATGGGAAAGATCCACCCATGCCTGAGATTGTGGAAAGCTGCTGCCAGTCCGAGTAGACATTATTGAGCTAGATAGACAGGTGGTTGGCCCTGGTTTAAGGGGGCTCCCTATGTTTCTAATATTGGAAGCAGCCTAATGCTGAGCCCATGTATGTAGCCCAGTGTCATCAACACTGACCGGCAGCACACCTCCAAGGTCTTGGGCAGAGTTCTGCTCCTTGAATCTTCTTGTTCCTGTTCACTTGTGGTCTTTGCATTCCTAAATTCACCGTTCATTAGTTAGTAATGTCTCTTGCAGGAGCTAAATCTTTCATTATTGGCTTCTTCTTTCCCTCCAGAGCAATTGCTCATTTAAATACACTTAAAAAGTAGACAACAAAGGAGCAATTGGCTGCAAAGAGGAAAGCACCGAGTCAGAGAGAGAGAGAGGGAGAGAGAGAAAAGAAAACGTACCTCATAGAACAGAACTGCCAGTTTAGCAGCTGATTTAAGAATGCTGCAGTCAGTGAACAGGAAGCAACTAAATACAAAGGTAGAAGCTCCATTAAAAGAGGGAAGCTGTTAAAGAAACGGTAGATTGGGAAAGCATCAATACTACTGTGTGAGTCTACACTGGACGGCCTGAAACTGCTGTTGGCTTTTAAGAAAAGGGGGAAAAGATATATAATGAAATGAAAAGGATGTTTAAAATAAGGTTTGTAAAGAAAATCAGAAGCTTTTCTCTTGGGAATTATAGGGACAGAACTACCTAAAATGTATAGGAACTTATTCATGTATGCGACTACAGCGGCAAGAATGTGACTTGCCTAAAAATGGAAAGAAGAAGCAGCCCCAGCAAAGGAAGAATGGATACAAAAACTTATAGAATATGCAGAAATGGCAAAAGTTACTGGAAGAATAAGAAATCAAGATAACAAACTTTTATAAAAGAATGGAAATGGTTTATTGAATATTTACAGATAAATTGTAAACAGATAAAAACATTGGCAGGATCATTGTAATAACCTGCAGTTTCATAAGAGTATATATTTAAAGAAGATGAATAAATGAACAAATTGAGTTAATTTGGATATGAAGAATATTTTTTTTTAAAAAAATCAGGATCTGCAGAAAGTGGGGGAAGGAAGTCAAGTTTTGAAATGTCAAAATGATTGTAAAATCAGTGAAATGTATACAGTGGTGCCCCGCAAGACGAATGCCTCGCAAGACGGAAAACCCGCTAGACGAAAGGGTTTTCCGTTTTGGAGGTGCTTCGCAAAACGAATTTCCTATGGGCTTGCTTCGCAAGGCGAAAATGTCTTGCGAGTTCCTGCGGGTTTTTTCCCCTCCCCCCCCTTTTTCCCAAGCCGCTATGCCGCTTATCAGCTGATCGCTAAGCCGCTTATCAGCTGATCCGCTAAGCCGCTTAACAGCTGATCCGCTAAGCCACTAAGCCGCTTATCAGCTGATCCGCTAAGCCGCTAAGCCGCTTAACAGCTGATCGCTAAGCCGCCTATCAGCTGATCCGCTAAGCCGCTTAACAGCTGATCCGTTAAGCCACTAAGCCGCTTATCAGCTGATCCGCTAAGCCCGCTAAGCCGCTAATAGCGCTAATCCGCTAAACCGCTAATGGGCTTGCTTCACAAGACGAAAAAACCGCAAGACGAAGAGACTCGCGGAACGGATTCTTTTCGTCTTGCGAGGCACCACTGTAAATTTGAAAGGTATAAATAAAAAATTTAAAAAAGGAAAAAAAGAAACCTTAACAAATCAGGCCTGAAAAATAGATGCAGGGATAGCACGCAGAGCCCTGGAATGTGATGTGTTGGCAGTTTCGTTGCCTAGATTCTCCATGAAGCCTGTCTGAATGAGAGTTCCCCAACGGTTGCACGAGAGCTGATTCTGTTTTTCCACTTTCTCCCTCTGATCCAGGTTCAACCTACCTCCCATGAATTTCTCTGAAGACGTGGGAACCAAGTCAGACCTGGTGACTTTAAATCCCAGCATCCTTAATGAAAAGTAAGGGAAAGATCCGAGAATGCGCTGGCTGTCTCATAATTTAAGTCATGGGTAGCAAACTGAGGCCCGGGGGCCGGATCCGGCCCAGTCGCCTTCTAAATCCGGCCTGTGGTGGTCCGGGAATCAGCGTGTTTTTACATGAGTAGAATGTGTCCTTTTAATTAAAATGTATCTCTGGGTTATTTGTGGGGCATAGGAATTTGCTCATTTCCACCCTGCCCCCCCAAAAAATATAGTCTGCCCCCCCCACAAGGTCTGAGGGACAGTGGACCGGTCCACTTCTGAAAAAGTTTGCTGACCCCTGATTTAAGCAGTTGTAGGAAGCAGTAACGAAGCTGCACCCAGCGGCCAGTGCTTCCTGCTCCGCATGTAGCAGGTCGTGGGTTCAATCCCTGGCATCTCCAGGTAGGGCTGGCAGGGGCTCCTCCCTAAAACCCTGGAGAGCCCCTGCCAATCAGTGCAGGCATTACTAAGCTAGAGAGGCCAATGGTTTGACTCGGTGCTCCTGTGTATTTAAGATTTGTTGTTAAATACATCATTTGCGGGTGGCGCTGTGGGTTAAACCACAGAGCCTAGGACTTGCTGATCAGAAGGTCAGTGGTTCGAATCCCCGTGAGGGGGTGAGCTCCCGTTGCTCGGTCCCTGCTCCTGACAACCTAGCAGTTCAAAAGCACGTCAAAGTGTAAGTAGATAAATAGGGATCGCTCCGGCGGGAAGGTAAATGGCGTTTCCATTTACTGCACTGCTCTGGTTCACCAGAAGTGGCTTAGTCATGCTGGCCACATGACGCGGAAGCTGTACGCCGGTTCCCTCGGCCAATAAAGCGAGATGAGCGCCGCAACCCCAGAGTCGGCCACGACTGGACCTAATGGTCATGGGTCCCTTTACCTTTACCTAGGTGCATGAAAACATGTTTTATCCTGTGTAAACATTTCAAATACTTCATGAAACCCAAAGGATAATTATGGCCATGCCCACACACCACACATGAAAAACACACCGCTCCCCACAAAGGATCTTGGGAGCTGTAGTTTGCTAAGGGTGCTAGGAATTGTAGTCCCAGCAAAGGAAGAATGGATACAGAAACTTATGGAATATGCAGAAATGGCGAAACTCACGGAAGAATAAGAAATCAAGATAACAAATCTTTTACAAAAGAATGGAAATGGCTTATTGCATATTTACAGATAAACTATAAACAGATAAAAACATTGGCAGGATCATTGTAATAACCTGCAGTGGATAAGAGTACATATTTAAAGAAGATGAACAAATGAACAAATTGAGTTAATTTGGATATGCAGAATATATTAAAAATAAATTCAAGGAACTGCAGGAAGAGTGGGAAGTCAAGTTTTGAAATGCCAAAATGGTTGTACAATTAGTGCAATGTATAAACTTGAAAAGTATGAATGAATGAATGGTGCTGGGAATTGTGCTGTGTGAGAGATAAACTACAGTTAGAGGATTTGTGGGAGGCTGTATGCTTTAAATGTGCCTTAGGGCAGATCAACCCCGTATGTGCACATCAAGCGCACATTTAAAGCCCACGACTTCCCCCAAAGAACCCTGGGAACTGTAGTATCCCTCTCGCACAGCTACAGTTCACAGTGGTTGTTGTTCACTCGTTTAGTCGTGTCCGACTCTTTGTGACCCCATGGACCAGAGCACGCCAGGCACTCCTGTCTTCCACTGCGTCCCGCAGTTTGGTCAAACTCATGCTGGTAGCTTCGAGAACACTCTCCAACCATCTCTTCCTCTGTCGTCCCCTTCTCCTTGTGCCCTCCATCTTTCCCAACATCAGGGTCTTTTCCAGGGAGTCTTCTCTTCTCATGAGGTGGCCAAAGTCTTGGAGCCTCAGCTTCATGATCTGTCCTTCCAGTGAGCACTCAGGGCTAATTTCCTTCAGAATGGATACGTTTGATCTTCTTGCAGTTCACAGTACCTGTTATGTACTGAAGTTCTCACTCTGGGCCAGCAGGGGGATACTGTAGATAGTTCAGGTCCACATATGCAAATAAGGGATCAAAAGTGACATTCAGTGATTGGATAGTTACAGAAAATGGTTACTGTTGCGTTCTAGTGGAGCTCTATATAAGCAGGCTGGCTGAACCCTTCAGTTCAGTTCTGTTCTGGCCTGGGAATAAACAAGAGCTGTTTGAAGAATCGCTGTGTCGTCTGATGTGTTCACCCACAACTTAACAGTACCCATCACAAACTACCGTTCTCAGGATTCTTTAAATGTTTGGTGTGGCTGCCCCCACAGCTCCAATCCATGTTGCAGTCCAGGAGGTACTGATGAGATCAGTCAGCTTAGAAACTGCAGATAGGATGAAATTTTCTCCTCCAGGCTTAAAGAACGTGGCTTGATTGTTTTGTTCCTTCCCCATCTCCTGCAGCTTCCAAAGACTGTCGGACCGCCGGAAGCCTTTTGCCGATTCCCTGCGCCTTTATGGGGGCGCTTTCTTCCTCATTCCTGCCTTCTCCTTCGTGGGACACACCGATGTCAGCTACCGTGCCCTGTATACCATGGAGGACTTTGGCTTGTCTCAGAGAGCTCTCTTCCTGAACCCCCATTACCTGGCCCCACTGGGTAGCTACTGGAAGTCGAGGGGCTTAGGGCCCAAACGCCTCTCCTCTGGCTTCATGTTCACTAGTATGGCTTTGGAGTTGTGCGAGCGCATCACTCTCTACGGATTCTGGCCTTTCCAACACGACCTGGAGAACCAGCCCATTCTCCACCATTACTACGACAACAGGCTGCCCAAGCAGGGAGTTCACGAGATGCCAAGCGAGTTTTCCCGATATCTAGACATGTACGCCCAGGGGGTTCTGCGCTTACGGCTTGGCAAGTGTCCGTGAGAAGGAAGCTTCCATCTGAATGGGCAAGGGTTGATTGGGTGTCTCCTGAGCCGTGGAAGAACGGGCGGCACAAATAATGGCACCAGGTTGCAATGCTCAGCGAAGCCGGAAGGCAGCAGTGCAGACAGCCCAAAGGAGTGTTTTGTTGACGCAATCAAAGGCCGCTCATTCAAATCGGAAGAACTTTCCCACCCCTCTGGATGTGTTAAGGAACACGAGTGAAATTCCTCTAAGAACAGGAGGCTCGTCTGTGTCCCAGGATCGGTAGACTGAGCGACAGAGTGTGGTTAGAGTGTGGCGCTGATAATGCCAAGGTCATAAGTTTGATTCCCCTATGGGACACCTGCCTGCTTCTGCATTGCTGGGGGTTGTGCTAGATCAGGCATCCCCAACCTGCGGCCCTCCAGTTGTTTTGGCCTACAACTCCCATGATCCCTAGCTAACGGGACCAGTGGTCAGGGATGATGGGAACTGTAGTCCAAAACATCTGGAGGGCCACAGGTTGGGGATGCCTGTGCTAGATGGCCCTTGAGGTCCCTTTCAACTCTACAATTCTACGACAACGTGTGTTTCTTTGTGTTAGTGTTCATATTGTATTTGTAAGCCACTCTGTTATTTTACTTTTTTTTTTTGAAGAAAGATTTTACTGAAGTAAATCAAATCAATAGAAATAACAGAAGATAATGGACTTTGCAGAACTGGTGAAAAGTCAGAAACCAGCAAGATCAAGCATTCCAAAAGGACTGGAGTAAATTTATACGATATCTGAAAGATTATTGTAAGCAATTAACATCACTAGCAGGGTTGTTTGAAAACTTGTAACGAGAAATTCTCTACCTTTCAATATTTATTTAAATTTTATTTTGTAATGTGTGTAATTAGAATTGGAAAACGTACAAAATGCAGCGATATAAAGGCTAATTTTGAAAGCCATGAGGCAGGAGGGAAGGAAGTTGACAGGCTCTAAAGAGCCAGGGACGCAAAGTGGAGTGTTATGATGTGAATGTATATTATAAAATGGAATGTGTGTGTGTGTGTGTGTGTGTGTGTGTGTGTGTGTGTGTAAACACCTGAAAAAAGAGAAATAACAGAAATACAAAAAAGTGGCCAGCCCAGCTCAGAATTGCAGGTCTCTTGACTTTTGAGACACTTGGGAACCCTTGTTGTTTTTGCTGCCGTAAACACACTGAGGGACACAACCTTATTCTGCTTCTTAACGCTTCGCTGAATATAAATTCAAAAGGGCTAGGTCTCATGTAGAAACCCGTCTTGTAATTGTGATTCTGCCTCACCTCCCAACCCATGCCTGACTTTCATGCTTGCCCTACCCTCGGACAGGAGAAAGGAAGGTGGTTTCTTGTCACTGCCTGACGTCCCATTAGCAAACATAAATAATTGCTCCTGCTCAGCACCTGCTTCCCATTAGGTCTAGAATACAGGAACAAAGCCCGATAGCAAACATTTTTTTCCGTTAGCAGATTTTATTATTTGCTTAGTGTTTTATACAGTCTTACATGAGGTCAGGTCAGTTCAGGGTCAGATTTCGAAGCTGTTTTCAACCAAGAGAGACTTCCCTTTGCCAAGACCTTTCATCAAAGGCAGGTGTAGGGGACACCTTTGGCTTGATAGGTGCTGCTGTACTACAACTCCCATCAGCCCCAGCAAGCATGGCCAATGACCTGGGATGAGGGGAGTTGTGGCTCAGGAACATCTGGCAGGCCAAAGGTTTCTCACACACCCAATCAGAGGTCCTCCTTAGTGAAGGTGGGGAAATTGGGCACTGCCCCATCAACCTCAGTCTGTCCTCACCTCGCCCTGTCCTCCATCCTAACACTGAGGTCCAGCTCCAAGGGCCTTCTGGCAGTTCCCTCACTGTGAGAAGTGAGGTTACAAGGAACCAGGCAGGGGGCCTTCTTGGTAGTGGCGCCTGCCCTGTGGAACACCGTCCTGTCAGATGTCAAAGAAATAAACAACTATCTGACTTTTAGAAGACATCTGAAGGCAGCGCTGTATAGGAAAGTTTTTAATGTTTGATGTTTTATTATGTTTTTATTGTTATGTTGGAAGCCACCCAGAGTGGCTGGGGAAACCCAGACAGATGGGCAGGGTATAAATAATACATCATCATCATCATCATCATCATCATTTTATTTTATCAACCCCCCACCCCGGCTTTTCACAACATTGAGATCAGGAAAGGTGGACTTGGGCCAGTTTATATCTATTATGCATTTGCTATGCTTATTTATCTATTTCATTCCATTTACGAATTGCAATAATAACCACTTTTTCTTTTTTAATAAGATGTTTAATCGAGATTTCCCCATAACACAGTCAAATTGCATCTACAAAAGTACAAAACAAAGGAGAAAAGAAAGGGACAAGAGAAATAAAGTGAGGAAAGAGAAAGATAAAAGAAAGCAAAAGAAAAGAAACATTAGCAAAAAATACAAAAGGGGAACTTCTGATTTTCCACTTGCCGTTTACATAAAATAAGAAAATGTGATTATCTTAAACTTTCGGTCCACTTCGAGGGTCTGCTATCTTCTGCCAATCTTAACACCCGAGTGGGTCCATCGGGAAGGAGAAGGTCCTTTAGATAGTCGCAAATGCATTTACAGAACAAGCATCATGCTTGATGTCCACAATCCATTCAGCTAGTTTATCCGCCGTGTTACCTGATACTGAGTGGAAGAGCAACAACAAAGGACCCCCGAAATTGGCTCAATTTCCCCATTTCTTTTAATGCTGCTTGTCTGTATCAGTGGCATAGCAAACACAGCTGCTCCTAGTGTATAAATGCAACCCAACAGAGAGGCTGTTCCCTGGAAAACCATCCAGCTACCGAGTGGAAGCATCTAACTTAGACCATCAGGTATACGGCATGCGTTTCGGGCTGGGGTGCCATGACCTTTTGTACCTATTTAAAGGACTTGGGACGTTGACTCAGGGATGGAGAATTATAAAGCGTCAAAATTGAGATGTGGGGAAATATGGAAATAATGAGGAGAGGCAGTACTGAGATGGGGAGATATGCTTCAGAGATCCAGACCATGGGGAGCTCTGAAAAATTAAGAATTATAATTTGGACTATAATTTGGTTTTTTTTAATTTAGTTTTTTTTATTTTAATTGGAGTATTATGATTGGATATATTAATTGGATGTTTTTTATTAGAAAATCAATAAAAATGATTTTTTTTAAAAAATTAAGGACTTGGGACGCAGGCCCATGACACAAAACTACAGGTGCTAATTTTAATTTGCATGTAATCCCCTAACTGACACTTATATACCTTCGGGCAAATTCATACGGTAGGTGACTAGCGGCCACATCCAAGCTTTACATTTAAAGCATTGTGATACAGTCATGGCTGTAGCCCCAAAGCATCCTGGGAACTGTAGTTTATTAAGGGTGCTGAGAGTTGCTAGGAGAACCCCCTACCCGCCTACAATTTTCAGAGTTCCCTGGAAAAACCACTATGAGAATTGTAGCTCTGTGAGGTCCTGAAACCGGGGTGTCCCTAATATTCTCTGTGAAATGTTGGAGGGTTTGCCAAACAGGTGAAATCCTTCCCCAACGTGGAAATGCAATTCTGGGCGAAAGCCTCGGCTCAGAACTGCACCAGATTCTTGATTATTCTGCTGGGGCTCTATTAACAGCTGTGCCCCAGGGCAGAAATTCAGCAAGTGAAGCATTCTTCAGTTGGGTGTGATGTACCAAGAGTGTCAGGCTAGGCTTAAGAAAACTTGCTTCAAATCCTTTCTGAACCATAGAACCATAAAGGGCCTTGTTGTTGTTTAGTCGTTTAGTCGTGTCCGACTCTTTGTGACCCCATGGACCAGAGCACACCAGGCACTCCTGTCTTCCACTGCCTCCCGCAGTTTGGTCAGACTCAGGTTTTCAGCTTTGAGAACACTGTCCAACCATCTCATCCTCTGTCGTCCCCTTCTCCTTGTGCCCTCCATCTTTCCCAACATCAGGGTCTTTTCCAGGGAGTCATCTCTTCTTATGAGGTGGCAAAAGTATTGGAGTCTCAGCTTCAGGATCTGTCCTTCCAGTGAGCACTCAGGGCTGATTTCCTTCAGAATGGATGCGTTTGATCTTCTTGCAGTCCATGGGACTCTCAAGAGTCTCCTCCAGCACCATAATTCAAAAGCATTGATTCTTCGGTGATCAGCCTTCTTTATGTTCCAGCTCTCACTTCCATACATCACTACTGGGAAAACCATGGCTTTAACTATATGGACTTTTGTTGGCAAGGTGATGTCTCTGCTTTTTAAGATGCTGTCTAGGTTTGCCATCGCCTTTCTCCCAAGGAGCAGGCGTCTTTTAATTTCATGACTGCTGTCACCATCTGCAGTGATCATGGAGCCCAAGAAAGTAAAATCTCTCACTGCCTCCATTTCTTCCCCTTCTATTTGCCAGAAGGTGATGGGCCCAGTGGCCATGATCTTCGTTTTTTTGATGTTGAGCTTCAGACCATATTTTGCGCTCTCCTCTTTCACCCTCATTAAAAGGTTCTTTAATTCCTCTTCACTTTCTGCCTTCAAGGTTGTGTCATCTGCATATGTGAGGTTGTTGATATTTCTTCCGGCGATCTTAATTCTGGCTTGGGATTCATCCAGCCCAGCCTTTCGCATGATGAATTCTGCATATAAGTTAAATAAGCAGGGAGACAATATACAGCCTTGCCGTGCTCCTTTCCCAATTTTGAACCAATCAGTTGTTCCATATCCAGTTCTAACTGTAGCTTCTTGTCCCACATAGAGATTTCTCAGGAGACAGATGAGGTGATCAGGCACTCCCATTTCTTTAAGAACTTGCCATAGTTTGCTGTGGTCGACACAGTCAAAGGCTTTTGCATAGTCAATGAAGCAGAAGTAGATGTCTTTCTGGAACTCTCTAGCTTTCTCCATAATCCAGCGCGTGTTTGCAATTTGGTCTCTGGTTCCTCTGCCCCTTCGAAATCCAGCTTGCACTTCTGGGAGTTCTCAGTCCATGTACTGCTTAAGCCTGCCTTGTAGAATTTTAAGCATAACCTTGCTAGCGTGTGAAATGAGTGCAATTGTGCGGTAGTTGGAGCATTCTTTGGCACTGCCCTTCTTTGGGATTGGGATGTAGACTGATCTTCTCCAGTCCTCTGGCCACTGCTGAGTTTTCCAAATTTGCTGGCATATTGAGTGTAAAGTGCCTTACCCATCCTTTTATTTTCCATCTTAAGCAACCACATAAGGTTGTTGTGAAGAAGTGGACGGGTTCCTTGTCCCCAGCTCCTTCAAGGAAGAGCAGGGCTGTTGTTGTTTTTTAAAGAAATATTGGTTTTCACATTTATCACAAAGAAAAAAGAAAAACATTACAAGACATAGAACAAAGAAAAAAAGACATAAAAAAGAGTTAATACTTCAAATCCCTAATTTCATTACATTAATAACTGACTTCCTCAAATCCCCTCTAACTGAATTTCATTATAACACCTGTTTAACAGTTCTCCAAATTCATATTTCCAATAATATTAACTCCTTTCATTTACTAACCTCTTCTCCTTTATTACTATTCTAATCCCTAATATTTACTAGCACATATTCTTATTCTACCCCTAAGCCTAATAATTTCTTCCAAGAATTTTCTATTTATCTTATATTACTATTCTTATGCTACCCCCAAGCTTAATAAATGTTTTGAAATGAAATAAATAAGCAATGGGTTCCCGCTTATTATCACACAGTTCTTCAAGGCAGATCAGCCCAGTCACACTTAAAAACAAAACGAAAACCATTTACACTAGCACTAGCTGTTATGGTATCATAAGAGGAGGGAAAAGGAGTTTTCTCAGCTGGAGGACCCTGCAGGAAACCTCACCTCAACTTAGGTCACAATCTACACCATACAGACATTTATACCACTTTTACAGTCACGGCTTTCCCCAAAGAATTCCAGAGACTGCAGTTTGCCCCTCGCAGAGCTACCACTCCCAGCATCCCACTCGGTATTTTGCGGGACAATGTGCTTTAAATGAGAGAGGTTGGGGTTTGTTTGGAAGTAGTTTTGCCTTTTTCAGCACCGTTTGCCTCCATAGCAGAGCTTCCTCGTTCCCGAATCCTCCTCATCAGAGATGGTGGTGCGGCCTGCGCAAGTTCTCCTGCCCATCGCTCTGGTGATTGCAGGCACCGTGGTGGCAGGTAAGGCTATCAGGAAAGGACAGGCAGAGATGGCTCTGGGGTTGTTTTTCGGAATGGGGGTGCTGGGCAAAGCATCCTCTGTTGTGCCCCACTCCTCAGTCGCTAGTCCTTGGTGAGTTTGCCTCATATTATTATTAATGATAATAAAAAAATAAGAATACAGTGGTACCTCAGGTTAAGTACTTAATTCGTTCCTGAGGTCCGTACTTAACCTGAAACTGTTCTTAACCTGAAGCACCACTTTACCTAATGGGGCCTCCTGCTGCTGCCATGCCGCCGGAGCCCGATTTCTGTTCTCATCCTGAAGCAAAGTTCTTAACCTGAAGCACTATTTCTGAGTCAGCGGAGTCTGTAAACTGAAGCGTCTGTAACCTGAGGTACCACTGTAATAGTGAAATAAGAAGTTTGGTGATGACGAGATACCATATTGCATACTGTACTTTAAAATGAGAGTTAAATCTCTTCTTTTTCCTTGTGGGTTAATGGCTGTGGGTTGTATCCAGCTAAGTCCGACTTGGAGTCGAGAACTGAAATTCATGCACCTGACAGCCATGCCCACCAGTTTTAATGGGTTGTATTCAATTATGTCTGACTCATAGGAGACTCAGTTAGTCATAACTTCAGTGGGTCAACTCTGAGTAGGACTAGTATTGCATGCCACCCAGTGGGCCTTCTATGAATAGGGACAACAGTAGATACAACCCAATATGTTAATCTTCTTCTTTCTGCATGATTTTTTTTACAATCACTATAACAAAAAAAAGAAAATAGATGTTTTCTGCTAAGGTTCTGGAGACTCCATGGAAACAGTTGAGAACAGTGGTGAAGACGATGGCAGATCTACGGAGAGGCCAGGTCTGTGTGTATCATTTTGCTGTGAGTCAATAAGTTGTTAGGGCCAGAACTGAGGGTTAGCGTGGTCCATGCATCTGCCCAGGGTCCATATACAATGGTACCTTGGTTCTCGAACATAATCCATTCCGGAAGTCCGTTCAACTTCTGAAACGTTCAAAAACCAAGGCACGGCTTCCAATTGGCACAGGTACCCTGGAAACCATAGCCAGTGGCATAGCGTGGGGGGTGCAGGGGGGGCCGGCCGCACCGGGCGCAACATCTGGGGGGGGGCGCGCTCGCACTCGCAGCTCTCTGCCCCTACCTGGCTCACTCACTCTCTCTCACTGCAGTGCTGGCTGTGCGAATCCGATCCGAGCCGCTGGGTCGCCGCCCACTGTGGAGGGGGTGGGTGCCAGGCGTGCGGTGCGGAGAGAGAGTGAGGGACTATCTGGGGGAGGGACAGTGCAGCGGCCGCCCAGCGCAGCGCTGAGCGTGGGAGAGAACCACACCAGACCAGACCAGGCAGCAGCAAGAAGAAGCTGGCAGCGGTGGCAGGTTAGGGGTTAGGGGGCGCAAATTACTTGCCTTGCCCCAGGTTAGGGGGCGCAAATTACTTGCCTTGCCCCGGGTGCTGACAACCCACGCTACGCTGCTGACCATAGCCGACAACTGCATCAGACGTTTAGCTTCTGAAAAGCGTTCAAAAACTGGAACACTTACTTCCGGATTTTTGGTGTTTGGGAGCCGAAATATTCGAGAACCAAGGTTCCACTGTACTCTGGATGAATAAGCTCATCTGATCATTGCCTCACTTTCTTAGTTCCCATGGAGGGGGACTCACCACCAGAAAGACATCAGCTGTCAAAAGTCTTTTGTCGTCTGCCTGCCTGCCTGCCTGTCATCTATCTTTCTATCCATCTATATCTATCATCTATCTATCTATCTATCTATCTATCTATCTATCTATCTATCATCTATCATCTATCATCTATCTATCATCTATCTATCTATCTATCATCTATCTATCTATCTATCTATCTATCTATCTATCTATCTATCTATCATCTATCATCTATCTATCTATCATCTGTCTATCTATCTATCTATCTATCTATCATCTATCTATCTATCATCTATCTATCATCTATCTATCTATCTATCATCTATCTATCTATCTATCATCTATCTCTATATCTATCTCTATATCTATCTATCTATCTATCATCTATCTATCTATCTATCTATCTATCATCTATCTCTATATCTATCTCTATATCTATCTATCTATCTATCTATCTATCTATCTATCTATCTATCATCTATATATATCTATCTATCATCTATCTATCTATCATCTATCTATATCATCTATCTATCTATCTATCATCTATCTATCGTCTATCTATCTCTATCTCTTTCCCACCCTTTTAAAAGATCCCTCAAGGAAGAAATTTGCATAAATTCACCCCCTGAAATGAGTGGTGCTGAGTTAACCCACGGGTCAATCTAGCCCAGTGCTGTCTGCACTGACTGGCAGAAGCTCTCCAGGGCTTTCAGACAGCGGAAATTCCCATCCCTACCTGGAGATGCTGGGGACTGAACCTGGGACTTTCTGCATGCAAAGCAGATGTTCTGCCCTTGCCCTGTCCTCTCATAGAAAACTGCTTCCTTCTTTTCCAGGACTCGTTTGTCCTTGCACTCAGGGATGCTGTGCCAATGCCTGGTTTCAATACAAAGATGCTTGTTACCTACCAGTCACAGGCGACACTCACGACTGGAGTACAGTTAAGGTACATTGTGTGTGTGTGTGTGTGTGTGTGTGTGTGTGTGTGTAAGAATCTTCAAAAACCAGTGGATAGATTAGGAGATCCAAACATATGTGATCCTAACTTTTTGTGGATGGGATATTTTAATCCTGCCTTTTAAAAATGTGGACATGTTTTAGATTTTTCTTTGCTTTGTTTTGTGATTATTTTAATGTTTGCATTTGCAAGAAAACTAATAAGTTGTTGTTGATGATAATAATAATAATAATAATAATAATAATAATAATAATAATAGATTAACAAATCTGTCAGTTTCACTTTCTATAAGTTTATCATTTTCTCAGGCACAGTCATCCACATTTTGGTATCAATTTGTGTTACTTTTTAAAAATGAATGAAAACTCATGAAAATCCTCATGAAAATTCATCAGCACCGTAGTGCAAATTTCTCCTAATATTTATTTTTTTATTTTATTTGGTGAATTTATATACTCCCCTATACCCGGAGGTCTCAGGGCAGTTCACAGAACAAAATCAAAATATAAAAACACCTTTTTTGTATGCAATTTTGCCTGAAATACACATTTTTGTTAGGTATTTCCCCGCATCTAATGCATTTTATGTTATTTTTCACCAACAGATGCATTCTTATGCACGCTTTCTCCTAATGTGTGGATTTCCTCCCATTATTTCCATTAAACATTACAAACAACAAATATAACCACACGAAGGTAATACATATGGACCTTTGTACAGATTATTTAGTTAGAGAAACCACACCACAAGATTAAAAAACTGTGACTTTTTAAAGTTTTTCATGCTCTGGAAAGAGACTGCAGTCCCACCAATGCTACCCTTCTTATTTCATATCAGGAGAACTGTGAGAGATTCGGTACCCATCTAGCCTCTGTTCATAGCGATGACGAGCAAAGCTTCATCTTTCACGTGATGGGGCAACGGACGCGTTACTGGATTGGCGCAGAGGGAACTGATGTAAGAACAAGGGAGTGGGCGGGATCCACTGTTAGTATTGCTCACATCCACAGCTTATTACACCACGGGAAGTGCTGGTGGCAGATTTACTTGTCTCAGCATTGAGGGAAGTGAGTTTTGACTTTGGCCAACACATCTGGTGGTGGTGGTAGGTGAAGCATCTTCTGGTGGGCACCCGATTGGGAAAGAGTGAAAAAATGCATCAAAGGTTTTCTTCAGGTCAGTTGTCTACTTGGGGCAGATGAGCGGGGAAATTTCAAAAGCTCTTCAGAAAGGCATATATAGATAACTTCCTGTACAGTGGTACCTCGGGTTACAGACGCTTCAGGTTACAGTCTCTTCTAACCCAGAAATAGTACCTTGGGTTAAGAATTTTGCTTCAGGATGAGAACAGAAATCGCGCGGCAGCAGCGGGAGGCCCCGTTAGCTAAAGTGGTACCTCAGGTTAAGAACAGTTTCAGGTTAAGAACAGACCTCCAGAATGAATTAAGTTCTTAACCCGAGGTACCACTGTATATGACATTGATGTTCCCACCTCACTTCTCGTGACTTTAAAGAGTTCAATATTCCATGTGTCTATTCTAGAGTAATTATTATTTTTTAAAAAATATTTATGAATTTCAATTTTATATATCTCAATAATTTTACAATCATTTCAAAACTCGACTTATTTCCCCCTCTTTTGTGGTTCCTTAAATTTGTTTTTTATATTTTCTGCACAGTCCAAATTATCTTAATCATTTATTCATCTCCTTTAAATGTATACTCTTATAAAACTGTAGGTTATTATAATAATCTTGCCAATGTTATTATCTGTTTACAGTTTATTTGTAAATATTTGATAGACCATTTCCATTATTTTATAAAAAGTATCTTGATTTCTTATTTTTCTGGTAAGTCTCACCATCTTTGCGTATTCCGTAAGTTTTTGTATCCATTCTTCTTTTGTCGGGACTTCTTCTTCTTTCCATTTTTGGGAAAACAACATTCTTGCCACTGCAGTCGCATATTCTAGAGTAATTCCAACTGAATTCGATGGGACTTACTGCCAGGAAAAGGAGTAAAGGGTTGACGCGTGAGGCTCAATTACCTGGGAGTAAGTTCAATTGAACGTGGGCCGGACGCAGGTGGCGCTGTGGGTTAAATCACAGAGCCTAGGGTTTGCGGATCAGAAGGTTGGTGATTCGAATCCCCACGACAGTGTGAGCTCCTGTTGCTCAGTCCCTGCTCCTGCCAACCTAGCAGTTCGAAAACACGTCAAAGTACAAGTAGATAAATAGGTACCACTCCGGTGGGAAGGTAAACAGCATTTCCATGCGCTGCTCTGGTTTGCCAGGCTTAATCGTGCTGGCCACATGACCCGGAAGCTGTATGCTGGCTCCCTCGGCCAATAAAGCGAGATGAGCACTGCAACCCCAGAGTCGGCCACGACTGGACCTAATGGTCAGGGGTCCCTTTACCTTTACCTTTAAGTTTGATTGAACTGAACGGGTCTTACCTCTGTAGGTATAGGAGTGTTTCATGACTTTCTCAAGCAGTGGCCTCTCCTGGTTCATAATGCTAATTCTTCTTTTCACTGTTTGTTCCGTAGGATCCAGCAGCGCCCTGGAGATGGACCGATAACTCCACGTGGCGGTATGAGAAATTTGGACAGCCTTTAAGACCGAGCAACCCTCCGATACCCATGGCACTGGCAGTCAACAGATCAAAAGATAAAGGTTCGGGGCAGGGGTAGGCATAGCCGGGTACACACCTTGAGTGCACTCAGCACATATCAGCCAACCAACTTCCACTGTTGCATGGAAATAATGGAAATTGATGGTGGAGAGATAGATTGACCTTTGAAGCAGAACAGAGGTGAGGTTTGCCTCTGTACGATTCTTGTGCTATGTATTTATTGCAGTTCTTTATACTGCCCCTCAGCACAAGAGTTGCACGGTGATGTACCACAAAATAAAATGCAACACAGTGCACTGCCGAAATGGACCTAGAAAGCCGCCTTAAACTGAGTTTAAGTTTAAGTACGTTTCCGAGCACAATTCAAAGTGTTGGTGTTGACCTTTAAAGCCCTAAATGGCCTCGGCCCAGTATACCTGAAGGAGCGTCTCCACCCCCATTGTTCTGCCCGGACACTGAGATCCAGCGCCGAGGGCCTTCTGGCGGTTCCCTCCCTGCAAGAAGTGAGGTTGAAGGGAACCAGGCAGAGGGCCTTCTTGGTAGTGGCGCCCGCCCTGTGGAACGCCCTCCCATCAGATGTCAAGGAAGTAAACAACTATCTGACTTTTAGAAGACATCTGAAGGCAGCCCTGTTTAGGGAAGTTTTTAATGTTTGAAGTTTTGTTCTGTTTTTAGTGTTCTGTTGGAAGTCACCCAGAGTGGCTGGGGAAACCCAGCCAGATGGACGGAGTATAAATAATAAAATTATTAGTATTATGAGTGGGGCTCAGCACTGTCTGCACTGACTGGTAGTGACTCTCTAGGGCTCCAGGCAGGAGTGTTTCCCAGCCCTATCTGGAGATGCTGAGGATTGTGCCCGGGGCCTTGTGCATGCAGAGAAGATGCTCAGCCACTGAGATACTGGAAATCAGGGTTGGATAACCTCTGGCCCACAGGTCAAACTTGACCCCTCCCCACACCTGATGTCATATATGCTGCTACTCAGATTTCTTGGTCCCCCTTTTCAGCTGCCTCATCTTTCTTTTAGGTATCTACTGGATCAATGAACCTAAGAGTAATCAACACATGTACGTCTGCAAATACCTTCTGTATTGAGGATGCACCCCAGGGATAAAGGAGAATTGCATCTGGTTTTAAGAAGCTATTTTGTGCCTTTGCTTAGCGACTATTATTCCGGTAGCTGAAATTGTTCTGGAGCAGATGGATGTCCAAACAATTGCTCTCAGATTATAGCCAACCGAATAGTGAACTTTTGAGTTTCACAGTTAGGAAAATGCTTCTGACCCGTAGAGAATTTTTGACTTCAGAAGTGTGACGCCCCACTTGCATTCTGAAGTGAAACAGTCCAGCGATGAGTGTACTGTGTGCCTCCTTTGAATACTGGTTGTGAGAATGTTACATCTGTCGATGTGGCAAGGGAAAATCCAGGAAATTAAATGGGAAGCAGCTACACTATTTATTTCTCATTTGCAGGATGGGCTGAAAATGTACATGCATGTTTTCTGAAATGATTTGGAGCAAATATTAAAAACAGGGTACGGCTGAGCAGCTTAACTGTTTTACTAAATTTATCTCTCGTACTTAAAAAAAAAAAAAAAAGGCTGAAGGGGCTAACCAAAATAATAAATTGCACAATATTTTTTTTTAATCACACATAACTATGACATCACAACCAACAAAATGAAATCCAGATTAAACTCCCCAAAAACTTGATAATCCCAACAGTAATGATCAAACAATACAAAATGTTAAAACACAAAAAATAAATATTTGTACCTGTTGCAAAAGACAGGCATTTAGGTGCCAGAGGACAGAACTAGCGAAATATGTCTCACAGATGGGGTAGACCACAGTGATGTCCTGTTCCCCAGTCCCTAAAGGCAATCTAGACATGAGCCCATTTATAAGGGAGCAAGGTAGGCTTTGAATTCTAAAAACGTTTATGGCAAGTTTGAGCTCCCTCCAACCCAGGGGTCAGCAACCTTTTCCAGCAGGGGGCAGGTCCACTGTCCCTCAGACCTTGTGAGGGGCCAGACTATATTTTGAAGGGGAAAAAATGAACAAATTCCTATGCCCCACAAATAAATTCAGAGACGCATTTTAAATAAAAGTACACATTCTACCCATTTAAAAAACACCAGGCAGGCCCCACAAATAACCCAGAGATGCATTTTAAATAAAAGTACACATTCTACTCATGTAAAAACACGCTGATTCCCGGATCATCCACGGGCCGGATTCGGCCCCTGGGCCTTAGTTTGCCTACCCATGCTCCAACCCCATCTCCCCAAATGAAAATATTAAATATTAAATGTCAATTTCTGGGGATGTCTCCCACAGCTCATCTTTGATGCGTCTTTTTTTTCGATTTGCTGTGAGCTTCATCCTTGCAGTAACACCGTGAACAAGATCACTTCTACCCCCATTTTCCAGAATGGGAAAACTGAGTGTTTGATGCATCTGGCTTGTGTCTGCCCGAGCCGGATTTGTTTGACCGACCTCTTCAGATACCAGCAGGTGAATCTTGAGAATGAGGGAGAAACATCCGCAGGCAAAACTCAACATCCCTAGAGTCTTTTCCCGCTTGCGCTTAAGGTCACGTTAAGCGCTGGCGTGCGTTTCCCTTCTCATGAGGAACCTCCTGGTGTTCAGCTCAGGGTGCCACAACAAGATGTAGCACTTGGGGAAAAACATCCCGCAAAGCAAGGCTGAGCTGGAGGCTAGGATGGCGAAGGCCTCTGTGGCTGCTGTGTACCATGCTCTGGAGGTGAGGTAAGCAGGGATGAAGGCCAGCCACACCCCAAGGCACCCCAACAAGCTGAAACAGATGAGCCAGGCCTCGTTGAAGGCGTCGGGGAGATTCCGTGCCAGGAAGGCCCCAGCCAAGCTGAGTGCCGCCAGCACGCTCAGGTAAGCCAGCATGCCCCAGAATGCACTGGGGGAGCCTTCATCGCAGAAGAAGGATATGGCGTGAGGGATGGAGTGAAAATCTCTCCCGGGGGTGGGAGGGGAGTTGGCCAGCCACGAGGCGCACAGCAGAAGCTGGGGCAGGCAACCAAGCAGGACCACGGCACGGGGCGTCCTGGACCCGAGCCACAGTTTTGCGGGGTTGCCAGGGCTGGTGGCCCGGAAGGCTGCCACCACCATCGCCGTCTTGGCCAGGATGCAGGAGAGGCAGAGGGCAAAGGTCAGCCCAAAGGCAGCCTGGCGCCACAAGCAGGAGCGAGGCGTCGGCCGCCCAAGGAAGGGCAGGCAGCAGAGGAAACTGAGTGCCAGCCCTGAGAGCAGGAGGTAGCTGAGCTCTCGGCTGTTGGCTCGTACCAGAGGGGTCGCCCGGTGAGTGACGAAGAGGCTGAGGATCAAGACGGGCAAGAGGGAGCCGCAGATGGAGGCACTGGCCAGACCGGCTCCCAGAGGCTCGTGGAAATGGAGAAAAAGCTCCCTTTTGGGTACACATTGTGTCTGCCCCACACCAGGCCACTGGTCTTCGGGACACCTTGAGCAGGCGGAAGAATCTAGAAGGAAAGAGGGATTTGGGGAGCATCTCATCACTGCATCAACCAAACAATTCCCCTCCCTCCCCCCCCAAAAAAGAAAGGAAATAAAGCCCTCAGGTGCCCTTCATAATCCTTGGTTCAGCTTCTATTTGACCTCACTAGCTTTTGCCCTGCAGTCTGTGTCTAACGCTGTGAAAACTCTAAAGCTACACCAAACAAGGGAGTCTCTGGATGTACACAGAGTATATAACTGGGACAGGCTCAAAGCGTAATTCAAGTGCGCCTGGAACTGTGGTGTAGGGCAAAATGGGTTAGAAATATCGCCCTCCCAAAAATACTAAACTTGGGTTGACCCTGAGCAATTGACTGGCAGGAGAATCATCACAGACGAAAGAGAAAGACTTCTTTATGGGATGGAACATGTCATTAATTTTGGGAATTCTCAGCTGCAAGATATGGGAACAACCCCTAGTTTAGGGCCAAGCTATGTGTTATGTCAATCTATCTACCTTCCTTCCTTCCTTCCTTCCTTCCTTCCTTCCTTCCTTCCTTCCAACATGTGATTTGATGCCAAGATGGCTTTAAAAGAGTATTTGGTGAGTTTATGGAGGACCAACCTATCCCCAGCTATTAGCAATGCTAGCTAAATGCCGTGGGGGACAGCCAAAACAGCAACAATAGGTATATAAAACTGACAGATATTTGTAGCGTAGATAATCTTTCACAGAGTGACTATAGTGGGCATTCCACGCACCGGTCTGGTTTGAAATTTCACCGCTTGCACACGGCACACAGTCAAAGCAACAAGTAGCCATATCTAAGCGCTGGGTTTTGTGGTGGCCCATGGGGCAACTCGGTGTACAGACTGAGACAGGGACCTAAATAAGAGAGGAGAGGAAGATTTGCCAGACTTGATATTTCTCATTGCAAAGCCAATGTTTACCTGCATTGTGACAATTAAAATGACCATGAATGACGAAGCACACTCTGTTTTAAAATACCACATCTATATGAAAAAGGCTTACACTGGTGTGTTATCCATAGCTGTCAAGCGTCCCTTATTTGGCGGCACAGCCCCTTATCCCAGCGCCGTGTCCCGCTGCTGTCCCTTATTGATGATGTCCCTTAAATTTCCCAGGTTTCAAAGGAAGCAGCTCCTCTCCCTCCCTGCCGGCCAAGGAGGAAGGAGGCTCCAACTGTGTTGCTTGGCTGCATTGCTCACCCAATAAGGAGTCTAAGAATGACTGGGGTGGTGGAGCTTGCATGCCCTGTGCCGATCAAATCGGCCGCATTGCCTGGGGACTCGCCTTTGCTCAGCGCTTCCCAGCGGAGAGGTGATGGTGGTTTTCCTTCCTGCATCTCCTTTGCCGGGTTGCTGCGCTATGGGAACCAGGACTTGAGGCTTCGTTTGGCTGCTGGTTGACTAAAATCCCTTATTTTGGCTGCTGATCCCTTATTTTCAAATCTGTAAGTTGACAGCTATGGTGTTATCAGCTTAAGCATCATGGTTCCCCCCACCCAAGAATCCTGGGAACTGTAGTTTTGGCGAGAGTAGAGAACACTAGTGGGGCACCCCAGTCTCCTGGAGATGTGCAACAGTTGCATAACCCTCCAACATTTATCCGATGAAAATAGGGATGTGTCGTCTCATTCCATAATTTTTATCTTGCTATTTATACCCCACACATCTTACTGGGTTGCCTCAGCCACTCTGGGCAGCTTCCAACATATATAAAAACATAATTAAAAGAACTTCTCTATTCAGGATTGCCATACCCGCTAACATTTCTCCAATAAACCAAGGGACATCCAAAGGGAAAGTGGGACATTCCGGGAGCCAATCAGAAACTGAGATGGTTTCTCTAAATCAGGGGTGTCCCTGGGGGAAAGGGACACTTGGAGGGTCTGCAGTTGCCTCCAGGTGGGAACTGGGCCCATGGCTGCTGCTCCTGCCCAGGTGTGGAGAACGTTTGGTGAAGGAGCCAAATACATACCCTCCAGCATCCTGTAGATCAAAATCAGGATGCTGCCCAGAGGCCCTGAGTGAGAAAACTCAGGACCCTCCTCAACCCTCTCTGCTTTTTTATTTTTCTCTTTTTGTTTTTAAGAGCAGCATACACTGTACTGCACAGGACAGCTGTAGCAAAGACCTCCGTTTCCTAGGAGCTGCATTCTAAAGAAATCTCCCTGGACAGGCTTGACCACAGGATGCACCTCAGGGCACACAAACACGGGAAGCTGCCTTGACTAAGTCAAACCATATGCCCACCTACTTCAGTATTGTCTACACTGACTGGCAGTGTCTCTTTTTGGACAGGCCTATCTGGAGATGCCGGGAATTGAACCTGGGATTTCTGCATGCAAAGAAGATGCTCTGCAACTAAGCCACAGCCTGTCCCTCATGTGCCCTGCCACATCCAGTCCTCACACAGGAACTGACCCCCTGGGGAAGAGTGAATAAGAGGTTTAAAACAACAACAACCTCCTTCTCTGCATATCTACATATGCAAGATAGATACAGTGGTACCTCAGGTTAAGTACTTAATTCGTTCCGGAGGTCTGTTCTTAACCTGAAACTCTTCTTAACCTGAAGCACCACTTTAGCTAATGGGGCCTCTCGCTGCTGCCGTGCCGCCGGAGCCCGATTTCTGTTCTCATCCTGAAGCAAAGTTCTTAACCTGAAGCACTATTTTTGAGTTAGCGGAGTCTGTAATCTGAAGTGTATGTAACCTGAGGCACCTTTGAGGAGCAATGGTGAACATTTTTTTTAAAAAAAAATTTAAAATCAGTTTTACAATTTAATTTAATATTCACACATACATTAGAATCCCCAAAAAGTGTAGCATTCTCTTAATTCTCAGACTTCCTTCCTCCCCTCTGTGGAGTCCGCCGATAACTGTTTTCCACTGCATATCATATTGTCCTCTATTTGTCCATAAAATTCTGTTTATATCCACAGTTCCTTTCACATTGCAAGTTCACAATGGTGAACATCTGGTCCTTCCTCCAGATGCTGTTGAACTACAACTCTCATCAGCCTTAGCAAGCATGGCCAATGGCCGGGGAGTTGTAGTTTAGTAGCATCTGGAGGGCAAATTGTCCCCCCCCCCCGCACCTGCCTTGGAGGATAAAATCTGTCCTACCTGCGTATTCCCTCCTGCCCACATGATGGCGCTGTCGTCCACCTTCAGTTCCTCGCCTTGTGAGGGGCTGAATGCAATCTGCCCCACTGGCACAGCTTGGAATTTCTTCATGGAAGGGTAGCGCGTGTTGAGGACATCAAAGAGGGCAGGGGGGTCACCGTGCTGGTCAAAGGAGACTTCCTCGCCCACCTTGTTCTTGAAACGGACTTTCCTCAAGTAGTGAAGCAACTGGAAGCAAGGCAGGGAGGAAAGGGGCAGGCATCAGTTTTGTGCTCTATGTAAATACGCATTGTATGAGTTAAGGACATGCAAGAAACCACTTGCTGGACCAGATGGGAGTTGTAGTTCAGCCACGTCTGGAAGGCCAAAGGTTCCAGGCGCCTGAGTTTTAAAGGGAAGAGATTAGGCTTTCTGCTCGTATGTACATGCTGCCCTAGACTAGTTAACTGGCCAAATCGTGTGGCTAGTTACTGGCAACAGAATACAGTGGTACCTTGGTTCTCAAGCACCTTGGTACTGGAACAACTTGGAACCAGAACGCTGCAAACCCGGAAGTAAGTGTTCTGGTTTGTGAACTTTCTTCGGAAGCCAAACGTGCTCCGTTTTGAGTGTTTCACTTCCGATTTGAGTGCCACACTTCCGTTTTGAGTGTTACGCTGAGGTCTGCCTGTTTTTGCTATTTATTTTGTGTTTTTGTTTTGGCGGCTCTTTTTTTGTTTGTTTTTCAGCTACTGATTGCTTGATCGTGTGACTGCAGTACATTGTTTATTGCTTTCATTTTATGGATCAACGGTCTTGTTAGATAGTAAAATTCATGTTAAATTGCTTTCTTAAGGGTTGCTTTTAAAAGTCTTGAACGGATTAATCCATTTTGCATTACTTTCTATGGGAAAGCGCGCCTTGGTTTTGGAACGCTTCGGTTTTGGAACAGACTTCCGGAACGAATTAAGTTCTTAATCTGAGGTACCACTGTATCTTCACTGTTATGAGGAGATTTCACACCGTGCGTTCCATCCTGCCCTGTTCGTGCTCGGGAAGGATTTACGGTGTTGCTGAAAACCCATAAGAGGGACAAAGGAAGGACTCGCCACATCTCTTCTGTAAAAGGAGAACATATGCTGGATTCTGAGTTCCTTTTTCAGCTATTAACCCTCTCTGCTCTTTTGTGGGGGGGGGAGAATCTGATAAAGAAGAACAACATCTGGAGGCAGCCACCTTAAGCTGCACCCATTCTGGAAACCCCCCAAAAGCATTTCAATGTAAGAACATTAAGAAGAGCCCGCTGGATCAGACCAATGGGCTATCTATTTCAGGATCCTGTTCTCACAGTGGCCAGCCAGATCCTGCTGTAAACTCTCTAGCCGGGACCTCAGCAAAAGAGCGCTCCTCCTGTCGTTTCTTTCAGCTGGTACAGTAGTACCTCAGGTTAAGTACTTAATTCGTTCCGGAGGTCCGTACTTAACCTGAAACTGTTCTTAACCTGAAGCACCACTTTAGCTAATGGGGCCTCCTGTTGCCACCGCGCCGCCGGAGCACGATTTCTGTTCTCATCCTGAAGCAAAGTTCTTAACCTGAGGTACTATTTCTGGGTTAGCGGAGTCTGTAACCTGAAGCGTATGTAACCTGAAGCGTATGTAACCCGAGGTACCACTGTATTACCTTCCAGGGCTCGATCCCAGGAACTCCGCCTTCGGTCCTCTTCAGTCCCCTTGGCTCCTCTTGCGCCATGTCTTGCAGGGCATGGGCGATGGCATAGACGGCGTTGTGGACGTTGAAGGACAAGCCGAACCCCATCATGCCGACAAAGGAGTTCCTGCCATCCCCCAAGTTCTCCTTCCCTGTGCAGGAATGGCTGCTGTTGTTTTCCCCCTCCTCAGAGCCCGCGTCCCACCAGCAATGGAAGACTTCGCCCCAGAACTCCTGGATGAAGATGTCTTCTGGAGAAGTGGAAGGGTGGAGCCGGACTACAAAGTCCCTCAGGCCGGGGACTGGCCGTTTGCGAGGGGAGATGGCCAGCGAACCGCTGAGCATCAGCAAGGCCTGCCGGTTCCTGTAGAAGGTGATGTGGCTCATGGCTTCGGAGCAGAGCCAAACCTTCCCTGTCACCCCCTGGCTGTGCAGCAGGAGAAGCAGAGGCTGAGCCTCAGACCCACAGAAGGTGACGATGACCTGGCTCTTGGATCCTGCGACCCTTCTGACGACTCTCTCGACGTTGCCCACGTCCGGCGGTTTGTCGAGCAGCTCCGAAAAGGCAACGCAGGCCCCTTGCCGGACAATCTCCTCCTGCACAATCTCGATGCCTTGCCTCCCGTATTCGGAGTCCGTCGTGAGCAGGCCGACCCACAGCCAGGCAAAGTGGGTCACCAACCGAGCCAGGCCCAGGGCCTGCAGCCTGTTGCTGGGGACGGTGCGGAAGAAAGAGCGGAACTGAGAGCCGTCGTCGGCCACCGGGCCCGTGGCAAAGTAACTGATCTGGGCGCAAGAGGAGAAAACCGCCCGTCTGTTAAACAAAAATGCACGCTGGTCCCCCTATGCAGACACACTTGTCAGACGAACCTTCGGTTATTTGAATGAGGGACTTGCACCCTCACCATAACTGTCAAGTTACAGATTTGAAAATAAGGGACCAGCAGCCTCGAAAATAAGGGATCAGCAGCCAAAATAAGGGATTTTTTTGGGCACAGGTATGTTCAACTTCTGAGCCCCTCCGAGCCAAAGGCAGAAAGCCCAGCCATCAGCCAAACAAGGCCTCAAGCGGTGGTTCCCACAGCGCAGCAACCCGGCAGAGGGGATGCAGCAAGGAAAACCACCGTCACCTCTCCGCTGGGAAGCGCTGAGCAAAGGCGAGTCCCCAGGCAACGCAGCTGATTTGATCGGCACAAGGCATGCAAGCTCCACCCCCCAGTCGTTCTTAGACTCCTTATTGGGTGAGCAACGCAGCCAAGCAACACAGTTGGAGCCTCCCTCCTCCCTGGCCGGCAGGGAGGGAGGGAGAGGAGCTGCTTCCTTTGAAACCTGGGAAATTTAAGGGACATCATCAATAAGGGACAGCAGCGGGACACGGCGCTGGGATAAGGGACTTTCCCGCCAAATAAGGGACGGTTGACAGCTATGACCCTCACCTTGGTACGTGAACATCTGATTCGGATATCCAAACCTTGGGACTTGCGTGTATGTGAATATCTGAGGCAATGGGGCTTTCTTTAATGCTGCCGTTTTATTTTCGCTGACATTGCGCTCAGCCAGAGAATCACTGAACACACCACCTTATAAACCAATATCATTTAGACTTCAAAAAACCTATAAACCTGTATCATTTAGACTTTTTTTAAAAATGGAACTGACATCGCTTGGAAGAACAGAAAAGTCTCTAGGATGCAAAAATTGTTGGAAGGGTGCGGGGAGAGACAGTAATGCAAGTAGGTGCACCTAGATACAGCATGAGGCCTAGTCAGGGTATTATCGTATAAGGCATATTTCATGAAAATAATAAATTCACAGTAAACAGCTCCCAGCCACAGGCTAATAAATACAGGTACAATAATGCTCCCACTCAAGCCATGCAACCACATTGCCCTCTATTGGCCCTTCCATGCAACTACAACTATCTGCCAAAATTGCAACACCCTTAAAAGACTACCGATTTTATTATAGCGAAAGCTTTGATGGACTGCTCAAATCCATTTCTTCTGCTTCTTCTTCTTCTTTTTAAACAAACAAACCTCATTGTGAATTTTTAAAAACAGTTACCAAACATAAGGTGCTGTCTTCCAAAACAAATACATGTACAGGTGTTAAGTCTTGTATCCCAGACACTGAGATCCAGTGCCGAGGGCCTTCTGACGGTTCCCTCATTGCAAGAAGGTTACAGAGGGCCTTCTCGGTAGTGGCGCCCACCCTGTGGAACACCCTCCCTTCAGATGTGAAGGAAATAAGCAGCTATCCTATCTTTAAAAGATATCTGAAGGAAGCCCTGTTTAAGGATGTTTTTAACATTTAATGCTGTACTGTTTTTAACATTTATTGGGAGCCGCCCAGAGTGGCTGGGGAAATTCAGCCAGATGGGCAGGGTATAAATAATAAATTATTATTGTTGTTGTTGTTGTTGTTGTTGTTATCCACACTCCATGGAAACAAACTCAGAAAATCTTTCACATTACAGATTAGGCTCCCATCTGCATGGGCTACGCCGGTCTAAAGCGTTAAGTTATTCACTTCATCCAGTGCATCTAAGTCCATAAAAGCACACGCCACAAAAAAATTGGTTACTCTTTTAAAAGTCCCACAATGCTATTTGCTCCTTTGCCACAACTTATGTGAAACACACAGATATCGTGTGAAATCGGTTTTATCCTTGTGGGCTCTGGCATTTTGCAAAGTGCAAAAGGACAGTTCCTGCCTCAGAGGAACTCACAGCCCCACACCACTCCTACCTGAGGGTATTTATAGAGATCCAACCACCTAGCTATCGTCCTGGACTCGGTTATGCCTGCCTCCCCTATAAGACCAGCTTGAGGCGGGGTGTGGCCGCAGTGAAAGTTGGGGATGGCGTTTTGACCGCCCGCAAGAAACTGTGTGGCACCCAAAAGGGCTCTTGAAAGAATCTGGCAAGAATCGAAGATGTGGAAGCCAAGAGTGATGTTGGGCAATAGGCTTGAATCCTGGTTAATCTCTTTGATGGCAAAGACCATGGTTTGGATGAACTTGTAAAACCAAAGCACCAAGCTGTGGAAAAGCAGGAGAAAATGCAGGGGATTCCAGTCAGAATGCAGGAATTGATCTTTGGACTGCACAGGCTGCCAACTGAGATAGACCTGCCTCAGATGTTGTTCAGTCAATAGCTAATGGACATGAATGGTAAATAAATGTGTCTTCAATGGGTTCTGATGATTGGTGGCTACTAGCTACCGAACACAGATACCAGTGAGTGTGAGGCGAGTGTATAAACACACACACACACACACACACACTCCTAATTAAAATTATATTAAAAAATAAACTGAAGCAATTTTCTATTGTTTTCTGTTATTAGTAAAAACAATTAAATCCAGATTTTTCTGGTTTTACAAAAAAGAAAAGAAAAAGAAACCAGCATTTTAAATATCTGGGTAGGCTTGTAAAATTTCAACAGTCGCCGAAAAGAGTCTGGTGAAGGCCGCTAAATCACTGCTAATGCATTATTATGAGGTCAAGAACATGTCACAGAACACGCCCCCAATGAATTGCCAGTCTGGTGAGGCCTCAAATTCGAACCCAAGTCTCTCCCAGGTCCTAGTCCCACACATAACAGCTACACCATCACAGGTTTGGTCAGAGAGGCCCCAGGTGATGTGCATGCTTGTGTGAGTGGACAAGCCCTCCTTAGGCAGAAGAGAAAAGGAGAATTGTCCGCCCACCCTGCTCCAAAGCAGCCCAAACACCCCAGATTTACCTCGAGGGATGTCTTCCATTGACAGTTCCAGCAGTATCCTTTGGGAGGGGCTGCTGGCGCCGCATTGACATGTGGCAGTATGTGGGATTAGGCGGTATTGTGAAGGTGATGGCCACAGCATCGCTTGATGTTTGGTGATGGAGCGGGAAAAGCCCCCCGATGAGGATGTCTCCCCTTCTCTCAAAGGCCTCCATCCTGAGGGCTGGCAGTTGACACTGGCGCTCATCAGTGCGGACCACCAGCATGAAAAATGGGAGTCCTAGGAAGAGGGTGTTCATGGATCCGCAAGCAGATCTTCTGTATTCACCTCTCGCGGAAAATAGATGTGACATCAAAAGAAGGCGGCCCTCTGTAACACGGAGGTCTTTCTTCGCTCTGAATCTTGGTTGACGGCAAATATTAGTAATATTTCACATTGTGTTAGCGAGTGAGCCAGACCAGAAAAAGAGACAGAAACTAGCAGCTCCCTTGGCTATGAAAACAGAATGCACAATTAATCTTCCAAGACCCCCAAACTCCCTTTTTCAATTGACTCAGAGAGCAAAATAATATTTTGTTGGCTCTTACCATCCCTGGAGCATTGCTGCCAAATGGAAAATTGTGGCGAGTTGAGGAAGCAAGGCGAGATGAGTGACGGGCCACCACCCGCCACAAAGGAAGGGCACATTTGAAAATGGATTCTCTGGAGGGATGACAGAACACTGGAGACTCCAGTTGCTCAGCAAGGCAGTCTTTGGCTTCTGCATTCACAGCAGCTAATAGCATAAAATTATTCCTCCATCCTCTGAAACTTTTATCTCCTAGGGGGTTGCTGCAGATGATCCAGTCAGGCCAGAGAATCAAGTAACTGTTAATTCTTTCACCCAGGAGATGAAAAAAGAAAGATGGTATATGCTTTGTTTTTCCTTTGTCACCTGGACTGGATCCCTCCCGGTAAATATCTGGACTGTATTGCATGCATGTGTGAATTCTGGGTATGTGGAGCTTCACATTAGTGTGGAATTTTGTGTCTGGTGTGGACTCTCTTGTTTTCTTTTGAATAGGTTTCTTGACCTCATGATGGCCAAGGAGGCCAGTACGCTGTGAAATCTTAGGGGCCATGGAAACACAAGGCCTTTTCTTCCGACCAGTGGTGAGAAACCCAAGTGAGAAGTGTTAACCAATGGCTAAGGCTCAGAAAAGGGCAACCAAAATTATTAAGGGGATGGAGCAACTCCCATGAGACAAATTACAGTATCTGGGGGTATTTAGCTTAGAGAAGAGGGGAGGTGGAGACCTGATGCAGAGGCATAACAACGTGCGTGGTGTGAAAGTGGAGAAATTCCCCTGCTCACACTTATTAACACCAGAACTTGTAAGCATCCAATAAAACCGAATGTTGGAAAATTCAGGACAGACAAAAGAAAGTACTGTATTTTTTCATGTATAACATGTCCCCGTGTATAAGACAACCCCTATTTTGGGGGACTCCAAATTAAGAAAATGGGGGGGGGGGGCGGAGAGATTGCCCAGAGTTGTTAAACTTTTTTTTGGGGGGGGGGGTTGACCAAAATCAACAGCAGGCCTTGCCAAAAATCAACAGCAGGCCTTGGCTGACAATTGTCTCCCTTCTTCACTATCCATTATTTTATAATAAATAAATCATTGTCTTATACACGGAGAACTACGGTACTTCTTCCCACAGTGCATTGTTAAACTACTTAATTTGCACCCCATAAGATGTAGGGATGGCTACCAACTTGGGACGGTTTTAAAAGAGGATTTTGCAAATTCATGGAGGATAAGGCTATCAACGGCTGCGTTTCCCTTCAACTGTCAGATGTACTATGTCCCTGAATGCCAGTACCTGGAAATCACAAGTGGGAAGTGTGCTGTTGTGCTTGTGGGTTTCCTATAGGAATCTGGTTGGCCACTGTAAGAACAGGTTGTTGTTTAGTCGTTTAGTCATGTCTGACTCTTTGTGACCCCATGGACCAGAGCATGCCAGGCACTCCTGTCTTCCACTGCCTCCCGCAGTTTGGTCAAACTCATGCTGGTAGCTTCAAGAACACTGTCCAACCATCTTGTCCTCTGTCGTCCCCTTCTCCTTGTGCCCTCCATCTTTCCCAACATCAGGGTCTTTTTCAGGGAGTCTTCTCTTCTCATGAGGTGGCCAAAGTCTTGGAGCCTCAGCTTCACAATCTGTCCTTCCAGTGGGTACTCAGGGCTGAGCCTTTGGCTCTTCTTCTGTTCTTAACAGAATGAAAAATCCACAGAGATTCTATGTGAACGCTCAGGAGCAGGCAGTGATCTTATCGCCCAGCCATTCCTACTAAACCACCACATTTTCAGGGGTAGAGAGAATATGGAAATAAAATGGGTGCAGCTTTTTCAGGTCGAGAGATGCATTGGTGGCGAAAGTTCCCCCCTGTTGGGTTTCTGCCCCTTCCCAACTGTAAAAAGCACAGGAATCTCCACGTGCTCTACTTGAGGACAAACTTTTGAAACTTTTGCAAGTGGGTTGTCACTGTTTGCAGATTTATTCCCAGCTGCTTTATGTAATTAAACCAGTTCCTGCCCGAAAGCTAATTTTGTCTCATTAACCAAATAAGGCAACACATTACTAGCTCACGCAACGCCCTCATCTCCACCAAGGGCAGATAAACCGCATGTGACAAGGGAATAGTTAGGATTATTTTTATTCCAATTACCATTAGGAAAATAGCAGATAAGTGCATGTAATTGAGGGCAGGTTCAAACATGAAGCAGAACATTTGAGCTGCACCTCCCTGTCCTAATTAAGTGCCTGCTAACTAGTGTGTGTGTTTTCTAGGGAAAGAACAGTTATCACAAAGAAATGGACATTGCCACTGGTTGGCAATCGGCAGCCTGTCACGTTATAGCTGCAAAAACACCATACATTTAACCACATGCATAAAAAAATCATGGGAACTGTAGTTTACCCATTCACAGAGCTACAATTCCCAGCACCTGTAACAAACCATAGTTCCCTGGAGTCTTTTTTTGCGGGGGGGGGGGATTATTTAAATGTATAGTGTGGACTTGACCTGTGCCAAAGAAGGAGGAAATCAGAGAAGATGGCAAAAATGGGACCAAATGTGGTCCTACACTGAGGGCAAATACCCCCTGGAATCTAATGCACAGCTGGGCAGAGTTTGGGGTGGCTCCTAACAATATACTACAGCAACAGTTGGAAGGACAGATTCCCGACCATTGCCCTTATCCACCTCAGGCCTTTGTTTTTGAGGCTCTTTTTTGTTTTTGTGATTGTGTGGAACCCAGTACCCAGATTGTGTGCCTGCAGTACATTGTTTATTGCTTTCATTTTATGGCTCAATGGTCACGTTAGAGCAGGCATCCCCAACCTGCGGCTCTCCAGATGGTTTGGCCTACAACTCCCATGATTCCTAGCTAACACGACCAGTGTTCAGGGATGGTGGGAATTGTAGTCCAAAACATCTGGCGGGCCGAAGGTTAGGGATGCCTGCGTTAGAGGGTAAAATTCTTGTTAAATTACTGTTTTGGGGGTTGTTTTTAAAAGTCTGGAACGGATTAATCCATTTTGCATTACTTTCTATGGGAAAGCGCGCCTACCCTATGACGCTTCCTGCTCCCGAGGTTGCCATGGCAACCTCCTATTGGCTTTTTGTTTTGGAAACACGAGGAAGCGCCTCCAGTGAGCGTGAAGGTGGAGGGAAACGGCGGGAAAAGGCTCTCCCCCGCCCTCCCCGTTGCCGTGGAAACGGACCAACGCACAAAACAAGCGCGCGGGCGCTTTTAAACCTCTCGGGGTTTCTCTGCGGAAGGGAGCGTGCGCAGGCGCGCGAGGCAACAGGGCGTGGCTGAACTAAGGGAGAGTTGAAAAGGGACGCCATAGAGACAGCCTCCCTCTCCCGTCCTAGAGCGACCGGTGGGATTTTTAAAGTTCCGCTTCCGTCGCCGGACCGCTTCCGGCCCTGCTTCCTGGATTGGGCGCGATGGAGTCGGTGCTCAGCGAAGTGGTGGCGCTGGAGGATCTGCAGGTGAGTCGGAGCCTTATTTAACAGCAGGAGGAGCGCGCGGGTTTTGTGTGTGTGTCTCCCTCTTCTCCTGGCTCTGGTCGCGGGCCGCGAGATTTAAGTGGAGCCTCCAGGTCCACCTTGGGCCACTGAGTGTGGGCGGTGCCTTTGAGTTTCGTGGGGTCAGCTGGGCTTGGACGGGCCTTTTGGCCCAGCATGGCCGCCCTTTGCTCTCCGTCCTGGTCGCTTCGTTCTCCCTCGCCGCGCGCTCTTCTCCGCCGGCCTAATTTTGGGTGGTTCTTCCTTTTTTAAAAATGCACCCTCCTGTAGCCTTTTACATTTGTGCTGTGGGTCTGAAGATGAGGTGGAGCCGGAGCTTCCTCTCCTCCAACGAAAATGCTTCATGGTGGTGGTGGTGGTGGTGGTGTTTAGGCGTTTAGTCGTGTCCGACTCTTCGTGACCCCATGGACCAGAGCACGCCAGGCACTCCTGTCTTCCACTGCCTCCCGCAGTTTGGTCAAACTCATGTTTGTAGCTTCGAGAACACTGTCCAACCATCTCGTCCTCTGTCGTCCCCTTCTCCTTGTGCCCTCCATCTTTCCCAGCATCAGGGTCTTTTCCAGGGAGTCTTCTCTTCTCATGAGGTAGCCAAAGTATTGGAGCCTCAGCTTCAGGATGCTTCATGGTAGCGACTAGGAAGAGGCATCACTCTCCTCCGCTGAAGTGCTGGGCAGCCACTCCATATGGAGAAGGGAAGTGTTGGGAGTGACTTGAGTGAATTCAAGTGAGGGAAAGTACAAAGCACCCCCTATCTTCCTCAAGACGCTTTTGCCTGGCTTATATGTAGCATTAAACTATGAGGCTGTAATAATGCTTCTTTCTTCTCTGGATGGAGGCTGGAGAGTGAGTAGCTTTTATATGGCTAAAATGTAGCTAATGTGAAACCTGGCCCCACGCATCACTGGAATGTGGCCCTTGGAAGATTGCCTACAATGCAATTTGGCCCTCTGGCTGGAAAAGGTGTTATCCTCTCAGCACACACACACACACGGACTCTCTCTATTAATTTAGTGTGATATGCAGCTAAGCCATGATCAGAGTAGCACTACTCTGGCTTAGCTGGATGCTACTGTTTATGATTATGAATATTAGCTACAAACTGGATTTTAAATTATGTAGGTAAATTAATTTAGTTAGCTACTTATGCTATACATAGACTTGTATGTTCTCCATATGTTTTGCTCTCCTCTGCTCCCTCATCAAGGTGTCAGAGGGAGCTCAAGAAACAAATGGGCTGGTTTCTCCTGTTTCCCTGTGATCGGTCATTCCACCCCCACCCTCCCGTACACATTGAGGCAGTTTCATGGCAGTGACTTTTTCTGTTCTCCAGTTAGGATGTCTGGACAGCTGGGTTTGCTGACAGCTGAGGTATATACTGTATACGGGGTTTGAAATTAGCAGGGCGCCAGGCACATTTCGCGCCTAAAGGTTCTCCATTTGCGAGCACCTCAAAATGTCTGGGTGCCATTTTTTGCGCCTGGCTGACACTCAAGGATTACTGGAATGTATGTGCTTTGAAGCCTTGAAGTATATGTTAAGGATAGACAATACGTTAAGGAGTTTAACAATAAAGAGTAGCATGTTTTGAAAACTGAAGTTTGGTACCAATATTTTTATTGTAAACACCAAATTAAACCTGTATTAACAAATTCTGTTTAAAATGTGATATTAACAATGTGTCACTTATGTGAATTGTGTATTAGTTCATGCTTATCAAAATAATAAAAAGTATTATCAGTAAGTATTGATCTGATGTGTAGAGATCTTTCCTATTCTGCTTAATTCAAAAGGGTTCTGGAAGCTTCTCTGTGTGAAAGAAACAAGCAGAAGGTTCATGATGTACAGCTGGCTTAAACTGGTTCTGTTATCTCTTCTGTCAAGGTCATGCTGACTATAAAAGTAGGGGCAGAAGGAGCCGGGGTTTCACTTTCTCTTTCTATCTCTTTTCCTTCTGGTCTGGTGTTTTATATGCAGTTGTACCTTGGATCTCAAATGCCTTGGCTCCCGAACAAATCGGCTCCCAAACTATCAAAACCTGAAAGCGAGTGTTCCGGTTTTTGAACGATTTTTCGGAAGCCGAATGCCTGGCGCGGCTTCTGGAACGCATTCTGTTCGAGAACCAAGGTACCACTGTATAGTTTTTAGACTTACTATAAGTTGCTGTAAGCTTAAGTTAAATCTGCTGTAACTGGATTTCTTATGGACAGTGCCAATCCTGAATGTATTGGATTTATAACCATTATGCTCATTTGTCTTCAATAGCAGTAAAGCTCTGCTGGATGAAATACAACTGCCTCTGGTCTATTTTTGGGGAATCCTACAACGTATTTAAGTTTTTACTCTGCTAACTATAAATTGGAATCTGCTCTGGATTGAGTAGAATTTCATGACAAGGTGTCCTCCAGATGTTGCTGAAATACAGCTCCCATCATTCCTGATCACTGGTCATGCTGGCTGGGGCTGACAGGAGTCACAGTTCTGGGGGAACATTGGTTTCCCATTCCTCTTCTTACACAAATACAGCATCCTAGAAGGTGCCCTGTGCTTTCCCCCACAGTTCTGTATTGCAGAGAGTGTTTGGCAATGGAGCTAAAGATGGGAGCAGTGCATGCATACACCCACATCCATGATAAAGAAGAAGAGGTGGTTTCTTAGATGTGTAAGATCAAGTAATTGAAGCCTCGTGGTTATAGAAGGCAGCATGTTAACAGCCTATAATCAAATGATTCAGATCTCTAAAGGGCTGTCACATGGACGATGGAGCAAGCTTGTTTTCTCCTTCTCCAGAGGGTAGGACCCAAACCAAAGGATTCAAGTTACAAGAAAGGAGATTCTGACTAAGCATAAGGAAGAACTTTCTGACTGTAAGGCAGGCATAGGCAAACTCGGCCCTCCAGATATTTTGGGACTACAACTCCCATCATCCCTAGCTAACAAGACCAGTGGTCAGGGATGATAGGAATTGTTGTTCCAAAACATCTGGAGGGCCGTGTTTGCTTATGCCTGCTGTAAGGGCTCTTTGACAGAGGACACAACTCCCTCAGGAGGTGGTGGACTCTCCTTCCTTGGAAGTTTTAAAACAGAGGTTGGATGGGACATCTATCAAGGAAGCTTAGTTGAAATTCTTGTATTGCAGGGGGTTGGACTAAATGACCCTTGGGGTCCAGTCCAACTCTACAATTCTGTGATTTATTTGTGAGGAAGTAACTGGCATAAGGGATGCGGGTGGCGCTGTGGGTAAAACCTCAGCACCTAGGACTTGCTGATCGCATGGTCGGCGGTTCGAATCCCCGTGGCGGGGTGCGCTCCCGTCGTTCGGTCCCAGCGCCTGCCAACCTAGCAGTTCGAAAGCACCCCCGGGTGCAAGTAGATAAATAGGGACCGCTTACCAGCGGGAAGGTAAACGGCGTTCAGTGTGCTGCGCTGGCTCGCCAGATGCAGCTTGTCACGCTGGCCATGTGACCCGGAAGTGTCTGCGGACAGCGCTGGCTCCCGGCCTATAGAGTGAGATGAGCGCACAACCCTAGAGTCTGTCAAGACTGGCCCGTACGGGCAGGGGTACCTTTACCTTTACCTAACTGGCATAAGAAGTGAAGCAAATCCACTAGGGGGCATCAAATCACTTCCAATAGCTCTTGAGCGCTTAACTGCCCAAGCCTAAATGTGTACACTTATTCATGGATATTGTTGAATTCAGTGTAGGTTTCATTCCAGTAGGTACATTTAGAGTTGTAGCCTTATTTGTTCCAGAGGAGAGCACTGATTCAGTGACATTTTTTCCGACAATGCAGCTGCTGTTTTTGCAGTCTCTGAGCAGCAGCAGCTTGGCTTTAAAGAATTGGTGCTTTGTTTGATCCTACGTGTTGCATTTACATTGAATGTGCTAACTTAGGAAAGAAGATACCATAGGTTTCTATGGCTGTGTGCAGTTGGAATTGGGCATTCAGGGTCAATTGAGTCACTAAGGAGGAAAGGTACGGAACAATAAGGAATTTCCAGGATGTCTGTATTAGCGCCATCAACTTTCTTGTGAATGGCTACTCTTAATAACATAATTATCAGCCTTGTAATTATTCTGCGTTTCATTCCTCTCTGACCTCAGTGATGATAATACCTTGCCCCGTCTATTAACCTTAAGTACACCTGTAACCTAGGATGACATTTCATACATCTGATGAAATGGACGAAAGCTTACACTGTAATAAATTTGTTAGCCTTCCAGGTGGCACAAGATGCTTTGTTAGTTGCAGCCAAGCTACCCCTCTGGAAATGGGAAAATCGCATGGCATGTATGTCTTACACAATGACAAACAATCAGGGTGTATTTTAAGTGACCATGAATAAGGGCTGGTTTTTCAAATTGGAGACTTGAATTGTGGTTTTGGTGTTCTCATTCATATATGGTTACTCCACAACAATACATGCTAATGTTTTGTCATAATGACCAATATCGGCTTGCAATGACCTATGCTAGTTCCCCTGGGAGTAGAAATACTGGCATGGTGAGGTACCAACACAGCTTTCTATAGTGCACAGGAATGCAGTCTAAAACTAGTTTCCTTTTGTATTGCAGAATCTATCTGCATTTAAGGGAGCAATTGTGAAATTAAGCACTTTTTCCTGGCACAGTGTTTATAGCTGTAAGGCGCTTACCCAAATCAGAAGCAGGAGCTGGTGGATACAGGACAGAGAGATGCATCTCCATGACTTGGAAGGCAAATCTTACTATTGTTTATTGTTCAAACCATGAATATTTAGACTCCTTGCCTTTTGGGTGTGTGACAGCGAATTATTGTATTTCCATGCCAGTTTCCATTAACCTGGATCCCAAAGTAGCTTTCATACAATCAATTACCGCAATAAACATTACAGTAGAACATCACACTTAATATAACAGAACATCAAAATTGCAATGCTTGGACTTTTGGGAGCTGCGCCTGTCAAGTCATACAATACTGTCAAGGAATCTACAGTTCAGTTTGGTGTCCCATGGTATCTTGAGAGTTATGTGCTCCCGAGCCCTGCTTTAACATCTGAACTGTGTTGATGTGTTTAAGAGTAGGGGGGGAAGCATGGATTCATTTGAGTAGCTGTGGGAATACTTAATATAGCAAACCTCTTAATAATAATAAAATCCCCCTCCCTGAAATTTACTCACTATGGTGTGACCTGTGGTTACTGCTGAGGGCTAGTGGAGAAGGATCCAAGATACTTTGTTGGTTGTGACCAGGGCATGTGTGCTTCTCTCGAAACATAGCCCAGTTTTAAAAGGAAACCTCCATTTAATACAGAGGCCTGCCTCTTAAAACGCCAGTGCCTGATCTGTGCGTGCATCTGACTGATGTGGCTGAATCTTGAGGGGCAGGAGTGGGCAGTGCAATTTCAGACTGTAGATGGATGGGTGTCATTTTTAAAGAAATGTTCCTTGCATTAATCCAGTCGCCCTGGAGGTCGTAGAGCTAGTAGCCTGTGAGCTAATTAGGCCTGGAATGCTGTTCCTGGCCCCCCCAAACCCCCACCCACCTGTTGTCATCTGGTGGGCAGGTGTAGGGTTGCCATATTTCAAAAAGTGAAAATCCGGACACAAAAATCTCAAACAGAAAGAGAGCTATTTTTAAGGAAATTTGCAAAAAGTCTACACTTCCAACATGGGTTGCCATACGTCCGGATTTTTCCAGACGTTTCAGCGATTTCCTCCCGGACACACTTTCCGATGGCCCAATACTGTCTATGTCTGGGAAATTCCAGACATATGGCAACCCTAGGCAGGTGGACATGCCTTAAATTTTACCCTTGGCAAGGGACGCTTGCTGTTGGCGATGACCGCAGATCTGCAGCGATCAGTTCCCTGTGAGGAGTGCCATGGCATAGGCAATGCCTAAAGGTGGAGGGATGCCATTTTAAAAATGCTCCCCAGGTGGTAGTATATCCTTTTCCTTGTAGGAAGCTTCTGTTGGGGGTAATTCCCCCCCCCAAGCTTCTCCCTGAAGATAACGCTTCAGGTGGACTCCAGTCTGCAGAACCTTGTGCAATAATAAATTGGTGGGGGTTGGTACTGGTGGGAGAACTAGCTCAGCCTCAGAGTATTTATTTTGGAGGTCCTCCTCAAACTGCAGGGACTAACTTGCCTTCTTCACTGCTGCTGGGTTCCAGGCACTGTCATCCTATCTATTGCCAAGATCCTCCATGGAGCCTACAGCAGACTCCGTGAGAATTTTGGCTTCTCAAGTTAATCATTTCGTAATGGGGGGAAAACATGACTTAAATTGGTGTGCCTTTCCATTGACTTTTCTCTCTCTCTTTCTCCCCCCCCCCTTTGGTGGTTTCAATCAATGGTTTTTACCCTGTTTGGATTTAATTCAGTCCACATACTACCAAGGGGGCCTCGGCTCTACCATCACACCCTGCAAGCTGGGTGGGATCAGTGACCCTTCACCAGATGCTGCTGAGCCCCATCTCTCCTTAGTCCCAGCCAGCTTGGCCCAGTGGGAAATTGGAGACTCCAGCAATGTCTTGAGAGCTACGGATTCCCCACCCAAAAGTGAACTGGCAGCAGGTTCCATGCATTGCCTCTGGGCTTGCAAGTGGAAGGGCGGTTTGCCTAGTTGCTGACTCCTTTCTGCCAGCTCCCACCCCATATAGGACAAGGTGCTCTTCAGGTCTTCTCTTGGCCTCCTTTGGGTGTTTTCAGGCTTTTGAGCAGTGGTGTTGCAACCAGAGTGTTGTTTAAACAGTTCTGTTTCCTTTCCGATGAAATTAAAAAGGGCACTTTTATGGCAGGTGACGTTCCTCTCCTTGAGCGGCTGTTTTTAGTAAACGCGGTTTTTTGAGCAGGCTTCTGAGAAGTCATGCAGCTACTTGGACAGATATTTGGCTGGTGTTAGCCATCACTTCAAACCTCTTTACACCACTGCCCCGCTGAAGGTCACATTGTTTTCATCATGGGAGTGGATGATCTCTATATTTCTTTATATTAATTTTACTGAATAGCTGGTAAAAGTACCCATAAAGTATCAGGGTGGTGTGCAGCAGTATGAAAATGTAAAAAAAACCCCACAATTAATAGTAGTACGGAACAATCATTAAAATGACTGGCTACCCAATAAAATTGTAAACAACTGCATGGCCCTGTTTAAACAGGGTGGGGGTGCCTTATCATGAATGGGAAGATTGGTCCTCCAAGCTCAGTGCTGTCTGCACAGACTGCCAGCGACTCTTCAGGTTTTCCAACAGGGAGTGTGTCTCAGCCCAACCTAGGGATGTTGGGAATCGAACCCAAGACCTTCAGCCCGCAAAGCAGGCACTCTGCCACTGAGCTACAGCCCTTTCCCCTGCACGTTCCCTTCTGAGCCCTTCCATGAAATGGGGTTTGAATGGTTTGTGTGCCTGCGGAACAAAGAGCCCCCTCTGACTTTCCAGCACTAAACAGCCTGGCAGCCTTGGGTGGCAGTTGGTGCGACCTGCCCAGACCAAATCCATTGATGGGAGACAAAAAGACCAGTGTCTGGTTTCGGAGGTGCTTGTTGTTCTCTTCTTGTTTTTTCGATGCTTGCGTAAGGCTTCATAGAAGATCCGGCTGCTAAGCCAGGGTCACCGGTTCCTGTTGGAGCAATTCCGCATCTGGGAATCATCTGTCCTTACTAGGTACTCAATGCTTTAAAATAATAATAAATCTCCCAACTGGTAGAGCTGAATTCTCTAACCTTTGTCGAAATTTATGTGCTTGTACATCATTCCTCTTACATAATTGGTTCTGCACCTGTCCCTTTCTATTTCTGAAGTTCGGTGGTGAGTAGCCGAGATGGTACCATCCACGCACAAATACAAAAAAATATTTAGGGTGATGGGTTTTTTTTTGAAAAGCTGGAAAAGGAAACTCTTGGATCTGCCAACCACAGACAAGTGGCCCAATGGAAGCAGCTCTACCATAGGCCAGAGCAGCATTCATAACTCCCATTGTTCTAGGTGCCTTTTGCAGGGGAAGGAAGAAGAGAAGAAGAAGAAGAGTTTGGATTTGATATCCCGCCTTTCACTCCCTTTAAGGAGTCTCAAAGCGGCTAACATTCTCCTTTCCCTTCCTCCCCCACAACAAACACTCTGTGAGGTGAGTGGGGCTGAGAGACTTCAAGGAAGTGTGACTGGCCCAAGGTCACCCGGCAGCTGCATGTGGAGGAGCGGAGACGCGAACCCGGTTCCCCAGATTACAAGACTACTGCTCTCAACCACTACACCACACTGGCTGACTAGACCATGTGAAAAATAAACATAATATATTAGCTGCAGTTCATTCATTTTCAGCTGTGTATTCTTGTTATAAAAAAGCGTGTCTAGACAGTCCATTGTTGCACCCATAACCTAGGTTTAAGGTGCCATTTAGCTCCTAGCTTTCATATCTCGGCTTCTAACACTGGGCCAGAGTCCCTTGTCACTCCTTCATGATCTATAGGCCTGCTACCTGCCCTCTGGTGGCCTACTGTGGCCAAGATCGTGTCAGCTTGACCCCTGCTGACGTATTGTTCTCAGGAAAAACCTGTGAATTGGGTGGGCGAAGTGGGGCAGAAAGGCACATTTTGCCTTTCCTGGGAGACTGGTGTCAGCTTAACCATCCCTCTCTTCTTTTCCACAGAGATTTGAGAAGAAGTACAATGCTGAGGTGAGCTCAGGCAATGTCTCCAAAGGGACCACATTTGAGTACGCCTGGTGCCTGGTCCGCAGCAAATACAACGAGGACATCAAGAAGGGCGTTGTACTCCTGGAAGGTGAGCAGTAGATCAATAGACTAGAACATCCACCGAGCCACCTCCTTGATTTCTCTTGCCAAGCAAGACATCCATTAAGCTAATCGTAAAGCAGTGGTTGAAACACCCACCCCATTTTGATTTGATTGATTGATTTGAGCTCCACAGTGTGTCCTTTTTGTACACTCTTGTTGGTTATTTTGTAGTTTTTATTACAAACATCCCAGTACTTGAAACTAGCCAGGCACATTTTGTACCTGGCTATCGACTGCTTGCAACCAAGTGAAGAAGCCTGAATGGTGGCTGACATCTCCACCATCTGGAGGTGCATGCCTGGGGATCCTTGGATCTTGATTGTTTTCACACGCTAATGCCACACCCTATCTGTTACATTTTATTTGCGCAATCGGAACCAATTTCAGGAACCAAAATGCTTTTTCTGTGCAGCCTGAGCAGGAGCAGTTGCAACGTTATGGTTAATTGTTGTCGTTTGTCTTCACTTTCCCCATCCCACTGCCCTGGTCACAGTTGTGAAGAATATTTCTACGTTATGAATGGTTTGTGTCACCATGAAGAAAAACAGGTAGGGATGGGCCAGTATATATGTGGACTGTCCCTGGATCAAGTGACTTTTCTTCTTTAAGTCCTCCAAGTTCTTAACCTAGCTCAAGGTTGTCATTGGAACTAGCCTGATGTTTCAGTGAAACTCAGTCACAGTCAGTCTGACATTTGCAGAAGAAGACCTTAGAGCCGTCTTAATCCATAAAGCGGGTGGCACTGTGGTCTAAACCACTGAGCCTCTTGGGCTTGCCAATCAGAAGGTTGGTGGTTCGAATCCCCATGACGGAGTGAGCTCCCATTGCTCGGTCCCAGCTCCTGTCATCCTAGCAGTTCAAAAGCATGTCGGAAAGTGCAAGCAGATAAATAGGTACCTCTCTGTTCTGGTTTCAGAAGCGGCTTAGTCATGCTGGCCACATGATCCAGAAAAACTGTCTGCAAACAAACGCCGGCTCCCTCGGCCTGTAAAGTGAGATGAGCACTGCAACCCCAGAGTCGTCTGTAACTGGACTTAACTGTCAGGGGTCCTTTACCTTTACCTTTTACCCCAAAATGGCAACTAGGCATTCCATTTTGGCATCTACAACCTCGGTTTAAAGATCCATTTGGCCCCTAGCTTATATACAGTGGTACCTTGGTTTACGAACTTAATCTGTTCCGGAAGTATGTTCTTAAACCAAAACCTTTCTTAAACTGAGGCGTGCTTTCCCTAACGAGGCCTCCCGCTGCTGGTACCCTTCCACCGTTCGGATTCTGTTTTTAGACCGAGGTGAAGTTCTCAAACCAAGACACTATTTCCAGTTTTGCGGAGTTTGTAAACCAAGGTACCACTGTATCTGAGTTTCTCACACTGCAACCTCTCCACCTGCAAGCACTTGCTCTAATAAGAGCCTTACTAGATTGGACTGAAAGTGTTTCTAGTCCGGCATTCTTCCGCCCGGCCCCACGGCCAATCATATGGCCTCCAGCAAGCCCACAGGCAGGGCGTGACTAGCCCTTCTCCCCCAGCACCTGGTATTCAGCAGCACACTGTCTCTGAACGTGGAAGTTCATCTACCAAACATGGCTGAGATTTGCAGAACCCTCTTTCACAGCCGCCTGAACCCACCACCACATGAACTGGCAAAGAGGTCCACGTGCCAATTATGCTTTCTGCGAATAAGTACGTTTTTCTGCGTGGTTTGCCCTGAATCTGCTGCCAGTCAATTAATTGAGCAGCTCCCACGTTCTGCCATAATCGGTTGGGGAGGGGAGAAAAAAAACTCATTTCTCCGCACCATAAACTTCCGCTATGAGTTCCCCCCCCCACCTCCCTTGGAGTATCAAAGGATCTTCTGCACTGTGGGGAGAGAAAACCTTTTGTGTGTACGTGGCAGTGGGTGAGATGCCTCCTGTCCTTCCGCCTCTGCCACATCCTCCCCCTTCTTTTTTTTGTGTGTGCATCTGTCCCATTCCTGTCTTTTCATCGGTCGGGCGTGACCTCCTTGGCACAGTGTCCTTGCTCTCCTTGCACGGCAGCTCCCCGTACACTCTCTTGACCTTCGGCTTGCCAAAGTCCAGGCGCCATGGTGTCGTTTGGGATTCGGTTGTCAGGAATCCAGGTGGGGTTACTCTAGTTCCAAGTTCAGATTTTTGTGTTTTGTGTCTGTATGTGTCGTGAGCTGTAGGAGGCAGGTAAAATGGAGAAACCCTCAGACCCATCTCTCTCTAAACAGATCTAGGTAAATGTTACACTCTTGACCCTTTTATTTTCAGAGCTGCTGCCCAAAGGGAACAAAGAGGAGCAGCGTGATTATGTCTTTTACCTCTCGGTGGCCAATTACCGGCTGAAGGTAAGTCTCTGCTGGTGGCCCTGCCTGCTTCCTTTGGTTTGGACCTGCTTATATTTGTACCTCTGTTGTTCAGGCGAGATGGGATCCTGATGAGGCTTATAGTTAAAATCCACGAAAAGTTTAACTTTTTTTCCTCTAAATTAATTTCCTCTAAAGCAGCAGCTGGGTCACCTCTACCTCTCGGGCCTTATTAGGCCTACCAAGCCTGTCTATTTGTGCTGCGAGACTGTTCAGGGAACCCACCCACCCTATAGTGTACGTGATGTCAGGTGTAGGTCAGGGAAAGAACAGGTTGAAATGGGGTCTGCTGGGCCCACTGATCTGTGAAAAGTCTCGTGCACAGTGCTTTGTGAACCCTGATGATCAGCCAGTTGTTGGCACTTGCAAAGCCCATGGGAGCAGTGTGGTGTAGTGGTTAGAGTCATAGTAGGACCATGGTGGTTGCTGTGGGGATTGCCTTGCAGGGGGTTGGACTAGATGGCCCTTGTGTTTCCCTTGCGAGTTTACAATTCTATGAAAGGAGGAGGCAGGAGAATCATGTAAGCCACATTGAGCTGCATGGAGAAAACGGTGGGATATATACCGGTTTATAAATGCAATAAATAAACAATAATAAATGTTTTGATTCCAAGTCATGTAGGCAAAAAAAGGGATGAAAAATGAGTAAGACTTTCACTTGAGAGCTGCTGCCAGTCGATGCAAACTATACTAAGCTAGATGACCCAATGGTCTGACTCGATATGTTCCTGGTGTCATTGTGGTGCCAGGTGATTGACAGATAGACTTGCCCACCTGTTGAGCTTGGCCTCTGTGCAGGGGGTGGGGAGGTGATGATCTGCTCAAATCCAGCGCTCCACCTCTGCTCTGGAGGAGAACATCTGACATCGAGTCAGTGGGACAGAGGCAAAGAGGGAAGGAAGGTCAAGATCCGTTCTTCCTTTCTTCAAAGTGGTGTCAAGCAAGTGAGTTCTTCTTCCTCATTACCTCTCCCAGCTTCTGCCCCTTTCTCCCAAACTGGAACTGATTTGGCCCAGGGCTGCTAGTTGCTGATCCCTCACTTGGACAGTATCCACAGGGGCTAGCTCCACAGAACGCCCTGCATAGCATTTGTTTGTATCCTCAGGGCTCCGATGAATGAATATATAGAAGAGCAGCAGTTGGCACTCAAGAGGATTCAATCAGGCAACAGAAAGTTGGAGGCTGCATTAAGTCTTCCCCTGTTCCATCCTCTGTCCCCAAATCTGACTTAAGGAAAGCTGAGCTTCTGTTTTTCACCCACTTCCTCCTTACACAGATTGGAAAACTTCAAAATGTTTTGCATCCTGCAGATTTTTGCAGATAGGCAACAGATGTGTTTTCTGCCTGGGTTGCCAAATGGCGAGCGGGGGATAGATCCTCAGTCAGTGTTTGAGACTTTGCCTATCTTTCACGCTCGCTTCCCCCACCATGCAAGGGAGACGTTAACTCTCCTCTCCAGGGTGAAAGTCCTGCGTTTCCCGTTACCTCAGGCCCTTTCTTATCTCTGGCAGCTAATCCCAACTCCATAAACCTTGTCAAAACCAGGGTGGTGCCCACATGTATCAGTCTCAGCCGGGCCTTTTATCGGTGCGCTTTTATAGACTGCGAGAGCAGCAGATCATAACCCTCTTCAGTCATGGGGCATGTGTGTGGAGGCAACGGCGCGAGATAAGCAGGAGCTTGGGCCCAAAGGGAAGGAGCGGTGCAAAACACAGCCGATCTTAACTGTGCAATCCTGCGCAAGGGAGTTCTATTGCTTGTAGTGGGTCTCACATTGTCTGGGGTTGCAGCCCTGAGAGTGTCAGTGCAAATGATGGCAAGCTGCAGTTGATTGCTGGGGTCTGGGTTGTGCTACCGGGAAAGTGTTAGGCTTGCAGCCAAGAAATCCAGGGCAGTATCCAGCAAAGTAGCTGTGCAACGGAATTTCCCCAAATCTCTTCATGCATCCTCCATTCTGCTCTGGGACTCCCCAATCCTGCAGAGCAGTTGGGGGCACATGGGGAGAGGGAGTTCCATTGAGCAGCCATGCACCAGCAGAACACCTTGGTGGGATTCTGCCCTGAATCCCCCCCCCTTCAAATCCTGTCCTTCTCAAAACTTGTGGCAGGGGCAGGGAGCCTCAGGCCCAAGTGTGGCCCTCCAGGCCTCTCTGTCTGGCCCTTGGGATGCTCCCTAGCCACACCCCTTACTCGCTGTGCATCAACACCACCCTAAGTGTTTTTTGTCTGGCAGTAAAGTGTCTTTTAATCATGCCTCCTGCAAGTGTGCATATAGAAACTAGCCTACTCTACAAAGGTGGTGTTTGTTGCTCCACCCACCTCTGGCATGTGGACTTCAGAAGGTTGCTCAAGCAGCCACCGCTCTCCCCATCCACCTCTCTGTGGGGTTTGCATCTCCTGTGCAGGTTAAACTCCTTGCCTTGAGCTAAAAGGGGGAATGGGAGAGCTTAACGTCCTGAGGCAGGAGACTTTTGAACTGTCCCTGTTTCCCCTGTAGAGGAATTCTCTCTCCTTAATAAGAACTGCCTTAGCATCCTGCCCTCAGCAGTGGTCATCCAGATGACCTCCTGGAAGCTTGAGAATCAGACTGTTGCCTGTTGTTTGTCCCTGTTTTCCGGTCCTCGGAGGCATCCTACCTTTTGAATGTGGAGGTTTCATTGAGCTGTTGTTGCTAATGGACTTCATTTCTTGGGGTGTTTGAAACCCACTTCAGCAGCCCTTACATACCGTATATACTCGAGTATAAGCCTGCCCGAATATAAGCCGAGGCACCTAATTTTAGCACAAAAAACTAGGAAAACTTATTGAATCGAGTGTAAGCCGATTCACCACCTCACAAACCTGGTGGTGGCAGCAGCAGTGGAGGAAGAACAAGCAGTCCAAAAGGGCTCCTTTCGGGCTGCTCGTCCCTCCGCCATCGCTTCTGCTGCTGCCTGCATTTGCGAGAGGCAGGTGGCAGCAGCAGGACCAGCGGCGAGAAAGGGCTCCTTTCGGGCCACTCGTCCCTCTGCCACTGCTGCCTGCCTCACTCGAGTATAAGTCAAGGGGGGCTTTTTCAGCATAAAAAATGTGCTGAAAAAGTCGGCTTATACTCGAGTATATACGGTAGGTTAGCTAGGGTGCTCTGTGTCTAGTCTGACCGCAGCCATGGTCCACATTGTTGGGTAACCCTAGTTCTAAGTGTACATAGCTCCTTTCCCCACCTTCCTTGACTGTCCCCAAGCCTCCATCCAGCTCATCACTTTCTTTTTCCAAAGCTAGAACTCCCCACTTACTGATTCCCTCCATTTCACTCCATCTGTGGTGGGCAACAGGGTACTGCGCATGATGTCCCCAGACACAGGTGCATTAACGCTCTTCTCTCTTTCTCGTAGGAATATGAGAAAGCTCTGAAGTACATCCGGGGGTTGCTGAAGACGGAGCCAAGCAACACACAAGCCATGGAGCTGGAGAAGCTCATCAAGAGGGCCATGCAGAAAGGTTAGGGGGGCAGGTGTGGGGAGCGCAACCCTTTCCCTCCCACCTTTTAAGACTCTGTTCAAACACAGTAATTCTGATCCCAGTAAACCATGGTTGGGGCATTTCTCACAAACCAAGTGATGACTCCACATAGGAAACTGAGGCCTGTGTCAGTCCGCTTAGCTCAGGGCACTGACTGGCAGCAGCTCTCCAGGGTTTCAGGAAGGGAATCTTTCCCAGCCGTAGCTGGAGATGCCGGGTCTTGAACCCCGAGATGTTTCTTCACGCAAGGTTTGTGGGGATCACCCAAAACAGTTTCTCAGTTTGGAAGCAATGGGGGAAATGTGGTTTAACAAACCGTGGGGGCCTTTTGTTTTTCAAGTGTGTAGGAATGGGGAGAGCCCAGGGACGCTCTTCGTAACTCCTTGCCCAACAAACCATCGTGCTTTGGACATGTAAACTAAGCTGATGCGTTCAGAGAGCAGAATGCATTAAAACACCCAACCATCTTTGAGCGCCTTTTACGAAATGCCTCCTAGTATTTCTCAAGGAGACGGAAAGGTGTTTCAACAGCTCTTAAGTACCAGCAATGAGGACCGGGTGCCTCGTTTGGATAAGACGGCACAGGGATCACTTCTGCACTGCCAGAGGCCAATGAGAGGGTGAGGGCCGTCGGCCTGGGAGGTGGCAGCAGCTATTCTTCCACCACCACCTCTGAAAAGGTGGTGATGGAAAAAGTTGGTCCCCATGGCAACCGGGTTGGTCCAGCCCCCCTCCCGCAGGCTTCAGTCCAAAGATCTCTTGAGGAGCCTCTCAATCCTTAACTAGCGTTCCAGGATGACGCCTCTCTTCCCTCTTCTCTCTCCACAGATGGCCTGGTTGGCATGGCGATCGTGGGCGGCATGGCTCTGGGCGCTGCCGGGCTGGCTGGTCTCATCGGCTTGGCCATCTCCAAATCAAAACCTTAACTGGCTCAGTTAGGGTGGTGGTGGGGTCCCACCCCCCTGCCCCCTTTCGCACCCGGCCAGAGCAGCCTGGCCTTGGCAACTCACAGCTCTAACCCTGCAGGGAAAATGAGGGACGATTAAAAACATGCTCGGCAGCCACTAATCCGACCCTGATTCCCGGACTTTCCCCTCCCCTCCTTCTGTGAGGCCAAAGTGGCCCTTTCGGTAGAAGACTGGCCAAATAGGAACATGGGCGCGCATGGCTGCGGGCCCTTCTAGCTCTCAGTTGCCCCAGCCCCCTGTTGTGTAACTTCCTTTAGGTTCCTTGCCTACGCTTCACCTATCACACGCTGACGTGAGGAAAGCACACGGGTTTCTCCCCGCTGCCTGCCTTTGCAGCCTCTCGCTTGTCGTGGGGCTTGGAGATTTCTCTCATCTGAGACTTAAGATACAAAATGCCAGGAAAGGACATCATTTTCAGAAGACTACAGTTGGATTGGGTGGGGCGGGGGGAAACCCCCCCTTGTCCTGCAGTGTGCGGCTTAGCTTCTTGTTGCTGTGAACGATGGTCGAGGAGAAGGCTTTCCGGGACAGAACCTTTCCCTCACTGTCAGACTGTGTTTTCTCTTACACTTAATAAACACACACATGTGCCTCCCTCTCTTCCTTCCATCCCCCCAGTTTGCACTTCCTTTGCATGGTGCCTCCTGATCCTCTTAGCTCTGTAGCAGCACCGGGTTCCATCTAGAGGAGCCTGTGGTCCTCCATATTTTTGTTCAACTCGCGTCAGCCGCCAACAGCATGGGCGGCGGTCAGGGACGATGGGAATTGTAGTCCAGCCCCATCACTGGAGGAACATAGGTGCCCCCACTTCTTCTTTGGGGTCTTCCTCTGCCTAGATAGCTATCTTCCGTTGTCCCCTTATTTATTTGGTAGAGCTGGTGGGGGCTGCCAACATGAGAATTAGGTCACCTCTCTCGTCTCGCAACAGATAGAGCGAGCTTCTTGGGACATGGAGAGGAAACACAGCAGAAAAGAGGGACACTCAAAGCAGCCTTATATTGGAAAGTATCTGCTTCTAAGCTGACAAGGGACGGGTTCCTTCTTTAGGTTGGCGAGTGAAGACCCCACGCCAAGCCTCTAGCGGGGCTTCCTTCGTGCAAGGTTGACGTTCCAGTCACCGTTCAGAGACTACAAATGTATTGAAAACACTTCTTTCCTCTTTTCTGGAAACTTAATCTCCCTGCTCACTGAACAGGTGCTTTTATATGGTTTTCTAGCCTCTGACTGGCGTGAGGCAGGGATGTGAATAAAAATTAAAATACAGATGCAAATGATTTTGATTGTCTGATTTGCGCCTCTCGCGAAGTCTGGGCCTCAGATGTCCTTAAGGCGGTGAGCTGTTGTCCAATCCATCCTGTTTATGCTGCAGGCTGCCACTGAATTTTCTCTGTGTTTGGCCATTTAGGAATCAATTAGACCATTGGCCCATCAGCTGCCAGCATTGTTGATGCTGCCTGGCAGCAGATCTCCCAAGGTTTCAGGCAGGGAGCCTTATCCTGGCCCTACCTGGCGATGCCAGAGATTGAAGCTGCATGCAAAGCAGATGTTCCACCACGGGAGCTCCAGCCCTTCCCCCTATGGCCAGGGTCTCCCTCGATAATGAGCACCCGACAGCTTGCCTTGAACTCTGGATCCTTGGCAGCACCGTGCGTCTTCATTGCTGTACGACAGCTCACACCCAGGCAGCCCCAAGTGATTTTCAGAAGTGAGCAAGATGGCTAATTTCACATTGCGGAGCAGCTGAAACCTGGCTGCTGTGCATGCAGATGTTGTGTGCCAGCATCCTGGCAAATGCCTCTTGACCTAGTGAATGCAGAGGCTACACGGTAGCCTTTGGACCGAGCCTGACAAACTGCAATTCCCCCTCACCCTGCTGGCTGCAAGAGTTGCTGAGCAAGTGGAAGCAAAGCGATGGCCTGATTCGATGGGCCTCTTTCCCATTCTGCAGCTGACGTGCGTTTGGAAGCGAGCTGAGAACGTCCCATTGCGCCAGGATCTGTCTAGGACATTGTGTCTTGAAACATCCCTTTCCAGTCCTTGCTCTCCATTTCTGACAGCTTGCAGAATTGGGTTTAAATTAAGGTGATTTAAATAGTTGTGGTAGACGTGTGTGCTGTGGCAAGGGAGGGATAATACCTCCGGGGGGGGGGGGATTGTACTCCTGGGGTAATTTGTCCACCTTTGCCCCCCCCCACTCTGTTCTCACCTGTGGCTCCTAGATGCTGTCAGCATGTGACAGCGGCCACCCTGGGAACAGCTTCAACTGGCCAGCTAAACCAGGTGAGGATAGCTCATCTAGGAAAAGGAAAACTCTGGTCCTAAACCTTTGCTGCCTTGCGGGATATTTGGAAGAAGAAAACCCCACACAAATCCAGAGTGGAGTCCCTAAGGCGGTTGGATGGTGCCTTGTATTCTCTTTTCAGCAACAACTGCAGCCGAGCTGGTACGAAACATCTTGTTCTGCTTTCTTTTTGTAACCCAAGGAAACCTTTAATAAAAACATTTTTTTAAAAAAAAAACTTGGCGTCCCCAGATGTTGTGGGACTGCAATGTTTGAGGATGTTGAGAGCCTGAGGAATGGTATATTCTCAGGAGTTAAATGCCAGCTACCCAGCTCATTTGTCCTTGCAGAGAGACTGCAGCATACAGTGGTACCTTGGGTTAAGAACTTAATTCATTCTGGAGGTCCATTCTTAACCTGAAACTGTTCTTAACCTGAAGCACCACTTTAGCTAATGGGGCCTCCCGCTGCTGCCACACCGCCAGCATGCGATTTCTGTTCTCATCCTGAAGCAAAGTTCTTAAACCGAGGTACTATTTCTGGGTTAGCGGAGTCTGTAACCTGAAGTGTCTGTAACTTGAAGCGTCTAACCCGAGGTACCACTGTACTAGGAAACACTTGATTCCCTTATTTTTGTTTTCCCCCATCCTTCCCTGCCCAGGCCTCTAGTTTTCTTTTGGCAATGGGGCACTGGTTTGCTTTGTGTCGTCTTGGCCTTCAGTGTTGGGTTGTCCATGCATAGCATCTTCCAGAGGAGTGTGGTTTGCCCTGCTTCCCACCCAGGGAGTTTTCTGCATCTTTTAAGTGCAGCAGGCAGAAATTCACCAGGGAAAGTTGTTGCCAGTGCTGGATCTCTAGCCAGGCAAGAGCTTCCACCTGCTGAATGCGGAGGAGGAAAATATTGGTGTGCTAGCAGAGGCTGCAGCTCCTTCGGAAAGGAGATTGATGGTTCCTAGAAACTGGAAATGTTTTTCTAGCTTATCTCTTGTTGACGTTACGTTTTTTATGTTGCATAATCTAGGGAAACTTTCTTTTGATGGTCCAGACTTCTGTACACTTCTTGGTCATGTTTAGTTAATGACATGGCTTTAGAATGAATAGGGTTGTAAGTATATAGGAAGCTGCTGTTTTTCTGGGTCAGGTCCTTGGAAAATCTAGGCCACTGTTTTCGTATCCCGTTCTTCCCAATGTTTAAAGGTGGCGTCTTTGGTGAAGCTACAGCTCAAATGGGTGCTTTAACTTGCATTTGCATGATCTTGCACACATCCCTTCCTATTTTAAAAGCGCTGCTTAAGGAGAACGGACACGGATCGTTCTCCCTGGAGTTACATCACAGCAGCTAATCGGATTAAATGCAAGGAAGAAAGATTTAGGTTGGGTATGGGGAAGAATGTTCCAGTGATAAGAATAGTTGGGCAGTGGAGCAACTTTCAAAGGCTGGTCGCTTTCTAATCCACCTCAGAAAACCCCCCACAAATGGTTTAAAACTGTTGGGGCAGGTTTAGTCATAACTGACCATCCACGGGAGTAGAAGAGTTTGGATTTGATATCCCGCTTTATCACTACCCGAAGGAGTCTCAAAGCGGCTAACATTCTCCTTTCCCTTCCTCCCCCACAACAAACACTCTGTGAGGTGAGTGGGGCTGAGAGACTTCAGAGAAGTGTGACTGGCCCAAGGTCACCCAGCAGCTGCATGTGGAGGAACGGGGAATCGAACCCGGTTCACCAGATTATGAGTCCACCGCTCTTAACCACTACACCACACAGGATGCCTGCCCTCTTTTCAAATCCCCTCCTTCACACCCACCTTTTCCATGAATTCTTTGCCAAGGTCTCATTGCTCCCCTACGAAAAGCAAGCCTAAAGTCCATTCGGTCTAATTGAATCAATTGCCTCCCCTCCCTGTTTATCCTCCCAAGGCTGGTGCCAAGAGTTAGGCATCTGACAAGAGCCCCTTGGCTCTGCTGAAGTGAGGAGGTAGATATGCTGAGGGAGGACCCAAAGGGATCTCTAAAACCTGGACTCATCACTAGTCATCATCTGTTGTCTTCCCTATGTTGCAATTGCAAGTTCCTGGCAGCAGAGATTTGTCTTGTCAGTAATGTCGTGCCCAGTAAATTGGTAATGCCCTTCTAAAATGACCCAGTAGAGTACCTTTATATTAAAAGGCCACATTCCCACCATGCATTTAAAGCATGATAGAATTGTAGGGTTGGACCGTCTAGCTCCAGGGATCAGCAAACTTTTTCAGCAGGGGGCCGATCCACTGTCCCTCAGACCTTGTGGGAGGCCAGACTATATTTTTTTTTTGAGGGGGGGGTTGAGAATGAATTCCTATGCCCCACAAATAACCAAGAGATGCATTTTAAATTAAAGCACACATTCTACTCATGTAAAAACACCAGGCAGGCCCCACAAATAATTCAGAGATGCATTTTAAATAAAAGGACACATTCTACTCATGTAAAAACACACTGATTCCCAGACTGTCCGCAGGCTGGATTTAGAAGGTGATTGGGCTGGATCCGGCCCCTGGGCCTTAGTTTGCCTACCCTTGATCTAGCCCAAGTCCTCTGCAATGCAGGAATATGCAGCTGTCTCATCGAACCTGCAACTTTGTTATCAGCACCACAAGTGAGCAGTGCCACTGTAAACAGTCATGGCTTCCCCCAAAGACTTCTGGGAGCTGTAGTTTGTTAGGAAGTTATTAGGAAACCCTCATTCCTCCCTAGGAACAGCAGTTTCCAGAGTGGTTTAATCAGTGCTTTTTTCCCCTAAAAAAAACAACCACGTTTAGGGGTACTCTCATTTTCGTACTCATATTGAAATACTGCCCCTCAATGAGGCCAAACTTAGATTCACAAAATGTTTAGGGGTATGCGCACCTGTGCGTCCCCCTAGAAAAAAAGCACTGGGTTTCACAACCAACCTTTCTCGCAGGGAACTCTGATTGGGGCTGAGAGCTGGGGAACAGCTCAATGAAAACTGCACATGCTCAGTGGCCATGGAAATGCTGACTGATGGGTGAGGGGGTGTGGAATATGGACCCAATGGAACAGGTAGGATTCAGGACAGCAGCACTTTACTCTTCAACAATTCATTGCAGGTCACAGGCTTCCTCTTATGTCCGTACTAGAGGCCCTTTGGGCTGCCACATTAACACATAACAGGTGCTTATCTCTTCTGCTTGGCTGAGATCTCTGAACCCATCATGTCCCACCCCAACATATAGTGACTTCAGCGTAGCTATCTGCATATCAAAACAGTTAAAGTGTATTCAGCTGCATTGCATTAGGATGGGGTTATCTGACTTGGGCTACCCTTCCTGTGTTTGGTGTCAGGTGGTGGAGGGACACACACACACACACACACAGAGAGAGAGAGAGAGAGAGAGAGAGAGAGAGTTTTGAAGCTCCTCTGCATTATCAGTGCTTGTGGTATGTGCAGTATAATTTTACGAAGCAAGATCTTGCTACTTTTATTTTGCTTGCCCCGAAGATATACAGTGGTACCTCGGGTTAAGTACTTAATTCGTTCTGGAGGTCAGTTCTTAACCTGAAATTGTTCTTAACCTTGAAGCACCACTTTAGCTAATGGGGCCTCCAGCTGCTGCTGCCGCCACGCTATTTCTGTTCTGATCCTGAAGCAAAGTTCTTAACCTGAGGTACTATTTCTGGGTTAGCGGCGTCTGCAACCTGAAGCGTATGTAACCTGAGGTACCACATGCTCTCTCTTTCGAGGGTTGGGAAGCCATGATGGCTATCAGCCTAGCAAGGCTGTTTCTCGAGGCATTTTGCTGGCTGAGGTGAAGGGCAAGATGGTTTCATCTATAAAATTTCCCTCGTTTCATCTACAAAAGCTGAGTAGGCTGGCAATTAATGACGGGGACAGAATCCTTGACCCCACCTGGAGGTGGCTGTATGTGTGCGTCTCTGTGTGTTTGTGTTGGCCATGCCACATAGCTGCTGCCACCTTAGCCTCTACCTCAGCTGCCTGAGGCAGTCACCTCACTCTGCCTAATGGTAGGGCAGGCCCAGAAGCCCCATTTGGAGCAGCGATGCTCTGCCTTGTTTAATGGACTTTGAAACCCCTCAAGTCTGCTTGCAGCAGTGGTACGTCCCCATTTTTTAATTGAAGTAAAATAATTGTGTATGAAATGTATGTAGATCATTACGGAAATTAAAATGATATAAACTAATGAAATAGGGAAGGGCTGTAGCTTAGTGGAACAGCATGTGCTTTGCAGGCAGAAGGTCCCATGTTTAAGCCCTGGCATGCCCATATTTGCTAAATGGTGAAACGTTACACTTGGGAAACTGTTGATCGGAGAAGGAGGAAGAAATGCCAGAAAAAAACTGACCACTTTCCCTGCTCTTAATCAGAGGGTGTTTACTCAGTACTCACCATCCTGCCCGGCTCCCATCAATCTGAGTGAATCAACAAGAATCTGTTGACTGTTACATCTTGATATTTCCAATTAATTCCTTATCTGTATTGAAAGGAAAACAGCTAGTAAGTATTTTTGTAAGAGCCTGGACCCTCTTCATAGAGGGGCTAGTTTCCTGCCGCTGCCTCCTGCCCAGCACTGCTGCAGCTTGCTCGTTATTAGGGTGGTCGTGCTTTTTTAAATTAAAAAATAAATAAATAGAGCAGGGGAGCTTCCAGACTGCTGTTTTTGGGGGTGGGGTGTGCGCTTGTGGATTCCGGCAAATTCAGGTTGCACAATTAGAAAAGTTTAGGAGATCTTGCGTAACAAACCCACTTGTCCAAAAGATATGGGCTTTATTTTGCGATAAGGAGAACTGATGGGAGGTGTGGGATAACATTTGCTTTGAGGCAGCCTCCCTGACCTCCCTGCAAGGCAGGTGGGGGCTGCCTGGTGCTGATTGCGACTGGTAGGGCAGAAGGCAGGGAGGCGGACAGTAGGTGGCGCCAGAGCCAGTGATCAGCAGAGCCTGTGATCTGAGTGGTTGTAAGCAAGAAGGCTGACCTGCAGGCAGGTCAGTGGGAGCTGGCTGAAGGTGCCCAGAGGTTGGTGGGGCAGTGCCTTGTAATATCAGTGTACTGGAAGAAGCAAAGATCACCAGTGTTGAAGCAATGATTCTTCAACATCAATTTCGTTGGACTGGTTTCGTTGGACTGGTCATGTTGTGCGGATGCCTGATGATCGTCTTCCAAAGCAACTACTCTATTCCGAACTTAAAAATGGAAAGCTTAATGTTGGTGGTCAACAAAAGAGGTTTAAAGACTGTCTCAAGGCAAATCTAAAAAAAAAGTAGTATAAACACTGACAGCTGGGAAACAGTGGCCTGCGAGCGCTCCAGTTGGAAAACAGCCTTTACCAAAGGTGTCATGGGCTTTTAAGACACTCAAATTCAGGACGCAAGGGAGAAACATGCTAGGAGGAAGGCACACTTGGCAAATCCACACCGTGATCAGCTCCCGCCTGGAAACCAATGTCCCCACTGTGGAAGGACTTGTGGATCTAGAATTGGCCTCCACAGTCCCTTACAGACTCGTTGTTAAAACTGTGTTTATGGAAGACAATCTTACTCGGCTATGAGTGATCGCCAAAGAAGAAAAAGACAGAACTCGAGGCCCAGAGGGTTTCAGGAAGACTGACCAGCCTTCGACCTCCTGTTTAATTTCCACAAAGCTCCTGCATCATGGGCTTTCAGACTATGCCCTGGGGCTGCCTTCAGGGCCTTGGCTCAGGGCAACAGCTCAGGAATGTGCTACATGCTCTTGCCCGAAAACTTGACTGATTGGCGGAACGCCCCTTCAGTGGGAGATGGTAGGTACCGGCAGCTCCCGTCCCAAGCTGCGTGGCCTTTCGCCAGGAGCTCAGCCCTTCACCTGATCCTGTGGGTTAAGCTGCCCAGCCTGCCAAGAGTGGGAGGGAAGGAATCTTCACTGCGCCACGGATGGCCTTATGGAACATGAACTTCCTCACCTCCAGCCGAAGTGGACCTCAGCCCGGGCATGCCTCTCACGTCTTGGACTGTGTTTGGGCCAGCTCCACAAGTCTATGACTCCAAAATGACATTGGGGGTTGCTTGCCCTGCACCTAGTGCATACCCTCCAACATTTCTCTGATGACAATAGGGATGTCCTATTCCATTATCATCATCGTTATTGTTATTATTCTATTCTGCCCATCTGACTGGGTTGCCCCAGCCACTCTGGACATCTTCCAACATATAAAAAAGCATAATCAACATTAAACATAATACACTTCCCTATATAGGGCTGCCTTCAGAGGTCTCCTAAAGGTTGCATAGTTGCTTATTTCCTTGGCTCAGGGGCCGCATAGCTCCATACGCTCCAACATTTCTCGGGTGAAAATAAGGACGTCCTAAGGAAAAGTGACGAGGGTGGCGCTGTGGGTTAAACCACAGAGACTAGGGCTTGCTGATCAGAAGGTCGGTGGTTCGAATCCCCGCGACAGGGTGAGCTCCTGCTCCTGCCAACCTAGCGGTTCGAAAGCACGTCAAAGTGCAAGTAGATAAATAGGTACCGCTCTGGCGGGAAGGTAAACGGCATTTCCGTGCGCTGCTCTGGCTCACCAGAAGCGGCTTAGTCATGCTGCCCACATGACCTAGAAGCTGTACACCGGCTCCCTCGGCCAATAAAACGAGATGAGTGCCACAACTCCAGAGTCGTCCGCGACTGGACCTTATGGTCAGGGGTCCCTTTACCTTTTTAAGGAAAAGCAGGACATTCCAGGTCAAATCGGAAACCGGGACTGCTTCTGTAAATCCAGGACTCTCCCTGGAAAACAGCGACACTTGGAGGGTCGGCTACTGTCTTGGGAGCTAGAATCCAACGTCCTCAAAATTCTTATGGAGGTTTTAAGTTTCCAGTCCTCATGGAGGTTGGCAGGGAAAAGAGCCCAGGCGAAATACCAGCATTGCAGATGCTGACACCACGCTTGTTGGAATTTCCTCTTCCACGCACGCCATCCCTGCCCTCTCATTTTCCCAGTGGCTTGTGTGTGTCCCTGCTGACAGTTCCGGCTGAGCTGGTTCAGCTGATAACAATGGACGTCTTGTCAGGTGATAAGGAGGTCAGTGGCGGTCAGGCATGCACCTGTTGTTTTTGTCCTCCTGCCATGGGCTTTCCCAAAGAACTGCTGCGGACGTCTTGATTCCCAGCAGGCTGATGACCCACACCTTCCAACGATGTAGGTACGGCAGTAATAGCAGAGGCAGTAGTTGCTACAACAGCTGTAGCAGCAGCACTTAAAACTAGGAGCAGTAGAAGCAGTGGTAGTGTTACCACCACTATTAGCAGTTATTATCAGCAATGGCAAATAGGCTATAGTGGTAAGGCTACTACCAGTATTAACAGCAAGTAGTGCTTACTACCAGTAGTAAAAGGTAAGTAGTGGCAAGTACTAGCAATCATGTTTTATACACATTATAAAATGGAATTTAAAATATTTATTAAACAAAGTGAGCCCGGGGGGGGGGGATGTTTTTCTCGTTCCCCACCCCCGCTTTCAAATATTTTTATTAGTTTTCAGAATAGCAAAATACAAATACAATTTATACAACATAACTTGCATAAACAATGGGTGAGGAAGGTATGCTCGTTTTACAGTATCAAGAACGCAGTGTGTGTGTTAGGAAATAATTTCCCTGAAGCAAAAATAAGGGAACAGTGATTTTAGCAGTCGCGTGGGTCATAGGATGCCACATTTTCCAGCCCATCGACAAACCAATCCTCTTTTTATTTTTTGCTTGTGGCTTTCATTTTCTTTCTTTCTATCTATCTATCTATATCTATCTATCTATCTATCTATCTATCTATCCATCTATCTCTATCAATCATCTATTATCTATCATCTATCTATCTATCTATCTATCTATCTATCATCTATCTATCTATCTATCTATCTATCTATCTATCTATCATCTATCATCTATCTATCATCTATCTATCTAATCTATCTATCATCTATACCCCACCTTTCCTCCAAATTAATGAATGCGTAAAGAATAGAAAGAATGGAAATGAAATGACAGTTAGAAAAGTTACTTCAGCCCTTAACAGACAGGGTCTGAATGTAGTACGTGTGTTTATGGGCATTTCCCATTCTATTTGGTAATCGAGGTTTCTGTGCTAGACCTACATAGGTGACACAGAAGTGTCAAAGTCATTATCTCATTCCTGGCTCGGATTCCCAGGCCCTGTTGGGTTATGTAATAGGCGGCTATCAGGCAGCTCCCATCTCCCCTCAGGGCTGAAGTTTCGTTGCAGGCCCTGTTAGGTGACCAAGCGATGGGTGAGATGGAGCGATCGCCAAGCCAGATTCCATCTTGAGGCTGTCAAGGTGCCGATTCAGTCCTTCCCTGAGGGAGAGCAGATGGGGCTGAGACAGACCTGCCTATGATTACGAACAAAGCTCTGCGCACACCATTAACAAACTGCAGTTCCCAGGACTCTTTGGGAGAATAAACGTATATGCTGTGTCGGTGGTCACAATGTCTGCGCATGCCCTGTCATGACACTACTGTATTATGGAGGTACGTTCAGACAACCTGTTTATTGAGCATTCAGCCTGATTTGATGGGATGATAGTGGCTATTTAATGAGTGGTTGGTTTGCAAGGAGGTTAGAGCATGTTAGGTCAAAAGCCGGCGTTCTGCTACACTTTTAAGTGCATTTCCCCCCATTGCTTTTGTTATAAGAATTTTAAGGTCACACACACACACACACACACACACACACACACATACACATATATATTCATTACTGTATATATAAACCACGTCTGAAACCCCACAGATTAGGTTCTGAACAAGTTGACCTCAAATATTTCTCTGCAAGGTCAAAGTGGGAAACCTCTCCATTGTCTCTTTCCTCACAAATCCTGTCCTCACAAATCCTGTCTTAAGGGCACTTTCAAGATATGTACAGGGTGTGAACCTGTGACCTGTGATCTAGATTCAGGAATTAAGTAGTTATAATAACAAAAGATGAGTGCTCACTGGACAGATCCTGAAGCTGAGGCTCCAATACTTTGGCCACCTCATGAGAAGAGAAGACTCCCTGGAAAAGACCCTGATGTTGGGAAAGATTGAGGGCACAAGGAGAAGGGGACGACAGAGGATGAGATGGTTGGACAGTGTTCTTGAAGCTACCAGCATGAGTTCGACCAAACTGCGGGAGGCAGTGGACAACAGGAGTGCCTGGCGTGCTCTGGTTCATGGGGTCACGAAGAGTCGGACACAACTAAACGACTAAACAACAACAAAATAACAAAAGAGTGGCCAAAACCCAGATAATGCAATCAGGTAACTTGCCAGACAGGAGATAAACAACGCACTCAGATTTCTGCTGTAGACCGCCTTTTCTGTGATGTAGGTATGATGTTTCTGGGGGTGGTCTTGGACTCCAGGGCGGGCAGTTTAAAATGTCTATATGAGGGTGGACACACCTTTGTTCTGGGTCCTCCTCCTCTTTCCTGTGTGTGGGGGAGCACCCTGTTGCAACAGTTAATAAAACTCACTCCGAATCTGACCGGACACAGGTTAGAGCTCAACGCCGAGCCTACCAAGTGGCAATAGCGACGGCGAAGAAGACTTTCTTCACCGCCTCTATTGCATCTGCAGAAAATAGTAGCAGGAGACTCTTTCAGGTGGTTCGCAATTTAACGGAACCACCTTTACCACCGGGGCATTGTAAAGACCCCAAGATCTCCTGCAACGATTTTGCAAAGTTTTTTTGCAGATAAAATCACTCATATTCGGAAGGAGCTAGACACCACCGTGGGAGCAGGGCCAGGGCGGGAGAGTGCTAGAGCTCTGTCTGGTCAAGTTGCATGGAATCAATTTCAATCCGTTACCCCCCGAGGATGTGGACAGGCTGCTTGGACGCGTGAAAGCAACCACCTGTCACCTTGATCCTTGCCCATCCTGGCTAATAAAAGCAAGCCGGGAAGGGCTGGGCGATGGGCTCTGCGGGGTGGTGAATGCTTCCCTCTGTGAGGGAACATTCCCAGATCCGCTGAAAGAGGCGGTCATTAAGCCGCTTCTGTAACATCCATCTTTAGACCCGGCCAGTATGGCCAACTATCGCCCAGTCTCAAATCTTCCATTCTTGGGCAAGGTGATTGAGCGCGTGGTTGCTGAACAACTCCAGGCATGCCTGGAGGATGCGGACCATTTGGATCCCTTCCAATCGGGATTCAGGCCTCACCATGGGACTGAAACTGCCTTGGTCGCGTTGGTTGATGATCTCCGGCGAGCTAGGGACAAAGGTGAGAGTTGTTTCCTGGTTCTGCTGGATCTCTCAGCGGCCTTTGATACAATTGACCATAACATCCTTCTGGACCGTCTAGAGGGGCTGGGAGCTGGGGGCACTGTTATACAGTGGTTTCGCTCCTTCCTCCTGGGCCGTGTTCAGAAAGTGGTGGTGGGGGATGAGTGTTCAGACCCCTGGGCCCTCACTCTGTGGGGTGCCTCAGGGTTCCGTCCTCTCCCCCATGCTTTTAACATCTATATGAAGCCGCTGGGAGAGATCATCAGGGGATTTGGACTGGGTGTCCATCAATATGCAGATGATACCCAGCTCTACCTCTCTTTCAAATCAGAACCAGTGAAGGCGGTGAAGGTCCTGTGTGAGTGCCTGGAAGCGGTTGGAGGATGGATGGCGGCTAATGGATTGAAGTTGAATCCTGACAAGACGGAAGTATTGTTTTTGGGGGACAGGGGGCGGGCTGGTGTGGAGGACTCCCTGGTCCTGAATAGGGTAACTGTGCCCCTGAAGGACCAGGTGCGCAGCCTGGGAGTCATTTTGGACTCACAGCTGTCCATGGAGGCGCAGGTCAATTCTGTATCCAGGGCAGCTGTCTACCAACTCCACCTGGTACGCAGGCTGAGACCCTACCTGCCCGCGGACTGTCTCGCCAGAGTGGTGCATGCTCTAGTTATCTCCCGCTTGGACTACTGCAATGCGCTCTACGTGGGGCTACCTTTGAAGGTGACCCGGAAACTACAATTAATCCAGAATGCGGCAGCTAGACTGGTGACTGGGGGCGGCCGCCGAGACCACATAACACCGGTCTTGAAAGACCTACATTGGCTCCCAGTACGTTTCCAAGCACAATTCAAAGTGTTGGTGTTGACCTTTAAAGCCCTAAATGGCCTCGGTCCAGTATACCTGAAGGAGCATCTCCACCCCCATCGTTCTGCCCGGACGCTGAGGTCCAGCGCCGAGGGCCTTCTGGCGGTTCCCTCATTGCGAGAAGCAAAGCTACAGGGAACCAGGCAGAGGGCCTTCTCGGTAGTGGCGCCCGCCCTGTGGAACGCCCTCCCATCAGATGTCAAAGTGATAAATAACTACCTGACATTTAGAAGGCATCTTAAGGCAGCCCTGTTCAGGGAAGCTTTTAATCTGTGATATTTTACTGTATTTTTGTTTCTATGGAAGCCGCCCAGAGTGGCTGGGGAAACCCAGCCAGATGGGCGGGGTACAAATAATAAATTATTATTATTATTATTATTATTATTATTAATACAGATCAGGCTTACTAGCTGCTTTGCTTCTCAATATTCTCTGGTTGGTCTCTGTTATTTCCTCCTACCAATAGAGAACCTACAAAAGGACTCTATATGGGCTCTTGGGCACCCCATAAGGAAAAAGGACCAGTGGTTGTTGTTTTTTTTTACTTATATCACTTTCCTTATCACAAATGTCTGATCGTTTGGGGAAGAAGAAGAAGAAGAAGAAGAAGAAGAAGAAGAAGAAGAAGGGGAGGAAGAAGAGGAGGAGGAGTTTGGATTTGATATCCCGCCTTTCACTCCCTTTAAGGAGTCTCAAAGCGGCTAACATTCTCCTTTCCCTTCCTCCCCCACAACAAACACTCTGTGAGGTGAGTGGGGCTGAGAGACTTCAAGGAAGTGTGACTGGCCCAAGGTCACCCAGCAGCTGCATGTGGAGGAGCGGAGACGCGAACCCGGTTCCCCAGATTACAAGACTACCGCTCTCAACCACTACACCACACTGGCTCTCAGTGTGTTTGTTGTTCAAGCATGTTTGTTGTTCAAGACCTCCCAATCAGTTATAATATTGCAACCAGAATTTGCTGAATCCCACCTGAAAATAGCGACAGTCTGGAAGTGTTATGGGAAAGAAGAACACCTCCCTATCCGCTTTCTCTGCACCATGATTAATTGCATACGCCTCTGTCATGATTTCTTTTCTTGCCTTTCCTATAAAGCTCCCAATATTGTAACTTTTCCTTATAGGGTTCAGCCGCTTGATCCTTTTCCTTGCCTTTTTCTGAACTTAAGAATTGCCTGCTGGCTTAGCCCAATGGCCCAGCGTCCTGTTCTTACAATGGCCAACCAGATGCAAGCAGGACCTTCAAGCACAAGACCCCTCTCCCCTCTTGCTGCTCCCAGGAAGTGGCATTCAGAAGCATTGCCACCTGTGACCTTAGAGGCAGAGCATGGCTAGTAGCCATTGATATCCCCCACGGACTGGTCCAATCCTTTTAAAAGCCGTCGAAGTTGGTCGTCACCACTGCCTCTTGTGGGAGGGAGTTCCATGGTCTAACTGTGCACTGTGTGAAGATGGTTCTTGCGTTGAGATTCCTGCATTGCAGGGGGTTGAGCTAGATCAGGCATCCCCAAACTTTTGGGACTACAACTCCCATCATCCCTAGCTAACAGGAATGGTGGTCAGGGATGATGGGATTTGTAGTCCCAAAAGTTTGGGGATGCCTAAGCTAGATGATCCTTAGTGTCCCTTCCAACTCTACAAAGGCCAGTGTGGTGTAGTGGTTAACAGCGATAGACACGTAATCTGGTGAACCGGGTTCGCGTCTCCGCTCCTCACATGCAGCTGCTGGGTGACCTTGGGCCAGTCACACTTCTTTGAAGTCTCTCAGCCCCACTCACCTCCCAGAGTGTTTGTTGTGGGGGAGGAAGGGAAAGGAGAATGTTAGCCGCTTTGAGACTCCTTCAGGTAGTGATAAAGCGGGATATCAGATCCAAACTCCTCCTCCTCCTCCTCCTCCTCCTCTTCTTCTACAATTCTATGATTCCAGGATTTCTAAGTATGTTCTTTTATCTGTACTGAGTCTTCCAGCTCTACAGTATCCTTCTCGAAGAGAGGTGCGCTGCGCCCAGTATTCAAAGCATGGCCGCAACACAGATGTGCACAACAGCGTTTTGATGTTAGCAGTTCTGCTCTGCTCCAAGCTTCCCAGAGGAAGACAACCTGTGCGTCATCATCCTCAGACACCAATTGCAACGCCTTTCCAGCAATTCTTATCTTGCTGGCAAACAGTCCGAGGAGAGGGTGTCCCTGATCCAGAGAGGCTGCTATGTGTTTGCAGGACATATAGATGATGACGATGAACGTGTAACAAATGCGGCCAACAACTGATTCCCATTTGGCCCAAGCGGGATAATGGATGGGAGAATGTTTTCCAGCTTTGGTACATTATACTGGCAGAGTGGAGAGATTTACGGCACTCCAGAGAGAGATTAGCTTTAGCGGCTGACGGAGGAGAATCAAGGGGGTCCTATTGTGCATCAAAGCGTGGGGTGGGGGTGGGGAGATGTGGCTTCGGCCTTGCTCTTCTGCGGAAGCTGAGAGACAAAACAGAAATGGCTGGAAAACAGGAAGGGAGTGGCACAGAGAGGGATGTGTAAGTCCATATGAGACGAGGGGAGCAGGGATGCTGGCCTTGTGGAAAAAAGGACCCCAGAGAAATGAGCACAGGCTGGCTGCAAAACGGAAGAGGAGCTTGCTCAGCGGTGGAAAAAAACAGGCCGCACTGGCTGCCGGTAGCCGTGTGACACAAAGAAGGAAGTAAGCGGCCCACCACGATGGGAAACCAGTCCCCACAGATAGAGGCCTTATTGTATGGTGTTTATCTGAGGCACTTAATTAATAAGCTGCCAAGTCGAAACATCCCATCCGTCTTATATAGGGACAAAAGAGCAAACATAACAGGAGGAAAAAATATATTAAAAAAAATACGTGAGCTGGGCTGACATTCCCAACGTGGTGCATGTGTCCCTCCCACCCCTTTCCTCTAGCTATGAATAAAGACAGCATTTAACTCTGTCCTTGCAGGAAGAGCCACATGCTGCCGGAACAATGCAAAGCCATTTAGCATTTTGACATTTATTGGTGGTTTCAGCACACACAGGGACACGCACAGGTGAATTCAGCAGGTCGCTCTGGTCCCTAAGGTGAATGTAAGAGGATCTTGTTAGAGGGTGATGAGAATGGGGGTGGTAGAGGCAGCGCTCTTGCCCCCCCCATGTTTGCTTAGCACTTTATCACTATGCCCAAAAAGGTCTTGAGTTACACTGTGTTCCCATCAAAATCAATAAGACTTAAGCCATGAACATGATGAACTTGTCCCACTGATGTCCATAAAGACTAGGTTCAGCTAACTTGGGATTTCTCCAAGCAACCTAGGCTGGTTTTCTTGCACAAAGCTTACCTAGAGGTTAAACTATGGCTGTGTACACAATAAGATTGCTACAAAAGCCTGCCCCTCTCGGTGGCAAGAGCGCATGGGGTCACAGGCGCACATACAGGGTCTGTGTGCCTTCAGAGAACAGAAGACATGGCGGAGACTGTCGTGCTTTCAGAAAGCTGGTTTGCATAAGCCAGCCCAGGAATTTCCTTGCAGCTTGCCTCCTCCCTTCATACCACAAATAACAAAAATCCTAGCATTTATTGATTATAGACAGGTCTATCCTGTCTATAACATTATTTGTACCCCGCCCATATGGCTGGGTTTCCACACCAGACGTTTGTGAATCATGGGAAATGTGGTTTGCTAAGGGTGCTTGAGATTGTAGCTCTGTGAGGGGTAAACTGTAGTCTCCAGGATTCTATGGGGGCAGGAAATGTGCTATAAATATATGGTGTACATGCAGCCTATACTACTAAGCATTTGCTACTAAGCATTCATTCTGATATCAAAGAATCATAGAATTGCAGAGCTGGTACTCTGGGGATCATTTGGTCCAACCCTTTGCAATGCACGGATATGCAGCTGTCCCATACGGAGATCAAACCTGCAACCTTGGCGTTATCAGCACCACACTCTAGCCAACTGAACTATTCTGTGAGGATGTTATATAACCAAGAACACATCTCCTGCGTTTATCCTGATTTGCTCGTGTGATGACTGGTATAAGAATTTTAAGGTCTTATATATATAAAATAGGTGTTCATAAATGTACCAAGCAAACACATACAAATATGTAAACCACATGTCTGAAACCCACAGAAAAGTCCTGAAACCATTTTCTCTCTTCCAAATTGACCTCAAATATTTCTCTGCAAGGTCGAAGGAAATGAGGAGCCTCCCCATTGTCTCTTTGCTCACAAATCCTGTCTCAAGGGCACATTTAAGAGATGAATAGGGTGAGCCTGTGACCTGGATCCAGGAGTTAAGAAGTTATAATAACGAAAGAGTCGCCAGGATGCCCAGGTAATCCAATCAAGTAACCTAGCAGACAGGAGAAAAACAATGCACTCAGATTTCTGTTGTAGACCACCTTTTCTGTGATGTCGGTATGATGTATCTGGGGGGTGGTCTTGGGCTCCAAGGTGGGCACTTCAAAAGTCTATACTGTATAAGGGTTTGTGTGCATGGTTCGGGGTCCCTCCCCTCCCTCCTGTGTGGGTGGGGGAGCACCCTGTTGCAACAGTTAATAAAGATCAGGCTTACTATCTGCTTTGTGTCTCAATATTCTCTGGCTGGTCTCTGTTATTTTCTCCTACCGATAGAGAACCTACAAAAGGACTCTATATGGACTCTTGGGTACCCCATAAGGGAAAAGGAGCAGTTTTTTCTCATCACACGACTCTTTACCTTCCTGCTAATTATTTATCCATCCCACTCTTTGCAGTGCATTTCCCCATCACTTTCCTAACCGCAAATTGCCCATCTTTTCTTTTTGTTTAAAGTTGAGCGTGTCGATCCACTTTAAAGCTAACGTTATGGTATGTGGCTTAGTCATGCCTGATAAACACTGGACCCAACCCTATAATTCTAAACCACAATAACTGCAAAGCTGCATTCTGTGACCTGCACGAAGTACGTAAATTAATAAAAATGCACATATCTGTTTATTTAGAACAGTCACATCTTGCCTTTCTCTCCACCCTTCACCCCAAGGTGACTAATGGCAACAAAAACAAAAGCAATTCTGCCAAGTTAGTGCAATAAAAACTGATAAGTGGTAATGTGGCTGATAAGGAAAATCCAGTAGAATTGCCAGGCAGCCATTGAGATCAATGGCAGTCGCAGTTCCTAGACCAAGGGGGGAATCTTATGGCAGGATCCTTCACCCAGCTTAGGATGCAGCGGATTTCCAGCTCAGCCAGCACTGAGTCCTCACCTTTGGCTCAGCCAAACACTCTAACCACTCTTTGGGGGTGAACAAACACAAAACAGAACAAAAATAAAGCCAGTGGTGTAGCGTGGGGGGTGCAGGGGGGGCCGGCCGCACCGGGCGCAACATCGGGGGGGGGGGGCGCGCTCGCACTAGCAGCTCTCTGCCCCTACCTGGCTCACTCACTCTCTCTCACTGCAGTGCTGGCTGTGCGAATCCGATCCGAGCCGCTGGGTCACCGCCCACTGTGGAGGGGGTGGGTGCCAGGCGTGCGGTGCAGAGAGAGAGCGAGGGACTATCTGGGGGAGGGACAGTGCAGCGGCCGCCCAGCACAGCGCAGAGCGCGGGAGAGAACCACACCAGACCAGCCCAGGCAGCAGCAAGAAGAAGCTGGCAGCGGCGGCAGGTTAGGGGTTAGGGGGCGCAAATTACTTGCCTTGCCCCGGGTTAGGGGGCGCAAATTACTTGCCTTGCCCCGGGTGCTGACAACCCACGCTACGCCGCTGAATAAAGCAAATGCTTTACTTTATTTACATTTAACTTTGGGCTCCAAAGTGGCTTGCAGTTAAACCCCAAAACTTTCCTTTTTCCTCCCTGGCCAGTAGCTCTGCTGAAAAACACAGATTGTGCAC